CAGCCCGCACGACCGCTTCATTGTGGTAGTGGGCAAATGTATACTCTGCACGGCGGGGCGTTGAGCCATTGCCCTCGAAACCTTGGCCCCCAGGGTACTCCGTATTCGGGCCCAGACAAGATGAGATTCGGATCGATAAGGGTTTTCTCCCAGATTCTCGCCCTCTCGCCCTGCTCCCTTGGTTCTGAGTGGACTCGACTCCAACCAGGAACCCTTCGGATACAGCCGACCAACAATCGCGGCTCTCTCCATTCCAAATCATTTTATGTGACCACGATCGACACTCCGAAAATTCTTGTGGGGACATCTCCCGAATTAAACTTTGCGCGGTGGACTGCATTTTCCGATCCTCCGGAGTATTGAATTCGGGGGTTTGGGGTATAATTGGCTTTACCTCTATTCGCTTTTGCGTTTCCGGGTTGCTTCTTTGTTCATTCTAGCGTCAACTCTGTATGGCGTTGTCTCGGCGTTTGTGAGTTTTTTTTGGAGTAGGGCTTTGAAAGTCAATCCTCTGGAGTACTCCGTCCCGGTTCGGAGATCCCACGGTTCGGAGGATTGGCCTTTTGACTTATTGATTTTGAATCCCCTGTATAATTATATGAATTGCTTCGGAGGGCCTCCAAAAATTACCGATCATCGGTTTTCGTCTTTTTTTCTTGTTTTGATTTGATTTCACAGTTGCTAAATCACATGTTTGTTCTAGAATGTTGATGCGCGCGGAACGGATATCATTTATTCGTCTCTGACTGGTCATGGACAGGCGTTCGGACCCGATATTGTACGGTTGCGCTATTCATTCACACAGTCTAGGTCTCTAGGCCGCATGGGCAACGTGGTTCTGCCTTGGACAAAATCCCGCTATGCCCAGGGGGCATTGGAAAGGGGGTCTTGTCCCGACGCATGAATATGGTGACAACCAAGCTACCAAGCTCGGCATACGGTATACTTGGAAGATACTTAAACCATATAGCATTGATCATTGCATGCATGACTTCGGTATTCTCATCTGCCGCCCGCTGCACTTCGTCTTGGGCCAGTGCGTTTACTATGGTAAGGCATTCTCTCCAATGGAGATTGTGCATTCATTTCAAAAGTCCATATCTTGAATTGTCGTGGCAGATCCCTGAGACGATGATTCGGTTCACTATGTGTCGATAATATAATCTTCCCAAGCCAAAGGCCAAGGTTTTGACAGACCGAAATCTCCGACCCCCCGAGCGCTCCGGGGTCACCGATCGAGCGAGTAGAGCTTCATCACCGTGCGCACCCCCTGCAGAAAACCCACACTGTCTTGGTTTGGCTCGTGTCAACACCCCCCACCGGTCGACTTCCTCTTTCATCCGCGCTTGCAGTGTCGACATTTTCCTTTTGGATTCCTATGGAGTACAATCCCTGCAATCCCCACTGTTTGGCCGATTCCTGTTGAAAGGTTATTACCCAGGTGCTATGCTTGGTCGCTCTTGGCCTTGGGGTCATGTCTAGTAGCTCAATGTGCCGGGACAAGGTACCATTATACCACCGGCCCGGGAGATGACAGCGGATAACATGGAGGGGGAAGTGATGATGCAATACTCCGTACTGTGCTGGGGCCTCACGAAATACCACTGTAGGTATGCCACGAGGATCTATTGGACAGCCGGTTAGGGCTTTGGTACCCGAGAAGCCCGAGGTGGTGGATCAACGGCTGATAGATAGAGCTCCCAGGCAGGGACCGTCCATGGTTGAGCCACACATGGCCATTCACGGATGTTTGTCGCAGTTATTCGGGACGCTATCTATATTACTACGCGGAGTATGGAGTACCTGTACATAAGTAAGACTCGTAGCTACGGAGTACTTTCGAGAAATCAGCCAACCAAGCGAAACCAAGCTCTGGGCTATTCGTATACATAGAGGCTTTTAACCCGTCTTGCGTGTGCCCACTTCTATCTCTGTCATGATACGCCAATTGAAAGATTTATCGGAACTGGACCGACAATCTAAGTTTTTTTATTTTTTATTTTTTATTTTTTGTTTATTTTTTGTTTTTTTCTTTCTCTGTAACTTCCATGCTAAAGCTGCGCCCAATCTCCATTTTCCGGCATGAGCTACCTCTGCTCAACGTTCAAGGACAAGGCCATTGCGTTAATACTGAATTAGGACAATTTCACAAGAACTTGGCATTCGTCAATTATCAGGGATAACGACGTAATAATTATTCTTGGTAGAGCTTGTGTGCCGTGTCGGGCGCTTGTTAGAATTCGGAACGAACGAATAACAGGCCGTGATATGGATATCGGGCATAGGGATCCATGAACGCCTCTGCCAATGGAATTCCGATTGTGCCGTCCCTGAAGACAGGGGAATCCATCCATGCCAGCGACCGAATCGGGAAAGTTGCACGGACGACGATAGCTCAAGGCCAAACCGGGGACGGGGACGGTGGGTTGACAGTGTCCTGATTCTATTTCCCGAGGCTAGATTCAGATACAAGCACAAGTATGCCGATACACCGCATTGATTCATCACAACAAATGAACAAGGACAGGGTCCCTGCGTCGAACGTCTAAAATTACAACGTTGAGCTATGTTGCTTGAGCTACTAGAATGGCCTGGTCCTTTCACATGTTCACAACAATTTCGACCCAACACTACCTTAGTACGGCTTTGTAGCTCAACATCTGGGACTTGGGTGCTCCTGATTGTGATACTGCCCGCGATCGTTTCCAGGGCTGAACAAGCGGACAGGGGCCTCGTCATTCGGATTAATTAGCTATCCAAGTCGGTCGGTGGCCTTGAGAAAACCCGTCCACTCTCCATCAACAAACACAGCTAGGTGTCTAGTGTTGGGAAAAAATTGCTTCCAGAGGCGCGCGCATTCCGGATTCAATTTGATTTGGCCTCTGCGTTTAACTCGTACAGGGTATTTGTGGATCAAATTAGGCAAGGAGACCGTACGACTTGTTAATATAATGTGTGATAATGGGTCATACGTTCTTGCTGTTGTAATTGTCATAGTTGCTTCTTTTTGACAAAATATTAATCTAATTCTCGGTTTGTGGATACCTGTGGGATCCGTACTTGTGAAATATGCAACCTAGTTCTCAATGTTCAAATGGTTCCCGTTCTTGTTGGGTATGCTAGACGAAGCAAAATCGTCTGAAAAAAAATCCCAAGGAGCCATGTATTATGAAGTTTTCGAAACGGTACTCGTAGTTATTGAGCCGATCTATGTAGCTTCGCCCTACAAATCCGCCCCAACTTTGGAACTCCACTAGGGCCCATCGCCCACGTGGACATATTTCTCCAGACACTCTTTTTCCCCCGGTTTGCGCTTACTACTCAAGTATTTTCAATATGACCTCATAAAAACACCTAGACCCATTTTCTACTTCGGCTACACAGGCATTGACCACATTTTGTGCAGAAATCGACTTTTCCAGGTGGAGTATCGAAGCCACAGCCGTTACCCACCTTCCAAAGACAGACACACGGTACGTAATTTCAAGAATAGCGCTCATCGGCAATGAGAGCATATCCCGATTTTTGTGGATACTAGTTTAAACGTCTTGTTTCAGGGTTGCCGACTATCACTTGTCGAAACAAGAACGGAGATCTACAAAACCGAACATATAGGGTGAAACATCTTGTAGATCATGCCATCTTCGAATCGATCGAGACCGATTCAACGAGTCGGAAACCCTCTGAGTCCCCGCAATACGTCGGGGCTACAGCATGTTGCACCCGTCTGCAATGCACGGTAATCACACATCGTTCTAATTTAAAGGTATTCCGTACTCGTAGCCTGCGTGAGCCCAACGCTAAGGTAAGGTCTGAAGAGTGAACTGGCCGTTTCAGGGACCGTTCCCATTCGACAACCTCTCGGCAACCCCATTAATTAATTAATCTCGAAACTACTAGGCATCCAAATGCCGTCCAAGGAACATGCCAACCCCCCCATTTTCTTGGAAAGTGGCCCAAGCCAAGGGATCGGTATAGTCATCGGACCATAGCTCCAAACCAATCCACCGGACGATCTGCCCCTCTTATAAAACCTCGCTTCGTGAAACGGTGGGGTCTCATTGGATGCAGGGGTTGGGAGCTAACATTGGTAGTTTATGCTCGCGTGTACAAACAAGTTTGATGGCAGCAACAATAATTGACTAGAAGGAATGACCTTCCAAGTTTTCAACCTAGAAACTGTACTTTTGAGCTCCAAAAAACCCCCCTGGAATGCTGCTGCAAGTTCGACGATCTTGGAACTGTCTGGGTGGCAGAGCCGGGTCGCTCGTCATTAAATCCGAGTTTATTGGCCAGTGCTGAAATGATAGCTATAGTTGTCCACGAGTAGGTAATTATAATGCGACTCCTTAACCTTCCAAGGTTGGAACTCATATCCCACCGATACTCTTGAGCATCAGTACTTCGTATCAAAGCTTTGGGCAAGGTTTTCATGAAATGGCATCAGCAACGAGCCCTTTCACTGACGATTCTCGATTTGTCGATTTGATGGGCCGTAGAATCCAAGGTCATTCTTTCCTCGTTAATGAACTTGCATTTGAGGTCCGCTACTTAAGTACTATGACCCATAACTCAATAACAGAGGTTCTTCTTCTGAAGAGAAAATTCCTTTAGCATAATATGATATCAGTAGCAGCTACAAGATGAAACAATCAAAAACAATGCGCCATGAACAATGATTCGAGTTTCTAAAGTTCTTTTTACTGTAGGTGTACTTAAGTTACACCCTTGAAAACGGGTTTAAGAGAATGGAAAAGAAAAGCGCGGTTCTGTCGGATTGGACTTGCTTCAAACGTACCAAGAGAATCCACAAGAGGTATTCAATAGTGAAATAAAATAACATAAGTACTAGCAGACAACTGGGCAGTAGAATTCAATGACCACAGAACGAGAATACCCACCCAGCATCCATGGATATCATGAAACGAAAACCCAACACAAATACCAATCCTATACCAGATCTTGAAAGCCATGTAGAACGAGTGGACTCTTCATGATTTCTACAACAAAACTCTAGGTCTCATAGTGAACGACTTTGGCACAAATGGCGGAGGAAGCGGACTATATCTTGGGCCAGGCTTGCCCTTGCCTTTTCCAGTTCTTGGGAACGGCAAAGCGGGCAGATCTCCAATGTTCAGATTAAGAATAGACGACTCCCGCTTCTTATCATGGGTTTGACACTCGCGCCGCCCAAACTTGGATGCTAGTGTTGATGTGGATGGTTTTGAAGTGTGACTTGGTGGAGGTAAGTGTGATGTTGTTATCCAGCTGCTGAGGTGATGAAACGTTTCCTCTTCATCTCGATATTCCGTCTTGGAAGCCTTTGGATTTGACTGGGCTATGCTGGTTGATGTGTGGCTTACTGTGGCGGCCAAGGCAGCAAGTTGGTTGATAATCAGCTCTGTTTCGTTATGAGGGGCGGTTGTGGGACGAATGGTATCAGGCACGGATGAATCTTTCTCTTCAATGCCAATATCAGTTTTTATTCGGATTTTGATTTTTCCCGCATCAGGTTTTGATCGGCGGAACCATGACATCTTGAGAAGAAACATTGTGACGATCGATGCAAGCCTAGATCTAAACCAAATGTTAGTGGGATACACCCGTGGATATGAAACATGATGGTAGATTTCAGGGAGCTGCTCACGGTCTAGAACGACACGGGACGTATCAACACCAAGAAACTTTGGAAGCTTTAAGACGCTGACTTTCGGGGCTTTACCAGAAGATGCCCAGGTGGATGTATCTCAAAGAACGATACAAACTCATTCTGGATCAATGGATGTCTCCAATATATACCCACGCCACGGCAGGTTCCAATGCAACAGCGAATTTCCAACGGAGCCAGGACCCGAAAAAAAGTCTGTGCAGCACCCAATTCGACCAGATCTGAAACATCACCCAATCTCGGGGTGTAGATGGTCTCAGAAGGGCAAGCGTTGATACTTCGGCAAATTGTGACTGATGTGACTGGCGGAGCTTAAAATGTGGATATCGAGACTGCTGCCTCTCTAGTCGAGTTGCAGAACGTCAGCCAGGGGTATGCCAGGTACCTTAGAGACATTCAGCCTTGAGCTCGAGACAATTTTCCCCAGATCTTGAGGATGTATAAAATTCGGGTCCGCCTTAGCAACGTCGCAAACGAGTACCATGTCCAGGTGGGTCACCAAGATTTTATCCCTCTCCTCTGTCTCGCAAGATGATTCCATCAAAGTTGATCCATGGACATATAAGTAATTTCGTTTGCGGGTTGGCCATAAGCATACTCATAGAGCGGTACACTTAGTTTGAAACAGGGCTGGGGATAGATTACTTTTGGGAATCGACTGCAACCTTACGACAGCGAAGCCCCCTGAAGAAAAGGATGATTGGCATCATATTGAACATCCTGCTGATAATCCGCTTATGCTAGTTCATGTCCCATTGCGCATGGACATCATCCATGTCGGTCATCCTGCCATCCCAGCCCACATCACGATAGCGATATCTGTTAGGATGGCCCCAGGTTCAGACCGAGCAAACGCTCTGTAGATAGATCATTCGGAAGGCCTCATCTTCCTTCTTCCCTTCCGTAGTCTTGAGGATAGAAATACATCGAGTGATATCCCTTCCTTCTTTCTTTCGATAATATCGATCATCAATTCTCACTGTGCTTAGGATCCCGCACCATGCAGTACAACTAAAGCGCGTCAGCAAAAAAAAAAAAAAAACACTCAAATAACGCACACAGTCCGTCGAACATACCATGCACGCATCCTCTCCATCCCGACACTCCATCTCCTTCCTCATTTCAAAGCCCATGCGTTCGTAAATCGCCACATTGGGAACACTCTTCGAACTCTCCAGATAACACTTCTTACCCTCACTATCCGCCTTCTTCGTAACAGCCTCGAACAGCAATTTCCCAATCCCCTTTCCCTGCGCCACGGGACTGACAGCAACAATATTACAGAAATAGTAGCCTTGCGGATCATCCCAAATAGCAGCCTGCGCTTCAGCTTGTCTCTCTTTCCAGATCCAATACCGATTCGTCCGCAACCCCCCACGACCCAGGTACCGGATGTTATTGAGAAGTTGATTAAACGACAAGCTCCACGACTGGAACCAGCTATACCAGCTTTCAGGCTGGGTAGCCGGGTGTGGCGCTAGCCAGCAGGAAACACCTAGGATTGGACCGTCGGACTCCTTCGCGACTTGGAATAGTGCGTTGTTGATGCCCCATTTGCAGCGCACGGACAGGGAGTCATAATTTCTTTGTTTGTTGAACTAGATGTCAACGCAGTCGGTCAAGTGACCGTGCGATGACGCTTGTTAGTTTTGTCTGGTGAATTCCATCTCTCTATATATTCCGATTCACATTTCTACTTACTTGGGAGGAATCAAAAACCCATTTGAAGTAAGGATCGTCTGCAAATGCCTGCTGAATGACTTCGATGGCACCGGGGATATCCGCCTCCGTGAGGTCAACTACCTCGATGGCCATGATCGCAAACGCGGGATATCGGATCTCGCTATGTTCCGGGGATCGGCACCGTCGGGACTTCAATTTGCAGACTTTGCTCACCAAATCGAGTCAGTGTTATTCAATCGAGACTGGGTGTGCGATCTGTTTGGGGTTGTCCACCTGCACTGACTTTGTGTACGGAGTACAAACGGGACCAATCGGTGGTGTTTGTCAAATGCCGGGATGGAGTAGGACCCCGGGAGTACAGTAGGCGCTAACTGACCAGAGATCGAACCAATCGCTTTGAGAGGTGTGACTAGGGTGTGTTCCGAGGTAAGATTAAAGATTCAAACGAGAATCGTATGAAAAGAGAAGAGAAAATCAAGGTCTCGAGCCTCCGAGAATGTGGGGAAGAGCTAAACCGGTGAAGGCAGTTCGATGCGTGACACATCTCTTATCGCTACAACTTGGAGGCCCGGGGAATTGAGCAACTTGATAGTACATTGAATGTATCGAATATCAGTTTCAAATATGTGACCAGTTCGCCTTTTATCCCAGTATAAACAAAAGAAATAAACACTTCATGCAAAGCCTCTAAACCCCAGCGTAGCCAAAACCCCAGATCTAATAAGATCGCTGGAAAGCATGCCAAACCCACCCTTGGATCCGATACAGTAGCGTAACTTCATGATTCAGACATCGTGACGGTCGACTCCGGTGAAAAATAAAATAAAAAAATAAAACAAAAGAAAATGTTTATTGGAAATAGTCTTCGATCCGCACCCATTCGCGGGGTACGTCCATGCTGCGGTTGATTCGACCACCGGGAGTGAGGGGAACATCCACACGAGCACGTCCACGATCGTCGTCTTCATTCTCTTCGTAAAACGAGAGTCTGGAGAAATAGTCTTCGAGGACGGCCTCGCGGTCATTGCCGACGATGGTGGCGTATTCCGGGGGTGGGGTCATGAGAGGTGGTGCGGGCGGCACGTCCTCGAAGGCGGGAGGAGCGTATGAGGGAGCGCGGAGGAGATGCATAGGGCGGGGCGGAGTGGGGGTAGCGCGGTCGTTGTGTGTTGCAAGGTGTGCCTGTGGGGGTCGGGCTAGTCCGCCCGAGCCATTGGTGAAGCTGCGCGAGAAGCTGTGGCCGGTTGAGCTGCGACGCGCGACTTTGGCGAGGTTGGGATTGCTGTCTTCACGGTCTGAGCTGGCTGGAGTGATGGTGGGCTCGCGGGGCGTGAGTGGTGCGCCGGGACAGCCGCATTCGAACTCCTGGGCGGGAGGGACTGGATCCTCGGCAGGTCTGCTATAGGCTGGAAGGTAGATGTTGGCCTGTGTGGCCTTGCAGGAAAGGATGTGGAACGGAGAGTCGATAGAGATTTCGAAATGTCTTCGCTTTGTGGGGTCTCTTTCGTCGACCTTGGACAAGCGGAGGACAATCTGCTTTTGTTAGGATTGGGGTTTAAAGCTGAGGTGGTGACTCTTTCTTACCTTGATCCAGTGGTTGATCTGGATGTTTTCGTATGTGGTGTCGAAGTTCAGGCGTTGGCCTTCATCCCGGCCTTTCATTTCGTGGCAGCTTGGCAGTTGCACATTGAACTCCATCTCGGTCGGACCGACACCAGAATCATTGGACAAGTTGCCCAACAGATTCGTTCGGTTGCGATCCACGATCTCTTGGCCTGAAGCGGCCGCGACACGCTGATCCCAGTCGATACCACCTCCTGCGGTGACCCGCATAGAGCTACCGGGATACGTGCTAACGCTGGAAGAGTCTGCCCGCTTTTCAAACAACAACACCTTCTTCGCAGGCTGCAGGCGATGAACGCTCTTGTCAGCCGTCCAATGCTGAACGTTTTCCGTCACATAAACCTTGATTCGGTGACACTCCACTTTTGCCAAGGGCGTCAACTTGAACGCAATTGGGATCTGAGAACCCAGTGGGAATGACTTCCCAGAAATGACGATATCGTAATGAAGCTGGTCTTCCCAATTTCGCGAGATCGCAATCGGCTCGACTTGTTCCAAAGAGCCTTCGGCGGGTGTGCGGATCACAGGAATTTCCATGGTTCCAAGAAGGTTGGGCCGGAACGCACCTGATCGTTCCACCATCGCTTCGAGATCATACTTCACGGATCCGAGGTCAGTCTTGATAGTCTCCGGTAACGACCCGTCGATGGGGAACTCGAAGCTGTAAAGGTAATCGCCCGCAGGGAACATGCGATAGTTGCGCTGGGGTGCGCTCTGGTTGGTCGGGGGCTCGTTCTTGCTGAAGCTGCGCGAGTGGCCCCGGTTGTATTGCAGGGATAACCGCTTGGATTCTCGAGTGGTAGGCGGGGCGAGGGAAGTGGCAGAGTTACGATTGGAGAACAGCTCTCGGGTTGTCATTGTAACTCCCTCCTTTCCGGGAACCGCAGAGATAGGTTTGGCGTGCTGGTAGTAATGGGCGCCATACTCATTCTGCATAAGCGCCGTGACACCATGGTTGAAATAGACCACGCCGTGTGTGAAGAGGTCTTTCTTATCGTGGAAATGGATTTTTTTGGGTGGAATACCTTGAGGTGAGAGTCAGTCGCGGATCATCGAGAACGGAAAGGGTGACAATACCATCGGGCCAGTCGGTCTGGGCATGGCCACGGAAGCAGACGGAAATCTTCTTGATTTTGATACATTTGGTGACCTTCAAATGAATTTGTCCACGGAGAATGGCGGATTTTTTACTGCTCGGGTCATGCTGGTCATAACCCTGCAGATATAGGACGGGTTCGGTGAGGGCGATGCCGACGGAGATTCCACTCCCAGTGGCAACAATCTTTTCGTTGTGCAACGGAGTGAAAGAGGTGGTCAAATCGGGAGTGGCGGGATCCGCTAATACCGTCTGGGGCATCACCTCAGTGGCGGAGGATGTGTCGGATCGCATTTCAGATTCTAAATCGATCGATGTCGTCCGGGGCAGGATAATCTCCGAGACTGGTCGCACACCTCGGCGCGGGGTGGGACGGGGTGAAGGCGCGGGGACGCCAGATGACCGTAGGCGAAGGAATCGCTTCGCGTGTTCTCGTGGGCCCGCCAGCTTTCTGAGAATTGTGTCGCGACGACCGAGTTTGGGTTCTTCCACACACACGTCCCGAGCCGACCGGGTGAGGAGGGTGGCTATAGAGTCTCTGAACGAGGGTGTTCCAGTGAAGCTGGAGGGCGAAGTGGGGTTACTAGTTGCCGACCGCGAGGTAAACTGCGCCGGCAACGGAATCAGATTAGCTCCTATCATCGTGGTTGCATATTGGCCTCTCCCAAGACGAATATTTGGGATATAATTTGTTTAATAGCCAAACGGCACGCACAAGGGAAATATTATGTAGGACACATACCTTCGAACCTGTGGTACTACCGTGTGTGGTATTCCCTTTTTTTGTGATCCCTTCGTTCCTGTGGTTAAGTAAGGGAGGGAAATGGAATTCTTTAAGGCGTTGACTTCATAGGCACGGCTCCTCCACCCCAATGATCATCGCGCAGATCGCAGTTTCAGAGGGTTCGATTGGCTGTAATTTTGTGGTTCTTTGCTTTTCCTTGATCTATTATTTGGGAGCGTAATGTGGCGTTGGCGAAAGAAGATATGTATACCCGTGTACTTTGTAGTCAGAACTCCATAGAAATCTTATACTTCAGAGACGAGGGGGACACGAGACTACTAGTACTTAAGCCACACAACCTCAGAGAAGGAAAAAAAAAGAGAAAAAAAAAAGATGATGACAACACGATTGAAACACGGGGACTCATGTCCGGCGATCCGGGCAACGGTTGACGGTCAACTCGGCATTTTCTGTTCGCTCTCCATTGGTCTCACAATTAGGTTGTGGAGAAACATTCCAATCCACACTTGGGAGAAGAAAAAAAAAAGATTAAAGGCTCCGGATCTGACGGCCTGAGACCATCTAGAGCCTCTTCAGGGCTGCTAGTTCGTATTCCGGCTGGTCGGCTTGTCGGGCAACGGATAACTCGGTTTCATTCTACAAGTACGAAGTACCACGGTGTATGGGAAGCTCACTTCACTGTCAGGACATGAGGCCGAGAGCCCTAGAGTGCGGGGAGATCAGAGACGCGCAATCCCTCACATGAGGCGGTGCATATCATCCTTGATAGTGTTAAACATGTTCCTCCCATGGATTCCCAAACTGTATCTGAGACCCGGGAGTGCCCAGGTGGATATACTACAGTTGGGCATGAACTGGTCTCTGAAATGAAAGGACTACCAGTTTCATTTAAAGCCTTGAACGGTTGTGGACTCTGGACTATAAAAATTTCCGTGCCCAGCGGAGGACGCGTAGATTTTGCCGGACCCTGAATGGTCGGAGGTCACCCCCTCGGACAAAAAGGGCGATCTTTTCTTTACATTATACAGTCACCTCCCTACTCGTAGACTCTTGCTGAACAGGTGGGCAACAATTGTATATGACGACAACCTACTCCGTATAATTCCTACTACTACAACGTAGGTAGTTCAGGGCTCTCTGAAAACTTCCAAGCGGGTCTGTGCCGTTGATGACCTCATGAACAAGCCACCGGAGATAGGGCTTCGAGACCTAGACCCTCTTTGATCTCCAGAGGGCTCTGCTATTTTAGGACGCGGCTTTTCCCCACGATCATGAGCTGTTCAACCCTGCCCTGATTCTCGTCTCCACGTCGATCTCAACTTAAGGTTGTGCCTTATATGCTACGTCATTGCGCTTATTCCGGATGTGGATTTATATCCAAGTGAAGGTACTCGTAGACGTAAATACCGAAGCACGGCACATTGTATATTCACATGGCCTCAAGCTCTGATCCCCGCTATGACCCCTGTCATACGTACCAGCGTGGAAGTGCCCGGGAAATCTTGACCCATAGGGGCATATGGTCTCGATTGCGCCTTGCGGGGTTACTGCAGCGATGGGGGAAATTACATGGACTTGTCTCATAGGCGGCTGAGCTAGGGAAGATCACACTTAATTCTACGGGGTATTCTGTACTCCGTAATCCGTACATAGTGGACACTGGGCCCCAGAAACCTTCCACCCCTAGCGTTGACATCGGGCCTCTGTACGTTAGGCACGAGTGTGCCTACTCGTGCTCAAGTGTTCCAAAGCGAGGAGCCGACGCTGGGAGCAAACATGTTTGGAAGGATCCGGGCTATCTATGGAGTACGGAATACTCGTACACGGTCACTTGAGCAGGAGCTTGGATCAGACAATACGGACTACGTGTGTCACAGCTCCATCCTAGTGCAGAATGCACATGCAGATCATACCAGTCTATAGGATACTATTTCCCCAAATCCCCGACAATTGGCCGCTTGGGGCTGCATATTAGCTAGTGTAAACCTCTCCGGGGCTCAGTTGAACCAATTATCATCCAACTCATTGACGTTCATCAGACTGTCCCCCTCTAATTGATTAAAGTCCCCACCGTTCTCTTCGAAATTTTCGGTATCCAGGAACAGATCGTCAAAGTTGGACTCCGCGGGGCCCATGAAGTCTTCCGTATTTCCCTGCTCCAGGAAGTTCCCTTCGCCCCCTTCGGTCTTCTGCAACTCCATGTCGAATGCACCGCCACCAGTGGGAGGCTGGGGAGTGTTTGATTTGTCGGCGCCACCCGTGAAGTTCGACCCGGAGAGGAAAGCTTGATTGCCCATGTCGTCATCATTGAAGTCCAAACTGAGACCAAAATCATTGGTGTTACCACCATCGTTTAGGACGGAATCAAATGTGAGGTCTTCATTCGTGCCAGGGAATGCTTGGTCGGGTGCGTTGGCCCCTTCCTGTTTGATAGGCTGTTGTTGCTCCTCCTTGGGCTCGGGTTTGGTCTCTGCAGGAGCTGGTTGGCCCACAGGGACTTCTTCGACTTTGGGCGCTTCCATGTCAATATCCTTTTCGGGTTTCCCTGTGAGTGGCGGCTGATCTTCCACCTTGATCTGTTCATCCACATCACTCATGGCTACATCTTCGACGTGAACTGGTGCGCTAGTTGCCTTGAGCGCCTCGTAGTCCTTTTCCAAAAATGCTTTGGCAATGAACTGCCGACCGTCAGAGCTGAAGGGACAGGAGAAAAAAGCAAATATTGACCCGGGGGGGGAAGGGTCATGTGCAGATATAGTTTCACTCACGATTTGCTCTGATAGATTATCCAGGGCATTTTGGAAACTGTCATGATACAAAGGGATGGATCGTTGGAGATGGGTTCGCGACGGCATCGAACCAGACTTGCGAAATAAGCGACCCGTGTCAATGAGCTACCAGGGTCGGTTAGAGTGTGCCAAGTGACATGTCGAGTCAGCGCTTACCGTTCGCTCCACGATGCTGGACAGCTCCGTGAGCGATTCTGGGTTTGAATAATTTGTATAGGCCATGGTCATATTGAGAGGATGTCTTTCTCTGTGTGAGGTGCCTATAAAAGGAGAAAGAAAAGAAAAAAAGAAAAAGAAGAGAGCTGGTAGAAATGAACTGCGGTGTATCAGAAGTGGTCGAGAAGCAAGTCCCGAAGTAGCGAAGTAGCGAAGTAGCGCAGGTGTTGCGGCTAAACCCATTGGAGTAAAGACCCCACCCCTAGCGGTTGACTTCCCTTCGCTGTCCTTCACTTCTTTTTCTTTCTATCTCCGACTCGATTTCTTAGTTTCTTTTCCTTTTTCCTTTTTTCTTTGCTGTTGGGATTTCTAGCTCCATTCCCTTCGGGACTTGCATGCTTTGATTTTCTTTGAGCTTTTCCCCGTTATCCTTTTTCCCTTGGTTTCTTATTTTGTTGGGCTTTCAGCTTCAACATATCGTTGTATCGCCCAGCACCCCCATTTCGACGCTTTTCCCTATTATTTCGACATCTCCGACCGTATCGTACGACGACGATCTCCCTCCGGAGATAACTTTCTCAATCTCCAGGTCTCTCGCTGCCCGAGCACTGTTTACACCTGGTTACTCTTTGTTTGCGGTTGACAGTCTTCTTGGACTTCGCATTCCCCATCGCCTTTATATCACGTATATTTCCGGTCTTGTTTGTGATTGTGGCTTCCAGCGACCTGCATTGTTTCAAGCCCCGAATTTGACAGATCGCCCGATATCGTCCTCAGTCTGACATATAACCCGAACATCACTCGCTCTTCATCAGCTTTGACATCCAACTGCATTCTATCAACCTTCACAATGACCGAAAACGTTCAAGCTTCGACCTCTGCCTCTTTGCCTCCAGCTCCTCAGCCTGTGGTTGGAAACTCACAGTACGATGCTCCTCAAGGCAACGGCCAGGGCAACCCCTCCCACATGCCCCCGCCCCCGCGCCCCCCTGTGATCATTCCCCAGAATAACAACCCGATCCCGACGGCTATCACCTCGCCCATGTCAGGGGGTGCTATGTTGTCCCCCACCAGTGCCGGAGGATATGTCCGCCGAGCGGCTCCCGAACCCAACAAGAGAGCTCTTTACGTTGGTGGACTGGACCCTAGAGTGACTGAGGATATCCTCAAGCAGATTTTCGAGACCAGTGGCCACGTGCTCAGCGTGAAGATCATCCCTGACAAGAATGTAAGTTCTCCTGACACCCCCTGCATATTGCCCCTCCCCCCTGATTTGCTGGGTGGGCTGCACCATTACAATATTTGTCACCCCTCGTTCACATTGAAACCGCTATTCGCGAGAGAACGCACTCTAATATATCTACTCGAATCAGGGACAATTCACCACCAAGGGCCACAACTATGGTTTCGTTGAGTTTGATGACCCCGGTGCTGCTGAGAGGGCCATGCAAACCCTGAATGGCCGCCGGATTCACCAATCGGTAAATTTCCAATTGCATTTCCTTTGTAACCTTGTTCTAATCATCTCCCAGGAAATTCGTGTCAACTGGGCTTACCAGTCCAACAACACCAACAAGGAGGATACTTCAAACCACTTCCATATCTTCGTCGGCGACTTGAGCAATGAGGTTAACGACGAGGTGCTGACTCAAGCATTCTCGGCATTTGGTTCAGTCTCTGAGGCACGTGTTATGTGGGACATGAAGACCGGTCGGTCCCGTGGATATGGTTTCGTCGCTTTCCGTGATCGCGCCGAAGCAGACAAGGCCCTCAACTCGATGGATGGTGAATGGCTGGGCTCTCGTGCCATCCGTTGCAATTGGGCCAACCAGAAGGGACAGCCTTCAATCTCCCAGCAGCAGGCCCTGGTCGCTATGGGCATGACCCCCACCACCCCATTCGGTCACCACCACTTCCCCACTCACGGCATCCAAAGCTACGACATGGTCGCCCAGCAGACTCCCCAGTGGCAGACTACCTGCTACGTCGGTAATCTCACACCTTATACTACCCAGAATGACCTGGTCCCCTTGTTCCAGAACTTTGGTTACGTCCTAGAGACTCGCCTGCAAGCTGATCGTGGCTTCGCCTTTGTGAAGATGGACTCCCATGAGAATGCCGCTTCATCAATCTGCCAGCTTAACGGTTACCAAGTCAACGGCCGTCCTTTGAAGTGCAGCGTGAGTCATCCTTGCCGTCAATATCTCCGAACTGTCTAACACAATTCTATAGTGGGGTAAGGATCGCCCTCCTACCGGTCAATTCGACAACTTCTCCGCGCCTCAGGGAAATGCTGCCGCTTTTGGTAACGGCCCAACTGGCTTCTTCCCTCAATACGGTGGACCAGCCAACCCCATGAACCAAGGTAAATTGCACCTTCTCTCTGTTTGTCTCCATTAGCTCACCCGTGCATCAGGTCCTGCCCCTGCTGGTCGAGGCTGGGATCAACAAGCCAACAACTTCAATGGAGCCGCCATGGCCGGCCAAGCCTATGCCCAGGCAGGAAACGCTGGAGGCTATGGCCGCGGTCAGCCTATGTCCCCGTCCGGCAACTGGGACCAGTCCAACAACTTCAACGGAGGCTACCAGGCGTAGCTCGGTTCATGACAGCCCATCGGCCTGACCATACATCGGTATGGGAGTCGGCACCCGCTCACAGAATCCAGTTTTCATGCATCTCTTCTGTGTTTCTCTCTCCATAGCACCCTCTTACAATTCCCCATCACCGTTGATATTTTCTTTTTGATTTAAATTGCCTCGATGTGGATTTTCAAGCGAGCAAGCTGCTTTTGTTGAAACGGAATTTGTGTGTTGCGCACCAATACCCCTAACCTTATCGTGTTGATGCGATCGTTTTCTCTTCCTCTTTTTCTCTCTAAGCGTGTCTTGCGATCAAGGGTTCCTTGGACTTTTGGCGACGTCACAAAAAAAAGCGACCTCCCTACTCCTTCGCGTATCTTTGGCTTTCCCCCTTTTTCTCCCCTTCTAGCTTGTGTTGTATGAAGTTTGGTCTCTTTTGAGGCCTGTGCTACTCCTTTCAATTATCTTCTCATGGGTTGCCATGGATTTCTCGGTTTGACACCATTTGGACTGCCCCAGAGTATCAGTATATGTGATGAATTCCCTTGTGTTTTATCTGCCTCCAGGCGTTCTAGCTCATATACCATATACCAATTTGCCGTTCTTTTTTGCCCTTCTCGAAATGGTTCTGTCAATATTTCTTTTGGTTGCTGGCAAGATCAGCATATAATGTGATGTGCTATTCCATAGAATTGAGCCAGGCTTCATTCTTCATTAAAAATATGGAGTAGATTCGAGTATACTGAAAATACTCTTGTACAATCTTTCACCTTCAAAATTTGCTCCTGGATACATATTGACTACTATGGAGTAGATGTGGAATGTTGGCCTGAGATCACAGGCTGCAGCGCCACTCCTTTCCCCGTGCATCACCTCGACAATTCGAGGAGGAAATGCCACACCTGGGCAGCCAGAAGTCAACAGTGGGACTTGTTCCATGCTGGTGGATCAATTTCCGAGCTGACGTCTTCGGTCCCACCTGCGCCAATGGAGGATGACGAGCGAACCACGGACTTCGAGGTCCAAATATCACCTCGCGCGCGGTCCGGCAGCACAAGCAGCCACAAGCGAAGCCTCTCCGGCTCTCTCTTCTCAAGATTATCATTCCTACGAACGAGCCAAGCAGACGCCTCAGCCCGAGACATGCAACACGATGACGCCGACCTGCGTTCCATGCCACACGGTCCAGGCGAAGGACCGACCAGCCGCGCAATGTCCGCCGCAATGGCGCAGCGCCGAACCAGACGTCGCCGCGGCTCCCTCCGAAAGACCGCATTACTAGGAACCAGACTCGAATCCCGCGAGAGAAGAGCTTCCAAGGCAGCTGAAGCTTTGCGCCCAGAACCCACCCTCAACGACCCACAAACATCCCCTCTCAAGACTCAACTCTCCCCTGATGCCCCGACACACACCCAGCAACCTCAACGGCAATCCTTCGACGATGACCAGCCCACTTGGTTCCGCGCAAATACCCAGAAACCGGTTCGCCCGTCCATCACGCGTCGTCGCCAGGGTCTCGCGCAGCACACCCTCCGTGCTGAGGAAACAGCCACTGATGATGAGGACCTTGTTTCCCTCCCGCGTCTGAATATGAACTCCCCTGGTCAGAATACAAGTCCCAAGAATACCGCCGCAAACTTCCACATCTCGCCACCTCCCCCGGACAACTATTATCTATCCCCCGAAACAACCTACAGACCCGTACATCGGCCCAAGTCCTCACCGCTAGCCACACACCCCGTTGAAATGAAGAGCAGTCCCGAGGTAGACTGGGACTACTCCGAGACAGAGTGGTGGGGCTGGATCATCCTGATTGTAACGTGGCTGGTGTTCGTGGTGGGCATTGGAAGTTGTTTCGAGGTTTGGAGCTGGGCTTGGGATGTTGGGGAAACGCCTTATGCGCCACCAGAGCTAGAGGACGATCCCACATTACCCATCGTGGGATACTATCCTGCTCTTATCATTCTTACGGCTGTCATGTCGTGGGTTTGGGTTGTTGTTGCATGGGTTGGAATGAAATACTTTAAGCATGCTAATATATCTGGGGAGGATATCTGAGTCCCTCGTGTATAATAAATAATACCCTTGTTTTGAGCGCTATATCGAATGCTGAATTGAGTACTTCTTGACTTCGACGACCAACTGGATCAACTCACACCATGCAGGTACGTGGAATGTTCCGTTTTCTTTGATCGAGCTCGTATCCTGAGTCCATCCAAATGCCTGCGGACTGGTCAGCACAAATCGGGCGATATCCTGGAACCTCCTTCATGAACCGTTCATTGTGGACTAGGACTCGAATTGATCGGCGAGGTGTTTCGAGGTCAAAAAAAATCGTGGATCCTGCCGAAACCGCCGGGGTCCTGGTTCTGTTTTGCAATGAGGGTTCGAGGTATATCCGGATTATCAAAGCTATATTTCATTGCGTAGTCCGACCTCTATGTCAAACTTTGATGGAGGATCCTGTGATAGTGGATGTTCGATTGGGACGTTGTGAATGTGACTCACAGGTCTATAACGGCTGGCGGTCATGGTCCATAGTTCACCACTTGAGTCCAGTTCTGTTGGTCCACTGGAAACACTGTACTCTTCCACGGCTCTGGTGTTCCTGAAGTCCTTCCCGTGTTCCCGTGCCCACCTCTCTATACGGAGTATCTACTGCTTTCAAAACTCCTGAAGCCCCTAATCTCTTCTCTTTACCAGCAGCATTTTCCCTTCTGCCTAGCGCTTGTCTTAAATATCTAGCCAATTAAAGCTTTACCGGGTTAGTTACCTAAGTACTGAGCATTCTTATATAATGTACTCTACAGCCTGAGGTGGCCCCAATATAGCTTGACACCTTCGGCACTTCCTATTGTCTATAACCTTTATTAACTTGGATATCTTGAATAATGATGGATTTGGATTTTCCCAAGCAAAATTGCAAATAAGAAATAAACTAGAACCTAGCTGCCGCTTCAAAAATGATAAAATGCATCTTCCCCCTAATCTGTTGTGCTAACCGACCAATCACATCGCGTTGCACGAACACCCACTGACTCGCCTTTCTCCCAGACCGCAATCGCATCACGTTGTCCTCAGTGATATGACTTTGGACGTCTTCTCTGCGGATTCGAGCTAGCTGTCTGCTGAGGGTAGAACAGATGGGGCCCCTGACAATATCAGCTTGCCCAGGTTGCCAGAGGTGGTCGAATTTCGAGTGAGGGGGGGGCTGTCTCCTGCATGTCCAAACGTACTCTTTCCAATTAGGAGAATACCAGAGATTCTCCATTCGCAGGCTGTCGATGAATGGTCGCGGAATCTGAATGTGGATAATGCAGGTGTCAGCTCCAGGGCTTCTCCTCTCTGCATATTTGCGGTACTCTTCGGCCGTTTCATATTCGGGGGTCCAGTATTGCGCATTAAAATCGGAATTGAAATCTCCTCCGGGCAATGTGCTGAGTGGTCTTAGGTTGACTGTTCCATCACTCTCAATGATATCACCTGCTGGCTGTAGTTCATCATATGCCTTGCCCTTGTATAAAGAAATGTGATCGGCGAGGATATTGGCATCAGGCTGAACCATCACATATGCATCTGGGAACTGGAAATCTCGGGGTGTCATGTTGATCGTTGCCGTCACGGGTTCCTGCTCAGATGGGTCTTGGTCTTCTCGGTTCGGCTCATGCCTGGGCCGCTTGTGTTTCTTTTTATGAGCTATGCGCTTGATTGCATGACTTTGTAGCAGTTTCTGTTGACGAAGAAGAGCGGCATAGTTGACCTCGACGGTATCTTGTGCCCAGTAAGTGAGGGTCTGGGTACCGAAGATGTGTGAGAATCTCGGGTCCGTGATTGCTTCTTGAATTTGGCGAGTAAGACCAACATCAGCGAGCGCCTCCTGATGGCTCATGTTATCGTATTGTCGTCGGCGAAGAGAGGCGAGATGTGTAGTGACATATGCCATTAGGTCATCAGGATTTTGGCTTGGACTTGGGCGGCCGCAATATCGGTCATAGATCAGTCTGGCAACATCCGGTATGAACCCAATATACTCAAGCACCTCGACACTTTCTTCTGCCAATGGGATGTCAAAGGTTCGGATGACATTGGGCTGGAAACCATGGGTAGCAACGGACGCAGAAGACGACGACGACGAGGAGGAGGTAGATGAGCTCGACACGGATCTTGGAGCACTGAACGCAGCGGAAACTTTTCGTTTCCCACTGGCATTCGGCTGAGGCTCGGGAAGCAGGATTGCAGCCTCTTCAAGGCATCGTATCTGTTCTAGTGTGAAAACACCAGGACCGGATGGGAGATCTGGATGATGTCCGGGAATGGCTTGGAGGGACATGGTGGATAAGTTTGAAGAAGATGAATCGAATACAATGAGATTCAGAGTAGTGAGACTGAAACGGTAGTGAGACTGAAAAGGTAGTGAGACTGAAACTTGGAATAAAAGAAGAAGAAGAAGAAGAAGAGGATGCAAGGTTCAATGTTATCCTTGGAATATAGAAATAAAGTTTCAGGAAATTCCCGATTAGGCTTAGTATGTAAGCAAACACTTTGAGAAGACCAAACGGAAAAATTACTGAAAATACTGCCGGCCGACTAGTATTCTTGTTTTTTTGCTACATCTAACAGGGGTAAAATACCATACTATTTCATAGATTATTCATCTCTCTCTCTCTCCAGGGCTCCAGGGCTCCTTCTAAGTTAGTGCATAATTAATTTCGACGATGCAACTTGGGTCCTAATTTGCACGAACATCAAATCAAAACAGTGTAGCCCAACAGCATCGACCTGGCAAACATAGGAAATATAACAAGATAACTAGCGGGTGTCTTGTCAGTTCTAGAGACTTTTATCCAGGTCTGCAATATGAAGCCGGAACACTGAGGGGCAGCGAATAGAATACGGCCTTTTGGTTGTCTCGTCAAGTCTGAATAGGTCAACTAACCCGGATGCCACGTCTTCGCTTCAATAGATAAGCTCTTCTGATTTTCTACACTGCTCAGTGAGCTAGTCAGAGTGCTCAGGCCAAGCTCAGTGAGTAAGACCAGGCTACTCAGTGAGCAAAAAGCGGCAAAGTCTGAGCACTAAAATGGAAAGGGATAGCCAAGAAGTGGCAGAGGAAATCAAGTACGTAGGTAGTACGAGTAGTTAGTAGCCCTGGGGGGAGGCCAGGCTTCCCCACTGCAATCTATAGATATGCACTGGTACTGCACTACTTGGTTCCCAATCTAAGGATTCTACCTACCTGAACTAAGAAGACAATGCAGATGTGAATACTGACGTGTCGTCTTCCCCTCACAAAGTTCCAAGGTTGACGCGTCCAACTTGCATACTACAAATGTCAATATCGACATGATATTCCTACGAGACTTGGAGATGAGGTTCACTCTTCTTGATTTACCTCTGGGGCCTTGGAGATCGGTTTATACTTAAGACACAATTGGCTCTATACGATTTCCCCCTGAGCTCAGTTACTGTAATTACTCTGCCCTAGTGTCTCTATAGAACTTTAGAACCGGGTTGGCCATTTATAAACCATGGAAGTTGGACATGCACTTAAGCATATTTTCCTCGGGAATCTTGTGGCTGGCTGAATTAGGTGTGGACTTATGCATGAGGTGCTAAGATATGCATCAGAGAACAAGACTCAAGGGAGTGCTCTAACCTTAGAAGGTTGGGTATCCTATAGTACATGCATGGCTGCTCCTGAAGTTATGTTGTACTACGTTCACGGATACTTAAGTAGGGACCCAGAAATAATCTCACCCCAACAGCCCTGGAGATATAACTCCATCATTACTGATTCGTGCTCTACGTGGTGGTTTACTCCAACCCCCCATGAGGTATTTGCGGTCCAGAATATCGGCAAAACGTAGCAGTTTGGCCTACTTACCAAGGTAAGTACTTTTGAAGTATGAAAACAAGCAAGGACGCCCTGTATCACCCAAGACCACATCGAGCCACGCGTACTCGTACCATTGTTCTGTGGCAATCAGACCTGGGCATCTGGGTAGTCCCAATATCCGTGATGGCCCCGGCGATGCGACTTTAGAACTGGCGACGCTACGGAAACATGGTGCTCCCCAGATGTGGTTATGCTAGGTCCACGAGGAAGTCCCATTAAGCACTTGGAAGAAACAAGATACCTAGGTGGGTATTGGCCTTGCTTTCTAAAGTTTACGCACATCCAGAGGTCATGCCCAGGTGGTAAAAATCTACTTCGGTGAGTGTCCGTATTCTCGTCTGTTCTTACCTACACCTATAGGTTGTATATACAGGTATCTTCGATCTCCAATCACAACTTAGGAGTTTTTCCTAACTTCCTTAATCTCAGCATGCTATCTTGCAAGGAGGTGCCAAGGAGCACACCTTCCGGGCTCCATAGATGACTCTCGTGCACCCCCCGATTCTCACCAGCTTGAGGCGTCCATCCCTCCTGGACGAACCACTTTTTCGGCAACTCGGTCTCCTCTTCGCCGACCCTTGACCAGTCAATCATGCGCATGGCTTCTGCGTGCCGATGTAAGATGACAGTCAGCGTGAGGCTCCCCATTTCTGTCCAATTTTTGATCCCTAGGGCACGCGGGATCAAAAGAAGCGAGTTCTTATCACTGGAATACATATGCGCACACGCATACAAATTGTCATATTTCCCAGCCTCTTCTCTTTCTCGAATTTGTGCTAGAGTAGCGCTGGGATCTTCATCCGGTGACCCCTTGAGTCGGTATTGTGTGAGCTGGCGATACCGCTCAGGATGCTGTTTGATATCCTCGGCATGGTTGTAGTCTTGCATATCGACTTTGCGCACATCTAGACCCGGGAACTCGATCTCGGCAATGTTACCTTGCCGAACATTGTCAATCCACCAGTCGGCATCAACGCTTGGACTGACTTCCTGGGCTTCTGGCTGCTTTGCCGAGAGGATGGAGCCGAAGCGCTCCTGTGCTGATGTTGGCTGGTGGTCAAAGAGACGTTGGCGTTCATCGCGTTTGAAAGAACATATACACGAGAAGCAAACTTTGCCCTCTTGTCGTGCATCAACAGCACGTGTGCTGTACATGAAGCCATCACGGACGTGTCGCACTGTGAACACATAAGGCGTGTCGAGACGACCTCCGAGAACGAACGTCCCCGTCATATCCTACCAGAGATAAGCTTAGACCCCGTCAAGCTGCAGCTTCGTCAAAGATCAAAGACTTACATGAACAACGAATCCTGGACTGACGGTCTTGGACGCAGCATATGCGGATTGCGCGTAAACATGGCCGCCGAACGCGCGCGTTCCCTGGCCGGGAGGATACGGTGCTGCCAAAGAGCGAAATCGTTCAATTCTCTCTGGCTCTAGAGTATCCGGGTGTGTAATCGAGATTTCTTGCAGCCGCTCCAGCGCCATCAATTTAACAAATGAATGCGGGGATGTCATTTCGTCCCCGTTGTCTGGGGCCCCACGTCGCGAAGCCATGGTAAGTGATAGACAGTAAAGTATGTCTTCTCCTTCTCGTGCTCCAGTGGTTTGGAAAGCTCTTTTGGCAATTCCTTCCGATCATGTACCCGGCAGGTTGGCGGGCCGATGGTACCTGAGGAACGATGTCGACCTCCGTGTTCGGTCGATCCTCCCCGCAAACTCTTAGGCGGAAGCGGGGTTTATCTTGGTATGCCCCAAGGCTTTCGCACGGTAAATAGATTTCTGGTGAAGATCGAGTCGATTGACAAGGGTAGATGTTGGAAGGATCTATGAAGCTCAGCTGTACCCCGGAAAAGAGTGACGGGACCGGCCGGTGCCTCGGCATGTCAATAGTCACACGCCGTAGGCCTTGTTCGGTAACTTGACTTACTACAAATATGCCAGTTTGGTCATTGGCTTCTCTGGCGTTGTCCATGTGTTGTTGCTATTATATAACCAAGTATTGCAACATCGAGTTTCTAGAATACTCAGTGAGATGACTGGTACCCGATGCACTGGGGTAAACCACGACCCAACGACATCGGGAACTGGCCGGGGTCATCCCCTGGAGGCACTTGGCTCGAATGAGTTATACAAATGTCCTAGGTTCAATGGTCCATCCTATCGATGCGTTGTAGTTTGTCGCCAGAGAAGACCTTGCATGGACACATGCTTCGTTCTTCGCAGCCTGTATCGCAAAGAAACAAAAGAAATGACATCGGAAATCTCTCTCGATCAAATTGGTATTTTGTACAATGTGCGCCAGTTGTGCTGATGGTTTCGGGTGGCAATACCGTGCCATAATAATACAAACAAAAAGAAAAATGCTCCAATCCAAGTTCACGCTCCTGATTCTGAGATCAACAATCGGACAAATTTCCGTTAAGCATCCTCGGACACTTTCTCGGGTGCTTTCTCGGATGCTTTCTCAGTCGCTCCGACCATTTCCATGATAGTGGGAACGTTGTTCCACTTGACGTGACCCCCGATATCCTTGATGTCTTCGAGTTTATCGCCGAGCTTGACAACGGAGAAGTTGATCATACGCGGGTCGAGACCGAGAGTGCGGCGAATGGATGACTGAACGGCACCGGAAGAATCAAAACGCATGATGAAGTGGTGGCCGTCAGTGTATCGGGCCTGGTGTTTTGTGGTGACCTTGGGGAGACGGAAGGCACCCCAGTTGGTGTATCCGCGAACGACACCGCCGGAGCGAATGACTTGGGTACCGGCATTACGGGCGATCCTAGAGCGAAAGAGTCAGTATTCGGTAGGGAAGAAGATGGTGATCGCAGCGATGTTGGTTCAAACGTACTCTCGCACCTCGTTGAGGCTGCCCGGGCGGACCTGTTCACAGCGCACGTTAGCCGAATTCAAACAATTTGGTGATCATTCCAGGGTCAATGGTGAGTGCACATACAATGGCAATCAGCTCGTACAACATGGCATCGAGGGGTGGCGCGCAAACCCTTAAGACAAAAATAAGGCGATGACCCTATGAGGCCAGCAAAATCCGACGAGGTTAGCGCGCTCCTTATCGGTGTCTTGGCAAAGTCGTTATCGGGACCATGCGTCAACGAAACTCCGCCGGAGAAGGGCATCACATTTCCCTTCTACTTAAACTCTCCTCTCTTCCCATTTCCTTCCTACACCTTCAATTCTCTTCACTCATACTCCAAAATGTCCTCCGTCGCTCGCGCTATCCGTCCCTTTGCCTCCCGGGTCCTTGCCCAGAAGCCCATTGCTCCCATCTGCCAGGCTTCGCCCGCTTTCCGTTTCCCGCGGGGAACCAGGAGCTTCTCCCAGAGCCCTTTGGGTGAGTACCCAGTGTCCCAGATGCTATTCCGAACTGCCTGGGGGGCTTTTGAAGTCATTGTGACTGGCGATAATGCATCCCATTGCCCGGAATACGCTCTCTAGAGCTCTATGATGTCACAGATCACTAACCACGTCCCGATTCGCAATTATAGCCCAGCTGAAGAAGTACACCGAGTCGCACGAATGGATTGAGCTGGCCGACGGCGGAAAGACTGGTCAGTTACTTCTATCCGGGTCAATTGACCTCAAAATAGCTGCAGACGACCAATTTGAGTCGATTTGCCGCTATACCTACGCAGCGGGGTAGCTAACACACCTTACAGCCAAGATCGGTATCACTGACTACGCTGCCCACTCTCTGGGTGATGTCGTCTACGTCGAGCTCCCCGAGGAGGGCCTTGACGTCGCTGCCGGCGAGCCTGTCGGAGCTGTCGAGTCCGTCAAGTCTGCTTCCGATGTCCTTTCCCCCGTCGCCGGCAAGGTCATTGGCGGCAACAGCCTGCTTGAGGACAAGGCTAAGACTATCAACGAGAGCCCCGAGGGTGAGGGCTGGATTGCCGAGATTGAGGTGGCCGATGCCGCTGAGCTCGATGCCCTTCTCGACGAGGCTGCCTACAAGCAGACCATCGATGCTTAAATTTCTGAAACCAAGAGACTGTCGAATTATATTGTAATGAGTAGGTATAAAGACCTTCTTATACTGAATGGTGGAAGTTTCTCTACATTGTCATGTACCCCCAATGGTGACCAATTTTCCTTCAACGAGAGCGTTTAGACTCGTCGACCCGTCTGTTGTACGCGGGCCGACATACTGTTCAACACGATGATTTTCAAAATAACATTTCTGCTGTAGAGTATTCATGATCATATTCATTATGGCGCATTTGCAGAGGGTGAGAAAAAGTTACAATAGATTATACAGGCGGGATGGATTCACGACAAATAGGACACTGGAGACGCAGCCTCATCCAGCTTTCCAAACAGGCAGTGTGGAAAATATGGCGACAAGGAGTAACCATATACAACCGACGGCTCAAGATGCTAGTGGCGCCATCGGCAACACTGCTTCCACCTGAAGCAGAGGATGCGGGAAGGACCGGAACCTCTATATCTTGCATGCAAATAGCACAATCAAATATGGCCTTTTTGCGGTCTTTGCGCTGCTTGTCGTCATCCTTAGTGTCGCTGACCAGGTCTCGTTCATCAGCCCGGAGAGATGCAATTGATAAATCACCACCCCCGGCCTCAATATCCTCATTCCCTCCAGACAAATCCCGTAGCGTGGGATGGTAGTCATACGCAGGAGGTGCCCAGCCACGGGGCACGAAGAAGCGTGGTCCGAGAATATCTTGACTGGCCAAGACCCAGGCTTGGATCCATACCCATCCGGTCGCGACGAAGGCAGTTGTATAGTCAGGCCGGATGAAAAGCACATTCCCGCGGGCTGTGAGGAAGTATAAGAATGGGAACAATCTCAAAACACTCTGGCCAACGACAAAGTCCCATCGGAGAGCCTTGCGGCAGTTTCGCATCACGTTCCGGTAAATCTGGGGGGTCCAGAAGGAGAGATAGACTGATGCTAAGACGCGTGTGTAGATTGACCCAAGACGTCTGGGCAAAAGGAATGCCCAGATGGATAGAATGAGCATTGAGAACAATGCAAGATAAAACCGAGCATACATTGCTCCCACATCGCTTCGAATTTGACTCGGGCTTGGAGGCGTGGTTCGGGCGGCTGGGGCTGGTGAATCCAACTCATCGGCAGGGGCGTCTTGATCAGGCGGTAAGATGATTGGGGTAGCCCCAGAGTCTCGCACTGTCGGGGCAGTCGCGGGCAATGGCAATGTTCCTGGGCGTGTGGTTGGAGGCGGGGAGTTCGAGGAACGGTCTTGATCTCGTCTTTCCGGCTCTTGCACAGCCCAAATTTCCATCATAAATTTCATTCCAATGTAGCTCACTGAAAGGAAGGCCAAAAACAATGCAGTGGCCATCACTAGAAGAGACACCGACGCGTACAACTCCAAGATGATAAATGTCAAAACGAATGCGTCACCGAGCGCCATCAATGCGATTGTATAGAAGCTCACCCGACTCCGCGTGGAAGGAGTAGAAGCCTCTTTGATCTGACGCAAAAGCAGCATGATTTGTGCAACGAATACACCGGAGACCACGAAAATGAGACGTGCGGCATATTTGGCGTACTCTTCCTGTTTTGGCCCAGTGAGATACAGAGAATCTGAAGGAGGGAACTCAGGTGTTCCCTTTGTTTCAAGTATGTACCCGCAGTCTGGGGAAAAGACGACGGCAGACATAACCATAAGAGGGGAATCCGGGAGCGGTGCTCCCATGGGATATCTGAGTTCTTGTTCCATACGCTCCAAGAGCAGTTTATCAGCGGGTGAATCTCCTAACATGACAGGGTGCTGCTGGAGGTAGATGATATGTTCACAATTGGGGGACGGAAACTCCAGCTGGGAGGTCCCCGCAAAACTAGACCAAGGGAACAGAGTTGGGGGCCGGTTCGGTTTGTCCGAAATGGTATCGGAAAGTGACTGCATCAGGAGTCCATGGGACAATTCGTAGGCATCGGGGGAAAGCATCAACTGTGGCAACGCAAACATCCCGCCGTACTTTTCACTTGATGTACTCAAAACGATACTTCCAGTCTCCGGGAAGTGCACACCAAAGAGAGGGAGGGCCCAGGTACTCCCCCAGAAGTCCTCGCTCTCAACCCTCAAGCTTGCTCGCATTTCTCTAATAATTTCGTTGCCCATCTGGAGTTCTTCCCCACCCCCCTCGTCGAGTTCAAAGTAGAAGGTACCTTGATTGCCAGTGATATTGTGGCTGAACTCATGGGTAAAGTATTCGTGTTCCTCGGCGATGGCAGTCGTATTGAGAGGCTCACGGCGATCTGAGCCATCAGACCGCCGAACCCAGTCGCCCCGGAGTTTTCCCGTTGAGTTGCGATAGACTGGGAACAGCAACTTCGTTAAGTTGAGGGTGGGCGATACAGCAGGGTCCTCTAGACCATCTGGAGGCTCTAACCCAGCGTTGGACATGGCTGACTGCAACTGGTGCCGAGCAAGACCTTGGACCTGCGGCAACAGATCCCACGCATAGCTGTCATTCCTCCTTAGGCCTGAAAAAGGAAGCCATTTATTTGCAAGTGGATCGAAGTCGCCATGGTGCGATCCGTTCATCAATTGGAGTGCATGTCGCTCACGTGCAAGCTCACGCTGATGTTCCCTGTCTTCTTCAAGCAACGGCGGACGCGACTGATGGCTAAGGAGGAGGTAGAAAGCCAACAAGAACAAGAAAAAAGAGCCGCGATTATCCATCTATGCCACGGGGTCTCTGGGCGGACCTCTACCTCAACAGACAAACGACGATAAGCATCGCGAGAAGAAACGGAAAGACCAGAGAAAGACCAGGGATCTGAACTAAGTCACAAAGAATAATTGAAAGTCACAAATGAATGACGAGGGCAGTATCAGTGTCACTGAGAGAGGGAGGGAGTTGATGATGTACTTGACCCGGGGAGCCTGGCCGGGCACCCACTCCTGCTGACTACTCTTACGCCTCAGGTTCCGGAACTTATGACCTTCGAATGTTCTACGGCGCACAACTACCCCGGGTTTCTACCCCGGGCACATGGACTTTGAAGGCTCGGAGGTTTTGCTTCTGGAGGAATTTTTGGAAGAGTATAAAAAATTGAAGGCAGGATGCCTGTGCACCTGTGGCAGGAAATGACCTGTAGATGCTAAGACCCGAATGCAGATATCAAACCGGTTGAATTTTGGTACAAAATAGAAAAACGCATAGACAAATCGACCATCTCCATCATCACAGAAGCCTGTTTTATGACACAGCGGCCAGAACACCGCCCTCGGGCTTCTCTTCCCGCTGGTCCCGCCGCCGGCGCTTCTCGAGAATGGCCTCGCGGCGCTGTGCAAGCATCTTCAATTGTCTGCTCTCAACACCTTGGAGCCAGTAGCCAAAGCTTCCACCAACGCCGGCGAAAAGAGGGTAAACCCAGAGGGATTCCTTGGCGAGGATGGGACGCATCTCGATACCGAGTTGCCAGAGGCGGACGGCAATGCCTGTGGGAGACGCGGTTAGTGTCAATAATGACAAAGGCAAGCCGAAGAGCATGATAAAATGCAACAGAGGAGCATTGCCATATGCAAACAGCCATGAAGAGATGTATCACGTACCGAAGCCACTCCAGAAGAGCACCTTGTGAACCATGATCGCGGTCGGTCGCGGGGTTGTAGTTGCGGTTGGTGAGCCGGAAGAGATCCAATGGAATGGATCAAGAAGAGGATGTGTTGATTGGGTAGTTCAACACCAAGCGACCGGAGTATAGGCGAAGTTCGTGGTGTTGCCGTCGCAATAGTCCAGGAGAGGTGAGGTGCGAGCAAATTAGCGGGCCGCAGTTCCAAAGCAAGGAACAACTATTTTCCCCCTCGCCCTGTTATCGTTATCGCCCACACGACTTCGGATTTCCGCAGGAGCTACGATGGCTTCAAAAGAAGCAATGGACGACTCTCAGGGTCCAGAGGACGTCAAGTCCCCGGCGAAACGACTCATCGACATTGAAAGCGTAAAACGCAAGAAGTTCAAGACCGACGACCTTCCCTTATCCTCAACGCAGCATGCAGTCATCGATAAACTCCTACATTCGTTTAAAAAGAAGGGTGGCTTTGACAGCGTGCGCAAGCAAATCTGGGCTGATTTCAACGATGGGGTACGAGAAATCTTGGAACTTGCACGCATGAAACCTCGTTTTGGTGCCTTACAGTGGCTGACCTGACTTATTAAAAAAAGAAACCCCGGACCGATCTCACCAACCAACTGATAGCGCTCGCCGAGTCGGAAATTGATCGAGAACCGGCACTGCTTTCTCGTGAGAGAGGAAAAGCGGCAACGCTCATTGAGGGTGCCGTTGACCGTGGCGACGTTTACAAGAGTGTGGAGGATGCCATTGACCAACTCGCATCCGAACACCTAGACTTCATCTTCAATTCAGTCCGTGACATCCGACGCGAAGAGATCGGGGCAGAAGCCGCTACCCGCGAATTTGAGCTGGGGAGCAAGACAGATGCAGACTACGAAGTCCATGTCAAAGCCCAGCACGAGGAGCGGGAGAGGATATGGCGCGAGGAAGAGCGGAAGCAGAAAGAATTGGACGATGAAAAGCAGCGCATCAAAGATGAAGAGCGCCGGAAAAAGCGCGAATTGGAACGCCAAAAGGATGAAGAGGACCGGGCTAGAAGGAAAGAGATTGACGAGCAGAGACGGGCTGAACGGGAACGCCTGCGCGAAGAGCAAAGAGCCCTGGACGAACAGCGCGAACGTGAACGCGATGAAAGATATGAACGCCGAAGGCGCGAGGATCGGGATCGTTACCGGGGGTGGAGTCGTGACCGCAGTCGAACTCGAGACCGTTTCCGCGATCGCTCGCCAGCCCATCGTTCTGATCGCGACCTGTCCCCTCGGCCCCGGGACTCAAGGACCGAGAAGTCCAATGGTTCTAAGCCCACCCTGGCTGTACCTGTGGATGAAAAGTCACTCGAGGAAGCTGCCTTGGAAATGCTTCTCAAAGAAGGCGAGGAACGCAAAGCAAAGGCTCGTCAAAAGCCTGAGTTTGATTTCGAGCAAGCCGAGGCCATTGAAAACGGATTAAAACCGCCGACCACAGGTTCATCCAAGAATCACACTGATTCCAAGTATTCTAATCATTCCACACGCGCGGCCAGCCCATCCCGAGACTCCAGGCGTGGATCAATCGCAGATCGCGGTGATCGATCACGACATCTAACACGAGATCGAAGCCGCAGCCGCTCACGACGACGACGCGCATCCCGCTACGACCCAGATCGTCGTCGAGATCGTTCTCGGGACTCTGTGAGATCCCGAGATCGCGACATGGATGCCCGCCGTGGCTATCGCGATTTCCGCGATGATAGAGCTGGCGATAGAAGCTATAGACCAGCGCGTCGCAGCCGCAGTCGATCCGCAGATCGAAATCGAGACCGAGCGCGTGATCGAGACCGCAGTACTGGTTGGGACAGGTTACGAGATCGATCGCGGTCAAAGGACCGAGACCATGAGCGTCGCCTTGATCGTAGTCGAGATCGAGCGAGAGAGCATGACAATTACCGCCCTCAGCGCGCTCGGCCATCCCGCTCACCAGTGCGCCGAACATCACGTTCCCGTCGTTCAAGAAGCCGCTCACGCTCTGCTCGGGGGCGTGATCGCGACCGTGACCGTCCTCGTTCTCGTTCTCGACGTCGCTCGCCTTCGCCTACTTTGGATATCGACCGTTACGTCCCATCAACCAGCAACAGAAGCAAATCACCCCGGCGACGTGTACGATCCCCAGAGCGGGATCGAGATCAACGAGGAAGGGGAGCTGATATTGACCGGTACAAGCCTTCGTCTGAACAATCCGAACGAGATAAGGACAAAGAACCGGGTCAGATCACAGAAGAAACTCCCGATACCAGCACCGGAAAAGAGAAGGAGAAAGAAAAGCCCAAAGAAATCGATGAGCACCGACCTCGTCGATCAAGTCTGACTCGACGGAGAAGCCCTAGTCGTCGTAGGAGCCGCAGTCGCCGCAGAAGCCCCAGTCGACGCAGAAGCCCCAGTCGACGCAGAAGCCCCAGTCGACGCAGAAGTCCTAGCCGACGCAGGAGTCCTAGTCGGCGCAGAAGCCGCAGTCGAAGGAGAAGTCGCAGTCGACGAAGGAGTCCAAGTCGTCGTCGAAGTCGCAGTCGCAGGAGGAACCGGAGCTAATTGCACTCCACCATGCTGTAGGAAAGCAAAGTTTTTATCATTACCAGCCAGCTCTATCCTTTAATTTGTGGCTATTCCATGTGGGATGAGAGCAATGAATCCCAACAATAATTCAAACCTCCAATGTCAAAAATTGTAGTTCTGTAGTCCGTAGAAGCATATTGAGTCGGAGATCACATGCGGGCGATAAGCTTATCGTTATCGGTTCTCCACCCAAAAAAGTTGAATCTCAAAACTCACCTGCTCAATTTCTCTTCGAACAGACAGTCAACTTGATTCCAGGCAAAAAGAGCCGAGTTCCGCTCGCAAGGACCATCATATCATCCAATAACCTCCATATGCTACTGTGATAACACCGACACGCACCATAACAACCCAGAAATCTCTGCGATCCCAGCGAATCATTTCTCCAAAAATCCCAAAATATGGCCCAACCAACAGCAAAATCAGAGGCAGGCACAAGCGAAGCTACCCCTCAAACAATGAATCTTACAGACCGCACCGCGAGCCGTCAGCGTGCCCCCTCTATCCAATCCGACTCCGACCCAACCTCATCTTCCGGCTCATCGTCCGAAGACAGCGAAAGTGAAAGCGAAGATGAGCAGCAGTCAGACAGAGAAGTGAATGGGACAGGAAATTCGACCACACAAACAAATACCGACTCTTTACCTCATATTGGCGGACGCCCTAAGCCACGGATACGCCGCTTCAAGGGTGGATCGGGCCTCATGTCAAGGCTCAATGCTTTCCTGCCGCAAATGAAATCCGCCAATGAAGATCTACAGCGACAAATTGATGCTGGCAATGCCGGGGACTTGGTTCTTGATAATGCGGAGGCCAACGGAGAGCGGTATATCGAAATGGTATGTTGGCGGAAGAATTGTATCGATGAAAAATGGCTAATGAGATTTAGGACCTTGGTCTCGGAGTTCTGGAAGAGAAGCGCGATGGCGAGTCGTCGAGCGAGGAGAGCGATGCCGAGGGGGGCAAAGATGTGGAGGATGATTCTGATATTATTGGAAAGCTCATGGGTGGGAAGAAGAATAAATCCGAAAGTGATAAGCCATCCATCCAAGAGATGACGGACTAAGTGGCTCTTTGGGTTCATCGCTTTTGTGGCTATGATATCTGATTGATTGAGACCTGACCTGTTTGATGTTGACGATTAACTGGCTTAGCATACATTTGTTTACTTGCATCACATGGTCTTCAAGCCATTACAGGTCTTCAAAGACTGTCTATTTTACGTTTTTAAGATCCATGATTTTCCAGTTTAGTGGTATTAGGTAACTTGAACATGAAACTCATACATTTCCTATGCAATGCGCCAACAAATCAAGTCTAGGTAGAAAACATTGAAGAAAATGAATAAACAAAGGACGTATCTCGGAGCTCTATATATGCATGAACCCATCATACACTGTTGCCGGATGTCGTTATTAAAATGGGTAAGTTTTGCGTTTCAGCGTCTACTTTATGACACTTGCTTGATACGGCAAGTCCAGCCAGATTCCTGGCTCAGGAGGGGCAAACTAGAAACAGGTTAGTAAATCAACAAGACAAGGGATAGATGGGAAGACTAACCTAGCACCAAGGCACCAGCCCAACTCATTGTTCTTGATCTTCTTGGCAATCTTGACTTCACGGGACAGGGGCATTTCGTAACCGGTGTGCAACAGAGCCATCATGAAGCTGAGATCTCCGCACCACTCAGGACGACCGCGGAGCTCCGTCATGGCATTCTCAACGCCCTCGAAGCCCTTCCATTGGCTCTCGCCAGCGCAGACGGTCGAAGTAAGCTGGTGAAGCTCCTCCAGGGTGAAGCTCTCGGGCATGCCAAGAGGGGCGGTACGGTCATAGAAGTATGAGAAGATGTAGACGTCTTCCCTAGCGAAGGTCTTGGCGAGAGAAGGCTGGTGGACTCCGTTGAAGGAGCAGGGCGCAAGCTTGCATTCCCCACTCTTCTTCAGAATCTTCTCGGCAAGAGCACGGCACTGGGGAGCCATGGACTTGTCCTTGGGACCAACCATCAGAATGTCAGCACTGGGGCTCAAGGGATGTCCCACAGGGAACTTCATCTTGATCGTCTTCTCCATGCCAGGCCCAATGCAAGGGTTGGGAACAGGACCCTTAACCCAAGCAAGATCATCGGCATGCTGAGCGAGCATGTTATCTACGACCACATTGTTCATCGCCTCACGGGCAGACATCAGCCCGTAACCAAGGTGAGAATGCTGGTAGAGCTCGAACTCGCGTCCACCGAACTTGAGGTCGTACTTGTGGTCACCAGCAGCAAGGTGCTCGGGCATACCACCAGCCTTGCTCTTCTCGAAGGTAGGCTGGAAGACGATCTGGGTAGATCCACCACCCAAGTCGAAGACGGCAGCGGTAGGAGTCTCATCAGGGCCACCGATCTTACCCAAGAGGTAGTTGGTGGTGATCCAAGCGTAAACACCTTCATCGGATCCATCCATGATCTGGATACCGCCCTTCTCCTTGGAAACCACGGGGAAAGGATAAACGGTCTCCAAACGGGTGCGCACTGCAGCCAGAATCTTGTCACTCATCTCGGGGCCCAGAAGACGGAGTCCGGCAGTGGCCTTGACAGCAAGCGGAGAGCAAGATCGGTACTCCTCGGGAACTGACTTAATAGCAACTTCCATAAGAGGGTCGAGACTCTGGGCAGCACCCTCGGCATCTTCCTTGTAGGAGCTGAGGCCAGAGCCGCCTTCCTTCGGCTTAGTTTGCTCGAACACCTCATTCTCGAGTTCGGGAGTGGAGCCGCAGTTGTTGAAACGGTAAACGTGGATGCGAGAACCGGTACTACCGGCATCGATCATGAGAGCATACTGGATAAGAGGCTTGGACGAATCGAAGGGCTTGGTGCACTTTTGCGAAGTCGCGACACCACTGCCGGTGGGGGGCTTCTCTGCGCAAGAGTTAGTTTCCGCCGCCATCAGCGCGCGCAATAGGCATACCTTGAGTGAAACTCGAGACAGCGGGTTTGGAGGGCGAAAGCCACATCAGAATCATGAAGACAAAAACAATAATTGCCCCAGTCTTCACATATCGCGTTCTTTGAGTCTGAGCCATTTTGGCGGGTTGTTTGTCGGACGTTCGACCGGGGTCGATTGACTGCGAAGGAAGCGATCCGTTGCTCCGAGAAAAAGAGCGATGACGAGCGACCGAGTTGAAATCGACGTTGGGGTTGTGGGCTTGATCGTCGACTCCAGTCGACATGCGAGCAATGTTCGAATTATAGAAAACAGTGACAAGTGTCAACAGTCACTGCGATAATGAACGTAAGAGGTTAATGATAAGAGGACGGTACGCAAGCAACCATTGAACCTCCAGAACACCCAGTCCAGAACAAGAAAGTGATGGAGAGGGAAAAATGTCAGGAGAGAAAGGAGATTAAGGGTTTCAGGGTTGTGGCGCAGATGTGGCGTTCTGAATGCGTGTACTTTTGGTTTTTTGCGGATGGACTCGTTATACGAAGTACGGAGTATAGAGTAGATACAACAGGATATGCATCTCACCCTCATCAGACTTCGCACTTATATACTCCATGTAATCAACTAGCTACGCCAGGATCAAATACAAAATTCTCGCTGCATCCCTACAGTATACTCTGTAATTCCATATGCCAAAGAAATGAAAAGATCTACAGTGTCCGCGGGTTGTTCCCAGGGGCCACGGCTCAAGATGACTAACTGTTTGTTCTGTTTGCACATGCGGTTGACTTCCCCATATTTCACCAGCGCAGCAGCTAAGCTATCTTCCCATCCAAGCTCCTTCTTTCGGGATCTACAAATATTATTGCTGGCTGTTACTCCCTCTAAATCATCATGAATCACACTAGGGGTTTCGCATCATGCGCCCAAGTTCTTCGCCAGGTTTTCATTGCACCCACTCGCCCCTCCAGAGCTTGCATCCTTCCACTCCAATCGCTTCGAAACGGCACTCAGTTACGCTCCTTCCAACAGTCCCATCGCCTAGCGCTTAAGGAGTACCGGCCGCCTGTTGTGCAAAGCCCGCGGAATGAAGGCATCGGGGCCCCATTCGTCCACATCGTCAATGAAGAAGGCTCTCTGGGGCCTAAGATCAGCTTGTTGGATGCGTTGGACTCCTTTGACCGAAACAAATCTTTCCTCATGCAAGTGAAAGCAGCAACAGAAGACCTACCGCCTATCTGTAAACTCTACAATAAGAAGGAGCACCTGAAAGCGCAAAAGACTTCGGAAAAGGCAGCACGCGCAAGCAAGAGTTCTACCAAGCAGGTGGAACTGAACTGGGCAATTGATGCTCATGATCTCTCGCATCGCTTGAAGCAGCTTCAAAAGTTCTTGGAGAAAGACCATAGGGTGGAGATTGTTCTTACCACCAAAAGGCGCAAGCGCAACCCCACCGTGCCAGAGATCAAGCATGTTGTTCAGAGTGTGCTTGACACAATTCAAGCAGCTGGAGCCCGACAAACCAGTGAACCAGAGGGAGAGTTGGGGAAGCAACTTAAATTCGTCGCCAAGAGGCTGAAGCAGGGCGGAGCCCAACAGAAGACCAGCAGCGAGCAAAAGACTGGCAATGAGGTGAAGACCGGGGAAACTAGCGAGGCCTAGAAGGAAGGGGATCATTAAGCGCTTCGTATATACGCATCGTATAGCTTTGGAGGAAATGTACACTATCATATCAAACTGTCGATCGTGGAGAAGTTATTTCAGCGCTAGTTCTAGCTACGGGACGAGTAAATTTGCCGTGTGAATGGCAATTCGTGTCTTCCCCGGAGATTCGTATGAAATACTCAGTACCTAGGGACCCAGGTCGCTGCGTTCAAAAATGACCAACCTTGGAAGTGATGATGTTGGCCCATCGTCGTCCGCAATTCAAGGTTTGTGATTGGCCCAGGGCACTTAGTCATCCTCCCTGAGCGTTCCGGGGCATCTTACTAAAAAATTTGGTGTTGATCTGGACTTCCCTCTTCCTTTTTCCATCCGTGGAATCTTTCTTTCTTTTCTTGTTCCATCATTTTTGGTCTAATTGAGCAAAGATGTCGAGCATCACTCGTTCATTGAACCTTGTGGCGCGTACCAGCCGGTCTTCCCTGCTGCGTCCCACTGCTGTCAACCCCGTCCACCATGTCTTCAGCAACAAGGCTGCTGGCCGTGGTTTGGCCACTGCTTTCGAGCGCAACAAGCCTCACGTCAACATTGGTATGCATCTCCTTGTCTGCGCACAGTGAAGTTCCAATGCTAAAACTCTTCTTCAGGTACCATTGGCCACGTCGATCACGGCAAGGTAAGCTACGCGCGATTTCCTCCGATCAACTATCGAATCTAACGTATCCGCGATAGACCACTTTGACTGCCGCTATCACCAAGCACCAGGCTTCTAAGGGCCTTGCCAACTTCCTCAACTATGCCGCCATTGATAAGGCTCCTGAGGAGCGTAAGCGTGGTATTACCATCTCGACTGCCCACGTCGAGTTTGCGACTGAGGACCGTCACTACGCCCACGTTGACTGCCCTGGTCACGCCGATTACATTAAGAACATGATTACTGGTGCCGCCAACATGGACGGTGCTATCGTCGTCGTTGCTGCCTCCGACGGTCAGATGTATGATTTGAACACCCAATTTTTGTGTGGAAAGTACTGACGCGAATTTACCTTTAGGCCCCAGACCCGTGAGCACTTGCTTCTCGCCCGTCAGGTCGGTGTTCAGAAGATTGTTGTCTTCGTGAACAAGGTCGACGCTGTCGAGGACCCTGAGATGCTTGAGCTCGTCGAGCTCGAGATGCGTGAGCTGCTCTCTTCTTACGATTTCGAGGGTGAGGAGACTCCCATCGTCTTCGGCTCTGCCCTTTGCGCCCTTGAGGACCGCCGCCCCGAGATCGGTACCGAGCAGATCGACAAGCTCATGAAGGCTGTCGATACTTGGATCCCCACCCCTGAACGTGACCTTGACAAGCCTTTCCTCATGTCCATTGAGGAAGTCTTCTCCATTCCCGGCCGTGGAACCGTCGTTTCTGGCCGTGTTGAGCGCGGTCAACTGAAGAAGGATACCGAGGTTGAGATTGTCGGTGCCACCGACTCTGGCAACCCCATCAAGACCAAGGTTACCGACATTGAGACCTTCAAGAAGTCCTGCGACGAGTCTCGTGCCGGTGACAACTCTGGTCTCCTTCTCCGTGGTATCCGTCGTGAGGACATCCGCCGCGGTATGGTCGTTGCTGCCCCCGCCAGCACCAAGGCCAACAACAAGTTCCTTGTCTCCATGTACGTCCTGACCGAGGCTGAAGGTGGTCGCCGTACTGGTTTCGGCGCCAACTACCGCCCCCAGGTCTACATCCGCACTGCCGATGAGGCCGGTGATCTCAGCTTCCCCGATGGCGATCTCTCCCGCCGTGTTCAACCCGGTGACAACGTCGAGATGATCCTCAAGACCCACCACCCGGTCGCCGCCGAGCCCGGTCAGCGCTTCAACATCCGTGAGGGTGGCCGTACCGTCGCCACTGGTCTGATCACCCGTGTCGTTGAGTAAACGCTCCAACTCACCTTCCATGGTCAAGCACGCTGCTTGACCCTTGTATTATGAACCCCTTTCCTTCCATCTTGTTTGTTTGGCACCTTATATCTTAAAGCGTGGGAATCATTGATCACGAGGAATCCGGGGGGTATGCCGGAGTTTCCACCTGAATCCTTTGAATCTTGTCTATGTACCAGTTCAGATCTGTTTTTCTCCACTCCCCGTGAAAATGTATTCAAATAAATTTCTCGAAATTCACATATAATTCCAATCAAAACTCACCATAAATCCGACATACCTTGGGCCAGGCTTCTAAAGTTGTCTTCCCATAGCCCATTGGATCCCTGCCTTGTTTCTAAGGTTGATGTGTGCAGCTGTATAGTGGCCACTTCTAAAGTTGGGTCTAGATTCCAAGATTGTAAACCTTGGAAGACGATGACCTCCAATGCTCTAAAGTTTTCTATATCTCATGGTATAGACTTAGAGTACCTAGATAGCGTCTTGCATCTTGTTGTTTCTCAATAGCATCAAACTCGAATCCAAGTTCAATACTCATGAATATTTAAATATAGTAATTCTACTAGTACTTGAACAAAATTCACATGGGCATGATGGGCATGGATAAATACAGCCTTGGAAATATAATAAACTCTACAGACTCCTCGTAAGTAGACCCTATTATAGCAAGGCTGTAACTATGAGTAACTGTTGCACATAAATTTGGCAAAACATGATTGGTCCGGCCCCAGGGACGAAAATTCGACCGCGTCCTTTCGGCCGAACTCGACGGACGAGCATGTAAGAGCATGAAAGCTACAAGGTACGTGGTAGGCAGCGAGCTCTTTCGATCAGCTTGCTTGATTACGTGTAATTCATCTCTTTCAATTTCTTCTACTTAGCAATTACTCTCGTCTTGTCATTCAAAAGGCTGTTTCTCGTCACAGCGATGCCCCGTTGAGCCGCATACAAGCTACTGCTTATCTGATCGGCTTTTGGAGATAGTACACGGTCGCTTGCTTACTGTCTTTGGTTGGGAGTGATAATCACGATGGATTCTTGGGCAGAATCCCAGGGGCCGGCGCGCAAGAAGATGCGAAAGGGAACCAAAAGTTGTACAGAATGTAAGTCTGGAAGCAGGGTCTATCTGATAGTGCTGATGCGAATGGGCTACAGGTCGGCGACGCAAGATCCGATGTACTTTTCACCCTGATCGCCCCAGCGTTTGCAATGAATGTCGATCCAGAGGCTTGAGTTGTGTTGACCAAGAGCATACTGTCATAACTCCTCCACTCTCGGGCTCAGGCTCCCAGCACGGTGAACAGCCGTATAGTCTCCGAGAGCGAGTGACGCAATTGGAGAATATCGTAGATGGGTTGACTAAACGATTAGACCGACAAAGCACAACAACACCACCTCATGAACGCCAGGAGACAAATTATCCAGCGCAATGTATGACAACCCAGTCAAGGCCACCGTCTGCCCAGCTAGACGAAATAGGCCCATGCAGTGACCAGATCCAGAACGCACCTGTTCTACAATTGTTCGACAACTACCTCGTGAGCCGCCGGGAAGACCCATCCAGCAATGACAAGTTTGCCGGAATCAGAGATATGTCACCCAAGGCACAAGCCGTGCGGGCAGAGCTGATCGCTCTCCTTCCTCCCAAAGAAGACGTCAATGAAATCATCAATGCATCCTTCCATGGGTATATATGGCAGGATCACTTCCCTGACATTTTCTTTCAATGTGGAGACAGGCTTGTGATCAATGAAGGATGTTGTGATACCCTGGTGGCCCCCGCCGAAGTCGCGAAAGCCTTGATGTGCCTTTGTATTAGCGCAGCACATGCACCGCCGGACTTTGATTGGAGCAAGTTGAGTGTACCTCGTGACCCAGCTACCTTTCATCATCAGTTCATGGACGCTGTCGACAGGACAATTGTTCGCGATGATGAGTTTGCAGCCACTTTGCCCGGCATAGAAGCTCAAATGCTGCTCTCTAAAGTCTACCAGGCCGAAGGTCGGCTCCGAAAAGGCTGGTTAGTGAACCGTCGGGCAATTGAATTTGCTCATCTGGCGGGAATGCACCTGTCAACCAAGACACCAAGGCCGGGGGATTCTTTGTTCGATCGACGCCTCAAGCTTTGGTGTGCACTCGCTGTCTCGGATCGGACACTGAGTCTAATTCTCGGTTTACCTTATGGAATAGCGGAACAGTTCATCTTGCCGCAAATAGAGCAACGTCTCAAATCAAACCTGACAGCCCCTGAAGAATACTTGCTGCGCATCGGCATTTTGACCGGCCACATGGTGGACCGTAATCAGGATCCAACTAGGATGACACTGGAAAAAACCTTCCAACTGGATCAAGAATTGCAAGACTCTTGGAAGTGCATGCCAGATCGCTTCAAGGCCGCGGAACCCTTTTCAGACGAGAAGTGGGAACATTATATCGAGAGGGTTCCATTGCAATTCATGCTCAAATTGATGCGCGCCTTTCTCCATCTTCCATTGATGTTGAAATCTCCACTCGATTCTCGGCTCTACCCTAGCCACGTCATCGCACTTCAGTCCGCAAGAGAGGGCTTGGTATTGTACAAAGTTCTCCGATCCAACAACAAGCACTACATGTGCAAGATGCTCGATTTTATGGCCTTTACTCTCTGTCTGCTTTTAATCATTCACCTGGAAGGCTACTCAGATGAAATGCCTGACCACAGCAAAGAGCAAGATGAAAAAGATTGGGCGTTGGTCAAAGATCTCCTTGACATTCTACGTCTGGCAGCTAAAGAAACAGGAGGCTCCGTTGCAGCCGAATCTGCCAACATACTCGGTGCCATCTTTGACACCAGGAATTGTAAAAAGGACTGGTGCAACTTCTCAACCTGCAAAATCACCGTGCCATACTTTGGTACTATCGCCGTAGGGGCAGGAACAAAATTCTCCAAGGGCCCCAGGCACAAGGAACAATCATCCACTGGGACAGAGACTTGCTCAGGACAGTTCCCCAGCCAACTATATACACCGCCCATGTCTGATCAGGAAGTCTCATCAATCGCAAATACCGATGGCGCGAATGGCCCTTCTCTCACACCGACCATGGGCCCTGGGTATCCAGACGAATCCTGGCTTCCGCGAGGAGAAGTGCCCCAGAGTGACCATCCACATGTCGCCCAAGAGATGAATGCGTTCAGTGGACTGTTTGATGACTTTGGCCAGTACATGTGGCCGAACCCCAATGTTGACCTTGGACTTGATCAGGGCTGGGACCTGAACTGGCTCGATGGAGTGCCGCCGTCAGGGGTTCCACCATGCTAAATTTGATACCCTTTGTGTTTTGTCTCCGCAAACTCTGTATTACTATATTTCATGATTTACAATCACACCTCTTACATTTTGTGCTCCAGAGCTAAGTAGTAAGACTTCTCAAGTTCTCTAGACTTAGGCATACAGAGAAGCTCGACTGGGCTTTCAGGGTATTTTGAAGACACAGGAAGAGAAACATATTCAGTCTATAGATCAAGCATGATAACAAGGCAGCGCTTCAGCGACCATTGCATCATGTCAAAGAGGAGAATGAGGCATAATTCTGGGACGGAAAAAGGGGCGTAAGCCGTCGGGCAGTATTGGGTAGCTTATTGCTTTTCTATAAATTGACACCTCGACACTTGAGCATACTGACTTCCATACTCTGTTCAATGAAATCTGAAAAGAGTGAACCTTTCTAAAGTTGTATAGATCAGCTGGCAATGATGTGACGGGTAGGGGGTTATGTAATGTTTGGACGGGGCCACTGGCATGGGGGCTCGCTGACCTCGGGATCGCCTCCATGGCATTGAACCCGTGAAACGACCGTGTGATCCCTGTCCCTTTCAAATTTCCTTTTGAAATTGCTTGTCCCATTCCTCCCCTTTTGTATGGTATCTTGAAACTCGGTATCATCTTTGTTCTTTTTCAACTCGTTCTCGCCCACACCCCACATACGCAGCACGGCACAGATCAACATGACCGAACGACGCCCCTCAGGGTTGGAAAGGAGTCCGACTGCGCCGTCCGTTCTCTCAAATGGCCACTTTGCTTCTGTTGGAGCTGAGGGCGATGCCGCATTATACGAGCATGGCGTGCAGGTGATTGATGGGGATAAGGAGTTCAAGTACGCCCACCTTCCTCGCTGCCGTTCGTCGCATTCGGCGACGGTCCTCATCATGGCGCTGGCTCAATGCTAATCGCATCACTTTAGTCCCAACTTATCCAAGTATCTGTCCCTTGAGAATGTCACGCCGGCTGGATTCAACTACCATCTCATCTCCGTGTTCGGTTCGCAATCCACCGGAAAGTCTACGCTGCTCAACAACCTCTTCGGCACTGATTTCACAGTAATGTCGGATCAAGAGAGAAGACAGACAACCAAGGGTATCTGGTTGTCCAAGAACAAGAAGCAGGGCGAGGTTGGCGCACCGGAGCGCATGGCGGATAACATCCTGGTCATGGACGTGGAGGGTACCGACGGCCGTGAGAGAGGTGAGGATCAGGACTTCGAACGCAAAAGTGCACTATTTGCCCTTGCGACGAGTGAGGTCCTCATCGTGAACATCTGGGAACACCAGGTGGGCCTGTACCAGGGAGCCAACATGGGGTTGCTGAAAACCGTCTTCGAAGTCAACCTGCAACTCTTCCTGAAGGATAAGCAGTGCGCCTCCCTGCCTTTCTCTCTGTACGGAGCTTGTGCGCTAACTAAGTTATAGTACCTCCCACCGCTCTCTGCTCTTCTTCGTCGTCCGTGATTTCGTTGGCACAACACCACTTAAGAACCTGCAGAAGACATTACTGGAAGACCTGGGACGTCTTTGGGATACGATATCGAAGCCTGCTGGGTTTGAAAAGGCGTCGATCCATGACTATTTCGATTTCCAATTCTACGGACTTCCACACAAGAGCTACCAACCCGTCCAGTTTGTGGAGGAGGTGCAGAAACTTGGCACGCGCTTCCGCGATGGACACCGTGATCTCAAGAGGGATGCGCTCAAGGGCGAGTTCTCAGAGGGGGGTGTTTTCCTGCCCGAGTATCACCGCCGCATTCCAGCTGACGGCTTCTCTCATTACGCGGAGAGCATTTGGGACCAGATTGTCAACAATAAAGATTTGGACTTACCTACACAGCAGGAGTTGCTCGCTCAGTTCCGTTGTGACGAGATTCTGCGCGAGGTGATGGTTGGCTTTGACGAGGTTATCATTGCATTCGAAGACAAGCAAGCCGAGGCAGTACGTCTTGGTGCGCCTGAAGTTCTTGGAGGGCTCGGTGTTGCTATGCGCGGTGCCCGCTCCAAGTGTCTGAAGAGCTTCGAGACGGACGCCAGCAGGTACCACAAGGGTGTTTACCAGCGGAAGACCGCCGAGCTCCAGGGCAAGGTTGATACCCGCCTGAAGGCTCTTTTCTTGGGTCAGCTCTCTGCTGCTCACAAGTCTGGAATTCGCGATTTCAGTGACTCTGTCTCGGCCCTTGTGAAGGATGGTCAAAAGAAGGGTGGTAGCTACGATTTCGCTGAAATCGTGACAGCACAAGCCCAGGCTGCCACGGAGAAGTTCGAGCAGGTCGCACGCTCAACAGTGGTCGATGGAGCTTCTTGGAGTAATTATAAGCAAGAGCTATCCTTGTACCAAAAAGAATTGGCCGAGGTCAGCGCGCGACTGCGCCGCGATGAAATGAGACGTTTGGCTACTCGCGTTGAGCGATGGGTGCAATCTCGCTTGGGTGAATCAGTTGGCATTGAATTCAATGCGCTAGGCTCTGGAAGAGCTGGCGCTGGTGCCCCCGAGAACGGAGATAAGCCTACAGAGAAAGACTTCTGGGACCGCATTTGGAATTTGTTTGAGGATACTGTTCTCGACGCTGAACGGAGGTTCACAGACCGGGCGAGCAGCTTTGATGCCAGTCTTGACGAGGTTGATGTCGGACTATGGCGTTTGCGCCGCAAGTCATGGGGCGTCCTCCGTGCCAAGATCGACGAGGAAATGACCGAGGGCAATCTTCTTCTTAAGTTGCGGGAGAACTTCGAGGACAAGTTCCGCTACGACGAGGATGGCGTGCCACGAATCTGGCGCCCAACCGATGATATTGAGGGAATCTACACCCGTGCCCGTGAATCCACGTTGACAGTGATTCCTCTGCTTTCCCGGTTCCGCCTCGACAAGACCACTGCACCTCCCCCGCTGGATCGCTGGGTTGGACACACTCCTAGCACTGCGACATCCGCAGACGAAGAAGATCTGGCCCCCATTGGCGGTGTGGATGAAGACGAAGGCAAGAGCCTTGAAGAGGAGATGACTATCCTCAGTGATTCCAAGCGCCAAGAACTCACCGTGCGATTCAAGAAGGCCGCCGATGGTGTCTACGTCGAGGCCAAGCGGAGTGCCATTGGCGGTATAACTCAGGTGCCTTTGTATTTCTATGGTCTCCTGCTGGCCCTAGGCTGGAATGAGATCTGGGCTGGTAAGTCTTCACTCAATACCTCTCCCCATAATGATACTAACCAACTCTTTAGTCCTTCGCAACCCAGCTTACTTCTTCCTCCTATTTGTTCTCGCCATCGGAGCCTATATCACTTACACTCTAAACCTGTGGGGCCCGATGTTGAAGATGACCGAGGCCGCGTCCGGCCAGGCCTTGGTTGAAGGCAAGCGTCGCTTGCGCGAATTCCTCGAATCTTCCGATACCGGCCGCCAGGCGATTGCCATGTCTGCCGGCGAAGGAGGTTCTCGTCGCAAGGAAGAGTACGAGATGTCGGATATGCAGAAGAGTGGCTCCAAGGCCAAGGATGACCTGGATGACATGTAAAGCTTACTGTATTACTTATTGCTCTCCGGGCGAACGCCCTGTACTTTACTTTCTTTAAGTAGCTCCTATATGCATACGACACGAGCTTTCAAATTCAACTGCATTCAGTTCTATTGAGTATCCTTCGTATATACCTTGCCCTGCAACTGGGCACTGACCATTGCTTATTTTGGGCTCGAATATTCAGCCGCATCATATCTGATGGCTCACTAATCAAGCGTTCTAGGCTCGAGCAAATCTCGAGTTGGATAAATACCAGACAGATATCTTGGTGGCCCTTTTAGCCAAATAGTACCTGGTATGTACTCCATAGTATGTTGCAAAACAGGCAATCAGCTTCACTGCGGGGCCGGAGATAACTCCGACTCCAGTGAGGGGTACATGACCCAGTCCGGCTGTTTCTTCCATTACATTTGCTAGAGAGCTCGCGTCATCGTCTATAACTTAAGCTCTACTCTCAATTCTGCATCAGAACAGCCCGCTAGCTCTTCACCATGTCCGGAATCCCCAATCTTCCAGAGAAGTTCGATGACCTCCCCGACAAGCGCCGGTTCTGGCCTGGGGCAGCTGGATCTGAGGAGGAAGGTCTAGGCATGCTCCGTCTATTGACGCCAGAAGTTGTTGCGCAAGCTGCGCAGACCCAAATCCAAACTGGCGAGCGAGTATGTCTGAACTGGGACATGGAGAATTTGAGCCCCGCCGGTAATCATGACCACGAAGCTTGGAATTATTGGAGACTCAACTGATCACCTCGATCGACAGGGTTCGGTCGAAAGCCGTTTGAACATCGCGTGAAATGGGTCGCTGAGGGCGTTGCCTTTGATGATGAATATCATTTCAACCCACAGCAATCCTCCCAATGGGATGGGTTACGGCACCACAACGCGCCAGCCCCAACACCAGATAACAGCGACAGACGAGTATTCTATGGTGGGACCACGGCAGAGGAGATTCAAGATGAGAGCTGCTCTCGTATTGGGATTGGGTTCTGGGCGAAGAAAGGTATTGCTGGGCGTGGAGTGTTGATCGACTATGTTTCATATGCCGCCAAGAAGGGAATCAGTGTAAATGCACTCAGCAGGCAAATGATCTCGCTGGACGAGGTACTCGAAATCGCCCGCGAATGCAACATCGAGTTTCAAAGGGGCGATATCTTTTTCCTACGTGTCGGTCTGCCGGGGACGTGGGAAGGAATGTCTCCGGAACAGCGGGTCACCTATAGCCAGCAGGCATTGCCGCAGCATGCCGGCATTGAACAAAGCGAGCGGGTGCTCCGCTTTGTGTGGGACAATCATTTCGCGGCCGTTGCATCCGATGCGGTTAGCTTTGAGGTCTACCCGGCTCTGAACCCCGAGTTTGATTTGCATCACTATCTCCTTGCTGGGTGGGGGATTCCAATTGGTGAGATGTTTGATTTGGATGAGTTGGCAGCGACCTGCAAGCGCCTTGGGCGTTGGAGTTTCTTTATCTCGAGCAGTCCGTTGAATTGCTCCCGGGGTGTTTCCAGTCCGCCTAATTGCATGGCGATTTTCTAGATGTGAGCGAAAGGGCCTATAATTTCCAGAATCGTAAATGGTATACAAAACAGGTTGCACAGGAAGCTTGGAAGTCAAGCCCACTGCCAATCCACCAATCCACCAATCGAAATAGGTGCCTGGACAGTGTGTCTTCACCATCAACACTAAGCACTTTAGACTTGGTTTGACCCACCTGGTTGAGCCCCTTTTCGCCATAGCTACCGGGAATTTCGCACAAATCCAAGGTAGTAAACATAAAATGACGGACTTGGCTGCACTTCTGGGTCTCTCGGTAGATTATAAAACATGTCCTAGGGCTGTTAGTGGAAGCCTGAGATCTCAAGGCTACACCGATCACCCAAATCACCCAACCTAGCCACTTGCAAGTTTTCTTCAATCGTGGCCGTGTTGCTTCTCAACTGCATTGAGCACCCCCGGAGATGCCGGCTGTAATAAGACAGCTTGCGCGAGTTTTCCCGGTCATCCTGTTGGTGCTAGGAATCTGTTCAATCGGAATTTTCTACACACCACAACCGCCACGACCGACCACTCATAATGGGGTACCGGATACATTTCCCGCAAAGAAGTCCAATCGGAAGCAGCTGTTTGATGGGAATTGGGATTATCAGCGAGACAGAGATAATCTGATGCTCACCCAAGATCAATGCAACCAGGCATTTCCCGATCTGTACTTCGAAATTGACCGTGCTAGAGATGATCGCAAATCGCGACTGATAAGTCTGAAGGAGCTCGATAATATTCCGGCTAGAAATGGATATATCCGTGCCATGATATATGACCAGCAGGTATGTCCTGTCATTTGCTCAGGTAACTCACCCGTGGACCTAACAGTCCTAGCTATATGTCCTCGACAAACAAGGCTCTATCTGGTCCCGCGAGCGAGCGACCCTGTCAGCTATAAACCGAGCGATTGTGTCATCGCCAGAACCTCTGCCCAACATCGAATTCGCGTTCAACACAGACGACTCTGTGGATGGACTTCCACTATGGGGATATGCTCGCCGTGCCAAGGACAAGGCGATATGGCTAATCCCAGATTTTGGGTTCTGGTCATGGCCTGAGACCAAAGCTGGATCCACTCGCGAGGTGCAGGCGAAAGCCGAGTGGGCTGAAGAAGAAGGATTGACGTGGGAAAATAAAACCGCCAAACTTCTCTGGCGCGGAGTGCCGAAAATGGGTCCAAAAGTCCGCGACAAGCTCATACGGGTGACGAAAGACAAGCCCTGGGCGGATGTCAAGGCTTTGGTGTGGGATGATAAGGACAGCCTGCAGAATGACTATAAGACTATGCCGCAGCACTGTGAGTATCAGTATCTTGCTCAGACAGAGGGGAATACATACTCCGGTCGTTTGAAGTACCTGCAGAGCTGCAGAAGTGTCATTGTCTCGCACAAGTTGGATTGGATTCAGCATTACTATCATTTGATGAAGCGGGCTGGACCCGATCAAAACTTTGTCGAGGTGAGGCGCGACTGGTCAGATTTGAAGGAGACCATGGAACATTTGTTGTCTCACGACGAAGAAGCGAAGAACATTGCGAACAACAGTGTAAAGGTGTTTCGTGAGCGCTATCTCACCTCTGCGGCGGAAATGTGCTATTGGCGTCGTTTGATACAGGAATGGAAGGGAGTCCTGGATTTTGAGCCTGCATTTTTCAAGTTAGTGGATGGGAAAAAGGAATGGAGAGGGATTCCTGTGGAGAGCTTCTTGTTGATGGGAGAGGTGAACTATGACCCTCGATAAAATTGAAATATTGGCGTATCAACCTTCAACATGAGCACCCGAAGCCCGGTGGCAATCTACAAGGTACTCGAATTTACACAGGACCGTAGGCGAGGAGGGAAACCCGCTTTAGTATGTCACACTTTGATGGCATTGTATTCTTTTCTATACGGAGCTGGGAGGTGCTTCCAGCAAATACTCTTTCCAGCGAGCGAATTCGTTCACTACAACTGGCCATAACCCGTCTTTGCATCTGCCTTAGCCATGCACGACTCCAGTACTTCCCAGAATTTATCCATGTCCAGAGATCGCGGGATCATGACCCCAGGCTTGCCATGTTCGACTCTGGTAGCAACGGTACGACCCTCTTGCAAGCCGCTGAGTACAACTTCCAGGCTCCATCTTTCGCCATCATTGTCATTGAACTTGATACGTACATCCGGATCTGGGTGGTCAGCTAGCAAGATGGCCACAGCAAGCGGATCATGCAGAGGTGGACCTTGATCCATTCCCCAGGCCGTCTCGTAAGTATCCGCGAAGTAGACGAGCAGTTCATTGAACATGGTTCTCAGTCTAGTTGGGCCTTTTTCGCCGTTCAACAGCATCTCCCTAACTTTTTGTGTCGTATACGCTTGGTGAGACACATCCAAGGGAATCAGGAATGTTTTAGGCTTGAGCAAAGGGTTTGAGAATACACTGCGCGCCGATTCAACGTCAGCCCAGACGTTGAACTCGGCAAATTCTGTGTAGTTCCCGTGTCGTTCACGGGATCTTCCCTCTTCGTCGACATATCCGGGTCCCATCGACACTTGGGGTGCAAATCCATCGCCGATACCTCCACCCATGATGCTGATACCTTTGATATGAGTCGCTACTTCGGGGTAGATGGCAAACAGGAGAGCAACGTTGGTCAACGGACCTACGCCCACAAGCCATGCCGTTTGAGCTTCACACGAGAGTAGAGCTTCACGCATAGCGTTGATGGTGTTGCCAGGTTGAGGCTTGCATGTCGCTGTTGGCAGAAGATCGGTCCCTGCCAGACCACTCCCACCGTGGATCTCGGAAGCTGATCTGATATCACGACAGAAAGGGCGCTTTGAACCGGCATAGAGAGGAACGTCAGTCGCACCGATGGCCTCCAAGACGCTCAGTCCGTTTTCCGTCACACACTCCAAGGGTGCATTTCCGTTGACGGTGCTAATCCCGAGAATTCGAAGGGCGGGGTGGTAGATGGAAAGTAACATCGCACAAGCATCCTGAAAAAGGATTAGCAAACATTATGTGAGTTTGAAGGCTGTCGATCAACCTACATCGTGGCCTGAGTTGTCAGTCACTTTGTTCACCTGGGCGGCACAGAAGGGTTGCAGCTCTGTGGGTTGCTCACTACCACGTACCTGGGTCACAATCAAGCCACAGAGGGATCCGGGCAGAGGTATTCGCTTCCATTTCAGCGCAAAAATGAAGAAGGAAGGAAAGAATTCAAGGTCCCAACGAAGCCAGATGAAATCTTCTGGGGATTCCTTAGGGGCCAGTTTCGAGTGATTGTCAGTGCTTATAGAATTGAAGAGACTGGAATACACAACAATTTTCTCCAACAATCATTGACCTTGTATAAATATGGCCATCAATTCGGCGAACAATATATGCTTCTGTACCTGCACCGGCGAAGTCGAGCTTTCATTGGTCCTGCGATCAAACCCCCTCCACAGTCACATTGCATGTCCAATATCAAACCCCAAATCCGCCGAAATACTGTTCAAACCCATTTTTTACCTCTGTGCCGTATAACTTGCTGCTTTCTTCAGGTGGTGTTCGAATACATTGATCCATCGGATGAACGGCATTTGAGGACCCAAAATCCCGAAAAGACCCGCACTGAACGCCAACGCGAACATGGGAACCTCACGCGTTTAGCCAGAGTGGATCTCCAGAACGACTTTCGAACTGACTAATTCCCTAAAATATGGATCCAGCCTTCACGGCTTTCACAAGATCTTTCCTCGTGGTCCTCTCGGGATTTGACTGCCAAAACAAAGCTTCTTCCGGTTCATGATTTCAATCTTCGAGATTGGCCCCTTGAAAATCACAAATCAGCCAAAATGAACCGTCACATCTTCCGCCGCTTGTTGCCCCAACCGGTAGCCAACAAAGGATCAGAGCTACGCGATCACCAGGCTAATGAGCGAACTTTTCTATCTTGGAACCGTTTCGGGCTAGCCTTTGCGGCTATGTCACTTGCACTCGCTCGACTTGATATCATTGACAATATTTTCAACCGAAAACACCGCGACGAGACAGCCGCGGCTTCCAAAGCATCATTGGATCCCAACACTGAAGGAACTGTCTCAAACAGACAATCAGGGAACTCGCCAATCCTTCTTCAGTACGCCAATGATCACGTCGCTAGTCGCGTATGTCAAGCCATCAGTATTTGGTCGTTTGGCTATTCACTAGCCCGGTATACCTCTACCCGAAGGAACTTATTGGCAGGGCGTTATATCCCTTCAATCTGGGGGCCTGTCTTTGTCACAATTGGTTCGCTCGGGGTGTTTGGGATGACTCTCAAGCTGGGATAAGCTGTTCTCAGTTCATGTTTCAAAAGTGTGGGGGATTTGTAAAATAGGTAGATTCGGTGTTTGGCATCATTGAGTATATACAATACAAATTTTGACGTTGTTCGCTAGTATTTTAGGTGCACTACTTACTAAGTATCTAGTTAGACATAATTTGAGAATTAATAGCACAGCATCCATGGACGGCATTGAGCATGCAAAGTTTCATGCAAGAGCTACGGTACAAAGACAGTCGTGTATCAATATTTTTGCTGAATTAAAATGTCGAGGTCATCTACAAGTAATTGAGTAGAGTGTTTGCGAAAACGCGTACTTACTTGTTGGAATTATAATCAGCGGCTTGTATCTATCTTAAGATTTAATTACATTGTGCAACCGTCACCTGCATCAGGTGTGTTGGGTCCAAGTCGGGCTCTGGACTGGGGGCCCCAGGGTGATGCTTGGCGCTTACCGGGACCATCATGGGGCTGGGCCGCGGCCAGCCCTGGAGGGCCCATCAGCCTCATTTTAGCATTGCCCATCGACGTTATGTGTTGGTGTCGAGGGAGCAAGAGCATCATGCAGGTACGAGTAGTAGAATGTTATATTGTCCTTGTGTACCCACAAGTTGTGTACCCACAAGGTAATAGCCGTCAGATAAGTCTGGTGAGGTGCCCTTTTTCTTGCTACCCCTTGGAGAAAACATTGATCAACCATACGTCGGAGAGTATGTTAGGGCGTTGCCCCGGAGCCAACCTACCAGAAGTCGTTGCATCTACTCGTATGTACGAGAGAATCTGGGGATAAACATTTGGTAGCCCCATTCTCATGGAAGATCAGTATTTACCATCCATCAAAGTCGCGTTGTCTTCTTCGATCATCGCATTCCAACCCTTTCCGATCCCACCCTTCCAAACCCTTCTCCCAACCAGTACTAGATCTTCAACAAGTTTGTTACATTCCACATGCCCCAAAGTCTTTGTTATGGTAAAGATCCAGTTTACAAGCGATCTACATGTGCCCTTGCTGGGCGGCTACTTAACAAACGCAAGATGCAACTCGGCCAGCACATCTTCAAGCAAGCCACTTTCCTTCAAGCCAATTCCAAGCCGGAGAACCACCTTCCTTTCAGGACAACTTACAATCTTTAATCAATATGCACTTCACTAAGGTAAGCATTCTATCCCCGAGCATAGAAGCCAAAGACTAACAACCCAGACCCTCGCCTCCGTGGCCGCACTCTCTATGACCGCCTACGCCGCCGTCCCCGTCGCCAGCGTCCAGCTCCAGTCCTGGGAGCAGTGCGATATTGGCTTCCCTGCTCTGGGTGAACCCAAGTTCACCGCTGACGTTGCTGTCACTCCACTCACTTGTGACAAGACCACTCTGAACCGTGACTGGAGCATTAACAACTGGTCTTTCAAGGCCCACCTTGACACCAAGGACGCTCTGCTCTGCCACGGTGTCGTCGTCTGGAACAACGAAGGCTGCACAGGCAAGCCCGTGCACTTCCTTCCCTTCGACCACCACTCTCCCATCGCCGAGGGCCAGTGTCTCCCTGACACCCTTGAGCCTGGCTACGTTTCCTTCAAGCTTGCTTGCGACGAGTTCCCTATTGACGTATAAATCTGATGTGTATACGATAATAGTCGGGGTTGTCAAGTGGATTCTATGAAGGCTTTGGATTGGCACCGGATAGCTACTACACTCTCCTTTGATATTCGGATCTCTTATGTCTTTCGACTCGATCTAATCACGGCTGTTTCCTTCATGTACCGAGTAATTTTCCCACTATCATTTGTTCACGAGAGCCTAATATACCTACTCAAATAATCCACCACCACTCTGGATACCTTTAATAGAGGTACGCTCCAGCTCCCAGTCGTTCCCAAAATAGTAAATAGTCGTCCCTCGCCCAATGTCCATCTTGTTCCGTTGTCCCGAGCCGGGTAGCATGGAAAGTCCATGTTGCTCCAATAATAAATCCGTTTTGCCTGTGATCATATGTAAACAGCTGTCCCCGGGCCACGTCCATGGAATGGCCAGGTATGGGTGCGCGTTCAACGAAGCTCACCATAGGTAGCTCTATAGGAGGACATACATGGTCTCACTACTTAAGTATATATTATGCTCCACCCGTCGGCTTAATTTCCACATCTCTCTCAAGTAATTCTGGAGCCTGCATTCGAGACATTTGTTACAACTAGAAATATACTCAAGAAGAAAGCGACTCTACATCAAACTTTAGAACTTGACCAACAGCTTATTTCGCCAAGATTGATTGCCCTAGGCCCAAGATTGAACAGGAATATGGAACCCTGACCCTGGAAGATGAGGACCCACAGATCTACAAAAAATCGACTAAAAAATAATTGTTTCTGGACGATCGTGCGTCACGCCCTGGAGGCTTTTTCCAAGGCAGATACGTAATGTCTCTGAGGCGTTTTACGCCGTTTCATCGTGGGGCTAGGCTGTGAAAACACGAGTTTATTCTTATTGTATACCTACGGTTTCAAATCAATGCGACACCTTGGCGTCTCGTGTCATCCAAATGGCCAAGTGCTGCTTGTTTGACACTTACACTGATACTATCGAAACTTTAAAAGAAAAAAAAAATGTACCTAGTAAATTCACCTTCGAGAACCGAGTTTGCTCTGGGAATCCACCAACGCTTTACCAGGGAAACATGGCCCCAAGGCCCCATATGCAACGAGTCATAGGATTATCACCCGGGCAAAGATCGTGAACAAATGGTTCTTGAACGGCTAAGATCGTCATCCGATCTTTCTCGAATTGCTATTAGTTTTGGCCCCAACAGCACATTGGACCCTGAGGGATGGCCCCGGTCGCGAGTTAAGTTTGAATTTGCGGCTCAAGTCCCGCGCAATGAGATGCGAAAAAAAAAAGGCTGTGCGAGCAGGGCTGTGAGTGTGGATGTGTAGATCTGGGGTTGTGGATAAATCCCCTGCCACCCCCTTCAGGGGTTGCTATGTTATTTCAACTTTCAGCAACCTAATTCACTCTGCTTCAGGTTTACCTGAGCTCCACGATTAAAGATGATCTCATATATTGCTGGCGTTCGCGTCGTTCAGGTACGTTTAGCTGCCCTCTCAGTTAGCGTCGAGGACTAGTACCCCCTAACATGACCGTAGATGGTCTTCGGCATCATAATCTTCAGTTTATCGCTCAGTCTGGCCAAGGGGCAAGTCATTGAATCTGTGCCATCAGAAACGATCTACGCGGTTTTCGCTGGTGGCCTCGGCGTTGTAGCCGCACTACTTGGCAATGCTGCCATCACTGATAGCTCGTTGAACGGGCCCCTTCTGTGGATTGTGGACGGTGTCACTGCCCTCGCCTTGTTTGTTGGTGGTGTTGTAAGTGGAATCAACGCGATAACACAATACGATGAAGCTAACCTCGAATATGAAGATCTTTGCTGTTCGACTGCATGGAACTAAATGCTCAAGCTGGCTCACCACGTATCAAAACATCTTGCTCAGTGGCGGTTGTGAATACGAGGATTTAGGGACTCGCTCAAATTGTTGGTATGACAGCGACCACCTGAAGTCTAGATGTGCCGCTGCTACCGCTGCTACCGTGTTCATGTTCCTGGCTAGCATCGTGTGTATTGGCGGACTTGTCACCGCCGATACCAGAGGAACGAGTCGTGGCTGGAGGCCCATCTGGCAGAAGCAAATGCCGGAGCTGAAAGTTGAAAAATAGCCTGCGCGTGTTGGAATCCCACGCGTTTGAAGACTGCAACCAACTTGTTATTCCAACGTTTATATACCCTTTTAATTTCAAACAATTCGGAATCAAAACCATTCGAGAGAGTTCAAAATACAAGTCCATTTGTACAATATATGCTTCAAAGTTGGGGGTAACAATATGCAGATTTGAAGATGAATACAGCGATCAAAAGCGAATACATTATGTGCGCTCGATCGTGAACTGTAAGGAGACCTCCCATTTTTGACCACCTCCACCATAGCCTCCCCCTAACCTGTTACGGACCAAACTGGTTATCTTTTCCCGCAACCGGAGGAGATTATCTTCAGTTCCACCGACACGTAGCTTGAGATTAGCCATGCACAACCCATAGTGCACCTGCCAGAATCGTGCGTCATCAATCCCGATCACAGAGGGGTCGGCTTCAATATCTTTGATGACATCGGCCACGCCTGGACCTGAATAAGACATGAGAAGCATCGAGCCAAGGGTTTTCACCAATCGCATCCCAAGGAAACACATGGAAAATGCGATCGTTCCAGACAGAAGCTTGTCAAGCCAATCATAAATTCGGATGGAGACGAGGGGCAGCAATAGCAGCAGGGCCGAACATGAGAGTGTGAGGAAGTGGGATGGGTTGCTCAGAACGGACGGAAGAGACTGAATGTATCCAAATCGCATAGCCTTTCCAATTCGAGCATGGTTCTTGAGTCCGATTGCCGAAACCAGCGTCGAAGAGATAGCAAGGACGGCAGTCACATCCACACTACCGAGTGAGACCCGGTCATGTTCGTGTGGGCGATGGGGCTCATGTCCAGACTTCTCGAGGAAATGTTGCAGGTTATGCGAGATCAGGTCCAGCCCCATAAACAGAAGAAGCACGGCCATTGCAAAGCCAGCCAAAACCTCGGCTCGTTCAAGACCGAACGGGTGGCGAATGCTCGATCTTTTCCAAACTTCGAAATTGCTCAGCACATCAACTGCAACACACAGGAGAGCACCCAGTGAGTCGAAGAGAATCAAATGCGACAAGGATGTCATGGCTAGAGATCCATGCGCGGTCCAGAGCGTGTACGCTGCGATGGACATGTGGCATAGACTCCACCAGAAGCGGGTTTTCTGATCTTTCGACATGCTGGATCGACATTCCTTCAATGTTGGTATCGGGAGAGAATTGGGCAGGGCAAGAGGTGCGCGTGGAGGAGGCTCGAGGAAGATCTGATGCGATATGCTACTGTGCTTGTACTTGTGGCCACGACGTTGTCCAATGTTCTGCAATAGGGATCCGTTAGAGAAATATCTCAGCAGAGTATCAATGAGATGCTCTACTCACCGATTTGATAACTGGACTCTTTGCCATCACAGCAGTATCGAAGTTGAACGGCCCCGCGGGGGTGTCGCCCGAGCCATTCTGGACCGGAGAAGTCCCCAAACTAAAGGATGACTTTGTAGGACTCAAGTGGTCTCTGCTCTCACTGTCCATTATATCCTTTGGGAAGGATGCCTTCAGCGGCGACAGTGAATCGCGACTAATGGGCATCCCTGAGTTGATCGTGGAGGCATGTTGATCGTCATCTGCGGGTGGGGTGGGGGTGCGCGGCGGGATAGGTAGAGGGAGGTTCGAAGCCATCGCGCTGGCTATGCGAACAGGATTCCGGAAATTGAAGACCTATGTACACACGGTAATGATGCGATGGGCATGTGAAGCAGATGAACCCCGTTGTTTCTGCCCCGTCACGTGGGCGGCCTCAAGGTACTTAAACTTAATCTTGACGATTAGCGCGTTGCCTGTACTTCAGAGATCCTGTTAGGTGTGATGTTCGTTTGGAAAGCATTCTTTCTAATGAGTTAACTTTCGGTCCCCAGATTTCTGATATGAGAGAAACTGTCAAATACTCACCCATATAGGCTAGTGCCCGTGCCGTTGAGATCAGTCTTCTTCACTTCAATGATCAGGAATCCACAAGCTAGTGATTCCACTTGAAAGGCTGTGTGTGTTGAAAACAAGCAGATTTATTAGTACTCAGGTGGTCAAACATTGCCTAGGCACGGAGTATCTAATGGCTAAACTGATCATTGTTTTTGCCTTGCGTCAAGATATGCTCGCCGGAGATTGAATACAAACATTTGGACACCACCGGGAAAGGATTGCATGAAAAGTTTGTTGTCAACCATAGTTTGGCACGGTATAACAAATGGTACTAGTTACGAGCTCATTTTCATGCAGTATCAGCTTCATTGGGCATGCTGTTCCATCATTTTGTCTATATAGCATGGTGCTAAAGACTTTTCAATAGTACAATGAATCATGGTCCCTCTTGGCACTTTTCTGATTTCTGTGGAGCCAGTGTCAAATATATGGACTTTTGGTTTAATTTGCCGTCAAGATATAGGAGAATTGTTGGTGAAGAAGCAGAAGGTGAGATGATAATGAATTTTCCGGTGCTGAATGCTTGAAGGCCATTCAGGACCGATCAGTTCAAGGAACTAAAGGGAAAGTAGATGATCAATTTGGCAGTGTCCTACATAATACTCGTACTCCGCATCTCCGCATCTCAAGTAACTCCGAATGACTCTGAATACGAACTTTCGCGGCCCGTGCACCTTCATACACATTGCACTCACCCGCTTCCTGTTGCATCACTCTTCCAATTTTGTCAAAATGGCTTCCAAGACTTTGACGGCTTCGTGCCGCTGCAACAGCGTCCACTTTACTGTCACCATTCCCACCGAAGTTCTTCCCTTGAAAATACACTTATGTCACTGCAGCATCTGTCGCTACAGTCATGGTGCACCATGCGCCTTTCACGCGCCACTACCGCCTGGCGTGGAGCTTCAATTTATTGACCCATCGGGCTATGACAAGATGACTAGTTATCGGCACGCAGCGTCAGTGGCAACAGGCTACTTCTGTAGCACTTGTGGCTGCCAGATTGGAGGATTTGAGAGCCAATGGACAATCTCTACCTCAATATTCGACGCCAATAGAGAAGATGAAGGGATTTGGAAGTTCAATTCCCATATGCTTCCGGATTCTGCTCCAGACGGTGGCCTTGCAGCTGTCTTTTCGGCTGTTGACGGACATCAAATGGAAACCGAAAATCTAGGATTATCTCCACAGGCTATAGCTGGAAGCGATTCCAAGCCACCGGATCGCGAAAGCAAAGATCTTCTCGCGCAGTGTCATTGCACTGGAGTTTCATTTCTTATTGCCCGACCCAGCGAGAAGTTTATTGCAAGCCCTAAAAGCAAAGGTCTCATTTCACCCTCGGATAAGAGGAAGTGGCTTGCACGTATGGATCTCGGTGACGACTCTCGCCTGGTCAGTGGCGCCAATGTCATTAGCTGGATGTCTGTCTCAGCTGACCACATCACGCCGCGTCTGCCAAAAGACTTATTGATCGGATCGGCGAAGGCATATTGCCCATCGAAAGATACACTGCTTGTGTTCTGTGGCACATGTGGCGCGACTGTCTTTTCTCATTCCGAGGAGCGACCGGAGATTGTAGATGTGGCCATGGGTATCGTGCGTGCGCCCGAAGGTGCCATGGCGGAGGACTGGAATGTTTGGGCGACTAAAGTATCACGACCAGAGAACGGAATGAGATACCAAGCTGGCTTTGCTCGTGCGCTGACCGAGGGGATGCAGCGATGGGGGGCTGAACGGGGGCATCCACAGGATTCGGGGTTGGCATAGTGTGATTCATCTTCTTTAAGTAAGCCAGTAGACCATTTTGTCAATTGACTCGTGCTGTATTTAGGGAAAAGCACTATGGTATTGCTTGACCCGACGCCCATAAAGTATGCTATCTATCCGGTCTATGGGATTTCATGACGCTCGTGGGTTTCTAGTGCTCGTATTTCAGTGATAATTAATTGATAAGTCCTGGTCGCCGAGAATGCCTTTAGTTGACCCATACACAAAGATGGTCCAGTGTCTATAAAGTCTGGATTGCTTCTCTTATTGAAAACAGCGACGTAGAGTCCAACCCAAAACCTGAAGGTCAATGAGACGCGAGAAGAGGAGAGTCCACTTTTACCCCACAATTTGCTTATCAGTGGCTAGCGGTCTTCGGAGGCCCCAACCGTCCTGCACTCTTCCCAAGAATGCCACCAGATCGACGAGTACAACGAATAGTCCGGGTGCGTACGGGTTGTTGGTCATGCAGGCGGCGCAAGAAGAAGTGCGATGAAACACGACCTATATGTGGGGGCTGTCAGCGCAATCACCTGAGCTGCCAGTGGCCCGATGTTTCGAGGCGAGATTCTGAGCAAGATGAACTCCCCCGGGTAGCCGCCACCGAAGAGCGCCGGCCGAGTGTATTGGAAAGCATTGAGCCATTCGGGGAACCATCACTCGCTGGAAGCCCCTTATCGCAACGCGCGCCCTCTGTGGTGTCAAATCCACACTCCGAGATCGGTGATCCGCTGGAAGAGCTGATGCAAGAGACACGCGCACGACGTGTCTCAACAGCGACTCCGATGACCAGCACAAGTGATGCACTGATCGCATCCATTTCAACAGCGGATGTGCTTCCACGCAGCCTATCCATGTTGCCTGGCTACGATGCAGAGTCTTATCAGCTTCTCAGCCACTACCTTGCCACAACAGCCGATTGCATGGCAAACGGCTCTACGCCAGTCAATCCTTTTCTTGTACAAATTGTGCCATTGGCATTTTCCAGTGACTTGTTATTGCAGTTGGTCATTACGCAAAGTGCGGCTCACCGCGCCTTCCGGTCGCGCGATGATTCCGATACGATTGCCCACAGTCATTATTCCAAAGCCCTTCTACATTTCCGGCGTGGAGTGACTGATTTCATCGACGGCAAGGAGACTAATCCGCTCATGCTCCTGGTCGGAGCGCTTTTGATGTGTTTTACAGAGGTAAGGAATCTGATTAAAATGCGCGCGGGCTAAACTTACCAAACTCAGACCGCGAAAGGCGATATGAACGGCACAATATTCGACCACTTATCAGCCGCAAACTCCCTTTTGGTAAAGCTCCTCGCTCAAAGTGATACGGCGGTACCGCGTGATTTGAAAGACTTTGTCATCGAGTACTACACCTACACTGCAACCGTGAGCATGATTTCGATCGATGCCCGATTCAGCGGGCAGTTGTTCCTGAACCTCGACCTCGAGGAACGGTCGCGCGAACTGCTACGCACTCAGTACGTGGGCAACTTGTGCGGCTGTTGGCTGGAACTGCTGCTGCTCATCCCATGCATTTTCGATCTTGGTCGGCAGTGGATCATGGACGACACGCAGGCGGTCGTGCCAACAGCCGATGATCTCGCCATGTTTGCATCCATCCAAGCACAGGTATTGCGCTGGTCGCCTTACCCCAATGTCCCGATGGATGTCCACCTTGCCGGTTTAATCTTTCAACAAGCTATACTCATCTATTTATACACCTCTCTAGGAGGGTTCCGATATACCGCAGACGGGATGTTCAGGGGCTTGGTGGACAATGCCGTGACCGAAGCCATGTCATATCTCAATGACTTGTCACCCAGCGCGCGTATCAATTCTGGTCTATGCTGGCCAATTGCGTTGGTCGGGTCCTGTCTTGTGAACGTCGACCAGCAAGAAAGATTGCGACGACGTCTAAATGCAATGATAGAGAAGTTTGGACTAGGCAACATGCACCGCACGCTGCTTCTACTCGAAGCAATGTGGCAATTGCCCATATCTGAAGCCGGGCCATGGAATATCTGTCGGGCGATGCAGCAAAATCAAATATGGATTTCATTTGCGTGATGTTGATCGTCATTCTGTTACTCATATTATGTACAATTAATTAAAAACATTTCTCCTTATGCTGCCTGGTTCTTTGGGGCTTCTGTTGCGGGGCCCTCGGGAGTAACATAGGCCTTTGTCAAACCACCGTCCACGACAAAGTCGGTGGCATTGACAAAGCTGCTCTCGTCACTAGCAAGGAAAATAACCGCATGAGCCTGCTCAATCGCCTCACCAAAGCGACCAGAGGGGAAATGAACCTCCCGACGGAAGCGCTTCTCCTTATCATCACCAAGCCAGTCCTGCAAGAGAGGAGTGCTTTGCACAGTGTTAGTTTCTGATCCATCAATGTTTGAAAGAGTAGCAGAGAGACTCACTTCAGAGGCGCAGGGCAAAGCGAGTTGAATCTGAATCCCTCGCGGGCATGAACAATCGCCAATTCTCTTGTCATGGCAAGCACAGCACCCTTACTAGCAGTGTATGCTAATTGAGGTGTCGCAGCTCCAACCAAAGCCACCATCGAAGCAGTATTGATAACACTTGCGCGCTTCTTGCCGTGCTTCCTGAAAGCACGCACAGCATGCTTCGATCCAAACCAAACACCCTTCACATTGATATTCATTGTTCGGTCCCAGATGTCCTCGGGACATTCCTCAGAATCTCCATCTTTGGGGTGCATGATACCGGCATTATTGAAGATGACATCCAGGCCACCCCATGAGTCGAGGTGAGCAACTGCGGCTTCGACCTGGGCCTCGTTGGAGACGTCGACGGCTTTGATCTCGACTTTTCCGGAGCGGGATGAGGCAGGGACGATATCGTTGACCTTGGCAAGGGCTTTGGTGAGACCCTCGTCGCTGATGTCGGTCATCAAGACTGAGGCGCCTTCGCGGAGCATGAGAATTGTGGTTTCGAGACCAATGCCTCTTTTGGATTGTTAGATTTCAATCGCATCTTGGAGTCATTGAAACATACCCGGCTGCGCCAGTGATAATGGCATTCTTGCCTTCGAGTCTGCCAACCATGTTGATTGAATATATGTGTTGTGAGTGAAGTAATGAGGTTAAAGTGGTATGAGTTCGTGAATTGGGAAGAATTGATCTAGTAGCCGAGCTCAAAGTCCCCAATCTCTTCCATTTATAGTTCCAATATCCAACCCCCGATTACTCAAGTTCACGTGGCCCAGATAATCTGCGACTTTTCTATCTCGCGATCCACAGCCGCGGTCTCGGAAGCTCTATCGCGCTCCCAATACCCCGCCATGCGACGGCGCGGTGAGCTCGCGCTGCGGGGCATGAGGGGTAGCTGTTAGGTAAATTATGAAGATCTGAGGTGCATGAACCGTTGAACTGTTTCAGTGGTATCTTTGCCGCGCTCTCGGCTTGGGTCAGCGCGGTCCGGGACCGCGCTGTGGGGCCATCGCAGCGCGACGGCTACAGGTTGGCTCATCAGTATGTGAGTAGCTGCAGGGTCTCAGAAGTAGATTGTTGTATACGATTAGTACTCCGTGAATGAAGTTCAAAGGTTTCATTATGGAAAATACTTAAGCATGAGCTTTAATAATTTGCAAGTCGTTGACTTGGGCGGTGTATACACCGTAGAGTGCAATATAGTAGGTACTTTGTCAAATTTAGCAGATTAAAAGCAAAATATGATCGGCTGAAACTAGAATCTGATTCGTAACTATTTACATTGTACGCTGTACTGCGTACTCATGATGAGATTTCCTTGATGTGGTAGCTCTTCAGCTTGGTAAATCCATCGTAGCCTCGTGGGCCAAGGGTGCATCCCAGCCCGGAAGACTTCCAACCAATCCATGCGAGATCCTGGTATTACCGTTAGAAGGACTATATTCAGAGTACATCCATATAGAGGGGTCACTCACTGGGCTTGGATAGTCACAGCGGTTGATGAACACTGTGCCGGCTTCAATGCGCTCAATCAATTCCTCTCCGCGCGAGATATCCTTTGTCCAAACACTGGCAGTCAAGCCAAAGTCACTGTCATTCATCAGTTCCACAGCTTCATCGTCGCTAGATACTTTCATGATAGGCATGACAGGGCCAAATGTTTCTTCCTTCATGGTAACCATGGTGTGGTTGACATTGGTCAGAACGATGGGAGCAACGAAGTTTCCCTTCTGGGTCTGGGGGTTACTTCCAACCTGGAAGCTGGAGTTATCGGGTGTGGAAATGACGGCGCCCTTGCTCAAAGCGTCCTGTACATGAGAGTTGATCTTCTCAACGGCCGGTGCTGAGATGACAGGTCCGGTAGTTGTACTTTGATCCTTCGGGTCTCCAAGCTTGTAGCTGCGTGGTGTTAGATTGACCACGAATATCAAGTTTTTTTTACTCACGAGCTCAACTCCTCCTGCACTGCGCGCAAGAAGTCATCGTATACTTTCTCGTGCACGTAGACGCGCTCGATGGAACAACAGCTCTGACCAGAGTTGAAAACGGCCCCATCGACAAGCTGCTCGGCAACGTGCTTGACATCAACATCTGGGCGAACATAGGCAGGATCATTTCCACCAAGCTCGAGATTGACCGGCTTGATGTGGCGAGCGGTCGCCTCTCTCAGCCTGATGCCACCCGCAGTCGATCCAGTGAAAGACACAGATTGAATATCAGGGATCTGGGCAACCTGGTCCAAGACATCAAGGTTTCCAATCTGAACAATTTGAAGAACGTTCGGTGGGAGTCCCGCCTCGGTAAAGAAGTCGAGCATCCTGTTTCCAAATAGTGGGGTTTGCGGCGAGGGACGCAGAATAACGCTGTTTCCAGCCAGAAGGGCCGGCACCAATGCGTTGACGGTAGTCAAGTAGGGGTACTTCAATCCATGTCAGTTTCACAGCAAGGTCCTTGGGGGTTTTGGCGGGTACATACGTTCCAGGCGCCAGCAATGAACACCGGGCCAAGGGGAACTCGCTTGACAGAGCGACGGAATCCAGACTCAGCGCGACCAGGCAAATCCGAGAGGCTCTCGTCGGAAATATCCATGAGATATTCGGCGCGCAAACGCATGGTGTTGATCTCGCCGGCGCAGTAGCGAATCGGACGGCCCATTTGAAGTGTAAGCTCATTGGCAAGCTCATCGCGGTTTAACTCAACAATGTCAAGGACTCGCTTCACAATTTCCTTTCTCTCGTCTAGAGAAGTATTTCGGTAAGAGTGGAAGGCCTTCTTCGAGGCGGCAGCCACTTGGATGGCTTCTTCGAGGGAAGTGCCAGCCTGCTCGAAGATGACCTCATGGGTCGCAGGGTTGACTGTGCGGATTTGGTTAGACATTCTTGAAAAGTATGAAAATTTGGGGTCAAAAGAGCACTGGAGGGTGGGAGAAGGAGGGCTTTATAGCGCGGGGCCGCGGTTGCAGATCCGGCGTTATCGCAGCTGTTCCACTTTCCTCCTTCCTCCCTCCAGGGACACGCATGGTATACGATCAGCCTTTGTGAGATATTTTTACTCAAAATATCTTGATCTTCAAAATTTGACCTCGTCTTTGTTGCAACCGATAGTAGATCCTGAAGCGCACATTGTCACATTTTGGTTCTAAAGTTATAAGGTCATATGCCTCCTTTCAGTGTGTTACATATCGAGCTCCGAGCGAGCTTTTATACTCCTCGCAGACAACTTTATAACTATCCATCCAATCTCGCCACCTTTGCGTCCAGTACGAACTTGGAAATTACACGCCCTATCAATAAACTATCGTGTAGATTTCCCGCGCGGGACTTGGCATCCTTGTACAACTCATCGTTGAACACACCACTGTCATGTCGGGTTTCCAGGATGCAATTCATGATACCTTCGTGGTATTCAGGGTGGCCCTGTACCGAAAGAAGTTTGTGGGGCGAGTATAGGCCCTGCAATTGACATAATGGACTCGTTCCAAGATTCACGCAACCTTCTGGGAGTGTAAAAACGATATCGCGGTGCATTTGTTGGATGCTCTGTAGATACATGTCAGTACTTTGTCGCACTGGTCGTCTCTTGTTGAGGGTATCCTTACCAAGGTGTCTTTTCCAAATAGCGCCTTCCCGGACTCGGTTAAATCGACATTTCCGACTGAAATTTCCCAGCTGTCGCCTCTCCCCACTTTCGCCCCAAGTGCTCGTGCGAGTATTTGATGCCCGAAGCAAATTCCGACGACCGGTACTTTATGTGTCAGAGCCTGCTGAATTTGGTCTGTGAGACTCAGAATCCATGGAGCATCGGACCAGGCATCGTGTTCTGTGTCATTTGGTTTAGCTTCGACATCGATTGTCATGGTGCATGTAGTAACTTACTGCTTCCAGTCATGATCATCGCGTCAACATTCTTGAGGTCAGGAAATGGCTCCATCTCAACCATGTCGTGCTCACTAAAGGTCACTTTGATGTCCCCAAAAGCCTGTCTCAGGAACTCCTTGTATATCACGAAGTAGTCGCCATATTTCTTGAGGACAGACTCGACCGGCGTATCGCAGCTCAGGATAGCAACATTGAGATGAATATTGTCCGACATCGTACTGGTTTTGCTTTTTTGCGTATCAATGGGTAAATGAGTTCAATGCTCAGTCATTATATGAATAAAGTACAAGTACACCGTCGGTCGGGCGATAATCGAAGTGTCGATTATCGATAACGCGATAACGCGCCGATAAGCGCGCCACCCCGCAGCGCGGACCGCGGACATTTGGACCTTCGGATAGCTGTCGTAGCTTCATCTCAGAACCTCGATTAAGCACTTATCTTGTGCATCACTATGCGCGCTCTGGAAACCGCGCGGGGTTATTGGGGACCAGAGATGCGGCGCGGGATTAATGATTTCCAGAAGCTCGACCCGCTGCATCCTCAATGGTCCACAATCCACGCAATTGAATGAATCTTATAAAGCTATGGCGAAGGGGTTCTCTCTTCTCTGATTTCTCTCAATTTAACTCGCTTGACCTATATCCCTCTCCCTTCAAAACCCTTGCCATGATTACGCCCACCATGATCACCGTCGAATCTCTTCCTCAGCTTCTGGCTGATGACATTATGGTCAAGGTCGCTGGAATTGACAGCGACGGTGTGCTGCGCGGCAAAGTGATGGCCAAGGAGAAGTTCCTTGGAATTGCAGAGAAAGGCTTCGGCTTCAGCTCGGCGCTCTTCGGTTGGGATATGCACGATATGCTTTGGACAACCGATGCACGAGTTGCACCTCCGGAGTCAGGATATGCTGATTTCCTGGCCATTCCGGACCTCAACTCCTTCCGCCGTCTCCCGTGGGAAGACAACATTCCTTTCTTCCTCGTGCGATTCCTTGATGACACAACCCCAGTCTCAGCAGACGGAAGAAGTATGCTGAGGAGTCTGTGCGATAAGCTTGCAGGAGAGGGTCTTCATGCTTTGGCTGGAGGTAAGCTCAAAGCGACTCTTCTCTCGAGGAGAGCTATTTGCTGATCTGTAACAGTTGAGCTTGAATTTATGAATTTCCAGACCCCTTCCGAAGACGGCTACGGCAGTGCAGGCTCAAAACACCCCAATCTCGCCTCCTTCCTGGAGAAGAACTCCCCCGGTGCTCTCCGGCCCATCACTGCTGGCATGTTCTGTTACAGCTCAACGCGACCAGTTGCAAACAAGAAATATTTTTATGACATCTTCAACACCGCTGCTCAGATCAAGTGCGGCATCGAGGGGTGGCACACCGAGGGCGGGCCTGGTGTGTATGAAGCGGTATGTACCTCGCTTGATAATACTGAACTAGTCTAATGAACTGCGTACAGGCCCTCAAGGTTTGTGAGATCAGTGAAATGGCCGACAAGGTCGCGATGTTCAAGTGAGTGAGATAAGCTGTACCAGAATCATGTTTTGATCTAACGGGCCGATAGGCTCCTAACCAAGTCTTTGGGGATGGACCACGGCGTGACCCCATGCTTCATGGCTAAGCCCATGCAAGGCATGCCGGGAAGCTCCGGTCATATCCACGTCTCACTCGCCGACAAGAGTGGGAAGAACCTTTTCGCAAGAGAGACACCCGAGGTTAACCCTCAGTGGTCAGACATTGCACACCTTTCCGACACGGGAAGGCACTTCCTTGCCGGACTTCTCGATGCTCTTCCCGATATTATGCCTCTATTCGCACCAACAGTCAACTCATACAAACGCCTGGTCGAGAATTACTGGGCGCCAGTTCACATCAGCTGGGGACTTGAGGACCGTATTGCCTCAATCCGTCTCATAACACCACCTGTCTGCAAGGCTGGTGCAACTCGCTTCGAAGTCCGCATTCCTGGAGCTGATCTCCACCCACACTACGCTTTGAGTGTCATCCTTGCAGCTGGCTGGAGGGGTGTGCAGAAGAAGCTTGAGATCAAGGTTCCACCCATGTCAGCACGCAAAGCGGGCGAACGCCCGGAACTGTTGCCCAATACCCTGGATAAAGCCTTAGATCGATTCTCGGCCCCCAACAGTATTGCAAGGGAGATGCTGAGTGACCAGTTTGTGGATTTCTTCACTGCGACGAGGCAGCATGAATTGGGACTTTGGAGAGAGGCTGTAACTGATTGGTGCGTTCATGACAACCTTTTCGAATCCTTTTCAGTGTTAGGAACTAACAGATACGCAGGGAGCTCAAGCGGTATATCGAAATTGTGTAAATTTAGTAATTATCTAGCATTTATGATCATGAATATCTTTCTGTCCAGCATTTCGCAGCCATTCCTTCTGGCTCAACCTTTTTCCTTTTTAAAATCCTATACCAGTTTCTGGTGGTATTGCGGCTTTCGGGAGTCAATATTCGCTTATTCAAATAGATGAGAGAACGGGCCCCCTTTAATGTGAGGAAAGTGAAGCGAGAAAAGTGAAGTGAGCAAAGTGAAGTGAGCAAAGTGAAGTGAGCAAAGTGAAGTGAGCAAAGTGAAGTGAGCAAAGTGGAATTAAAGAATGATGTAACCGCCATGCACCTCATAACTACATATCAGGGTGTACACAAAGTCCTTGCCATGATGCTCATTCTAAAGTTCTGGTAAATTTCGATGTGGTCCTGGGAATCAGCGTGGACTCCAGGGCTTCTTGGGCATGATAGTCAAGATCATCCTAGTTACGGTCTTCATACACATTAGAGATGCTCCATGAACATGATTAGATGATGATTCTGGGCTGGGCTCCCTTACATTTTGCGCTCAGATGCACAGAGCATAACGTATAGAGCGTTTTGATCCGCCCAATATCGCAACGGGCATTCCTACTCCGTCTTTTTGACAGGACTTCTGCAGGCCTCCAACTGATTCCCAATCAGAAGTAGCGTATATGGAAGTGTGCCTGGGCCACCCAAGGAGTAGACATCAAAGAACCAGCTGTCTTTATTGTCGTTTGGCTCTGCCCAGATGAGTGAGCGTGGGAGATGCTCTCAATCATTTCGCAGAAAATGAAGCCAAAGAGATCACAACAAGTCAATATATTGCAATCGTCCGGCACTGCGACCGTGGTTCGGTTGTTTTCTCTCTTGATCTTCAGCCAGTGTTAGATATTGCGCAAGGGAGTAGAAGACACCAGCGTTTGTAGATTTGGCCAACTATGGAATGAAACTCAATTGGGAAGGGACGTTCATGATCAGGTTCCCCGTTTATCCGTGGACTCAAAACCCCAGTACAAATTCGAAACGAATTGCGCGGCGATGTTTGCTCGTCGTGTGCCTTTTTATCAAGCAAGAAAATGATTATATTTTTGGCAAGTAGGCCATTGAAAACAAGTATATTAGTCCAGCGTAAGTCGAGAGGATGGTCGCGAATCAGGATGGGAAAGAGGGAGAGAGTTTGGCTGCAGATAGTTTGAACTTCGCCCAGAGCCATTCTTTGATCTGTTGATCATCTTGAAGCCACGATCAAAGTTTGTAATGCACACGATCGCACAAATAACAGTTGCAGCAGTGAGCACCAAGGAGACAAAAGCAAAAAGAAGCATCATGTCTTTCCCTACAGTCGAGTTCTCAAAAAGAATTATGACTCGGCTGATGAGATATGCAAGTACGCCCAAGTAGCAGGCCTGTCATAGTGTGAGCAAAGGTATCGTAGTGTGATACGATCATGGCCAGCCGAGAGAGAAAGGTAGGTAGTACTCACGATAATAACAACAACCCCCCATGTTCGTTCGTGTTGAACAAAGTATATTCCAAGCAGCATGCATATCAATGAAGCTGGAATAAGACACATAGTCAGAGTATATTCGATACCTCTGAAGTGGACGTATATCAGATTGTACTGCACGATAAAGCCGATCAGGAAGTAGAAATTCACTTTGATCAACACGAGGAAGATCTATGGCCATATAATGTTAGCAAAAGTTTCGAGCTTCCTAAGTTCCAAGGTCGCTTCTGACATAGTGAAACTTTAGAAGGGTGCCCAGGTGGTTTCTTACCTCATAAAAGAGATAGCGCATTCTAGTTTTGCGACTACCATTGACGGATTTGTATATGGCCCAAGAATATTCCCTATGCAGGAAGTATACACAGGGAACCACAACCAAAGTGCCCAATCCCGCAATTATGCATACAACAATCTCGGCGGGCTGGATTGACGGCCAGAGTTTGCGAGTAGTGTCTACCAAGGTTGGATACCCGAAGCGAGCCTCATACAGTCTGATGGTCGTCGTTTCCATCAAGCGGTACTGCATGATGGCGTACGCAAAACTGCAGGCATTGGAGATGCATATTGCGAACAGTAGGATGTTATTCTTTGCATGAATAGCATCCAATGCAAGAATAAGCATGTAGACGCCGGCAAAGATCAAAATTGCCAGGTTGATCGGAATCAGATATGAAACCGGAACCTGAATGATTGTTGGCGTTACCCATGATTGCCATTCCACAAATATGTAACTGTTTTGATAGTTAGATCACGATCATTAGGGAAGTACCTGGACTTCAGAAAAAGACAAGTCACTTGCACTTCAAGGGCGATTGTTATGATGGCCTGTGTGAGCAACACGCCGCATACCCACCACTCATTTTTTGTGGTTGGCCTATACATGTGGTATATCGAATGTTTGATTAGTGAAGGCGTCGAAGAATCGAGTTGACAATTCTTTTATCCCTATCAGCTTGAAGACCCTTTTTTTTCCTCCAGTAGCTTCTGACTTTCTCCGAGGATGTCTCACTCGGCAAAGTGGGCCACATGGGTACACTTACTGATTGGGTGCTGTCGGCCAACAAACAATAACGTGAAGATCTATTGGCTTGGGTGGGGAAAACCTTTGCGCCACTTCAGCTATGCCCCAGAAGCCATGCTGGGTGCCTGTTTCGAAGTGAAAAGATGTTATGAATCATGCGCACAGCCCTCGGAACATTTTGTGTAGTATGGACTTCGGAATACTCCGTTCATGGGAGTTCACAATCCCTCCGCGGCTCGGCGTTTGCTGAAAGAAATAATTGCTACATGCAACGTGCGGAATACTCGGGGAAGTTTCTGCAACTATAGTGGGCCATTTTTCAGTAGAAACTATTATACTAACTAGTAGTACTCCATACTCCATAAGGAGTACGGAGTACTGAAAGATACGAGATACTACGAGATACTACGAGAATTAAGATTCAAACGACAGCTCCGAGCCCTGGAGCCCTGTCTAAGGTAAACAACCCTTTAGTGGAGCTAGTCAGCCCTACGAGTATGCAGAGGAGTACCCAGATAGGCTGTATCCACGCCATAAGCGGCTCGAATTTTCCATGCCAATCCAACAGGAGTAATTCAAATGTGTGACTGCCACCATGAAATTTGAACTTCGATAGCCCAACATGTATTAAGTACCATCAACAATGGATATGATACCCCTCATATCCATTGGGTTCGTGCAATGAATTTATGCTAAGAAAACAATGAGCAGAGTGAAGCAGGGCGCACGGAGTAGGAATCACTGCAACCCACGGTCCTGCCAACAATCCCTAGGCGGTTTTGTGAAGATGTGAATGATATGAGTGCATCTGATGCCAGGAGGTTTTTGCCTCACTTATTCTGTTCTTCCATAAAGAACCATCGTCATTTAAGAACTTAAGTACAGCTCGTTGTGGGGTTGCTGCTGAAAGAATCTCCACAAAAACTTGGGAGCCTCAGGTGCTCTCTGTCTCAACGGAGAGATCGGTACCGAATCAGCTTGCTTTTGAACACAAACATCGCATCTGTATTTATTCAAACTCGAAACCATATTGCCATTCAAGAGCGCTTACCCCGCAGAGCTGTCTTCATTCAATCCTGTGCATATGCGGAGTAATTGTACGACAGTTCCAGCAGCCTGTAGTCGGAGAATTGGACCACTGATCCCAGACCTAGATATCGGATCAAAAATTCACTCAACTCGATGTCAGGATATTCCCGTCAGATGGTTACTGATACTCCGTATGTGCGAAGGCTTGAAAGTCCGGGCTTCGAACCCCAACCCGCAAAACAGCATCCCGGAACCGGGATCAATCCCTGTATCGGCATTAAATAAGGAAAGACAAGTGCCGATCTAATTTCCACGTGACTCGCAGCGTGCCGAAAACCCGGGGCTTGGTGCCTCAGGTGTCAATCGGGGCCACGGAGCACCGCGTTTCAGGCTTCTGATTTTGCATAAACCTGCCTTTATGACGGCCCAGGCCGCCATCTCGTAGAAATTTTCAGGCCAGCAGAGGGGCCTATGGGGCAAGACGGTGAATCATCCTGGTGTCAAGCTTTGCCATTGAACCAATCATCATGCCTCAGCTAGCCGGACGCAGCGAGTGTGGACCAACGGTCTTAAGGTCCTTCGTTATCGCCGTTAGTTATGCTCCAGTATTCCTGTCCCGGGGAGATTTTTCCCGTGCTATCATTCGATATAAATATCCATGGATGTTCCCCGCCTTGGAGGGTTACTTCACTTTCTTCTAGATCAAATTACATCACAAAATTTGGGCAGATCTGTTCTAAAGTTGCAGATCCGCACACTGGTAGCTCGGCGCCTTCCAAAATTTGGCTCGGTATCTCTAGACCTCTTGCCGATTTCAAGTCGATATGTCGGAAGACACGAAACGAGAAGCTGGCTCGACCAGGTCACGATCGACGTCAATATCCAGTGACTCCGAATCTTGCGCATCCAGGTCGAGGGTGAACTCGAGATCTCGAAGCCTGACCGGGTCCTTGAAATCCAGACTACGGTCACAATCAAACTCGGGAATGACTCAAGTTGACCGAATCTATTCCGGACGACACATCAACGACCAGTCTGTGTATCACAGTGACGAAAATAACGACGACGAAGGATCTTCTATCAGAAACACAGAGACGATCCAAGAAGTAAGGAATGGGGTAGTGAATGAACGAGATCTCGATTTAGAGAAGTCACAAAATCCGGAGCTCGAAAAAACACGGACAGCGAAGTCCAATAAGTCTCATCGTGATCCTAAACTGGTGAGCATGTCCGGTCCGCCGAATTTCGCGTCTGATACTGACAAGTACAGGTTACATGGGATGGCGATGAAGACCCCGAAAACCCGAAAAACTGGCCTATGAAGAAGAAATGGGCTGCGACTATCACCGTCTCGCTGTTCACTTTCATTTCGCCCGTCTCTTCATCAATGGTTGCTCCTGCGCTCTCGTCTCTGGCGGCCGAATTCAATGTCACTGATGAAGTTGTCTCTCAACTCATGCTTTCAATCTTCGTCTTGGCTTACGCAGTTGGCCCATTATTTCTTGGTCCATTATCTGAGATATATGGAAGGACCATCGTTCTCCAGCTGGCAAATCTCTTCTTTCTAGTCTTCAATATCGGTTGTGCCGTATCGAAGACAAAAGTACAGATGATTGTTTGTCGTTTCTTTGCTGGACTTGGAGGAAGTGCGCCACTAGCGGTAAGTTCGGGCCTCAAAAATGCAACATACAAACCGAAAATGATTGAAACTAACTTCATGCAGATTGGTGGTGGAGTTCTTTCGGATTGCTTTCGACCAGAAGAGCGTGGCAAAGGAATCGCAATCTACAGTCTTGCCCCCCTTCTCGGTCCTGCCCTAGGCCCAGTGGCGGGAGGTTTCATCGCCGAAAACACCACCTGGCGATGGGTCTTCTACTCAACCTCCATAGTAGATGCCTTGATCCAAGTGATGGGTCTGTTCTTCCTGCGTGAAAGCTACGGCCCGAAGATCCTGCGGGATCGCGCCATGCGCCTACGCAAAGAATCAGGCGACGAGTCCTATCAGACAGAGATTGAGCGACAGAAGAAACCACTTTCGGAGATCATGCGCACTGCTCTTATCCGCCCTTTTCGACTTCTCACCACCCAGCCCATCGTGCAAGTCCTTGCCCTCTTCATGGCATATATCTATGGAATTATGTACCTGGTTCTCTCGACTTTCCCATCCCTCTGGACAAGCCCGAAGTACTACAACGAGTCGATCGGTATCGGCGGGCTCAATTATATTTCGCTGGGTCTGGGATTTTGGCTCGGCTCACAGATCTGTGCTCCTCTCAATGACCGGATTTACCGTCGTCTGAAAGCACGAAACAACGGTGTTGGAAAGCCCGAGTTCCGTGTCCCGCTACTCTTCGTCGGTGCTTTCTTTATTCCTTCTGGGCTGTTCATCTATGGGTGGACCGCACAGTACCACTGTCATTGGATCGCGCCTAACATCGGCGCGGTTCTCTTTGGCACTGGCAACATCATCGCATTCCAATGTATCCAAACGTATATGGTTGATACTTATACGCGCTTCGCAGCCAGAGCCTTGGCAGCTGGTGCATTCTTGCGATCGCTGGCTGGATTTGGATTCCCATTGTTTGCACCATACATGTATAGTGCTTTGGACTATGGGTGGGGCAATAGTCTGTTGGCATTCGTGGCTATTGTCATTGGAGTACCGGCGCCTGTTTTCCTGTGGAAATTTGGTGAGAAGCTGAGGAAGAAGAGTCCATTTGCAGCTGGATAATTGAATGGTTTTAGATGGGCCATATAGAGTAGACAAAAGACTCTTTACTTTCCCGTCCAAAGGAGAGCCTACAAAACACCAACCCCTCTGTATAGTGTAATTTGTAGCTCTCGGGATTTTGCTACTGTGGTTTTCCATAATCTAGAATTGAATTCCTCTTCCCCCCCAGATTAATGGTATCAGACAAAGGGGAATCATCGTCCGGAGTTAAGCGGAGATAGTGAAGTTCTGCAGTCACTTTCCAAGTTGTCCCCATTAAAGTCGTACTAAATGATCGGGGAGAGAGAGAAGTCAAATGCCCCCTTGATAAATGTAGAATGACTGTAAAAAAAAAAAAAATGTTTGTTGACTTCGAAAGTAAATTTCCAAAAAAGATTCACATTCCCCTCACAAGTGGGGAAGAAAGAGAAAGAAAATACGAGGCGAAAGAAAGGGAACTTAGACCTCCGAGTTGACTTTCCGCAAAACTTCACGGATTCGCGAGATTGGGAAACGCGCCAAGAGGGTCGCCTAGCAACATCTGCTGACTTGACATCTTCTGTCGCGTCCCTCGCTTCTCGCATATCACCCATTTCTCTCCCTTTCCCGCAAACCCACCTACGTTCTCCGACTCGTCATCTCACGGGAAGCGAAGAAAAAACACGCCACACATCAACAATGGAGAATTATCAGAAAATCGAGAAAGTCGGAGAAGGTGATGTGAGCATGGTTAATTGATGACGCGGGACCCTAGCTGACGCGTCGTTGCTCATCAGGAACGTACGGCGTCGTCTACAAGGCCCAAGAGGTCAACTATCCAAGCCGCATCGTCGCCCTGAAGAAGATCCGACTCGAAGGCGAAGATGAGGGTGTGCCGAGCACCGCAATCCGAGAGATCTCCCTCCTTAAGGAAGCGAAACACCAGAACATCGTGCAGTTGCTCAACATCGTACACGTCGATGACAATAAGCTCTATCTCGTCATGGAGTTCCTCGATCTCGACTTGAAGAAATACATGGAATCCCTACCTGTCAACGAGGGTGGCAGGGGCAAGACCTTCCCGGGCGGATCGAAGAACAGCGCCAACCTGGGTCTGGGAGACGCCATGGTGAAGAAGTTCATGGCCCAATTAATCGAGGGTATCTTCTATTGTCACAGCCACCGCATCCTGCATCGGGACTTGAAGCCACAGAACTTGCTTATCGATCGTGAGGGTAATCTGAAATTGGGTGATTTCGGTTTGGCTCGAGCCTTCGGTGTCCCCTTGCGGACGTATACCCACGAGGTAAGTACTCGACAATAGCAATTGTCCTTCCTTCGGCCCTGCATACTAACATATGTTCACTCAAAGGTGGTCACTCTGTGGTATCGCTCCCCGGAAATCCTACTCGGTGGTCGTCAATACTCCACCGGTGTCGACATGTGGTCCATAGGTGCAATCTTCGCCGAGATGTGCACGCGCAAACCACTATTCCCCGGTGACTCGGAAATTGACGAAATCTTCAAGATCTTCCGGTGAGTCTTGGTGTCACCAGCCGAATTGCTCCATACTAATCACCCCTACTCCATAGACTCCTTGGTACCCCCGACGATGAGACCTGGCCCGGCGTCACCTCGTTCCCCGATTACAAGTCCAGCTTCCCCAGGTGGAAGCGTCCCGATGGCCCTCTGGTGCCAGGATTGGAGCCAGCTGGCTTGGAACTCCTGGAGGCTCTCCTCGAGTACGATCCCGCACTCCGACTTTCTGCAAAGCAAGCTCGTCAGCATCATTACTTCGAAAGCAACAGCTCTCGCCCCTCAGCCAGAGCCTAAGATGGTGGACTACGCCATTGAAGGGAAAAATAACCAAAAAAAAAGCGAAGTAATACCATTATCATTAACGCCGTTCAACGAGGATTTCTGCGATATCCATCTTAGGTATGCCATATCACTAGATAAGCTTTGCTTAGAAATGACCAATGCAATACCCTCACAATTATGCCTCTGTCGCTCAATTTCCATTAAAGATATCAAATTCACATGACGGGGATCAGATTTGAGCCTGGAGTCTTGCTTGGAATTGGTCCTCTTCAATCAAGGAAACATAGCAATGCCTCCAAGGCTCACACAGTTATTGAGCATGTTAGAGCTTCAGGGTCCTCGCATCAAAAGCTACAATACAATACCCGCTGATTCTGTGATGGCTTCCCTCGATATCATTCTAATAACTACATGAGCTCGATATCTCACCGATGAAGAACAGGATATGATCGTTGACTAAGGTGGAAATCACACCAGAACTTGTTAGCCTCCCGATCTTGCGAACATCTGCTCTCCCAGACCGATTGCCACAATGACTACCATCATAGTTGCTATGGCTCAACTACATGCCCAGATCAATAACCTACCAATCACCTCCAAACCCACCGGCCATCACACTCAACAACAGGGAATCGTACCGAGCTGTCGAAATCACCCCCATTCGAGAAGCAGCTTGCGCCGGAACAAAACTAGCATTTCTTCCGAGTCAAGGGCGACTTTCCAAAACAAAACCGAACTTCAAGCCGATGTGTCAATCGAAAGCAGCAATCGGGTGTATACTCACGTACTGTGACCTGGATAACATCACATTCACTTAGTGTATTTGTCGAGAGTGATTTCCCAGGCCGGGTCAGCATAATCAATAAAAGACGTGTAAATCATACTTATGCCCTCCTCACTTCGTACTCCGGACCGTGAGGGTTGGATAAAAAGGCGGCAATTGACGGGACAATATTGAATATTTCGCAATATGTCACTGAACTGAGTTCATGCTTGCTTATTCCGCTTCAGTTGCCAATGTTGGAAGGGCTATGGATATAACCTTGGAGGCGTGAGGTGGATAGACCTGAATGGAGAGACGTGATCAATTGTACTGGTAATTAGCAGGCCTGGAGTGCAAGGTATCGCTTGACAGATCGCAAGACGGTGACCGCCTGGAAACCTGGGCTGCTTTGTACGACATGGCCATGCAAGGGGTAATTAAGACGGACACATGGTCTGAGGTTGCGCCCCATCTACTCCGTACTATATCAGGATATGCAAAAAGGTATCTTGAATAAAGAAATTGTATTTAGGAAAAAGACATAAATCCAAAGAGATATATGAGAGAAAAGAAATGAGAGAGCCGAGAAAACTATCCAAGTGGTCTGCAGCTGTCCCGTCAAACGGGGTATATATGGTCACATGAGGGTATACACATGAGGGTATCAGAGATTCAAGGTCAAATCATTACTCCGATAAATCGGAATCCACGTCAATGGACGGAGGGTAAGACACGAGTTAAATTTACTCATTGTGCTTGGTGGTGTTGGCGTTGGTATCGCTGTCACCACTGCTCATGCCAGTCTCGGCCTTCTCAGCCTCAGAGGCACGGCGGACGTCATCAGAGGTGTCGAGACCGAGCTCGGCCTGCATCTCAGTGATCTGCTGCACGGTGAGCTTGGGAAGCTCCTGTGCAACACGGTAGGGCCACTTCTTCTCAACGTGGGCCTTGGCGAAGATAATATCAACTTCCTCCAGGTCACGGCCGGCAGTTTCAGCGTAGAAGAACCAGGCGAAGGGAATGGCGACGAAGTTGACAAGGGCGAAGAACAGGTAGATACCCCAGTCGGAGCGCTCGGAGAACACGGGAGTGAACATGACGACGGCGAAGTTGGTGATCCAGTTCATGCAGGTGGAGGCGGAGGCAGCCTTGGTACGGGTGCGGAGGGGGTTGATTTCCGGGGGGTAGATCCAGGGGAGAGGCAGCGTCGTAAAGGCGAAGAAGCAGATGAACAAGAAGATACCGACGACGGCACCCTTGGAATTCTGGACAGTCGAGTCGATCAGGCAGCCCATGGTGATGATGAAACTGAGACCTTGACCGAGGAAACCGATGAGGAACAGGTTACGACGACCGACCTTTTCAATCATGAAGAAGGAGGGAATAGTAGCCAGAGCGTAGACAGTAGCGAAGACACCACCCAGGACGAGAGGGAGCTTGCCAGTCATGTGCAAGTTGTTCTTGAAGAGGAGGGTGGAGTAGTAGATAGCAGCATTGCAACCAGTGAACTGCTGGAAGAATTGACCAGAGCAACCAATCATCATACGCTGGAAGTTCTGAGTCTTACCACCAGTGAAGAGGACCTTCCAGCTGCTAGCCTGAACACCTTCCATCGACTTGAGATCAGCCTTCATCAGGTTGAAATCAGTGAGAACGTCCTCGGAATCGACAGTGCTGTCATTGAGAGCAGCCAACACCTCCAGAGCCTGTTCGTCGTGGCCCTGCATGACGAACCAACGAGGTGACTCGGGGAGCATGAGACCACCGATGGTGACAAGGATGGCGAAGAGAATCTGGAAGGCAACGGGGAATCGCCATTGAACGGAGGAGTCGACGTAAGAGAGACCGAAGTCAATCCAGTAAGCGATGAAGGTTCCGACGGCGATAATGGCACCCTCGAAGCAAACGAGGAAACCACGGTTGTGGGCCTTGGAACATTCAGACTGCCACACAGGAATGGTCGCGGTATCCATACCGTTTCCAAGACCAGAGATGACACGTCCAATAACGAATTGTCCCAGACCCCACTTGTCACCGAACGCAGCAGTAGAGAGAACAGTACCGAGGACCATCAGAAGACCACCGGCAACCAGGATAGGGGTACGACCGATCCTCTGGCCGTACATGAGAGTGAAGATAGCGCCGAAGAAACAACCAAGTTCGTAACAAGCAGTGACGGCACCCTGCAGAACGGAGACATGCGAAGGGTCACCCTTGGAGGGATCGAGCGGGGGGAATTCCTTGACGAATTGATCACCGGAGATAATACCGGACATCAAACCCTGATCATAACCGAAGAGGGAGAAACCAATAACGGAAGTGAAGGTGATGGCAAGATGGAGCTTCTTGCCCCGGAATCCGGAGGTTGCGGTCCACATGATGAAAGAGCCTCCTTGTATGTATCAGGAGAGGACCTAAAACGACATGAGAGAAAACAAAGAAGCTTCGCTCTGTCAGGGATGCATCTGCATCTTATGTATTCTCCGGGGACCTAACAGGCGGGCCCCATAGTTGGTACATGGGTGGTAACGCCAAGCTGGAAAAGTCTGAAGTGACATCGGCGGCGCCCTAAAGGCAACTTTTGCGACCCGCCGTGGGGACCCATGGCCCTTTCGGTGGGGTTGCGGGGTGGTAGAGGCAAGTGTTCCGGGTCTCGTTTTGTGCCCTGAGCGACGGTAAAAGCGAGACCTTGAGACCGGGACTTTCTTATTCTTTGACCACTTCTTGATGTCAGAGGCTGAGCTTTTCCTGTCACCAGTATGCGCTTTGTGCCTTGAGATCTTGTCCCCGAAGGTATCTTGTGGGGGTGGACTCGATCCGGCGGCGTTGTGGTGGAAATGCGGATGGATTGCGGTTGGCGTTGCAATTGGCGCTGCGGATGTCCGGATCAGGAATCTCAACCGACCCTCCACGGGGAAAATAGGGAGATTTGTGTGGGTCAGGGGCGGAATTTCTCTGTTACCGGCCATTCACAGACGACATCCGACTATTGAGTTGTCGCTACGTCGAAAATACCGCCTTCTAGTTGGCGAACCTCGCTGCAAGTGCTGGGGCCAAAACGAAAGACCGAATGAGGTTCTCCCATTGTGTTTCAATTCTCCCGCTCCGAGGCCGAATCAATCAAATAGCCAGCCGATTTGTTTAAGGATTGTGAGAGATTTAATTTGATATTTAGATGCCAAGAGTCATGGCGCATGAATCTTAGCGGTCTTGGTACCAGGCTTGGTATTCTTGGTATTCTTGGGAGTTCATTTTTCATGGCCCCCTATGGCATAAGCTTTTCTTCAAGACTGCTAAGCACTCTTGGTTTCTAGGCAAAAAGTCTTGGGAGCAACGACAATTCTTCAAGGTATTATTTTCCTTTATTACGACTATGGGAGAAAATGAAACAGACAAATGAAAAGTCAAAAAAGGAAAAAAGACACTAGCGGAATACGGAGTACAGACCGCAAAATACGGAGAATCTCACCACAGAATCGGGGGGAAAAAAGTAAAGACTCTCGGGCCCGGGGGAGAGTCGGGGGAGGGCACAGTCCAACGCATCGGGAATCTTAGTCAGAGCCTCCGTTTCCGGCTAAACAAAAGGGTTGGCACGGCTGAGGCGTACGGCGTCATGGGCCCTGGAAAAAAAATAAAAAGAAAAGAGATGAAAGAGGAAATCAAAAGAAAAATTTCCAAAAGAAATTGAAACCTCGTGACAGAACCATGGCTCTTCTCAACGGCTTGTTCGTTGAAGTTGAAGCAATGGAATGCCAAGACATCTTGTCACTATGGTTTGTGCGAAAGCCGGGACCTGTCCGTTTTTCGGTTATTTCGAAGATCCACGTCCAATTCACTCTCGGAAATTGCTTTGGAGCCTGACTCTGATTTCTCGGGCAATGAAAATGGAAGGATTTTTTTTTTTAAAAAAAAAAAATTACAAAATAAAAACGGAAAAAATCCGAATATTCGAAGCCAACCCGGATACGGATATTTGTTACTCCATTGCCACGAGGCCTCAGATGTACGAATAGAGGAGGTTTCCCACGGGTCCCAAGCGTGGACGTCATTCCAACGTCGCAATAAACGCTGTCTGTGGTACGCCGTATGCCGCACCGCGTGGCGTTGCTTAGACGCTTGGCGTTCCCTTCAGTTCTCCGGCATGGGAAAGGCGTTACGCCGTACCAGGATTGGTGGACTTGAGACATGACCTCGGTCAAAACTCCACCTACGTTAGAGGCTTCAGTCTCCGATCTGACTTTCGAAACTGACCTGCTGAGCAGAACTTAGATCGGCACGATGCATGTCCCGCGTTGACGTAGAAAGCATATTCAGATCCTTCCCGTTTGTGTTCTAGATCAAGGGCCTCGAGACCCGCCAAGGGGTGTGCGAACTGATCTCGAACGCAAGAGGGGAGTACGAGTAGATTTGCGGTTTCACGTCGAGACCACGAAAGTGAATCGATGCTCAGGTTATGATACTACTCGTACTCCATGTATACGGAGCAGCAACTACGGAATACTCCGTATTCCGTACAGTCATACCTAGGTAGCAGTTGGCATGTGATAGATAGTTTTGGGATTGATCTGCTTGAATCAAAGAGTATCAGGGCATACTCCTATTAATCCATCTCGGTTCATTAACATCCGAGTACATGTCCACGTTCGAACCCCATGATTCTGGAAGGATAGGCGAAACTGGGGGACTGTGACCGTCGGCACCGAATCCGTAGCTGAAATGGCCGATCGACTGTACGAGTACAATGCACATTGCAATTTCCGCATAGAGTGGAGCAAATTTAACACCTGGGCAAAAGCTTCATACTACGATATTTCCCTACTGCTCCACTCTTCCTTCCTACGAGTAGTAGTCGTAATTTGTAACCCCTTCATATCCCCTTTCTCCGATCTCCCCCGGGTCTATCTGCCGAGTTGGATGCTCATACGATGACCCCAGGAGTGTAAGCGAGTCTTAGTGGGTTCAATAGCGCGGAGAAGGTGCTCCATTGGGGCAATCTGCCAATCTGTCGGCCCAAGCTTCGATGCTGAAATAGGTTGTTGGTCGTGTGTGGGAACGCCTTATGGCTTGTATACTGGTCTATGCCGCAGGCAGTAATGTTACAAGTAGGCCGAGCTTTAGAATGAGTAAGTGCTGCATAATCAGTTTGTTCATCCATGGTTCCACACAGGTGCGGTGGACATTTTCTCACGGCCCAGGGTACTATCCATATCTCAATTCACCTTTTTTTATGACGTCCATAACTTAGAACCAGTCTGAGACTTCACCTAAGCAAGAGGCCGGTAGTTGAACACATATATTGCCGTTGTCAATACGGAGTTTGTGTGCACAGGCCCCGCAGGGCACGGTTTGACATATCGATCCCGTTTCCTCTTAGGCGTCGCATTTCATCATCTTGGCAGCTGACAATAACCTTATAGGCCGGGTTCCAACGCAGCTCCTGGAGGATAATCATCGCGACTTGATATGCTGTAATATGGTTTTCAAATTCGGGGCATTGATGAACCTGTGTTCCATCTGCTGGAGATACTCAGAGAGACTCTTGAAATCTCGGTCACATTTTAATACCAAAGATAGAAGTCGGTAGGGAAGAAGAGAGAGGCTCCCATTTTGGTGTTCATCGTGTCATTCTTCTCAATTTTAACGGGTGTCAAGTCGGTTGCTTGGTTTGGTTTTGATACGGACTCGGTGGCGGGAGGATTTGTGAGATTTGAATCATTCGTCGCATTTCGGGCTTTATTGATGGAAGCACGCGAGCCTCATCTGACGATATTGATGTCAGAATAATAATCAGAAGATGAAAACATCTTGATGCAAGAAGCAAAGAGTTTGAAGGCTGACGAGGAAAGAAGAGAGAGAGAGAGAGAGAGAGGTGGGAATGTGGTTTTATATGATGATGAAATGAGGCGCTGGGAGAAATAGGTCAAACACTGCCTCTGCTTTAAAAGTTAAAACTGTCAAGTGACGCGGCCAGATTTGATGCGACTATTGCCTGCGTCGAGATCCAACCACATTCTAAGTGATATATAGATGCTTCAGATGTCTCTCGCCCTGGAGGTACATTCACATCGTCAGCAGTGAACTTCCAAGGCTTTGATCCACGGATATCGTAATATGCACATTGGGTTATAAACCTTAGAAGTTTCCCAGGTATGGAGAATAGCTTGTAGATTCATAACCAAATTATATGACAGTTTCTATGGAATTATTTTAAAAAGCACATTTTTGTATTCATCCATCCCACAGAGAGTAATGATGACAGTATATCCGGAATGGGAATTCTATGTTTACTGGGTGATACCGTGCTCCTCTCTTCCGTGCTTCTGGTTGATTGTTAGTTTGATATTCCCGCCAAGACATCCGTGGATTTGATAGAGGGACATGAGATGAACTTACTTGCTTACGGTGGTACTTGATACCAAGGTTAATTCCGCTGGCCGAGTCATAGGGGACTGGGCTGTCGTAATCATAAGTGGGCTCAAGGCCGTGGTAGGTCTTCTTCACGATCTCTGCGATACCGTGACCGGCGGAGCACTTGCCCTCGGTAGCTGGAACAGCCCACTTAGAAGAGTACTCGGAGTAGTCGGAGTCAGACAGAGGGCCGGGGTATGTCTCGTTAAGGTAGGCATTGGTGGTATCGACCTCCCAGTTGATGTAGCCGGTCTTGTCGGCGACCTGCTTCAACAAGTTGGCGCCGCAGTCCCAACGGCCGAGGGAGGGCAGGCCCCAGTTTGCAGAGAGAGATGCAATGATGGAGTAGTGGGTGTAGAAAGTATCGTCGGTAGTACCCTTCAGGTGCTCGGGGACCGCTCCACCAAGCAGGATGCTGTAAACACGGTTGGGCTTAGGGTAGGTGTCCACCTCATCGAAGGTCAGGAGAACAAGCGTGTCCTTGGAGAAGTACTCGTTCTGGAGAAGAGGAGAGAGGAACTTGGCAGACCACTCGCCTGCGACGGTAATGTTACTGTCGTGGGCGTCATTGGTCATGTTAGGGGTGATGAACATGTGCTGGGGGAGACGGTGATGTTCAAGATCATCGTAGAAGGAAGTGAAGTTCTTGATCTGGCGCGGACGGACAGCGTCGTTGGTGACGGAATCAAACAGAACCAAGGGGTTGTGCTTGCGCACGTACTGATTCGGGCCGCTGAGAGGGTACCGGAAACCCTGGTAGCCGGCATGGGGCATATCTTCCTGGTACTCGCCCCAAGCAATGTGCTTGGTGTCAAAGAGATCTGCAATGGTGGAGACATTGGCTGGAATCTGGTGGAAATCGTCGTTATCCATGCCGAAATTGTCACCGGCAGCGGAAGCACAGTAGTTTGGCTCTGAGGGATGGGTGACGGCGAAGTAGTTTGTCAGGAGGATTCCCTCCTGGGCCAAATTAGCCATATTCTTGTCCGCGGCGACCACATCATAGTCCTGGTTCTCGAGCCAGATGTCCACGAAGCGGTCAAAAGCCAGACCCTTCACATTGGAGACCGGCGAGTAGGGCAGGACAGTAGCCCGGGCAGCATCGATCTCCGCTTGGGTTGGATTCTGCTCGGTGATGGTCTTGGCCGCACCCAGAGCCAGGGCGCTCACGAAGGCTAGAAGAGTCTGTTTGGTGAACATCTCGATTCTTGGAATTTTGCTGTGATGAGAATGGAAATAAGTGAGAAGATCGAGCGAGACACGCGATCTTATAGCTGTGACATTCCTGGCATCGGCTGGGAGAATTCGGCCATATCCGCCATCCAGGCACGCGTCCTTCTAACCGATCCCACGTTTCGATCGGCGCAGGGCTGACTGGCTGCATTTCCAAGCATTGCTAGCCCGATGGAGCCAAGGATGAAAGGTGCAAGCCGGACATCGCAGGTGTTCCTTCAAGTCCCATCTATCACTGCGGTCTGATTGGGTGGATACACCAAAGTGGGGCATGGCACCTGGGTCCCTGCGCCGCACGTTGCTCCCCGCGATGTCCTCACTGGCTGATGACCACTTCCAAGGTTCTCTTGTTCGGCCATACATTGGTGACCGGTTACCAATATTCCTCGAAAAGGATTGGGTGGTGTGGACATAAGCTCCGAGGCAGAAGCTTCTTTCCAAGATTGGGAGATGTCCAAAGCATTGAGCTTTAGAAGTTGGATGTTCTAAATATTATGCCTGAGGCAACAACGCACCTGGACCAGATGGTACACTTATACCTGGAGTTGTCTGAGTATTCCAAAGTTCAAATCTTACTTAGGATAACCCCAGGGCCTTAGAAGATCTAGATATTGATGGCATGCTACAGTTCTACATCCCTAGGGCAACTCAAGGCAACGGGACAACACAGTACTTAAGTAACACTATGGTCCATATTGAAATATTCATCTCTGCTTAAGTAGGATCCTGGGTCTACAGGTGGTCTACTTCGTTAATCAAGACCCAGATACTTACATCCATGGACACATGATTTTTGTTGAGTCTCCTCGTGGGTGGCTTGAGCGGGGCCGATCCAGAATATACATCCGCAAACCCTAGAGTGCCCCGACAAGTTACTCGGGACAAACACCAAAGCTAAGTACCTAGAACAAAAAGTACAAATCAGAGCAGAGAGGATGCCCAAAATCTCATCAAATATGTTATGATACCCAGAGATATGTAGGCAGCCGCCTGGGCTCCAGGCCTGCAGGTTCAGGTGTCGACTGCAGTGCAGCGACCCCGCACAATGATTCAGTAAGGAAATGTCACTCAGATGCATTCATGGACGTTTCTAGATTACATTGCTTTGTTGTCACATCGCTTGGCTACTGAGCCCGGGTGCTTTTGTTCATATATCTCAAGGCCATAGCCCAGTCGCGCCCGTGGGGTTGTGTCAGCCCGAGCTTGAGCCTCACTGTAGATCTTACCCCCCAAAGGATCAAGGTACCGGAAGCTCTGCTCTGGCCGTGACCTTGGCCTCCCTTCTATCTTCACAGAAACTAGCACATCCAAGATTCCTATCTAAGTCTTCAACATCAAATTCACGATCGGAATGGTTGGACTGCTCGATCTCCCGGTTGAGATCGTACTTCTGATTGCCGGTTCCTTGCTATGCCACGAAGAAGTCGAGGGTAGTTTCGCCGGTCCTCAGAGCGATTTAAACTCCCTCATCCAGACGAACAGGCAGCTATATAACCTATTCCAAGACGAACTATACGAATCGAACGTCAGATATCATAGGCAAACAGCACTTGCATTCGGTGCATACCACGGCAACAGGACGATTGTCGAAAAGACATTGGAGGTTGACAAGTCAAAGATCTCATTAGCGATACCTAGCTGGTGCTTGCCTTGCACGGTACATACCACCCATGAACCAGTATGCTGGGCTGCTCAGGGTGGTCAAACTGCAATGATCCAGCATCTTCTCGATTGTGGAGCTACCTTCAAGCCCGCTTGCCTGGAACGTGGCAGATGTGAATGTGAAACAGGGCTTCTGGGCCAAGCGGCCAAAAATGGTCACTTGGAAACAATGAAATATCTTCTTGCGATGGGTTTGAAAGTCGAAAGTCGAAGAGAGCTCAAGCACCAAAGACCCGAGAGACGCGGTGTCACGCCACTGCGTATGGCGGTTGAAAACGGTCAAAAGAATTGCATTGACTTCATTCTCCGCGAAGAGGGGTATCTTGCTTTACGAGGCAAAGAATATGTGCATAGAATTGCCCTGATTGTGGCAGGGGTTGGGTACCCGCCCGCAGAAGTGAACCACCAGTCGCTAGATTCTGCGTTATTCCTTTTGAAACAGAGCAAACTCACCCAGTCCTTTGACTTCTGCCGCTGCCTTGTGGACGTTGCTTCCGCGATTTCGAAGGACCTCCCGAAACTCAGCCAGATACTTGAGATGCCCGGGAATTTCGAGCTTTACGCAGATATGCTTCTATATCTGGCAGTGATGAGTGGGCATGTGCCCCTACTCGATGAGATGGTCCGACTGGGTGTCTCTGTGGAAACACGGTTCCGAGGTGGCCACACACCAATAAGCCTGGCAGCACTGGAAGGTGGTCCAGACATTGCAACCCGCCTTCTAGAGTTAGGTGCAGACCTGAACGTCAAAAACGACAAGGACCAGTCACCATTCTTTTTGGCAACTCTATCGCGAGCATTGGGGGTCATGGAAGTGTTCTTGCATCACGGTGCTGATATCAACGCCAGCTCAACCAGATGCGGAATCATCCAAACACCACTTTTTCGAGCCGTAGCCGACATTGAACGTTCTTGCCTCATCGGGCGAAATATGAGCTCACCAAGACGCGCTGGCCGGTCTTCAGCAAGCGCTGTCGTGGAGTTCTTGCTGCAGAATGGAGCCGATCCCAATTTTCGTGACCCGACATATGGTATGTCACCTTTCTGGCTTGCGATTAGGGCTTGCAGCCCTTTGAACGACGATGAAAGGATCCGAGCATTGATTGAACATGGTGCCGATGTCCATGTGGCGCAGAGACGCCGATCGATTCTGTGCGACGCCAGCAGACATTATAGCATCGATACTATCAAGCTGCTACTCGAGAAAGGTGTTGACCCGAATGACTATGGCGAAGACTTCAGTGCAACAAAGACCTATCATCGCGGTGTACCTCTCTCACCTTTGGCGAAATGCATGAAATACGGCTGGTCTGAGCAGGCAGTACTCCTCCTCGACTTTGGTGCAGATCCTCATGCTTTGCATTGGAAAAAGGAGACTTGTCTGGTCAAGGCTGCCACGTTTGGGTCTTATGCCCTTGTGGCAAAGTTGCTTGAAAAGGGTGTTGACGTGAATGAATCCTTCAATGGCAAGACAGCGTTGGATATTGCCGTGTGGCGCCGCAATGCAGAATTGACGGAGTTGCTACTTCGTTGGGGAGCAAAGCCCACTGAATCTGCAAAAGAGAGATGTATTGTGTCAAAAACTAAATGCCGCAGCGAAGAAAAAGCGAATAAATGAATTCTGGCATTGGTCTGTGTTTTGAGAGTGGGTGACGCTACGGCTGACTGCGACCAACCACAGTTCTGAGAATCATTTCGAGCTTTGCTTCCAATGTTCTATTGCTGCCCAGGTAATGCCATGAATACGAGGATCCGATGATTAGATGACAGTTGAATTTATGTACATTCTGAATGTATTCGCACTCTGAGCCAAAGCTGACTTCATTCATACTGAGATTCAACCATCATGCTAAAAGATGTAGAGATATAGAACACTGATCTTCGCTCGTTATTCTTGACTCAATGACTATTACATAGCTGTCTCGACGGGTAAAAGAAACAAGAGAAATAAAAATAAGAGTAATTAAAAAAAAGGCAGATAGTCGGGAGAAAGCGAGACGTGGCTCATTCTCGACCGACATAGGCCAGGTAAGCCAAAATATTCCCTGGTGACAAGAGGGGACTGCGGTGGATGGTGGTAGGCAGGTAAGAGGAGAAAGAGAGGCACCAGGGATGGATGTGCGCGCCGAGAGAAATATTTTATACAAAATCCAAAACCAGCAACATTTACTCGGGCTTCTTGCCCACCATGAGGTACATGGGAGTGAAGAGGTTCTTTTGAGCACCCTCAACGAGACAGTCACCAGCCAAAGCCAAGCTGTCGGCAGTCTTCTGGGAGCCCTTGGGGAAGAGACCGATGCTCTCACCGGCACCAACGAAACGGTGGGCAATACCACGGCCCCACCAGGTCATGCGAGCAATGGTGAAGAAGTCCCAGGGGGAGGCCATGTGCTTGAAGGAGCCCGCCAGCGGGTAGTACCAAGGAATGGCGTCAGGGCGAGCAGCCAGATCCTCGTGGTGCTTCAGCTCGAAGCCGGCGTTCTTCATGGCTTCAACACCCTCAGAGATACGGACCATGTTGGAGATACCATCACCCTGCTCGATACCGAGACGAATACGACGGTGCTCGGCATCGTCGTTGTTGTAATCGTCAGTCATGAGCCACTCGTAGACAGCGAAGGTACCACCGGGCTTCAGGACACGGAAGATCTCGCTGTACACACCAACCAGCTCGGGGGCGTGCACGGTGGCCTCGATGGCGTAAACAGCATCGAAGCTGTTGTCGGGGAAGTTCATTTGCATGAAATCGCCCTTGACGAAGGCCATCTTATCGGAAAGACCCTGCTTGTGAGCGTAGTGGGTGGCGCGATCAATCTGGTAATCGTTGTTGTTCAGGCCGGTGACGTGAGCACCAGTGAACTTGACCATCTCACGAGCAGGACCACCGACACCACAGCCGACGTCCAGAACCTTCATGTCCTCGGTAATACCGGCCATGTGGGCGAGGTAGTGCTCGTGGCGGGCGATGGCCTGGTGGAAAGGCTCACCGTAGGCGAAACGGCAGAAGTGGAAAGAAGAACCCCATCCGTACTCGTAGAAGTCGGTGGCCAGGTTGTAGTAGCTGCGGAAAGATCGTCAGTATTGGGTGTGGCGATCAATTGGGGGGCCTGTGGGATAACATACTGTCGGGTAAGAGTGGCATACTCCGCCTTGCGGGCCTATCACAAATCAATTGTTAGTGATGTGCGTTCCTCTGGATTGCGCATTGCCTTACCTCACGGATCTCAGGGGTCTCGTCAACAGCGTCCTTGTTGTCCCAGTGCTTGAAGTACTCGTCGACAGCAGCCTTCTGGGCGGCGGCGTCCTTTCCGCGCATAGCAGCAAGACCACCCTGGGCCTTGGCAGACTTTCCGTGAAGCGCCTTGTTGAAGGCAGCATCACGCGCCTTATCTTCACGTTCCAATGCAGAGGGAGCCATGTTGAAAGATTGAAAGGGGGTATTTAGAGAGAGAAAAAGAAAGTAGTGGTCAATTCCCGAGAGAGGAGCGAAACAACAAACTGGAAACACCGAAGAATTGAATTTAAAGAGGAGCACAAGGAAGAGAATGGAGATTGCGACTGGGGGAGAAGAAAGGGGAAATAAATAAGGTCAAATCCCAAGCAACTTTTTGACAATCAAGAGTGGAGAGCCAATCAGGGGCCAGACGAACCGGCTAGATGCCTGGGGGGCAGAAAGTGTGGCCACTTTGGTTTGTCGCGGGACCTGCGTGATCCGGCCTGTGGCTGAGTCGGAGTCTGCACCTCCCGGTCGGGTCACGTGGCTACCACCAGCCACACGCCACCTCTCTTGACATTCATGATAATCCAAGCTCTCAGACCACCCTCTCGGATACGGACCTAACCCAACGCCATGCCTCCCCAGATTAAACATGACCTGAATCGCTCCGGATGGGAGTCCACTGACTTCCCGTCTGTCTGCGAGAGTTGTCTGCCCGAAAACCCATATGTGCAGATGATCAAAGAAGACCATGGCGCAGAATGCAAGATGGTAAGCGCTATCCCGGATGCTTCAAGTTGGCCCATGAAACTCATAATAACTTTATACAGTGCGCGCGTCCCTTCACTGTCTTCCGGTGGAAAGCCGATCGGACCTCTCGTCAAAAGCGATCTATTGTCTGCCTGACTTGCGCGCGCCTGAAGAATTTTTGCCAATGTTGTATGCTCGATCTTTCCTTCGGTCTCCCCATCGTCGTTCGTGATGCCGCCCTCAAGATGGTTGCCCCAGGCCCGGAGAGTGGAATCAACCGGGAATACTACGCACAGAACAATGAAAAGGAAATCGAAGAAGGTCGTGGTGCAATCGAAGAATACGAAAAGACAGACGACAAGGCACGCGAGCTCTTGCGTCGTCTTGCAAACAGTGAACCCTACTATCGCCGACCTCGCCGGACCGAGGGTGCCGAAACCGAGGAAGGCGCACAAACCGCGACGGACGAACCTCGAACCACCAGTCGGTATGGAAATGGACCGGGCCCCGTTCGCACTACCCAAAGTCGTGTCGGCAACAACCTGCCTGGCCGCGGTGGCCGAGGTGGGGGTCGTGGGGGCCGCCCATTCCCCGGTACTGCTCAACTGCCACCCTCCCCCGCGGACATTCTCCCTCCTGCGGACCCCAACGTCCTCTCTCTGTTCGTGACCGGTGTGGAGGATGACCTCCCTGAACATACCCTGCGCACATTCTTCAGCCAGTTCGGTCAACTACGCTCGCTGGTCTGTTCCCACCGCTCCCACTGCGCGTTCATCAACTTTGTCAACCGCGCCGATGCCGAGAAAGCCGCCCACCACTGCCAAGGAAAAGCTATCATCCAGGGCTGCCCTCTTCGCGTCCGCTGGGGCAAGCCCAAGTCGTTGGATAGTCTAGACCGTGAAGAAAGAATTAAGAACGCCCGTGAGGGTCGCCAGGCTGTCGGACCGGTTGGCAAGGGTAAGCAAGCTGACCGCGGTGCGATCACCACCGGGGAGGAAACTGGACAGCCCAAGGCTCACACTCATGTTGTTGCGCCGCCGCCTGGATCTGGTGAGGTGCAGTACGCCAGTATGAATGGTGATTGAACAAAACTTGCAAAAAAAAATTGCATTAAAAGGCATGTAACTTAGGTACGGAGCGGGCGTTAAGGATAGGGTTTATTCCATGCAGATCTATGTACTTCAATTCAAAATACCCCCGGTACGCCGATGATAATCAAAAAAGAGTTGGGTATCGTATAATACATGTCCGGTCACACTGTCCTGGTCCTGCCTATAGTCCAATGGACAACTCAAGTGCATAGGGCCCTGGAGTATGTCACAAATATAAACAAGACTTGAGATAAGCTTTCGTATAGCCACCAAACGAGAGCCTGAATATTTCCTAGACCCATTTTATACAATGCGCTTGTTTGGTGCCGATTGCTTCGAACCTTCATGGACTCGGAGATTCGCTCGGATGCAATTGAACATGGCGAAAGACGCATGATCAGGAAGAGCAAGCCTTGTGGATCTTCACGTCCTTGTCGCCAACCTTGATGGAGTCGTTATCGCCACGTTCGATTTGGTCGTGGATGTTGAGTTCTATAACCGCGATGCATTAGTCAATGTTCTTCACAGCCAGAGCACCCCGTAATAGTAATCGTTTCATCTGACCACATACCCCACTTGGCAGCCTCGTCTCCCTTCTCCCTGGAACCCTGCACGATGTTATGGCGGAGGATGTTGGCAACCTCGATCGCATGGTTGATTTGCATGCCGGTGTCGACGGCAGGACGGCGGTTCTTTTCAAAGTTTTGACGAGCCTCTTGACGAGCAGCGAGTAGGACTGGGATATCATCTAGGAAAGGTTGTTAAATCAGGGTGCATTGCGCTGATGTTTGTTTTGTTCACTCGTACTGTGGAAGACCACCCGGGTAGACCGGAGGACTTGACGGTAGGCGCTTTTCGCAGCAGCGGCAGTAGAAGAAGCCATTTTGAATACTAGGGTTGTGGAACAAGGTACTGGATGAATGGGTTGGAGAAGATGTCGAGTTTTGACGCAAATTGATGCGGATGATCGGCACGGATTAGGAGGTGTTTAGGTGAACCGATGTTGCTGTGACAGAATAGTTGTGGGCTCAAAAGTTCAATTCTTCGATCGCAGTGATCACCAGGTGAGTCCAAAAGTTTGCGATTTAACAAAGTCCAAAGAATGAAAGTCTGGCGCCATCTCCAGTCTCGACTTTCTGGAACGTCTGGCCACTGATTGGTCAGGGAATCGGGGATTCCGGGCAGAAAAAAAGGTAGGCAAAAAAATCATCGCGGGACCAAACGCACTCCACACACAACTTGGTACTATCACCAACCCATTTGATAATGGCCTCCCCTCAAGTTGTCAACATTTCCCTCCCTTCCCTGCCTCAGGGCTGGGCTGGTGAGAAGGATTTCAAGATCGTCGGTGCTCTCTCCGGTGCCACCAAGCGCAACGTGGAGCCCGTTGGCCCGCACTTCCTGGCTCACGCCCGCCGCGTACGTGCCCTCAATTACCGCTGAAGTCTTTGCATGACCTAAACTAACTATGACATTAGTCCCGTCACAACCGCACCTTCTCTGAGGATGAGCGTCTTCAGGCCCAGAACAGCGTCAAGAAGACCGAGGTTGAGGAGGATGATGATATCTCCGAGGATGAGGACCCTATGATGCTCAACCGTGAGGCCAAAGACTGGAAGGTCAGTCATTACAGAAATTGGTTCATGAACCTATGCTAACTCTCAGCAGGGCCAAGATCACTACGCCGTTCTCGGTCTCAAGAAGTACCGCTGGCGCGCCACCCCCGAGCAGATCAAGCGTGCTCACCGTAAGAAGGTCCTGCGTCACCACCCCGACAAGAAGGCCGCTCAGGGCAAGGGTGACGAGAACGACAGCTTCTTCAAGTGTATCCAGAAGGCTACCGACCTCCTCCTGGACCCCACCCGCCGTCGCCAGTTCGACTCCGTTGACGAGAACGCTGATGTCGACCCTCCTACCAAGAAGCTCACCGGTAGCAAGTTCTACAAGGGCTGGGGCCCCGTCTTCGTGGCTGAGGGTCGTTTCTCTAACAAGCAGCCTGTGCCCACTCTCGGTGACGAGAACAGCGACCAGGAGCACGTTGAGACTTTCTACAACTTCTGGTACAATGTTGACAGCTGGAGGACCTTCGAGTACCTCGATGAGGATGTTCCCGATGATGATGTGAGCCGTGACCAGAAGCGTCACGTCGAGAAGAAGAACGCCAACGCTCGCCGCAAGCGCAAGACCGAGGATGTTGTTCGTCTCCGTGAGCTCGTTGACGAGTGTCTTGCCTCCGATGAGCGTATCAAGAAGTTCCGTCAGCAAGCCCGTGCTGGTAAGGACGCTAAGCGTCTCGCCAAGGAGGAGGAGCTCCGCAAGGCGAAGGAGGCCAAGGAGAACGCTAAGGCCGCCGAGGAGAAGGCGAAGAAGGACGCTGAGGAGGCCGCTAAGGCTGACCGCGAGAAGAACAAGAAGGCCAAGGAGGCTGCCAAGAACGCTTCCAAGAAGAACAAGCGTATTCTCAAGGGTTCCGTCAAGGACGTCAACTACTTTGCTGCCGCTGGCGAGCCCTCTGCCGCTGAGATCGACGGTGTCCTCACCGATGTTGACCTCATCATGGGCAAGATCGACGTTGACGAGCTTGCTGTCCTCGCTGAGAAGCTTACTATTGCCGGCAAGGACGGTGCTGCCGTGAAGACTGCCTGGACCGGCGAGGCCCAGCGTCTCGTTGATGCCGGCAAGCTCAAGGCTGGTGAGACCAAGGTCTTCGCCTAAATATTCTTGTCTACTATTTAGATGAGGGGGAGATTGCCAAGATAGGCTCTCCAGATCATGACTATTCACGCCACATAGAGTAGAAAAATCCATGAGTATCTTTCACTATTGTTGTTCACATTAATCATCTGGCTTTCCTCTCCATGTACTCACAATCATTCCCTGGGGTTTGGCCAAACCCGTCATTTTCATCTGGGCTGCCGTATTCAGCTCACTGCATATTGGGCTTACCCACTGCCACGTGATGAAGAAAGGATAAGCTCGTTGGCGCCTATTGCCCACTTGGGCAGGTGCTCAATCCAACATTCAATCTTTCTAAAGTTCCCATGAACGGTGTACATACAACCGCTGCGATCATGGGATCTATAGAAGACGGTCGGTACATTCCAGACTAATTTGTCTCTGCTTCTAATACAGACCCCTAGGGCACCATCGGAAAATCGTACGACTCGGAAATAAGCTTCTTAAATATGGACCGTCCTCGCAAATCGATCTCGAGGTTGCAAATATACGCTATATCGCCGAGAATACAACCATACCAGTTCCGCAAATATACAATGTCGAAACCCATGCCGGTGACATCAAGTCGATCCTCATGAATTACATCAACGACCGTACTCTGGAAGACGCCTGGTCGGACATGATTCCATCCCAAAAGATTTCAGTCGCACAGGAGCTTCACGGGTTTATACTCCAGCTCAGAGACTTGGATCATAGATCTGACCTCACGAGAAGGGGACAGAAGCTTCCAGAAACGCATACCTGGGATTCGATGATGAACCCAGGGTGCGATGTCCAACTGAATGCACACTCATTCATGGGATTGGGCTCGCCGTTTCACGATACCTATCACCAACACCCACTGATACACCGAAAAGACAAGCTGGTATTCACACACGGGGATATTGCTCCGAGAAATATCTTGGTGAGCCAGGAAGGCCAAGTTACCGCCGTCTTGGACTGGGAGTACGCAGGGTGGTACCCAGAGTGGTGGGAGGCTGTGAAGGCATATGAATTTTGCAACGACCTGCCTGGATGGACTGCATATTTATCTGTCATCCTGCCCCCGAGTCATGCAACAGAGTACATGACTTTAGCACTTGCTACGCGTTTCGTCAGGTAGAGATTTGGTAAATTGGTGGCGCCTCAATGGCATGATATGATGTGAACACGCATCGGACCTCAAGTCACAATCGAATCTTCGATAATTTACCGAATCTTTTGATCTCTGAGTGACCATGAACTGCATCTCCACACCGGTATATACATCCCAGTGGATTCGAGGAGCGACTCGCGCGGGACCCACATGTTCGTGCCTTGAAGACGGGTCTAGATTGTTGGACACTAAACTGACTGAGGTATCACGGCTTGACTATATTGAGGGCTTCGGAGTGACCTGTCCTTTGACTTAAATGTTAGTGATGATGGCATACCCCCGACGCACATGCCACCTTCAGCGCTTATACGCCCCGAGATAATCTAATCATCGTGCGGCCTCGGTGATAGTTGCACGCACCAAGCTTATCCAGCCGATCTTGATGAGTGAACACGCTTTGCACCCGGGCCGAGGAATAGGCCAGTATATAAAAAGCCGGTGTGCCAGCTGTAGTTACCTTTATTTCAACCACAAAAACTTCGACACAATGCTCTCGGATCCAGACCCTATCGATGTCCCCAAGTCTTATGAGACTCTGTCATTGACTGATGTCACTGTGTCTCATCATCCCATCGGAGCTTCTGAAGCTACATCGGTTGTGGTGGTGACATTGAACCGCCCCAGCAAACATAATGCATTTACTTTGGAAATGATGCATGCCTTTGAGAAGATCTATGCGATGTTTGACGTCGACGAGCGTGTAAGAGTCATCGTTCTCATGGGGGCAGGTAAAATGTTCTGCGCCGGTGCAGATCTTGAGCGAGGCTTCAGTGGTCTGGAGAAAGAGAGAAACAAAGATCACCGTGACAGGTAAGAACACCAGAACATTCCCTCTCCACGTGAGTTGAATCCAACCGTTTCCTAGCGGAGGGCGTCTCACCCTAGCGATACACCGTTGTCGCAAGCCTACGATCGCTGCTCTACAGGGCTCAGCAGTTGGCCTGGGAATGACGATGACATTGCCAGCCGCCATCCGCATCGGCTGCCAAAAGTCGAAATACGGATTCGTTTTTCCTCGGCGAGGCTTAACAATGGAGTCTAGCTCTTCTTTCTTCCTTCCGCGATTGATAGGGTTTTCCAACGCTCTTTATCTGCTTACCACTGGCGGCACCTTTGCGCCCAACTCCCCCCATTTCGGGACGCTGTTCCAAGAGACGTACCCCGATGCTGATCAGGTGGTCTCCCGAGCCCTAGAGCTTGCTAAAGACATTGCTGAGAATGTCAGCCCCATGGCATCTTATCTATCCCGCGAGCTTATGTGGCGAAACCCAGGTACAGCCGAGGAAACACACCTCGTGGACTCCGCGGTGCTGTATCATATGTTTAGTGGAAAGTATGTATCAATTAGGGCGTTGTGGGAGTTATGACCCTATCCCCCAGTGAGGAAATGATTGCTGATTCTGTGTCAATTAGAGACTCGATGGAAGGCGTCAAGGCATTCTTCGAGAAGCGGCAACCGAATTTCAAGGCAACTTTGGAAAACGATGCGCCACCAAGTTTCCCGTGGTGGTCGGACATCGATTTTGGACGAAAGCCAAAGGCAAGTAAGCCTAAGCTATGAAATAAGCGGTGGAAAGCTGTGAACGTACAGTGGAGGCCGCAGAGTGGGAGTGTTACTATGTTCTGTCAGTCAAGATGACCAATGCTAAGGTGGCATATACATGCATTTATCCTCCATTCGAGACTATATAGATTACACAACGTTAACTTCGAGGGTCAGACATATTCATTCATTGTGCTACCCCTCACCTGGGCATCCGGCCGTGGCCAAGAGGGGGAGAGATTAGTGATCTGTCGGAGCCGAGGCGTTATGATAATGTCCTGGCAAAGATCAATTGTCATTTGAAAATCGACATCACTAGGCCGTTGATTTGATCCCGTATTGTACCAGAATGGGTGCCTCCTTTCTATCGGCCCATAAATATCCCAGTTAAGATGGGTTATTCCATGGTCTCCGTTCGACAACTTGACTTCCAGACGCAGTTCTGAAGACAGAAGTTGACGATGGCATAGGGTGTAGAGACACTGGTTGTTGTAAATCTGTATCTCGCTGCTTGGAACGCTCTTTGAGCCAGGGCCGGAGATTGAAGATAGCGCCACATATAAAGATGCCGATCCAAAGTGTCAATTCAGTCCCATAGATGATAATTCCAAGAATATCAACGCTGGCCCCAAACACTATCAAACAATAAGTCGTAACCCTCTTCACTGACGCAATGTCAACTTACAAACGGAGACAAGAGAAAATAAGTCACCAGCGGCATCTATGCCAACAAAGATGAAGCTAATTCCGCGAACCGTTCTGTGAACGTAGATGTCCCAGTAGTGTCTCAAGACACCAGCAGCGAGGAGACATGCACTCAACGCGGCCATCAGAATAAGAGGCCATTGGAGACCATGACTCTTTGCTGCTTTCAGGCCAAAAATCAATCCTGCTTCGATGCCACCAAGTAATATCAGGAGAGAAGTGACTGCGATGCAGCATTTTGTGACTGAATATTTCTGGTTTGGTCAGCAAAACAATTGAAAATGGAATATTCTGGTGATGACAGACCTTCCCATAATAGAGACACTGCGCCCAAGTGAGGAGACTAAGTGTCGTCAGAATTTGGGGCTGGATTCTCAGCGCAATGTTGAATTCTTCCACAATATTGTAAACTCCCAGCGGAACACCTGCTGCAGCCCACAGCAGCATCATTGACCCTTGCAAGCCCTCGGTGTCATGTCTCCTGTAGTTGATGATAATTTGTGGAAGAAGCTGGGGGTGAATTAGCTGACACGGTAATTATTTGTCGCGTCACGGCTCTCGTACTTGAATAGACCAGCAAACCTATCCACAAGTTAATCAATGAATCAAGCCAGTCAAGCCAGAGGTGATTACTAACTGCCCCAAGCGTACCAAGTACATTTTCTGCGACACGATTTTCCATTTCCAATGTGTACAAGTGGGATGAAGTGGAAGAATTGAGATAAGAAAAGGGTCTGAGACCGTGCATATTGCATACCGTGCGTCGCATTTCTAGCGGAGTATTGGTGCTGCTCCAATCTCCGTATCAAATCGCCTATTTCCCTATTGACACGCACACAGTCCCGAAATGCACTGCCCGCCTCCCCACGCGATTCAGTTTTCGGACCTGGTGAACGCGTCAAACTTCGGCCAAAAGTCAACCAAATCCGACTTTTTTTTAAATAAATGCGATGAGCTGATATCCAGAAACAACTCTTCCACTCTTCGCCAATACAAGACCAAACCGGCGAAATTGCGACGATTGTCATTCTCACGCTTTCTCACGGTCCAAGGACGTCACCCACCCATCTGGGAAGTATTGCTTGATCACCTGAGCCTTACCCTTTTTGCCGCCAGTCCCGATTGGTAGAGGTGTGTCTGGCGTGGTGATCTGGATGGCGACTGGGATTTGATCTTCTTCCAATCCCGAATCCCGCAGGTCGGCACGAAGGCGATCAACCGTGATGTGCACAGTCGAAGCTGCCTCCTTTGTTGGGCGAATCACGGCTGCGATCTGCTTTTCGGTCGAATTGAGTTGTGTGATGGGCACTACATAAACATCTTGAACATATGGCAGAGACAGAATTGGACCCTCGACATCTGCAGCGAAGACAAGACGTCCCTGCTTATTGATGACTTTGGTTATGATTAGCGGATGAAACAAAGCCCAAAGACAGACTTCTGATCTCTTACCGTCGACACTTGCCCGTCCATACATATAATATTTTGCTCCCTTTCGCTGGAAAATATCCCCAGTTCGGAAGAAACCACTCTCGTCAAAGGCCATATCGGTAAGATCGGGTCGCTTGAAATAACTGGAAACACATCAGTCATAACATTCAGATAGGCCTCCAGCCTGAGCTGGCGAATGAGACCAACTCACCCCATGAACATGTTTGGGGTGCGAACTAGCAACTCCCCTATCTCCCCATCCTTTAGATTTGCCTCAACACCGGGAAGCAAATAACCAGTGCATTTCTGCGAGCAATCAGAATCAATCAGAGCATAACAGGGTGACCAAAACCTACATCAGAGGGGTCCTCGCCCGTTGGTGGAAGGCCAGTGATTCCCGAAACCTCTGTCATCCCATAACTGTTGATGAGATGGGTGGCCCCAGGGATAGAATTCCAGCCTTTTCGCAGCAATTCTGTTGGCTGGGAGCCACTGACGGCGGGCCAGCGTAGACCACACAGCCCTTTCAGGTACCCATCTTTCTTGTCTTGAGGGAGGGACGACAGGGTTTTCCAGTAATAGTCGGCAAGTTCCTTATAGCGAGAGGGCTGGTCAACAATCACTGTCGCTCGTTCCTCCCGAATTTTGTCCCACATCCACTCTGGTGACCACACTCCGGCGGAAAATTCGATCTTTGCTCCAGCCACTAGGGTATAGAGACAATACACAATACCTGATGCTAAATTGGAAGCAAAGGTATACACCATGGAATCTTGCTCAGTCAGAATTCCCGTTTGGAGAAGGCCGCCGAGGACTGTGGTGAATGTCTTCCGTGAATGTAGGACGCCTTTTGGTCTTGATGTACTGCCACTGGTGAACAGCAAGTAACCGGCAGATTTTGCGTCCAAAGTATGCTCGGTATTGATTTGAAATTGCTTTGGTGGTGTTGATGATTGTGCCAGTAGCCACTCGTTGACTGCTAGCACAGGGCATCCAACAGATTTATCCAGTGACTTTGCGACTAATGGTGAATGGCTTCCTAGAAGGATCGCAGCAGCCTCTGTTTCATTTGCAAGCTCGGTCATTTCGGCTTCATCTATTTCTGTCGCTGTTTGAAGTTAGCCTTTGTAGCATATAACTCCCGGGGCGATATGACTGACATATCGGTGCTACCACTGCACCGAGTGACAAGACTGTCAAAAACGCGACGAGCCATTCATATCCTGCTGGCGCGGAAACCAGAATGAAGACATCTTTACCGACACTGAGGGCTTTTCGTGTGTCACGGGAGAGTTTTCGGAAGAGGATGAGCTGCAGCTCGAGCACATCAGCTAGAAGCTTTGCATGATTTGCTTGCTGATTGGATTGGTGGTCACGAAGTGTGACTGGGTTGCTGTTGAGATGCTCATTGGCAACATGGACGACGCGCTGGAACAGAAAGTCATTGGGCAGGCCTGGTGGGTCCATTTTACAGGTTGCTTCTCAAGAGAGGCAAAGAGACATACAGAGGGCGAAACAAGAGAGAAGCTCAAGAATGGCAGATGAAAATCAACCTGCCTAGAAATGAAAAGCCTGGCTGGATGACAAGATTAGAGAGAGAGTCGTTTTCCGGGGCATCAATCGCCTATAACTGTAACATGTCGGTCTCAATATTGGGCCCCGAAAACTGATCGTGAGGGGAAAACAACGTGGGTATCCACAAGGACCTTCTTTATTCAAAAGTCACAGAGGTCTTCGTTTCAGTCTGACCTCGGCTGTTCCATGTCGAGTAGATCAACGGCGATCGTGGACCTCATGGCTAACATGTGCTATACATGATATCTTTGTCTACATGAAGCTCAAAAGTCGCCAAGAACAGTTTTTCAATATGTCTTTCGACCTAAAAATTCCCAGAACCAAACTCTTTCGGTAATGTATGAATACCATTGTCAAAGATAAACTCTCTCGAGGGCGGGGAAAACAAGCAGGTTCCTATTGTTGCAACCGTGTTTCTTGCTTTCTTAGATTCTTCTCCCGACGACCAATTTTGAGGGATGACGTCGCTTTTAACCACAAAACCTCGCACTCGGCTGACCATAATTCGATTGTGGACTCTTACTTAAGTAGATTACACATGTTTCAAACAAGACCTCTAGGCGATCTTGAGCGTGGCTATCCAGTGGTCGAAATTCTAACATCCACCGTTGGGAGGTGACAAGAGCCCTGGAGGGATTCATAATCCATGATAATATAGAAGAATTTCATTAATTTACGCAACCTGCACGCGACCATCAATCATAAATGTATCAAACTGTAGACAGTATCATCAAATCAATTTCTCGGGACATTCGCCTAGAAGCGTTTGGGCGGCCACCATTGCACCAATGCCATTTTTGTCGCATAGGGTAGCCAGATCGTTTGCTCTTTGTCGCATGAAAAGTGCGCTCTCGCCTTGAAGTACACGTAGAAGCTCTTTCGAAAGTTCGCGGGCAGTCCACTGTGGCTTTGCTTTCCTGTTGCCCACTCGACCGATGCCCAGCATCTCGACACGCTCTGCGTAGTCGTAACAGTCGATCCATTGTGGCAGAATAACTTGAGGCACACCAGCCCTGGTTCAAAATTAGCTTGGCCAAGTTGAAAAAATGGGATGCTGTAAATAACCTACCTCACAGCTTCGTTAAAGGAATTTGCACCGCCATGGTGTATCGAACACACAGCATGTCCAGATTGAAGGATTGCAATTGGCTCAACTTGAATCCAGTCCACGATTCTCACTGAGTCGAGTTTGATATATTGACCCAGGACCTTTCCGATTGGTGAGGCCGGCTCTGATACCGGGTAGTTACCCAGTTTCTTCAACTTCCACAGCACTTGGAAGTTTTGAGCCTTTGGCTGGACTCGCAGTGTGTCAAGCACAACCTTGAGAGCCAAAGCCAGCTCGAGAGCCTGATCTTCAGTGATGGGGCAAATGGACCCGAGATTCAGATAGATTGTTGGACCTTTGGACAACCATTTTTCGAGTGCGGGGTCTGATTCCTGTATTGGCGAAGCATCCCGAAGAATCGGCCCACAGGGAAGAATGTAGTCAGGCATGAGAAGTGGGAAGTCAAGCTCTGGAAGCGAGCTGACTAGGATTTTTAAATCTTCAGGTCGATTCATGATCAAGTCCATGGGAGTTCTCAGACTTGCGCCAGTTTTCGCGGTAAGATGTTTCTCGGTTTCCTTTCTGTTGCGATCTCGACCCCAAGCAAATACGGCGTTTAGATTGAAGTATACATTGAGAGGCCATCTGTACCAGGGCACTGGAAATTTATACCCAGAGAATAATCTGTACCAGTCAACGTATATTCAACCTGGAGATAAATGGCGAAGTGAAACTTACGCAGGAACTTTCCACAGCCCCGCAGCTTTTGGTTGGACTGATGCTGCGAAGTCTTTGATGGAGTTGGGACTCAAGCATGTGAATTTGATCTTAAGATGGTAACATGCCGTCAACCCAGCAGTCATAAGACTATCCACGACCACGAGATCAGCATCGACCTTCTTTATGGTATCACAGATTGACGTGAATATCTCCACCATCTGTGGACCATTATACGGCACAAATACTGGGATTGTGTCGCGGACCGCCCTGACAGTGTTCAAGATCCCTGGTCTCTCGAGATACGAGTTTGGGGGATAGCCGGCTCGAGTGGGAACTTTCTCTCGAACAAAGTATTGTCTCAGGCTATCCTCCATTGATGTTCCATTGATTTTATGGAAGGTTATTGGTTTTGCTTGAGGGACAGATTCACGGACATGTTGGCCAACGGACGCGACAGCATCCTCCAGGCCACCAAAAGTCGCGAGATGAAGCTCAAGATTCGGGGAAAGTCGCAACAAAGCATCACAAGTTGCTAAGAAGACGTTCGCCTCACCACGTTCCACATTAGTGAGTAAAAGAATCTTCTTGAGGGGACTTTGTGATGCCATCTTGGGCCGAAAGGTGTTGGTGGAAGATACATCAAGGAGAGACAAGCTTCAAGATATACTCGCTTCCGAACTTAATTGACTCGGCAACACCGAGGTATCCAATTTGTTTCAATCTACGAAGTACTCCATACTTTGCACTAAACACGGCATGTAGGACGGATATTATTCGAGTATAGCTAGACCTCTTTGCATTAACCTTCCACAAACGTGCTCCGATGTGGGTCCACCTCAAATAAGGAACACCCAAAAGTCCCAATTTTAGGTATTTCAGCCCTCCAAACGGGCAATTCCTCCTAGATTTATTGGGCTTCTGGAAGTGAAACGTGCTCAATTTTTAGAATTGATCTAAACTCATCACCGAATCTTTTCAATGCGCCGCAAAATGGTCGATCTATCACCTGGGCAGGGCCAAACACATGGCAAGCGGGTAAATATCGGTATATATCCCGCAGCAATACACATTAATCAGACACATAAGAATTGGTCCATTGTATGAATATACTTCGTCATCCTTAGGTGCAAGTTGATCTTTTGTGCCAACCACACCCCGGGACCTAAATGGCAATCCATCAATAAACCCCCCCACCCCGACACCTGTAGACCATATGGCTGTTAAAGGCAGCCATTGCCATCTAAGTCCCACTGCATTGGATTATGCGCTTCATCCTTGCCTGAATATCGAACCTACAGTAAGCACAGTTGGAACGCATGGGGCTTCCTCGGGGCGCAAGTCCCAAAGTGTGGAGTGTATATGACCTCCTCTCAGCCTCTGTCCTTCTTGAGGGAAATAAGGAAAATTTTAATTTATCCTCAGGCGCTAAAGATAACACTCAGACCATCTATAGATAATGTGGAGCTTTGGAAATTCTTTAAACCGTTGCGTTTTGTTGTATTGGTGCCTTAGGCTCCAGGGCTGCCAATGTCTTTTCCACTTGAGCACCTCGCCTCTCAATCGATATGTTCATTGTTCGATCTTTGAATTATTATCAACCCCAAATTAATCATCTCTACATCAACCAATCACGCCTTCCACTCGCTACATCAACGCTTTCAAGTTGAACCCACTTCATCATATGAAAAATCTTCCACGAGCTCGCAAGCAAAACGAAAACAACTACTTTAACGTAGTTCATGAAGAAACTTTCCACGCTCCAAGACGCAAATGAGGTCCACCCTTGGAAGAATATGAAGAACACAGACCCTTCGAATCCTAGATAAGCACCATATGGCCAAAGCTGGGCTTGGTAGGGCCGACCTCGACGGACAAAAGGGGCTCCTCGTCATTGAGCTCCACTTGAACCTTGGAATGCCATTCTCATATGCTCTCTGTGGATCTTTTGGCTGGAGCTACGTGTTGGAGCGCGATCGTTTTGTAAAAAATAATCAGTTCAAGGTCTTCATCTTTGAAGCCACTTTACCACAGCTCTAGAGTTTAACCAACGACCATAGCAGTACTTAAGTAATTGCAAGTTAAGAAATTAAATTTTAGATGGAATTTTCTACCCAAGTGACAGTGACTAACTACAAAATCAATGGGACAAAATTCAGATTAATGATTGTAGTGGTGATGGCAATGGTGATGATGAATATGAATATGGTGAGTGTGATGGATATTCTGCTGTTACAAGCTGTTCTAAAGTTGGTTTCAGGCATAGGAACACTGGCATCCGCTTGCTGGAGGAATGGAGAGATTACTTGCTGCAGGGGGGACCAACAAGTTGAACTATTCCAATTCCTTGGATAAGATGGATTTAGTTTTTCTGGCCTCAGCAGGATTGTCGCAAACGTTGGTTCCATTCATTGGACCCGTCTCTTCGAAAGGGGCGTTGGACAAAGGAAAAGGACAGGCTTCTGCTTGACGCTTATCATAAGTAGGATCGGACCCTCCTAGAAATATATCGGTAGACCATGTCCTACTTTATCTGACTACCTGTTAGCCGACAGACCTGTAGCACAAATGACCTCCTTAGGGATTTAAGGACGGGCTAAGCTGAGTTTTAAGTAATAATTTGAAAGGCCAAAGAGCTAGGAGTGTATAATATATGATATTGTCTTCGCTGGACAAAAAAATGACGAAGGGAAAAAGATGGACCAAAAAAGTAGACAAATCCAGCCATTCCGCTCAGGCGACAGGCGACTTGCGGTCCTAGGGATTCACCCGGGATCCGGAATAGTTGACCAAAGGGTGCAGATATGGCTCCCTGTAAACTTGGCCAACTAGACCACCAGCAGGTTTGCAAAAGAATTGACCCTTAAACTAAACATATCCAACGATATCACGTGATCCACGGTACAAGGTACGGATGATCGTCCTGTGCCCCAGTTGTGGGTCCCAGGTCTAACCCAATTGGGGTATCATCCAACTGCTACTATGCAATACACGGGGAAGTGTCACAACGTTTGGGGTATGGCGACAAGCAAGAGAAGTTGAGAATCTCGTTGATCAAGAAATTTAGGAAGTCCTGTAGATAACATTGTCGTCGCTGGACAAAAACGAAAGAAAAAAAATACGAAAAAAAACTATGCAAACCCCTGGACTTGCCGGCCCTAGGGGTTCGAACACGAGATCTCGAATAGTTGACCAAAAGGCTAACTGGATACTGTAAGCTATGCCCATCTAGACCACCAGGGGATTTGCACCAGGGGAGACCCCAAAACCAAGCATATCCTACGATATCACGTGATCCACCGTAGACCACATAGCCAGCATACTCACAACTGCTCAAGTGCTCAAGCTCTACACAAAGATGCCCAGAGAGCCACTCAAAATGAGAAAATTCCGCTATACAGCCCTCGGCGGATGCCTTCCCTCCGACATGCGAGGTAGTTACAATGGTATACATTCCGCTCACCCGAAGAGCCTGCGCAATCTACGTGCGGGGACTGACTCGGCCCGTAAAGGTCTCTTAGGTATACCGTATGATACCATATTATAGGCCGTTGTTTGGCGCAAATGATGTGTTCCGTAATGTAAACTTCATACTTAATAGAAGCAAGGCTGAAGTAGGAAAATGTGCAGCGTGGTAGAAGATGCTAACATCGCCCCAATTGTCACTCCAATATGATGTACACCTGGTGGGATTGGTGTCTACTCCTCCCGGGTCCTTATCACTGATTTATAATAGTCATGCCTACCTAGGTAATAACCAAGGTTGGAATCGGTAGCCCTGGGGCTGGAGAGATATGTAGATACATAAGTATGTTTGCCTGATAGATCGGGAATCAATGAAGGCGCCTTATAAATCAGGCTGACAGGCTCAAACCTGCGGGAATCTTGCACCTGTGGGACATCTGGGCAACAGTTGTGCTTCTTGAGTCCACCACACGAGGCAAACTGAGAGCCGTTTTCGGCCAGAACAAAAGTACCTTGAACGCGATTTGACGTCCCAGGGTTCAAAGGTCGGCAAGGTCGTAGGAGTATGCGATACGTGATTTCACGACGGGATACTCCGTATTCCGAACGAGAGTCCCATACGGAGTGAACCGAGTGAGAGATCCACTTGCCCAGCCCTGGAGGTGCTCAAGTGTATACCATGACGTCGAACTTGCAGTGCGGGATATTTTTCCCAGCCGCAAGATTTCTCCCGGTCGGACCTCAGATATTCGCGAGGTTGGAATTTGATGCTCGACGTAACCGATAGCCCTTTCGGCGCCACCTGAGATCCATGGGACACTCGGCTCCGGTCGCATTAATGAAACACAATCGGAGATAAAAGATTCAATCATCCAAGGTCGAGGGATTCTGCCAGGGTATTACTTTGGACAACATGCTGCCATCCCGAGTCCTGCACTCAATATTACTTCGGAGTACGGGGTACAGGTGACTGGATCGGGCGATTACAATATTTGCCGAAACGTCGCGGGTAAACGCAAGATCTAACGCTTTGATGGAGGGGAAGAAATTTCCATGCCGATCGCTGAAAAAAGAGGGTTCCCTGTTTTGCCCTGTCGATCGCATGGACGCCGCATGGTTGTCAGTTGATTTTTTTATGTCTGTCCAGCCACCTGGAATACCATATGTGTTTAGGGATATTGTGTGTACTCCGTCTGGCTGAAAGCCCTGAAAGGTGGCAAACACGAAAATAGAAACGACAGTGACCAGTGAAGACCAGGAGAATTGCATGGCCACGAACAGCGGAGTACGTACGCGTCTGCGTAAGATGAGAAGCCCCAGCGACCCCCACTTCCCCAAATGAGTCTAAATGATCATCGGCCTGGAATGATATCATGCAAACCCCCATGAAATCCTCATGGCACATTCTGAAAATCGGTTGCCAGGCAGTGCGGAGATCTGATCGTATGCATGTCTACGCAGTACTTTGTACTGCCCCAAGTATCATGTGCGTGACTGTTCGGAGTATACGGAGCATAATGCATACGTAGGCCTAGGAACGTAATCGACTCTATACTCAAAAAAGAATGGATCTCCAATCTGTGTTGCGGGTCTGAGCCAAATAAATTAAACTGGAGACTTCTCCTGTCATCCTTTTTTTTTCTACTAAAAGAGACCCTGAATCTTTAAATACTGGGCCTCGCCGTTTTTTCCTTCTACTACAGACTTATATCTACGCGCCTTGAAAGCTTCCTCCATCTCGAGCTCTACACTCCCGCACCGGCTCCACGAGTCCTCTGTACCTCCCAATTCCACACCCAAATCCACAAACCACCATGTTCTCTCCTCTTCGCATCATCCTGGCCGTCGCCATTCTCCTCAATGTGGCCGCCGCATTCCCTCTTATCGGCCGTGATGTCCAGTGGTCCTTTACCCTGTTCCAATCCGCCTCCTGCAACGGAACCATCGGCGACCCCCACGCCGGATCCGGTAGCACGGGCTGCCGCGCCGACCTCCACAGCGTTGCCTCCGCCTACGCTCTGAACACTGTCGCGGAAGGCTGTCGCATCGAGTTTTTCGACAACACCATGTGCGACCAGAGTGAACTCTCCGATGTCGCGGGTCAAATCACACCCAACGAGACCTGTCGCATTGCTGGGTCAAGACGCCGCTTCGGGTCTTACCAGGTTTCCTGCGAGTGAATACTCTTTCACACTCCTTTCTTTTTGCTATCCTGTCTGGCACGGGAAATGGGCTGGTTCCCAATTGAACCCCTGAGCAGAGATAGATTAGATTTTTTTTAAATGATACCCATAGACTAAATGAAACGAGATATGAATTGTCGATCCCTGTGCACGCTGACCCTCCTAAGTTCCTTATTCGTAGCTGGTGTACCGGCGATCATTACCTTCAAATGTTAGTATGGATGGCTGGTGGTCTAGGCTCGGCACCTCATTTACGGAGCGGGTGGTGCAAGTGGGCTATCGGGACTCAGCTAATGAAGTTTAGAATTATAGGGGTCGCACATCCTGCGCGGAATAAAGTACGAGTAAATTTACGACCCAGAGCGGCGAAGGATCGTGCACGACCCTTGTGAGCTGACAGGGATCCGATGAAACGACGCGCAAGGGCGCATCCTGTTACACGATTAGTTTCCGGGGTGCAGGGATTAACCTGAAACACCAGGGGAGTTTCTCGAACGTGAAGCTTAACTAAAGCGATCAATCCGCTAACCCTGGATGGTCCAACTAAGTGTCGCATTTGGACGAGTACACTCCTCACCCCATACACACCTGCTCAATCGAATTGTTTGAACTCCGCACTCATTGAAAATGGAAAAGGGAAGAAGCCATACTCATTTGGATAGCCTTGTAAAGGAATAAATTCATCTCGATACCTAAACCAAGTAGAGGCCTCCGATCCGCCCGGATAAAATCTTCAAGGAGTTGGGCCAGTAACATTCCCGAAAGGGGCTAGCCGCAAGAGGAACTACTCGTTCATCGCCGCAAACGGATATCGCGATGTGCCAAATATCGAAAATGATCACGCTGGATTTTTCACATCTCCAATAATCAAGGTTCTGCGTGATGTCTGGGGAAATCGATTCCGAAGACAAAAGTCTACCGGTGTCATTCTTTGATTCGTCCTTGAAGGAGACGCGGCGTCGGGTATACTATCAATGGGCTCGCACATGTGAGTGAAGTCAATCACAGCAACGCAAGGGATACTCACACCTCCTAGTGGCAATTCTCTGCATCTTCGTCTTTGGGGTGTTGTCTCTCTTCTGGGGTTCTCAATATAGGACCGAGGCCAACTACTCTGCCCTGAAGGTCTGGGTCGTGGACTTCGACGGCCAAGTCGACCCATACCGCACCACGAATCCCATCGTTGGGCCAGCGGTCACAGATGTCGCCAACAGCCTGATCAACTCCGACTCCCTTCACTTGGGGTACATCATCAAATCCCCTGCAGACTTCGACTTCGAGCTCCGGGCCGTTCGCCAAGGGATCTACGACGAGCACGCCTATGCAGCTGTGATCATCAACCCGAATGCAACCGCCCTCCTCCGCGATGCAGTCTCAAAGTCAAACACAACCTACGATCCCACTGGCGCCATCCAAGTGGTCATAATCTCCGCCCGTGATGAAACAACTTACTATTCATATATCCTCCCCGACCTGACGATTCTACAAGGAATGGTACTAGCAAAGTTCGGTCCACAGTGGATCCAGGAGCTTTCATCGACGAATCTCACATCGGCCCCTCCCCAGGCTATCAACCCGGCCATCGGATTCACGACCGTTGATCTCCGCCCGTTCGCACCGGCTGTGGCTGCCCCGGCCGTGACGATCGGTCTGATCTACCTGATCATCATTGCGTTCTTCAATTTCCCATTCTTGATGCCCATACATGCTCAATTCATGAAACCAGACGGTCATCCACCACTCAAGATAGCGCATTGGCTGGTCTGGCGCATCACCTCGAGTATAGTGGCGTACTTCTTTTTGTCATTTTTCTACTCGCTGGTTTCCCTCGCGTTCCAGATTCCATTTAGCAATGCCCCTGCAGACGATACTATATCGGCGAGTAATGCCAACGCATATGGCTGTGGGTCATTCGTTGTATTCTGGATGCTGAACTGGGTCGGCATGGCGGCGTTGGGTTTCCCCTGCGAGAACATGGCTATGATCCTTGGATTCCCGTGGAGCTCTTTCTTCTTGATATTCTGGGTCATTACGAATGTGGCCACGGCGTTCTATTCTATTGATCTTGCGCCAGCCTTCTACAAGTGGGGGTACGCCTGGCCATTGCATCGAAGTAAGTTTTAATGCGCCCTTAACAGAGGCTTACTAACTGGGTGCAGTTGTTGAGGCCTTGCGCACAATTCTTTTCGGCACTCATTCGCGTATTGGGATAGACTTTGGCGTACTTTTCGCTTGGATTGGTGTTTCGCTGGCCCTCTACCCATTTGCGACCTTTGTCATGCGATGGAAAATGAAGCGTGGTATTTGAACAATAGATCTATAACTATACTTATTTCCCTACTTAAGAAGGTAGTTCATTGCCACGGGCCCATAGCCTGCTATACTTCTTGATAAGCCTACAGGCGAGAGAGAAGAAGCGGACAGAACCGATCGTATTGACTGCTCAAGGAGAGGAGAGAGAGAGAGAGAGAGGAGTGAAAGTCTATGGAGGAGGGTTTATCTACTAAGCAAACGAGGGTTGGGACGAACTTCCATCTCAACACTTCTGAACCCTATCCATACATAGCGCGTGCGTGGCGTGCGACCTAATGTTGAGCCTTGCAGGCAAGAGAAAAGAAAAGAGGGAATCGATTAAATTGACTGTCAGGGAGAGAGAGAAGGAGAGGAGAGAAAGCCTACGGAGGAGGGTATATCTACTAAAGAAGCAAACGAGGGTTGAGACGAACCTCCATCTCAACACCTAATGGAGCCTCAATACATTGTTTGGGTGTGATGGTATGTACTAGTATAGATCGTGTCAAACCAGCGCAGCACCGGACCCTCGCATTGATTGGCGGAACGCAGTGTAGCCATACCGTATTTTTGTCCTCAATGGATATACCAAATTCTAAAGTTGTCAGAATGAGACCGAGGACAGGATTAAAGTTATTCCGGTGACAAACAGTCCTGATAAGAAAAGGTTGACAACCTTGAAAGCCAACTGGTTGGCCGGCCCCCACCCACGTGGGCAAATAACTCACGCTAATTGGATGCAACACTACAAAGCAAACTTCCAGATCAGACGCTGATTGGCGGATCCTTATTTCACTCGGTACCTGGACCTGCAGTCCGTTCGGCCCGCCTGGCAACTGCAGGTACTTCTCAGCCCTAAATCGCCGCCGCAGGGCTGATGTACTTGAATATCATCCGGGGCCTGACACTGTGAAGCCCATGTGTAACCGTCACTAGCGTCGAACTCACTGCCAGGCTATATCTGTGATCCATTCCAGGTTCTCATCATGGCTCTTCTCACTCCTCTCATCTCTCAAAACAGTTGATTCTCAGATTCTGTTCCCTTACGAGCGAATCTGGTTCATCATGTCTGTCCCTGAGTCTCCATCCAACAGGTCTTCCATCCTGCGGAACGCCTTTGCTCAGCGCGCGGAGGCGGCCGGCTCTACTGAATCCGTTTTCCTCAGGCGCATGAGTCCTGGGGCATCATCCGTTCAGATTTCGCCCCTCTCGGCTGCCGATGAGGCTCACGAGCGTCGCCGCAACGCTCTTGCCAGCATTGACAGTGCTCAATTCGGCTGGCGCCATGTGCGCGCGATCATCGTCGCCGGAATCGGTTTCTTCACTGACGCGTATGACATCTTTGCTATTAACCTTGTCGTCAGCATGATTGGTATCGTCTTTTTCCCCAACGGTAAACTCCCTGTTAACGTCGACACTGCTGTAAAGGTCGCTACCTCTGGTGGCACTGTTTTGGGTCAGCTTTTCTTCGGATGGCTTGCCGATCGCATTGGTCGCAAGCGCATGTATGGGTTTGAGTTGGTCATCATCATTCTGGCAACTCTTGCTCAGGCTCTTTCTTCCTATTCTCCTGCCATCTCTATCACTGGTCTCCTTGTTTTCTGGCGCGTCGTCATGGGTGTCGGTATTGGTGGTGACTATCCCCTTTCCTCTGTGATCACGTCCGAGTAAGTTTTTTGATGATATCGTTCGATCTTACCGGTCGCTAACACGTTTCCTAGGTTCGCTACAACCAAGTGGCGCGGTGCCATGATGGGTGCTGTATTTGCAATGCAGGGTCTGGGTCAGTTCGCCGCTGCCATCATGGCTTTGATCGTGACTGCCGGTTACAAGGAGATCCTCCAGACTGCCAAAGATGGTGGCCATTGCACTGGCGAATGCCGGGTTGCTGTAGATAAGATGTGGAGGATTGTTATTGGAATCGGAGCTGTCCCTGCCTGCTTCGCTTTGTACTTCCGTCTCACCATTCCGGAGACTCCTCGATTCACATTCGATGTTACCAGGGATCACGCCAAGGCCGAGTCGGATGTTCGCGCCTACCTCAAGGGCCGCAGCGGTCACCCCAGTGGCTCTGAGCGAGTGACAGAGTTTTCCACCCAGAGTGAGGAATTGCTCCCACCCAAATCCAGTTTCTCTGACTTCTGTCGTCACTACTCCCAGTGGAAGAACAGCAAGGTGCTTCTGGGTACTGCCGCCTCGTGGTTTTTCCTTGACGTTGGTAAGTGCAACTGATGATGTTTTGGCCTTCGCTCCCTAGTGTCTGACGCTAACTTTCTGGTAGCATTCTACGGTCTTGGTCTCAACAACTCTATCATCCTCTCGGCGATTGGTTGGACCGGCGGACATAACCTTTACGAAATCTTTTATCGCAACGCGGTCGGTAACATTATCTTGATCTGTGCTGGTGCCATCCCTGGCTACTGGGTGACTGTCGCGACCGTTGATACTGTGGGACGGAAGCCAATTCAGCTGATGGGATTCGCCATTCTGACAATTCTTTTCGTCGCAATCGGATTCGGCTACGATCAACTGAAACACACCCATAACGGTCTTCTCGGTCTGTATGTTGTCGCCCAATTCTTCTTTAACTTTGGTCCCAACGCTACCACATTTATCGTCCCGGGCGAGTGCTTCCCGACTCGCTACCGATCCACTTCCCACGGTATCAGTGCTGCGGCCGGTAAAATTGGCGCCATCATTGCCCAGTGCGTCTTTGGACCACTTGCGCACCGCGGTGCGACGAAGTCGAACGATTCTCCTTGGCTCAACCACGTTATGGAGATTTTCTCTCTGTTCATGCTCTGTGGATTTTTTTCCACATTCTTGATCCCAGAGACAAAGAGAAAGTCGCTGGAAGAGCTTGCTGGGGAGACGGACCCCCGCATTGCCTTTCAACCCCCCAACGACGCGCCGGTCAAGGACGAGGAGGAGATTGTGTCCACCACCTTCCCGGTGATTTAGGCTACGGCCTAGCTGCCTGGGCTTTGAATCCACTCACGATAATCGGTGAGTCTGTCCAACCTGGACTGAGTTATCGTGAATGTGTCCACTGCCCCCTGTGTTCCAGGTCATCTCTGAGCATTTCTCTCTAGTGTGCTCCACCGCTATTTCCTGGATGAAGTTGGCTACAATTTTGGGAGTTTGCGCTTTGTTTCGCTCTCCAATTTATGAATTACGATGTAATGTATGTGAACTTCTGTTACCTAACGCAGAGTTCCATAATTGCTAATACAATTGTATTGCTCTATTGTTTTCCAGTAAAATAAAACGACGGTGACAGTTCGGGATGTTCCGGGGAGCCTCCAACAACAAATGCTCTCAGGATTATCTATGATCAAGCCCAGTTCCAAGGCTCATGAGATGGGGTCACTAGGCCCAGAAGTAAGTAGAGTTCGATATTTACTTGTATCTCGATATTGTCCAAGTTGTTTCTGGGTTGGAATGGTCGCCTCGGGGAAACCCGGACGCCAATACGAGATTCTACAAATCTCACCCGTGAACCCCAGACAATCTCACTGTCATAACTCAACAAGACAATAGCAGAAAATGCCATCACAACCTCTTGGCCTCGGTGGGCTGAACGCTTCGAGTATCGTCTTCGGCGCACAGGCTTGCTTCCTGCTCGGAAATGCCGTGTACACGATTTCATCCCCTGCCGCCGCCGCCAGCCTGCCCGGATCACCCATGAGTGGGATTCCTGAACACATGGTCCAAGCCATGGGGTATGCGATTCGGTCTTATATTACAACTAAAGTATTACGACCAAACTAACAAATGTAGTATCACCTCCTTGTCCACTGGTACCTTCTTTGCAATTGCGACGTACCAGCGGAATTTACCCGTTATGTTGGCATCCCTGCCTGGTCGCCTTTTCGCGGCTGTCATATTCCATCGTAATGGTGGTGGTTGGAGTCAGGTTGCTATTTTTGAGACTGCCATGGCGGCAGTAATGGGTGCCGCTCTCCTTTGGGATTACTATCTTTGAAGAGAAGATAGTTGTGTGCTGAAGATGAGAGAAAAACTGTGTACGATATTATGACTTTTATAGCATCTCCGCTTCTATGTATAAAACATCGATTTGTATCAAGTGTGCGTCTCAAGTAAGACCTTTGCCCAAGTGGAGGTTAAGACGAGCTTTTTGAGAGGCTTTTTAGGCTCATACCAAGAAAGCTAGGCGCACTTAAGAATTAACACATGCCGGCAGGGGTTAAAAGGCCGTGATCGGTGTAAATCCGTCAGCCCATTCAAGGATGGAAACAAGCATCTGTTACTACAACTTAGAACCACACAAGTAAAGACTCAAGATTTCCCGCATGGTGATGCAGATTCACCGCCGCAGTGGTCCGATCCATCTCCGACGCGAAGCCGAGATAATACCCCGGACCGGTTCCAAGGTTTGGTTAAATCCCGGGGTATAGGGAAATTCCAGGCTCCGATAGAGTGCCCCTTTTACCCACGTACCGATGAACACGGCGTGATCCGGCTAATCCCCGGGTGCAACGCTGATGTTTTGCCTGCTGGGTCAGGGCACCGGGATTTGAGGGGTCCGCCCGAAGCCGATTCGTTCAGCTTGTGGGCTGATGGCGGCGGGAGGGGGATGTGACGTGCGGGTTGGCTGACAGGGGGTTCATAGGCTAAATTCGCGCAATTCAGCCGGGGAAGCTTCGACTTGGAGAGGCATGGTAAGCTAGAGTCGAATGATACTGTTGCTTCTAGCATTGAGTAATTAGCATGAATGACGCGTCATGTGTTTTGTGTTGGCTTGGGGGTACTTCAATGTTGAATGGAGTGAATTTGGGAACGATTTGGGGGATGCCTCCATCGTTGAAACCCATGCGGGGTCCCCGGGATTTCGTCTGTGTGGGGATACCACTGGGGTATCTGAATCCCCAATTTATCGCAGAATGGCAATACACCACCAGGCGGCTGTTCTGGATCCTCAGATACTTTCTATTACTTGGGTCAACTTCTATTCATCGATGTAAGAGAACCGACAAATTTCCCTTCTGTTTACCCAGTTGACTCGAGACCGGATAAATGGCGCAACAAGCATCGTGGCGCACGGCCCATTATGCCACTGATGAGCTTTTGCAGAGCCTTTCCCGTCTCATTCTTAGCCGACTTGGCTGGGTTGGTCTCCATGTGCTCAGAGCAAACCACACGCCACGAAGCTTGGTCGGCATTGCCTGATTGGGCTGATATGGCAGGTCTCAACCCCCATTATACTCCCCCCATGGGGCTAAGTTCCCGGGGAGACTGTTGTTCCCTGCTCATTACCCGCTGCACTCCGAATAAATAATCGCTGATCCCCTGTCGAGAGTAAGAATTTGCAGTTGTTGCTTTGAATTTATCGCTTTGCGCTAGGTACTGCTGTCCATAATCAGTGGATCTGATTTTATATTTTCCATCAATATCTTTGTCGGCGTCACAACATGGTGGCCGCTCTTCCAGGCGAGACGGCCATTTCGGCCAAGCGTGCCCAGCTCGCGGGTAAGCATGGCATGATGGGGCTGTTGAGCAACAAGAAAACAACATGCATCGGACTGTTCGCATCACTGGGTGGTCTGGTTTATGGATGTGAGTAGGCGAAGCTGCATGCAATTAGCGTTTCGCATCTGACATGGCTCAGACAACCAGGGAATGTTCGCTCAGGTCTTGACAATGCCCGCGTTTCAAGCAGCGGTATGTAACTTGAGACTGTCAATATCATGTTCCTTCCCTGACACTTCTCCTCCAACAGACCCAGGGATATGCCGCGAAGACTGGCATCCAACAGGGAATGCTGACCTCTATCCTCGAACTTGGTGCGTGGGTGGGTACACTAGCCAATGGCTATCTGGCCGACGCGCTCGGTCGTCGCTTGACAGTGCTCGTTGCCGTGGTGGTGTTCTGTGTCGGTGTCATTGTCCAGGCATGCACGGAAAGTCCTGATTTTGTGTTTGGAGGGCGTTTCGTGACTGGTCTGGGTGTTGGTAGTTTGAGCATGGTGGTGCCGCTGTACAATGCAGAGTTGGTAAGTGCTTCGAGGAAGGAGCCAAGTGTCAAACTGACAGAGGAAGGCACCCCCGGAAATTCGAGGCTCTCTCGTCGCCGTGCAGCAACTGGCCATCACATTTGGTATCATGGTCAGCTTTTGGGTGCGTCATCTCTCCACGGTTCGAAGAGGAAGCCTGACCTCTCTAGATCGGTTACGGAACAAATTATATTGGTGGTACAGGAGCGTCACAATCGGACGCTGCATGGCTGGTACCAGTCTGCATCCAAATCCTGCCTGCTATTGTCCTGGCTGTGGGTATGATGATGTTCATGCCCCAGTCCCCACGTCACTTGATGAACACCGGTCGCGAGGAGGAATGCCTGGCTACCCTGGCCCGGCTACGTAACGCATCCACAGACGACTTGCTTGTCCGGATTGAATTTCTGGAAATCAAGAGCGTCTATCTCTTTGAAAGGGAGACGGCTGCCGAGAAGTACCCCAACTGGCAGGATGACTCGTTTTCCAGTCGATTCAAGATTGGACTACATGATTATCTGTCGTTGGTCACCAACAAATCTTTGTTCAAGCGAACCGCAACGGCTGTAAGTATCCCTGCAGCTGGTTGTGGCATGTGACATTTAATGACGTTATAGTGTATGATCATGGTGTTCCAACAATGGAATGGTGAGCATTATCCAAGTTACTCGGCCCCAGGAAATTGCTAATAGTGAATTAGGCATCAACGCAATCAACTATTACGCGTAAGCTCTTGACTTGCCTTCGTTGAAAGCATGACAGTGATTAAGCTGACCCTTCACAGACCTTACATCTTCAAGGACATGCAACTTGGTGGCAACACCATTTCCCTTCTCGCGACTGGTGTGGTGGGAATTGTGGAGTTTATTTTCACAATCCCTGCAGTACTCTGGGTTGACCAGATTGGGCGGAAGAAGATCTTGATTGCCGGTGCAGCTGGAATGGCAATCTGCCACTTCATTGTCGCAGGTATCATTGGTGCCTACCAAGGAACCTTCGACGAACACAAAGCTGCGGGGTGGGTTGCCATTGTATTCGTGTGGATTTTCGTCATCAACTTCGCCTATTCCTGGGGTATGTTACAGCCATTTGCGGGTGTGAAACATTGCTGACAATGATTCCACAACAGGACCAGTCGCGTGGATTGTTACTTCAGAGGTATTCCCTCTCAGTATGCGTGCCAAGGGCGTGAGTCTTGGTGGCAGTAGTAATTGGGTGAGCCAAGTCATGTATCAGAGACATGGAGAAGCCGGCTAACCATTTCAAAGTTAAACAACTTTGCAGTCGGCACTGCCACGTCTCCGTTTCTGGAGACTAGCAACTTTGGTGCGTTCATCTTTTTTGGATGCATCACGACAATTGCGATCGTATATGTCATTTTCCTAGTTCCCGAGACCAAGGGTCGCACTCTCGAAGAAATGGACGAGATTTTCGGATCAGGCGGCATGGCGGCGGCAGACAATGAACGCAAGCATCGTATCGAAAGCGAGATTGGTCTTCTCGCGCTTGTTGGGGTGGAGCCTGCTGATGAAAAGCACACCGGTCTCGGCGAGACCAGGGTCGAATACTCAGAAAAATGAAGGTGTAGCCAATCCCATCACCTGAAGCTTATAGCGCAGATCGCATATCGCAGATCACAAGAACTGCCGGTCCCTGATCGGCAGAGCTGCTTGTGCTCAAGCAAAGCTATAATATGATTGACAGGTCGACCCTTCGATACCCGAAGGGATCCGAGATCCAACGCATGGGCATATTTAGTCTTTAACCCTTGGTAGAATTTGCAGTTAGGAGCTGCAGAGTACTCCGTACCTTCGACGAACCATCCCGTGCGTGATACTTGTCACATGAGAAGGGATAATGGATATGTCAGACAATAAAACATGCAACAAGGAGAGCCAAGGAAAACATCCCCGGTATTTCAGCCAATGGCTTTTTATAGACTGGGGGTGGATTCCTCGCTCCCTGCCGAAACACCAACCCATTTTTTTTTACGCTATTGTCTTACCTGTGATATTAAATCCGTTTGCCTGCTTTTTCGTCAAACCTCCAGATTTTTTCCTCTTCTGCCCACTTGTGCGTCTCCTTACAAACCTCCGCCCACCACCCCCGACATCTGAAGCAGCATACTCCACCGAAATGTCGACCACCACATCATCTGTCAGCGCAACTAGCACAGCCTGTGGCAGCGGCGTCTGGCAAATTCCTACCACGGATGCTGCCTGCGCAGCGAAGATTCGTGGCAATGTCACCGACGTGATGGACCAGTGCTGTGGGGACGCATCAACCCACAAATATGAAAACGACTGCGGAATTTACTGCCTCGCCCAAGGTCAAGACATCAAAAAGCTCCAAAACTGCATCACCAGCAAGAGCGGAAACTTCAACGACGTCTTCTGTAACGCCGCCCTCAATGCTACAGCCACTGCAACTAGCACCAAATCTACTTCAACCGGTACCAGCACCAGCAGCACCGGTACCTCAACCTCAACTGGCAATGCCGCTGTTGCGAACCAGCCCGTCTCCAAGTCTGGCCTTGGTATGATTGCGCTCCTCTTTGGCTCCGCTTTTATGGCCGTCCTCTCTTGAATGAGGCTTTTGTGAAACGATGTGTGATTTGGGATCTGGAAACGAAAGCGAATGAGCGACCGTGTGCTTCTTGGTTTTTGGGCATGAATTTTGGTGTAAACTAGCACATCCGATACATAATGAATTTCAACCGTCTTGATTGAGCGAGACCTCTTGCTGCAGATCACTCAACTTTCTTCACGATGATCATCGTGTTGACCCGGTAAGGCAGCGCAGGGTGAGCCGCTCAAATGTGGGGAATGCTTGCCAGCGTGCCAGCGCCCGCCTTGGCGTGTTTCCAATTAAGGACATTTTGGGAGCTCACCAGGAATGTCGAGTATCTGGGCCCTGGGAAGACTGGTTTATGTCGCCAGTCATCATCGGACGCAGCTTTCATGATGCTCTCGCTCCATGTTGACCCAAGCCTGCATATGGAAAAGATCAAAACATTCAAGACGCGGGAGGTTGAGCGGTGAGAGCTCGGGAAAAGGGGCCCGGTGTGACGTCACTCGTCAGCAAGCTCTTTGACCGCACATTTCACGACGTGGAGTCGACAACTATCATAACACAATGACAGGAATCGTGAAGAACGTTATTGCAACAGGTACCTCTTCAGGTCTGGTAAGAAAGCTCCACTCAATAGTGGCTTGATCTAACACAACTATAGGGATTTGAAGCAATCAAGCAATTGCTGCAGCAAGCCCAACCATACAACTTCATTCTGGGCGCCCGGGACACCACCAAGGCACGGGCCGCATACGATGACCTGAAATATGACTCCGCCAAGCACAATGTGTCTATCCTACCCCTGGACCTCTGGAACCTGAAAAGCGTCAAGGCATTTGCTGCGCAAGCTCTCACTGAGCTCGGTCAGAACAACCTAGACCTGTTGTTCCTCGTTGCCGGCTCCCTAAACAGTGCCGATGGACCTGGTCCCTACGGCTCGCAGTGGTGCGAGTCATACATTACCAACCACCTGTGTACGAACTCAAAAAAATCTCCTCGATCGAATCTACTCCAGCGGATGCTGACCATTATTTAGCTCAACATTACCTGACCCACAACCTGGCCGAGAAGCTGACTGCCTCAAAGTCTCGGATTGTAATTGTTTCATCCGGTGCAATTCGCGGACTGAGAGACAATGACCCCAGTGAGTTGAGGAGGTGAACCCCAGTCCCTTCGCCGAATACTGATTACTTTGCAGAGACACTTGATATCGACCTGAAGGCTGGATCTGGTGCAAATGCCAGAGTTGTATACAGTAGCTCCAAGTTTGCCCAACTCTTGGGTGCCCACTGGTGGCGTCGCAACCTCCCAACATGCAGGGTCGTGGCAGTGTCGCCTGGTCTCATCCCCAACACCAAGCTTGCACAGCACCCCAGCTTGGGACTGACCATGGACATGCCTGATGCCAAGTCTGTGCCCGAGGGTAAGAGTCTTTGACAATGAGGTTGTGTTATTTCTAATGATTGATAGGTGCCGAGAACCTCCTTCGCGCCGTCAAAGCGGAGGATTTCCCCGAAGATCCTGAGCAGATCTTCTTAACTAGCTGGGGTGAATGGTGGGCGAAGGCTGTTTACCAGCCCAGTCTTGACCCTGCTTTGCAAGACAAGTGGTGTTTGAGCAAGGAACAGATCGAAAAAACCGAGCCAATCTTCCAAGAATAATGAGCAAGAGACGAACAAACGAGTGAGCTTGGATACCAAGCTTTCTCAAATTGAATACCATGAGACCCTATTCTGAATTGTCGTGAGTCCCATTAGTCCCTTTAATGGACACGGCTACCTCCGACTAGTTGGATTAATTCCAAAATTGTACAACATGAATGGTGGAACAGATACAGTGAGCACCAGTAGAAACGTGCATACGGAGGACATATACCCCTGTCTCCGTCTTGCAAAAGAATACCGGCGAATCAAATATTGTTCCTCTGTCGATCTGCAGTTGCGTTGCATTGCGTTGCATGTTCATGATTCCTAATGAGGAAATTTTCCGGCTTCAAAAACTAGCATGGATGCACTTCACCTTCTAAAGTTCCCCGCAAATCTTGGAAGTAATTTGTTGTAGAAAATCTATAAAACACCCATTCCCCTCTCACCACGTGGCTTCAAGGATCGCACTACTTCAGTAAAAATGCTCTCACGCATAGTTCTCCTTGTGTCGTTAACCTTGGGTGTTGATGCTGTGGCATTGCTCCCTCGACTCAATGATGGTGTAGCAACAACACCACCGATGGGGTTTGTCTTTTATTCAGTTTAAGATGGTCTCCTACTTATACTCTAGCAGTTGGAGCAGCTACAACCATTATTCTTGTTCGCCTAATGAAACAACCATTCGATCTAACGCAAAGGCACTCGTGGATCTAGGACTGGACGCCCTTGGATACCGCTATGTCGGCATCGACTGCGGATGGACAGTGGCAGACCGATTATCCAATGGATCTCTCACTTGGAATGAAACATTGTTCCCCAGTGGCTTCCCGGCTGTCGGTCAATATATCCACGATCTTGGATTGCTCTTCGGGGTATACGAGGATGCAGGTATCAAGACTTGCGATACCGGTATTGACCAAGTAGGAAGTTTGTGTATGCTACAGCCATGTTCCACTCCACAAGACCCTCCCATATTGACCTTCATTAGTTCACGAGGAACAAGATGCGGCAACATTCATGTCGTGGAACATCGACGCGCTCAAATGTACTGGCCCATAATCTCTAACCAGATGCATGTGCACCAGTTGACTAACAAAATGCAGATGACAATTGTTACTCCGAGGAGCCTACAGGATATCCCAACACAGATTATGCACCAAGCACATCACCGCGGGCACGGTATGCAAACATGACAAAGGCACTCGCGGCGCAAGACAAGAAAGTCCTCTTTCAAATTTGTGAATGGGGAGTCGATTTCCCCGCGCTTTGGGCGCCGAGTTCAGGTCACACCTGGCGCATCGGTAATGATATTATCCCGGCATGGCGAGCCATTTTCAGAACGCTCAACCAAGCGGTGCCGCAGACCTCGTTCGCAGGACCCGGTCAATGGCCTGATCTGGATATGATGGAAGTTGGAAATGACGTTCTGACTGTGCCAGAAGAGCAAACCCATTTCTCCCTGTGGGCTATTCTGAAGAGTCCGCTGGTGATCGGCGGTGCACTGAAAGATGAATGGACGGCGATTAGTGAAGCATCTCTGGCGATTCTGTCGAACAAGGATGTCATCGCATTCAACCAGGACTCGTTAGGTCAAAGTGCAAGTCTTCGACGCCGGTGGTCCGATCAAGGGTATGAAGTATGGAGTGGACCTTTATCCGGTGGACGAACAGTCGCAGCGGTAATCAATTGGGCTGATGAGGCTCGGGAGTTGACACTAAGCTTGCCGGACATTGGGCTGCAGTCTGCTGGCACTGTGAGGGATATCTGGAACAACAAGACATCCTCCAACGTGAAAACGAGCTACACGGGCTCAGTTGAACCACACGGCGTGCTGCTCCTTGAGTTGCAAGATACAGTTTCCGCAGGAACATATGCAAGCAAGGTATTTGCAACTATAAACGGGTAAGCTGGTCATTCAACTGGGCACCTTCAGTGCATACAGGACACTCATCTGTCTGACCTCAATCGATGAGACTGACTTTTCGCACTCAGAGATCAGACTACCTTCCACTCAATATACGCCAACACGACTAGTGCAAACCACACCCTGACAGTAGAGTTTGAGGAGCCAGCTGCATCGAAAACCACCCTCATCTTGAAATCACCATCCAAAGAGGTGAAGATTCCTGTGTCACCTTCCGCAAAGAGCGTATCTGCCACTATATTCCTGGTCGCGGGCTCTTCGAACGAGCTTACCATCGACTCAAGTAACCCATTGAAGTCACTCCATGTGACAGCGCCATCAGGAGAGTACTATCCCTGCACCTCCTTCACGCTGGGTGGATCCTCCAAACTCGAAAAGTGTGATGCCGACTTTTGTGCCCCTGTCGGATCCAAAATTGGCTATATTGCTGCCGAAAGCGCTATACACGCGACGATCTCAGCAACCGTCGATGACGAGTCTCAGAATAGCACAGCCTCCAAGTATCTGGAGATTGACTATATCAATAACGATATCGCTCTGGCGACGAGTTGGGGTTGGGGGTCCAGTTCTAGGAACTTGACAATCTCTGTGAACGGCGGAAAATCCGTACGACTAGAGGTGCCGCTGACGGGTCAACATAGCGAGTTGTTCGGTCCTGAGAAGGGGTGGTGGGATAGCTCGAAGCTTGGTATCTTGGTGGATGGTTGGAAGAATGGCTCAAATGAAGTTGTCATCGGAAACGATGTTGAAGGAGATGTCTCACAGACGTACGGCCCTGACTTCGTAGGTCTGCAGTTTTACGACTGAATGATCCGTACAGGAATACTCTAAGGATCACACTAGGTCTCAAATCTTGATGTCAAATCACATGGGATTATATTTGCAATATAGTAAAACAAGCTCTATGTGTATGAAATTGCCGAACGTTGGAAGTTTACATCCAGCACGTCAATCGAGCTGGAACCAAAGGACTAGCGCTCTATGTCTATTCCGCATTGGCAAGCTTGCGCATGGCCTCAAAGTTGGGTGTACCAAGACCGGTCACAGGGTCCCAGCCCTCAGTGGAGTTCCAGCTCGCATAGGGGACGACGGGGCTACCGTTTTGAGGCCCATTGAAGCGACTAGCTCCATTGCAGCCAGTACTTCCACCATCGACGATGTCATTCAGACCATCGCGACCGTTGGAGTACAGCCACGGGTTAAGGAAACCCATGGGAGATTGCTTGTTCTTCAGGCGAGCGTCGTTGAGAAGGGCGATGACACCCGCAAAGACAGGCGCGGAAGCAGATGTTCCGCTGACGCTGCTGAGGGAGCCCTTGACGTACACGGCGAAGTTCTCACCCTGGGCAGCGACGTCGGGGAATGCACGTCCCTTGGCATTGAACAGACCGGACCACTTGTCACCCAGGTTGTGTAGGAAGCCGCTCACAGCGTCCTCCTGCCACTTGGGGCGTTCCCAGAGGTCGGAGAATCCACCCGAGGAGAAGTCCACAGCGGTCTCGGGGGAGGTCTTGGATGTGGCGCCGACAGCGGTCACCCACGGGCAGGCAGCGGGGAACTGAGGTGGGAAGTGAGTGGTGTTCTTGCCATCGTTGGTCTGGCAGGCAGCACCAACACCGGAGTCACCAGAGGAGAAAATAACGGAGACACCTCGGCTACCTAGCTGCGAGTAGAGGTTGCACACAGTGCGGGCGTAGGACTTGGGCACGCTCTGATGGGGAATTAGCTTTGGATATCATTTAGGAAAAGTGTAGACCGTACCTGCTCATCTTCTCCGTAGGAAGTGGAGATCACTTGGGGAAGGTCCTTCTTATCCATCTTAAGCACGTTTTGGAGGAAATCCAAGTACGGCTCATTGTTGTTGTCGTTGGGGTCGGGCTGGTCCAAATCAGGGACAAGGATACCCCGACCACCGACGCTGAACTCGGTCACTGGGACAGGGGAGCTTGTTCCGACAATGTACTGAAGGTCAAGGTTGGCCTCGCTGATGTCACCCTTGGGGTGCTGGTCGTTACCTCCGCCATTGTACTGCACGACGGAGAAGTTCTGTCCCTTAGCTTCAGGGAAGACGTTCTTTTCGAACAAAGCAAGGTCGGAGTAGCTGGCATACTGCTCTAGGTAACTGACAAAGCCGGCTTTGTTACCATTCTTGGGATCGGCCTTGTAGTCGCCGATCTTGTACAGATCCTTCAAGCACTTTGGTGTGATGACGCTATTGCAGTCAGGGGTGGCAGACAACGCATTGGCGCGGAACGCCATATCGGTCTCCTTAGACTCGCTGTGCAGAGTAGCGCGGTGGGCGCGCAGTTGTCCGAATCGAGTGGTGGGCTGAATCATGTTGATATGGGACATGAGAGCATCCGGGACAGAATACTCCAGTGTGCGAAGACGCTCCACGTGCTGAACACTGTTGACGTAGAACTGGAAATCAGCTGCCAGCAGCTGGTTTGCGGTCTCCACGGTGGTATAGAAGGTCATCCAATCGGCATCTTGCTCAATCTGTGTGATGCCGGCACTTTCGAGCCAATCCCGGATCGAGTCCGCGGCTTCAGCGCTGGGCTGAAGCATGCGCTTCATCTCTTCGTGTGTCTGGTAGTGTTTGCCATAGCTGGGATGGTCTGGGGTGGACATCTCCAGGACGCTCTCCTCAAATCCGGCGGTATCGCCTTGGGCTAAAGCAATTTGCAGCCTCATTGCCTGGGTGGCACGGGGTTTGCGTGAATATTTCCATCCTGTAATCAGTTAGATTGATAACAAGGTCGTGTCGGTTTGGAACGGCAGAAACACACCCTGAGGAACTGATGACAAGCTCTCGAAGACATCGGCAGCAGCAGAAGAGGCGAGAAGAGAGACGACTGCGAGCGACAAGGCCTTGCGGCTCAGTAGAGACGCAACCATGGTCAAATGAAGTGATATACGAACGCCTGTTTCGTGACGGGGAAAAAGCCTCCACTCAGCGAAGGCCAAAAGTATAAATACCTCGAGACAGAATCAATCAGAAAGGAGGGGTAATGAGTGATGACCGTGAATTGGTGTTTATTGTGGTTGCATTGGGGTGGGGAGAATGGAGACCGGCGAAGAATGCGGGTTGACGAGCACAAGATAACTCCCAAAATTGGCAAGGTCGGGACCTTTAATTCCAGTTTTCGCCCTGTTCTCCCTTGGCGATTGCACCAGTTCCACAATTACTGTGGACCCTGAGACGGGTGTCCGTCGGGTTATCAACGGCGTCGAATCTCGCGGGATGGGTCACAGGATTCAATTCGACTGCATATGCATAGCGTGGCATCATGACCAACGACGAGCTGACCCGAGCCCACTGTTGAATTGTTAGTGATGTGATCGGTATGGCACTCTCATCCCGTTGTGACGCTGGTCGGTGTTCCGTTGATGATCGGCAGGGGGGCCCGCCCCACTGTGTTTGAAGGCATGCGAGGGTGACAGGCACCGATGTGGCTGGAGCTTCGGTACGATCAGAATCTTCACCTCACACCACTCGGAGTTTGGGGTACTCCGTATGGAGTACAAAGAACGGTCATGCTGTGAAATAGCATTGTACGAGACCCATTGGCTTGCCCCTGGGCCGAGTGGTGTTCACTGGAGATGGTCCTACGCGACCGTCTGCCCGGGTTGCCCAGGCGATACTCCGTACATGCAGTGCTCAGGTATAATCCTTGCCAGAGTCAAACAAATGTGGCGTAAAGTGTTGGAGCTAAGCACTTCGCGTTGCGGGTATGGGAGGCTGGTAACTCCAGCCCCCGAGGTCGGCTAAAAGTCTTGATCAATTAGTGTGATTCCAGGGTGGGGGGCAATGCAAATGAGTACGCCAGTCACCAAATTGAATTGTGATAACTTCCAGCGTCCGACATTTACTCCAGTGTTCGTTCCTTTCAGTTTGCTTTTCTCCAAGTTGATCGTCGATTCAAGCCCAGTCGTACTCCGTAATTACGCGCGTCAAACACGTTCTTTGCGAAGCGACGGAGCCTCTCGCGTGCTTTGCCGTACAGCGGACGCAATAGCCATCTGGTTTTCTCCGCGCCCTCACGGGATTTCTAATAAAATCATACATTCAGCCGGAAACAATCCTTACTTGCTGCCATATTCTCCGCGGGGGATGTGATCGGTAAAGAAATAAGGCATTCGTGAATAGTCTAGTGCCTAACTATGTATTCCGTACTCCGTATTCGCCTAGCGAGTATTAATCGAGGCATGCACCTTCACATTATTTGTTCCACACCCTGTGCGGAGTCCACGGCCCTTGAACCCGTTTGGTGCAGCCAAGGCCAGCTGAAATATTTACATTGCCAGATAAACCCCTTGGCTCTCGGTCGCCACTCTACCCCAGTCATCAGTGACCTTCAACCTTGACCGGGACCTGGTTTGCTGCAGGTTCTTCGAGTCCAGTCTCATTCATTTCCAAATGATGAGCATAGACCATAGAAGCAATCGAATCTTCGGTTTGAAGATATGTGCGGTTCCCCTGGATAAACCAGAACGCGAAGGCAATGACCAGCATCACACCGAACACGGCGATGGCAAAGTTCATATCCGCTGCTGCGGGGTTGGGGGCTCCAGGGAAGAGGAAGAAGATGGTCGTGATGATACAGTACACAATGCTGACCCAGTTCAACCAGGGTCCGATGCGACCGAGCTGGAATGGCCCCGGGGGTAATTTCTCCCGCCCGGTTACAAGCAGAGCGAGAATAGGCATTGCGTATGAGACTGTCAGGGCGATGGTGCTGACACTCAGAATGGCTTCGAGAACGGTATTGGCAAAGAGATACAGAATGCCAACGATCGCGATGATAACGCCTTGTCCCCAGAGTGCACGGGCGGGGACTTGCCATACAGGGTCGACATGGCTGAAATACTGACCGAACGGAACACCGCCGTCTCGGGCGAACCCCCAACTCAAGCGGGAGGCTGTGGTGAGAACACTGATGCCCTGGCCCAGGCCGTTGAAGATGAAGAGCGAGATCAATACGGCAGCACCCTTCAGACCGACCGTCTCGAGCATCAGCTCCATGAATGGAAGGTCGGCGTTGAGAACCTTGTCGACATCCTGAATACAAAAGAGACAGACGACCATGAAGATGAAACCAGTGACCGCACCAAAGAGAACAGCCATCCATATCACCCGGGGGGCGTTCTTCCGGGGTGCGGGAATCTCCTCAACCATATGGATGACTGAATCGAATGCGGTCAAACCATATGCCGCTTGCACCAACCCAGTAAACCACACCACTCCATCACTCCAACCCGTTTCGTTCTTCCAAGCTCCAAATGCGAACGAGGCAGGCTGGAATGACAGGTCGCTCTTGACTCCAACGCTGATGAGCAACACAAGCGACAACACGATGAATAAACCAAAGAACCACACTCCAACAAAGTTATTCAGCCAGGGTAGGATCTTCTCCTTGCGGCAACTGACCACGTTGATGAGAGTGAGCACAAAAACGACACCGATATACACCACAAAGTTCAGCCACCCTTTACCAGCTCCCTCCCACTCAGGATTGAACATGGTCTTCATGCCCAATAGGAACTCTGTCATGAAGGCAACCTGTGAAGCAGTCAAAGTCCACCATCCGAACGTATTGATCCAGGCGCACATGTACGACACGAAGCGGCCGAGTGGTGTGTTCCAAAGTCGGTAGACCCAGTAGGCCTGGCCAAGAGCAGTAGGCATGCTGCTGGTCAGCTCGCCCAGCGAAAGGGCCACGCAGAGGTTGCACCCAGTCACCAGGACTAGACCCCAGAGAATTGTAATGGCACCGCCATTAGTCAAGCCGCTGCTGAGATCCTGGGCGAAAGTAGAATATGTTCCTGATGCCGGGTTAACAACAATGATTTGGGAAGACAAAGTGGCGAACAAACACATACCAAGTACACAAAAGGCCAATGCCAGCATACTCCACATATCAAATTTCCTCGTCAAGGCCTGGGAGTGGCCCAGGGCAGCGAGATCCTGTGCATCTTGCACATTTTGGTCCGTCAGTGGCGGTTTAAGGGGTGGTGCGTTGGACTCCAAATCCATCACTCGGATTGTATATTCAGCCGGCAGCAACGTATATAAAATCGGTGGGCAGGTAGATGATCACTGCGCCCATTTTCTGATCGAGTAAAGGGATGTTCAGGAACTGCTGGACACTATGTACATATATACGGCGTAGGCGTTCCCGTTCCGCGTTGACACCGATCACCCCTCACAGGGAGATACCGCATTCGAGATACGAGTGAAGCTTGAAGAAGTCGGGCCAATTATGTGCGGCGTGGGAAAAATAGACCAGGCGGAATCAGGACAATTGGTCATGGAAATAGGCGACGTTGATAATCAGAAGCAGGGTTTTCCACTTTTTTTTTATTGCGGGGATTGTGGCTCGTCTCGGTAGGACCTCCTGCAGCGGGCCAATCTCCACACCTGAGAGCTGGGGTAATGTTATTACTTTGGTTGCGCGAGTGTGATTGGTACCATCAGCGATCTTGCTCGTGAACTCAATTAAGACCAAGGGAGATGATGGACTCCATGGCGTTGTTGTCGCCATTGCCACATGTGTGTGAAGGTCCAAGCGCGGCGAAGACGGGTGCATTTCTAGACGTTACTGTGCATGCGGAATGAGTGTGGTATAATCTGCAGATAACACCATGAAACATTGCCTTTTGGTCAGGTCAAAAATGCCCTGGGTGTACTGTGCAGTGTGGTGATTGAAGTCGAGATGTCATTGGTGGCAATGGCCCAAAACGGCAGGTACATGCGCGATAAGAGATAGACGTTCTTCCTTTTCAAGATCAAGTATGTGAATAACAGCTATAACACGGCATATCTTTGATCTCTTTGATAACCGAGATTGATAGTCCTGGAGTCTCTGCTCTGTGGAGTTCAATTGATGCACTGGTGTTGAACCACTTATTCACAGACGGGGTTCCATGATACTCGTATGCGCACCCGGTAGTTGTTGGGATCTCCACGTTGAGAGATACAACTCAGCAAGATCGACCTCGGCCCCAATACTGGCACATCCAGAAGAAAGGGGAAAGACGAAACGACGCATCTGCACAAGTCAGGCAGCAGTGTTCAGTTGACCAACATGCCCAGGTGAGGACGGAATTGAAGGCTCCACTCCGATCATGATAGTCTTGAACTTGAGTCGATAAGACTTGAGGTTTGTTTGAGAATACGTCGCTTGTCGGGCACTGCCATGTCTCAATGTGGATAGCCCGCGATATCTTTGGATTCCAGAATTCAGATGCGGCACGGAGTAGTCCCTGCGTTATTGGGCTGCATCGCCGTGCCTCGGTGAGTGAATCTCCTCTTCCTTCCTTTTGGGGTTAGAAGCATGGCGATTTCCTTAGATCCCCATGATGCGCATGATGCGAGCAGTGCGAGTACTCGTATCTAATTCTTGTTCCCCGCATTTTTGGGCAATTGGTCCGATTAGTTCTCGTAGTGATGTGCTCGCGCTCGTCAACGACTGGCGGTGAAACGCGTTCCAAAGAGATCATATCCTCATTGAAGACCTTGCCTCTCCAGGTCAGCTGTGCAGCTTGGGGGTTCTTCTGATATTCAGGCACGGTGCATGGTCCTATGCCCGATCGGGAATCTCGAGCCTAAGCATCCGCGGAGTCACGGGGATGGGTCAGTGCTAAGAACGTGTCCAGGTGTCTTTCTTCCTCTTTTGAGTTGCCACTAGTTATGGCCGGAACGATAGGTTTCTTGCCCCCGTCTCTTGCCGTGCTGTGCAATCTTCCAAATGCTGACAAGAACGATTTCTTTCACACTCTCATCCGACAAAGCCGTTCTGAGGGCTCGGTTATATGACAGGCCCAGGTTGTGAGAGTCTGGCTGTACTGAGTGATTGAGGTTCCTCGGTCTTTCTGGCACCGTATCTGCACTCCGTGCCAGAGCTACCCGAGAAAATCAACACAAGATGCGATGGTCTTCGGGCGAACAGTCACAGTGTAAGAGCAACCATCTGATACATTCGACTGGATCTCAATTTGGTCAGCACAAATACCAACGCACACATACGAGACGGAAAAATTGAAAGAAGTTGAAGGTTGTCAAGGTAGATATACCCAGCGCGGGGTTTACCGGATTTGGGTTATCATGCCATACTGACACAACAGAACTAGAGCGACAATGAATGATCCGAGCCTTGGCAATTATATTAATGCTTTAGGATACCATCTATGATGATCCCCACATGGGGCAATCCCAAGACAAATTAAAAACACTTTTGTTGTCGCCACGACTCGAAAGTCATATGAGAGATGAGAGCAGACTGCAATCCAGTCCAAGCAACTCCGACCCAAACGCCTCCGCCTAACCGAACAAGAAGAAACAAGAAGAGGAAAAGCAACGCCGACCGGGATCGATTTCTCCGGTTATTCTAAGAATACACAACGCTCGTCACGGTCATGAGGAACAAGAACAGGAGGGGTTGATTGAGGTCAATCAGATCCGGGGGTGCTTGTTAGGTCGCCACATACCCCCCGGTACCATGTTCTGCTTGAGCATCGCTAGCTCCTTGTGGAGGGCCTGGTTCTCTTGCTGGATGCCATCGATGTAGGAGAGGGCGTTGGTGAGAATCTCTGATTTCTTGAGTGATCCTGCGCCAACCTTGGTGTGTTTTTGAACACGCGATGGTGAAATGGCCTGCTCCAGGGAAACAAACTTGGCGTTCATGTTTGTGCGGTAGCGTTTCTCGATGATGTTGTGAGCGGCACGCTTGGCGGCATTCCGCATCTGCGGGTCTTGGCTGCCGGATGACCGGTTGGACTCTTGGGAGAAACTGCGGGTCTTGCGGGATGTGGAGGTGGATGTGGATTTGGTAGGTTGAGGGGTGGAAACTTCTTCCTGCTTGAAGTCGGGGCTTGATGACCATCTTGTTGATGATCGGGTCTTGATCTCTGGTCGGGTTTGAGTGAGGCTGGTTGGCTCATTGGGTTGAATCTCAAAAGCGTTGGAGTCGATAGACTGGCGAGCGGCGGCAGATTGCCATGACTGATCATCACTGTCAAGCTCCTAAAGGATGATTGGTTAGTATCATTGCATGATATGTCATGAGGGGAGACCAACCGATGAGAGTGAGGCGGCATCCTCTGCCATGGGCATGGAGAAGCCACTGATACCCGAGGAACCGGTGAATGGGTCGGCAAAGAGGTCCTTGGAGTCGAGATTGGTGAGGTTGTCGGCAAAGTCGAATGACACGGGCTCCATGTCAGTGGGGTTGAGAGCAAACATATCGATGGCACTATCGTAGCTCCAGTTGGCAGCTAGAGGGTCGGTGGGATCAGATGCTCTGTTGAAGAAGTCGGCGGGCCGAGACTGAGGGCTTAGTTGTTGGCTGAGGTAGGTTTCTTCATCCATCGAGAGATTTGGGATCTCATTGGATCGGTTGCAAGCCATGATGCACATCTTGAAGGATCATACGTTGGCCTCGAGGGCAATCGGCGGGATGGGGATATATAGCAAGTTCCAAGGTTGGGTGATGAAAAGGGGTGGCGAAAGGATGTGCGCAAGTGCTCGAGTGGGATATAAATAATTCAGTGGGAATTGTATTATGGAACAGGAGGTGGGCTTCGGCCGCAGGGATTTTATATAAAGGCAGAGTCTTCCCCGAAGTGTACAGGGGTACGAAGTAGACCCGGAACGGACAATTACCTGTAATCGTCAAAGATCCAGTGATGTCAGGACCCTGATCCATAACAGGACACGGTGATTTCAAGCCGAGATCACCCCAGTCAAGATCTTTAACGGCCGGCTCCGATGCTATTCCGATACTTCCAAGATCCCAGCGTGAAACCGTTAGATTCTCGCTGAACGACAGCGGATGTGGATACGACGGGAAGGCTGGACCGGCGCCAAGCCCCTTCGGCCGAAGCCCGGACCCGATCGTTTTGATGCGTTTTGCTGTTTTTTTCATCTGTTTTGATATGTTTTGGGTACTTTTCGTACTTTCTTCACTATGCTTTTGCCCCTGACACTGTCAAACTACGAGTAAACGTATTTTTTAGATTGCCGTTTTTGGCTTTTGTAGCCATCTGGTTACCGATTCCCATATCCGCATGGAGAGGACACTCCCGCTTGTCCCGAAGTCATACTGATCCATCTCTCCTACTCGTAGAATTCCTGACGTGATAATGATAGATCACCTCGGAAGTGACACTATAGGCTATGGGATCTTCTGCCCTCGTTGTGATTCTCACGGTACTCCGTATGTACGAGTAAGGCACAACCCGCAGACCTCACAGGGGCCATGAGACCAGAGAGGACACCGCGAATTGGCAGCTTTCCAGGGTTTCTGACAAGAACTGGTCAATTTGTGAACCTCTTCTTCATCGGGCCTCGCAGCTATACAGAGTCTGAGACTGGTAATTAGTTAGGTCTGACCTAGTAACTATGTGATGTATTGAACCAGGTCTTTTCCAACAGAAGGGACCTGTCGTGTCATTTTTCCTCATGAAGACGATCACATACACTCATCCATACCCAAGTAAGTACACTTTTGCTCTGTCTCATCACAGATGGCAGGTATGTGATATTATTCGCTCGCTTAGAAGGACTAATGTTCTAGACATCCATGGATCTAATCGGTTGATTGATCTACTGCCACTGGGTGCTTGACAGTCCGCTCGCACAAATACTCGTACTCGTAGACTTACCTGAGTAAAACCCTGGGGCTTCAGTTCATTTGATCTTGAAGACTCGAGATCCTCCCTCTCTACGAGTAAATCGAGGCAGATTGAAGTTCATGAATTTAACCGACTGACAAGGATATACCGAGTCTAAGCCGGTCGTAACTGAAAGGCTACACCTAATACAAGTATATCAGTATTTAGTTAGTGGTATGGAGATGTCCACGTATCAGCTAAAAATCTGTAAGCACCAATTCGTACATCCGTAGACAATACACAGTATTGGTCCTCGGCTTCGCGCCTGGCCTTTCTTTATCCCTTCCAAGGTTGGCGGTAAAATCCATACCCTGTTCCTTCTTGGGTTTCAGATTTTCAGATTACCTGCCTCAAGAGCACGGGTATGCTTTGACGATCACCTGTCATTCACTCCATAAGGCAGTTGAATCCTTGCCGGGAATCCCCCTTGACGTATGCGCCTAAATTAAAATTGGTCAGTGGCTGCAGCGAACTTTGATAGCGATCCTAGCTATTGAAACGTTGGGGAACCAACCTTCCATCAATCACAGTGAACTGGTGACCTCAACCATAGACAAGTCAACATAGTGGCTTTGGATTACCTCTCCACAAGCTGCGATGATACCTCTGCAGTGGGTGGGAAGATCCGATAAAATCAACCGCTCCTATGTTCCAGGTACAACACAACTTGCCCTTTTGGAATCCACGCGTTGCCGGTAATGCTCTTCTTTTGCCTTACCGCGTTGGGTAATATCCACGTGTACGAATCCGTGTCCATTGTCAGTGCAGCACTCGTACTCGTACCTTTGTCAGTCTAGTCGGAAATCAGAGCCACTTTTTTATGCAGATTTTTCATTCAATGAAAACACGTCTAAAGCCTCGAAGACCTGGAGCATGAGCTCCCTTACTTAAGGTTACTTTGGATTGGTAGGACAATAAACAAAGTTGTGTCATATGCACAATAGACGTGGACTAGTGTCGCCTCGACGGGCCGCCTCTCGTCCAGTCGCAGTGCAGGTAAAAGCCCGTTACGTGAGAACCTCGGATTCTTTCCTAATCAAGTGTCACATGCGCCTTGAATCAGTGGGGTGACTCGGATCATCTCCTTCCTCAGCCTTTGCTCCCTCAACCCGATGTCCACCGATCCGCTGAGATTTTCACCCCTGTGGCAATCCGTAATTTTGGTTTTTTTGTTTCTTCTCGATGGGTTTCGGAAACCATTATTCGACTTTGGCTGCCGGTGAAGATTTCTTCATCGTATGGCATGAGGCAGTCATCTCCTGATACTCTCCGATCTTGGTCGTAGATCCGATGGTACCTTTTGACTCTTCCGAGATTCAATGAAACACTTGCATCTCGTGAAGGTTCTTCATTGACCTGCCAGGCTGGTAAGTTTGGTGGCTCATTGCTCACAAACCTCGTGATCCCGGTCAGCTCGGAGCCCTCCCAGGCTCGTACTTATGCTTCTTCCCTATCTCGAGATCTATCACAACCTTAACTTCCATGGGACACTCAACACCGGGAACAGGGCTAGACCAGTTGAGCCCGGGAAGCGGGTTACTCTGCAGGCTACCCGTTGCCCCTGTGTGACAGCTCTCGACGGAGTTGATGCACGATGGTCAGTCCACCCGGCCCGCCCTGACCCAAGAGTGGAGTAATAACGGGCGCTAAGCCCGCCAGCTGCACAAAATCCTTGGATCTCACGTCGAACTTCACTGTCGACTGCCGGGTGCTGTCCCCGAATCTTGGTCAACGGAGATCATCCGCGGGAGGCGGGTTAGCTCACTCAGTTGATCATTGGGCCCGCTGTTACCACCGGAGGATAAATTTTGTACCGCCACCATTTCGGGTCTTGATGGTGGGCTATTCTCATCGGATTCCGAAAATGAATTCAGAATGGTGTGAAGTTCCCGCTTGCAACTTGGATCTAGGTCCTCACGTGCCCCGTCAAATGGTTTTGTCTCTTACATGGCAGCAAAGAGTGTATCCTCATTTCAACTTTGGGAATTACCTTGGCTCCTTTGGCTCATGCTCGCTCGTCTTCTCTTGATTTATCATACTGATCACCCAGTTCCCTTTACAACACCCGAAGGAGGCCAGAAGAGCTATGAACGGGAGATTGAGAGAGAGAGAGAGAGAGAGAGTCAATCTCCAGAATCATGATCTTCTATGATCGTCTCAAGCTGGATCGATTGTAATGAGTTGCTATATAATGGACAAGGCATGGATCCGATTTCTTTACGCAATCGGTTGGGTGCTGTTCAAACCTTCACTTGAATACAAGTTCTGACGATTGTCGAGTTATGCGTTGTCAGCGGAACATCGCTTCCTCCCGCCATAGAGGACATTCAACGATAGATGACCCCGTCTTTCTATCTCTTTGGGATCATTGTTGATTAACTATTCTCGGCGCAGAACGAGCAGTTGATCGTCAGTAAGCTCGCCAGATTCAGCAGTCGCATCGTCAGGGTCGAAAGTGGCCACGGCAATTCCCTTGTTGCGGGGTTCCACGCTGGGGTGGTCCCACGCTGCAGCTGGTTGATCGTTCATCACAAGACATGGGAATACTTATCTGTCATTGCGTCTCAGTAGAATCACACCGTGTTGGCCTCCCACTCGGGCAAGAGGCACGGTCTCACCGTTTTTGAGACTGAGAGCCTCCGACTGATAATCCTGCCAGACGGCTTTGAATGTGCTTCGAAGGTTTCTTCCCTCGCTTAATAATCCACGAAAAGCGACGTGCAGATGAGCAATTCAATACCTGTGATGCTTTTCATCATGAATGAGCGGTCGGCAGGGCTGAAGCCAAGAACATATGATCTGCATTTACCGTGACGCGCGCAAGACCCCAGTGACCCAATCCTACCCGGCCAAGTTACCTCTTATGCAGACTCGTGAGTGTACATCAAACAACTTGACTGTGAGATTCGCAGCAGAGTAATTTACCAACAAGATTGCGGAACCAAGACTAAATCTTGAGGTACACTAGAGGCACACATCAGCTCAACCTTCCAAAGTTGGTGGGCTGTCGATCTATGGAGGATCGAGAGGCATTGACCTCTTGTGGATAAAAGCTTGCATGTGAAATTAACATAACCATTGTCGACTGCACGAACAATTGGAAGAGTGAGCTTGACATCATCTGGGACAGATCCCGAGGTCATCAGTGGCCCGGTTTTACCCAGCTCGTTACCAAGGTACTCATCGTGTAGGGCACTGTCAGTCGAGATTTGTTACTGGCACGTACTACACTGATATGTGCGATATTACTTGATGTGAAGTGATCGTCTCGCTCGTCCAACACAGGCCCCCACAGTTCCTCTTCGCCAGCCCAATCAAAATTTAAGCTCTACGGAAGTGTGATGAGAACCGCCTCCCCGGGCCGCTCACAGACCTCAACAAATCACCTGGACAGACATTGAGACTATAATGACGCACTATGTACGACACAAAGTATGGTTTTTCCTTTGCTAGATCGAAGATATAAAATCTTTTGATCTCGCAGTGTGGGCAATTGTATCGATTCCAACCGACAAACCAATAACCTGATGCTTGAGTGCCTTTCTTCGACAATAGAGGAAGAGATTGAGAGAAAATGTCACTGTACGTCCTTTTGGCTCGCTTCACATACTTCCAAACTGCTAATACTTTCATCTTTTCCTTACAAGTTCACCAGAACAACACTATGAGCAACTAGTCATCGGAAGAAATCTGAAAGCTCAAGATGTCCAAGCGGCATTTGATAACCTCCAACCCATCAAACCAGAAAGCTTCGTTGAAGCATGGAAGGGTGCGAATGTCAACACAGGCCACCCGACCGAAGAAAAGCTCACTGGTATGAGATGGGCCGGAAAAACATTCCGCTCAACGGAAGATGTCGATCCGATTATGGTCTACGACAACGATGGCAGGAGGGTCTCGAATGCAGACTGGGGACATGCTCGAGTAAGCTCACCATCTTGAGTCCAAGCCTCTTGTTCCCCACTGGAGCAGACTAATGTTCCTGGATGGCGACAGAGCTCTGGCCTTGTACTGACCAATTCCTGTGCAATAGCTTCGTCAGATTGAATGGAACGGCAAGGTCTCTACTGCTATGGTTTATGACGACTTCCCAATTATTGATTACTTTCGATATGTCAAGGAAGATCTGATCGCTGGAGCAATGGACGCAAAAACTGCGTCTGGTGGCACATACTACTTTTACTTGTTCGAGTGAGTGCTTTTTTACGAACAGCCAAGGTGGAGAGCATAGAAAGCCTCTGTTGACAATCTTCAAACATGGTGAAATTTCGAGGTTACCTGTTGTTCATAGAGCAAAATCTAGTGGTGCCGGTGCGATGAAATGTACTCTTCAGGCTAGCCCAGGTGAGCATGAGCTCAATACCCCAGGAACCTTGGAATAACCCTACTTAAGTAGAACATTATTCAAGTAGGTACCTAGTGTAGTGGAGGAACGGCCTACATCCTATAGAGCTTAAGGTTAGTCAAACGGAGATGCGGATTCAGTCCCTGGGAGGAAAGATACGATCGCGCAGGGTGATCTGCTGAATATCATTCATCTTCATTCGTGCGATTCTGCGATGATTACGGAGTAGAGGCCGGTTTGGGTTCTGCCTGCCCTCGCTACGGTGTTGTTCACGGCTCCTATCCTCGTCCTGTCTGCTCTGTCAGACTGCATACGCACTTCCCTCTTCACTAGATAGAACCTTGAGACTTTCGACTTACACGCATGTAAGTATTAGGAGGGGCTTTATAGGGCAAGGGGGGGGGGGACTTCAGGAGAGATCTACTTAAGTATCTGGAGCGATTGCATTATGGCAATCTACCTGAGCTCCAACTGAGCAGTGTTGGGGCACCCCGAGGTCACAAACTGCCTGTGGACCCACCCGGGCATATATACTCGTATATCTTATAAGAACATACCCAACTGGGCACCTAGCTAAAACCTTCCAAGGTTGGGAGACAAGCAAGAGGCTCAACTTTAGAAATTGAGATATGGGCCGACCATTCCCAGGGTTAGTTCATATCGCGATGATCAGAATCAGCTTTACTTAAGCAGAAGTCCATCCAACAGGAATGTACTAAAGTACCATCGAAGTCAAACCCAGCTATACTCAAGGTCCAATTATGGAGTATGGGGTACTCCGTATACGGGCGATGATTAGGTTTACTGGGCTTCAGATTAAAAATGATGCACGCATGTACTCGCAGTTGTGAAATACTGGGAGTTTGCTGCCTAGTCTGAAGTGTGCAATCAATGTGCCCAGGAAACAAAATCACACCGCTCAATGACGAGCGAGGCTTTTAATTACGTGCTAGTGGACCCTAGCGTCATTGATGGATTGCAGGTGATCGGAATCCCAGATTTCATCTCTTCGCCCCAAGAATATCCCCAGAACTCTGAAGACGAACATACTCGTAGTAAGAAAATAAGTCAGAAATCAAGGAAAACTCAATTCCTCCGAAGAAGCCGGTGATCCTCGGGACGGCCGAGGGTGCATCCGATGGAAACGTGGATGGACGATCATCGGAATGATCTCAAAATTGAGCGGCTAAGAATAGCATTTGGCATGGAAACAGAATACCCCGAACTTCCTCCACCAAAACCCTGAAGATCGACAGTGGCTGATTCCCGTAATGGCGTCCGATCCACTATTCGGATAAAAAACTGCCGCATGAGGAAGAGGGTCTTCAGGGGCTTCGGGTGGCGTGCCGCTGACCGTTGAATTGTTGAATTGCTGGGTTCGAAGGAGAATCACGCACTTCAATCTTTTGATTTCACACTTCGCTGTTGCGATAGAGCCCAAGCTGCCCAGTTGACGACATCTGTCGTGCAAAGCATGCGTTTTCCCGTCAAGAGGGGGTTGCAAGACATGTTTTACTCTTGCGGCATGATCGGCCAATGGTATCGAGGAATCAATTTAAGGTAGCCACTTTAATTCGAAAGTGGAATCGTGCCCCGTTTGGTGCCCTCCGCAGTCGATAGTTGGAATCTCTCGACATTGCATCAATACTCGTATCCGGTTTGCCGGGGAAACAAGAGGTATATAAGTCCCATGCGAACCCCATGTATTTCTACTTTTCATTCACAATCCCAATCCCACAATCACAATGAAGTTCTCTCTCGCTGCTCTCACTGGTTTCGTCGGCGCCATCAGCGCTGCCAGCCTTCCCAACGCCTTCACCCTCGTCGCTGAGGGTGGCAAGACCGTCCTGACCGATGGCCAGAACCTCTACATTGGTGCCAACACCACCACCCACGACATCCTCATCCGTAAGCTTCCCCTTTTGATGTGACCTTTTTGAACGTATCTAACCCCCTATAGTCCGTGGTGGCAGCCCCAACGGCCTGGTCTCCTACACCGCTAAGAACGGTGTCCCCACTGCTTTCCAGAACCTCTACATCGTTGAGAACGATGTCGCCCCTGCTGGTCTGACCATCCCTCACTCTGGTGCTGTCCCCGAGAACGGCAACGTCACTGGATTCGGTGTCAACGACAAGGGTCTCTTCACTCACGGTGACAAGGCCTGGTTCTCCGTCGACGGATACGGTGACAACCCCGTCAAGGAGATCTACTGGTACGCTGCTCACAACGCTGAGTACCGCACCGAGAACCTTTACGTCAAGGAGCTCAAGAACTACTCCGCTTAAATGCTCCCTTGACTTGAAGAGGGCTCTTCTGGATGTTGCTTGGAAGCGACTGCGTGTTTTGACGCAAGATCCCCTCTACTGATTTGTACTTAATTATTGCGCCTGTACATCGAATATACCTATTAGCGAAATTGAGGCTCTGAGAGTCAAATCTGACAACATTTTCTAAGATCAAATTGCATGGGCTTGTAAGCTTGTAAGTCAAGTTTTAGTACTATTCAAATGACGATATTACTTGAGTAACTACTTCAACCAATCAACTCCTTGATATTCTTCTCATACGCCTCAGGCTCACGTCCCAATATTTCCCCAAGAGCCGGTGACACAACGGCAGTTTCACCATTCTTGATCGCCTGCCAAGCAGTAGCCCACTCCCTAGATAGATCGACATCTTTGTATGTATGCTTATCGCCGATCTGAGGAAGCCGAACATATTCATCCACCGAGATTTCGCGAATGGAAAGCGGCTTGCCGATTGTCCGCCCGATAATGTCGATCGTCTCCGCTAGTGAAATCTCGCGCGGACCGGATAGCAGAACCACCTGGTTCCGATACTTGAACTTCACCGGATCATTGACGTGTGCAACAATGAGATTCGCGGTAGCTTCGCCTAGTTCGTCGCGCTTCACCCAGGCAACACCCGGTCCACTGCCGGAGTGAGGAATGGTGATTTCGTCGACTGGGTTTTGAGGATCGAACCAAGCGGTGTAGATCGGGAAGGACTCGGAGTATAGTCCTTCACGGATAGAGGTGTACGGTATTTTGTCTTGGTTTGAGGCCAAATACTTCTCTGTCTCGATATGAGCGCCCATAACATGTGCGACAGACTTGTCGCTTAACCCGGTACCAAATCCGAGGGAGGAGTAGAAGATGTGCTTCACGCCGCTTTTTATGGCTGCATCGATAGCAAGACGGTGGGACTTTGTTTGCTGGTTAGATTATTCTGTGAAATTGTGGGGAGGAGGCTCTTACTTTCACGCGGTGCTCGATTTCAAAGGATGCATATGAGACCAGCATTAGAACATCGATGCCGTCGAATGCTGTATCCAAAGTTGAGGGTTGGTCATAATCTGCGTGGCGGACGGTTGCCCCCTCTCCTTGAAGCTTCACAAGGTTTTCGGGCTTTCTTGCTACGAGAACAAGTTGTGAGGCGGGAACTTGTTTAGACAGGTGGTCCACGATGCTGGTGCCAAGACCGCCAGATGCAGGAAAGACTCCGATCTTGGTAGTCATATTGTGTTCCAAGCGATGATATCGAGAGTTGGTATATCTCCGAACGACTTTGAGGTTGTAGTGAGAAAAAGATATCTCGAACATGTCCTGACTTATATCTCACCCACAGTGGGGTTTCGCCCAGTTTCTTGGCGATTGTCTGCTTAGAAATGGGTAATCCTCGGCTTCGGTCTGCGGCGCACCAAGGCCGAACATTGCCAAGTACCCCAGGAGCCAGCGCATGGCCATCAGCATTGTCGAATTCATGAATCGTTATATTAGAGATGAGATATGTGATGTCTTAACGCCAAGAAAGAAAATAAAGTACATGAATGCAGGAATGACATAATTCCATGCTCAGTGGGGAATGCCTCCAGTGCCGAACAGTTCCATCTTGATACGGTCGGCGGCCACACCCTTAGCCTTGAGACTGGATTCAATATCCGTCATAAATTTCTCCGGTCCACAGATATAGTACTCAGTCTGGGTATCATCGAGATATAAATCCTTGTCATCAAGCTTGTTCAGATCAACACGTCCAACGTGGTGGTAGTCTGAGCCCTCCTTGTCACTCTCTGTCGGGTGGCTGGTGAAGAAGGTAGCTTGGACAGGGGAGGAGAGGGAGAGCTTGGAGATGTGGTCTTTGAATGCGCGACCGGCGGATGTGCGCGCACCATGAATGAAGTGAAGTTTGCGACTTCCAGGCGCCTGGGAGGTCAAGGTGTTCACCATTGATGTGAGCGGGGTTAGACCCACGCCAGCGGAGATCAGAACCACTGGAGTGGTGGTCTCAGACTTGCTGGGTGAGAGGTAGAAGTCGCCGTAAGGATGGGAGACTTGAAGTGTGTCGCCGATGTTGTAGGTATCGTGCAGCAGATTTGAGATGTACCCAGGGTGGGTAACAGCGGGAGCAGGGTCAGATGAATTGATGCCAGTCTCCTTCTTAACGCTGATGCGGTAGTAGTCTGGCTTGGGCTGATCGCTGAGGGAATATTGACGGGCTTGCGCGTACTCAAGAGCTGGCACGTGGGCCTGCACAGAGATGTACTGACCGGGTTGGAAGTTGGGTAGAGGCTTTCCGTCGACAGGAGCGAGGTAGAAGGAAGTGATCTCTTCCGACTCCTTGACCTTGTTAACGATTTTGAAATCGCGCCAGTCGGTCCAGCCCTCGCTCTGCTCGTAGAGTTGCTTCTCGCGGCCGATCATGAGGTCTGCAAGCTGCCAATAGGCGGTCGCCCACGCGTCAAGAATTTCCGGGGTCAACGCAGCACCGAGAACTTCACCCATTGCTTCGAGGAGGTACTTTCCAACGATCTTGTAGTGGTCGGGTTGAATGTATAGCGAGGCATGTTTGTTGCAGATAAGTTCCACAGCGGAGCTAAGTGCACCAAGGTCATCGATGTGCGAAGCATAAGCGTACAAGGCCCCAGCCAGTGCACGAGGCTGGTGACCATTGACTTGGTTTGGCGTGTTGAAGATGGTGTTCAACTCGGGATGGGCCTCGAGCATGTTGCGGTAGAAAACAGTTGTGATGGTGTTGCCATGCTGGGCCAGGACAGGGACTGTCGCCTTGATGACGGCAATCTGGTCAGATGTCATTGCTGGATTCGAGCTCATGATTGTGATATACAGTAGTGTTTGTATGGTTGTGGTAGTATGGACTATGGACGTGAGCACCCGGGGGATCAAGTGACTTATATAGTGACCGGTAAGGACAACTTAAGTATTAATAATGATGAATGGGATTTTGGCTATCCATTTGGCTCCACATCCGTGTCAGATACCAATTGCAGTATTGAGAAAGATGGCTGAATCGTGCACCCGAGCAACACTCCGCGGAGATGAGGGTATTGCGGATGTTGCGCAGGATTTTCCTTTTCGGCCGCCGGCTAATTTTCGTAACATCCAGTACATCCACTACATCCAGAAGCTTCTAACTTTCTCGAGTTTGGTATCAAATCTGCATATTTATGTTTACATGCATGTATAAATACTTAAGTAGATATTCAGTGAACAAGGTAGCTTCGAACCCGCTCGAGCGTTTGTGGGGCAGTGATCTGACGGGCGATCGTCATGTTCCATTGTGCAGACACAATGCATACCAGTTGGGGGCTAGAAATAAACAATCGCTACGCCGGTGCTCCATAGTGACTAGTAGCTCAGATTCACATTCTAAAGTTCAGGGCTTTTCGGAACTTTGGAATACATTGGCATCAAACCCCGGTGAGTCAGGCCACGCACGAGAATTCTTAGGGTGTCGAAAACATCCAATCAGACGGCAGCAATTACTGTTCGGTACGAGTCGAAACTTCCGACTCTCTGGTACGCAATTCTAGAGCCACAGTTCGGCATTTTACCGGGATTTCAACCGTTTGAAACCGGGAAATTCATTATGCGGTAAGAAAACAGAAAACTTCATTCCAGTGTTTGCGAAGATGTCCCATATGTCTTTAGCCTTTCTGAAAAGATGACATTCGCCTCGAACTTTCAAGACGTAGTAGGCGCTCCACTTGTAAAAACAAATAGGAATGCATCCCAATGAGGGAGCTCGTCAGGCAATCGCCGAGCTAACCCCGAAAGAGTATATTCATCATGCACCTAATCATGGAGCGTGCACCTCGCCGCACATTGAGCAAAGGACGATCTGCAGGATGACCACGGTGAAAAGGTCTCAATAAAAGGGAGGGGTCCGGGGAGAGGGGGTCTCCGACTCCATTTCATGAAGTTCTTTCCACTTGTGGAAATGGCAGACCCCATTATCTTTCAGGCCCGCCTTGTTCAATAGCATCCGGATGACATGCACGAGCTCTTTTGCACTGGATATTTCGTCGGGATTTGAAGACCGTAATGCCGCTGGTAATTTACTCGTCATCTCCACTTTCACGGCTGTGTTGATTTGCTCTCTTGCATCATCATCTGACCCCATGGGTACAAGTCTCTCCACGGAAATGTCGATACACCATGGGATCAGCAGATTTTGATGCTCCCCGTCCGGGTGCAGTGTCAATTGAACCCTAACCCGTTCCAGCTGTGGCATAGACGCCCGGTCCGCGATCAGTAGCATGACTTCGAAAATGAGACCGTGATAAAGATCCGCGGTGACGGCCAGAATCTCCAAGTCTTTGAGCGAGGAGGGAAATCTATCGGCCAGCCAGTTTCTCATCATGAAGGGAGCTGAATCGACGGTGGATATCCGTGCAAGAAGATAGGGGGTTATCCGGAGTTTCTCAAGGACAGTAAACTCTTTGAGAGACCCAAAGGTTCCAGCATCATCCATGATTGTGTAAAGATCATCGTCAAGTTGGGTTGTGACCTCAATGTCCAGAGTTTTCAGTGTTCCGACGAACGGGAGAAGGGCCCTTCTGAATTTTCGGGAATTGAGCTTTGCATCATCTACATCATCTGAATAATGCCAAGCATCCCCGGCAAAAAAGAACTGGATTCTGAGGTGCTCAAGGTTCTTGCATGCTGCGAGCCACTTGACCATACCGTGACCCCACCATGCCCCTGTGATGGTGATCTCTCGAACAGGGCGACTCGAATGATTGACATTAAAAGATAGGAGGTCATCATATGTGCGGACATCAACGAATGGTAGTTCACCTTGGGAGATGTACCAATAGTCGGGGACTGGCCTGCCGATGATCTTTCGCACCGCTGGGAAAAAGAAGAAAGGCATAAGGAACAGCGAATCAATATCCGCGTTGATTGAACGATGGTCATCCCTTATAACATCAGCTTTAACGGTTTCGAGACATGGGAATGGCGTGTTTCGATGGAACGGTCGTTGTCGCCGTGCTGCCTTGCACAATAACTCTGTCAAAAGGACGGACCATGGGTGGGCGAACTTGATTGATTGTAGGTGTGTCAAGCGCACAAGAAGCAAGCTCAGCCAAGCCTCTTTAGACGGCCTAAGCAAACGATATCGCCACATCAACTTAGATCTCATTTCCCCTGGTTCAAATATCTCCTCCAGTGCCGCATCGATGAAAGAGGTAGCTGAAGTCACATCGAAGATGTCAGGATACTCTTGTAATACATCGCCTTCGATCATCGAACCAAAATCTAGATGGCGCACCTGAGCCGCCAAATCTGGGTCTCTCCACATTCGTTGGATCAGATGAATGGTGTGAATAGACCAGTAGCTCGTAGGTGATATGTGACGGTAAATCAAAGGTTGATAGATTGCATGGAATCGCCGGGAGCACTGGGCCAGAGAGCACAAGGTTTCCACATGTTGACCGGCTTTGTAGCTGACGCACTCTCCTATGGAGATGAGAAGCTCAGTGGGCAGAGACTCCATATCAAAAACACAAGATGGGCGATTGTGGTATGGAGTAGTGATCAGAGACCAAGCAGTCGGGATGCTACTAAGAGCAGAAGGATTCTGTATTAGCGTATGTATTGGGTCTGTCCGAAAAGAAGGGACTTGGGGGGAAAGAAGAGGTAAAGGGAAGGAGAAAGAGAAGAGGTGGGGGAATCTATCAACACCCCAAAAGAGGTTACCTGAGTACCAAACAAGTAGTGAGGTCTCGTGTTGAGAAGGGAGTGAGAGAAAGAGAGTGTTTCTCAAGAAGTCTATGAATGCGTGATCGGAAGAAAACGTAAAAGATCTGATCGTGTAGAAGCACTACGTCCAACTTTAGAAGATTCTCCTAGATGCAAAGATCACTTGGCCTTTACTAGTGATTTTTGCGATGTATCGTATAATTGATTAGAAAGTAACAAGACTGAGAAGAGAACGACTTGACAATTCTTGACAACGAGTCCACACGAATTTTCTTAATTCCTGCGGAATAGAAGATTTCAAACTAGATTACTTCCAAAAATAATTGATACAGCCCTAAACGTCGCATGAAAGTACCTGCAGAATGCCAAACCCTACATGGTTTGGACCAACGGTAGGCGCCCGCTGTGCCATTCCATATAAGTCTAACAAATCCGAAATTTGAAGTACGTTTTCGATAAAGGAATTTGCGATGTTGAATTATGACCCCAAACTCTTGAGCCATCCGCTCATACAATGTTGACCTAGGTCCGACCTGCCTTTTTTGGATTGCCAATTCACTGCATATACATGCGGACACACCACCGGCGGCGTGGAAAATCGCTCTATTGTCTTGGGCGCTATTCTAGACGGTTTTGTTCTGCTGTAGAGTGATAGGTGAGCTTGATCAGCGGCGGCCAGGCAGCATACATGGCCAAAACAACAACGGTGACGTCTGGAAGATGTAATATTCTCAAGGAATAGACCATTGGGTTAGTATACATCGGTCGCATGACGAAAGAGCAGGAGAGGACCTTCCAGGACATGTTCTCATTCTGACGAGATCAACACGCCGTAATTTAGCTTATTCTGAATGGGCCCATCTTCCACTCGACCTGTCAACCACAATGGTATTCAGGAAACGCCATTCAGCTGATGCTTCGACGCTGGGTGGTCCACCAGGTCCGGGTGGCCGTGGCCAGCTGCCCATGCTCCAATTGCCCGACAAGCTGCGGTACAATCTGTTGTGCGTAATGGGCGAGTTCGTGGGGACGTTCCTGTTCCTCTTCTTCTCGTTTGCCGGCACTCAAGTGTCGATGACTCCGATGCCACCACCTGGCTCGTATCCTAATACCTCGAACCTGATGTATTCGGCTCTTTCCTTTGGCTTCTCTCTGACCGTCAATGTTTGGGCATTCTTCCGTGTGACCGGTGGTCTCTTCAATCCAGCGGTAAGAATCAAGCAATCAAGAAAACCCCTGGTCACCCTGGACTGACAAAGATTAGGTGACTTTAGCCCTCTGTCTGAGCGGTGGATTGCCTCCACTCCGAGGGTTGTTCGTATTTCCCGCTCAGCTGGTTGCCGGAATTGCCTCGGCAGGTGTAGTCAGTGCCCTGTTTCCAGGTCCACTGAATTGTTCAACCAGACTGGGAGGCGGGACGTCGATTGTCCAAGGTCTTTTCATCGAGATGTTCCTGACTGCACAGTTGGTCATCGTCGTGATCATGCTGGCAGTCGTGAAGCACAAGTCAACTTACCTTGCGCCAGTCGGAATTGGGCTTGCTTTCTTTGTGGCAGAGCTGATCGGTATGTCATATCCTGTGCTCAATACCTCCGTAAGCTTGTCTCTCACAAAAATCCAGGCGATTACTATACCGGAGGGTCCCTCAATCCTGCTCGCTCCCTGGGACCGGACGTGATCAACAGGAAGTTCCCTGGCTATCACTGGATCTATTGGGTTGGTCCACTGCTTGGTTCACTGCTGGCGTCGGCATTCTACCATCTCCTTATCTTCGTCCGATGGGAGAAGATCAACCCTGGTCAGGATTTCAATGAATGGGAAGCCAATGAAAGAAAGGGGTCCGCTTCTTCTGAACACACAATGACCAACGATGGAGGCCTGCATCAGCCGCCCAGGGAGATGCCACCCGGAGACCAGGTCTGAGACTGTCACGATCTTCGCAGCTCAGCCGTATTTCATCTTGAATGATAAATGTGTTAGAGAAAATGTGAGGACGGAAGATCTGCACGTACCCTAGGCAAGCCGAGGGAGATACTCGTAGAGAAGTGCTGGATCCATGTCCAACAAGTTGTTTGAAATTCGTCAAGAGTCAAGTCATGTTCATCCCATAAGTCAGATTCACATGATTCCACCGAAAATGATGCCTGGACCACGTAGTACTCGTAAAAGTCAAGTTCGATTCCTCCGTACAAGCCCCCTTTTTTCCACCACAAGGCTGCCTGCATCGGAGTCCCCCGCAACTTTCAGACGTCTCCTTTGATTGATCAACCCACCTCCAATAGCGGCGAATCAATCATGCAGCCGTGCGCTAGCCCGCAGATCACTGATGATCCAGATACACAAGCATTTCCCGCCGATCACGCATTCTCAGGCGTGAGCTGAGGAAAACAGATCTCACTTGCCGGCTGGTAATGCAAGGGGATTTCCACGATCCACACATGTATCTCCAGCCGAACACGATCTGCCATTAATTTTGGCTCGTTTCCATCTTCGTCTTCGATTTGTGACTGAAGATATGGAGAGGAAATTTGACCCGGAAGCCGTCGCGGCGGGCGCGACCGGCGCGATCGCAGATCCCGGCGATGTGCAGCTGCTTGGTGAGATGCGATCGGACTCATGAGGAGGCTCTTGTTAATGGCTCTCCAGCTCGTATGGGGTATAAGCAGGAGTTGCGGCGACAGTATTCCACGCGTCAAGTATTTGCGGTCGCGTTCAGCATCATGGGCTTGGTGCCTTCGATCGCGTCAACGCTCTCGTTCTCACTCCCAGCGGGCCCGGTTGGAATGGTTTGGGTATGCGACCCCGTGGCTAATGTTCCAAGGTTGTGCGGTTTGCTGACTTGTGCCGTGTAGGGATGGTTTGTTGCAGGTATATTTATCGTGTTGGTTGCGTTGGCGATGGTACGATCCAATGTGTGAGATTGGGATCTTTATGCTCATCTCTGCTCGTACATCTAGGCCGATCTGGCATCTGCAATGCCCACTGCCGGGGGCCTTTACTGGTGGACCCATTATCTTGCTGGGGAGAAATGGAAGAGGCCACTTAGCTTTTTGGTCGGGTATAGCAACACCCTAGGCCTGCTTGGCGGCATATGTTCGGTGGACTGTAAGTTCACGTGCCTGACAGGGTAGAGACCTCAAGGCAATACTAACTACAGCATAGATACACTGGCGCTTATGATCCTGTCTTGTGTATCTATATCACGATCAGACGACTGGTCTACCTCCAATGGCGTACTCTATGCCGTGTTTGTTGGGCTAATATGCTTACATGGACTATGTGCATCGATGGGCGGTCGCATGATGCCCAGAGTCCAGAGCCTTTCCCTGTACCTGAACGTTGCCCTCATGGTAGCAATAGTGATTGCACTTCCAGTCGGCAAGGTGACGCGAGGAGCCTCACTCAACTCGGGCCGCTTCGTGTACAGTCACATCGATAATGAGACAACTTGGCCGATCGGATGGGTATTCATGCTCGCTTGGCTGGCTCCAATTTGGTCTATTGCATCATTTGACTCATGCGTGCATATGAGCGAAGAGGCTTTGCATGCAGCTAGGGCCGTCCCTATTGGAATTATCGGAACAGCCAGCTCGGCATTTCTGCTGGGCTTCGTGGTCTTGTCCGTCATTGCGTCCACAATGGATCCCGATGTCAGCAACACTATCAATACCAAATTTGGTCAGCCAATGGCTCAGATATATTATGATGCACTTGGAAGAGAGGGTGCATTGGCCTTCATGGCTGTGATGTGCCTCGTTCAGTTTCTGAATGGCCTCGGTCTCACCCTTGCCGCATCTCGCCAGGCGTGGGCATTCTCCCGCGATGGCGCACTTCCTTTTTCCGGGTTCTTCTCTCACATCAGTAAGCGAGTCCGATACCAGCCAGTGCGTATGATATGTGGAATAGTCATTGCATGCATCATACTTGGCTTGTTGTGTCTAATCGACTCCGCCGCTGCTAACGCTCTTTTTTCATTGTTCGTCGCGAGCAATTACCTCTCATGGGGAACCCCTATCTTCTGCCGGTTGGTCTGGGGTCATGATCGGTTCCAGCCAGGCGAGTTCTATACTGGAATACTGAGCAAGTCTATTTCTAGTATTGCTGTTATATACCTCATGTTTGGAGTTGTGCTATCCATGTTTCCCACCGAAGGACCAAATCCCACTCGTACGTTGCAAGGTTCCCTCAACCCCTGACTATCACCTGGGCACAACACTGAAGGCTTTCTCAATATAGCATCTACCATGAACTACACTGTGGTTATCAACGGTTTTGTCTGGGTGGGTTGCATGGGATATTATTTCCTCTTTGCGCGACGATGGTATACTGGGCCACAAATGACCATTGATGAGAGTGCTTCTGCCGAGTCTGGTAGCACAGCCAACATTCTGTTGTCAAGCTCGCAACCCGGTCACCAGGTTGAATTGACCCCAGATAAAAGCGACTAGGTCATACCCTAGAGACGGCTGCAACGCCGGTGGGCGGATTTTGTTCAAATTGAAGCAAGCAAGTGAACCCTTACGGAGTACGGAGTACGATATGACAGATTTTGAATTATTGGGCCAGTATTTAAAAGTATTTCAATCGAATGCAATGTCAATTGGATCGTACGAAAATGTACGTGATAGGTATATATACACTTTCAAACGCCGGCATTAGGCCTCTTTTCCAAGATGCAATAGGGATATGGACAAAGTTTTTAAGGAAAGTCGTGAAAGGGAGGGATATTCGACATCATTTCCGACATCGTATCCAGATCATGGTCTAGGTATTATCAACCCTTTACAGGGCAGCCATGATACCGAGGACACCGGCCATACCGGCGGCGGCGGCACCAACGGCAGTGGGGCGAGCGAAGGCACCGTTGTCAGTGGTGCTGGCAGAGCCAGAAGCGGAGGCAGAAGCGGAGCCAGTGTTGGTTCCAGTGATCTGGCTGGTGAGGGTGGTGGACTGAGTGGCAGTGGCAGAGCCAGCAGAGTCGGTCAGAGTGGTCTGGGCAGAGGCCCAGGTAGCAGCACGGCTGCTGGCCTCGGAAGCAATGGAATCGCCACGGCTGGTAGCCTCAGAGGCAATGGAGTCAGCCTTGCTGGTGATGGAAGAGACGGCGGAAGCGGCATCGCCGGTGAGGGTGGAAGCAGCCTCTGAGGCGTCGCTGCGGAGGGATGAAACGGCGGCAGCGCCGCCGGTGCTGGCAGCTTCGTAGATGGAGGTGGCCTTGTCGGCGACGTCGGAGCCGATAGATTCACCGCCGTTGACTGCGGTTGAGGCGATACCCTCTGCCTCAGAAACGATAGAGTTTACGTCAAGACCATCGGGGGCGGCCATGGCAGCGGTAGCCAGGAAGAGGGCGGAGGTGACGAGAGTGAACTTCATTTTGGTGATTTAGAGTGGTGAGGGTGATAAAGTGAAGTAGTTTTGCTTTGGTTATTGATAGAGTACTTCGGATAGGTTTGAAGATGGATGGATCTGAGAATGGAAGTTAGGATCCGGGGCGAACCACTCCTTATATCTTCTGGTTCACCAGAATTTTCCCCCCTATAGATAGTAACATCGGAGTTTAATTGCGCCTCCCGTTGTTAGGCACCCGACAACCAGTGGCGACATGACCTCAGCCTTGTGAAGACGAAATACGTATGTCGATCAAAGGGTCCGCCTAGGGATAGGGGGGTCCAGTCCCACGGCAGAAGACGGTGTGAATGGCCCGCCATGCGGGTTGGAACAATGAATCGTCATCTGTGGCCCCACTTCGCAATGAGGGCGCAGCATTGGGGGCTGAATTTGCGTCGTGGCCCTTTCCCCGGGTAAAACGTAAAGACCCCTGCAAGATCTAAGGGTGCAGGTACTTGCATGAGCTTGAGTGCGTTTGCGTGTATGAAGCATGTTGCACAGCCTTCCATAAATTTAGCAACCCCCTTCTACAGTATGCCCTGACCGCCCCAACTCGAGATGTACCGGAAACACCGGCAGTTCACTGAGCGAAATTGGACCCCCTGAGGGTATTGTTCAGTGTCCACTGGGGAAACTATCCACAGATCAGCTCTCCGTGTGTGACGTGAGTGGTGGATGACACAGTCTCCGATTTGAAGGGTCAACCTCTTTGCCAAATTGACCATTCTCGGCACGCGTCATTAGAGACATGGAGCCAGGCCTGGGAATTTTTGTGAACTCTCGACGCTGCACTTGTTTGTGGTATAATAGCCAAGACTTCTGATGACGCGTTAGAAGTTTCGAATGTGATACTTGAGGCAGCGACATTACCCTTTACCAATCCTTTCGATGATTGGCTGAACAGTCAATTGCCGGGGGCGATGCACACCGGAGGACCTCGGATCAGAGCCTCAGACAGGAGTCACGTGCAAGAGTCACGTGCTGTGGCGATAAAAAAAGAAACATTGGGTAATATGATGTCATGGCATAGATCCCCGTTCCTGCTCTACGGAGTAAGTAGTACTTCACCTACATAGGGTGCATCATATACAGACGGAGTACAGTCAAGCTAGTTCATAAACTATGTCATTATTGACTACTCTGATATCTATACTTCGTGATGGTTATGTCCAAATGATGATGCAAATAACAACATGAAATCAAGCCGTGAACTCTCCATAAACCTGGATGATACCTTCCCACCCGCCTTGGTGGTTCGCCTCGCGGGGGTTGGTCTTCCCATCTAGTACCATGACGTCCGTTTTCCGGGTACTAATAGAGTACCACACAAGGTTGACCGGGTCATTTGTCACCCGCATCATGTTGGACTGACACTCCCCTTCACAGGGCTCATTGTACAGGCCGTTCCAAGACCCGTCGAAGAAGGCCCAAGCGGCGGAGTTGTAAAGGGCGAGGTTGGATCCACCGTCGATGTTGGTAGCAAGGGCACTACGACACTTCTGGTCGTCGGCTCCACACCACGAGAAATCAGGGTCGCCGTATTGAGCGAGGGCGGTCCAGGGCGCTGGGGCGGCCTGGTACTCACCCTTACCCTGCATATAGGGGGACTCTGTTTGGAGCAGACCTGCGAATACATTCTGAGCATTGTGGAAGTTGTAGTTGTACAGCCAGTGATGCTCGGAACCAGTACCGGTCAACCATGTGCCCTTGGTGGCTTCGACGAGAATACCACGTCCAGTGGAGATGATGGTGAGGAGGGACTGGCTATCCAGGTTGTGATCTGCCGTCCATCCCCAGAAGTTCTCAATGTATGCAGAGGAGCTCTCGGTAAGATGCATGACCATGAAGGCTGCCATGCAGTTCTTGGGATCTTGCGAAGTACAGGTAGTCGCGATACTGGTGTCCGCGGTACCACCAACCAGCGCCATCGTATTCCACATACCGACGTCGCCAGGCTGACTGCCAGCAGCATTGATCTCGATAATCTTGGCCCCGGGAAGGATCTCACCAACTGAGAAACGCATATCCTGAATCTCAATCAGACCCACATCACCTGGCTTACCAAGTTGAACAACTGGTCTTGGCTGGTCAGAGTTCTTGAACTTGGAGCCGTATCCTGAGATAACAGACCAAGCCTCTCCGACAATGCGCGTTCCAACAGGCACAAAGATAGTGTCTGAGACCCGATAGACACCGTGGGGGATGTAGGTCACTTTGCAAGAATCGGCGTTCGCGGCGAGGATGGCGTTCAGACTCTCAGTATCATCGGTCTGACCGTCTCCATTGACTTTGTGGGCAGACACCAGCTTGACATTAACAATGTCTTCTTTGGTGAAGTCCTGGTACGTGGGCTGTGCCTTGATGAAATACTTATCATCGACAAGCAAAGGCTCCGGGCGCTTAGTATCCCAGCTTGCACCAGTCTCGTATCTCTCGGGCACAACAGTTCCCCAAACCCATGTGTTGACGTGTGGGGTGGCAGCAAGTACCACCTTGCCATCGGTATCAACGGCGATGGCATTGGCGGTGTCATGCTGCAGATTCTGGATAAGAAACTGACTGTTCTGGCTACCTTGATCCTTTGACGAATCATGGAATCGAACGACAGGCCCTGTGTTGACAGCAATAGAGTCCAATAGTACCATGCTACCGAGGGCGTTACTGGTCATATCAATACCGGTTCCACAGCCTTCGAAGGTGGCATGCTGGAGGAGAACTGTCCAACCGCCTGCAGCATTGAAACCAGTGCCACAAGATTTGAACGAGACGTTCTTGAAGTTGACCTGTTGGTTCGAGTTTCTAATTCCAATAGCACCACCAGTGATGTCCTTCAGTGCCATGTTAGATGCCTTCCTTTCGTCCTCGGATACTGGAAGCACTTACCACGTCCGTGACCGCGATGGTCGAGCCAGCCTTGATGTCGATACCAACGTGTCCGACGGAATCAGTAGGCATGCGGATTCTCAAGTTTGTCAGTCCCGACCCTTGGGCGACACCCCACTGGAGTGCACCGATCTTGCGGCTTGGGTCTAAAGCCGTGGTGTCAAGAATGATGTTCTTCATCACAATGGCGAAGGATGTTTCCGGCTGACCCGCGTGTGAGTCGTATCCCATCACGAGGTAATCACCATTGAATCCCTTCGCAGCCTTGAGGACGGGTGGGTTCAACGGGTCACCGACAATAATGGTTCCAACTGTCAGATCGAGGGTGCTCCCGAGCTGGTATACACCACCTGGCAGATAAACCTGGGCCGGGTAACGTGCTACACCTTGCCCCTTACGAGAACCGCCAGCACCATCGTCATCGATCGCCTGTTGCAGCCTCGTCGTCTGGTCTCCAGTACCGTCGTTGACCACCGAGTAATCCATTGCGTTGCGGTAAACAGGATATTGACCTGTCTTCGCGTAGGGTGCAAAGCCAGCACCATGCTGATTGTGGTCTTGTTGATCGAACCAATAGGGACCATCTGATCTGCTTGCTGGTTTGGCACACGTTTTTGTGGCAGGCGAGTGGCTCTCATTCAGTATCGCCCTAGATTTCAGGGTCAGCACACATGCAGTTTATCAGCAGTTGACAAGTACACACGAAGAACTTGGCAGTGGGGATTTTTCACTGTCACCCATTGAGTCTTGACTGTTTTCGGTTGACGAGCTCGATGGTTTTGGTGTTGGCCGAGCATTAATGGTAGAGCTATGGCTAGCTGGCGTCCTTGTGGGCTCAAGCTCTGATGACCAGTCCAAGCTCGGCGTCGTCCATGATCCCAAATCAGGAGAATCTTTTGTGAACGACTGGGGTAAACCTGTCGCATATTCGTGGACTGTAGCGGTGGGTGGTGGGCCAGTGAGACCTGCCAACGAGGACGCAAGATCCCAGTCAAATGGGAAGTCCTCTTCGGAAGGAGCTTCATCGACCGCCGAGGGCAGGCCGTGTGATGCGTGCAACGCCTTCGATGCCAGCGCAGATGCACGAATCGAGTGAAGAGGCACGGCGTGACCTGATACAACATTCACAGTAGCTGCCACAGCAGCCCAAGAAGTAAAGCCCCGCATGATTATCCTCTTTCTCAACTTCAACCTCAAAGAAGATAGACAAGATTTCCAAAGAAGGTTCGAGGCATGGGTATTAAGAATAACTTCCAAACAGACGTCAGGCTGTCCGACAGTTACCATGCGGGCCGACTTGGTATGGACAGACAAAAACAATCCATGACTGGAATGTACTCCCCCGCCGACCGGGCATCCTGAGTGGGTCGCCAGGAGAGACCGTGGCTCAAATCCCTACCCCTTGCAAGATCCGGGATCTCAAGTCGGAACATTGTATGCGTCCTTAATTCCAAACTAGGTGGCGGTTTTACTCCCACACAACAGAATACTGTATCTATAGATTGCACCGGATTCTGGTAGATAACGAAACTTGTTGCCGCAATTATTTCCTTGGTCTGGCACGATGGTTGACCAGCTTTTAGACTGAGTAGTATGTGATCACCCGCCGAAAGACATGCATTCATTCGCTTTTGGCGCAGATGATGATTTCGGGTATTAAGCCATTTCGGAAAAACCTCACATTGTAGAAAACAAAGCTTTCGGGTCGTATTAGTGGTGTTTTCAATCAACTCCCTCTAAATCTGATGGCAGAGGCCGTTTCGGACCATCAAATAATGTCACGGATAATACCAAAATCTCAACAGACGCGGATAGCCTCACAAGCCATTATGAGACCAACTTCGAAATTATGTCATATATATTGATGTTCTACTGTTGATTTAATAATGAGAGGTCTTGTTTCGAAATTATAGCTATTGAGAGAAAATTATCTAGTCATGAGCGAATTAGCACAATCAGGCATTTCCTCCATTTCTAAAGGTTCATAGGAACGATTTGTTCTGTTCTACTATTTTGACACTACCTCCTACCATCATCAAAGGTTCTAGGCTCTATAGAGCTTCCCGATGCGAGTGTCTATAATGGTTATCGGCTGAACGTCGGTGTTCTTTGCGCGTGCCGAATCATCCCTTGCGTTGGGTCAGAATGACCCTGTTGTCTAAGCACCCGTCGCTCGCATGCCACTGATACCTAGGAGACGAAGAAGGGCATGTTTTTGATCCTGTTTTAGCCCTTTCCCATCGGGATTACTGTTTTGACGGCTCTCTGTATTTCTGTCGGGCCTTGGAACACGTTGTCCTGCATACTCGTAGTTCCTTGAAATTGCCTTGACGTCACAAGGGGAGCGTGTTCTGGATCTTTGTATCGTACATTAGGATTGATTTTGTATTTGTGAATATGCAGAGTGGAGAACATCATGTGTATTTATGGCATGTGTCAAAGTGAGATCTACTCGTACCATTAAACAATATTCTTGCAAGGTTGTCATGCGATGCAAAGTCGAATGCTATACATCCACGCATCCAAAAGGGCGAGTAATGCGTGCCTTTATCCCACCCCAGGGCCGGAAACAGGGCCGGAAAATCATCATACTCGCCCCAAAAGGCCTTCGGGTTTCTGCGTTTTGATTGCTAGCGCAAGGAGGCCCCCAAAAGTGCACGTCGCGCCGCTCAATAAGGAAACCTCAAAAAACCCATTGTACTTGGTGACAAGAACACCATTCACGGGTGGTCCTATCAATGCAGCCATCGAGGAAACCCCCAATGCCATTCCTAGGTATGTGCCGGTGGTCCTGGGATCCGGGATCAAGATCGAGAGAGCTGCCGTTGCGCCGGAGATGATTGTACCAGACCAAAATCCGAAAATGATCGAGTACACAATCAAAGCTGGGTTTGATTCGGGCTTGTTCATGCAGAATATTATGATTCCAGTGATGATACCACCCGTTGACAAAACATTCAATCGGCCAAACTTGTCCGCCAAAACTCCGGGAATAACTCGACCAAAAGTTGAAGCTGCGTTGAGGATCGCTAGCAAGTAAGAAGCGAGAGTTGCGTCCATTCCCCGGGTCACTGCGTATGTCGGCATGTAGAACAGAGGTGTGAAAAACCCAAAGAACATGAAGAACATCGCCGCTACAAGCAGACAGAAGTCCATCTTGGTAAAGGCCGACAGAATGTAGAAGGACGTCTTTCGGGGTGGCAGCCGCGCTTTCACTGTTAGGCAAGAGAAAGCCAAGAGTGGAGTGACAACAAATCCAATGATTCGTACAGACCACCCAAACCCAAGTGATGTGCTATTAAGCATCTTTGAGAGAGCAATCGGGATGACAACCCCACCAATGGATGATCCAGCGACAGCTGCACCTAGAGCCGCCGCAATGTTTTTATCAAAATACTGCATCACGGCAGCCATCGAGGGGAATTGCAAGAAGCCCATCGAGATGCCCAGTAGAACACCTTGTGCGAGCGTAAACTGCCAATATTGTTCACATAGACTTGTCATCATGAGAGCGAACACATAAAGCACAGCTGCGGGTCGAATAACCTAAGTAACTCAAGGTTAGAATGATGTTCTCTTTCCAAGATTGATTGATGAAATGCACACCCAGGCCCCATATCGATCAAACAATGGTCCGCCCACAGCTCCAGCTGCGAGCTGAAGGAAGGTTGATAAGGATCCAATCCATGCGACTTTGTCCGCTGGCTGACCTTTCAGCTGGTGGGATAGATAGTATTCCTGGAAAACGCCGAAAGAGTTCGCGAACCCTAGGGCTGCGAAGAAGGTGAAAGCAGTCCCAGCTGTGGTGAGCCACGCTCGGAGGCCACCATCGGGAGCCTTTTCGAAGTCGTTGACTTTGTCACTGATGGCTTCAATGGGAGGAATTGTGTCATCTGTAAATTTCTCGGGGGTGAATCTTCCAGACTCTGGTTGATTCATGGCGGGATATATATTGAAGAATTCGCAAAGTTCGAAACTTTAGAAAAAGACCAACTTCCAAAAAAAAAAAGAACCTTGGAGAGCACCTCAATCCAAAAGAACGTTAGAATGTAATGATTCTGGTTTATCAGATCATCTAGCATCCTCTTGCTTTTATAAATCCCCCCAAACATCATTGTATACTAGCGGAACGGCATCGGAGACGGAAAATTGCAGACGAGACGGACCAATAGTGCAGCTCCGGCGCAGTTAACTCCGAATCTCACGACCTTACGCACATGGGGGCGATTTCCCCTGAAAAAAAGACTCAAACCGGAAGATTGATTATTCAAAATAAGAAAAGTGATGGATTCGACAACAGTTACTTCGGGCACGGTGACGGCTTACGGAACGAACCCTCGGCGCAGAAGGCCGCCCGTGTGAGTCTGAGTATCCCCGATGTTTTGGCGGACTCTAACGAGAACACAGATCTTGTTCTCTTTGTCGTCAACGGAAAATCAGGTGCAACAGAGAAGACCCTTGTAGTAACTGTGTCCGGATCAAGAATGGAAAGTGTGTCTACCAAGCACCCCAATCGCCGCGACAGCAGCGCAGCGGGCGGAATGCAAGGCAATCATCACAGTCGGGATCTAGCCACCCGTCTCAACCACCGCATGAAAGTTTGATCAACTTTGGGAGTTCTCCTACTGAGACCAGACCTACGATCTCTAGCGGAGCTTCGCAAACGGTACCTAATGGCTCAACGCCTCCGACTCCGGCCAGTCAATCTTCCGCGCAAGAGGTCGAGAGGCTAAGGACCAAGATACGACAGCTTGAAGCCCAGCTGAATCGGTCAGAAAGGAGCCCTTTGGAGTCTTCTGTCCCAACTCCTGTTTCTGACTTCGAGACTGTACATTCTCACTTGGCCGGGACGTTCCAGATCCAGAATGAAAGCCATTCCTCAAACCAAGGTCAAACGATTAGACGCAGCTTTTTTCACAAAAGAAGATTCTTTGGTCAAAGCCACTGGATAAGCAGCATGTCGCTGGTGATTATTCCGCAACCTTCACTCTTCTCAATCTTGACTAACCCAAGGACCTAGTTTCGTGACATCGTGGTATCGATAGAGCCACACTTGATGGAAGAGGGCTCAAAGGCCCTTGTAGGATTACAGAAGTGCAAGCATCTCGGACGCAAAATTAAAGCTCAGCGTACACCACAATGGCCCGTACCAATCACCCGGGATTTGCCCCCTAAGACTTTATGTGACGCACTTTTGGACTGCTATCTTCGAACCTTCGAGAAAGTATACAGAGTGTTACATGTGCCCTCATTCAAGAGAGACTATGAGGCAATATGGAGTTCTGAACCGCGACTTGATCCCATTTTCTTAGTCCAGTTGAAATTGGTGCTTGCTATCGGATCCACGACTTATGACGATGAACTATCGCTGCGCCCATCAGCGATTCATTTCATACACGAAGCTCAAACCTGGATCTCTGAGCCCGAAACCAAAGCACGACTTGGAATACCCTTCTTGCAAGCACAAATTCTTCTCCTTGTGGCCAGGGAACTGTTGAACGTAGACGGAGCGATGATTTGGGTTGCATCAGGCGCATTGGTTCGAACTGCTGTCTACATGGGACTGCACAGAGATCCTGTCCAGATACCAAACATGTCAAGATTTGCATCAGAAATGCACCGGAGGTTGTGGAACACAATTCTGGAGGTTTGCCTCCAATCAAGTATGGAGTCCGGCGGTTCTCCGCTCATTTCCACAGAAGAGTTCGATACGCAGCCACCCGGAAACTTTGATGACGACGCGATCTCTGTTGAAGACTTCATTCAACAACCAGAGGATCAATTGACATCCACATCGATCGCGATCGCTTTGCGGAAGACGTTCCCAATTCGACTAGCAATAGCCAAATTTTTGAATGATGTTACCTGCCAAAGCTCATACGAAGAGGCCCTTCGACTCGATGCGAGGCTCAGAGTCGCATACAAGGAGATGCGTCGATCCATTCAGCTCTATGGCCTCGCACCTACCGAATTTGAAATCATTATGCTTGACTTTGTTGTTCGTCGCTACCTTATTTCAGTGCACATTCCATTTTTCGGGCCGTCATTTCTCGAAACGATATATGCCTTCTCCAGGAATGTTGTGGTCGACACTGCGGCGAAAATATTCAACAGCGCTTCTAAACCACCCAGTCCAAACTCTGAATCATCCTTGGATCAGAGCATACTTTCGCACCAAATCGACTTTCAGCGACTGACCAGGTGCGGGTCAGGTTTCTTTCGAACAGCGCCGATGCATTGCAGCTTTCTCATAGCAGTGGAGTTAAGAAATCAGGTCTTGGAAGAAGAGGGTCTTGGGCCTGTCTGCCTAAGACCTGACTTGATGTCTGTGATCCAAGACGCTAAAACGTTGAGCCTAAGATGTATTGAAGTCGGAGAAACTAACATCAAGGGCTATCTTTTCATGTCGCTTGTGTCCACTCAGCTTGATGCCTTGATGCAAGGGGTAGCGAGGGAGGAGATCCCGAAGCGGATGGTCCAAGCTGCTGAAGATGCCGAAGAAAAATGCTTGTCGATTCTCGAGGGTATTGCGGCGAAGGGCCAGAAGGGAAAAGTGCCAGGCTCCATCGAGGCTGTCTCTGGAACCGCATTCCCTGATATGGGTAACGATTGGGATTTCATGGTAAGCTTGAATTATGTGTTTGCCTTTGTTCAATCGTGCTGATCTGTCCGGTCAGATGGATGATGGGAATTTCAACTTCGCTGATATGGACCTTCCAAGCTGGATGTTAGGTAGTATACCATACGGCATACCTTGAGAGCCCTTCAAGTATCGTCCTCAAGAATTGATCCGCTAGCCTGATAATGCTCAGGTGTCGTATTTGAGAGCACCGATTTACAGCCGCTCATTGACCCTCGTGAGGGAAGGCAAATCAGGCTCACCGATCGAGAGCGTGAACGACTTGAAATAGCGGCGAGAGAACTAAAAAAGCAAAGAGATGATTTTGCTTGTGCGCGAGGACAAGCTACTCAAAGAGAAGCCCTACCTGACGAGGATGTTGCCATCGCAAGTGGTGACCATGGTGAAGAGAAGCTGCTGACCGAGTTCCGGTATGAAACCAGACTGCTTATCGGCGACTGGTTGGATCCGATCTATAAAATCGGATTCTTAGAACGCGTGTGGCTTCTCGAAAAGAGGGTCAACAAAAAGGTGCTGAAACTGCGACTGATCAGCAAAAGCTATTTTGGTCAGAAGGCAACTCCGGAAAGAGAACCCGACGCCGTCAGAGGTTCAAATCAAGTTCACCGTTTGGTAGAACAGTTAAGCGCGGCCATGGATAACGACGATGAATCCTCCGATGACCCCCGGCCTCCTGGCGATCAGCCCCCTCCAAACAGCCCGCCTCCTCCAGGCAGCCCGCTCCCTTCAGACGGCCCTGGCCTTAATGATTCAGGCACGCTCTCTCCTCAAGGGCTATTGAACCCACTAATCCCCGAAGCGCTCAACACTCTCGAGCTCTCCGCTGTCGGGCAGGTACCAGGGGATCGAACAGTTATGTAAAGGACCAATGCCGAGCCGCCTAGGACTTCCGAAGACACGACCGTCAATCAGGGATTAAAGTCGTGGCTGAAAGCAAGTTCGAATCCCATAACCACGAATTTTGACTTCCCTGGAGGTAGATGTGCGGATCTTTGCACATTGTTGTGATCGCGGCCATCCAGGCCAAGACGAACACCCTGACTGTGTTGGCGACAACCGAGGTTTTTATCTAATGGGATCCTGTATCCGTCGTGTGGCGGTAAGGCCGAGACCGACACACGGGAGGGATGTATCTCCGATATGGCAAATTGTCATTTCTTCGGGGCCATTTTGCGCCGGCAAAATAGGATTTCGATTCCGCGGAATAGTGGGACCATGAGGCTTTAGGAAATAGATCCTTGTCTAATCGCGGACTGTAGTGGTGAAACCCCACTTGTGCAGTCACGTCTTGGTGAGCTCATCATCGCGCTACTCGGAGCCCAAGCTAGGGCTGCGACGCAATGTGGAACGAACTGTGAGCTATATCGATAGAAGCAGAAAACGGTCAGCCGCTTCGAGTTCTGAGTGAATTTACTTCTAGAGCGAGACGAAGGTCCATGTCAGCAAATAAGTGAATTCGACATCGTCTCTATGTCGGAAGCCTCATCCATCAGCTCCTTCAATGACTGTTCGGATCCAGACAACACAACATCATCCGAAAATTGGCAGGATGCGCCCCAGGCCAGCACCCCACATGAAGAGCATAGCCCACCTCGGGTTCGATTTCGATCCAATCTGGGTTTCGCGCAGAGTGCTCAACATGACCAGCCCAGGGAGGGCCTTCGGGAAGAATGGGAGCACTCACAACGTCAAGGCGAACCTCATCGACCGACAACACCTTATGCCCACGAGTCTGCAGACATCACGGATACCCCGTTAAAAGATCGCGAGCCAGATCCCGGACAAACTATGGGTGTTCCAGGCATCGAGGCGATAGACCACACCCAGAAAAAGGACGACGAAAAGAAAGCCCCGAGTTCCGAGCACCGAAGCACGATGGCAAGATGGCGAAATGTGACGCAAAACTGGAAGCAAAGAGCGTCGGATTTTGGCGATCGCTTAGGTCGCCCACAATCGGAAGGAGACGACTTGTCAGTGGGAAAGTACCATGCAGATTGGGCCACGGGAGGTGAAGGCGCCCTTTCCGATATGACGGACAATAAACACAAAACCTCCGAAGAAAAGAAACGTGATCAGATACACAGCAGCTCCGAGGCTCATCGTCTGGTTCGAGATCTGACCCAGGATCATTCACAAAAGCGCCGCAAAGGTCGAGGCAAGCCATATCCCCACCCCGACAATGAATTCAAAGAAGAGGAAAATGAGACCGGACTGGACGCAAGTCTCAGGTATCGGTCTGGGGGTGGTGGTATCCTCTCGCAGTTGATTAAACTCAACGGTGGTCAGCAACCTGGAGCCGAAGACAAATCCCAATCGTCCACTAGCTCATCAGTTGAATCCACTAGTTCGTCAACCAACGCGCCGTCGGGAGAAAGCACAGGAGTAACGACACCACGAAAAGGAAAACCCAAATGGTACAAGAAGAACCAGAACACATCCAACTCCACCCTGATTGGGGGAGGCCCTGGCACCTTCAGTGGCGCAAGTACCCCAGTTTCGAATGAAGTGCTCTCTGTTGCCTCAAAGCGTCGTGGACAGGAGACCAGCGGTGAAACACAAAGTGGAGGGAGAGGGGCAGGTGGAGGTCGCAACGTTCGGCTCGAGGACGAAATCCGGGTGACAGTTCATATTGCCGAGATCATCTGTCGGCAGCGATACATCATGCAGCTGTGCAGGGCGTTAATGTCCTTTGGTGCTCCCACACACAGATTGGAGGAATACATGCAGATGACTGCGAAAGTGCTCGAAGTCGACAGCCAGTACTTGTACCTGCCAGGCTGCATGGTGATGTCGTTCGATGATCCGTCGACCCGTACGACAGAGGTGAAACTGGTTCGCGTCGCCCAAGGAGTAGATCTCGCTCGTTTATCTGACACTCACCTGGTGTATAAAAACGTGATCCATGACGTGATGGGCATTGAAGAAGCAGTCCAGGAACTGGATCTCATCATGAAGAAAAAGCCTCGGTTTCCCAAATGGATCGTTGTTCTGGTATACGGTCTCGCCACTGCCACCGTGGGCCCTTTTGCCTTCAATGCTCGACCAATTGACATGCCCATTATCTTCCTCAATGGAATCCTAGTTGGGTTGATGCAGCATGTAGCGGCACCTCGCTCGGTGTTATATTCGAATGTGTTTGAGGTGACATCGACTGTGGTCACATCATTTCTTGCGCGAGGCTTTGGCAGTATTCCACTAACAATAGTGGATGGCAAGAGGGAATATCTCTTCTGTTTTTCGGCTATCGCTCAAGCCTCTATTGCATTAATTCTTCCCGGGTTTCTGGTCCTCTGCAGTAGCCTGGAGCTGCAATCGCACCAAATCATCGCGGGTTCGATTCGGATGGTCTACGCTCTCCTATTCTCCCTGTTTATTGGTTACGGAATCACAGTCGGAACAACCATATATGGCTTGATGGACAACGGCGCTGTCTCTGATACCTCCTGTCCTAAAAATGGGGCGTTCCAAAACCCCTATGTCCAACGATTCCCCTTCGTTGCAATCATGACCGTCTGGCTTCTGATAATCAACCAAGGGAAGTGGAAACAGCTACCACCCATGAGCATCATTGCCTTAGCTGGGTACATCAGCAATTATTTCAGTACAAAAAAGTTGGGATCAAATTCGCAAGTCGCGAACACTGTGGGCGCATTCACCATCGGAATCATGGGGAACTTATACAGCCGTCTTTGGCACGGACACGCCGCAACCGCTATCCTGCCAGGTATATTCATTCTTGTTCCATCCGGACTTGCTGCAACAGGCTCATTGATATCGGGTGTCCAATCCGCAGATGAGATCCGTCAAAATGTATCGTCCCACGGTTCAGCGAGCAGCTCGCCTGGAGCTGGGCTGCAGTCTAGCAGCTCTGTTTTCAGTTTGGGATTTGGTATGATTCAGGTTGCGATTGGGATTACGATTGGCTTGTTCATTTCTGCATTGGTTGTGTATCCATATGGAAAGGCTCGCAGTGGCCTGTTCAGTTTCTAAAGTGCGGGTACATATTTCACCTTTTCGTCCATAAGCATCAATCGATTGATATGTCGATTCTCACACAACCTTGCGAAGAGCTCGGAGCTCGGAGTATCTTGAGGAGCTGGCAGAACCAAGGGCGGTATGGACCAGTGTAGTTGATGGGAAGTTTTCTGCCCTTACATACCGCCGAAGGCCTTTCCAAGAACCTCGATCCCCCCTCATTTATTTCTAGCCAGACCACCAATCCAAGTGTTCGCAAAATTCGTTGATCTCCCTGTATTTTCATCGAGTATTCGTTGCCCGCCGTCGGTGGATAGAATTCGGAGAGTTTACCGGAATTTTCCTATCCTACGAAGGTCAGGGGGTGATACGCAGCTCGGAGAGTGTAAGGGGCGATTTGACGACGAATAGGCAACTAGGGATCGGTGCTTTTTTTGTGGAGCAAAGTGCGCCCTCTCAGTAGTACTATGATCATGTGATATCGGCGTTGGAGACCCACCTCCTCGATTAGGAAACCATGGTATCTACCTCAAATATGAACGTTCATTTATTTCCTTAGTTACGTAGATATGCTAGTTACGTAGATATGCTCTGGATTTGAATCACCGTAATCCTCATATTATGTAGTGTTGGCACTGCAATCGCTCAGGCAGGCAACCAGCACCCTTCAAATCCCTCTTTTCATGGTGTCATGAGGATTGCCATATGCTATGGCCCTGCTTCATCCATGGCCAAATTACCTCTGGCCCTTTAAAGCATACTGGAAGAGTTGAAACACGTTTGGAAAATCCCATACCCTCCTCTCAATGTTTATCCCACCTGTAGCTAGCCGGAGTGTCCAAGAGACCCAAAATGAATTGAATCAAGCTCTTCCCCACGGTTTCTTCTAAGAGTGGGAAGAAAAATTGGAGGCGTTGCTGGGAGTAATAAGTGGGTGAGTTTTTCGGACGTATTAAATACCTACACATTGTCTACTTCTCACACCTCACGTCGATGCGAGTCAAGTCTCGTGTACCCACACCCAATGCGCCTCTTCCATGCCATTTTAATTCTCCTTCACTCTTCATTCCTCCTCTCTCTTCAACCTCACCGCTTCACAAGTCCTACAACTATCTTTCAATCTTTGGGGCTTCAGCCCTAACCTTCAACAGAATGGCCGAGAAAAGTCTCTTTGCCAGGGCTGGCATCGCCATCAAAGCGGCCCTGCTGTATGTACGATCAATCTTCAAGTCAAGGAGCCGAACTTCCAAGCCAGTCGACAGTTCCTCGCAAGAGTTGACAACGCTCGTACTCCCACGCAGAGCAATCCTCCGCCTTCCCTTGGAACTCGAACGCGAGATTGCGAGCTACCTTTCGCCCTCCTCACGAGCTTGTTTAGCCCTCACCTGCAGGAAGTTTTACTATGACCTTTCGGATGTGCTAAGTGACGCTACACTGATATTTCCACCCCCTCGTTCGCACCTTCGGCCGGGCCAGGGCCACACCGAGAGAGCCAAGCTTCTGGTCAGACTTGAATCCCCAGGATCCACAGGCTGGAAATACTGTCAAAAGTGTCTGAAACTACACCCGAGGGGCGAATTTGAAGACGGAGATTCCCCCAATTCGATGATTTGCAGATGGCCGGGCGTCATTATTCTCTGTCGATGCATCAGATTCTCACCCAGGCGCATAGCCAAAATTTCCGGCCAACTTCAGAGTACCCCGGATATTAACATCATGGGGACAACCATCAAGAAGCATATCAGCGAGTGGCACTTCTGCCCCTGGTCAGCTCAAGGAATGCCCGGGGTCGCCGAGTCCGACCCTTGGAGGCTCTTAATCTCCCCATCTCTGGACGAGGATAACCGTGTCGTGTTTCACTTCACCTACTCAATTCAAGTGCGACAGTCAAATTCCCTTGCGAGTCAAAAGCTGATGCTAGACATTTACCCTTGTGCTTGTGTTGGCTTCTTTTCGTGGAAGCGAGTTAGAGCCCTCTCTTTCTCATGCAAGGCATGCGGCAATCAGCGGCTTTCCGTAGCAAGTCGATGTGGAGCATGTGCATTTGTTGCCCGACTTTCAATCCTTGGCTGCTGGCACTGCTTTTTAAATCCGGATGTGCAGGTGTGGCAGGAAGATGGCTTCACTCGCTGCTTGATCGGTTTCACTATGGCTCATAATGTGCCAAACCTGGATATTCCTTCTCCTGTTGCAAAGAAGCGATAGAAGCCCATCGATGAAATTTTTCAGTCAAGAGAATGTGTTACAAGGTTCCGGCGGCGGAAACAACCCTTGGTGACAGACGGAGATGGTTGTCTGTGATGGATTTTCCATGGACTCAACCTCACCCTTCAACTTTCTTTTCGCATCCCATGTTCCAGAAGAATACTCTTGTTCGTTGCTTGTTCTTCATTTGTTCAGCCTTTCAACGCATGATCCGCCCATCATATTTATCAGGCCTTGCTGTGGACGTAGATCGGATTTGTGCTCACTCGTCCGTTCTGGCGTATCTTTTATCTTTACAATGAAAGATTTGATTTTTTCTTCGTTCTAGGTGACTGAAGCCCGGAGATTTGACAATGTGCTAGGTAGATTTATGCTCCACTGGTTAGTACTACGGGCCACAAACCCCCCAACGTGAACTTGGAACGCTCCATCGGCCGTCCAAGACGCAGTGCTTGTCTATGACATGTATACCAGAAATAAAATGGCGATTGCGTATCTTGCCCTGTTCCTTGACAACACGTAGTCCACCAAGTAACTAGGGTAAAAGAGGATATTTACAACAAAGAACAATCAGCAACCACATTTTTACTACGAGAATCATGCTGGTCGAGTCCAACGGGCTCACGCACCTTATGTCGATATCTTCGCCTTCGGGTCCACCTTCTACAACATCATGACAACGTATCAGCGGCACAGGATCGCCAGGAAAGATCTGGTTGCAACGCGAGATTTCATAGGCTGGATTGATATGATAAAGCGGCGGCTTTTGGCCAAAGTCTTCCCTAAGGCTGAAGGTCTGGTAGAAGGTGATGTGATACTGCGTTGTTAGACACATCAACACCCCTTTCGTCGGTCTTTGCCTGAAGATCAGGAACTTCTGTTTGCAAGTAATGCTTAAAAATAGAATACGGTCCAATTGGTGAAAGATTTCTAAGCTAGAGAGGGAAGAAGAAGGGGAGAAGGAGAGGAAGTCTAGCCAGAGAGAATTGGTGGGCGATTGGAAATCTCACATATGACCATACTCGTCACGTCGCTGCCCCAGTACAATATCTCAATACGTGTTAGGCTCTTCACAAGCAGCGTTCTGCCCTATTCTAAGATTTTGATGTGTACTATAGTGGATAGGGGTTATCGTGGCGTAGTATACGACAAGAGATCTAGTAAAATATCCGCCAAGCTATAGTGGATTCATTAGGCTCTTGCAAGTGTCAAACATAGACAGCAGGAGGATTCAAAATTGTTGTCAAATTCACTGCCTCTGAGATAGAAAGGTTTGGAACGACTCGAGCAGCACCTAGCCATCTACCGCCGTTGCTTGAAATTGAAACCAAACTGTTGTCATCATCCATGGATACATGATTTCAGATTCCGATATTCAAGCCTCTGAGAAGAGAAAGACTTCCTCACTGCCATACCACGTTTTGTCTCAGGAAGCAGGGATAGACTGGTCATTGAGGGCATCACCGGGTTGGTCCATTTGCTGCTTAAACTTGAGTCCCCACTTCAATTGAATCATATCAATGCCACCATCCCACACGCCAGTCGCAGGATCAGTGTGCACCTGTTCGCCAAATAATCGCAACTGTTGGAGCATCAAAGTGTTTCCATAACGGAGATTGACCTCATCCGCTCTGATCTCATTCTTCAGCGTCCAATTTGTCGAAACACTGCCAAACACACAGCACTCTACAGTGCTTCGTGGCGTCCACCATGCAGGTAGAAGAGGCCACCGAGAATCCGCCTTCTCAAGAAAGCCTTTGAATGCGTCGATCGATGTAAGACTGTGCCCCCAGAGAAAACCCATAAGACCCCTGTCATCTGCCACGCGGAGACGGTATGCGTCAATAAGAAGCTTGTAGACGTCTTCTTTGGGGCGGTCGTAGAGCCATTGCCTCTGGGCTAGCTTGGTGAAAGGGTCGGAGATAACAACGTCGAGGACACCGGTGAGAGCGGAAACGTCGACAGGCTGGCGCTCCATGATTTTGCATAAAGCCGTCATAGCCAGGTTACTGCAATCGCGAGCATGAGGTATTTTGGCACATTGCGTCTTATGATTGCCCCAGTCGGCCCTTTGACACTCTTCGGAACAATACCAAGAGCCCTTGCACTTGCCGCATAGCTTTAGCGGGGCTGTATCGGTCCCAGCATTGTTGCAAAGCTTGCACTTCTTGTATGATCCAGCCATACCGCGGTATCTCCTGATTCGAGTGAGTTGAGGTGTGTTTGAGGTATGTCAACGCTGAAGCGACGAGTCCGTGCCATTCGGTGGCTCATAGATGATGGAGGGTGTCTGTGAATTACCGACTGTGATACTGGCAAGAGGTCAATGATGTGTAGAGCAGATTGATTCTTAATCCTTGGCCCTTTGAGTGATTGAAAAGGATGTCAAGATGATGCAAAATGATGAAGAGAAGCTTCCGAAGACAAGGACTTCAAAGTCAAAGTTTCAAGAGGTCGGTAGAAGAAGTTTACCCACCACCGTTTGTGACGAGAGGGAAGATGGAAGTGAAGATGGAAGTGAAGATGTACTAAGTAGTTGACCAAGAAGGGAAAGAGAAAAAACTTGTATATGGGTCCTTTGTTACAAAGTTTTGGATTCTATATATTATCCGTTACAACCAAGGCATTTCATCGTCTCCCTCTCCAGGCTGCTAGTCGATTATCACACGCAGAATCCATGGATGTAAGAGGCACGGGTGCTACGCGTATGGTCGAGGTATGGCGTATTTAATCGCCAACACTACTCCGGTGACTACATTTGTAGTGTTACTTAAGTACCTCATGGCTAGAGATATCTTCTATCGACGGTGATAGATACAATCATTTCTATCAACGGCGATAGACACAACCAGTCTATCGACAGTGATAGATACAGCCAGCCTCTATCAACGGCGATAGCATCGTGTGTATTTTCAAATTTGGAAGAGTTGGATCGAGCAAAGGGAACCTGTATTCCGAAGTTGCGAGCCACTCGCAAAGTGGTACGTTCATCAATATCTTCAATACTTTAGGCATCGGACTGGCCCGCCTTTGTGAGAATATACTTGTGTGTGTTGTGTCGTCAGGACTACCTGTAGAGCCCCAGGGCTTGCGAAATGGGTGGTGAGGATAAAGAAGTAACTCTGCTCAGCATTCAAACCCCAGTCTTTGAGCGTGGCCCGACGATCGAGGAGCAATCTATTCTGCGCACGGTCAATATCAAAAGCAAGGGTACGGAATGCTGACGATTAGCCACTAGGGCTTGAAGGCAAATGTGCCCAATATGTAGTCAAGGTAAAACTGGCAAGAAGTCGAGGCAGGTTAGATGCACCTGGGCAATAGTTCATTTGGCCTCGAACGTGATACACGAGTGCGATTTAATCGAGGTTGAAAAGTGGGGAATCCTGGAACCTTGAAAAATGTCTGGGCTTATTCATTCGACGCGACATTGAGCTTGGTGACATCAAAGATCCTCCCCTCGGCTGTTTTATTTGGCTTATTCTGATTTTGCTTGATTAGTGAAGTGGGTTTTGAGCCCTGGGAGGATATTCTTGGCGACTATCACCTTTGCAGCATGATCCCTGTGCAGGAGATGCTTCCATATGCAGACTCCCTCTCTACCCAAAGGTCTGTGCTCACATCCGTCTGGTTCAGGGCGAAAAAGGTCAAAACTTTCGTGCTTTTCTGCCTTGATCAGTAAGTCTATCAAGTCGCCTGGCGCGATGGTATGTAAATGTAATCCAAAAATTGAAAACATGACAAAAGATTCTCGATTGGATCATGACTAAGTGTCGATACTATCACAAACGCAATGCAATGCAAATATCCATCAAATGAGCCGGCGACCAGTCGCCAGTCTAAATCTCAACCTCGCATCCAGGAGGGAGAGCCGAGACGAATCAATCAAGTCTCACATGATATTAAGATTGCTCTATTTGATCTTTCGCTTCGTTCATCTGATCCTGCCAGATGGCGAAGCCCAGTAATTCGAGGAGATGGCGTTCACGGTGTGTGAATATGAGAACGCCGGTTGTCTGGAGGAATTTCTTGGCGTGCGCCAAGATGGTTTGTTCGTGGTTTGAGGAGAGGCGGAAGAGTGCTTCAAGGGAAATGGTAATTTGGTCGGGGGATTCTTTTTCTGAAGGGAGCTCCTTGAGGAGATGCCGAGTTTTCTTGTTCCGAGCGAGTGACTCGCAGTACGTCTCCAGCATGCGTTCTCGAACAATGAATCGCAAAATGGACTCCAGGGAATCAAGTTGGACGATAGCCTGTGGTAAAGAGTTTTCGGGCTCGGCCAGGCCCCGTTGCATGAGAATGACATATTCCAAATCTTCTATGAGCGGAGTAAATTGAATCCTGGCTGGGGAAGTGTGCCCGAACACCGGCCGATCATAGCCGATCTTTTTTCGCCAGAAGTAATTGCATAGAATGAGGGAGATGATACAAGGTATCAACACGACATATCCCCACCACCTTTCGGCGGTGACCATTGAAGCAGCGCCGGCAACAAGGCCATTCAGCCCGTTGATGCTGGCATGCCATTGGAAGCGGCGGAAGCGGGTGTGGAGCCGGCGACGAATCTCATCGCTCGGCTCGCGAGCAAAAGTCGCAGCATCATGCATGCGGAATCGATGGATCAAATACCCAGACCAGACTGCATTTGCAAGACCAAAGACGGCCGCTAGGCCATTTCCAATGTACCCAGAAAGCAAATTACTTGCTTTGAAAACTTTGGGGTTGGCACCTCCGATTGCCATCAGAGTGCCCACGCCAACCAGCATCGATCCAAATCCCATTAAAACATCCATGACAATCCGATCGACCAACTCCGTTCCAATCTCACGTTTCGATACACCCAGCCGGCTATCAATCAACCGAGCCAGCTCGGCATTCTTATCATGGTATTGTCGTAGTCGTTGGAGGTGGTCTTTCTCAGCCCGTAGTACCTTGACATTCTTCCAACTCAAGCGACAATCCGCAATAGCAAGCAACACCATCCCCAGCGCCAGGGTGCCACCAATCCCCATCAGGACAGCAGCGAACCTAGGCACTGGAATCTCATTCCAGACATTTGCAGCAAAGTCGCCCGCATTGGCAAGCTCGAGGTATCCGACACTTGCAAGCAAACTGTTCTTGAATTGCTGTTGTTGGAGGAGGTGGAATCGACCGCCTCGGCGAACAAGGATGACTTGGTCTTTCGTCGATTCGAGGCTTTCTTGCCATGTAATGTCGCTGGCTTCGCGGAGGAGCTTTGGTACGCCGGGGGCCGGGGATTCAGGAGAAACGGTGCTCATTTCGATGGAGAGGGCCTTGGCTGGGGACATGTGCGCGGGGGAGGGAGTTATAATCAAAGTGTCGGATGAGTCCGCAGGGGTCGCCATTGTGTATATCATGCAGGAAAGAGACAGCTCACATGACGGTCATGCTGATGCTTTGTACGATGTGGGTAGGAACAGGGAGTCCTGGAGAGAGAAAACAAAAAGAAGACACGCAAGCGCGGGAAATGTTAAGGTTCCAATGGAAGGGCCGGGGTGGATCTTGGCAGCCCTGTAGGGCTGAGAATCCCTGTGCGATTACGGAGTTCTCCATACCTCTACTGTGACTATTTTAGTCACATACTATTACTTAGTATTACTCTTTTTCTCGTTAGTGCTCTTATGCGAGATTATACTCTCCACTGGACCCGTTCACTATCGGCTTGGGTAATTCAGTAATTTACAGCCGTACTGTCTACTCGTAGGCAGACTCATTAAACACACAGCAAATCACTCAAAATTCGGCTTTTAAAATACAGCTATGAAAATAAGGCTGAAATATATCTAAGCCTCTTTCGACAACTTGGTCTCCGCTTTAGACTTAAGTGCACGAATGAGCTTGACGCCCGCGTCCGCCCCCGTGCCTTGTGACTGTGCGCTCCAGAACTGGGCTTCACGGTCGGACCCTCGAAGTACATCATCTTCGGGCTCCTCGCGAGTGGGGGAAGGTGTCCCGTCGGGCGAGGGTGCTTTTTCATTTGCACCATATACATTGACCCGCTCGTTGAATCGCACCCGATGGCGGACTCGACCATTGGGCGAGCCTTGCGACCCCGAGCTGGGAGTCGAATTACGAGCCAGACTGGCGGCGAAGTAACTCGACCGGACGGCATATCGACGGGCCTCTTCCCGTCGGATCGTCTCCGAAAAGATTTTCTCCAGGGCCACACTGGCCGTGAACCTCATTCCGAGGTAGGCCTGCTCGGCGATGAAGATGGTTAGGAGAAGATAGGACAGACGTACTTCGGACATTGGTCCCCGATAGATGTGAACAATCGCCGCAGTGGACAGAGTGCCCAGCCAGGCCAGGAAATCCAGTCCCAATAAACACGGTCCGATGGAGTCGGAGCGGATCGGTGGGGGCCGCTGGCATTCTAAGGTAAGCTTGAAGAAGTCACCTCGCAACTCCAACCAATTGTTCAGCAGGAATCCAAGGGGGACCAACGGCCAGGCAACTCCAAACAGCGCCAGGTAGCCGAACTGGACACACATCTCCAAGATATCTTCCTCAACATGATACTCGTCTGCGCTAGCCTCACTACGAAGTCGGGCCATGAAGTCCGCCTCGTCGGGTGGGTCGATTAGCAACAGATCAGTGGCCACAGAGAAGCTGCGTTTTCGCCCGAATTCTGCTTTGCGTTCGCGGTAATTTTGCCATTTTTGCCAGAGGACATGTTTCACATATGGAAGAACAATTTCTTCACCAAAGCTCAGTACTTGGGCTGTCATAGAAAGATAAATCACCTCTTGCTGGAACCGGCTGGTGTCAACTTCAAACTCTTTCTGTCCACTTAGCAGATCTGACTTCCAGCCGAAGATCCGCAGGATATCCAGATGCGGGACGATCTGTTTTCCGAATGGAACGTAGACATAAGCGGTGAGTATCGTTGGGAGGAACGACGTGATGAAGTTCATCACAAAAGTCTTCTGAGTCTGCGCGAGGTCGTATTGATCCTGGGTGCGGTAATTTTCGTAGTTTGTCAGGCGTGTGGCGATATTGGTCAAGAAAGAGGTGATGGCAGGTAATGAAAGCGAGAAGAGAATCGTGGGCAAAAATTCCAGGTATCCTTTGAATGGTCCGTCGTATACCTCGGAGATGAAGACTTCCGAAGCGAAGGAAGCGACAATCAAGGCTCCCAGTGCCACGCTAGCCACCGATGCGAAGGGAACCAATAACAGTTGGCGTGAAAATTGCTTCCATCCTGGGAAGACCTGCTTTACTTGTCCGCTGATTGGATCTTTCACCTCCTTCTCCCACACATACTGCTTGCGATTCACCTTTAGGATCCCGACGCCCTTCACATCCCACCGCTGGCTTAGATCCGCCTCGCGGATCTTCCAATACTCGACGAACACAATGCACCAGGCGCAGAGTACGACTCCATATGTGATCGAATATGGTCCCAGATATAGCCAGCCAACTATTCCTAGGCCGGCGGGTACAACGAGGAATAATGAATAGCAGTGAATGAAGGCGTAATAGAATGCGACCTGTCAACGATTAGCTGCCCGTGTCCGGTATGTGGTGATGTTGGACTCCCAAACCCACCTTTTCACCAAACATGGCCCGAATGGCATCCAGATCTTGCGGCGTCAACATAGTTTTTCGGTTCCATTGTCGCAGCATCGCTGCACACGCCTCCTGGTCATGCAGCGGGAATGACGCCGTAACATTCTTCCATTTTCCAAAACCAGGCGTAATTCCCGCCCCGCCAAGTTTCTTTTGCCAGGTGACAGCGTGGTACACCGAGCGGATCTCCTCGGACGGTGTTTCAGCGTCCGCGATTTCTGTCTCGTCGCCGTCCGGTAATGTGTGTGTGATTCCGAATAACCAATCCTTGATTCTGCACCAGGTCAGTTGCACACCCACTGAGGCGATCGTTAGGTCCCCACGCACCTTGACTGATGTACCAAATTCCCCAGGTGGTCCCGCGGGACTCTAATGCACACCAACAAGGCTGAGCCATGTCCGTGGCGCACCTGAACTCGAAGACCAGCTTCACTCAGGTCGGAAATCAACGTTCGGAACTCGGCGATCGCTTGCGCTTGATCTGGAGGTTTGTCAGTCACTGCACATGTGCGGGCCAGCGTGTCAGCACATACCAATATCCCCAAATTCATACTGTAGAACCCAATCAACACCGAGGTTGTCATTCTCCCCGTTGTTTTCTTTGGTTTCTTTGCCTTCTTTGCCGTACCCCGCGAGCCAAGACATGGTGTAGGGTAGAACAGTGAGATGGGAAAAGAAGGAAAATGTGGGGGAGCCTCACCTTTGTACGATGTATTGGGATTACGTCGGTATCTCTGGAATTGCCCGGATCTATTAATATAACCCAGTATTTGTTTTGACACTATTCGATTCTTCGTTCTGCGCGAACAGGGGAAAATTACCGATCGACAATAGCTCCCCACTCTGATCTCTCCTAATTCCTCTCTCCTTCACACCCTCTTATTTGATTTGATTTTTTGCTTAACTCTGTTAGACTTTCGATCATCTCAAACACAAAATCTACCCGTTCTCGCGGCACTTCCGGCACTCGCATACCCTGCAAGTGAATGCCAAAGACCCACGAGCCAAGCTTCAGCCCTACGGGGCGGGTTTTATTACACGATGATCGTTGCCAGTGACATGGTACGATCGCCGCTTTTTCCACCCCCTTGCCTGCAGGTTGTACCAGTCCAAACACACGATTCCTTTGACACCCATTCGAATGAAAAGGGGGATAAGGAGTATGAGTACGGAGGAATAGGGATAAGGAGTACGAGTACACAAAATGTGATCAACAACTCCCAAGAACACGCTGTACGGGCGCTAAAGCCCAGTTACACACAAGGCTGTTCTCCACCACGGGTGCAAATGCGTCACCGTATTGGTGGAATTGGGCCCTCGGCTTTACTTGACAAGGCTGGCTGCAGAGACCTGCGCAACCTCGGAATATCCTCTAAAGTCGGTGAGCCTCTGTGGGTGTTGGTGCGAACCATTTTCTAATTCCCTTTACCGAAGCCTCATCATCTTTCCCCGAGGCTCAAGGGGAACCTCATCAAGAACCTCATCTTGGCAGGGGTGTGAATTGTTGAGTGAAATGCTGGTGCCTTCTGGGCGCCAAGTCCCGTCGCTTTTTGATTGCCATTCCGGTTTCAGTCAAAATCTTCATTTGTTTTTTTCTTGTTTTTTTCATTGTGGACCGGACAGGATTTTCGGCTAATCTGATTAGGCTGTCGAATTTTCTCATCTCGCATGGAATTCGCCAAGAGTGGATAAGACTTCAATTCAACCACTTGGCACAGGCATCAGCATTATTTGGTGAAGTCATGCCTAGTCCGTACCCCATACTCCAACACAAAGGCGCAGGTGTTATCCGGCGCTTCCATGCCCGTGTACGAGTATATATCGGCGCCCGGCGGTGGATGAGATCATTGATTTTTCCTCTTGACTAAAGACAAACTTGGCACCTTGGCTCACGCATGTCCTCACTGATCGAAATGGCTCGATCGCTGCGTGGGCAGAATATCACCCTTGGGCTGAGTGTCTTCCTTTTCGTGTTTATGTTTCTACCTACCTTTGTCATCCTGCTGGCTGTGGTCGTATTCTTCGGGCTGGTCTACCCCCGACTACGTAAGTCATATGCCCTTGACCGCGAACAAGGAACCGATACCCATCGGTCAGATCTGAAGGAGTGATTTTGAATCTGAATAATGGTACGACATGATTGAGCGCGAGATTTTGGTGGCTGCTCGACTAACTATTGGAGCTCAAGATCTGGATTCTCATACGCACTCTTTAAAAAAAAATGCAATGAGACGTCGGTTTTTTCAGCTTCCATTCGATGGAGCTGTACGGAGTACAGAGTACGGAGCACGGAGTATTGAATATGCATATCAAGTTTCAACGGTGTTCTGGGGTTACGTGGAAACTTAGGGATACTATCTCCTCTCAAATAAGAGACACTTCATGTTCTATATAAACCATAATTGTAGGCAAATTCGGAACCACCGTGCCGGTCCCAACTTCGCAAGGTCCCCATGTCCCATCGGCCGATTCCGCTTACCCCAAATGATTCCTCTCTCCATTGGACATCAAATTTTTCATATCCACTGCTTGGCTATGATTTCGCCCATGCGTCTGGGGCCAACGGGTAGGGCTGTCAAGCGTCTCACGTGGACCACGCCTGCCTCCCCTGGCTTTTCCTCTTTCTCTCTGCCCCATTCATGACCATCTGCCATTTTTTTCGACCAAAAGTTCCCTCGAGTGTTCATTTCGAGGAAGTAGAATGGGCTGAACAAATCACTCGCTTTCATCCATGAAAACTCGATCAGCATACCAAGGGACCAGCACTCCCTGAAGCAACCCGCAACTTCAGATGGCACCAGATGAACGGTGCGAGGGACATTGAAATTCAAAATTTTACGTTCTGGGTGATTCAATAAGATGGACGCCATGCAGGAAAAGATGCAGATTGATTCGATCCCCGATCGTTTCAGTTTTTATTCTTCCAAGACGAAGGAATCCAAGACTTCTTCCACCTGGGATGATCTGTTTCCCATCGGCCACAAGGAGGATCTTCCCCTGGAGAAGTACAAAACTCGACCGAATTCGAATCATCCTATTTGGTGGATTGATGTTCGTGACCCCACAGAGGGAGATGTTGACGCCGTGGCCCAAGCCTTGTCCATCCACCCCCTGACAACAGAGGATATCGTCATGCGCGAACCACGGGAGAAGGTCGACGTTTTCAAGAACTACTACCTCCTCTCCCTTCAAACCCTCGTCGCCAGCAAGGTCAAGGAGGAGCGCCCGGGCATTCCTGTCTCTGCAGCGTTGTACATGCTTGTCTTCCAGTATGGTGTTGTGACTTTCTCACCCAGCGGCTCTTCACATGTGCATCGGGCACGGGATAGAATCAGCAAAATGCACGATCCATCCATCTTGACCAGTGACTGGGTCTGTTATGCAATGATGTATGTGTGAGCCCAATCCCACCGCCCAGTATCTGGCTAACATGTGCAGTGATGACATCATCGATAGCTTTGAGCCCTTCACCCGCGACGCAGAACGAGAGTCCGAGGCCATCGAGGATCAGGTCTTCATTGCCCGTATCGATGATGCGCAGGCGCTAATCCCGCAAGTTGACGTGCTGCGTAAGAGGATCACGCATATCATTCGCTGTCTCCATGGCAAGGTCGATGTGTTGAATGGGTTCGTCAAGCGCTGCCAGTCCGCGGATAAGCATTCTATCTTCCCAGGTGGAGATATCCTGCTTTATCTCGGTGATGTTCAGGATCATCTTGTCACGACTTTGTCGACTCTGAGTCACATTGACGAAATCATCGGCCGGTCTCAGGCAAACTGCCTGGCTCAGTTGAGTGCTACCAACTTGAGGTTGAGTCTGACCATCAACTCTGGTCTGAGTAAGGTGACATTGTTAGCCACTATATTTGTGCCATGCCATCTTATCACGGGTATGTGGGGAATGAACGTTAATGTTCCCGGTCAAGAGACGGCAGGATTGGGTTGGTTCTTTGGTATTGTGGGTGTTTTTGCGGCATTCATGGTCATTTGTGTTGCTGCGGCCGTCAAGTATAAACTACTATAGACCACCAAATCAATCGAGATTCATCTCAGACTTTTCCTCACTGACAAAGAGACTGACGTACAGTGACGGTACAGACTCACCCGACCGAGCTTGGCGCAACCTTGGTTTCTATATTTTTCTATATTAGACCCGTCACCGGAGACACTCACGGTGCACAGTCCCTATGCCAAAAGAATTTGATCGTGTGAGGATGTCACGACTGTTGCCGGTCAGCATGAGACATCAGTTCTGAAGACTCCGCGTATCCCTGCGTTTGTCGCACATAGAAGTCAAAGTTGATCTCCCCGACCAACTTCTTCACGTTCCTAGGACGAAGTCAGCAAGTTCAGAGCATGATCAAAAGCAATACATACTCAATGAGATCCTGAAGGCTGAAACTAACCACCGACCTCAGCACCTCCAACGAGACAAAAGCTGAAAAGGCCGGGTCTTCAATGTGCCGAATGCTCAGTAGCTCCCCGTCAATTTTCTGCATTTGACGTGCGAGCGGGAATGAGTCTGGTGTAGACAGATACGGTGGTAAAGGTTGGCCGTTCGTGATCGCCGCAGAAAGATGACAGAGCAACGAGGTGATGCGATGAGAATTGAAATCTGTTGACTTCAGCGCGATCTCTGCGAGCTGGGACATCCACTGATTGTCTGTTTCTGGAGAGGAATGATCCGACTCAACGACTAGCGCTTCAAGGCTTTGCGTGGTATGGGCCATCAACGACATGCTGGTCAATATGCGTTGGATCTCAGCGATGATGTTGTCGTAGATCTGTTTCGGAAATTTGCCACCAATAGGTGGCTCGTATGTGCTGAAGTGACTATGTGCACGAAGACTGGCGAGAAGTAACATTTCTTCTTTGAAGATCTTGCGACGCGATGCTTGGAGACTTTTGGCGGGAGAATTTGAATCCGCCAGGCTCCCTAACTCGGCACTGAACCATAATTCGATGGTTTTATGCATGCAGCTGTAAAATTTGGCCAGGACAAATAGGCTTCGTCCGAGTACCTTTCGCAGTTGAGACTTGGCTGTTATTGGGTATGGGAATATGACCCAGAAGAAGGAAATCGCGCAGCCGGCTGCAACAGCTGCTAACTTATACGGGCCGAACAGGTAGATCGGGTAGTATGGTTGGCCGTTCGAAGTTGCCTCGGGGAATCCCAATTTGCGGACCTGTAGCTCGTAGCCAATGATGACATTCAGAGTAACAATAGATATGACAGATGCTCCGAAATACTGTGGGAACTTGATATAGAAGTAGTACTGCCAACTGATCAAAATCTTCCACGAACACGCGATCTTTGTTTGGAATCCTTACCTCGAAGACGTTGGCGAGATACAGAAAAACGATCACACCAGCGGTCTTACCATCCACGATATACCAAACTATCAAGCTTAGCACGAGCGAAATCGTTGTTGCGGCGATCCGAGCAACGAATCCAAACATGGTTTGGCCACTTGTTGGATTCATCCCAATGACGATCACAATCATCGCCCAAATGCATCTCTGTCGAATAAAGAAATCTTGTGTCTGATGCAAAAAGGCAAGTATTCCGACGGAAAATGAAGCGGCAGCAACCCGAAACCCAAAGATGCTCTGGTCAGACTTGATGACGTGGGAAATGGTACGTAATATCGTGCTTCCCTTCTCCCAAACATTCTCAGGGGGGAGGTGTTCGGGATCTGGAACCCGAGCTGAAGGCTGATCCTGGTAGATTGCGGAGGGATTGACATTGGATGACTGTCTGCTATCCGATGAAGCCTCGTGCTCCTTTTTATTGCGATTCAGTGAGAGCCACTCTCGGATAGATCTTTGCTTTGGGAATATGAGTCGACTCCGGCCCATAGTCCCATCTATTATCTTGCTATGCGCAAACTGCGCGAGCTGTAATGTCGCATTCAGCATATCATCTTGAAGATGGCCCATGTACAGGATCATGAAGAACTCCTGTCGCACCTCTGGGTCACCTGCAATATGTGACGGCTCTTCCGTCGGTGTGTCCACGTCATACTTTTCTGTGGCTGCAAATGCCTCAAGAGACGCCAACGCCTGGGGTAGGTGTTTCCGACGAGAGTAGTATCCGTGTAGCTCTTGTTCAAATCGCACAGGGAAGTCCAGGTCTGTTGATGATAAAGTTTCACCCCTTGATTCTTCGTCCCTGGCAGTCGACGAACCGCGAGGCTTTTTCTGATCTTTGAAACGCTTGGGTTTGGCAAGTTCCAAAGCCAACAGAAAGTAGTGGAGACCCTGCTGAACAAGCTTTGAGGAATCGACTAGCCGTTCATGCAGTGTCTCCGCCACTCTTCGAATTTCTGATTGTTTCAATGCCCCTTGGTCGGGATCGTCAAGATCGGCGATTCCCTCTTCGCGAGTCTCATTATTGACAATAGACTCCAATATTTCAGGTAACATTGACATTCCGGAGAGAGGGAGGAGAAGACTGCGGAAGAGATGCTCGATCTCGCTCAGATCCTTGGCTGTCAGTTTACCCCATGCAATTTCGTCTTTGGAATAGAATAGATCGGCTTGCAATCTACTATGCAAGCTATTGAGCTTCGCCATTTCCAGCTGCGGCTGCTTTTGCTTTGATTCCCATTCGGCACCGTCGTCATCTGACACATCCCGGGCGCTTTTGGCAGTCCTTGCACGTCGAAGAAGGCCTCTGCCGGAAAGAAGACCGGTGACAGGGTTTCCCTGTACATAGGTTATCTGTGATTCGAGGACTGCTTCGATTGAGCCGGCATATCCTTTGATATCGTGGAACAGGTTTCCTCGGCTGGTGATTGGGAAAATGAATAATGAGACACCGGTCGCGATGGCAAAGCCAATCATGAAACCTTTCAATAGTCGCGAGACGAATTCGAGACCCTCAGTCAATGTCACAAAAGTTCCTGCACGCGTGATCGTCACTGATGCAAATATTGAGAAGGCGACCATAGGGTCTTGCAGCTCCATTGGCTTCAGTGCACGCAGAGCATTCGCGCCCCTTTTCCAATGTCAGCGAATTTGTTCTCGAAAAAAAAAGACGGTGTAGCTTGGTCAGACATACCAAATCATCAGGATCAGCCATATGCCGGCAACAGCGCACGCATCACTGCTGTATCCATTACGAATGCTCTCGCTCGCATCGGACGGGGTGTTATGTTCTCTAGCCTTCACCGCACATAGCACAGCTAGGCAACAGAGTGATGCAGAAACACAGACCGCTGCTAAATTGAAGAACATGATCTTCAGGAATTTGGCTCTCGGCATGAGGCCTTGTGCCACTACTGACATCAAAGCCGACAGGTAGCCGATTGTTGTGGTGATGTTGGATATGGCATCACTCTGGTAGCTTCAAACCTGTCAGTATGGTCCCGGGGTCCTCACATATTCCAGAGTCAGGCTTACATCGCGATAGTGATTGTAGGCGCGAGAGCACCTTTCAGCATCATGAGGATAGTCCTAGTATCCAGGTCCAACCTGGACCACCATTTTGACGGATTGAGTCTAATTCGCTCCATTGGTCAGCTCACATCAACGTAGCAGGGATTCGGTGCCTCCATATCACATACCTGATCATCGCCGCCCAGGGTGGTCTAGGCTCGCTATGACCGATGGTGATGACGTCGACTTATGTACATGCGTTGCACAGCATCTAAACGGTGCGTGCGATCGATTGAATATGGCTTCTTGAAAAGGTAAGTAGCAATGCAACTCCTGAATCAAAACTTAGAACCTTGGAAGAAAAATAAAGAGAGCAAAGAAAGAACAGAAATGAATTTTCAACGTAGATGGATTAGACTATTCCGTTTCTGCATGCGGATCGGTTTGCCGAATGGTTCGATCCCGAGTGCAAGTGCCGATATCGACAACAATATCGGTGGATCTTCAGCTCATTTCTCGCAGTGTATCTGGTTAGCTTGTGGAACTTGTCAAGAGAGCGGCATCTTCTGGCGGCACTGAATTCCAACCTCGCGCCCGTGCGCACCACGCACGTGAGCACCTCTTTCCTTTGAGAAAAATACCGACTAAGTACGATGGTGTTTAGTATGAGTCCAAGGATATGTGGGCGAGAGAGGATATTCTGGGCCGGGGCTCAGTGCAGTTCGTCTACTAATTCGAGCGTCGGTATGAACGAGCATGTGCTCGCTGGAGGGCGGCTTATATATTTCCCGCTGCTAGGTAGCATGTGTTGACCAACACTTCACTCTTAAATCCATGGATATATGGGCCAGTCAGATGGGAAAAGAATCCCTATGCATAGAGAGATTAGACCCTAAATGACTAGTGAGTCTCTGCGGGTGCCCTTTGATCTCGAGCTCTGATCTCCGAGAGAGCAACCTCACAATTCTGGAAGCGTTAGGCAACTCTCTATATGTTGTGTGACTTGCAGCCTGTACCCTGAGAGGCAAGGCCTGCCTCCCGATGATTGATACTGCATAAATGGCAGCCTAACAGTCAAAACCAGAACTCCAGTGTCCAGGGAACCCTAGCATGATGGCTCAATTGAAGTGTGGCGCGTGTGGAATTGGCACAGCCACGTGTGGGGCTCAAGTCCGGATGTAATTCCCACCAGAGGGAAGAGGGCGCAGCAAGATCCATATCTAAGCGAGATCCTGGTACAAGAATAGCCCAACGGCGGAGTGTGAGAATACATATGTATGCATATATGACCTCATCGCTGAGAAGTGAAGTACTGCATAACCCGGGGGATGCAATCTAGAAGCGCTGTGGCGACCAGTCAGGCGTGTGACACGGAGAGCCAATAATAGGTCCGACTCGGCCCAAATTTGGTGATGCGGGGACGTGTTTTCAATTCATTTGGAACAATTGTGTGATGGTCCGGGGATTTAGCAATGAATCCTCACATCCGAGCAGAATTTGTTGCTCGTAGAAAATGCTGATTGACAAGCTCAGTCAAGACCTAAGGCCAAGAGTAAGACGGGCCTGGACGTCGATCCTGATAGGTATGGGCCAATGAAAGGTCATCATCGACGAAACAGTGGTGGATCCGGATTTCCTGCCGCATCTCACCCTTGGCATCCTTATAGGGAGAGCGCCAAAGAACGCGTCATTCGAATTTGGACACGTTGAGTGACAATTGACTTGACATCATGCGAGGGGTACAGCAGTAGTCTGTACAGAGTAGTAGAACACCGGGAATGTCTTTGTGAAAACTTGTCAGCATTCTGAGACCCACGCAATTAACTTGTGGACTGGTGGATGTTGGTGGATCGCGATGCGAATTAGTTGTGGCGTTGGGCTTCGCCAAGACCGCCAAGCTCTAAGATAAATAAGTCTGGTTTCCCCCCTGAGGTGTCATTCTTTTACTTTCAACCGCTTGACTTGACTCTACCATCAAAGGCTCGTTGCCTTGTTTCTACTACTGCTTGCTTTCTGAAATACATGCGTATGTGCTCGAGAGTTCTCTGGCTAATCTTCCACTCCACTTACTTCTGCTAACTATGTCTAATTTTACAGACCGGATTCACTCGTGGGCGAAAGCTCACGCATCCTCTCGCGGCCTGACAAACCAGACACCCCCCGAACAGGCCGCCGATCCAGACCCTGCTGAAAAACCGCCTCAAGATGGACAAGTGAACGTCCCCGTGGAGGACCCAACTCCAGGGTCTGTCACGGAAACCAACCCAACCCCCGGCCTTGCACGCCGCATGCGAAACGGATCCGTCCGTTTCTACCACCATACCAAAGATGCTATCTGTCATAGCTGGGTCAATGTCCTTTTGGTCTTCGTCCCAGTAGGTATTGCCTGTGAGGCCGCAGGACTCAACCCGGCCATCATCTTCGCAATGAACGCAGTAGCCATCATTCCTTTGGCTGGACTACTCAGCCACGCTACAGAGAGCGTCGCTAGTCGACTGGGAGATACAATTGGAGCACTTATCAACGTCACTTTCGGAAACGCCGTGGAGTTGATCATCTTCATCATCGCCCTGGTCAAGAATGAGATTCGAATCGTTCAAGCTTCATTGCTTGGCTCCATCCTAGCAAATCTACTCTTGATCATGGGTATGGCATTCCTCTCTGGTGGTCTTCGCTTCCAGGAACAAATCTATAACAGCACTGTCACCCAAATGAGCGCATGTCTACTCAGTCTCAGTGTGGTCAGTCTCCTCTTGCCGACTGCCTTCCACGCCTCTTGGTCAGATAGCGCAAACGCCGACCGAGAGACCATCAAGGTCAGCAGGGGTACCAGTGTTGTGCTCCTATTGGTGTATATCCTGTACATCATCTTTCAGCTTCGGACTCACTCCTACTTGTATGCTAGCATTCCCCAAGCGATCATCGATGAGGAGTCCCACCCTGGTGTCCTGGCGGAGTTTATGAACAGCTCTTCAGATTCCTCATCCAGCTCCAGCGATGAGTCTGACGACACGACGACATCGTGGACCACCGCAAAACGCATCAAGAGAGCAATGAAATACCGCAGACACCGAAAGTCAAGCACTAGCTCCAAGGGCACAGCATCTCGCACTTCGTTCCAGAAAAGAGCTATGGCGTCTACTTCGAACGAAAACCAGAGCTCCGTTCCCGATTCCATCGGCAGCAACGAACATGCCATCGATCTTGGCGACGAGGGTCGCTACGACGCTGATGATGATGCTCAGGATCCTGCCGCAATTCGTTCTCGTGACTTTGGAATTGCTCTCAGCCAGATGGATAGCCGCACGAGCAAAAAGTCCAAGAAGCGTGATCGGAAAAGACGCAAGGCCCTGAAAGCAGAAAAGAAGGCGCAGATCCAGGCTCCTGGTGAAGGCGGACCTTCGAATAGCCTGGCCCCCGCGCTCAAAGGCATACAGCCTTCGCCCAACTTGGTTGGATTTGATGGTATCACAGACGAGACCCAAAAGCGCCGGTCTCCCTTCGGCCCTATCCCATCTCTGCTCTCCAACACCGTCTTTAGCTCTCAGTCACCGGCCATGTCGCCACGCATTGGAACCGCTCCGCGCCCCGGCCTCTCTCGTAGTAATTCGTTGCCCGCACACATCAGCCGTCCTCCCCCGGCCGGTAATGCAGTCCAGTTCGCTCGTGGGGCTTCTCGCCTCACCGATCCCACCGAAGCCCCGGTTGCGGAGACAGCCTCCCAGGCCCCGGAACCCGAAATGTCACGTACTGCTGCTGTTGTGATGCTGTTGCTATCCACTGGCCTAGTCGCCGTGTGTGCTGAGTTCCTGGTCGATGCTATTCCGACCATGATTGCCAGCTCGAACGTCAGTGAAGCGTTCATCGGTCTTATTATTTTGCCCATTGTTGGAAATGCCGCCGAGCACGTTACTGCTGTCAGCGTTGCGACCAAGAATAAGATGGACTTGTCTATTGGTGTCTCTGTCGGAAGTAGTATTCAAATTGGTATGTTTCAAGCCCTGCATGTACCCACAGTTCTGTTTGCTAATCAGCTCTGCAGCTATCTTCGTCACACCCCTGGTCGTCATCCTGGGATGGTGCATGGACAAAGATATGTCACTCTATTTTACCCTGTTCGAGACCATTTGTCTCTTTGTCACCACCTTCGTCGTCAACTTCCTGGTCCTAGATGGTCGGAGTAACTATCTCGAAGGTGTACTCCTCATTGCAGCCTACATCATTATTGCGTGAGTATCACTGTCCTCCATTCACGTATCTGCATCACACACTAATCCCCGCTTTAGTTTGTCCGCCTTTTTCTACCCCTCCAGCGGCCAGGCGAGTAGTATTGCAGGCTCAGAGTAATTTCAATGTGTACATGGCAGTCATAATGGCCGTGAACTCTTCTCGGTGCCCAGCTAGCCTGTGGTACATGCTGGGCCAATTAACACCTCGATGAGAGAGATGTCGTTTGCTCAAGTGTTTCCATTTACACGAGGTAGTTAGAAATCAAAAATTGGCAACGGCCTCATGAAAATCACATTGATCTCCCGTTTATCCGGGCGCAAGGCAATGGGATACATTGGAATCCCTTAAATGCACTTTTCAGCCTTGGCCCAAGCACATAAGCCCTCACAAAATCAGTACATACTGCATTCACCTTTGGTCCAAACGCCCGATTCGATGCATTTTGCATCCATATTGTTTTTCTCAGACTAGACAACACCCTCGTATTGCAACCCGAAAAGCGCGAGATGCGATCACCCGCTAGAGAAAACGCGAGAACATCAAATACCTCTCTGTATCTGGAGAAGAAAACAAGTCCTTGATTACCGCGGTCAATTTGAGTACTTAAGGCGAGAATCCATCCTGAACTCTGGAATGGACATTTTTCTTCACGCTCACATCGAACTAACACGGGCGTTTAGTTTCGGATATAAGCCTGCCAGAGATGGCCTCGTACCAAACAAACGGGCGGGCGGCTAATACACGCAAGCTGTGGGGTGTCGAAGACTTCATTCCTAATTCTCGGTCATCAAGCAGCCTATCTCTGGGGCAACCTTGATCATGATACCCTTGGGAATATGTCAACTGATCCAAAATGCTGACAGCCCCAGCCTTGCGTACTGATAGGCTACCGGGAGTTCCAAGCTAATGTTGCATATCGATCATGTAAGCCCTGTTGGGGCAATAATCACAGACCAACGCCAAAGAGGGCTTGCTCTATCTGGAAATTCAATGGTACCTGGATTTGCTGCAGGAGTGGTGGAAGGCTGCAATTTGTCCAAACGTCACTGACTCACCGGCATCTGGAATCTGTAGAATGTGTCCGGGAACAATTTTCTGGATATTCTCTTGTTACGTTCAGCTATTTTTGCCGCTTGTGTGGAATATGTGGCGGATGAGCTTGCGCAATACTGTCGGGTCAAGATCATCCCGGTATTATTGGCAACTCGTTGGTTGCGATCGGAGTCCAGAACTTGTTTTGACGCAACTTATCGTGAGAAAAAGAATTCGCGGAAATTTCATATTCGGACATTGTGACATGTATTGGGTCTCTTGACAATTGCGATACTGAAGTTGAAGTACCAGGTAGAATAACGGGATGTCAAGCAGGATATACCAACGTGGAAATAGGAGGAAGTGGGTTGCCCTAGTCAGTAAAAAATGCATGTGGAGAGAAGAGAGATGTCATGTTACGGCTGGCAGTCAGACTAATATCTGCAGGAGCATGGAGCCAATGTGATACGAATTATTCCGTGGGAAGTACTCCGTACTCCGCATTTTGTACATGGTCTAAGATATGTTAGTATCAGACTACTCGTACACTCCGGAGAACACCCGTGAACCATGACAATGTGACCCAGGGAATTCTGTGCGGCCCGCTCCACGATCGACGGGAGGTGGCCACGGTGTCCACTTGCCATCTGGTCCCTAATTTCTCATAGAAAGATTACACTCACAATAACTCTGAAACATGATGAAAACACTGGACTACGGAGTACTTACTCTATGCTCCGTAGAGAGCACGGAATATACGAGTATGCCCATACGAGGGTTGATATCCACCAGCCACGTGTGAGGTATTGAGTGGCTGTGTCCTCAACTCGGTTGCCTTAGCCACAGTGGCTCGGCACGCAGTAGTGCGGTTTCCCCTATGTCCACTGCGGGGGTCAATCCCCCCCTTTTCAGTCTTCTCCCCTGACGATACTCAAACGATCAGTCGAAAGGGCCAAAAATGAAACACTGGAAACAATAGTCAAGCGCCCGTGTGGAGTTGAGCCTTTCAACGGATCGAACTGCTCATACGCTTGGCCTTATATATGGCGCGGCTTACTGTGACACATGAACCCACCTAGGCACTTGGCGTCGAGGCAATTGGTTAGCTCGTTCTCAACAGCCCTGTCAGGCGTGGCATTTGCAAATCTGACCGGGAGCTGCAAGCCCCCTGGGAGGGGCTTGCGGAGGGTTCGATATCGTATCTGCCTAATCATAGGGGTGAGCGCTTAATGACAACGCTCATAGAGTGGATCATCTCATTAGCGTCGGAGGAAGAGATGTGGAGGCTTCTCTTCGGTTCTGGACGGAACTGTTGATGTTGAGATACATTAAGGGTGTCCGTTTGACCTTCCCATAAAAGCTCACCCCCCTCTTTCTACTTCTTCTTTTGCTTTCTCCCCTTCCCCCTCATCTCATCAATCCTCCCTCATCATGTCGTACGCTCCACCTTACGGCGACCCCTACGCCCGCCCTCCTTCAGATCGTCCTCCTTACGATCGTCCCCCATACGACCCTTATGGCCGCCCTCCCGCGGACCCATATGCTCGACCTCCCTCTGATCGCCCCTATGAGCAGCCCCCGTATGATGGCGGCCGCCCAGCATACGACCGCAGCCCCTACAGTGCCCCTCCACCTCTGGCGCGACCCCCGCCAGGACCCCCACCTCCTCTGCCCCAGGGTTGGGTGCAGGAATGGGAGCCCAGTGCGCGCCGCGCTTTCTGGGTAGAGCAATCCACTGGCCGCTCCCAATGGGAACAGCCTTCTTACCAGCCTGCCTACGCTGGCTACGATGATGGCTCGCGCAGTGTGCCTCCTCCCGGCCCTCCCCAGGGCGGCTACTATGCGCCACCTCCTGGTCCGCCTCCCGTTCCCTACGACAACCGCCCCGATTACTACCAATCCCAGGAGCAGGCTCCTGAGAAGAAGAGCAGCAACGCTGGAAAGTACCTTGCTGCTGGTGCCGCTGGTTTGGCTGTCGGTGGTCTTGCTGGTGCTTTCATTGAACACGAGCGTGGTAAGTTCTATGTCACACTATCAAACCTTATTCTCTACTTCTGAGAATATCGCGCTAACTCTTTTTGCAGACGAGGACTCTGAGAAGTCTGACCTCGAAGAGGCATATGAAGAAGGTCGTCGCGACGAGGCCTATGAGGATGATGGCGGTGGTTTCTTCGACTAAGCGCTGATCGCCCGAGCGACTTATTCTATTCTTTTTTTTTGATATCTTTTTCTCAACATTCATAGGGTTCAAGGTTGCATTTTGCGAAGGTTACACATCAGTGCTTCATTTACCATTGCTACATCCTATTCCTTCTACATAGTTGATTCCTCCATGTCTTATAATCCTTTATAGAGCCATATAAGGCCACCTATTACATGAAGCCGTTCACTTCCGGCAAATGATCTCCCCATGCAACAGTCCAAACCAAGCATCCGGATTCTCCGCAAACGCCCTCCACCCCCGTGCGATCAATTCCAGATCCTCCGGTTCCCCAAACCCCTCTTCAACCACGACCTTGGCGAACCCGGAGGATTGTGCTCGTTCTTCCATAGACCCGCCCCAGTAAGCCCTCTCCTCGTCATCCCCAAAGCACCAAGCCCCAGCAGTTCTCTTCACGTCCGAGAAACCCGCCTCTCGCGCCCAGACATGAATCATCCGCCCAGGATGCGGATTGCCGCCCTTGGCACTCTGCATCCGCTCTGCAATTTCCCGCCATTTCGCAATCCCCACCGAATCGGGATACCAGTTCATCTCCGCTGACTCGCGACATGCAACGATTCCGCCTTTTTTGGACACACGCCTCATCTCAGCCAGCGCATGGACTGGATCTTTGATATGCTGCAGCACCTGATGTGCATGGACAATATCAAATGTATTGTCTTCAAATGGAAGTGCGTGGATGTTGCCTTCTTGGAATGTGATGTTGGTGACGCCTTCCGCTTTCGCTAGTTCGCGAGCGCCCTCTAGTGGATCGGCCACGTATTCCACGCCCGTCACATGGCCTGCGGGTACATGTTTGGCTATCGAAATGCTGATCGAGCCTGGGCCACAGCCTACATCCAGGATCTTTTGGTTCAACTTCAGATGTGGCAGTAGGTGCGGTGCTGAGTTGGACACTGTACGCCAGCTGTGGGTGCGGAGCACTGAGGCTGAGTGGTCTGTTGTGTAGACTTCAGGCATATTTGCAATGGTGAGGATTTTTGTTCTTCTTCTTTGCTAACCGTGTGGTCGAATGGGTTGGAAGAAATGCTTGAAATTAAGACAGACGTTCTGACAGTGGAATGGTGATATCATGGCGGAAGTATCCGAAGCTTGGCATGGAATTCCGAAGCTTGGAAGTGGCCCTTGATATAATAACCTCCACGGTATGGCCACAACGGAGCACCAAATATTCAAGTCTCCCTTGGAGTAGGATGTATAGCGAGAACAGAGATAACCATTAGCAGGAGAGATTCTCAACAGGAAAAAGGAAAGAAAAGAACAAAAAGAACAAAAAGTTTGACGAACCCAACCAGGGAAATGGCGATACATCAGCCCGGTGACTTGCGGTCCTAGGGATTCGAACCCGGGCTCGGGAATCTCGAAGATCAGAGTGCAGATATGGCTCTCTGTGTGACCAACTAGACCACCGCGGGTTTGCACCAGAAGATACATTAAAACTAAATATAACCAACCCCAAATGTTTGATATCACGTGACCCATACTACCGTACCTTAGGGGCGACGGGCGGAGCGGTACTAGCCCAGCTCTGCAGGCCTGCAGGCCTTCCCCACCGCCCACGCAGGCCCACGCAGGCCCCCTGCCGGACGGCCCCGCGAGATCGGTATTCTGATCTATCATCGATCCATTCTAACGTTGACCAGTTGACCAGGGCAGATGGGCCGCGAAAATCGAAGGTCTATGGCCCAGATCTTTAAGGCCAGTTTCATATACCCAGGCGCAAAGGCGAAAAATCCAGCTGCGGAACGGTCGCAAGACTGATATTACATGCACTGCTGGTCCAATCGTGGAAATTGCGCGATTCTGTCATTGCATTCGACTCTATCTATCTCGTTCTGAAATACTAAAACTCTTGCACAGCTAAGGCTTATGCAGCAGCCGTCCGCTTTGCCATCTGTTCAGCCGATGAATCCAAAACAGCCTTGATCTCCTTTCTAGAAGCCATGCGCTCGAACCAATCCTTCGCATGCGGGAACTCATTGGCGTCAAATCCTTCGTCATTCAACGCCATGTGGGCGGCTGCCTGCCAAGGGATGAATGAGATGTCGGCGTAAGACAACTTGTTGCCAACCAACCAAGGGCCATCTCCAAGGTTTGCGCTGTTGGCTTCCTTCTGGGCGCCCAGCCACTTGTCGAGTACACCAGTAACACGCTTGGCTTCATTGACGTAGCGCTCCACGGCACTGGGAATCTTCTCGGCGTGGTACTTCTTGAACCAGTATGCTTGTCCGTAGTACGGGCCTTGGCCCGAGACCTGGAGGTAGAGGAAAGAGCGAGCGAGCTCGGCCTCCGCAGAGCGAGGGGTGAAGCTGAGCTTGCGAGGCTCTTCGGCATCGTATCGCTCAATTAGGTATTCGACGATCGCGCCACTTTCCCAAATAGTCAAGTCGGTATTCGGGTCGTGAATGGAAGGCAGTCGGCCATTTGGGTTGATTGCTTCATATGCTGGCTTCTTGATGTCGGCATGGTCGACCGCAACTGGCTCCCAGGGCAGCTCGAGGACGGTGAGAAGGATTCCAATCTTCAACGGGTTGGGGCCGAGAATCCCTCCGTAAAGCTGAATTGGCTTGATTGTAGATCCCATTTTTCTGATTATTGACTGTCGAGGTGATTTGGTTGTATTTTTGTCCCGGTATGATTGAATGGCGATAGATGCTCGTTTTGATGATGCATTTTCGTGGCCGAGATGTTTGTTTTTATAGTGCTCCATATTAACTCAAGACGGTGATGTTCCCTAAGTGCCTGTTGATTTCCAATCTGTCACCCCGATCGTCGGCATTTAGTAATACGACAAGGGTGTTGCTGAGATTTGATCGGGAAAATTGGCTCGTCCGTGGTTCGTCCGTGGTTTGGTCCGGGGCGATGAAATAGAATTATTAAGCGCTGCCTCGCGCTCGGGCATTCCCCGGGGCCGGCGCACCGAATCTGACGTCCACATAATTCGATCCAGTCTTGGTTGGGTTTTTGTCATGAGTTGGCTCCATCATCATTCGTCATATGTGGCTCTTTCTGATTTCGTGCGTCCAGCACTTCATGCTAAGAGGCTTCGTCCGTTAGATCCATGCGGAGAAATTCTTACCGACCTCAAATACTTGGAAATGCAATTATGCATTTCATGAGCCTAATATTTGAGGGAGACAAGGACTCAAAACGCTCGATTCGGAGAACGAGAGGGATTGTAGAAGGTACCCTCACAAAAGAGCAAACAGTCTGGGGTTTGTTATCAAACATCATGTCAACCCTCACCAGTAACCAACTTTTTCCAAGGTTTTTACGTTTTCGAGCTTAAACAGACTTCCGTAATTCTTTTTTGCATGTCGGTCGGGAAAGCGAAATGTGCTGAATCGGTAGAGTCCCTGATCGAACAAAGGTTTGAAGAGAGAACATAATTGAGCAGGCTCGTATTCGGATCTAACCGCGATTTCATAAATCGATATGGAGTACTGATGCGCATGTCAGATGTGTTAATTTGGTCGCAATCTGATTGCACATAAGAAAACTGTGACTCGGTTTTCTCCTCTTGAGATCCATGGATACTATTTGCAGTCTCCCAAGCTTGGGCCTTCAAAGCCGCATTGAGAAGACCAACCTTATCTAGCTCCACGCCAATCAGGAACACGGAATTTAAGCTTAAAAGTGTTTTTGTACCTCCAGCCGCTGCGGCTGCAAACTCTCTTCATTTCCTTTGCTCCAGGGGTTTTGCCACTTCTTCACATGCGCCCTATGTGCACCATAGTTGTTGCAACTGTGTTCAAGAGAAAGGTTTTACCCAAACAGGAATGTGCTGTTCTAGATTTACTATATGCTCGGATAGGACAGGTAAAACAACGAGCCTGAAACCATCTCTGAATGGATGGACCAGAGGAAGGAGACAAAAGGGGGAGAAGAGGCGAAAGATATGGCGGAGTACTGTCTCACCTACAGAAACTCGGGAACCTGTTTGCTGCTATGAGGCCTTAGGCTACTGATTCCAAGCGGCCTTTCATCCTCAGGCACGAGCACCTTCCAACCCTCTCTGTCTCTCCGTCCTTTCTTTCTTTCCTTTCCTTTCTTTCTCTTCTTCTTCTCTTTTCTCCCCAAAGAGCATACACTTACACGGTATTTCATTAGCCACAGCATGATGTTATCCCCATACAACTTGCTGTTAGAGCAGATACCAAGAACAAACGGATAGCTGTAGGTATGTTGGCATTACAAGCTGACAAGCCCACACAAAGAGCTCTATCCTACATTCAAGCATTATTCTTAGAGTTTATATAGAGTCCAGTCAGCCCGAAGATATTTCCTATTCTAGAGATCCCGTATGCATGTATCCCTCCTATGTTGGTTCCCGGTCCACTGATCCCACCAGCGTGCTGCCGGCCCGAACATCAACCTACGGTCCTCACTACAATGACGCGAAAGCTACTGTGCATCCCCGCGTTTTCATGAAGTCGTAGTGCTCTGAGATTCTCTCCAATATATACCGCCGATGAGTCTCCCTCTCCCCCAAAGAATCAACCTAAGAACATTCCACAAAGTTGTTTCCACTCGCCCCGGTATGTGTGATAACCCCAGCCAGCTGGTTGTTTGTGTTGAAAATGACGCGATCGGCACCAGGCGACCCGCCGCTGTAAACACTCCCACTCTTGAGAATCGGGAATTCGTAGTATGTTCCGGAAACGGGGAACACAAAGCCTTCGTAGTCATGGTAAACGTGTGGGTAGCTGGACGCGGTGCTGCCGGCCGAGTAAAGCTTGTAGCCCGCGGCCTTGGCAGCACTGACTGCGCTGCTGGTGTAGCATACGGTTCCACAGGTTGCGGCACAGGCGCGGGCTTCGACGTCAAGCGGGGCGGAGAGGGAGCTGGTGATGAAGACTGCCGCGACGGCGAAGAGCTGCTGATTGTTAGACTTGATGTTTTCTGAACATGGTGACTCTTGCCTTTGTGAAGTGCATATTTGCGGTGCGACCGAGCAAATTTCAAGGCTTGGATGGGCTGAACTAGATCTTGTGTGCTTAGACTGGATGTCAACACTCATGGGGATCTGACCATTTATGTATTCTTCATGGAGAATCTGTAAGGGGAATTGACCGAGACTTTGTCCATTGCCCAAGCTATAAATGGAATTTCGCGACGCAGCCGATGTTACACCTGTAGTCTATCCATTTCTTACTCTACTCTAGTGTATACTTGGCGCAGAAACAGAGAGGGCATGAGGGATGGTTCCAGCTCCAAGGACCTTACTCGATGGGGTTTATTCACCGACAGTGTTATCGTATCATAGAGAAGGCGGTGATTTTGCATACAATTTCCCAGGTAAGCGTGAACAATCGAGTGGTCATGAGGCAGCCATGATTTGGAGTTTGCATCCTATTTGAGACAGTGATCGACGGGCCCGGTGGTCTCCGATGCTAGACCCCGGACTAGTGTCCTGCAGTCGAAATTGAGGTGCTGCCGCATTGCCATCGAGCCAATCAGATATCATGAAAGAGCACGATGCTGGTTTGTCGGTTAATGCTTCAAGAGTGGGCGTGAGCACTTGTATTGGGGTCTCGGCATTTTGGAAGCGAATAGGTTGAGCAACACAGATCTAACTACTGTGGCTATTCCCATTTTATTGGTGTATGATACTTACCATATCGTTGAGCTGCTTGGGCAGATTTTATCGTTCAATCTCATCACCCGCTGTCCGACGGTTTCCGTGAAGATATATCGGGGCACAATGCCAGCTTCCCCGCAGCATGCTGATTATCAATTTCATTTTCCTAAAACTCCAACGACGATGGATGATAGAGCGATGATAGAGCCTTGAAATGACGCTAGATCATGCTTGCTTACTCGCCCAGGTAGGGGAACGAAGCCACCCAACCGTGAGAGCTACTGTTGTTCACATGCATGCTTGAGACGTGTATTTTGTTTTGCTCGAGAACTGACAAACCTCGGAATGGTGTTTCATTGTATAAATTTCATCGATATATAAACCCGGGAACCGTTATCCGATAACGATCGAGTAGATGCGAGACCACCAGGTTCGTGATTCGGGCGACTCGCCCTCATCGGATTGGACTATTTCCCTTCGCCCAGTCCAGATATCCATGTCTTCCAGTTTGACCAGTCGAGTCTTGTTCCAAAACTTGTAGCCCAGAACGGAAAAGAGGAACACCGGGAGTAGAATATAGTTGATCACGAAATCGGTAGAGCTGAAAGGGTTGAGGAAACACGTGTACCCTTGGAAGAAGATGAGGAACACATTGGCTGCCAATGCGAGATATGTTCCATAGGGGTAGAATATGGCTTGGTAGGGGAGCTTCGATGGATCTTGGCCCTGCACGACCAGAGCTTGGCGGAAGCGAATGTGTGCAATTCCGATCACGGACCACACTATGAATGTACACACTGTGATTCGTTAGCCGAGAATACGCAATGGGATAGGAGGGTAAATTACCGCCAGAAAGAGTAATTAAGGCCGAGTAAACTCGGCCAGCACTGGAGGATTGGCCCAAGAACACGATGCAGGCAAAGACATTTGTGAATATCAAGCCAATCCATGGTACTCCAAGTTTATTTGTTCGTCCGATGAACTTCGGTGCCTTTCTATTCCGAGACATGAAGAGCAATGTTCTTGATGCCACATATAGGGAACTGTTTCCTGCAGAAATGACACTGATCACGATCAAGGCGTTGATCAAGTGAGCAGCAGGAAGAATCCCGGCGTCTTGCAACGAGATCGTCAAAGGGGAGCTAGCAGTCTTCGAGGTCGACCCTAGCAGTCTATCATCATTCCATGGAATTAGGATGCCAATGAAAAATATGGTACCTGAACAGCGTTAGTATTCGACTATTCCACCCTCTCGGTTTCTCAGGTGCACATACCAACGTAGAAAATCAAAATACGCCAAAAGACCTGCTTAATGGCCTTGGGTACTGCCTTTTGCGGATTTGCCGACTCTCCAGCCGTAATTCCAACCCTAAGTTCCCGTTAGCATGAAGTGAAAGCTTAAATCCGCAATCGACTGGCAATTACATTTCCGTTCCAGCATAGAGCGTTCCCGCAACAACAAAGGTCTTTGCAACTCCATTGATTGAGTCTGCGAATGCCCCCGGATTATGCCAGTATTCAAAGCCAATTTGTTTCGGTCCAATGCCACCTGAGCTGATGATGATGGCAAGAATGAAGAAGACTATCAGCGCCAAAACTTTAATGCTGTGTAATGTCAGTAAATGGGGCATTCCTCGGGTTGAACGCACTCACAGAGAAAGCCAGAATTCCATCTCTCCATATGCCAAAATGCCCAGATTGGAAAGCGTGAGGAACATCACCCAGAAAATAAGAATCCATCCCCATTGTGGTACTGCGTCTGTCCAGTATCCGATAACCAGCGATATAGCATTGTATTCATTGGCGAGGACCTGTCGAGTTAGCATACGGTACCACGTAGCCAAATTTGCATGTGTTGCATACCGTCACCCACAAGTACCAATACGCCCATCCGAGTGCAAATGCAAGAGAATCGTCGATGAAACGCTCAGCATATTCCGTAAATGACCCTGTCACTGGGATCAAAGTGGCCATTTCGCCCAGCGATTGCCTAGATAAGTTAGTGTTCCATTCTCAGGCCCAAAATTGAGGTCTCATACATTACAAAAAAGACAATAATCCCGACCAGTGAAAAGCTGATCAACGCGCCCGCGGGTCCACCCTCAGCCAACGCATTTCCCGAGCTCACCAGCAGACCCGGCCCGATAATTCCTGTCAAGAAATAAAGCCTTCGTTAATGGAGATCGATTATCCATATGCGACCGTGCTTCTCACCTCCAATCGCAATCATCTGCAAATGTCGCGATTTCAGCTGGCGCTTCAATGGCGCAGCCAAAGGGTCTGCGAATTCTTCATCTGGTCGCGGGGCTGTCTCCGACCGGAGGCTTTTCGCATCTGCATCTTGCGATGCGCCCCTGTATGTAACAGTTGATCCTTTGTCAACCATGTTCGCAGTAGTGGAAGAGGAACAGGGGAAGACAAAGAATTTCCCCGCGATAAATGTCCTGGCATATAATTTTGTCACATTGAAGGCATGGCGAAATTTTGCGTCACTTCGATTTGCTGGGCATGTCGTGATAAGCCACATGTGCGGCGCAACCGAGTGGGGCCGATCTTCACATTGTACGACGCATCCGTGGGCCTTTAATGGTAACATAACAGTAGCTGGAATATGGAGTACACCTGCAAATCATGGAAAGTGGGCTTTGACCCTTGATTAGATTGACATGGTTCTCATTCAACATACAATTCCATGCCACTTGAGCAAGATATGTGGGGCTGGGAATAAGGTTGGCTCCTGGGTTTCAGGAAGGTTAATACCTCATCGCTTAGATTGGATTTTGTGGGGACGGGATAGTAAAGGGATTCTCAAGTGATGCTCATTTGGAATGCTTCAGAAAGGGTTGTTTTTGTTGGTCTTCATCATCGCACAGGACTTAGACTGGCGTTGCATTTCATCATTTGCACTGGGCACACTGCCTGTGATTCAATAGCACTGGGAATGACTACCACCCAGTGGAACGGAAGAGCAAAAATAGCTTTGGAGCATGTGGGTGATATTAAATAGAGGAAGCTGTCTTCGGTATGTGAGGGTAATGCTAACGTTGCGGTGTTGGTAGGGAGGATCATTACTTACCCAGGTCGTCGACCGCAGTATTGGTCTCCTATGGATTTGATGAAATAGAAAAGGTGACAACAAAAATAAGCCTCATAGTCTGGAAATCTAGGCTTGGGCTAGAGAGGGATCATAGAGGTCTGGAGAGTCATATGGCATGTTTGTCCGAAGGCGAGCAGACCTAAGCTGCAAGGCATGTCTGCAGCCATGTTTCTCAAGAAAGTTGGATCTGATTTCAATGGTCTTAATTCAGAATTAGTAACGCGAGCTCTTGATTATGGAAATGGCAAGTAGACCCAGACACAGTCTTTCTGAAAAGCCATTTATGACGATGGTGATTTCCTTTGGTTAACATTGTCAAACAAACTGCCATTGACAACAGGGGTAAGAAAAAAACTCACAACAATGAAAATTTGAGTTTGAACGCCTGCCCTGTTGCAAGAACATCAACCAAACCGTGGCATTTTCACACTGTGGTGGTTATAGCAAGACAGCCCTCCAGAATAGGTCTTTTTTCCCCCATGACTTTCCAAGGCTTCGTCAAAAAGTCAGCAATTTTGGATGGTTCAGTCTTTGTGGCCACCTGGCCAGGGCGAGGACTTGCATTGGAATTAGGATAAGCTCTCCACAATCATAAGTACCTCAGCCGAATTTTCTGGGGCCAGGATAGCAAATAAAAAAAAAAAAAAAAAAAAAAAAAAAACATCTTTCTCCTGGTGCGAATGCTGGGTTATGTCTGGTTGACTTAGATAGTATTTTTGTCATCTTAGCGGAGGTCATACCAAAAAGGCAGTGAGTAATTGTGGGGTTGTCATTTCCCAGCTGATAGATATGGGGACAGGATGGAGGATGCCTCGGACTTATCGGAAAGACGAGAGAATGTTTGACCGTCTGTTCTAGTAGAATGTTAGCAAAATGATCGCATTGTAGAGGCTAGTAATCCAGATGGCAGCAGGCACAGTATTTCGGCTCAGAACAGTTTGTTTTCATCATTCCTCAAAGCACTTACCTGACCAGGAGGTCAGGATGATGATGATGATAAGTTTTTGGTCATCATAGCCAGGCTGATTCAAAGAATAGGAGAGGGCAACTTACTCTGTGTGTTGGTAGATGACCTGTTGCTGGGCATCAAGCGCAACGTTAGCAAAATAAACGCAATGTCTAGACAAGCAACATGTAAAGAGATTTGGCTCAGAGCAGTTGGTTTCATCATTCCTCAAAGCACTTACCTGACCAGGAGGTCAGGATGATGATGATGATGTTAAGTTTTTGGTCATCACAGCCAGGCTGGTTCAGGGAAATAGGAGAGAGTAACTTACAAGGATCGTGCAAGTCATCGGCTGCTCCAGGGTAGTCCTGTGTCTTGGCCGACTACTTGTTGCCAATCATCGGAAAGCTCGAATAGAGTTGGCGTCCGAGGACACATTGAACCATTTTGGCCATCTTTGGAAGTTCCAATGGGACTTCAGGGTAAAGATAACCATAAATCCTCTTTGATTCCCTGTTGGGTAATATCGAGATCAAGGATTGGAAGGAATGAACTCCCAATAAAGACCTAAAAAACCAGCTGCATCGAGTATAAGCGCATGCCGGCAAGATAAAAATGGCTGGACATTGAATATCTCACTTGATGTGACGAATTAGATCAGACGGCGAAGATTTTCATCACCAGTATCAGGTTGGTGGAGATGTCATCATTTCCGGAAAGGTTTCAAGAAATCAAAGACACAAACTCACAGAAGTGTTCAGGATGATAATGAGGGAGACCAGTTATCTTCAACTAAGTCTGGTCAATAAGCTGTTCACTCAATGGTTGGCTGAGGATTATGGATCCCATCAGGAATAGTCAATTAGATCAGACATGGTGAGGTTTCATCATAATATCAGGTTCGACGAGACGATGAAATTTTTTGGTCATCATTTCCAGACAACTTCCAATCAAGGAACGACGTGGACTCACAGAGGAAATTCGAAATACACATAAGGAGACCGGTGATTTGTTTATCCTTGGATATAGTCAGCAAGGTAATCCATCAGCGCATTAGTGGGGTGTGTGAATTCGATCAGCGATGTTGAATTGGATCAGACGTATTGAAAACATTTTTCATCATGGATCAGGATGATGATGATGAGTTCTTTTTGGTCATCATTTCCCAACAGCTTTCAAGGAACAGAACACATGAACTCACACAAGGACTGGGAAGAATAGTGAACGAAACAGTTCTCTGCAAATAAGGTCAGTAAGACCATGGACCAAACTTTCGATCTGGTGGAATTGCTTCGGGATAGGGAGGCTGGATCAGGGGTGGTAAAGGTTTTCTCATCATGGATCATCAGCATGATGATGATGATTTCTTTTTGGTCATCATCTCCAGATTAAGTATCACGGGGGCTCGATGCTGGAGAAGGCGAACTCACGACGGTTTTCAGAAGGATGGACAGACGTATCGCTGCTAATTATGACATCCAATTAGCCAAACACGCTCCTATCCGACATTGTACAGTCCACAGGCAAGAGAACACTGGATCAGACGTGGTGGTTTTCATCAGACCATCAGTATGATGATGACGAATATTTTTTGGTCATCATTTCCAGGTTGGATATCACAGGGACTCGATTTTGGAACAAGTGAACTTACGGCCGTGTTCAGAGGAATGAGATAGACGACCGGGTACTAGTGGATACAGTCAATTAGCCAACCATCCTCCCATTCAAAATTGCACAATTCATAGGCAAGAGAACACTGGATCAGACGTGGCAGTTTTCATCAGGCCATCAGAATGATGATGACGAATAATTTTTGGTCATCATATCCAATTGGGCAATAGGGGATTCAAAACTCAATGGAAACTCACCAGAGAACGCCGAAAAATGGACAAAGGTGACTGGCTGGCTGTAAGCAGTTAGCTAACCAAGCTCTTTCTCGAGATCTTATAGTGCACTGGGAAGTGGATTTTGGATCAGACGTGGCAGTTTTCATCAGGCCATCAGAATGATGATGACGAATAGTTTTTGGTCATCATATCCAATTGAGCAATAGGGGATTCGGTTTTCAAAGAAGGAAACTCACAGCGATGGTCAGAAGAATGACAAAGGCTATTTGCATAATGACTTCGAGAATCAGACCCTTGCTCGACATCACATAATCCATGGGGTATTGGGGATGGGTCAGAGCCAATTCTCCGAATATCCCCACAAGCCTTCATCCAGTGGCCTCACTCAATGTTTGATCAATTGATTCGATCATTGCCGGGGAGGTTAAATTTGGTAAAGGGGATCGGGAGGAGAAAGGAATGACGTGTGCCTGATAATAACATGTAATGTTAGCAGGATGACATCCAACTGGAGACTTTAGGCGTACAAATGATGTTTGTATAAGTCTCAAAGATCCAGCTTTGCAGACTAGCAGTCTCAGCAAACGTGAAGAACCCGACAGTGATCGAGATCAAATCACCCATTGGCCGCGAAAGTTGGAGAACCTGGTCAATTGGGCTGATGTATCTGTCAGCCAATGATCCAATTTCCCAAAGGAGATCATACCTATCAAGCTTGAGGCGTGCCTGTAAGGGCCCGTGAGAGGGGAAATCCACTCTTGATGACCAGCAAGCTAGCTGTGAAGACTCCAGCGAGGTGCCTTTCTCTGACTGTCATGAGAATTAGTACAACCCAAACAATAAGCCTTGATGCGATGAAGCCATATGACATACCAAATCAGAAGTCATAGGTGCTCACTCAATCCTATGGGACGCAGCGTGGGTTGAGAGTACAGTCCATATCCTCTGCCAATAATGGCACGTTAGGGAACACACTCGATGAGGCGATCGCGTAATAAGAGACCATGTGCCCCGTTCTCTTGGCGTAGCTAGAATCAATCAAGATTAGCTTTTGCTCGAGAATGTGATTTGGGATCAAGGCGCACGGAGTATGTACTTGCCTACGCAAGTTTGGAAGCACGCTTGAAACGAACTTACCTGAGATGCATGGTGAATTGAAGGAATATGATACCATGGGGTATCCCGTGTAGACCAGAATATTTCAATCTGAAGTAGCTTGGTCGTCGACCGTGTCGCTAGAGGAGGTATGGAGCCCATGTCGTACACAATGAGCCCAAAGTTTCTTCTGTGAAATTGTCAGGAGCACGAAGCAAAAGCTCAATGATACAATTGAACAGACACACAAAGAATCTTCGAGTGGATGTGGTATTTTGACGGCAAAAGACGTGATGGAAGATCGGGGTAGGAGGGATGAAGTGCTTGCCAGAGGGGTATCATCAGGTGTTGATGGACCTGGACAGTACCATGTCAGCTTTCATTCCGATGATGATGTTGTATGATTGTAAGGGCCTCATGATTTGAAAGGAATAAAGGAGGTCAAGAGGATGGATGAAAAGTCATGAATCATGGCAGAAGAGTGTGAGATGAGAGAGACACTTACCAAAGTATCATCCGGCGTTCATGGACCTGGACAGTACCATGTCAGCTTTGGTTCAGACAATACGGTATAGTTGCAGTGGCTTCAAGCTGTGAATAGAATGGGAGAGGAGAGACAGAATCGATGAGGAAGCATGAAGCACTGTGGAAGAGTAGCAAAAGTGAATCTGTAAGGTATAAGGCAGCTGAGGCAGACGTGAGAGAAGTGAGAGACGTGACAGACGTGACAGACGTGACGACGACAAATCATCGCAAAGACGTGCACAGCGTATTGAAGGGGAGAGTGGGCTGACGACTAAGCGTCAGGATCTCCACGTGTAACAGTACTCACAATTGTAAACGAAGCAAGGCCGCAGACGTGTCAATCGGTCAACGCTGCGAAGTATGAGCCGAAATCAGGTCGGATAAAAAGGAGATCGAGGGAGCATTTCCATAGACCAACTGTAACCTGTACTGTGATGGCAAGTTTTGGCACAAACTATGAAGAAGGGGTAGAACAGAGAAGAGAACGAGCCTCAAAATTGTGAGTTTTATTTAACTTCTTCACTTGATTGATAGCTACAATGGGTTAGAGGCCCAAGAAATACTCGACGCTAATTGGCTCGGGTAAGTAGGGTCCGTGCGCAAGGCCCACAAACCCACGAGCTTAATTCCTGCAGGCCCCACCGAGGGACCCCTGTGCGGGATCAAGACTGGGGGAACTGTGCTGAACATTGTAGTATACAATAACCAGCCTAAAACCGTGAACCCATGGCTGGCTTAATATGAGAGGCGCATGCAGATTGTATAGCTATCTTACAAAGTGATCTGGGTTAAGGATCGTTCGAGCCCAACTAAACGGTGCAGCCCTAGACCTTTCATGCAGGGCCCAGTTATTGCCCATTCTTACCGAAACTCAAAGAACTTGGCCATAAAATTCCATTTTTCTGCCTATAGCTAGTCTCCGGTCGCATATTCGCTACTCTCGAGGAAGCGGAATTCATTTTGAGCTAGCTGCAATCCATGTTTTTCCAGGAAGAGCCTCAGCATGGCTTGTCAGGGCGTTTACATCGCTGTGATAGCTTTTCGGTGAAGTCCTGGCCCCATTTCGCACTGCGAGTGTTAGTAGCTGACAATTTACCGTCGCAGATCGAGTCCCACCTCGTGTTTTCATTGACGAAATCACGAAGATACTCATACTTCGATTTCCGTTGCGCCGGATCAAGGCTGATTGCATCGAATATTGCCTCCGACATCTCGGTCTTATTGGCTGGGTGGAATGAGATACTTCCTTGGGACATGAAGGACGAGGCACCAGCGAATTCGGAAAGCACCAGAACGCCATGGCGCTCCTTTTGACAAGCCACATACTCGAATGCGACAAGATTCATACCATCCCGGGTGGAAGTTAGGAGACAGACGTCGGCCACAGAATACAGGGCTGTCAGTTCTGCAAATGGGACCGACCGATGCATATACAGCAGGGGTGTTCCTTCAGGAGTGGCTATTCTGTTAGTATGCTTCTGCTCCTGGATTAAAATGCTTACCATGCTTGCCATTGATTTTTCCAGCCATCGTACACAGATCTCGCTCAAGATCCTGGTATTCCTTCACATCTCCGCGGCTAGGAACGGCGACTTGGATGAGAACAACTTTATTCTGCAGCTCGGGATGATCGTCGAGGAAGGCGTCGAAGCCACTCAGTTTTTGAGTTAGGCCTTTGATATGGTCGAGTCTGTCGACCCCTACAATCACCTTCACGCCTTTGTAGCGTTCTTTCAGTGTTTGAATGCGATCTTGGACCTCGGGCATCTGCAAAGTGTCGGTGAATTTCTGTGGGTCTATGCCGACAATAAATTTGTTGGTGCAGACCAGACGGTTTTTGTACTGGATCTGGTTTGGGATCTCGGTACGTGCATTGCTGCTATAATATGAGAATTGGGCCTCTATGAGGGCGAGGCAAAGAGATTTGGGCTGACACTCACAGGAGACTGGCACAGGTTTCGATGAAATTCTGTTTATACTCGTCCGTGTGGAACCCGATCAAGTCGCTTGATAACAAACCTTCGATGAGATGCTTTCGAACTGGCAAATTCCTCCAAAAGTCACCCGCTGGGAATGGGGTATGCAGGGAGAACCCAATGGCACAAGACTTTCCTTGCTGCGTGAGTCTATGTCGGAGAAGCTCAGGCAATAACATGAGGTGATAATCGTGAATCCATATTAGGGTTCCGCTCTCAGCAGAATCCACGATCGCATCAGCGAACAGTTCGTTGACACGCTTATACGCTTGCCAAGGGGTATCGTCGAAGGTCACTCCTGACTGGTAGTGTAGAATTGGCCAAAGAATTCGGTCTGAAAATCAGTCCAGGTCTTTGTTATGAGGGCATGGTGCTTACTGGAAAATCCATTATAGTGCTCGTGTGCCAGAGTACTATCAAGAAATATGGGGATTGCATTATGTGCTTCCAGGGTTTTGGACACTTCCTCCCTATCGCCAAGATCTCTGACCTCCAGGCCCGGCCAGCCAAACCATTGGAATTGGGTTGACTTGGTCAATCCGGCAAGAGAGGTGACAAGACCGCCACTTGAAAGAGACGATTGAAAAGAACCATCAACTCGCTTCACTGATAATGGCAGCCGGTTTGAAACGATGATGAGATTCTGCTTTTCATTGGAGATTGAGTCCATTCTGCTTCCAAAACGGTATATATTCTTTTGAAGACAAAGGGAACACTTTGATGCAAGGTCGGTATCACCTTTCGTTGAAAGGCTACCAGGTTCTTTATCAAGAGCAAACAGCCCAACAGGTGCCAAAATTCATGGCTCGCCCCAGGAATGGCGAATGGCAAATTTGCGTCACTATGAGAGCAATCAACTTTTTGTTCGCCATATACTCCAACAGCTCCCTCATGGTGGAGTATCTCACAAATCCGATCAGGTCAATGTATGAATTGGCAGCCTATGCGGCTAATTTCAATTCCGAGATGCCAATTATTGCTGAAAAATGCAACGGTATTTGAATTTGCCTCAAAAGATATACATCGGGAGCCCGAGGACTCCTTCAAACTGGCACTGTTTAACTCATCTTATGCTGGACGGTCTATAGGTAAGTCCAAGTACTTATGCATGGGTTTTAAGTATCAATTGAAGTCCATTTGAGCATGACATTTATTTTTCTCTGCATTCTAATGTTTCGCTAAATCTATAGATGTTTTCAAGGTTGATGGCTCGTCTCTTTCGTCATAGAGATGTCAGGGCTAAACACCCGGCACCTCTGTTTTTTCCTCCGCCTGGGCCTTTACTCCCACTTTGGTCCTTTTATTCTGCATGAACTTGACCGCAATAAAACATATCAATCCAGCGGCATATGAGCAGCCTGCAAACGAGATCAGTCCCCAATATGCCCCCTCGCAGCGATGGATGATTTCTCCCGCGATGGGAACTCCAGTCAATGCCCTGATGAAGAATGTTAGCCAGCTATTTCAAGAAGAGACAAGGGGAGGAGACTTACCCAAAGCTAACAATGGTATACACGGTTGTATAGTATCGCCCGTAGTTTTCGACGGGACACAATTCCCCCACGCAGACAGGAACAAGGCTGATGTTGCTGCCGCTGCCAAATCCAAAGACAACGGAGAAGATTATCACAGCAACAATGTTTCCATTTGCAGGCATCCAAATGGCCAAGACAGAGATCAAACAAAGAATGTTTGTCAAAATCAGTGTATTGAACCGACCAATGCGATCGGCGACGATGCCCGGAAGCCATCGACCGGGGAAAGACCCCGCGTTCAAGAAAACAACCATCAGATATGACATGCGGGGAGATATTCCACTTGCAATTGAGTATGAGGCAATATACTCGAGCGGAATGAAGAATCCCCACTCAATGAAGAAAACACCGATGGTGGTCAGGGCAAGAACGGGATCTTTGAGAATGGTCAGGTCAGGGAGGAAGACCTTCAGAGATGGGACAGCAGGAGCCTTGGAGGGTGGGAAGTTTGCTCGGACAAATATCAGTCCAGGAATCAGGAGAATGAGGGTTATGAGACCGACGACACGACTGGCCCACGCAAAGCCTATCCGTGGAGCAAGGTTCTGCAAGACCAGAGGGAAAATCACGCCGCCGATACTTCCACCAGCCAGCGCTAGACCAGTTGCTGCGCCTCGACGTTTGAAGAAAAAGTGCCCGATGCTGGCTACTGGTACAATGAAGATGAATGATGTTCCCATTCCGCCGATTATACCAATCACAATTAGGAAATGCCAGTATTCTGTGCAAAAGCCCATGAGAACGAAGGTAAGCACCAGCAGGCTAGACCCAATCCACATCAGTAATCTCGGGCCCTTGATGTCGAAGATCGGACCAATTTGGATACCGCAGAAGAAGACGAGAAAGTTGTAGATACCGAAGATCCACCCGATTTGCCCTTCGCTAATGTTGGATAGTTGATGTGTTGAGATCCAGGCCTGGTATATTCCGATACTGTTCATCAGACCTAGTCCTCCCATAATGGCGCTGAAACTGCCTGCTACCACGAGGTTTCCGATGAGACCTCCTTCCGGGCAGGAGGCCGAGTCAACTTTTGGTTCCATGTGCATTGTTTGAGGCTATGCAAGAAGAAATAAATTGGTTGTTAGATTGATTTACATTACTACAATTTGGATGTGGACTACTTTATAGCCATGAGGTGGTGGATTCTGCAAATTTTCAGCTATAAAACTTTTTCAAAGCTCGGCCATTTTCATAGTTCAGGTGCATGGCATCTGAGGTGCAGCGGGACCTGATAAATCGCCGAGGACAAGTCTAAACTTCGGGAACGGGATCCTCTCCTCGGAACTGTAGGCCTGTCAATGGGTCAGCGAATGAGCTTGCTCTGAGGAGCATAGGGCCCATAGGACACCGCAGTCACCATACTCGGCCCCGTGGCAAATGCCAGTATGGGTCGCCGCTGCCGGTGGCCGAGCTCTCGCCCATCGGCCAACGTTCGCCGACTCGGCTTCGGCGAATAGTAGATATCACGAATTCAGTGCATGTATGCATGTGATGATGCCCAATCGTTCGCAGTATAAATTAAACAACCAGGTTGTTCTCCGATGCTGCTGTTAATATGTCCCGTGCGGCGTTTCGTTAAGCAGGGCTTTATGTATTTTTCAAGTTTGTGGTTCACCACTCATGTAGCTCGTATGTGAACACCCGTTTCCTAGTTCTATTGGTTTAGGCCCTTCCTACTTAAGTACCGTTGCGTGGAATGGAAATTAGACACTATAGCCCCCTACTGATTCAGCAAAGTGTGAAGTACGGGGGAGTGGGGAAAATGTCATCGTCATGGGAATTCTGGTTAGAAAGATATAGAATGAACAGAGAATTCCAATTCCGAAGGAAGTTCAAGACAAATACAAGAAAGAAACATAATAGGAAAAAGGTATAAGATGAACACCAGGTCAATCCAAATTGCCAAACTAACACCAGCGATGCCCGAGTATGCTGCTATATGCTGCCGAACCCCGCAAACAAAGACGCCGAACAATCCCATATGTCAATGCGGTTCAGGCAAACCTGCGCTTTGTTGGGCTTGGGGTCCGAAGGTGCTGTTCACGATCGCGACTGCGCTCGGTCACGTAATCCATTGCCCGAGTATGTTCCAGCATCAGAGGCTGCTCTGGTTTCTCGTAGGACTGTGCTTGCCGAGGATCTTGCTGTTCATAATACCCAAAAGAGGGGTTGTGCTGCAGCTGTGGGTGCATGGGTTGGGAGGGTGGGTGTTGTGCGTAGTGCTGCTGCTGGAGACGGTGTCTGAATGAGCGGAATGACCAGTTGCTAACGACTGTCACGGTGGAGATTGTTGCAAGGAAAAATAGCTAGAGGGACTGTTAGCGCAATTCGATAAATTACTCAAGGGGGGACTCACAATCGCCTTCCAGCTGATGGGGTCGATGAAGCTGTTGATGATGATCGCCATGGTATGGGCGGAGACCTTGGCTCGGCCAACCTTCGCCGGGTCCCGATTCATGCACCGTTCCCAGTTCTCGCAGATTGTTTCTAGAGCAGGTGCACGGGTCGGTCGTCCGCAGTCGTTGTCAAGGTAGCTCTTCGTGCAGACTGCCATGTCTGCCAAGATGGTGTCGGACATTTCTTGCGCGGCCTGCTCAAACTCCCCGCGGATCGCCGATACAAATCCGAAGACAACGTACACGGCAAGCGAGAACAGGGACAAATTCACCACTAACTGGGCCCACCATGACAGAATGGCGGGGACATTCGGGTGTGCTTCAAGCATGCTGAAGAATTCAGACCACGTTGATGACCGCGGCCCCTGCTCGGCCTGCTTTTTGCCCTGTTTTGCAACTTTTGTGGATTGTTCTCTGCTGCTGGGTCGGTCATCGTCGGTCTCGTCGTCGCTATCCACCTTGATTCTGCGGCCTAGTTCCCTGTCTCTTCGGCGCTTCTTCTGTATCCGGTTGACGGCGCCGTTTGAGTGATGGGGCAATCGTGGTATCTGCCCGCGTCCTGGACTCTGTGGGGCCTTGGTGAAGTTGAACATTGATCCAATTCCCTTCCCCGCCTTGGATGACTGCTCCGGTGTATCCTCATTATCTGCGAATTCTGGTGATGACATGTTTTCTGCCCCAGATGAGAAATCCACGTCGAATTTTCGCGGGGTCATGAAAGAAGGTTGGCCAAACTTGGCTTTGGGGGACAGTGGTGCGGGCTGCTGACGGGGCTGAGAGAAAAGGAAAGGTTGCGAGTTTGGTTGACGAAGGTGGGGAAAAGCTGGCTTTTTGGGAGAATCAAATGTGCTATGTGTTCCTAGACCATTGTGAGCAAGACCGTCTCCGAATGCAAGTCCTGGAGACCGGGGCTACCAACGTTTCTTGTCATGCTGTGCGCCGAGCTGAAAGAAGGGCGAGCTCACATCCCCGAGAGGTTTCGACTCCCACTCAAACTCCATGGGACTTTCTCCCGTTCGCTTGTCCATATTTGCGATCAGAGGATAGGTGGACAGTAGATGGGGGTGGAGGTTCAAGGAGCGGCAAGTTTTTTGTTTGGGTAAACAGACTCCCGTAGCAACCCTTGGCGCTCTTTATCTCCGCCTTCTAGATCTACATCGAGCGACAATGAGTGCTGACATCGTATTCATATATGCAGCCATGCATGAGAAATGGGTTCGAAACACAAAATACGACTACATGAGTAGTATATCCCAATGGTGTATATTTTGCATATTTTGATGCAACAGGCGTCCAGCACCCAGGTATTAGAGATACAGACTACTCATCCATCTGCCATTGATAATCCAGCGCCTCAAATCGACTCTTCTTATTCCGCGCCGTAAACCACTCCTTTTCGAACCCATTCGCCCGATCCACCCCGTCCCATCGATGTCCAGGCCGAATGCCGTACCGATTTGGCTGGAAAGCACCCCGGTACAGAGGTTTTCCTGTCACACTAGCTCCGGCATCCCGACGCTCTGTCAGGAACTGCGCAGCAGGATCATTCCATCGGTCCTGGGCCTTCATTTCGTCGTTCATGTCCTCGTCATCAATCGTCCGTCCAAGCGTCATAGCTTTGGCATTTTGTAGTTCTTGTTTCCGGTCTGCGCGCTGTTGCCGTTGCACATCGCCCATTTGGGCCTCGCGCGCTTTTTCTTCCTTCTCGCGTTTTTCTTCTTCCGCTCGGCGAGCTTCTGCCCGCTTCATGGCCACGTTGATGATGCGTCCGGAGGCGTCTCGGTAGATTGTTTCTTGGGACTTTTCGTTTGAAGCAGATGGGTCACGGTAGAGTGCCTCCTCGGCCTTGCGTTGCTTTTCCTGCGCCTTCACCATCGCCGCGGTCTGAGCCGCTGTTTGGAGACCACCGCGCGCGCCGGACTCCATTCTTCCTGCTCCGTCATCGTTTTCGTCGATTGCAGGTTGATCGTCGTCGTCTTGATCTTGCTCGGCCGCTCGTTCGGCTGCCGCAGAAGCAAGGATGGCATCGGCCGCTTCTTGTTCGCTTCCCTGGCCAGGCGCGGCGCCTCCAATAGTCTTCCAGCTTGACTTTTTAGCTCGACGGAACTCGGCGCTTTGGGCGGATGTGTCGACATATGGGCTGTCTTCGTCGTCTTCATTCCGGTTGCCTAATGAGGCGCGGATGTCGGGGGGGTCATCGTCGGCGATGATGAGACCAGAGCCTGAAGTGTCGACAGCCTTGGTCTTCTTGCGCTTCTTCTTCGGCCGCTCGGTAGCTGGGTCGGCCGTAAGGTAGTTTTTTGCTAAATAGTCTGCGAGCGAGCCGGGCATAACTTCGGTTTGGTGTAAAGTGATTCGAAGGCGGAAACAGCTCAGTGATTTATCGATCGATTGATAGCGGGAACAATATTTCTCCGAACTGTATGCCGCCTAGCGCCCTTGATTATGAACGTTGATGCTCGAAGTTAAGCCGGGTGATCGAGGTGCATGAAAGGATTTGTGGAGATATATCTCTGATTTTGCTTGCAAGGTTACAAAACCTAGACCCGCTCTACAATGCCTCGATCCGAGGAAGCCGAATGGTGGGCCAATGCAGTCTACGAGGCCATCCAAGAAATCCCACCAGGCAAAGTGACATCCTACGGCCACATAGCTCGACTACTTGGTGAACGTACGAATTGCTTCTATTGATACCTGTAGAAATACTAAAGTGATCTGGTCAAATAGCTCAACGCCCTCGTCAAGTTGGGGTTTGTCTCAAAGTCCTTCCGGCGGCGGAGTCCGGTGCACACTTCAACAATGACAACGTGCCATGGCAGCGAGTGATCAACTCAAAAGGAATGATATCACACCGGTATGTCGTGGATTCCTACACCATTTCCCGCCTTCCATGATGACTTGCTGCAAGCTCGAGCTAATATCCCCGCACCCATCGTGGCTGACGTTGACCGCAGTGGACCCGGCAGTGCACAGCGCCAAGCCGAAGCCCTCCAGTCAGAAGGTGTTGAAGTCACCACGGATAGCATGGGTGAGATGTATGTCAGCTTGGCTCAGTATGGGTGGTTCCCAAAACACCTTCCGAGCGAGGAGGGTGGGGACGACGAAGAATAAGAGGCCATAAAACTAGAAAACGAGCTGGACCGCCTATCACCGATCTTTACTAGCAAGAAATTTAAGTGAAATACAGTAGGTCATACATCTCATACACAGTACACAGCTTGAATGATATATGTATGTCAGTCCTGCCCAGGTGGAGGACAAATCATAGCACAGCACTTCAAATGTCGAGGGCAAAACAGGGAGGACAGTCTCCTCAAGATAGATGGGAAATCGGACCATAGTCTATGGATGAAAGAAACCTAAGCCAGAGCGCAACAGGGGGAAAAACATACGAAAGTCGCAAAGTAAACACCCGCCCAAACTACCAAAAGGAAGAAAGCAGAATCAGACATAGAACCAACCGGCATCAAACCATGAATGGAAAGTGGAAAAAAAAAGAGATCGTTAACTCACATCAATGCCATAAGGGCATGGGAATAACAGCCCAGTGAAAAATCTAGACTAAAAAGAATGCGTTCATCGCTTCTTCACCTCAACAGCCCAGCCTTCAATCCCTTCGCCCCGAGTCCCAGGTGCAATCCCAAGATCGATGCCGTCCATTCCAGGTGTCCCCTTCACCCATTCGTGAGAGGCCATACCACCCGCATTGGCTCGCTTCTCGGGTGAGAGGTCGAGCATCGGGAGAAGAAGCTCGCTGATCTTCATCGCCTCTTCCATTGAGTAGTGGTACTTTTCTCGCAGGACGTCGGGAAGCGCCCAGTGACGGAGACGGTGGATATTGCGTAGCTCGCCCTTGCGATTGAAGATCTCATTGGACCATTTTCCGTTCATGCAAATAGCTTTGGGGAACGGACCGAGCAACTCGATGATCTGCGCGATGTGATCATCGTCCTTGCCGTACTTGGTGCCTGATTGGGGGTCAAAGAGATAGTCGCCTGTAATGAGTTCGAAGACCTGATTTTTTTACATTAACATTTCAGGCATCATTGCAAGGGCGTGGGGGTGTTTACCATGCAAGCCATGCTCCAGACGTCAGTACTAGCTCCCCACTTCGAGCCCAGAATAACTTCCGGGGAACGGTATTGGCGGGTCTGGATGTCGTTTGTGAAATGATGGCCCACCCAACAGGCATTGCCCAGGTCGGCGATTTTGACGGATATGATGTTGGCGTCAATCTCTTCTTCTAGTGACTTTGTGGGCGGCTTGTCAAGAGAGATACCAGACACCTCTCGTTCTAGAAGGTCACTGTAAAGACATTAGTGGCCCGATGGCTTGAGGGAACCCTAGAGAATCACATACGCTGTCTTCTCCCGCTGATTTTGCTTCTCGTCTTCCTCCTTCACGCCGAGCAAGTCCTTCATGGAGGGGGCATCCGTGGTAGTTGCTATTTGGGTCAGTCGAGGCGCATCTCGATGCGCATTGCGAAGACTCACCTGAGGATTCGTTGACCATCTGGTTAAGACTGCTGTGTGAGTTGGAGGAACTGTGTTTGAAGTCAAAGCTGCTGAAGCTGGTGTTGAGTGGACTGGGAAGTGGCTGACTGCCCGTGATCAGGGTTCGCCTGCGTCTCCTCCCATTTCTGTTATCTTCTTTAGCTTCTTTTCTCGCCTCCTCCTGCACATGCGCCTTGACGATCTGCTCCACGTCTCCGATCTCGATCAGCACGTTCTCCGGTTTCAAGTCTGTGTGGATGATTCCGCATTCCCGGTGCAGGTAGTCCAGCCCCAACAATACTTGCTTTGTGATTTGCTTGACCAGCGGCATGGGAATGCCACGGTGATTCCATCGCTTGATGAGCCCCAAGAGATTCTCGCCCAGGACTTCGAACACCATACACACATGGACTCCATTAGGTCCCTTGTGTTCGAAGGAATCTAAAAGGCTGACGACGTGTTTCCGACCCGGGTGGGAGGGCTTCGCTTGGACGATCTTGCTGAGGAGTTTAATTTCGTCGATCGCGGTCTCGGTGTAGTGGGCGGCAGATCGAACGACCTTCAGCGCGACGTGTTTACCGTTCGTCGTATCCCGTGATAACCAGACCGTTGAGAAGTGACCCCATCCCAGCTTGCGCACGATAACATAGCGATCGTTGTTGTATGTTTCGCCGACCGCGACGGGATGATACCCGCCCTTGCAATAATCTTCGGAATCCTCTTCCTCCGCGGTGGCTTCCAGCTCTTCGCCCGATTCGGATGAGGAGGAACGCGACGCCGAGGGTTTCGAGGGAACGGCACCGGTGCTGTTCATCTATTAGCGCTCGAACCGGGGGCGATCCAAACACACAGCACATACGATTCTGCAGGATTTCCTTCATTGGTCAGAATAGGTTTCAAGTCGGTTCCCTTTCTTCGTTTCTTGCCTCCATTGCCATTGGCAGCTGTTGCTGCAACGTTCGCCATTTGTTTGCCCTTGTTGAGCATCGCCTTTGTGAGATCGACTCCCTCCATGATGTGGAGATTTGGGAGGTCAAGCTGAGAGGCGGGGCACACGGGCTTTTGGTTGGCCCAGCGGAAAGTTAAGAGGCGGTGGATGAGGGGCGCACTCAGATGAACCTGCAAGAAATCTCCGATTGATGAGAGGATGTTAAGTGCATAGAATAACACTTAATGATAAAGAGGGGGAGATGATTTTTCCAAAAAAAAAAGGTGAGGGACAGGTGGAAGACACAGGAGAGGCACAGAGAGGCGAAATGGCGGCAACAAGTCCAGAGCGCGCCGATCGAGCCCACCGATATACTAGTGCAAAGTTGGAGATTTCAAGATCGAATATATGGAGTTGCAAAACGAAATGGATGCCACGCATTCATCAGAGGAAAAGAATTAAAGAGAGTGAATGATTGCAGCATTTCCGCAAGCAGCCTGTGGCGAATGTGGCCGCATCGAGAGGTTAAATAAACATCCTATATCGTCAGAACATCACTTGATAGAAGCCATGGCCAACAGATGATGAAACAGGGTTTGGTTGACAGTTGTCAGTTGTCAGGGCCAGGTTGTCCAGGTTGTCCAGGATAATAGTGGTGGACTATAGGGAGATGTATGAGGATATCTTTTCGATGAGCTCGTTCTATCTCACTTTTTTTCATTTCTTTCGTCCTTTTCACTACATATCTAATGCATTTACTTTGAATTCACAGAAAATTTAATCAATAAGTGACTGGCAATAATGCACTATACACTGATGTCACGATCCCCGCAGGTACCTCTGCCAAAGCTCCGGTGGATTCCTCTTCTCCGCTTCAACCATGGCCAGCCCCTTCGACCGTCGACCGATTCATGACTATTTCATCGCCTCTCCCCTCGTCGCACTCCTCTATCCTGTTCACCAGGTGCTACTCCGTTTGCGAGGTCCTCCTCGATTGCCGCCCCCAGATGCCCAGCCAATCCGAGTAGTCTGTATCTCAGACACCCACACCCTCGAATGGCCAGAGGTACCAGAGGGAGACCTGCTAATCCACGCCGGCGATTTATCCAACGATGGCTCAGTTCGTGAGATCCAGGCCACAGTTGACTGGCTTCGCAGCCTCCCCCATCCCCACAAGATCGCTATCGGTGGAAATCATGACAGCTACTTCGATGTGCGGTCGCGCCTAGAGGAGGACCGTGACTCCAGTAGCTCCTTTGCGGCAGTTTCCTCTGCTGCCTCGATTCACTCGCTCGATTTGAACTCCCGCATCGACTGGGGAGATATACACTACCTGCAACATTCCGCAGTCACCCTCTCCTTCCAAGACACATCCACACCCTCGCCAACCACCCCTCTGACAAGCTCCCGCTCACGTGCTCTAACCATCTACGGCGCACCCCAAATCCCAGCGATCGTTCCCTTTGGCCCGGAACACGCCTTCACCTACCCTCCCCAACACGACGCCTGGTCCGGCACCGTGCCCCAAGAAACCGATATCCTAGTCACTCACACGCCACCCCAGTCCCATCTGGACCTCTCTCCAATCTTCTCCATCGGCTGCCCCAATCTGCTCGCAGAATCATGGCGCGTTCGTCCTGCCTTGCACGTCTTCGGCCATGTCCATCACTCCGCCGGTCAAGAGCCCATCTTCTGGGATGAAGCTCAGCGTGCATGGGAGAGGTTATGCGCGTCACGTCGCTGTCGGGCTCGTCTGGCTCGTCTGGCCTCGCTGGCTGGATTCCTGCGCGACCTCTTCGACCTCACAGCGTGGGCGGATGCCGCGCGGGTCGTTGGATATGGTATCCTCGGCGTGGTTTGGGCTCATATCTGGGGCGGCGAGAACAGAGGTGGAGGGTGGATGGTCAATGCTGCCTGTATGTATGGTGATTCTGGGAGGTTAAAAAATCCACCCAGGGTGTTTAATTTGTAATTATTGTCTGTAGGGACCTGGGTATTTGTCTTGCCTGTATAATATTGGGGCTTGTTGGGCTCTGGGGGACTTCATACCCATGCTTTTGATCTTGGGATCAGGCCTATATCCATGGAAGTATATTGTTTATATACATATGGGATCATTGAGACCAAATGTTTCACCCAATTTTGAAGGATTATAAAGTTTTTCAAGCAGGTAAACATTGGAACTACCAGTTGATATATTTGATTCAAACTGCCAGTGGTGTTTTGCAATAGCCGGCAGCTAACTCCCGCAACAGATGTTTCTGAAGCTTGCCACTGCCCGTCTTAGGGAAGTCGAGGCAAATCCCATCTTTGCCCACCCAAAAGACAACCTGGGGAGTACGGGACCATCCCATCACAGGCCTCACCCAGTCCTGGATCTCATGTAAACCAGGCCTGCAAATTGCCCCCTCCCGGGCCTTCAAGAAACAGCCTACAACTTCGCCATATTTCTGATCGGGAGTCCCAACTACACAAACTTCCGCAATGGAAGGATGCGCCAGCAGCCGTTCCTCAATCTCAACGGGGAAGATGTTTTCACCCCCTGCGTTTGTTAGTCATGGACTGGATGTTTATCACGATATCAGGAGCAAATACCGCGAATGATGACATCCTTGATTCGTCCGGTGATGCGGCAGTATCCCTCCTCATCAATCGTTCCCTCGTCCCCGGTATGCATCCACACAACCCCTTCTTCATCCTTCTTCATGACCTCATTCGTCTTGTCCTTATCATCCAGGTATCCGCGCTGTAAGACATAACCCGACGTGCAAAGCTCGCCTCTCTCACCCCTACCCAATACCCGACCCATCTTATCAATCACCTTGGCTGCTGTATGCGGCATAATCCGTCCGACAGTCGCAACTCGCATCTCAACGGGATCCTCAAAAGTGGACATGAAAGTGACGGGACTCGTCTCGGTCATTCCATATGCAATCAGCATCGTGTCAATACCTATCTGCTCCTTGAGTTTGTTCATCAGGGACAGTGGTACTGTGGATCCTGCTGCTAAACCCTTGCGCAAACTCTGAATATTGCGGTTCCGTGCTTGGTTGGCCTCTAGCTCGGCGATGAACATGGTTGGCACCCCATAGAGCGCTGTGCATTTTTCGTCAACAATCGAGTCCAAAACACGTGCGGCATCAAAGTGGTCAGATGGATACACAATTGTACAGCCGTGGATGAGACATGCAATGAACCCCATCACCAGCCCGAAACAATGGAACAGTGGGGGTGGACAGCAGATTATATCCTCTTCTGTGAGTTGGAGATTATCTCCGACGAAACGGGCATTATTGAGGATATTGCTGAATACTAATGTTAGTCGCGGTAGGTCTCGATGCGTTTTATATGTTTCTGATAAGTGATGACACTCACATGTGTGTTAACATCGATGCTTTGGCTGCCCCGGTTGTACCTATACCGTTGTTAGTACATCAAGCGAAAAGAAAAACGAGCGGATGGTTGGATTCATTACCGGAAGTGAACTGCAAGCTGGCTACATCCGATGGTTGAATCGACCGAGTGGCTGTCTCGTATAAAGAATCCAACTCGACACCACCAGCTGATGACAGAAAGTTCTCATAATCTTCATTCAACGTTGATTGTTCAAAACAGGACTCGTCACCAAGCCTAACTACTCGAATCAACCCTGATAAAGTGGATCGTGCAGATATGGTATTGAGGAGCTCGAAATGCTCATCCATGCTACGAGAACCGATGGTTGAAGCGAGAAACAGAACACGACATTCTGCATGACAAAAAAATAGTCATTCCAAAGTCAAGGACAAGCTTGTATGTTTCAGGACGACCTACTTGTTTTTTCCAGTGCATTTTGAAGCTCCCAGGGCTTGTATGTGGTGTGGAGCACCAGGACTGAGCACCCGATCAAAGCACCTCCAACCACAGATTCAAGATATTCATATCGATTCCCAGCCAGCACAGCAACGCATTCAGTCGGTCTGGCTCCAGCTTTGAGTAAAGCTTTGGCTACTGATTTTCCTCGCTCAGCCAGTTGAGCGTAGGATAATCGGACACCTTGCCATGGGAAAACGGCAATGTCTTTCGGTCCGTGCTTGGTTGCTTGGTTTTTGACAAAATCACCCAAAATGATGGTGGTCCATAACGAGGTCTCAGTCGGTCGTCTTACAACGGCACAAGAGGAGTCCATATTGAAGTTGCGGTGGAATTGAAAGCTACTTTCGGGGCTCGGGGATGGCTCTATGCATTTTACAGTCCAAGAAGCGGGGGAAAATACCCTCAAAAGTGTAAAAGAAAAACTTACTCATATTTATTACAGGAATACGTGGCGATATGAGCAGTCATCCTGAAGATTGAAAATAAGAAAATATACATCTATGGATCTGTCGATCTATGTAGCCTGGTCCGGGATCCCCGTCTACTAATCGAGCAAGGGGCAGAATTAGGCGTTTCGCTCATGCAGTGATCGCGCTAATGAAATTAAGTTAGATGGCGCATCTTCTTGTGCAACACACAATTCGATAAGCTGAAAATTGTCAGATCTCGATCCTTCGTATGAGACGCTATTTTTTTGAGATGATCTTACCTGCAGAAACGAGCAGTTGGTAAAACTTGCACAACGCCACAATGCCTCAAGGTCGGCCGTGCTTTCGACACGGTGGGTCTGATACGTGCCCGGGGCTGCGCCAAAAACTGCAGGGAGCAGTCGATGATCCCACGGCTGAATATCATTGTAGATCTGCTTCTCACCGTGGATCAATCGCTCGACGGTGTAGCCATTGTTGCATATGACAAAACTGACACCAAGCGTTAGCAGCCTAATCCGAGATCGAGCGTCAGATCGGGCGTCAAAATGATAGCTTACATGATTGGCGTGAGGCCTTGCCGGATTATTGTGCTCAGCTCTTGGCATCCACACTGAAGGCTGCCATCTCCAATGAAGAGAACAGTGCGCCGTGTGGGGTTGGCTGAATCGCGAACTGCCTGGGCTGCCCCTTCACAGGCCCCTACGGTGTACCCGATGCTTGACCATAGGTACTGGGCTATGAAGGTGCTGTCGGGTGGGAGTGTCGTATTCCAGATTCCGAAGCTTGCTGTTCCTGTTTCGGTCAGGATTATGTCTCCCGCCTTGAGCCATTTCCCCAAGCTAGTCCAAAACCAGTCGTGTGTGATTGAGGTTGGCTTCTCAGACAGATGTTCCATTTCCCCCGTCGCCTTAGGCCACAGGTATGGGAAGGGATTAAGTGATTTTTGGAAGGTCGTGAGCATTTGAAGTCCTGATCTGAAGAGGGATGTTTTCTCCACAGACGAAATGGGCCCTTGGGTGTTGTTTCCAACGAAGCTAGGAGCGCTATTATGTTGACTTGCATCAACACAGACGGATCCCGTGGATGATGTACGTAGCTTCGCCGTGAAAGCCCTCAATACGTTGTTAACATGCACACAGTCAAAGACTCGTCCCTTGACTGTGGTCTCGGTCCTCTGAATCTCAATCAATCTTGTATGATCGATAACCCCGCTGAAGCCAGAGGTAGCGAGATCAGACTGGATGTTACCAATGCAAATCACAAGATCGGCGGGTTTCATCATTGATAAAACCCTTTCATCTGAGCAGGAGCCAACATAAAGTCCAGCAAAGCGCGGGAGCCTTGAATCAACAATACCCAGTCCTGACCCGGCAGCAAAAACAGGAAAGTCGACTTGTGCCAGAAACTCATCAAGCTCTGCCTTTGCCCCGTGTTGTATTCCGTATCCCCCGACCAAGATAACGGGATTTTTAGCTTGTTGTATCTCCCTCATCGCCGTATCTATAAGTTGCTCATGTGCACGCACGTCGTCTGGGGGCATATGTCGGCCGAAGACATGCTGAGTGTGCAATTTTTGACATGGGATTGGAATGCGAAACATGTCGCACGGAATGTAAATTGACACTGGTCGACTCTGAATCCAGCATGTTCGAATGGCTTCATCGATTAATGATGGCGCAGTCTCCGCATTTTCGATGTTGACTGTAAGACAGGAGACTCTGCGGCTCATCTCGTCAAAGACATTAACATCGCCATTCCCAAGGCTATGGTGCACACAGAGTCTGTTCTTCTGTGCCTGTCGGCTTGGCTTGCCAATAATATGAACCACAGGCACATACTCGGCAAATGCGCCGGCGATGGCGTTCAGTGCGGACAGCTCGCCAACTCCCATCACCGTCATCAATGCCGACATTCCATTGACGCGGGCATATCCATCAGCCGCATAGCCTAAATATCCCCGAATACAATCAGTATATCGCGCAATATAACAGAGGCTGGATCCATGGATGAGATTTTACCGGCGTTGAGTTCGTTGCAGTTTCCAACCCAACTAAGACCGCATTTTTCAACGTAGTCTAGGGCTACCAGGTTGAAATCGCCTTGAGCTCTTGGTTAGTTCTAGAAATTATCTATTGATTTCAGGAAGTTTTGGCTCACCAGGTACTCCATGGACAGATCGGATGCCGATTCTCTTTATTTGGATGCATAGATATTCAAAAAGATCGATCGATTCACGGTTACTGAACATCGTCATGGGGAATGGGTCAATATCAGAAATGATAATTTCTTCTAGTGCTATAACCTTTGATCAAGTAAGATCTCTTATTGCTATTTATGCTTGGAGTCCACAGATCCGCAGCGGTCGAGTTGATCGCTTCGTTCTGTACCAGCAATTTCTAAAGTTCCAGGCTACCGGTCACGGATGGGGCATGGTCATATTCTAACGATTACACACTTGAGCAGTGCACAGCTTGCCTGAGCTGATACCATTATTACACATCATCCAGAGCAAAAGGAAACTCGAAAATACCCAGATCAACGAAAGCACAAATGATGGATCCTATTTAGTTCGGTCTCTTAGTTGCATATTATCTCCCCTTGCTTGCCTTGTTGCATACTCCCACGCGTCTCATTACATACGAAGATTACGCATTTTTGCCCAATCTTCTCCGGTCATCATGGGATCAATGCCGGAGCCATAACGCCACTAGCTACTAGCTACTCCGTACTCCGTGCTTAAGGAGGCGATGCCGAAGAAAATCTAGCCAGCACTACGACCCGACTGGAATTTCAGCTGCGGTATCTCGAACGGTCCAGGACAAACGAATAAAATTCAAACCAATAGACAGTCTTTACGAGACGTCGGTTGAATGGGCTCTTCTCCTATAAGTGGGTCATTTGTCAATCCCGATAACTACGAGTTGAAGATGGCTTTTAAGAGCGAGGTTCCGTAACTACTTAAGTAGATCCACTATCACCCAGGTGTAAGCACAATAGCTCCTAGTTAACTTGTTTTCAAATGGGCTTGAATGTGGATCTCATGTCTCGAATAATTTATTCATCTGATTAAATGGACTATGGGCGATCGATATGAAACTTCCAAGGCTGGTTTCAGTTGAAGCCTTGGGCCCTTGCAATTGCTCTGTTGATAGTCTTCGCCGCGGCAATCACATTTTCAGCTGAAATTGGGACCTCGTGCCCTCTATCGTGAACGAATATGGATCTGTTATCCTCATCACAGGCCAGGCTTGCTAATTGGCTGTTTGCTCGGTGCGAATCGGCGGTTCCCCAGATATGCGCGGTTGGTATATCGATAATACCATCAATTTCAACGGGGTTCCAAGGTGCCACGGATTTTTCGGGTGTTTCCTTGCACTCCAAGAGGCGATCGGCCGTGGAGAAGAATATCCCAACTTTGAAAGGCAGCTGCCCACGATTTGCATTCTTTTGAATCTTGTTGATCATCCACGACAATGCAAAGTTTGCCCCTAAGCTGAATCCGATAACACCATCGTAGGGTCCTTCGATTTCCAGAAATTCCTCGAGGTCGTGAAGGGCATTTACGCAAGTGTCCGGCTTGGTAGGAGTGCAGTAAGAGAATGTTGGCTCTCCAGGAAGCATAAATTGCTTCATATCTATGTTGATGTCCAGGTGTTAGTTAAACCTGATTGTTCCAGTGCTTCTGGACACAAACCTTGGTCCATTTCCCAAGCCAATGTTCCATCGACAAAGTCATAGGTGTGGCTATCGCCGAGTTCATATCGAATCGCAGCTTTGAGAATGTGTTATTGAAATCCAGACTCGACGTTGAGTTGTTAAATTACCAGTTTGTTGTTTAAATGTCTGAAATTTTGAGGGCCTTTAATCAGTTTGTTTTCCCTTCTCTATATCATAGATAGACACAGGTATGATGAGATCTTATTCTCACCTCAGAATTTGTACCAATTCCATGGAAGCTATCTTGGCAATCAGTGCTCTGCGCAGGCCTGTGGTCGCAGAACCGGGTGGACATACCATAGGAAGCGCATTTTGAATTCCTTCGAAGAGGCAGTTGAATCTCACAAGGTTCCTTCACTTTTGCATGAGCATCCGCTTAGCTTTATTTTCACCAAAGAGCAGATGTGCAAAGAAGGTCTCACAGACTATCAACACAACCTTGGAAACCTTGGAAGTTCTTGCTCATATTCTCGTACGGGTCGGAGGTGATCAATCAGCTATATGCATACGACAATTCCTTTTTGTACAGAGTATACATACTATTATACTCATTTATTTGTCCCCACTAGTACTGTAGATCTAAGTACATGCGTACTGCAGCCCAACTCACTTCGCATGCACCTCTTCGAGGAAGTTCCATGACCGTGCTAGCATCCCCACACTTTACGCCACGCTGCCGCCTTGACCCGACCGGAGTCCTGAACAAGGAGGACGCGGCGAAGGACTTAGTTAAATGGCAGGTTTCCCTACCAGTTGCCGACATTGTGTCGTTCTCCGACGGTTCTGAGCAGAACATCGAAGGGACTAGACATGTGGACTACGACTACGTGATCTGCAGAGGCAGCGCTCGCACAGATAACGGTTCAGGCTTCCTCGATCCGAAGTCATACGTATTTGATGCGGGAGCGATCGGAGCCTCGTGCGACCTAGAAAGGGCAGCACAGTTCGATCCAGATAGTAAGATCTACTCGTAGCTATGCATTGACAGTATCCCTATGATTTGATACATGTGAGACAACGCCTCTACCATTAGCCAGTGGGCTTTTCTCGAATACTATCGCTTAATGCGGAAGCAGAATATAGGTATGCGCTGGTGTTAGGGCGCCCCCCTGCGGTCGGTGCTGCCCCAACAGTGCGCTACTACATATGCCGGTCCCAGGCATGACAAGACGAGGTCTTGTCAGATTAGGTCTTTTGGCCGAGTGGTTTATGGATGAACCCCTAAGCCCTAACAAAATACAAAGCTTTAGAATATCTCCAAAAACTTTTATCAAAAAAATTTACAGAATTATTATAGATAGTAGAGTTCTATATTAGAATCTATATTTGCTAGTGGATGTATGCTCCTGAAGTCTCTATCTCACTTTTCTCTTTCTCTTTTCTTTATGTACTACACTATGCTCTTTACTCCTCTTTATCTACGAGTGCGCTATACGTACGGACTATGATAGACAGTATTGTATTCGCTACGAACCACAGAAAAAGCAAAAATAAATGGAAAAAGTAAAAACGACTATGTCAACCAACTAATCGCACGTATTTTCTTGGCGGAACACACCATTGTAACTACCTCATATGTCGGAGGGAAGGCAACTGCAGGAGATCTTTTGTCGGTCTCTCTACACGCTGAATGGCTTTCTGGGTGTCTTGATGTATTTAAAATTCAGCTTAGCCTGTCCTCATACCCCTAGGGAGGTCGTGCGGGGGCAAGAGCTTCGCTCCTGCCCTCACAGGACGTTAATTAATACAACAACAGCAATCACTTAGCATGCAATTTGGGGTGACTGAGCTGTGTGAGAGAGAGAGCTTGATTATGTCGCTTTTGTAAAGTCGGCATGGCAACCTTGCATTTACGCCGCTACCCAATGTTCAGCTGAACTATAACAGCTGCGTGGCAACCACTTGTGGTCCGGGATAACCAACCGATGCATACGGAGTACGGACGGAGTATCTGTAGGCCTAATCTCACAGCTGACATTTTGCCTCGGGCAAATGCATATGCAAGATTTTTGTATGGAGTAGATAGTGGAGAATGCCTTGTACTTCACCGCCACGTCGATCTAATGATGGATACTCCATACGGGTGCGGAGCACAAAGGATTTTGTGCGTATGGAAGACTCGTGGTCTAATCAGATAGTGGTCAGCGAAATTGGAAACCTGAAAACTAGTCATTGTAGATGTTGTGCCCCTCCTAAAAGACCGGTTTTTGGAACCTTCCCTCGTTTTTTCCCACTCATTCCTCGATACTTGAACAAAGTCAAGTGAAAATGTCATATCAAGACCAGAAGTTACCACCATTGGCAATCGTTGGACTGTCACTCAAGTTCCCACAAGATGCTGTTTCCCCGGAGTCTTTCTGGGATATGCTGGTGGAGGGCAGATGTGCTTCAACAGACTTTCCCTCGGACCGATTGAATATCGATGCCTATCACAACTCAGACACAAATCGTCTGGATACTTTATCCGCCCGCGGTGGCCATTTCATGACTGAAGACCTTGGTCTCTTCGATGCGCCTTTCTTCTCTATTACGGCCGCAGAGGCGGAAGCCATGGACCCTCAGCAACGCCTAGTGTTGGAGGCAGCCTATCGAGCATTGGAGAATGCTGGTTTAACAATGGAGAAGATCGCAAAATCAAAAACATGTGTTTTTGCTGGCTCAACTGGTCAGGACTATCTGATGTTGAAGGTGAAGGACTGGCAATGTCTTCAGAAATGGGACATTTCAGGAATTACTTCGAACATGATACCCAACCGCGTCAGTTGGTTTTTTGACCTTGTTGGGCCGAGTGCCGCCATTGACACGGCATGTTCAAGTAGTCTGCTGGCTCTTGACATGGCTTGTCAGTCCATTTGGAGTGGAGATTCAAGCATGGTATGCGCAAATTGAAACGAGAAAAAGAGCCGATCGCTAAGTCTGAATAGGGATTGGCTGTTGGAAGTAATATCATTCTATCACTGGACACAACCCTTATGATGGACAACTTGGGCCTCCTTTCCAAAGATAGCCGGTGTCAAAGCTTCGATTCGCGCGGTAATGGATATGGACGCGGTGAAGGTGTCGGCGTTCTTGTCATCAAGCCTCTACAAGATGCATTGCGTGACGGTGATACTATTCGGTCTGTAATCCGAGCCTCCGCCTCGAATCAAGACGGGCGGACACCTGGAATCACGCAGCCAAGTCCTGAGATGCAGGCTCAGTTGATCGAAGAAACATACCGCAAAGCAGGGCTTGATATGGCAGCCACGCGCTATTTTGAGGCGCATGGAACAGGTTAGCCATGATACACATTGGGAATTTAAGCCCATTACTGATCTGATGTAGGAACTGCCGTCGGAGATCCAATTGAAGTCAAAGCAATTGGGTCTGTATTTAGACAGTATCGATCTCCAGATGCTCCTTTGTATATGTGAGTACAAGGTCCAGTTCCCGATGTGTATATTCTAACCCCAGAATAGTGGCTCTGTAAAGTCCAACATCGGACATTTGGAAGGAGGCAGTGGTGTCGCTGGCGTTATAAAAACGGTGCTAGCATTGGAAAGGGGCATAATTCCTCCGAACAGCATGAATTTGCAAAACCTCAACCCAAGAATCGATGATGAGTTCTTTAACATGAAGGTGAAACGTGACATTCCGATCCTCTTCACAGGATTCTGACGAATTAAGTTTCCACAAGCTTCCCTCCCGTGGCCGTCTGAGGGACTTCGACGGGCATCTGTCAGCTCCTTCGGCTATGGAGGCTCTAACACACATATTGTGTTGGATGACGCATTCCACTATCTCAGGCTGAACGGCCTGAGTGGTAATCACAGCACAGATATCCCGCATCGGTCCACTATGTGCAAAGACCACACACCGACAGACGTACAGGATATTGAATCCGCCGAGCCGGGCTGGGTTTCGATTCAGAGACGTCCGGAAAACTCACCCAAGCTGCTCGTTTGGTCTGTTGCTGATGAGAAAGGAGTTTCTCGGCTTCAGAAAGCATGGAAATCTTGGTTGCCTCCGAATGCCAAGTTAGATGATCTGCAGAACGGATTACTAGATCATTTGGCATATACTTTGGCATCCAGACGCACTCTTCTCTCATGGCGGACGTTTGTTGTTTCCAACCCATCGGACAGTTGGGCTACAATTTCAGACAAATTTTCGCTTACTTCCCAGGCTCGCATTTCCCCAAACCTGGTGATGATTTTCTCTGGTGTATGTAGGAATCTCTACCATTCCGAACGAGACGATGCTAATATTACCGCAGCAAGGAGCGCAGTGGTTTGCAATGGGTCGTCAGCTGTTGGATGTCTTCCCAGTGTTTTCGCAGAGTGTAGAACAAGCGGGTGACTATCTTCATTCCTTGGGATGTGACTGGGATCCGATTGGTATGCGATTGACTGAATCATGATATCTGGGTGCTAACATATTCCAGATGAACTGAAGCGTAGCGAATCAACTTCCAATGTGAACAAGACCGAATACAGTCAGATTCTCTGTACTATTTTGCAGGTAGCATTGGTTGATTTGCTTCGCTTCTTGCATATTGTGCCCAAGGCGGTGCTTGGTCATTCGTCTGGAGAGGTCGCAGCGGCGTGAGTTATTAATATCTCTTTGTGATGGCATTGACTGACTTCAACAGCTACTGCGCTCGCGGGATCACTCGAAAATCGGCTTGGAAAGTGTCATTTTATCGAGGCAACATGAGCAAAACGTTGGAGAACACAAGCGAATTCCAGGGCTCCATGCTTGCAGTTGCCCTATCGGAGAAGGACGCAAACTCGTATATTGAGGCTGCCGCGACGCAATTTGATAGTCCTAAGCTGAGTGTTGGATGCATCAACAGCCCGAAGAGTGTGACAGTGACTGGGGAGGCGATCCAGCTCGATGCTCTTAGAGTCCTACTTGATCGTGACAGTGTATTTTGCCGCAGACTGAAAGTTAACCTGGCTTATCATTCCCCTCAAATGAGGGAGATTTCAGCTCTTTATCTTGAAGCTTTGGGAGAACTCGAATCAGATTACTCCGGTCACAATAACTGTCCAGAGATGGTGTCCTCTGTGACTGGCAACTGGATCGAGCGGGGGGAGACTGCCAAGGCTTCTCACTGGGTTAACAACATGATCTCTCCAGTTCGATTTTTGGATGGACTTGCCGTTCTTTGTGCAGGTTCAAGCTCAGACTCTCACAAAAGGTTGGATGGTAGCCATCGCAGGACCAGGTCAATAGATCATATTGTCGAGGTTGGCCCACACTCTGTTCTGCAGGGCGCCTGCAAGGACGTGCTCAAGACCATGCAGGGCAAAAAGCCAATAGAGTACTTGTCGATACTGGTACGCAATATATCAGCCGTGGATACTGCATTCTCTTTGTTTGGGACCCTGTTTGCTGCGGGTTATCCAATCGATTTGATGCGGGTCAATGGCCAGGATTCCGCCAAACCAGGTACTTTCAAGTGCTTGTCCGATCTCCCCGCCTATTCATTCAATCACGATGTGCGTTACTGGCACGAGAGCGACCTCAGCAAGAATCACCGGCTTCAAAAAGTTGGCCGGAATGACTTGCTCGGGGTTCCTGACCCGAGCTGCAATCCCTTCGAGAGAAAATGGCGACACTTTCTGCGAGTGTCCGAAATGCCTTGGATCAAAGATCACCAGGTTAGTAAAGTCACTCAGAGGTTGCCAGTCGCTAATTGGGATAATAAAGATTGAAAATTCGATCCTGTATCCTGGAGCCGGGATGGTGGTGATGGCCATTGAGGCTGCCAAGCAAACTGCGGAGCCAGGTAGAGCTATCGTGGCATTCAATGCACAAGAGGTCAAGTTCCATGCCGCCATGAGAGTCCCTACTGGTTCACACGGGCTTGAGACAAACTTATACCTTCGTTCCGTCAAGGGCATGGAATCCAAATCATCAGCCTGGTCTGAGTTCCGCATTTGCACATATGATAATGCGATATGGACTGAGAACTGTACCGGTATCATCCAAACAGTGTATGCTGCAAGTGACACAGTTCCAGTCGTTGAGCGGCGAAACAGAGAGGAATTGTGGAACAGCCAATTGGAATCCTATGCGTCTGCAGTGGCAGCTTGCACATTGCCAGCTGATGGTTCATCCTTGTATGAACGCTTGCAAAGGTCAGGTTATGGCTATGGAGAAGCCTTCCAGTTGATCAAGAAATTGTCTTTCGGTCTCCAGAAACCTGACGTAGTTGCTGATGTGCAACAATTCTCATCTCGGGCGGGGGAAATTATCCATCCAACCACTTTGGATGCCATCCTGCAAACCTCAATTTGGACATCGGTCGACCCGGAGTCAGACTATATCCCCACTGTCATTCCAACATCTATTGACAGCTTGTGGGTTTCCAGCCAACTTCTTACCAAAGCAACATCAGCTTCTTTGAAAACACATGCCACTCGAAACAAAGAGTCAACATTCCTCGGTGCCTCTTTCGACGTGACCGTGTTTGATGACGAACTCAGAGAGGTTCTCGTGTCAGTCCAAGGATTGGGAACAAGTGTCGTGAGTAAAACAGAAAGCTCACTCCGTGGGCCAGTGGCCACTGAGAATATCTGCCATCACTTTGAATGGGAACCGGAGCCTAGATTGCTTTCTAGCGAAGATCTCATGAATCTGTGCAGACACACCAATGTCTCTGACTTGCCGAACTCGGGGGATGATTCCAAGGACTTGGAGTTCTTCTTCATGTCACGCATTGTTAGAGTTCTTCGCACTGTGTATTTGCAGGGAATCACTCCATCGAAGCCGCATCTCCAAAAGTATGTGAACTGGATGAAGCAACAACAAATGTTGCTTACAGAAGGCCAGCACTGGCTTTCAGAGGACATTTGGAAGTCTCGACTTGCTGATGCAGACTATGTTCGTGAGGTTGAATCTCGTGTGTCGAGCAAAAACAGTCACGGCTCTTTCTATACCATGGTTGCTACCGACTTACTTGGATTCTTGACTGGCTCTGTTGACCCCATGGAGACCCTTTCACCGAGCGGCAGTATGCGAGATTTGTACCATGAAGAGGTCAGTTGTCTCCAGCAAACTCGTTGCCTCGCTAACAGAAATCAGCTCGGCGAATCTCGTTGTATAAAGCATTTCAGCAGGTATCTCGAACTACTGACACATTCGGATCCGAGGATGAAGTTCATCGAGATTGGAGCGGGCTCTGGATCCATGACTGATGTAATGATTCGAATGCTTGGGGGTGCAGACGAAGAAAGCGATCGAAAGTACGCCCAGTGGGATTACACTAGCATCTCCAACTCGGTCTTTGCTAGCGCGCAGGATCGATTCCGCCAGGAGACGAGTAAAATGACCTTCAAAGAGCTCGATATCGAGAAGGATCCCGAAGCCCAGGGCTTCGAATGTGGGACCTACGATGTAGTTGTTGCTGGTCTGGTAAGTTTCCCCTTTTCTTCGTCTTTCGATCCTCCTGTCAAATACTGTGCTAAAATCCCCCTTCAAGGTGCTTCACACTGTTTCGGATCTCAAAACGGCCCTGCGCAATACTCGAAAACTTCTGAAACCGTGAGTCAATGCATCAAATCTCAAATTCCTTTGGTCGTCTTTTTCGGTCTGACAATATGCGCACAGGGAAGGGAAGCTCATGATGTACGAGGTCGTCGGCTCCGGACTCCGTTCGACGTTTTTATATGGCCTTCTTGAAGGTTGGTGGTCAGGTAAGCTGGGTTTTCCCACGAGAATGGCCTCAAAGCTGATTGTGGAAGGTTCGGAATCATCTCGAGCAATGGGAGTTGGACCCTACATCAACAAACAACAATGGAACGAACACCTCATCCAAGCTGGTTTCTCTGGGCTGGATCTGGTTTTCGCAGACTCTGAAGATCCCGTAACCGATGAGTGCGGTATGTTAGTCACAACGGCAATCGAGAATCCATCAACAGATCACCAGGGGATGGACATCGAGATCGTCTACGACCGTGCAGAAGCTGCTCAACGCGACCTGGCAGATCATCTTGTCAACGACTTGAAATCCATATCCATGGGTTCCATTCGCTGTTCCTCTATTCAGGAAGCAGTCGAATTCCACCCCAACGGTCCACTGCTTCGACTTGTTCTTCTAGAAGTCCAAAGCCCTGTTTTGTGCGAAATTGAGCCTGAGCTATTTGGCCAGCTTCAAAATCTACTTTCCTCGACCGAGCACGTCCTGTGGATCAATCAAGGCGGAGGTATATTCCCTTCGCAGCCCCAGTCCCGTCTTGTGGAAGGCATGCTCCGTGTTTTACGGGCGGAAAACATCAAACGAAGACACCACTTGTTGTCTCTTGAGCCCCAGGTCTCTCTCACAAGAAGGCAACACGACCACATAATAAAACTTGTCAGACTCCTTTTGTCACCAGCTGCCCAAAATGCGGATATGGAATACGTTGAGCACGAGGGACTTTTGAATATTCCACGCATACTTTTTTCCAGGACACTGAATAAGGACATCTCCCGCATGGCCAGCTCGCATCAGTCCGCAGTCCAGGATTTCAAGTGCCAGATCCCTCTTATCTTAAATGCCGCATCCCCAGGGTTGCTTAATGGCTTTGAGTTTATTGAGGATGAAAGTGCATACCTTCCTCTTCAGGCCGATGAGATCGAAGTCGAGATCAAGTGTGCTGGTATCAACTTCCGAGATATTCTAATTGCGGTCGGCCAGTTGAAGGCTAGTCACACTGGATGTGAGTGGTCCGGAGTCGTCAGTCGGGTCGGTGACGCCTGCAGCAGATTCCAAGTTGGAGATTCTGTAGTTGGTTTGCTCGAGGGCTGTTTCTCCACCTCGGTTCGTATGCTGGAGAATGGGCCTATTGTCAAGATCCCCGCTGGGATCTCCTTCCCCGATGCTGCAGCAGTGTCGCTCAATTTTGCGACCTCATGGATTGCATTGCACAATGTAGCTCGCATCCAGTCGGGTGAAACTGTCTTGATCCATTCCGCGTCAGGGGGAACCGGACAAGCAGCAATCCAAATTGCAAAGAGCGCTGGTGCAACTGTCTTTGCGACCGTTGGTTCCGAGGGAAAGAAAAGGCTTTTGATGGATGTTTACAACATTCCTGAATCGCACATCTTCTCCAGCCGAACCACTCTGTTTTCGAAGATGATAAAACTCAGAACAGGAGGAAAGGGCGTGGATGTGATTCTCAACTCATTGGCAGGTGAGAGTCTATTTGCCTCATGGAAGTGCATTGCTCCCTATGGCAGATTCCTCGAAATAGGAAAAAGAGACATTATCTCGAACCAAAGACTGCCCATGCTCAAGTTCCTAGACAACGTGACATTCAGTGGCGTCGATCTAGCTGTCATGTCTGTTGAGCGGCCAGAAATATGTACCACTGCCCTTAAATCAATCTTCGACTTGATTCAACAGGGCAAACTTCATCCCTCTCAGCCGATCAGTGTATACGGTGTCGGGGAAATGGAGAAGGCATTCCGTATCATGCAGACCGGTCAACATGTTGGAAAAATGGTGCTAGAGATGCGTGCACATGATCAAGTAAAGGTAGCTTTCCTCCTTTTCTCCTCATTTCCATTGGTTGCTAACCCGATGATAGACTGTCTTAAAGACTAGGCCCACCTTCTCTCTGGACTCGCATGCAACATTTGTTGTATCCGGTGGCCTGGGTGGTATTGGGCGAAATATGATATGCTGGCTGGCAGATCGGGGAGCTCGCCATTTGCTTCTCTTATCACGGTCAGGGGGAAAGACAGGAAAGGCCCGAGATATCATCCAATCCCTTGAAGAGAGAGGCGTCAATGTCTTGGCTCCGATGTGTGATGTCTCAAACAGGGTATCGGTGGAGGATGCGTTGCGTGAATGTCGATCCTGTATGCCTCCAATCAAAGGATGCATCCAGGCAGCCATGGTCTTGAGGGATGGTGTCTTCGAGGGTATCTCCCATCAATCTTGGCAGGAATCCATCCGTCCTAAGGTTCAAGGATCCTTGAACTTGCACGAGCTTTTGCCTCGGGGTATGGATTTCTTCATCATGCTTTCTTCTGTTGCAGGTATCCTTGGGACCATTGGACAGACCAGTTATGCGGCTGGTAATACCTTCCAAGATGCACTCGCTCGGCATCGTGTTAGACTTGGAGAGAAAGCAACCTCTTTGAACCTAGGAGTGATAGATTTCGCCGGTGCTATCGTGGAGGATGCCCGACTTCATGACCTCTGGATTAATCACAGTGAGCTTCCCCCCGTCACGGAGGCACACGTCCACGGTCTGCTATCCACTTACTGTGATCCTCGTGTTTGTTCTGCCACCTCCCTGGAATGTCAAATTGTGGCTGGGTTGTCATCGGAGGCAGTTTCTGGTAACGATCAATGGAGAATTGAACCCATTGTTCAACATCTGGTTGTGAACAAGAATCCCGGTGGTGATCAAAACACGCAATCTAGCAGCAAGGGTGCAAGCTCATTGCTGCAAGCCAAGTCATTGGCAGAAGCCAACACGGTTGTCACGGAACTCTTTGCCCATGCACTTTCTGCTGCTCTGGGTATTGCGCCCGGGGATATCGATTCCAACAAGCCGTTGCACCAATACGGAGTTGACTCGCTCGTTGCGGTCGAGTTGCGTGGGTGGTTTTCCAAGGAAATACAGGCGGACCTGGGGGTCTTTGAGATCATCGGTGGAGCAACGATGACCTCTGTAGCACAGCTCGCTGTGAGAAAGAGCAAAATTGTGAAGGTCGCGGGGAACTAAGTTGTGAGTATGTCTTGGGTTCCGTTATACATAGCAGGTTCAACTTTTCGACATGTCAAGCAAACGTCAAGTTCATTTCATTTGAATCACTCAAAATATACGGGTATTCATCCACTTTATATACGTAAATATTTAGATTCTATCTCAGAGTGAGAACCCCAGAAAGCCAAACACCATAATAAATCCCATAATGCAATCCTATGAGTTGGGTCTTATAACTTGGGCTTCTCTGTGAATCTGGGAGCCTCCAAGGGATCGTACGCTGCAACACCAAGTGTATCGGAGGGCACAATGCCGTTGTGCCCGCCTAGCAAACCACGCGTGTCAATGAGACTAGGGTTGAGATCCTCGACGCGAGCGGCACCAATCAACCGCATGTTCATTTCCATCTCATCCTTGAGAAGCTGCATCGCGCGATCAACGCCATCGAGGCCGTACGCAGACATGGCATAGAGGAATGGACGTCCAATACCAATACCGGTTGCGCCCAGGCAAAGCGCCTTGATGATATCGGTTGCGCGGCGGACTCCACCATCAACGTAGACTTCAATGCGCTTTTCCCAACCACGCTCGCGGAGCGCCGGCATCACCTCAGCGAGGACCTCGATACCCGACCGAGCGGTCTCAAGCTGTCGACCTCCGTGATTGGAGAGGACGACTCCATCGCAGCCTGCTTCGACGGCGCGTAGCACGTCCTCGACGCACTGAACACCCTTGAGGACGATGGGCATCTTGGTGATTGACTTGAACCATGGGATGTCTTTCCAGGAAAGAGCGGGATCAATGAAGGAAGAAATAGCCCGAGCAGCACCCTGGGAACGATCGATGTCGCTGCCACCTGATTGCACATTTGATCCGGGGTCGGAGAACTTCGAGCGCATATCCTTCTCGCGACGACCAAGTTGAGGCGCATCGACGGTAATGAATAGACCCTTGCAGCCACGCTTTTCAGCGTGCTCTACAATTTTGCGTGTAATATCACGGTCTTTGTTGACGTAAAGTTGGAGCCATTGGACTTGATCGCCTTGTTTAGCGTCGACGATCTCATCAAATGAGCACGATGCTAGAGTAGGAATCATCTGCACGACGTCGTGCTGATGCGCGGCTTTTGTGAGAACTACTTCACCTTCGGGGTGGCCGAGCTTGCCGAGCGCAGTAGCTGTCACGTAGAAGGGGATTGAGCACTTTGTGCCTAGCATCGTTGTGCTCATATCGATGTTTTCCACGTCGACGAGAATTCGAGGCCGGAACCAGATCTTGTGGAAAGCTGCGTGGTTCTCACGCAAAGTCTGCTGGGTATTAGTCGCTGGGATTGAATCAGACGAGTGTTGTCATCGATGTCACTCACGATCTCATCATCTGCTCCACTTGAGTAGTATGCCCAGGCGGTCTTTTTCATCACTTGACGAGCCACCGCTTCGAAGTCCAATAAATTGTAACAAGCTGCGAGGGAGGGCATGCGGGAGACACGCTCTAACCGGTCGGCCTCCTCCGGGTCGAAGGCCTTTTCTTCTTGCTCGACAGTGCTCATGTCGACCGCACCGAGATGCTTTGACGGGTCGAGGAACTTGTCCAGGGTATCAGGTGGGTGGATAGGCTCGAATTCTTCGGTCGCATCTTTGCCAGCGTACTTGAGAATAATCTTCTGACCGCCAGGGTGTTCTGTGATGGTCAGACGAATTGCTTTTGCTTGCGGAGAATGAACCCACCTACCTGGGAGGAACTCAGTTACATCATAGGCCTTGCCGTGCACAATGACCCAGCATGAGTCTTTGGAATTGTGCTCGGCGACCTTCGCGCCTGTAAGCTTATCGTCACTCATTTTAGGGGATTGGTAGGATTTCAGGACGTGTAAAGGAAGGAAAGAGGAAGAGCAAGAAAGTTCACTAAAAAAGAGCTCGTGGTTGGGACCTCGGGCTAATAGAGTCCGGGGATAAGAAAATTGCGGGGAGCTTCTCGGCCGACTACTCTAATGTTCCCTAGGTCCGTGGATTTCGATGAAAGGTACGGATATGCTGTGTGGCAACTGTCTGCGGTATCTAGGAAGATCAATGCTAGAGCCAAGTGTAGTTGTATCTGCCGTGATGAACAGAAGCCGATGCCTCGGTTTGGGCATTTGGCCAGTAGCAACGGGCGCATTAGACATGGACCATACTGCCACGCTCTACCGTGACCAGATGCGGATTAGATTATCACATGATCAGGTGGATATTTTTCGTGATACTGTCACGTGTTCTCATGATGCATGAGAAAGGCGGTCAGAGGTCTCGCGTCTCGGTGAAGCTTCAGTCTCATGCAACGGCTTTCGACCCTACTACATTGTACTCAATTAGGTTTGAGTAAATCTTCAAGAGTACAACTGCGCTTTTTAGGTTGATATAAACCTTCATGCAAACTTCTAAACGTTCTATATTAGAAGATTTAGCCTCCCAACTTGGAATGTTAAACTTTTAGAAGCTACTACTACTGCAAATATATACATTGAACCCGGAGAATCTCCAGGGCTTTAGGTTGAAATTTCAAACCCTGAGACTTTAGAAGTTAAGCATTTTGATGTTTACTTAAGTAAGGGCTCTCAAATTCTTGAAATCTCATAATATAAAACTCTTCAAGTTGAAAACCAGCGGGATTGTCACAAAGCTCGAGTAGGAATTGCCTCTCTGGGCAACGAGCACCAATTTTAGATTTGGCGTTTGCATATGCCACCCTGCAAGGGCAAAAACTCTCCATACATAGGTATCTTAGCCTTCCATTTGGGCATGAGCTAGGGATATACTCGGGTAAAAATCTGGTGGTTTCGAGATCCGTTTCTGATCTCTGTATTGAAGGCCGGAGAACACCGAGATTACCGATGGGGTTTAATGGCATGCAGGTGGAATGCTTCAAATTTCACCCACGAGAACGAGTAGTACCTCCAAAGTAAGGCCAATGGTAAGTAAGGCATGTACCACTACATTGTGTGTAGGTAGTGACACCAGAGTGCCTGTACGAGTACATTGAATACTCGATCTCCGCTTGGCAGGCGTTAACTGCTGGAGTCTATTTTTGTGTCCTGCGTTCAGAAGAATCTGGAACAATGCCAAAAATGATCAGCATGTCATATCGGGAACAGAAGGAAGTACTGTTGGCAGCGATCTACATTCTTGATACTTGCACACAAGGCTGATGGTAGGAATGTTGTTGTGAAGGGACATTCCAGAAAAAAATCACTGAAGGCCTCAGGCAGAATGGTCACATGGAACTACGTCATTTCCCCGAAAGCACGCCCCCAGATGCCCCAGGTGGAGGTGCACGAGCTCTACTCGTAGAGTCTCTCGGTGATAACGTCCCACCAGAACCGTGGTTATATGCTTCTAAAGTTGTATGCTCATCACTTGCATGCAGACCCAATATAGCTGTGGGACTACAATATATGCTTGTACAAATTCGGCTTGAGCAACGATCCTACCACGATTCGGTTTTAGCTGACGGACGCCACTGTCGATCCCGTATAAGCTTTGCCCCAAACCAGGTTTTGAAAGCCGATAGTCCGAGTACGAGTAAAGAAAAACATGGGAGATGGCAGGCCACGTTGGCCACTTTCAAGGAGAAATAACAATCGGCATCGATCTGATCACAATCACCAGGCATGTTTATGCATCTTTCATAGCCCCTACGCGACTCCCTGGCGTTGCCGGTGTTTCCGAACTCCACCCGTCCACACCTCCGCCATTTCTCCATGGCACAATCCCCCCCTTTTGTCCCTCGTGGCTGCCACTGACGTTGTGTGGGATTGTACGGAGTAGCGGGGAAAGAACGGGGACGCACTTGCTCAGACATACTCTTTGAAGCTGAACCTGGTGACTTGTGACCATTCCATAATTGATCGCTTGGAGAAAATGCTCGAAACAGAACTGCGCTTCGGATTGCCACCACAATCCAAGATTTTTGTAATTCATACATGGCTCTTCTATGGGTGGCCTATGTGAGAGAATCCCACGATATACACGGAAATATTAACCATGGACGAATTACTCGTACGAGTATACACACGGGTAGCTCGGATTCTAGATCACCACCGAGAGCCACGGGCATCTGATATGACGTCCGGGTATTCCCAAGGCAGCGAAGTTAACGCAGGCCTAACCATGCAGTGTGACATCGATTTTCTCATCCAACTGCGCCCAACTGACCCCTCAGTCGGGCGAGATCAGTCGGACAAGCTCCGTCGAGGGAAGATGGGGCCAGATAATCTGATGGACCTACGGAACCAGGAAGGTGTGCATTAGCCGAAGTTGATCCATCGCCTTTCGCAGAATCCCGGTCCGTCGGGGGTCGCTTTACGAGTACTCGTACTCAGATGGACGTGCGTCGCCAATATCTACGAGTAGCCATGACGATTGGTGCTCGCAAATGGTAAAGGATTCTTCCAATCTGGCCAAGGGCGCCTACGGGGACGGTCCGACGGTTGAACACTCAGTGTAGGCATTTTATTTTCAATATTTTATTTTGTAGGAATTTGTTTCGCCCGTTCATGTCCACTTGGCGTTCGAGAAAACTTCGACTGCGTCGGGAAGTGGTTCAACGACATCATTGCGGAGACGCGTCGCTTTTCCGCCTAATCTTTGTCTTTGTTCAATCGTTCAAATTTTTTTTCTCGCATCTCTTTGAGACAAGACGTGGGTCAGTAGTTGGAGAGAGACCAATCTTGCTCAATTTCACCCAATTTGATACAAATTCTATGTGTCATGTCATTCGTCGGTTTCATTGAATAATTAAAAGAAGCAACGGTCAAGAAAATTTAAAGGCTCTGGGCGGTCTCTTGGCTCTTGGCCATGCAGGAATCCCTATATTGGGTATCCAGAGTCGCACAGGCAATAAAGTTTCCCATAATGTTTTGTTCAGCCTTGTTGCAGCGACTGTTTTCAGTGCCGCAGGGGCACGGGCGCACTTCTCCAGGACAATCTATCGCCCCCGGAAACGAGGGGACGCGGAGTGCACTATTGAAATCTAAACGAACCGAAACAAAAAAAAAAAGCAAAAAATAAACGAAAACAAAAAGCATACAAGCAGATTTCCCATACTCTTCCCACGAGAGACAAATTGTATTTCTCTTGACTAATATTGAGATCGCAATATTCAATAAGCCCGAGCAAGGGAGACTGTTATGCACATTCCCGAGAAGGCAGTCGCTCCGAAGATCGAGATCCACCGATCCCCCCCTTAGCAGCGCGCCAAAGGGCACTAGGCTACACACGGCGGCCTTCTCACGCCGAATACTCGGGAAGCCGTCAGCCATCCCGACTCGATTTTCGCCGAGCTCGACGGCAGTGGCTTGGCGCGAGGATCCCGAACCGTTGCATGCGATTCGAGATCCCGGTGTATAATCGTGCTGGTTATGGTAAGACTCTAGCCCTAATACGCAGGGCTCGTACCGTGTGCGTTGCGCAATTTCGCTGATCGCGTACTCGTACGAGTAGGAGTAGAATTATGCTGCACTAGCCAGCAATTATTATTATTATTATTATTTCGGCTGGCCTTCCTGAATGAAAATTACTTACTGTATGTTCCTTTCAGCAAGGTCGATACCGCGGGATGGGGTTCGGCACTCATCGCCCTTGCTGGGATTTCTTATTTCGGAATATTCATACCGATCCCCCCCAGAGTCCGGAGTACTCCGTACTCGTACTTATATTCGGTCTGCTAGGTATGTATGCACAATGCACCTTGTATCCCACTCGTAAATAGGTGAAACTCGGAATCAACGCGAGGTATTTTGTTTGGGTCAATAATATAACGAGGACACTTTAGCCCATGGACAGCCGCACTACTCGCCAATCATGATGATTAGCAGACTGTTATGACGACCACAAATTTTCGTCGGATCCATTTAGTGTAGGATCTGATGTCATCAGGGACGCAAACTACCGCAGCACTAAGGTGGAACTATGAAGTGGAGACTAAGCACTGGGCGGCTTTCTCCAAAAATGCTTAAAACGCCATTCATTGATGCATCCGTCGCTCGCTCTCACTACACGATCCCTTCATTGGCTCTGCGCTTACTATAGTGGGGGTTCCGAATCGGGCGACGTCGGCTTTGAGATTGTTTTTTTCTTTTCTTTTTTCTCTTTTTGCTGTCCCGTGCGAAAGAGAGACACGGGGAATAATTATCAAAAATCATTTTTTTGCCCCACGATGCATCTCCTTGCCATTTTCGTCGCGGTTGGAGAAAGTATTCAAATATCTCCCTAAATCCCCCCGGGGTGCAAGATTCCTTCTTTCTCCGCTTTGTCTGACTCTATACCTCTTCAGCCATTCCACTACATTCCCACGTGTAGTACACTGGGCCGAGTCCTTGATATTGGACTTACTGTATAGGCGTATATACTTCCACACACATTCAACCATGGCGCCATCATTCATTGGCATGTCCGGCAGGCCCCTGGGCTTGACCGTGTCGACCATCGCAACCATGGGTTTCTTGCTCTTCGGTTATGATCGTGAGTTCTATACCTGATAATCCAATGCAGACTTTGCAACTAACAGTCACCAAAGAGGGTGTCATGTCTGGTATCATTGATTCCAAGCCCTTTGCCGATATTCTTCCCATCACCGACGGAAACTCCACCATGCAGGCCCTGGTGACAGCCGTCTATGAATTGGGCTGTCTCGCAGGTGCCATGTACGCGTTGTTCGCCGGTGACAAGATGGGCCGTCGTCTTATGATCATCTGGGGAGCCATCGTCATGATTATCGGTGTCGTTATTCAGGTTGCCGCCGTCAAAGGTCACGGTGCTACCGCTCAATTCTTCGTTGGCCGTATCGTCACTGGTATTGGAAACGGAATGAACACTTCAACCATCCCTACCTACCAGGCCGAGTGTTCGCGCTCTTCCAACCGTGGACTGCTCATCTGTATCGAAGGTGGTATCATTGCTATCGGTACTATGATTGCCTACTGGATTGACTTCGGTGCCTCTTACGGTCCTGATGACCTGGCCTGGCGATTCCCCATCGCTTTCCAGGTCGTCTTCGGTGTCGTGATTGTCATTGGAATGTACTACTTGCCTGACTCTCCTCGCTACCTCATCGCCCAGGGTAAGGTCCACGAGGGCGAGTATGTCCTGGCTGCTCTCGGTGGCTACGAAATCGACTCCCATGAGACTCAGATGCAGAAGCAGCTCGTTATCGAGTCCATCGAGGCTGCCGGTGTTGCCGATGGCGCTGGATACTCCGACCTTCTCACCGGCGGAAAGACCCAGCACCTCCGCCGCATGCTTATCGGATCTTCCTCTCAGATCGCCCAGCAGCTGTCCGGTTGCAACGCTGTCATCTACTATCTTCCCGTTCTTCTCAAGCAGTCTCTCGGTCAAGACCACTTCATGTCCATGATCATCGGTGGTGTTAACATGATCGTGTACGCCATCTTCGCCACATTCTCCTGGTTCTTCATCGAGAAGATTGGTCGTCGCAAGCTCTTTATCGGTGGTATGACCGGTCAGATGGTTTCCATGATCATCGTGTTCGGCTGTCTGATCCCCGGCACTCCCGGACCTTCCAAGGGTGCCGTCTTCGGTCTCTTCCTCTACATGTCCTTCTTCGGTGCTTCCATCCTGCCTCTTCCCTGGTTGTACCCGGCTGAGATTTCACCTCTTCGCACTCGTGCCAAGGCCAACGCTGTCTCCACTTGCTCTAACTGGCTGTTCAACTTCACTGTTGTCATGATCACTCCTGTCATGATTGCTAGCATCAACTGGCGCACCTACCTGTTCTTCGCTATCATGAACGCCGTCTTCATCCCTCCCATGATTCTCTTCTACCCTGAGACTGCTGGTCGCTCTCTTGAGGAGATCGATCTCATCTTCGCCAAGGGTTACTGCGAGAACATGAGCTACGTGAAGGCTGCCTATGAGTTGCCTAAGCTCACTGATGAAGAGATCGAGGCCAAGGCCGCCGAGTATGGCTTTGAGACCAGCCGTCGCCACGGCGACGTTGAGGGTGCTGGCGCCGAGAAGGGATCCCCTCGCAGCACTTCCAGCGATGGCAAGGAGAACCACGAGGACATTGAAAACTCTCGCTAGACCCTTATTGGGCCTCGTTGAGCGATTGGAGACGGTCAAGTCTCCAACGTGACAGCGCTGTGCGTTGCCATTTCTGCATGTTATGGTCGTGCCGTTTTCCCATTCCCACTGGAAGGGTGAACGCCGGTTTCACGCCTCTTTTTCAATTTTTCTTTTTCTTATTATCATTTTTCCTATCTTGATACTATATATACCCATTGTTTCTGGCCAGAGGGATTGCCCTCTCAAGCGGCCGGCTTTTGCTTCCTGCACCTTGCTCCTTTTTGGGCTTGAAAAGTGCATTACATTGTTATTGATGATTTCATGTCTTGGTTATGACCTTTGGCAATTTGGTCGGGCATGGGAATGATTCATGCATTGTCGCATGCGCTTTGTATGAAAACAGCGATTTCAAATCAACTATTCCTCACCGATCTTGTTCTCGTAAAGTGTCAAACAGTTGTAGTCTGTCATTAGTCCCTGCATATGTCAGTTTAACGTTTATGGCCGAGTTTAATAGTGACTAATGTATAGCTGCGCCTTGCATGAGGCTGATATTGAGCAAGGGCCCCCCCCCCCCCAGCCCTAGCGGGTCTACAGGTGACACCTTGATCCAAACACGGCAAATCCGTAGATCTGGGGCGAGAAATGTTTTCAAAACAAAATTCTGTTTAAAGCCAAAAATCAAAACAAACCTCTCGGTATTTTATGATGCTTACGCAGATGCGTATACCTATTTCTTCTCAACCCACCTGGTATAATTTGGCTGGTTAATGGTCTGTGAGCGCTGCATGAATGCCTGAAAACGCAGGCTTTTTTAATATCTCCACTGCAAAACATATCGATTGCAGCCTACTCGTATCCGATTTTGATACAAAGAAAGACTTCAAGTCTTTTCTATGAGCATTGTTCAGGTGACCGTAGAGCACCGGCTGATCCCGCCCCGTCCGTCTACGGGCCTCCTTCACATATCTCTCTTAAACAGTTTCTCTGCGCTGTTCCCACATTCTTATTCATACCATGCGAATGAACATTGATCTGATCTTGAACCGTGTGTCATGAGTTCATCCCTGGAAGCGAAGATTGTTGTACTGGGCGCGCAGGGTATGTTTCTTTCACTCCCTCGGCTTTGGGGGTCTCATGTGGCAATACACACGTTGAAATTTTGTGCATGGAATACTGTCCATGGCTCTGATATATGATCTACGACTGACCTTGAACCTATCCGAATTAGGGGTGGGTAAAACTGCGTTGGTAGAACGCTTTCTCCGCAACACCTTCAACCCCGCAACTGCCTCAACCATCGGCGCGTCCTTCGTCACCAAGCGCGTTCTCGATTCCACCTCGGACACCGTCGTCAGACTCCAAATATGGGACACAGCTGGCCAGGAGCGCTTTCGCAGTATTTCCAGATTATATTACCGGTCTGCCAGCGCGTGTCTCTTGTGCTATGATGTCAGCCATCCCCACTTCTCGGCCAAGAAATTCACTCGACTAACCCGCAACAAAAAAGATCACCGATGAATCGAGCTTTGAAGAAATGGCCGGCTGGCTTCGCGAACTTCGCAAAAACACCACAAACGAGGACGGTACCGACTCCCTCGTCATTCATGTCGTAGGCACCAAGTCCGATCTCGTCGCCGAGGATCCCTCCCGTCGCCGCGTCCCCTTCGAACGCACTATCGCATACGTCGCGGAACAACTATACCCTACTCAAGCATCGACTCCTCCACCGACAGCGACAGCTATGGGCGGGCTAGGATTTGGGTCTGGTGTCTTTGGCGGGAGTGGAGGGAGCGCATCGAATGCCAGTGCCAGCGTCGCAGCGCTTCAGAGTCCCGATTCGAAACGAAGCTCTGCGTTCTGGGGCCAGGAGATCGGGTGGGACTGCTGTCATGAGATCAGTGCGCGGGATGGTGAGGGTATCGATGAAGTTTTCCGTGTTATCACGCGGAAGCTGGTTGAGCAGCGCAACCGGCGAGATAATGAACTTACGTTCTCGGCTGCGGCGACACCCAGTGTGAATGGGACGATTGGTCCGTTTAGTCCTGGGTTTGTGGAGGGGACGGGGAGTTTCCGACTTGGGCATGGTGATAAGAGAAGGAGCTGGTTGGGGATTGCAACACCTAGTGTTGGTAATGCGGAGGAAGTGCAGGTTATGCATACGGCAAAGAATAAGGGGCGTTGTTGCTGATTTTTGCATTTCAGGCGTGCTTTATCATAGCGTTTGGGTTTATTGTGTTGATTATCTTGTCTGACGGCTTCAATGTTTCAATGTTTCGATCTATTCTATACATCTCATCACCTCTCACGTTGACCAATGGGCTTACTTCTAGAGCTGGACTTATTGTTGTAATTGTACATTGCATACTTCGTACAACTGTACTTAACGTCCGAGCACGAGTGGGTACAGGTGGAGCCTGAAGATCAAGCCCACTGATATTCCATTGGATCTATTTTCAATGTCTACATTGTATTGAACATTCAAGAGGGGTTGAGTAGTACCTAGGGACTCGTATATAGGGTATTTTAGTCTCAGCCTCGACCCCCTCATCTCGCTTATCTCGGGGAATATTGTATACCATTGGCCCGCTTCGTGTGCTATCATAATTCAGGCTGTGTTCCCCCGGGGCCCAGCATCTTTGCCTAGAGTAAGCTGCATCGCCTCTGGCCATTTACTCTCTTCCCCTCTCGAAGCTTTTCTGCTTGTTATGCGCATATCCGTGCATCTCCATGCGATAATCTACTCCTTGATAAAATAGTACAAGACCTTCCGCTGCAGCTCAGGATGTCGGGGGCGGAGGTAATCGCAGTGGTAGCCTGTGTAGCAGCTGGTAATGACAATTCTATCTCGTCTGTTACTCATCCACTGACTGTTAACAGTTGTCTCCGCCTACAATGACGGGAGCCGAATTCTCACAGCAATCCGAAATAAATGGCACGATCGCCGTCGGCAGACAGACCACTCCACTAGGGATTTGGAGTGGTCGCTCGCTCGCGGCCACCACGAGATTCTCTCGCAATACAAAGAATACCACCAGGAGATTGGTCGACGGTACGAGGAGGGAGACTCGCTCGCGCGTGAACAGATGAAAGATATCATCATCACACTGCAAGGAGCCCTGCTGAGACATCTCCGGGAAGCACAGGAGAAGGGCGTCAATTTGGACCTCATGGCCTTGCAAATAGAGTCAGACCAAGGTCGTGTGAGAACGCTGGTAGTGCTGGGGGATCTCTTTCAGCGGCTGGCACGTTCTTCCGCGATGCTTCCCTCCATTTCAATGTCTATTGATCCGACCTACCAGAAAGGTGAGCCATACGGTCGCGGATATCGTAGTCCACCAGATGGTTTGCTAGACACGAGGTATCCTTCGAGTGGGCTTTATGGTTCATCGGGCGGGGTGATCGGGAGCATCTGCACGTCGCCCATCGAGTCTCTTGCGTCGACAAGGGATTTCGAGATGTCGAGTCCAGTATCCAGCTCACCTCGCAGGAGATCATCGGGCATTGGATCGGTCGTCAGCAGTGTGAGCGATATGTTCCATTCCCGCCCGGGTCGTGGAAGCACATCATCTGTACCTTCGTCCATACCAGAGTCCGGTTTTATATCCGGCCCAATGCAAACAGCATCACCGACAGATCCCATCCCAGAGTTTGGTCTTCGCCCAGCAACGCCGCCACACAAAAGATCAACCTGGGCCCCGGACCTCATACCTCACGATGAGATATGGGGTAACCCGTGGCAGCATGAGCTGAACACAGACTCTGACGATGATCTTAGCAAGCATTTCCAACAAACTCACCTCTCACCCGTGTCGGCCCCGATCGTGCGCCGGCATTCCCTTCCTCCACCTTCCATCGCATCAACCGATTCCACGCCATCAAACCCGTCAACATATAGCGACACAACGCGAGCAGCCCGCCTGCTCTGGCCACCCTCCAAGGCAAATAACTACCTCGGATTCTGCAAAGGTGCCTGGAAAGTCCACAGTGGATTTGCAGGCTTCAAGATCCACTCTGAGCCTGGTTCAGGCTATTACACACAGCGGTCGTGGTTGCGTTGTAAAGAATGTGCCTTCGAAGCACCCATGACCAAGTCCTCCAGTAGCAACCCTCACTTCGACGAGACAATCCGAACGCACCAAGCGACCGGTGTGCGCTATCGATCCGAATTCTTGGCCAAATCGCACGTTCCCTGTAAACGCGACTCGACCTCTGTGTTTTCCCCACTGATCCCGCGCGGTGCTTTCTGCTGTGTCTTTTGCTGTGCTCATCAGGGTTCTACCCAGGTTTATGGAAATCTTGATACTTTCTTGACGCATCTCGCGGACAGCCATTGTGCCGTGGACCGAGAGACCCTGGCGATCTTGCCGAGTACACGATGTGTAGTTGGACGGATGGCCGGGGATTCGGAGTATTTTGATGTCAATATACCGCCACGATGAAGTGGAAGCGCAAGCCCTGGGCCCGACGACGTTTGTAACACCCTGGGTTCAACGTGCGTCATTCGCACCATTTAACGAATGCACCATTTGGAGGAGAGCTCAGGATACGGAAAGTGACAGTCGGATAAATATCAGGATATAAGCTCTTGACATTTTGGTGTTTCCTTTTTTTCTTTTTTTCCCTCCTTATTTTTTGGCACCCGTCGTTATAGGTGTGATGCCCAATATGATCCGGCACTGCCTCCGTAGGAAGAGACCAGATGGATGGACTTGTGACATGAGCGGGTGTGGCGGGCCCCCTGCATGAGACGCAATGTAAAGCATTGAGTCAAGATCCCTTGCGCATCGAGGGGTCTCAAGAATATAACGGGTCAGAGATGAAGCTGATAGGGGGTTGGGTGTCGATCATTGTTAGTGTGGACGGGGCAGCCGTGGATCAGTTAGAGATTGAGGGTCCATCCGTAATCTCAGGGGAAATGGGAAAATGGGGGCTAGAGTCGTCAGCAATATACAATTAATATGGGAGAAGTAATTAAGCGATATTAGAGTGGCCATGCAGATGCTAAGACGACAACGGCTTAGAAAAAGAGACGAAAGTCACTGCCCATACTAAATTAGCTGGGAAGGTACTGTAGAAGTCCCGAAGTGTCCAATCAGTGATCGGCACCTAATCACAGATGAAGGAAGGCACGCTAATCCCGAATTTGGCAAGTGCCGGTCCCTTTTTTTTTTCTTTTTTTCTTTTTTTGTTCGACTCCTTCGACTTTGGACACTTGGACTCTTGAAAATTGACATCTGAACCCTTTTTTGCCTTTGGCACTTCCTTGTCAATTCTCTCTGAACTTCGTCAGAATTCAATTGCTCCCATCCCTTGACTCGGGGACTTTCGTCATCGCGCAACGCGCTACCATAATCTTGTCTCTCCACATGGGTGCTTAGTACAGATTGCGCGGTTTTTAGACTCTGGCCTCTTCTCATCTCGGAATTATTTGACCATTCCACCCCCCCTATCAAATTTGACTTGCCTCTTCTCCAGCTCCGGCAATCACGTTATGCCATGAGGCTCTCAATCCGAATCGGTGCTGCGGCAGCACTTATCGTCATTACAGTCCTCCTCTTCAATCGCAGTCTCAGGACCGAAGGGGAACACCTCAAGGATCTCCTCCATTTCGACACCGGCTCATTCCGAACATCCCTAAAGCCCAAACCGGAGGATGACTCGAGCGCTCACCGGAAATGGCGGGTCGCATCGGATAATAAACCCGCCTTGGTTTACCAAACCACCGACATTCAGGTACCCAACCAGGGTGCCATTGTGATGGGCAAGCTGAAGGAGGAAGACACCTCTTGGGTCTCGGGAGAATTGGCCGAGTAAGTCATGGCGATTGAGTATAGCGAGCCAGGATAGCACTAACGAAGTTTAGATGGCATGGAATTATTTACACCGTCGATGATACCAACGTCCCTATGCACACCCCAAAGAACAAAGGCCGCGAGGCTCTTCCTTACCTCCAATTCCTGGTCGACCATTACGACGATCTCCCCGAAGTCGTCGTTTTCCTCCACGCCCACCGTGACGGCTGGCCCGCCGGCTGGCACATCGATACAATGGATCTCAGCAACGTGGACTCCGTGCGTGCCTTGCAAAAGGACTTTGTTCAGCTGGAGGGCTTCGTCAGTTTGCGCTGTCAGCTTAGTCCCGGCTGCCCCGATGCGATCCAGCCCTTCCGCCAGCCCCCGAAGCTGGAAAACCCCGGCGAGGCGCACTACGCGGCAGCCTGGAAGGCCTTATTCCCCAACGAGAGAGTCCCCGCTGAGATTGCCGCCCCTTGCTGTTCGCAGTTCGCCGTTTCCAAGGAGCAGATCCTTAAGCGTCCCCACTCGGACTACAAGCGTATGTACGACTGGGTGATGAACAATGACCTCCCTGATGAAGTCACCTCCAACATCATGGAATATTCTTGGCATATCATCTTCGGCAAGAACCCTGTCTTGTAAGTCATGGGTCTTTTCTCTCTCTCTTATCTCGTTTACTAACTTTCGCAGCTGCCCTGATATGTACCAATGCTATGCAGACGTCTACGGCGAAGAAGTCGTTTTCAATTAATGATCGCAGTATCCCGCTATACCCACAGTGTATCGCTTGTGTCTCATTTCAAAATTTATTCTACTCGGTTCTTCTACGGCTTCACCCTGCCTGAAAGGAGGATTCTGACCGCAAGAGCCAATGCCTGACGACTCGCTTCGATGTCCATTTTTTTCTCTTCTTCTGTCGGCCGCACAGTCGAGATGCCTTGTGTCCCCGGCTCTGTACATTTTATCAGACCTCCCTATTTTCATCTCTGTACTGCATGATAATTGAAGCGTAGCTATTTTGTTTCCACCATCTCCCGACTAATATCGTCCCATCTGTACATCCCTCCACTGCCAACATTGTAATGATAATAATTGTTCGTCCCCGCAGGCACTACAGCCCGCCGGAAGGTAATATTGATGCGTCCTGCAGTATTGCCCTTCCGCTTGGGGATACTATGTAACCAATTGGACTGCGTCTCCCCCCGCATAATTACCATATCGCCCGAGCCAAGACTCATTTTGATCTGACGCCCCACAGCCGCCGTAGCGCCCGGTTTGGCATCGGCAGACCCAGTCACGGGTGCAGGCTTATGTTTCATCAAAAAGTCCCGCTCACCACCCAATGACAGTGAAGCAATATTTGGCCGTGACCCCAGAAACCTTTCGTCGTCGGAATGGAATGATATACTATCGTCCCCTCCGGCGTAGTAATTCACAAGGCAGAAATTATACCCTTTCTCGACCCCCGCATGCGCTTCGACTTGCTTGCGCAATATCTCTAGGCATGCTGGGATCGGACGCGGCGTGCATTGGTACTTCGTTGGCGGGACGGGGGATCCCGTCCGGACATCTACTGCTCTTCCATTTTCGAAGATGGAGGTTTCGTCGATACCGAAGACCGTCGTCCAGCGTGGTGTATTGATCTCTGTTGAGACGTTGCCACGGCGTGCGGTGTAGCGCACCCGGTAGAAGGGGAGTTCGCGACGTAGGAACTTGAAGAATTCGTTTGCTGTTGCGCGCGGAATATAAGGTTGGAAATGGACAAGGTCGAGGTGCGGTTGGTTATTTATTCCTTGGCCTTGTTTGAATGGCGTTCCATGCTCGAGGCTTACTTCGATATGCTCGGGGAGTTGTGGGATTGGGATTGGATAGCTGGGATGTTGGCTCGGTGGTTTTGCATCTGCATTAGCGTCGGTTGGTTCGGTTTCGGTCTCGATTTTGGGTCGTTTCGGAGTCGATGGCTTGAAAAACGAGTCCAAGGTCCGTTTCGACATGTTTTGCTCCGTGGTGAAGTGAGAAATTGCTAATTTTGCGCGAGACGCGACTTGGACATTTATGATGTCATTCCGATCTATATTTCCCGATCTGTAATATTCAACTGGTTTGATTCGCGATTTCACTGAGACTGGGCTACTGAGCACCATCTGTGTCTGCAATGCGCACTACATACTTCACTGCAGATGCTTTTCCAGCCTCCAAGTCTTTCAAAGCACCCTCAAGACCACCCAGTCCGCCCTTCCTCACTTCGGTCGGGTGTCCCGAGAACCAACCCTGCGCCAATCCCCGTCCGATGAATTGGAAGAAGGCAGCTCCAAACTCCTTATCACCCAGCTTCTGGCCTTCGGGAGGCGGCATATGCACTGACCCGACCATGGTGCGGTGGATCGAGATCCCATCGGGGGTTTGATACTCTCCACCAGGCAGAACAACGGTGATGCGACCTGGGGCTTCCAGCGCCGCGCCAAGGTTCAGATAGCTTCCCTTCTCTGAGACCGCATCGTATGCATGGTGGATAGATACATTAGCAGCGGCTTTGATCTTAGAGCGCACGGCCTGATCGCCCTCGCGGTAGTCGATGATCGTGTCGCCCTTGTCTTTGCTAATGAGTGTTTCAACAAATGATGCGCCTTTCCCTGCCACCGCGATGATCGGATGGATGTTCGATAGCTGGGCGAACTTGATCGCGAAGGCACCGACTGCTGTCGCCCCACCGTACACGACTAACGGTGTAGGCTTGTCCGCCGGACTCCACGGAACAGGCAATTTCAACTCCTGATATAAACCGAGTGCAGCGGTCATTGCTGCAAGGGGGATTGTGGCGGCCTCTTTGCGGGGTCAGTGATGCTACTTCAATAATGGGGTCTGAATGGGACTTGCCCTCGAAGCTGGTCTTCTCGCTCAAATGGAAAGTTGTATGCTCCCATGCAATGGCATATTCGGCATAACTGCCGTGTGGGCTCATCATCTCATGGAATGCCGCGACCTTGTCGCCCTTGCGGAACTTTTGGACGTCCTCGCCGACTTCAGCAACGTATCCTGCAATATCGTCGCCTTGGTTCATGACGTTGTCTTGCTGCCATTTCGGCAATTTCCAATCTTTGGGGTTTGTGCCAGAAACGACCACCCGAATGAGGACCTGGCCTGGTTTGGGGGTGGGAATTTCCACATCCCGAATGTGGACGGTCACATTTTTGTCGACGACGGCTTCTTTCATTGTGGCGTGAGTTTAAATGGTGAAAAGCGTGCTCGGATGCTTTGCGTCGACCTTATTCCACGGCCTTTGAAAAGTTGATTTATAATGTGCAGCACAAGTGGAACCTTTCAAACACCGCCTAGGTCGATCACATCTGGCTACTCGCACGAGTACGAGTACTCCGTACGTTCTGTATAACTGGTCAAGTTACGAGTATCCCCGGATGCCTTCGGATCATAGTGGGTCTCTTCATATGGTCTGAGCTTGGAATTGGATTATGAAGTTGTCAAACTCGGTAGTTATTCAAGATTCTCTATCCTAGACAGCCTGGTAACTGGGGACGCTTTCGCCTGCCCGCCACTTATACTTGCTACCGGGATGATCTTCAGGTAGACGCTTCGAGCCAATGAAGACCTCACGGGCTGTGGCACCCTCCTTCTCAATTGTTTCCCGGAACAGACCCCTGCGCCGCAACTCAGGCAGCAAAAACTCGATGATGTCCTCAAATGTCCCGGGGTTCACGATGTGAGCAAGATTGAATCCATCCACGTCCGAGACTTCCACCCATCTCTCCAACTCATCAGCCACGGTCTGAGTACTACCGACAATTTTGGCTTGAAGTCCGCCGACACTTATATACTCCACGATTCTGCGCTTGGTCCATGGCAGATTATCTGTACCAGGAACAGTGGCGGAGAATCTGCGCACAACAGACTGCACTCGAGGCGAGTCGCTGAAGCGGAAGTCTTCGTCATCTGAGTAGGTTGAAAGATCGATTCCAGTCCACCCCCCGAAGAGAGCGAGGGCACCTTCGTCATCGGCGTATTGCAGATACTCGTCTCGTTTGGCTTGGGCCTCTTCATCTGTTGCCGCGACAATCACGTTGATGCCCACAATCACCTTGATGTGGTTCGGATCACGACCCGCCTCCTTGGCTATAGCCCGAATATTGTCGACTGTGGTACGGGTAACCTCAGGAGTCTGTCCACCGATGAAGATTGCCTCTCCATTGGTCCCGCCAAACTTATTGCCGGCCTCGGAGACACCCGCCTGGAAGAGGAATGGTGTGCGTTGCGGCGATGGCTCGCAGAAATGAGGACCCGGAACCTCGAAATATTTTCCTTTATGGTTGATTTCTCGTACACCATCGCTGGATAAGTATGTACCAAGCTGCCGATCAGCCAGCACGGCGTCATCTCGGAAACTACCTTCCCAAAGCTTGTAGAGCACCTCTAGGTACTCATCTGCGATCGCATATCGCTCGTCATGCGCGATCTGCTCATTCAGTCCGTGGTTTCTGGCCGCGCTGTCTAGGTAGGACGTGACGATGTTCCACGCCACTCGCCCTTCACTGAGATGATCCACGGTAGATAGCCGTCGTGCGAGCGCGTAAGGCTTCTCATAAGTCAGACTGGCGGTCACTCCAAAGATGAGATTCTTCGTGACAGCCGACAGAGCGGGGACCAGGTAGAGTGGGTCGTTGACAGGGAACTGTGCGCCTGATGACAATGTAGGCACAACATTGGATGGTCCTTTGTATACATCGTAGGCGCCCAGAGTGTCGGCGATAAACATTGCATGGAACCCGGCTTGGTCGAGCAATTGGGCAAGATCCGTCCAGAAGGAGAGCTTTTTGTACTGATCCGTCTTGTTTCTAGGGTGTTTCCAGAGCCCAGGGGCCAAGTGGCCGGGGGTATTCATCACAAATGCATTCAAAATGATTTGCTTCTTGACCTTGGGTGTTGTTGTGTCGCTCATCTTGTGCTTGGGTATTGAACACGTTGTTGCTAGAGATCTTTGATAGTCTCCAAGGCATGGAAGTTGTGGTTATACTTAAGTAAGTACAAATACCCCAGTACTTCAGCAAGAATGTCGCCATTTGGGCCAATCTCCGCTCTTGCCCGAGGAAGTAATCATGTCGATGGTGACATTGGTCGGTCAAATTGCGACTATCCCGAGATGAAGTGGAAAAGAAGCAATGTTCGAGTTACATGGTGCTTTTTTCTATCAAACCAGCAGCTTAGCTAAGGATTCTGAGGTCTTGGACATCACTAGGGAAGACAACCTAAAATTTCACCTCCCAAGCAGCCATTTAGATTGTCAGACTTTATCGCAGCGTTGAATGTGACTTGGTTGATGCAGTCTGCGCAGCGAGATGAAACCCAAGAAATAAAAAACAACAAACATGCATAATCTCCTTTCATCATATTCATGGAACAACCGTGAAGATTGTGGACGTGTAATGCGAAGATGCGAGCGAGAATGCGAGAACACGATGTGTTCGGGTTCCACTAAATTGTGGAGTGACATCGCAGTCTACTATCATTTCAACTCCTGGAGAGGGATATGGGACAATTGAGGGTATATACATGGAAAGGCTGAATTATGGTACAGCCTACAGACTCAAACTCGAACTTGGACCTAGAAAAGGTAAATTGGTAGAGATGGATGTGATGAGGGACTCAGGAGTAGAGCTGCTTCTGTAGCCTCAGACATATTCCGTACTAGCGGTCACTCTCGTAAATATTTCCAAATTAAGTCGCCGATATTGTGTGTAATGTTGTATTAGATCTGTACTCGTAATAAATACCCAAAAGAGAACTATGCAAAGATCGAGCTTTCCGTATCCCAAGCCAGAATTTTTCTCGGAGCAGCTCACTGGAAAATTGCTACAGTATTACCATGGTCGTTCACATTAATGGCTTTTCGCATTGTGAGCCCTGTGCTTTTTCTTTTGCCCCCAACACCTGAATCTCTCGTCTTCCTCTTCTTCCCCCGTGCATACAGTCTTATTAGACCAACCACGTTGATCTTCCTTCTGGTGATCAATCATCTTTCTCCTCATCAGCAGACTACATAGTGATATCATCTCATCATCTCTACGGATGCTGCCATCGCTACTACGTGTTTGGCCCAGAGCCACGGCCGGGATCCCTCAAACTTGTGCGTACGAACCACAAGACGACTATGACTAGGCTAACTAGCATGGAGCCTTATAGATCCAAATTTGATCTTGCATCAGTTCCGCAATACAAGATCAGCGACCTACCAACCTACAAGATCACAGCATTCACTTACTGCGAGTGGAAAACCACGAAAAGAAGTGACCCTCCCAAGTCAAACTGAACCATCCGGTGTCGCTCAATATGCCCTGTATGTGACATTTGAGAAGTCTCAAGATAAAGACTGATCACATTATATGACATAGGACAACCCTCGATCAAGTCGCCAACTGGGCACGACAGAGCTCGCTATACCCGATGACCTTCGGCCTTGCTTGCTGCGCAGTGGAGATGATGCACATTGCCGGACCACGCTATGATGTCGATCGACTGGGACTTCTTTTTCGGGCCTCACCCAGACAGTCGGATCTTATGATCGTCGCCGGCACCGTGACGAACAAAATGGCCCCAGCACTTCGGCAGGTATACGATCAGATGCCCGAGCCACGATATGTGATCAGTATGGGCAGCTGTGCCAATGGGGGTGGGTACTATCACTACAGTTACTCTGTCGTTAGAGGGTGTGATCGAATCGTTCCTGTGGATGTCTATGTCCCTGGGTGTAAGTTGCTAGATCTGACAAGCATTTATTGCGTATACAGAGCTGATCGTTTGATTTGAAGGCCCACCAACCTCGGAAGCTCTGATCTATGGAATCTTCTGCATCCAACGAAAGATTCGGAAGACCCAGACGACGCGAATGTGGTACAGAAAATGAGCTAGATGGTGTAGCCGGGAACAGCCTACACCAAACGAGCTTAGTCGGGCGGGGATGCTGATTCAGCCCCCATGGAGAGTAAACCTCGCCGCGCAGTGTAGCATAGAGAATATCATTCCTCTTCGTTCGTGCGATTCCGCGGTGTTTACAGACTAGAGCTCGATTCGGGGTTTGGCTGCCTCCACTACGGTGCTGCTCAGAGCTCCTATAGTCGTCCTGTCTGCTCTGTCAGACTGCATGCTCACTTCCTTTTTCAATAGATAGAATTGCTTGCTGTGTTTACCCAGTTGACATTTCATCAGTAAAAGTAAAGGCAAAAACCGTCGTTAGTTTCCTTTATAGGGATAGCGCAGGAGTGGGGCAAAGACCGCCAGGGTGACCCCGAGTCGTTGCAAAAACTCAATTTCATCATTCATTTCTCTATATCATCCATGCACATGAATTTTGCTCCAATACTTCTTTCCTTCAGGCTTGAGACTTGATATAAGCACATGCCTCGTCGGAAGAACACCCGGAATTCACATCATGGGTGTTTGCAATGTAAGCGACGAGGTGTCAAGGTATAGTGAAGTGCTCTGGATCTGTGCCTACGCCAAATTAATTAACATTGAGACTAGTGTGATGAGAGGCGACCTCAATGCACTAAATGCGAGGACCGTCTAGAGGCATGTCAATATGAGTCCTCCGGTTCTTGGTTGTGGACGGTCCCTGCCGCTGCCCAGCACAAACCTACACAATACTCAGAGGTAGAATTTTGTTCGCCTCTTTCATCGTCTGATTACAACGTAACAGACGCATCTCGAATGGTCCATATTTCTCCAGTCTTTACCGGAGACACGGAAGATCTCTGCTCCAGGTTGTTTGTGCACTGGAAAACAACGACAGCCCCCAGTATATCCAGGAACAACTCTGACCTTCAGATATGGCAGACTGTTGTTCCCAACGAGGCAAAGTCTAACCGATGTCTGCTGCATGGCATATTTGCGGTCTCGGCGATTCATCTTGCGCTCATCAATCCGCAGGACACTGACCGCGCGAAGTGGATCAAAGTCGCCGAAGAGCACCAGAGTACAGCCATCGGTTTATTCACGAGCACTATGGAAGACAGGGATAAGTCGTCAGACGTCAGTAACTTTCTGCTCTCCAGTTTGTTGATTGGATTTGCCTTTGCTTTTCCTGTCGCTGTGTCTGGACCAAGCCAGGAAATCTCCGATCCTCTGGGCGAATTACTCCAGATCATTTCCCTCGTGAAGTCAACCATGAGATTCTCGGCTCCTTTGCTCACGGATACCATGACCAAGGAAATGATTATGTTAACCTACGTGGAAGACTCCAGCCCAACTTTATCTGACTCCTCCCGTTCAGCAATTTTGAAATTATATGAGCTCATAAACACCAGCGTGTCCAATGTTGATCAAAATGCTTTCCGGTCGACCATCCATCCCCTCGAACATTTGTTCGCTACTTTGGACAGCGGCGCAGAGCCGGTTTCGAAAGCATTCATGTGGATCAGTGAACTTGATTCGTGGTACTTGGACCTGTTGAATGCGCGCCATACATTCGCTTTGGTAATATTTGCACACTACTGCGTTGTGCTTCACCGGCTAAGATGGCTTTGGTGGATTTCATCCTGGGGGCAGCGGGTGCTTTCTGTGCTTAGTCGGGAACTGGATTCGGAATGGAAACCTCTCATAGCCTGGTCTTTACAAGCAACCGGTCTTGAGGGCTTGGGGACATGAATCCTGAACTTCATATTTCCCCCCCTTGTGGATTCACAATTAGAGGATGCTTTGATGCCGTACGTAAATGTACTGCTAAGGTTTGTTTCGATTGCTGAAATTTGCGGTAGTGTTAGATTATTAGTTGTAGTGATCTCTCTGGTTCTACTCGGAGATTTGGGGTATTGAGGTCTCGGGTGAAAGCGCAAACACCACTTCGACACCAGGAATGCAAACGCCAACCGGTGTACCCACCAACTACATTTCCCTCATCCCGCATTTACTCGACAAACGCCCGATGAGGATTCGCGAAAGCTCAGGGTTTGATTTTTGCCCAATCTCCTCTGCTTTGCTGTGAAGTCCGACCGTACAGAAGTTACAAAATGCGCTTTCCCGGCATCGGGTCCAACTGCACCCGCGCCCTTGGTCACCACGTTGGAGGCAACATCTGGTCAACTTCCTAGGAGAACTTCTGGTAGCTTTAGAATCACAACAGTTGATCTGGTTGAAGCCTCCTGGGACCTTCTTGACAAGCTTCGGAATTCTTTCATATGTGGCCTTCAAGTAACCCCTGAAGTCGAACTTCAGTGGGAGCTGGGATTCACCAACTCGACCTTGCATGAATACAGGGCGCACTTGCAGCACTTGGCTAACCTTTACAGTTCAATACTCCTCTCATTTATATCGGCCGATAGAAATCGAGATCTACTGGCCAAACGGCGCAACGGTTTCGCGATAACACGAGCATTTGACACCATCACCTCGTGGGGGCACGCAATATCCCCCCATGTTCACCACATCCTTGGCATCGCGTTTCACTCTGATAATGCTGATTTGAAGCGCTAATCCACTTTGCCTAGACCATGGAGCCGATCGAATGCCGCTATAACGCCATTGCGGAGATAGGCAACGCGACATGGCAACTTTGCTCGTAGTGCAATCTTCCGCAGCATGTCGATTGGCTCAGCATCCATCCACACCAGTATGTGCATTTGGGTTTGACATGGTCCCTGCAGTCAATAAATATCTCTCGGCCCTGCTTGTTTTAACTTGGCTTTGCTTGTCATTCTTTGCCTAGACAACATGGCGGATACAATAGACACGGCCAAGCTGGCCTTGATCTCCCAAGGGGAGGCATATGGCATGCTCATTGGCTTGAGCGTTGTGTTTTGTGGTGTCATTCTACTAGCCGTGAAGGTGCAAAAGGCTCATTTGGCTGAGGACTCCGGAAAGTCGGAAATGTTCATGGTCGCAAACAGAACAGTTGGTCGAGGACTGACAGCGAGTGCTGTGTTCTCATCCTGGATGTGGATCAACGAAACAGTGCTATGCGCTAGTATGTGTTATCGTTACGGCTTGGCTGTACCTTTGGTATGTGTTGATTTAGACCCCTCGCCGTTTTACGCCTGAACTAATACGTGACCAGTGGTGGGGATCTGGCTTGTGCTTCCAGATTGCCTTGATGGCAGCACTTGGCGTGATGGCCAAAATTCGAGTTCCGTATGCACATACCTCTCTCGAGGTAGTGCGTATGCGATATGGAAAGATTGGACACTTGATCTTCATTGTGCTCAACCTCGTGAACAACGTTTTTGGTTGCGCTTCGATGATTATGACCGGCTCACAACTCATTCACGGTATCTCCAATATGCACTACGTTGCAGCTACCATTCTCATTCCGCTGGGAGGTGAGCAAGACCCAATAAGACGAAGCGCGAATCCTGTAGCTGACTTTTATCAGTGGTTCTCTATACGGCCGTTGGTGGCTTGAAGGCCACTTTCTTGACCGATTTCTTACACACAGCAATCGCATTGATCCTCATCATATATTTCACGATCGCAGTTCTGACCGATTCACATGTCGGTGGACTGGGTGGTTTATACGACAAGGTTGTCGCAACAGCAGCAGACAACTATATTCCTGAAAATTACCAAGGCTCACTCCTCACTTTCAAATCGAAGGGTGCGATTATTTGGGGGCTGATTCTCAAATTTGGTAACTTGGCTCTCGTCGTCATGGTAAGTTCATCCATCGCTCATGAGCTTTAGGCTATCGCCCGACCACGCGGAGGATCAATGCAATAGAAAACCAATTTAACAAGTCTTGACAGGATACTGCATTCTGGCAGAAGTCATTTGCAACAGAGGTGAAAGCCACAGTGCCCGGTTACAACATTGCTGCATTGGCCGTCTTCGGTATTCCATGGGGTTTGGGAACCGTCATCGGCTTGACAGCACGCGCCATCCACCAGACCCCCATCTTCCCAACGTACCCTGGAACACTTACTGCCACCGAGGTCAGCTCGGGAATGGTGATGCCATATGTCATCAAGGCTCTCATTGGAAACAAGGGTATCATTGGATTCTTCTTCCTGCTCTTCATGGCATTGACATCCACTATTTCCTCTTCGATGATCGCCGTCAGCAGTATCCTGTCTTACGATATCTACAAGACCTACATGAACCCTAGGGTCACAGACAAACAACTTGTTCGAGTCAGTCACTTGACTGTTGTCATCCATGGTGTTTTCATCACGGGTATTTCTATCGCCCTGAACTACGGAGGTGCCAACATGACATGGATTGGGTATCTCCGACCCATCATCTCCTGTCCAGGAATCTTACCTCTCATCTTTACTCTATTCTGGTCTCGACAAACCCGACTGGCTGCAATCGTCTCCCCGATACTCGGCTTTTTCACTGGCCTCGCTGTCTGGCTGGCGACAACCAAGTCAATGTATGGCCACATCAACATCACGACAACTACGAACAACTATCCAGCCTTGTATGCTGCAATTGCATCTTTCTTTTCGCCGGCCATATACTCAGTGGTCCTGTCACTCTACAAGCCGTACACGTTTGATTGGAGAGAGTTCTTGCGGATTGAGTTGGCCGATGAAGCAGAGATCCATCCGCCCTCAGACACTAGTACTTTGAACGAGGGCAGCGAGGACGAAACCTCTCACAACGACAAAGCTGTCAGTGGGTCAGTCAAGCCGGTCTCAGACGTGGAGCCCAAGGCCGCTGAGAATGACCCCGAGAAGATTCCCGAAAACAGTGAGCAGGCGCTGGCCGCTTCAGCGGCCCGTGTGGCTAGTCTCAGTCTTGACGACATTCGTCATCCATTTGACGATGAGACGCTCAAAGAGCTGCACAGGTGGCTCAAGATCGCTTGGTACATGTTTGTGGGAGTTGTGCTGGTGACTTTTGTCGCCTGGCCGCTCCCTCTTTACCGCGACTACATTTTCACGAAATCATTCTTCGCTGGCTGGGTCACGGTTGCTATCATTTGGCAATTTGCTGCGTTCGCTGCCGTCGTGATTTACCCCCTTTATGACGGACGACAAGATATTGCGATAGGTGCGAGGGGCGTATGGGGCTCCTCTAAGAAGTACCTTGGAATTAAAAAGACAAACTAGAGATTTCATATAGCTTATAATACACCTGGGCACTCAGATCGGAAGATAAACTCATTCCGTCATACTGGCGGGGACCAGTTCAGGCGAAAATCGGCTTTACCCGCTGGCAGCCCTGGAGATTCTCATGGTAAATTTAGCCGACACATACGAGTAATTCCCAGCTTGGCGTGCGCATTTGTACTCGTAACATAAATAAACATTTCCCCTCTTATAACCGCGCATTGAGGCTCATTGTTTGAAAGGCATCGATTTTTTTTAGCCTTGTCATTAATCTCTTGTCGTTTCTCGTCATGTCTACCACATCCCAAAATATCTACGACAATCCGGAGTTTTTCACGGCGTACGGAAACCTTCCTCGCTCCCAACATGGCCTCTCAGCGGCGCCGGAATGGCCTGTCCTTAGGCAGATGATACTCAAATTGAACCCCTCCATGCAGGGAACAGAAATTCCATTGAAAGGGCAGCGTATCCTAGATCTAGGATGCGGGTACGGCTGGTTCGTTCGCTGGGCTAGAGAGAATGGCGCCTCTTTTATTAGAGGAGTCGATATTTCCCAAAACATGATCAATCGAGCAAAGGAAGCCGAGGCGGAGATCTCACTGAAGTCCTCTGACAATCCTTCCCCCGCGCATTCGACTGGAAACATCTCACTCGAAGTCAGTGACTTGGAGACTATCAAACTCAGCGACAAACCCGATCGAGAGGCCTATGATATGGTCTACAGCTCGTTGACGTTTCACTACATCGAAGACATTCCGCGACTGTTTCGCGAGATTAATGCATCTTTGAAGAGGCGCGGTGTGCACGGCAAAGCAGGACGTTTCGTATTTTCCATTGAGCACCCTGTCTCCACTGCGCCCGTTTCCCCTGGACCAGAGTGGAAGACAATTCAGGAAGATGGCAAAGATTACAAAGTCTGGCCTTTGAATTCTTATGGCGATGAAGGTTTGCGCTTGACAAACTGGCTGGGAACTGCAGGTGTGAGAAAGTATCACCGCAGTGTGGAGACATACATCACAGCACTACTTGACAGTGGATTCGTGTTGACTGGGCTGAAAGATTGGAGTCCTTCTGAAGAGGATGTCAAGGGTCAACCTAATTGGAGCGTTGAAAGACATCGTCCATACTTTCTACTAATCTCTGCTGAAGTGAGCATCTGAAAATATTGCCTTTCACGGTTTGCGGGCGGGCCTGGTCTTTTTATCTTGGTTGAGGATACTACGTCACGAGTATCAAATTGCCTCGAGCGCTGTGTTTAGGTACTTGGAACTCGACATGTTGGGAATGAAGATTGATAAGAAAGAATATTGATCAATGCTATTCCACTCCACATCAAATTCTGTGCTTCTAATCAAACGACCATCCTCCAGTCTTGTCAGCGAAGAAGTTGTCAGGGTCATACTTCTTCTTGATCCCTTGGAGCTTCTCATAGGTAGAGAAAGTCGAGAGCGGGTGCTGGTCACGGTTTGCATCGTTGATGAAAAGCGGAAGGCCTTCGGCGTTGCTGGTCGACGATACCATGTCACGGAAGCTAGACTGGATGGCGTTATAGTCAGGCTCACTCATCCCCGGTGGCGTGGTGATCAAATAGTTCAACCAGAACCATGGACCATCGGGCATTTGCATGGCATTTCCGCCTTGTGCCTTACTGGCATCAGTCAAGCTCTTTGGAACAGGCTGGAAGTCCAGTGAAAGCAGCGAGTATTTGCCCTTGTTTGATTCGGCCCATTTTCGCCAAGTTTCAAGGGCATCTTTGTACTCCTCATTGTCGGCTCGGTGGACGCCGACTCTGAAGATGTTGTTTCCTCGCGATGCCTCCGTCGCAAATGATACTGGCATATCCGCTACTTGAGGATATGTTTTGATGCCTGTAGTGTCGATCAAGTGTGGGACACTGGTGAAGTTCGCAAAGGCGTGCCCTGGATCAGGACCATCGTAAACAAGGAACATGATGATAGCCTCGTCTATGTTCAGATTAAAATCCGGAGTGGGGAGTTTTTCATAGGTCCCGATAATGCTCGCCTTAGGATCGGTGTTGTATCGAATGAAATTACCGATGGCTTCAATAATTGTGTCCTTATGGGGAAACGCGTAGATGATGTTCCCAGCGAAGAACTGGCCAACAGGGCGACTCTGCACGGTGTATTTCGTCACAACGCCGTATGCATTTCCGCCGCCTCCACGAGACGCGAAAAAAAGATCACTGTTGGTGGTGTTTGATGCTGTCACAATCTGACCATCTGGAAGAACGATTTCCAGCTCTCGGAACGAATCGCAGGCCATGCCATATTGGGGAGACAAATAGCTCATGCCACCACCCAGAGCCAGTCCAGTCCCCACGCCAGAAAGGCGAGCCCCAACAACAGTGCGATTATATTTGATAAAGTAGTCGTATATATCGCCGAATACACCACCTGGTTGATAGGTCGCCAGAGTGGTGTCAGGGTCGTAGGACTTTTCAGAAAGGCTGCTGAGGTCGATCAAGACACCTTGGTCCACGCTTGAAAAGAAGGTGTTTGGATTGTGACCTCCTCCCTTGACTGCGAATCGGCTGTCGGCTGCTCGAATGGCCTGCAAAGCCACCGATACTTCCTGAGCAGATTCAGGATAGACGATGCAAGACGGTTTGTACGCATCTTGGGGTGTGCTCCAGTATTCAGTACTCTTATGATACTTTAAACTCAGTTTGTGGCTGTTGACCTTTGATGATCCAAGCTGAGATGTGATATTGGAACAGGCCGATGGCCCTGCACTGGCGTAGGAACCAATTGGAGCAAGGATCCCGACCAAAGTCAGGGCGAAAGGCAGCATGATAGAGTATGTGCCCAGACAAAATCTGGAAGTATTGGTTGAAAGCCCTGGAGCTTCAGTGGCAACGACAGATACAGCTTAAATACTTAAGTAGGGCAGTCAGTTTCTCCTTTTTACCATGTGGAATTGTATACTGGTTGATGGCCTCGGAATTGCTATACGATGGGAATACGATAAACGTGAGGAATACGGAGGTCGGGGAATGCGACTTAGTGTTCGGCGAATTGACTTGAACAAGAAACACCACGGGGCGATCTTCTTATTTGGGAAGTGAAGATCGCAAGTCTCAAATTTGCCGACCTTCTGCCGTTATCAATCCTCGGCAGACTGCTCAAGTGGGAATGCCAAAGTTGAGAACTACTCGTACTCGGGTTCGGACCTGGTCGCAAACAATGGTCTTTCTGCTTGAGTGATTTGCTTCTAAATTTTATATCCAATCCATATATAATTTCGTTTCTTTTCAGATTGATCGGTTTCATGTTTTAGCCTGTAAGCCAGCATGATATCCATGGATACTGTGGCCATTACTGCGATTGTTTCCACCGAATTGCCGACCGGCGCATCTTTTTCTTGTACTCCCTCAGTCTTGCTATTGGCTATGAAACCATTAGATTAACTCCATGCAAAAAAGTAAAAAGAATGCCCTTATCCAGGATCGAACTGGAGACCTTCGGATGTCAATCCTGTGAACAGGAATGTCATACATCTTAAAGTATGAGACCAACGTCATAACCAACTAGACCATAAAGGCTTGATGAAGAACCTAAATGGTGAAAATGCATACATGTATCAGAATTGGCCGGACCATCCATGAATATTAAGAATTAAACGAGATTTCTAGAGTGTCAAGCCCAATGCGCAAAGATGAGGGGGTGAGGGGAGGCACAGAATAACTTGGATTTCAGGACCTGTATTATCTATCCTATCAAGCAATGTGTACTCTGTAAATCCAAGCGGGTGGAACTGGAAAATTCTATTCGCAGTTGGCGTGGGCTTGAAAACCCCCTCGTGTTTGGAGATGGGTGCAGATACCGGTGTGCGCGGCGGCACATGACGGTGGATCGAGTACTTCCTGATCTTCACTTTGGCCACGCAACATGAAGAAGCGCCTAGGCAAAAATGAACACTTCGATCAAACAACTTCCCAAAAAAGGAAGATCTTGGATGTTTCGAGTTTACCCGGGTACCCTGCTGGAGTATTTGTTTGTCTCCCAAATTTATGTTAATAGGCTCATACTTGAGTAATCTCTTTGAAGAATAAACAAGAAAACTGTGGAAACAAAATTCGAAATCATAATCAACATACAAGCCATGCAGGGTGACCATCAAGACACTCGCCTTGATCCCTTCCTTGTAGTGCTCACTAAAACCTTGGAACAGACCCCAAACCGCCTGGTCAAATTACGCCCGAGCGTCTGCGTTCTCTACTTAATAGAGAAAACGGTTTATTTTCGCTAGTGGGATACTTTGTCAAATCTGAGAAGTTTGTGTGAGATATGACTTGAAATATATTGACCACGTCGAGTGGAAACAAATTGGGTCCACGGGTGCAAACCTTAGTAGGGTGATAAGTGGCATAATTTTACTGAGTACTGGTTTGATCATTCCGAAATGGAATGGCGCGTTAGGCTCCAAGGTCATGTCTAACAATATTCATGCAGAATGGAAAAGATCTCGCTGGTTTCAATTGGCAGAAGCATAGATACATTGCCTGGAATTATTTGGTTGGTACCAAGACCATGGGGACAAAACCCAGTAGAAATGGAGGATTCATTAATCTCACATGATATCAGCTGGTGTGCATGTAAAATGATGCAAGCCGCTGCTCCAGTGCAGCTGGAGGAAAAGGTCCGCCAATTCCATGAGGCTGAAAAATCTCAAGCTCCGCATAAGTTGCTATTGTCGGTGAGGGAAGTACGCATCCGATTCACTACTCGGCATGCATGTCAATCACTCCAACTGGCCTCGTACTCAATCTTGTGTTACATAATTTCAAAATATCAGACTCTCAAGTCCCCATTATCGTAGGAAGGTGACCGTTGATATGACATGTCACAGTTCCAAGCACAGGAGGTGCAGGGAATGTACTTTTACCCATAGAAATATACGGAGTAGTCCGTAGGCATGGTGACGAAAGCCATTTCATTTCTGAAATTTGTCTACGGAGTATCTATATGCACATATGAAATTTCCGTTCCTGTTTTTCTCAGGACATTTAAATTGGAACAGATTCCGCTTGACCCTCTGTAATAAAAAAAACATGACTTCTCTTGAAGGCTCGTCACCTCCGGTCATTCATATCCCGGCCGATGTCCGTCGATCACCACATGTTAACGATGCCTATAACCATGCGTTGGATGAACATGGCCCAGTCATCATTGTACCGCGGCATGGACGTACAGAATATGTGATTGATCACCGATACGCCAAGGAGGTTCTGACGAACACGAAGGACTACACGTTTGAGAAGGCGATTTTCGAGTTCCTCCATCTTGGATTTATTGCGATATTTGACAACGGCCACTTTGTTCACGATATTGACAGCATTGTGGAGTCAAACGTGCTGAGCCGTATGAACTCTCTGATAGAGCAGATCTTCCCAATTTTTGAGACCTATTTTGATCAGATGGAGAACGAAGTACAAGTCCCAGTCAATGATAAAGCCATGATTGAGATTCCTGATTTCTTCAATCGCATGCAACATGCAATTTCTCATGCCATGGCTGTCATGATTCTTGGTCCGAAACATTCTTCCCCACTTATGGCGAGTCGGTTTGCTGCGATCGCCGTGGCAATGGCAAGCATGACTGGATTGCATGAAAATACGCACGGCTGGTTATGGGCACCTGTACTCTGGGTCTTTTTCACTGGAATTTCCGGTGTGGTTTTCACCATAATTCCTTGCTTCTTCGTCGGCATTGTTCCTGCGCTCTGGAAGGCCAGGCATCAGCACCTCAAAAATGGCCTTGCTGCCCGGCACGGTACCTATGTTCCACTGTTTGACGTGTTGCTGGTAAAGCACTACCACCAAAAGAAAGGCGTATGTGCATTGAGCGGATTTCTTTGGGCCGCTACCCTGTGTATAGGCCTGATGTTTGCCTCCATCCATCAGACGGCAGTTGCCGGGCTGTGGATTTTGATTGGGCTCACCGAAAAGCAAGAGCAATATTTGCCTGCAATCAGGAAACAATGGGACTCCGTTGTGTCATCAAATGGAAAGCTGAGTGTAAAATACCTCAGTCGGATGACTCTGTTGGACTCTTTCATCCGAGAGACCTTTCGAACCAAAGGAGATTCTTGGGGTGCGATCAGGCAGACAACAGCGCCGGTGCAAATAGGGGCATACGTACTGCCTAAGAATGCTTTGTGCTTGGTACTGCTTGCAAGAGCCCATGAGCATCCAGAGAACCATGGAATTGAAGCCAAAAATTTCGATGGATTCCAATGGGCAACAAAGGGCGTGCCAGCTGCACAGGCCAGTCCGTCCTTCTTGTCATTCGGGCTGGGGAGGTGGGCATGCCCTGGCCGGCAATTGGCAATTCACGAAATGAAAATCATGCTCTACCTCATCTTCTCCAAATTTGATCTCAAGGTGAAACAAGGCAGCTTCAAGGTAACAAATACCATTAACACAACCTCAGTTCCACCTGAGGTCACCTTTTTGGCCAGGAGAAGGTGATACAGCTAGTGAATTATTTTGGATTCGGGGTGGCAGGTGTTCTTGAAGAACATTGCAGACAATTTACATGTTTCGGGTATGCCTGTATGTTGATGTCTGGTTACTTTTATGTTTCTTCGTCAAACGTTTCCACGCACTTGAGTGCAATTTTATGTTGCTGCGACTAAATCCATAGGTACTCCCAGCGACTCAATAAGAAGTGATTTACATAAGTGCTCTGTTTGCGCGACCTTGGAAGGGGTGTCGTATTTGAGATATTTGTGGATCTTTGGGGAGTCAGCCCTGCAAGATCAATCGCTCACTTTCTCACTTTGATTTCACCTCACTTCTTCCTTTCTCACGCCTTGTTAGGGTATCGCACAGCATCAGCTATACAAGCTGTATCTGTGAACCTGATAGTTGATCACAAAACTCCACGTTCCTGACTTGCTCAGCGCAAGATAAAACATGGAAAAGAGCAACACCGAAGAGGGTTGGGTCGCTGGGTCAGGTGATACCTGCTCTGCAGATAGATCCAGCCCTCTTTCTCTCTCTTTTTTCCTCCGGCGTCCCAGACAGCCAATACCTTTCGTACTTGCCTCTCCTCCTTTCTTTAGTCAAGGAGTGTCCCACGACACAAGGCGCGGTTTTGACCCACCAATCTATGATCATTCGTCGAGTTCGCCCACCATACTCCACAACTTCATCCATACAAGTCCCGATGGAACTTTGTGGCGCAGAGATAGGGCAATGATCCAACTGGGAAGTTGAGATGGCCCTGGAAATGCTCAAATTGGTACAGTCAGACTCTGCACTGTGGCCCGGGGGCTGATGGGCTAGTCCTGATTGGGTATGCTGAGAGCGGGCAGAGTACGCTAAACCCTATTGAGGTGAGCACTGCGAAGCTTAGTCACGTTCTGACAGGAAATATAGATCCATAAGCTTCTCTTAGCATGAATTTCCTGCTGCAAATAAGCACTGCCACGAAACCTCAACAGACGTATACAGAAAGCATCGCGAGCTGAACAATAGGCCGAAATGGTTAAATAGCAGCCCACCCAGCATCGGAATCTATCAACATAGCTCTCGTTCTCAATCAAAAGGAAAATTTATTATTCTGGACGATCTATTCTACCATCCTCAATCATGACCATCGACTATCGCCATGGGATCTCAATCCTGGAAATCATCGTTTACTCCCCGACATTGTTTGTTGCTCTTTGGATGGCATTCCATCATGGGTTCAAGAAGAGCTCTGGCTGGTACTTTTTTGTTGTGTTCTCTCTGGCTCGCATTGTCGGCGCAGCATGCTACTTGGCAACAATAGCTGCCCCATCAGAGGTCGGTTTATACATCGCCTGGGCAGTTTGTACATTACTTGGCTTGTCACCCCTGATCTTGGGTTGTCTTGGTCTTTTATCTCGAGCGTGAGTTGTCCGCGTTAAATAGTTTGTCGCAATCATGCTAACAGATCTCTAGCAATGACTCCATCATGAGAAAGACCGGAAATGCCTTCAGCCCGATAATATTTCGATTCGTTGTCTTAGTCTCCCTTGTGGCGTTGATACTGAGTATTGTGGGATCGACCCAAAATTCCGATATTACCCACGGTTCTATAACCACAGAGTCAAAGGTCGCTCTTGTCCTGTTTCTCATCACATGGCTAGCTGTATGTGGCCTATTTCTTCTGATCGCAAGCCGGTCTCACAGTATCGAGGATGGCGAGCGTCGCTTGCTTCTGGCGGTGGGGATCTCTCTTCCATTGATCCTCGTCCGCCTGGTGTACTCCTTCGTTTATGCCTTCGGTCACCTGGCGAGTTTCAACATGCTCTCAGGCAATGTCACCATCCAATTGGTCATGTCTGTTCTGGAGGAGATTGTCATTGTTTTCATTTGCCTGGGAATAGGTCTGACACTCCAAGTACGACCCAGTGCAGAGTATACTCAGCAAACTAGCGTGTCTAGCCACCAGGATAGCCAGGTTGAGTTGGAGAGCGGTGTCGGTCAATCGCAAGCCCCCCAGAAGCAACGACACCAGCGCCCAAAACGTGGCGGTGGTCCCATCGCGAGACTTGTCATGTTTATTGTTGATGAAATCAAGGAGAGAAGGAGATAAAACGTGGAGGTGAATGTATTTAGATTTTAAATGCGTGTGCTTTGGTAGGAAATGCATTGGGGGCCTTGGGAGTTTCAAGTATCTGTGTAGTCATGTTAATAATTCATAAAGCTAGTAATCCACCACGACTTCGAAGCCGTGGAATGTTCATTTTCCAGTATTTTCCCCAATAGCACGGAGTACTCCTCAAAACAGATAGGCCTCAGTTTGCCGGAGACTGTGGGTCACAGCACTCGAGGCAGCAACAATCTGGGCATAATCGATAGGCAGTCACATACTTTGACTCTGATTCTTCACTAGAACCATGGGCAACAATTTGAATTTTCTCCAAGCAAATGCGAGGGAGACTTAACGGAGACTGAAGGGAATTTTTGTTTTTACTGTTGCTGGATGACGTCACCACTATCCCAACTCCAAAGGCAACGACCGAAAAAAAAAGAGCATTTGAAGACAACTTCAGGATAAATCTCACCGTGGAATAAGTTACCTCTCCATGGAACTCCACCCCTCACTTCTGTCTCTGCTCTTTTCTCACTCCCCTCGGAGATATGGATAACGCTACAGGTACTCCGCTGTTCATTGCTAGCGAAGCTGTTTGCTACTACCCCATATCCACGATCTACAACTCATGTCCCCGATATCTATTCTATGCGCTACTCATTGCAAGCTGCGTGACGAGATGGACCGGCTGGCTTGCGGATGTCTTTCTTGGCGCCGCTGCGACTTACGCTGGAACTGCCGCGATTCAGACATTCATCATGGTTTCCAGCTCCCAAAAGCCCCAGGACCCGGGACCTGTCACTATCCCATGGATTCCAGCCAATACAAGTCTTCTCAAAGATTTTCCTTCAATTGTCAGGGAGACGGATAGTATTCAAGTTTCCCCAGCTTCTCTTGAGCTGGACGCAGATGCCGTCATGGCCATAGTCGTCACTGGCTACCTGGTTTTTCTACCACTGCAATGTTGGTCCCGCGTCTTGACACACGACAGAGCGAGAAACCTGCTGTTCTATGTCTGGAATGCCCTCATGTTGGCAGGTTCGATTTGTGCCCTCGTCTACGCGGCACGGATCCCCAAGCTGCCTATCCAGTACATGTTCTGTTATCCCGATTACCCCCCTTTCAGCGATACTTCCAACGACGGTTGGCAAGCCTCGTGGAGAACCTCAAATTGGAATACCAGCGTGTGGGGTACCTTCTCTGATCTATCTCAATGGAACCAATTGGGAGACATCTGCTTCAACCCTTGCTTCAACACCACTCAGATTCTCCGACAAGCTACTTCTTTACACGCTGTTACCGCGACAGACACCACCACGGTGTCAACATCTCGCGGCTTCTGGAACGCCGTTTTATACTCGAAGAGGTACATCTACAGTCTGATCATTTTGTGTCTTATCCTCAATTGTCTTCTGTTGACATATCGATTCCTTCCATATCGATCGCGAATCCCGTCCGCTCAGGTTGTGGTGCTTTGGAAGGATAGAGGAAACATATGGAAGAGCTTTAAGAGCGAGATAAAGTCTGCATTGAACCCACCTCTCAGCAGCCCATATTCCCCCGAGGAAGCCGGGACCGCGAACACCAAAAAGAAATCATTCTTGACTGAACTACGCCCTATTTTTACCCGTCGGTTTCTCAAAGCGTTCTTACATATCCTTGTGGATGCTGCCATTCTTTTCGGTATCATATTCAGTATGATAGTGAGCCCATTTACTATCGTGGCATTTGTTGCTTGGATCGAATTCCAGATTTACAATGACGGGCCTTCGCAGGAGAGCCCACGGCAGGTCGGGCAATGGGCCTACCTTGTCTCTATTGCTTTGCTAGTGATATCGGCCGGTATTCTCACACTAAAGTACAAAATTGCATCTTCGACCGAACTGCAAAATGAAATCGAAGAAACGCAGAAACACTTGGAATACCTGGAGAAAAGGAAGGAGGCTTGTTCCGAGCTTCAGGGATTTTACCTTAGAAATCTCAGAGATCAGTTCAAGGGAAGTTAGAAGAGATCCAATACAAGATTACAACCCATAGCCCTCCGAGGCTAGAATGCATGTGCAACAATGGCATTTCGACACTGGTGCATCCAGTGGGTAGCCATTAAATCGGTAGCTGTAGGTGGCCACCAGAGGGTTTGCGATTATTGCGACCTAAAATTCAGTAATGCATCACAAACTTCTCATCGGTACAAATTAAAGAGACAGACTTGGGTTTCATCAGCCTCCAGGGCTCTCCCCCTTCTCGTCCATGGGTGTACACAAGGTCTCTCGCCAAGTCAATTGGGCTCCCCAGATCTTCTGTTTTCCGAGGTTAATTGCTTGCATCACACAGAAACCCCCACATCTCAACAGTTCTAACTCCTAGTCGTCGGAATAAAAATGGCTTTTGATGCGCACTTTTACGCAGCCTCTTTCCAAATTCAGCGACATCTGTGACTGGTTTTCCAGGACTAGTCAATCAAGCTACCATTAAAGACTAGTGCGCAAACGCTCTCATTCAATGATCCTTCTGAGTATTCCTTCAATTTACGTTTGCTTTGCATGCCCAATTGGCGCGCACCTAGACACGCCCATGTCTTTTTATTCGATTCGACAGGGAATGAGCCTCGACTTAACTTTGGGCTGTCAGTCATCCTTGCACAAGCCAAGCTCACTGGCTAAAAGTGAGGGGGGATCCAAGGTTCACGAAAAGCATTTCAAAACCGCCCGTTTATTCTCGTTGCTCAACACCCACAGCTGAACACAGACCTCATGCATCGTCTATGTACATCGCTACATGACTACGTTGTGAGATGATTGCTTGATTTACATCTCACCCTGTATGCTGCATGAGATCTGGGCGGGTCGTGCATTTTAGGAGGATTCCCCCGCCCAGGCGCTACTCCTCGTATGTGCATTTCTTTGTTCACACCCTGGTCACTTGTGACCGACGACCTGCAAAGACTGCGACCCATGGATCAAACCTTCCCCTTTGCCAAGCGAATACCGAGCTCGAGTTTCTTTATCTAAAGGCTGTTTCTCGAACTTGAACAAAGACGCCTTGAACACCTGTTCGCGTTTTAATTCACTTGCGCCACCTCTACATACTGGCCATGGAGGCTTCTGCGTATACCAAATCCAGTCAGGAGCTTGTTCGGAATGTCTCTATCATTGATATGGGGAGTACAGAGAAGAGAAACTCTCCACGATCATTGTGGCAAGCGATCAAAAGGTCGGCTCGGATCGTCGCATACTGTCTGGCTTTGAGCTCCGCAATTCTCATGTACGGCTATGACCTCGTCATTGTCGGAACAGTGGTTGCAATGCCACAGTTTCAGTACGTATCACTCACCATGTCTCTTTCAGCGAGGTAATGCCCCCATAGTTGCTGACAATTGGTAGAATAAGGTTCGGTCAAAGGTTCAATGAAATGTACATTATTCCATCAATGTGGCTTTCTCTTTGGAGCGTATCCAGCTGTTTCGGTTTGATGTTTGGCTCAATCATCGGTGGCTATTTCCAAGAGCGACAAGGGCGCCGTGTGGCGCTTGCGGTTGGCAGCTTTCTCTCCGCAATTGCAGTCGCGATATGTTACATCTCCGATCTCCCGGACAGCATTGATGCTCGACGTGGGGTCTTCTTCGCTGGCAAAGTATTCCAGGGGGCATGTATTGGAATCCTTCTTTGTGTCGCACAAACATACATGTCGGAAGTGTTGCCAGTCGTTCTCCGTGGGCCGATCATTGCCTTCTATCCTATCTTCACTCTTCTCGGACAGCTTATCGGTTCGGTTGTGTGCTATACCTCGCTCAAGTACACAGGAGCCCAGTCATATCGAGTCTGTTTCGCGTCGCAATGGCCGTTCTCTGCTGTTCCGTTCATTTTAGCGGCATTCCTACCCGAAAGTCCAACTTGGCTTTTGCGAAGAGATAGACCCCAGGAAGCACTGAAAGCACAGAAAAGACTCGACATTCCACAAGTCGACTCTCTCGCCGTTGTTGCGTCTTTACAGGCTTCAATAATAGCAGAAGAAGAAGAGAAAGGAAATACATATATCGATTGTTTCCGAGGAGTGAACAGAAGAAGGACCTTTATTGTCGCAGTTGCCCATCTCATTCCCCAATTTTTTGGTTTGCAACTTTTGGCCACCAGCTCCTATTTCATTCAGATTGTCGGAATGAGCTCACATAACAGCTTGATGACCCTGATGCTAGGTGTAGCACTCGGATTGGTGGCGAATATCGCCAGCATGTGGACGTTGAATGCCTTTGGGCGGAGATCATTGACTCTTTCTACATTGGGCATCGTTATGGTCCTTTGGCTAGGCATGGGTATCGCAGGTATTTTTGAAGGCATTGTCACGATATGGTAAGATGGATGAGTGCCCCGATGAGCTGAATAGACCTAACTATTTCCCAGGTATTCAGGAATCACGATGATGATTGTGATTACAGTTTCTGGCCTAGGTTCGTGGCCCGCATCCCAGGTTATTGTCAGTGAGACTTCCTCCTTGAAACTTCGGTCACAAACGCTGGCAATTGGCTGGTTCACTGCTGGTGTGAGCACTGGCGTATTCGCCATCGTTTTGCCCTACATATATAATGTTGACAGGGGAAATCTTCGCGCCAAAATCGGATTTGTGATGTCTGGCATTGCAGCGGTCGGATCTGTTCTTGTCTGGCTGTTTGTCCCAGAAATGAAAGACCGAACAGCCATGGAAATAGACCGAATGTTTGCTCTGAAGTTGCCCACTCGAGCATTCAAAGGCTGGCAAAGTGATGTCATCACCCCCAGTGAGACTACTGACTCTGATCGGGGCGTATAAGCGATGTTTCAATGCCGATCAGGAGAAAGGCGGGAAATGTATTCCCACGAGCATTGGGTTCCGACCCCCGAGTGGAGGTGTTTGCAGGATGTGGAAGCCAGCACAGATGCTGTGTGGCCTGAGAGAGTGACTTGATTCAGTTAAAGACCCACGATTCTCAATTTGATTGGCCCTCTTTTGATCTTGAGATGTGCTCCGCAATAATAAATAGTGCAATCTGACGACGCTGCCGATCGCGATGTAAAATTCGTGTACCATTGTGGAGAGGATCGTGTATGGAACAACATTATTCTAGTGGGTGCTCGTGGAAGGTGGAAGTAATGTTCTCGTTCTAAAAGGTTGCCCAACATTTTCTCCTGGGTTATACAATTCCATCTACACACTTCTTCCTGGTGACCATTGATCGTAATCTGTTGACAAAATCAGGGGAAATGCTGATCGCTCCCCCTCTCCCGAAAACGAACTTCTCATTTGGACATCGTCTCGGCTGTTTCATCGGTCTTTGGCTGTTCAAGTTGGTTGCCAGTGTAGTCTTCCCACTGATTGCTTTGTTCAACCCGTTGCCAATTACAAGTCGACCAACATTGGTGAAAAAGTACCCCTGCCGACCGCGCCTTGGGTGCCGAATCTTTTTCCCACCAAACCATGAATCTGGAAAGCTTCTCCCTTTGTATTTCAATATCCATGGCGGGGGATTTGCCGTGAGCGACGCGCAGAGCGACGATGGTTTTGCTTCGTCCTGGGCCAAACGGACGGGGATGTTGGTTGTGAGCTTGAACTATCGGAAAGCACCGTGGTATCCGTTTCCCATCGCGACCACGGACATTCATGCTGTCGCGCTCGCTGTTTTGGCCGATGACAGCTTGCCCATTGACCGAAATCGCGTATCGATGGGTGGGTTCAGCGCGGGCGGCCAGTTGGTCTTGTCTGCATCGCAACTCCCAGGTCTGAAAGGTGTTGTCAAGGCCGCGATTGTGTATTATCCCATTGTTGATTTCAGTCTATTGACCAACGAGAAATTGGAATCCCGTCCATATATAAATGGACCAAAGGACAACCTGGAGTTGCCGTCTTGGTGGATTGATTGGGGATTCATTACCCCGGGGCAGAATAGACGCAACCCGCTGCTGAGTCCCTACTACGCGAAGAAGGAGGATCTTCCGCCGTGGGTATACATGATTGGGGCTCAATGGGATCTACTCCGGCTAGAAGCCCAAGAAATGATCCATCGGTTGGCGGAAAGCGAAGAGCGCAGTAATCCGGAACAAGATTTCGAACGCGGGAAGTACAAATGGACTCTCGCGACGGGCTGTTTGCACGGTTTCACACATACCGACCCGCCTTCTCAGTCCACGCAAAAATCGAAAGCCGAGTGGATTTATGAAGAAGCTCATCTGTGGCTGAAGAAAAGTGTATTGAGATGAAATATGCAAATGAATCACGTTGAACTAGCCCTGGAGTAGTCCTTAACATCTCGAGTGCAAACGCGAAAACATTTCAGCCACGAACTTGGCAAACGAGGGGAATGTCAGCACCATTTCGACTGGGAATCTGACATATTGCAGAGTTAGACTTCACTCCAAATTATCCCTGACAACATTGAACATGTAAACTCCTTCCAAATGTCCACTGAGCAGCCCTGGAGGTGGCGGCGCATGACTAATCTCCACAGGGCCGATTGACAACTCGCGGACTACTTCGTATCCTCTACACTCCCACTCTTTCGTCAACAGTTCTACCCATGTCTGATACACAGCGCAGTACATCTGCCAAACGTGCAACTCGGAATTCCCTTTCCTGTGCAGCTTGTCGTTACAAACATCTTCGCTGTGACGGCCAAAAGCCTGCATGCTCACGATGCATTACCGACACCAAGCAGTGCGTGTATCCCGCGTCTCGGCGGCGAGGAAATCCCAAACAAAAGCAATCCCAACCAGTTCCTGCTGCTGTGATCTATGAGAGCTCTATCGAGTCATCCCTTGAGCAACAAGTCTCTACTCCTTCGACTTCTTCCCTTGCCACCAATGGGGACATAGAGGCGTCAAATTTTAGTTCCCAATTTTTACGATTATATTACGACTTCTTCCACGCCGCACACCCTTGTGTACTACCGTGGGGGGTATTGAAGACCCGGGTTGCTGACCCGAGGGTGCGACCTCTCCTTCAGGTGATCTGCTATGTGGGCTCGATTTTTGATAACTCTGGTTCAATTTCAGAAACATGGAGCCAGCGTGCCCGTGATGCAGTATCTCAAATACGAGCCAAGTTGGATCCAGACCCTTTCGACATTCAAGCACTTTTGCTCTATTCAATTACTGTCTACTGGTGCAATGAGCCCGACGAAGGGGTCACATTACTGAACGACGTCATTCGCCTCGCAGTAACGCTCGAAATGAACAAGAAACACTTTGCCCAGACCTATGGAGAGGGGAATCCTGTCGTTGAGGAAAGTTGGCGGCGGACCTGGTGGGTCATATATATCACGGATGCTCATATCGCTGGTACATCTCACACTCCTCTGGAGCGAGGGTTTAGCTGATGTCACCCAGGCTCTACACACAGCTACCCGTTCCGCACAAGTGGGTTGGAAATGACTACAGACTTTCCTTGCGAGGAGGACCGATATGAGAATCTGGTAGGTAACAATTTTGGTCGGTCGCAATTCTTTCCCCTAAAGATTTGACAGAATATCCCGCCTCCGAGGTCTCTAGAGGATTACGAGAATCGAGAATTCCTTGATGAAGACGAAGCAAAATTTTCATCATACGCAGAGCTGATTGGCTTGACTCTCGGAATCGACCGGGCGCTGTCACCTGGGAACACAGAAGATGATCAACTCTACAAGGCAATGGCTGCCGGCTCGGACACTAGCGTCCGGGCGTGGTTCTCTCTACTTTCCCCTGAAAAAAGAGATCTCATCGGACCCAATGGGTCCTTTGATGAGGTGATGTTTAAGGCTCTATTCATAATGCATACGTGAGACCTAACCCTAGTTGCCTTTGTACCCGCCTTCTTACACATATTTAGGTATGCTGTTGAGATCCACCGTCCACTTTCGGCATTGACTCACAGTGCGATTGAGTCTGTCTCTCGTTGCGCTCCGTTGGCCCCGTCGGAGCGACTCAAATGCAACAACTCCAAAGAGCGTGATTTGCATACTTTGAAGTGCACCACCGCAATAGATGGCATTGACGAGCTGTTGACTCTTCCGAGCAATATGAGGAATCATTCCCCCTTCATAATTTGCATGATCGCAAATGTCACGATCGCACATCTAAGTGCTTGTCGCTTCGTCTACTCTGGCGAAACACGATCTAAGAGTCGCGAGAAAATTCGCCTGACCATGGGTACTTTGAAACGGCTAAGTGAACATTGGATTCTTGGAAAGCGAACATATCGTGAAATAGGGATCGTTGCCCGAGAAATATTGTCTCTTTCAAAGGACCCGCCCACTGATCCACCATATGCTAATGTCACTCTCCCGGAGACATCGTCATTTGAAATCCCTGCATTCAATCTGGTGCCCGATGCCGAATTCGATTTTTGTGCGCTTTTCGATGCCGCTGTCCCAAACTTTTGCGAGCTCAACTCCCAGTTTGCTGTCGAATAGAAATTTGATAAAACTCAGAATGAACTCCACTACTCCTATATTTACAGCAAAGGGACCGGCCTATACTGACACTTCCAAGTTCTAACAGTGGACTTTCAGGTTTCGAAATGAAGACCTCCAGCTATACTAATCAAGATAGGCGGAGTACAGTTCATCTAATATCTTTTTACATTAATTTCTTCCAAGTTCATAGGTAGCCTGGTTGAGATTGACAAATTGATTCTATTGGAAGCCGATTAAAGCATACTATTTACTGCTTGAGATACTCCTCGTCGATTTGGATCAAAGCACCCATGCCATCTCGTTCAAAGGCGTCGGTATCCGTAATCATGGTCGCAATCAGGGTCGCCGGCTCGGTCTTGCTGGCGTTGTCGCTGATGCGGTGGTGACATCCTGGCGCCTCAAACCAGCTCCCGCCCTCTTCGATCAATTTCATGGGATCGTCGTTCATTTTGTTGAGAAGGTTTCCCTTCACGACATACGCTCCAACATTGGCACCGCCATGGCGATGTGGGGGAGTTGAGCCGTTGGGAGGGAATTCCACTCGCAGGCTGACCATGGTTTTGTTTGGGATGCCGACCAACTTGTATGAGAAGGAGATTGAGAGAGCCGGCATCGGGCGGCTGTCATTTCGTCAAAAATTCGCCCGCATATGCACTGAAGATCTTTGCTTACCTGGGGTCGTAGGTTGGTTCCTGCATAGTGAATAGATTGAAAACCTTTTTGGGCGATTCAAGTGTTCTTTCAGCTTTGAAGAAGATGTAACGAGCTTGGTATGTTTGGAATGTTGCTGTCGTTAAAGATTGAATTAACAAGTCATTGGGCGGTTTATATAGGTGATTGGCCAGTAAGTGGCACAGAAATTCAAATCAATCATATCACCATGGAAGCTCGGATTCCATATAGCCTACAGGCTGTGCGACGTCATTCTATAGTTGTTGGGGCAAGTTGAGTGTGTACATCGGCTTCAGATAGGCTATCAATAGGCTAACAATTTTCGTCGATCGGGATGGGACAAAAGGCTATGTCCCAATTCTGGTGTGGCCCGCAGAGGAACTTTTGTTTTTCTAGCCTACGATCATCCTGATTGCGATGCATAATCCTGGGGAGAAAAGAGCGAAGAATCGCGGTGGTGGCCATAGCCTAAGTGGTGGCGTCACTTTCGGAGATCCGATCAATTATGCAGTTGGCGCTAACTGGAGCCAACGTGGCTCTTGGACTCTAATATTTATTGTCGTTTGAAAATCTCCAAATTGAAATTCTTCTCTCACTTCCCAGACCCCTTGAACTGTTCATTCAATTTATCTTGAAAATGTGCGATCTACAAACACAGTCGGCAATCATTGTGCAAAGTCCTGGGAAGGCGAAAGTCGAGCATAACTTGGCCATACCATCACCAGATGCATTCGAGCTCTTGATACGGGTACATGCCGTCGCTCTCAACCCCTCAGACTGGATGGCGCTAGATGCACTCGCAAGGCCCGGTGCTGGAGCCGGCTATGACTTCGCCGGAGAAGTTGTTGAGATAGGAGAAAAGGTCAACTCTCCTTGGGCTGTTGGGGATCGTGTAGCTGGGTTTGTACATGGATGTGAGAAAGCATATATCTTAATTATTTTGGGAAAAAGCTAATTGGTCCTCAGCACACGCTGCAAATTACACCATCGGAGCATTCCGCGAATACCTGACCGCGGATTCCGAACTTGTGATACGCCTTCCGGATCATGTCTCATTTGAAGCTGCTTCCACCCTTGGTATGGGTATCAGTACAGCAGCTCAAGCTTTATACCAGTCCTTAAATCTCCCGCTGCCCGTCACAAACCCTGTCCCAACAAACCAATCAATTCTGATATATGGCGGGGCAACTGCAACGGGGAGCATTGCAATTCAACTCGCAAAACTGTGAGTTCAAAGGCTATATTTTACCATTATCTGATTTCTAATATCATGCTAGATCGGGTTTACACGTCATTACAACATGTTCCGAGCAGAATTTCCCCTGGATGTCATCACTTGGTGCTGATGAGGTTATCGATTACAAGCAACCCAATGCTATTAGGCAGGTGGTTGATCTCGTTCAGAAGAACGGGCTTTTCGCGATCCTTAATTGCATTGGAACGGAAAGCACTGCAGCATTTTGCTTACAATGCTTCACTCCACCCCAAGACAGAGCTCACCAGCCAGATTATGTGTACGCACCTTTGATGCCGCTATCTGGGCCCTTGCCCAAGATTGGTTCTTTGCCATCCACTGCCGTGATACATAATCGATGGAAATTTGTATACACGTGCTTCGGGAAGCGATTCACCACTCTCATAGATCACCCGGCCATAAATGGCACATGGCAACCATCTGTTGAAGACAAGAGATTTATGGTCCGCTTTTATCGACAATTTGAAACCCTGCTAGCAGACAGGAAGATACAACTGATGCCACAGGAGGTCAAGCTAGGCGGACTACATACAGTACTGGATGGTGTTTCTCTTGTGAGAGCGGGTAAAGTTCACGGGAAGAAGCTTGTTTATCCTATCTTGTGATTGAAATACAATCTACTCAGGAATTACGGTATATGATATAACCAATGAAGGCATGCCAATCTAAGCTTGATACCCGACATCAGTAAAAACCTCGGAAGAGATATAATCAGAAGATCGAACGCAGGATCCGCATTGGAGCAGCCTTAATCCAAGCTTTCCATGTGGGATACTCGACTTTCGGGGGAAGGTCTATGTCTAAAGCACCGTCTCGGATATGCATCAAGACATCCATCTCTTCGATTGGAACGAACCAGGCCCCACGGTCAAGGCTGGGATCTTTGTTCCATTTTGTGTAACCCACCCAGCCAATAAAGAGTGCAATAATGACAGGCGCAGCTAGGTAGCTTTGGAAAAAGCTCTCCGCATCTTTGGGGGCCACGGCAACATAGAACTCGGCAATGAGGCAAAGAACATTAAGCCCCAAGCCAATGTAGCTTCCGATTACACCCATCGGAGCTGCGAACGAGAGTTCATTGACGGTATGCCCATTGTGTGCCCATGCGGATCTGAAGCGAATGTGGGCAAGACAGATACTACCCCAAATGAAGAAGTCTCCAATACCTGACAAAGCCAGAAGCCAGTCGAAAATAGTGCTTCCGGATGGTGCTTCGTTGATGAAAGCCAAGAATCCAAAGGCAATTTGAAGCAGGATGCAGTACAGGGGCCTTCCTTGTTTATCAATGTAAGCCATGGATTTCGGGGCCATTCCTCGGGCAGCCAAGGCTTGAATTGTGCGACTGGATGCATATGTCGCAGAGTTGGCCACACTGATGACCGAAATGGTAATTATGGCATTCATGACGGAAGGAAGTCCTGATATTCCAGCGTTCTGTATCGAAACAACAAATGGCGAGGCCTTGGTGTTGGCTCCAGAGGCTCCCATTAGCCATTCTGCGTTTGAGGGAACAATCAAGCCGACCATGAAAGTCCCCAAAACGTAAAAGATCATGATCCGCCAAAAGACCTGTTTTGTGGCCTTAGGGATAGATTTTGCCGGGTTGGTTGCTTCCGCGGCAGCGAGACCAGCCATCTCAGTACCACCGAATGCAAAGGCCACAGTGACGAACACAGAGCAAAAGCCTTTAAAGTCGGTAAAAGCCCCGGGGTTGTGCCAGTATTTTGCACCAACATACCCACCATGAGGAGCACCGCCCACGTCAATCACAATTGCGAGTATGATGAAGCCGATGACTGCGATAACTTTGATCACTCCAAGAACGAATTCCACTATGTTGCAAGGTCAGCATTTTGCTTCATGGCAAAAAGACGCCAGAATCACTCACCCTCTCCATATCCCTTCACACCAAAGAACTGGATTGCAATCAAGATAACGAGAAAGGCGGCGATGAATATCCCAGCATTCAAGTCGTCTCTCCAGTACTTGATCGTTATACTCGCAGCTGTAAGTTCAAATGGAAGCATGATAAGCCAACTGATAGCATAGTCCCAACCGACTGCGAAGCCCCTGTTCTCAAGAAATGGGTTAATCGTCAGCTTATGCTGAGGATCAGAGGAACATTGAGACCACTCACCATGCTGGACTGATGAACCGTACACAGTAGGTGAAGAAAGCACCATTGACAGGATACAAAACAGCTAACTCGCCCAGAGCCTGAACGGTCAAAAGCAACATTAACCCGACGATCAAGTAGCAGACAAGTAAAGAGCCGGGCCCTCCGTCTCTGAGGGCAGACCCTGTGCCAACAAATAGACCAGCCCCAATAGCGCCACCTAACGGACCAAGTCAACATTTCAAACCTTTCAAGAAGGGAACATGATCAGAAGGAGACTTACCAACCGCAATCATCTGCATATGGCGATTCTTCAGGTTTCGTTTCAGGGGGTTGAGTTCACTGATCTCACCAACAGTGAGATCGTCATGATTCGAGGGCAGACTTTCAGCCGGCCGCACGGCTGAAATGGCCTTTTTTTCAACATCCAAGTCCATCGCCGTCATGTTGATGATGCTTGGTTGGTGAATCAGTATATCTGAGGGGGACCAAGACTATATATAATTTCCCCGAGACCCCATACTTAAGTAGTGATGGCGTGCAATCGACGATGGGTGGCTCTACCAGCCATTTCGAATGTCCCGTGGCAAATCTCATGCGATCAGACGGCAAGGGGAAGATAAGACTTCGGTATGCTTTAGATGTCGGTATCGCGGCCAATCAAAACACGGGGCCAGGGGTATCGTTGGAGCTTAGTTGCGCGCCATCCTTGGCATATCTCAAAATTTTCGACGGCAAACACCACTTAGATTGATTCCAGGCACGATTGCGCTTGCTCACGGCCTCAATCTCGGTGACGGCTCCAGGCCGACTTCAGATAAGCATCCCTGCACGTTTCGGGGGCATCCCAAGTGGGTCCCATGAGAGCGGGGTTGGAGTGGATGGTGTATACTAATTGCAATGCAGCATCGATATGCATTCAATCCCCAGACTCCTTGATGCCCGGTCTAGATCTCTGCGGGAGCAAAAGGCACCGCCGACATGCTCGCGCATAGAAGTGAAAAGTTGCCACATTCTCACCAAGAGGCAATGTTTGGTGGATTCTCTTGCTTCCAACATTTGAAAATGGAAATGAAAGCATTGAGTTTCTCAGACCGGCAATGATAGCCCGATACGCTGTTATCGCCCTCCAATGTTGTTCTTTCCTGGGGGGCTCAATGAGCGTGCGCACAACGGTGCGTACCTAACGCTACTCCAAATTATCAACCGGCGGCATTTTCTCATTGTACCTCACCGTCTTCATGCCAGTGTAAAATCAGCCGACACCTGTTTGAAAGAGGAGAGGAGGTGGTATAGTATGCAACTCCTTGCTTCCGCCACTTGGTGACCAAAATAACAGAACCTTGGAAGAGCATAGAGTCTAGATGGCAAGTGGACTGGACCAAAACAGTCGATCTATTGGTCAAATCATTTCGAAATTGCTTCAATTGAAGGGCGGTTGGGTGTAGCTCAAATGTGCCATGTCAAACTGGCTTTGGGAATGTATGATATCCTCTGTTCCTTTCGATATGCAGTGCTGTGCAGGGATCGACTCTAGCAACGTGCAAGCCTTAGAATAGACAGGCCAATTTCATTGTTTAGAGCCAAGAAAATGCGAAACCTGATCAGCAATGTCATACTCCACAATTTTGCGAATCTGGCCAGTCATCAAATTGGGGAATAGCCCTGCAGGAGTAGGTGTAAGTTGAAGCGGCAACAGTTCGAGGGCAAATGCTTACCCATGATTTTCATGAAACCGTAAATCGAGTACTCCTTGAGTACCCCCATTTCACGTTTGCCATTTTGGGTCTTTTGTGCAAAATCCATAATTCCCTTCACACGTGGCTGACGAATGGTCGTGTACGATTTTGCCGCTGCGTTGATTACTCGCTTGCAAGACAGAGCGACATCTTCGCTCTCGTCGCCAGAACCGTTGCGTAGATAGTGTGCTAGAAACAAAGCAAGAGCCTCTGCGTCTTCCAAAGCCTGCGAAGACCCTTGGCCGGAACTGGGAGGGAGTGCGTGTGCCGCGTCTCCGATGAGGATAACACCATCGCGCCCCCATGTTGGAAGAGAGGGGGAAGTCCAAGTCGGATACATTTTTTCAACGTGAAGGGATTGAATGATCCTTTGAACGACGGGTTCTCTCCAGTTTGCATGCCTTTCGCGCAACTGTCTGGTAACATCTTCCATGTCTAGCGTTTCACGAGTCGGGCATTTCTCGATCTCATATGTGGACCACCAAGCCAGCGATTCACCGGGGTCAGATACATCATATGGCGAGTCTTTTTTGGGGGCAGATTCGGCACTTTCGGAGAAAAAGTAGCCAAAAAAGACATTTACTCCGAATATGAAATTCATGGATCCTGGCTCAACAAGCTCTTTGATTCCGGCTGAGGATATGAAACCGCCGACTCCGACTAGACCTCTTCGGATACGTTAGGGCTGAAATGATGCAGATAATTTCTCGCCATGAAAATGAAATGGAGGGCATTTACTTACTCGTAATGTGGAGGATATGGATCTGCGCCGGCCTCGGGGAAAAGCGCCCTTTTCGTCGTACTCTTGACCCCGTCCGCGCCAATCACCAAATCGGCGTCCACGGAAAGAGTTCCATCAGCGAAATAAATAGTGTTCCTCCCACAAGGATCAGTTTGAATTTTACAGATCCTCTTTTTCACAATGTGTTTGGGGGGAACGCGTGCACACAAAGCTCGCCAAAAGGCGTGGCGACTAGTGGCAACCGTGTGCAGAGTTCGAGGGTTTTCGGTATCATTATCTGAGCATGAGCTGCTCATGGAGAATAATGGCCAGGAGTTCTTAGTCTTCATATTCGAAGTATTTGTCACGTATCCCACTCGGGAAACATCTTGCAGTAGCTCTTCATCCAAACGTTTTAGAACCCTCAAGCCATTAGGAGCAACACCCAATCCGCCACCCACGAGGAGGGTCGATGAATGTGTAGAACCCTCTAGCCTCCGGTCAGCTGTTATATCTAGACCGATGTCGTATGGCTCATAAATGACAATCTCGTGAGGGTTAGATGCTCCAGACATCGGCAGATGCTTCTGTAACTCCAGGTACGCCGCGCATCCAGCAATACCGCCGCCAATGATGGCGATCTTCATTTTGGCTGTTATGAAGACAGAGGTTTTGGTCGGAATTGAGATGCAAAGTATATTGATGAGAGACCTCGCGACTTAATAGATGCCTCATTAGACATTTAAGGTTTGTCAAACAGTGGGTCAGCTCAAAGCTAGCCTATTATAGACTAGCCTTGTAATATCCACCAATAACCTTGGAAGACATGAATCGCCAGCATCCACATCTCGTCTATCCGCAAAACTTCTGGAGGCGTTTCACGGCTTTCTGTTCGCCCAGGTATCTGGTAGCTTCTGAGAACTCTTCTCATATAACTGCTGTGGTTATATCTACCTGACTTCGATGGATGTATGATGCCACATGCCCGAATAGTTCTGATGAAAGATCCACCGAACCATAATTCCGTGATGATAGCCCTGGATACGAGCTTTCCATGGGGGTTGTCTCGGTTTTCGGGCTCCATACATCGAGGATTTGAAGCGGGAACTCAACCATAAGAAGCCCTCGCCCGGAAATTGGGCCGGGAATGGCTGCAATGAATTCTCTCGCAGACCGAACCGAATGGGTGTGTCTTTGTGTTCGTTCCTCGTATAGATGAGCATCGGAGGAGACGAGGTACAATAGTTGGAGTAACACCACATTAGCCGCATCGTATATAGAGACCAATGCCGCGGTAGGCATATCTGAATAAGGGATCAGAGGGAAATGGCCGGGGTCGCTGTATTGGTGTTCTGTAGACGTGCTGCCGGTGTTGTATTCATGAACCGCATCCGCCTCTAGTAAGGTAGGGATCGAAATGCAATACATCCACCATTCGTGAAGTTGTGACATTGACCTTGCGATTGCAGTACTCAACTCTGCGTCAAGCCGGACACCGTCCCCAGGCGGACTTCGAATCGCCTTCTCTGCAATGGAGAGGCAAGGTAACAAGGAAAACAGGATGTCAACGAAACGGTCGAAGGGACTTTTAGGATGTATTTCAAACGGTATCGTTCTCCAAACAGACGTAGCAAATGCATGCTGTTCACTCTTGAGCATTGCGGATACAAACTGGAAAATCAAGAGGTAAGCTTGGGTGGAAATTTCCGACTAACTTGGACGGGTTGCAGAAACACATTTACAGCTTACGGTCAGGAGTCGCACGTGGCGGAATATCTGGTGCAAGAATCCATCTCGACAACTTTGTGGGCCACGCGTTTCGATCATAACTGCAGCCCCCTGTACATGTTGAAGCCATCCCCTATACGTACCTGCTATGTTTTCATAATGGGTGAGCATCACAGTGGCACAAATGATTCGCTCAGTGAGTTGGGGAAACTTGTGTGATAACAAAGCCCGGAGTCCCTGGAGAGATCTTGAGTACCACTTGCAGGCTTCAGTTTGAATGGAGGCATCCTGTGCTAGGAGGCCATAAAAGTACATCGAAGCTGCACGAATCGAGTGCTTGGTTAAACTGTCACCAGGCGACATAACCATCACACTGAGTTCATCAAGCCATGTTGGTGGCTGACTGGCTGCGGTAGCAGATTTGAACCCAAATGAATCGATGAAGTGGGACACAAAGAGGGAATCAAATATACTAGCCCTGTCAGGCTGCTTGCAAATCATACCTGGCTGATTCAGATGGATTGGGGCAAACGTAACCGGGCTGCTCACATCACTGTGCTTTGGAACTACCGATCTTGCTAGGGAGCGGCTTGATGGAGCTGGTAGAATGTGGAAAAACACAGCGGATGTTCGAGGACCAGAGCAATTAAGCCCTTTGCTGAAACATTGCTGACATGTGGGAGAAACTTCGTCACACTGTAATAACATTAGTTGGGCGCCGAAGTAGTGTAGGCACAGAGAGTCATGCCCAGCAGCCCAGGTGTCACGTTGTGTGGAGAACAAACCTTTCGTTTTCGCTGGCGACATTGTATACATTCCTTGCTTCTCCCTGGAACATTGACCATCGGGTTATTCAGATCGTCTATTGTTGGGCTGTTTTGAGATACAACCTACACACTTGTACGGGGCCGGCAAGGTCATCGAGCTTCGGGATAGCTTGCCCCCGGGGCCCCAGTGCCGTCATAACGTAATCACGGCCTGCCGACCTCGGCCCCGGGTCTGGGCCTAGGGTCCCAGAGGAACTCCACCTTTTGGCCACTGCAATACAACAAATGTTTGAAGTAGGCAGTCTACCTTTGAGCCCAGATGCCAACAGCTGGCATGTAATTCCATGGCTGTCACTTCCCAATATCCATGGATATTAATCATTTTCAGGGCTGATTCAATTGCTGGATCGAGACTATTGAGTTCGGCAAGCCAAATGTATATAGAGGACCAGAAAGAGAGATATGAGAGCAAATTCTGCATGCATTGTTTCCATGTCTGATTGGAATAATCAAATGAAAATTAAGAAAGAGAAGGGTCATAGCCGTATCAAACATATGCCGTTATGCTGTTTACATCAAAACACAGCAAGAGTTTTGCTTCTTGGCCTGGATTTCATGGTGTTAGCATGTAAATTTTTGGTCCACTCTAGTTTACATACCTGGGTATAAAACATTTTACTCTGGGCTGACAATCCATCACTCTTCTGCACCAAGGAGTCAATCTTCTCACCACGCTCCAAAACACTTTCGATCTAGAAGTTGTTAGAGCACTCATTAGATAATGTGTGATGGCGACATACCGTCTTGTGCAGCACAATCTTAGTTTCATCAAGCTCCTGTTGGATCTTCATGATGCTGTCGGCCTGGCTGGGATCCTGGTACTTGACAATGTATTCCTTGAGCTGGGGCAAGGGGCATGCATTTTCGCGCAAAGAAGGGTCGGAGAAAGAAGTGCGCGGGTGCTTGGCCAGGAACTCATCGACGATCTTGCCCAGGAGCTGGTGGGCCACAAGAGCAGGGTAGTCGCCGTCTGTAACAATCACACCAGCAACACCCTCGGTCCGACCATAGGCGTGGAAAGTGTATGCCTTCTCCTCGATATCCTGTCGCTGGCCAGCTTTGGTCTTCTCTGCAACGGTTCGGGTGAAGAGCATCAAGAATTCATCGTAGCTATCAAACGCTGTTAATAGCTTGTTCATCTAACCGGAAGCGGAGCGGGTCGACATACTTCTGGCGAGTAAAGCGGGAAAAGCTGAGAGATGTTAACAAGACAGTTCATCGGATTGCGAGGTCGATCGCAATACATACCTGCCGAGATCCTTTTCCCCGCATAGCTGTAGAGCTGGCTGGGTGTCGTTACGGAAAACCTTGACGTTGAAAGTCAGATATGAGTCCATGAAACATTTTCACTAGCCTTTAGGAAAGACACATACGCCCATATACAGAATCTTCATTGTGGCTGCGTGGTCCTGATCGTGGGGTGAACAAGAAAGGAGGCAAGTAGCTGTCGGAGGTGGGGCACTGAGGTACTGTAGGGCGCGATCCCAATAACACTTGAGGAGTCAAAGGATGAAGCAACTAGGTTGTTGCAGGAAGACAGTAATAGGATAAACCGAAGTGGCAAATGTAAAGTGACAAGGAGATTCCAGGCTTAACAGGCTCCTGGCTGCTGATAACAATGATGCGCTCCGCATGAGCACACACCGCTCTTGTCATGCGACCGACTGAGCCCTGCGGGACTGCCCTATGACTACTTTTGGCTCTTCAGATCCCCCTCATTCCCCAGTGAGCTTTCGTTTTTTATTTCGTTCTCACTTAGCTGACAATAATCTCCATTTACAGCATGGAAAGCATTGCAGCAACCGAGTCGCAGTGGCTGTCACAGCTGGCGGCTATGCGCCAGGCCATCGCCGATCTCAAGCTCCCGCAAGACATCAACCAAGAACCGATCGGCTACGGAAGTGACCTTGATTTGGATATTGACGATGACTATTCCTCTCCTGGAACAGTTGACGATGTCTGGGATATTATAAGCTCGGACGATGAGACCTCAGACGACTTAGATGAGTTTTACGGACTCAATCAAGCTCAACCCACCCCCGAATCATCCTACAACCGGTCATGGCTGGAAGGCAAGTGCCAGGATATTGCCATTCGCAACTCGAGCATGAACCCCATGGAACTTGCCCAGCAACTCATCGCCACCCTCGCAGCCGACAACAATGACGAGGAGCTTCAGATGTCTTTGGCCGAGATTGTTGGGTTCGATGACCTGGACTTGGTCATCGACCTGATCGCACACCGAGAGGAGGTTCTTTCTGATAAGGGTCAGCGTTTGGAACATCAAACAGATGGGCTTATGGGCGGCAAACTCCTGACACGGGCGGAGAGAGAACGTGCACTCCAGGAGCGCGACTTCGAACATAAGAATGCCATATTGATGCCGGCACAAACCCGATCAGAACCTTCCTACCCACATGTTTTCAAGCAACACTCCTCCGGAAATACTCTCTCCGCGAACGGCCGGAAATACGGACTACCTCTTGGGAGCAAGCAGATTAAAGAACCCAAATACACTGAATTCGAGATCCCAGCCGCGAAGGTTGGAACCTTAGGAAAAGGCCAGAAGCTAGTCCAGATCTCCGAAATGGATGGACTATGCCAAGGAACTTTCAAGGGATACAAAACTCTCAATCGTATGCAAAGTTTGCTTTACGATGTAGCATACAAGACCAGCGAGAACATGCTTATTTGCGCGCCCACGGGTGCGGGTAAGACTGACGCTGCCATGTTGACTGTCCTCAATGCGGTTGGAAAGAACACAACTCCCAATCCTCTGGAAGTTCCCGATGCGACTGAATTTACCGTTCAGGTTGATGATTTCAAAATTGTCTACGTTGCCCCCATGAAAGCTTTGGCCGCCGAAGTAACAGAGAAACTGGGGAAACGATTGGCGTGGCTGGGCATCAAGGTCCGCGAACTGACAGGTGATATGCAGTTGACCAAGCGTGAGATCGTGGACACCCAGATTATCGTGACTACCCCTGAAAAATGGGACGTTGTGACGCGTAAAAGTACTGGGGACACAGAGCTTGTACAGAAGGTCCGCCTTCTCATCATTGATGAAGTTCATATGTTGCACGACGAGCGAGGAGCTGTCATTGAATCATTGGTTGCGCGCACCCAGCGCCAGGTTGAAAGCACTCAGTCCTTGATCCGCATCGTTGGTCTATCGGCCACACTCCCCAACTATATTGATGTGGCCGATTTCTTGAAAGTCAACAAAATGGCTGGCATGTTCTTCTTCGATCAATCTTTCCGGCCGGTACCTCTTGAGCAGCATTTCATCGGCGTCAAAGGAAAGCCCGGCTCCAAGCAGTCTCGTGATAACATCGATGGGGTCGCATATGAAAAGGTCCGCGATATGTTGGAAAGAGGCCACCAAGTCATGGTCTTCGTTCACTCGAGAAAGGACACCGTAATGACGGCGAGAATGCTGATGCAAATGGCTGCCGAGGAAGGCCGGGATGATTTGTTTAGCTGCCATGAGCATGAAGACTACACCTCGGCTCTTCGCGACATGAAGCATGCACGGGCAAGAGAACTGCGAGACTTGTTTGCGGCCGGATTTGGTACGCATCATGCTGGAATGGCACGAAGTGATCGTAACTTGATGGAGCGAATGTTCTCTGAGGGTCTTATCAAAGTGCTTTGCTGTACTGCCACATTAGCGTGGGGTGTCAATCTTCCCGCAGCTGCTGTTGTCATCAAAGGCACACAGTTATATAACCCTCAGGAGGGTAAATTCATTGACCTGAGCATTCTTGATGTGATGCAAATCTTTGGTCGTGCTGGTCGTCCGCAGTTCCAGGACACTGGTATAGGATTTATCTGCACGACACATGACAAGCTGAACCATTATCTCTCCGCTGTCACTGCGCAGCAGCCTATCGAATCTCGCTTCTCTGCCCGACTGGTTGATAATCTGAATGCTGAAATCTCGCTCGGGACAGTTACATCAGTCCCAGAGGCAGTACAATGGCTGGGTTACTCCTACCTCTTTGTGCGCATGAAACGTGAGCCCAGAAACTATGGAATTGAGTTTGCCGAGCTTCGTGACGATCCTATGCTTGTCCAAAGACGTCGGCAATTGATCATACAGGCTGCTCGCGTTCTACAGAAGAGCCAAATGATCATCTTCAATGATAAGACCGAAGATCTCAAAGCCAAGGATGTTGGTCGCATTGCAAGTCAATACTACGTCTTACAAACCAGTGTTGAGATCTTCAATGACATGATGCGTGCACGATCTGGCGAGGCAGATGTGTTGAAAATGATCAGTATGAGCGGAGAATTTGACAACATTCAGTCTCGCGACAGTGAATCAAAGGAACTGCAGCGACTGCGTGATGAAGTTGCGCAGACTGAAGTTGCCGGAGGAAACGATACACCACATGCAAAGACCAATCTTTTACTCCAATCCTACATCTCCCGTGCTAGGATCGAAGACTTCGCTTTGGCTTCCGATATGGGCTATGTTGCCCAGAACGCAGCACGTATCTGCCGTGCTCTCTTCATGATTGCCCTTAATCGCCGCTGGGGTTATCAATGTCAGGTCCTGCTGTCTCTATGCAAGTCGATTGAAAAACAAATTTGGCCTTTCGACCATCCATTCCGTCAATTTGATTTACCGCAACCGGTTTTGAGAAACCTTGATGAAAAGCTTCCAAGCACCTCCATTGAATCTATGAGGGAAATGGAGCCTGCGGAAATTGGCCAGCTTGTTCACAATCACCGTATGGGCAATACGTTGTCCAGGCTGCTGGACAATTTCCCTACTCTTAGCGTTGAAACCGAGATAGCCCCGCTCAACCGCGATGTCCTTCGCATTCGCCTTTCTATTTACCCCGAGTTTACCTGGAATGATCGTCACCATGGAACGTCTGAATCCTTCTGGGTTTGGGTTGAGAACTCGGAGACATCCGAAATTTACCACCATGAATACTTCATCCTGAGTCGCAAGAAGCTCTACAATGATCATGAGCTCAATTTCACGATACCACTATCTGACCCCTTGCCAAGTCAGATCTATATTCGTGTGATTTCCGATCGTTGGCTGGGCGCTGAAACCGTCAGCCCAGTTTCCTTCCAACATCTTATCCGCCCTGACACCGAAAGCGTTTACACCGATCTTCTCAATCTTCAGCCCTTACCGATTTCAGCCCTCAAGAACCCAATCCTTGAGGAGGTGTATGGTCAGCGCTTCCAGTTCTTCAACCCTATGCAGACTCAGATCTTCCATCTACTTTATCACACCCCGGCCAATGTCCTTCTGGGTTCCCCCACTGGTAGTGGAAAGACCGTTGCCGCTGAGCTGGCAATGTGGTGGGCTTTCCGTGAAAAGCCCGGCTCCAAGGTCGTCTACATTGCACCTATGAAAGCTCTGGTGCGTGAGCGTGTTCAAGACTGGCGCAAACGCTTGACACAGCAAATGGGCCTTAAACTTGTCGAGTTGACTGGTGATAACACACCTGATACCCGTACTATCCGGGACGCAGACATCATCATCACAACCCCTGAAAAATGGGATGGTATCTCCCGTAGTTGGCAGACTCGTGACTATGTCAGAAAGGTCAGTTTGGTCATCATTGACGAGATCCACTTGCTGGGTGGTGATCGTGGTCCCATTTTGGAAATTATTGTTTCTCGAATGAACTACATCGCTTCTCAATCCAAGGGATCAGTTCGCCTGATGGGCATGTCGACAGCCTGTGCAAATGCTTCTGATCTTGCCAACTGGCTTGGTGTCAAGGAGGGATTGTACAACTTCCGGCACTCGGTCCGTCCGGTTCCCCTTGAAATTTTCATTGATGGTTTCCCTGAGCAGCGAGGATTCTGTCCTCTCATGCAGTCAATGAACCGACCCACTTTCCTTGCCATCAAGAACCACTCTCCAGAGAAGCCGGTCATTGTCTTTGTTGCTTCTCGTCGCCAAACACGTCTCACTGCCAAGGATCTGATCAACTACTGCGGTATGGAAGACAATCCTCGCCGATTTGTGCGCATGTCTGAGGATGATTTGGAACTCAACCTTGCTCGTGTAAAGGATGATGCCCTGAGGGAAGCCCTCAATTTCGGCATCGGTCTGCATCATGCTGGTTTAGTCGAATCCGATCGCCAGCTGGCGGAGGAACTCTTCGCCAACAATAAGATCCAAATTCTCGTTGCTACAAGTACTCTTGCGTGGGGTGTCAACCTTCCAGCTCATCTTGTGGTGGTCAAGGGTACACAGTTCTTCGATGCTAAGATTGAAGGTTACCGTGATATGGATTTGACCGATGTTCTTCAAATGCTCGGTCGTGCCGGTCGTCCCCAGTTCGACACATCTGGTATTGCCCGTATCTTCACGCAAGATTCCAAGAAGGCTTTCTACAAGCATTTCCTTCACACTGGCTTCCCAGTCGAATCGACTTTGCACAAAGTCCTGGATAACCATCTTGGCGCTGAAGTCTCTGCTGGAACTATCACTACCCAACAGGATGCATTGGACTACTTGACTTGGACATTCTTTTTCCGCCGATTGCACAAGAATCCATCTTACTATGGTCTGGAAATCTCTGCTGAGGATCAAAACTCCATGGCAGCCCAAACTATAGCTCAAGATTTCATGGTTGACCTGGTCGGCAAATCACTGAATGACCTGGCGGAATCTTCTTGTGTCCTTGTGGACTCCGCGACTGGAGAGGTGGACCCTACTCCATTCGGCAAAATCATGAGTTACTACTACTTGTCTCACAAAACGATCAAATATCTCATGGCACACGCTAAGCGCGATCCAACCTTCCAAGATGTATTGAGTTGGATGTGCTCTGCCACTGAGTTTGACGAGCTTCCTGTCCGACACAACGAAGATCTCATCAATGCAGAACTCGCTCAGAACCTTCCTCTCTCCATTGAATGTATGGGTGATCTTCCCTTGTGGGATCCACATACGAAGGCGTTCCTTTTGCTTCAGGCTTACATGTCCCGGATTGATCTACCCATTACAGATTATGTGGGTGATCAGACGTCGGTACTTGATCAAGGAATCCGTATTATTCAGGCATCAATCGATGTCATGGCTGAGCTCGGCTATCTTCCTGCGTGTCAAATGCTGATGACCTTGCTCCAATGCATCAAGTCTGCACGCTGGCCCGAGGACCATCCTTTGTCTATCTTGCCAGGTGTGCCAACCGAGAAACCACCCAGTGGTCTTCCTGGCACTCTCGTCTCGCTTTCCTCGCAGTCCAGTGGTGCGGTCGCTGCTCTTGTCAAGAGGCTCGCGCTTCCGTTCAGCTTTGCCCGCGCGTCCTCTCAGCTGCCCCATCTCTCTGTCTCGGTCGCAACAGTCTCTGCTAAGGGTGTGACTGTTTCTTTGACACGCCGCAACTCTCCCACAAACCCTGACTGCAGGATCTACGCGCCCCGTTTCCCCAAGCCTCAAACCGAGGGCTTCTTCCTCATCACCTGCAGTGCTCTACCCAATGGTGCCGATGGTGAGCTTTTGGGCCTGAAGCGTGTCTCGTGGCCACCGGTGGCTAAGCGCAACGGCAATGGCAAGGGCAGTTCCGGTGCTGGCTCTAGTCGCGGGTCATCCAATGACAAGGGCGGACAGCTAACAGTGCGTTCTTCGGTCAAGTTCCCTGAAGGAATGCTCGCACAAGCATCATCAGTGACCACCTCTGGTACCGCCCGAGTGAATATCAGGATCATCAGCGATTCCTATGTTGGGATGGCATGGTCTGTCACCAACGTGGAAGTGAAATTGGATGCCATTGCGGAAACCCAAACTGTGGCCGAATCAAGCATTCCTCAAAAGGACTAGAATTTGAGGTTGGGCTTTGAATAACAATAAGATACAGCATTTCAGTAACATAAGGAAATCCCAAACCACTTCTTCAAAGCCGCAAATCGTCCCTCCTCCGTCTGATATGAATCAATCACCCTCGTCCTTCCCCCCATATTCAATTTAATCTCATCGTTCACCATCATAATCTTCCCAACCACAAAGATATCTTCACTCTCTGGCCCTCCCTCCCCCTGCAACAACGGCAACCCATCAGTCTCTTCGTTACGAATGAACTTCACCACAACGAAACTCCGTTTCTGCACCGCATCCCAACTCGTGAACCGATTCATCACCTCAAAGTCATCTTGAAAGAACTCCAATTCGGCAAAAGCATAGAACGAATTCCACGGCTTTTCCTCTCCGTTGCGATACTGATATATCCAGACCTTCTGCTCTCGCCTCGTCTGCTTCGGCATATTACCGTAGATTAGTCGGACTTCCTGTGCTCCCAGGTTTCGCGTCACTTGTCCAGATACCAAGGGGAGTGGACTTGTCGGACCGTCGCCCCCAAATGCCGCGTCTAAATGGAATTCCCGTCCATCTGGTAGGCGCACAATGTTGACGATATGTGTCCTGCTTCGTCAGGACTAGTTCCAACGTTCAATGTTGCATTTCGTTGTGATCACTTTTACTCACCATCCAAAATATTCTCCCTGCGGTATACCGCCTTGGCGTAGTCGGTTACGGACGCCAGTCATGTATACGGCAAAGCCTAGCCCGCGTAAAATGTGGTGGAAGAATATGCTCACTTCGAGACAGTAGCCCCCTCGACATGACGGGAGGGCTGTTTCATCTCCTAGCAATTTGGTGTAGATTCGCTCTGGCTGGATCTCGGCCAATTGAGTGGAGGAGTAGTGACATGTTAAATTGTCGTATGGGAATCTGGTGATTTGGCACCGGAAGAGGTCTTTCAAGCCTTGTTCTGTGTTGGGGAACTCCTGTGGACTAGGTCCATATTTGTCGGGTAAATCGATATAGCTGAGATATTTGGCCAACTGCGCCGGCGTGTAGGCCGATACTAGCTTTTCTTCCATCGCGATGATCGATACAAAATTCTTTCGCTCAAGCTTGGAAGGGCTTTCGAGGTCTATACTTAAGTACTTTAGTATATTGAGTGTTGTGACTCCCCAAGACGTTGCGATTATGGTGACTGTGAGTCATCATATATGCCAGCCTTGGAAGGCAATGATTGGCTTTGGATTGAGTTCAGGCTACATTCGCCATTGCAGCTGGGCATTCAGTGTCAATTGGTTCCTCAATGTCAATTGGTCGAGTCTAGAATATGTTTTATGGGGTCTATCGCGCCCTGTCGAAATCTCCTGTTTCCACATCCGACAAGTCCACCCGAGAGTAAATGCATCCAAATGAATCATGCTGTTATTAAAGTAATAAAGAAGGATCAGGTAAGAAGAACAATGTGAAAAAATTGCTATGACGTGGCAAAGGGGAATCAAAATCGAAGATGCCAATAAGAGGCTGGAGAAGAAGAAGAAGAAGAAGAAACGAGGATGAAAGAAAATAGTAAGGAATGTTGGGTAGATGTCACAGACACTCTATCCTCAGCTCTTGCGAAACACCAGGCCGATGACCACGATGAGCATCCGTAATCTGCGGTGTCAGAGCCCGCCGCTGCACAATGCGCTCTTCCGCATCGAGCTGATCAACTCTATTGCCAACCGGAACGAGAACATGTCGCTTAGCCCGGGAGACGGAGACCGATCGCGCGACCGAGACCTCAACTCGGGGGATCACTACCTGAGTCTCGGGTTCGAGCTCGGGCTCTTCTTGCTCGGGTTCTTCGAGAACCTCTACTGCGTCAACGAATGGCATGCGCGTAGAATCGGATGGTGAGATTCCGGATCGGGCCCCCGTTGAGGCTGACAATGGGGACATTATGCGGTCGATCTTTTCCTGGGTTGGGTTCAAGGTTGGCAGTGAGCCGAGAGATGTGCTGGATAGGATGTCTTTGGCAGGTGGGGCCGGCCGGTGTTCTGTTTCAACTCTGAGACGCGGGCGTATAGTGGGTTCGGGCTCTTGTTGATCGAGCCACTTGTCAATGCGGTTTTGGTTGGACGTCTTCTGTGGTGAGGCGTGAAGGTGGAGGTTCTCCATTGGCCGCGGTAGGGAATCCTTTCTAGGTTGCGGCGCCGGTCGTGGCTGCGTATCCTGCTTCACGAGCAGTGGTTTTTGGGAAAGACTACTTGGCTGCAACCGGGCTTGGTGTGGTGATGGGGTGTTTCTTGGCGACTGAGTCACCCTTTGTAGGTGGCTGGACTGAGACTCTGATCTGATGGCAGGAAGAGGCTTGTCATAGCTGTGGCTGCTCGTGGATCTTGGGGTGCTAGAGCCGGCGGAGAACAGCCTCGGGATGACAGGCGACTCTAGCGACGACAGGCTGTTCTTGTTCGATCCATGACAAGGCTGTTGCTTGGATGGACTTTCGACAGGGAGCGTGTTTGCTCGCATCAATGGACTGGGACCGCGAGAGAAGTTCTGCGTTCCGAGCAACTGAGCAGCTTTAGAAGGTTGAGATGTCGGGAACAGGGTGAATGTTGATTGTGCTGGCGATGTTGCCCGGCGTTGAGGCATTGGGGGTGGCACGGGGGCCTTGATAAAGCCCTATGTTTTGGTCAGTGAAGCACTTGAGGTACAGTATACATCCACATACATTAACGTCTGGGACCTGCAGGTTGTCTAGGGTCTTGGCCCTTCTGGCCAGCAGTGGGGGCCTTTGGTTTTTGTCAACGACATCGCGGAACATGACGCTGTAACGCTCCATCTGAACATCTGGGATATTGACACTCAGCATGGGTCCGGGGTTGGGTGGCGGCTGCGGTTGACTCTTTGGAGCCTTATTTCCACTCAGGGAAAACTTCCGACCCCTCTTAGGGCTTTCGTGAGTTCGATTTTGCGGGGGATCAACCTCGACTGCTGGCCACTCTTCCGTTGAGTTCTTTCTCTCCTTAGTTTTGCGCGGTTTTTCAAATTGTCTATACTCGTGTGGCAGCTTGGCCTCGGCCGTGTGCATCTCCTCCGGTGAGGAGGTCAGGGCCTGCTTCGCCTTGAACAATCCCCCAATCTTCTTCCATTTGCTCGGTTTGTGGGTCAAGCCCTGTCCGTTTCCTGAGAAAATCGATGTATCAAATCTGGGCGGCGGCAGAGCCTCATTTTGCTTGAGTAGTCCGGGACTCCCCAGGGCAATCCCGATCATATCTTGCTCCGCTGGGGTGCGAGTGTGAGATCGGACGGCTTCATCTGGTGGCGCGGTAATACGGAAGTCGAAGGTGGTGCCCTCGCCCGGCGGGGGTCTTCTGAACCATCCATCTCCCGGAGAGGGTTGGCGGAAATCCCATTGTCCTAAGGAGTCTTGGCAGTGTGCGGCCTCCGGGGCCTGGAGGTCGCTTCCAGGCAAAGCATCAGTATAGGTCAACACTGGGAATGAGATGGTCTCGGTAGGTTGTGTGCGAGACATCACAGTCGTCATTCCTCTCGCCATCTCTTCGTATAATGGAAACCAGCCAGTATGCGTAAGGGTCGGGGAGAGAATCACTGGTATTAAACGAGATCTCGGATCATGTAAGAGAGAATGACCTTCCAGAAGGCCTCGGTCTCAAACAAAATCGAGAAATGAAAAAGGTCAGCAGAGAGACGGATTTGGGTATATTAATGAAAGGATATTAGTGGCAATGTAAGAGTCTCATGAGTGGAGTCATCTCATCAGAAGAGTCTGTAAATGAGACACAGAACCAAATTAATTGAATCAGATTAGTGCACATCACACATCCATGCATTCAGATTGGATCTTGACTCTCCCGAAACGGTGTTCAGTGCGTCCAAACGCTGTCTAGCCTGGGGCTGAATTGTCACGGGCTGGACATGGGGGGACCAACGAGACAACCAGGATGTGAATATCACACTGAATTGCGTCTGAGCCAAAGGCAAAGGGGGCGTCTCAGCGCTAATATCGGGCGCTGAGTGAGATGCTTATTTCCCTGCAGGCGAATGAACGCGTGCGGTCGCGGATTAATTGGCTCGCTACCACGACGAGAAGCCAACGAGGGCTCCGCACTGACCGAAGCTATGCAGGAGGCGTGTTTCACCCGGGAAATTGGTGAGACAAAGTTCAGAGATCTCTGACAGGGGGACACTGATATCTGCTCAACCATGGCCATCTTTGACACTGGCAGGTGTCTGGATTTTGCGTGTTTCATCGATCGGCAAGTCCAGTGTGCTTTGTGTTTGTGCTCGTGCTGGACTTTGCTCGCAGATCCCCTGAGGTTAGTGCCGAGTATGGAGTATTCCATTGTTAGTGTTCACTTAGTACACTTAGTACACTTAGTACACTTAGTACGAGTACTCGTAGTGAGTAGCCATGGTGAGTCGAGGTAAGCTTAAACCGAACTAGCGGTCAAGCTCTTCGTTGACTCTTCTACGGAGTAAAAAGGGCTGAGGGTGTCTTCCATAGTACATGTAGTCGAGTACAAGGTATAAAGATCGACGGGTACCTGGGATGTTTGCTGTATGACATACATATCTCCCTTGCTTGAAATATTTATTTATACTTACTTCCATTGTCATCTATAGGTTGAGTACCTAGTAAGATACTTAAGTCTGACATGAATTTATAGACATCCAGTGTACAAAAGCACATCGTCCTCGATCAGACATGTCCAACTTTTCCTAAAGTCCATGCAGATTGAGGCTCTCCGTAGATCAAATAAAATAATCTTACTACTTTAGAAGGCTGCTACAAAATGTAAAGGGAAGAAACGGTTGGATCGTCATATGGCGGGGTCCTCTCCCGACCGCCACAACAGAACCCCACTACTTTCTCTCTTCTCTCTCTCCTCTTCTCTCAGCTCTCTTCTCTGTATATTCAACTTTTCAGGTATTTCCACCGTGACCCAGCTTCTCTTCCAGCTCCTTACATCCACAGCGTTATTCTATCTCTTTCACAGCCATGGGTGACCACGCAGCAATCTGGCAAAGTACGGCAAGCTCCAGCTCAATCGTGAATTCCGCTAACCCCTGATTCTCTGCAGGCTATGTCGACTCCAGGTACATCACCCTTCGATCCCAATAGACACGGAGCAATGGATATCTAGAGAGAGACATCCACGATGACTCAGTCGGCTATCCATACCCCATCTCGACATGCGACCCGCGAGGGCGCGTCATTCCTAGCTCGATATACTGACTCTCTGGCAGCCTGATGGGCTCAGGCCAATTCGACAAGGCCGGTATCCTTGCAGTCGACTTCTCCGGTCTCAGCGCCGCCTCAGCCGGCTTTGCCGTATGCTCCCCTATCTTTCCCTATCCGACCCGGTCACTAATCACTTTGACCCTCAGCTCTCCCAAGAAGAGATCAACTCCCTCATCTCTGCTTACACCTCCTCCGATAACGCCTTCGCCAACGGTTTCTCCATCGCCGGCGAGAAGTTCGTCACTATCAAGGCCGATGAGCGCAGTCTATACGGCAAGAAGGTAAGAGCACACCTCGGCTCGATCATGGTCTCGGGGGTTGGGTGCTAATTTATGTCTGATTCCAGGGTAAGGAGGGTGTCATTGTGGCTCGCGCTTCCTCTTGCACTATCATCGCCCACCACGGCGAGGGTGTCCAGACCACCAACGCCGCCACTGTCGTTGAGAACCTCGTTGACTACCTCAACAAGGCCTAAGTAAATTCGTTCAAAATATGCTCGCGACGATACCTACATGATTTGATGAGCGGGAAAGTTGTTTGTGAAGAATATGAGAGACAGGTGCATTCAAGTCATGCGTTGACTTGGTTCCCTTGTTCGCCCGGAGACGTGCTTTCAATGTGCAAACGGATGAAGATAGCTTGTCTATTCTCTAAAATGCATATTAACTAGATCACCGACGGTGATCGATAAGGGGTCATTATTAATTACATAAATCGGAAGGCCGTAGATGTATCGTGTGTCATCCCATGTCTCGACTCGGGACCTCGGGAATACCTTAAGACTCGGACAGCTCCTTCGGGAGTTGGCCGAGTCTTTCTTTCTTTCTTTCGTTTTTGTTTTTGTGTTTTTGTTAAGTTTGACCGTGCGCTCACGTCCCATTGCTGTGATCGAGGTTCAAACGAGACAGCCGGAGTGGGGATTCATACAGGGAGCTCGGCGTTGCTCCTACCACCAGCGAGAATTTCCAAGCCACGCTGGATATACGGTCCGATCACGGGGATGTTCCCCGCGAATTGACCGATTGTAACAAGGAAATCCCCGAACAGGATGAACAAGCCGTACAGCTCGATCAAAAATCCAGTCAGAGGCCAGCGGAACAGGATGAGGATGATACCGGCGGCGAAGGCGGCAGTTCCCTTGAGTTTCTGTGGGCGCGTGAAGAACGTTATAGTCTTTTGGACACCGATGATAAGAGTCAATCCAATAATAAAGAGGATCTGGGAGTCGTTAGTCCGATTCATGTAGAGTAGAGTGAAACGCATACGTTGCCCATGGCAAGTCTATTAGACGAAACGTTAGCTCCCGAACATCTGATCGATATCAATGAAACTTGAAACTTACAAGGACCGGTCGAAGAACATCAGCACGCCTCCAAATAGGAACAATCCACCTAATTAGTAGACACGGTTAGTTCACATCCATCAAAACGACTTCGATGTAGGTCATCATACCCGCTGAGCAGAAGACCACACCGATCTCTGTATTTCAAATTAGCCAGAATTCTTGTTTAAAACTGCCGTGCATCTGCCATTGATGGCAGGCGACACAGTCGTAGTGAATGCGACTGACTCTGATTTTCTGTCAACCACATGCTAGGCATCTTGTTATTTAGGCGCTGATTGTTGGCAATATGTCGCGCCGGTATTGCAAAAGAGATATCGGACTGATCGAGGGCACGCGACACGTTTCGTTTGGGTCTGGGGCCAAGTGCGATTGTAGGCAGACGTTTGCGGTGGTGGAAGGTGTGGTTGTGGCAGAGATGACGTGTTTATTGACACCAACGATAGAGTCGAGTTCTATGGTAAAGTCGAACACGCTGGGGCCACAAGGCAATAACTCAACAAAGACCACTGGCAAAGTGCAAAAGTCCTGGTAAACAGAGAACGGCGTTTCGAGAAATCCCCCGTTTCTGCCGGGTAACCGCCAAGGAATGAGCGGGCGGTGACTCCAGGGCCTTTTCTTGCCAATTTCTGTTTTTCCGCTTCAACTGCCTTTGGTCTACGGAGTATGACTGCTGTACGGAGTACAATTGACCCGGTCTCTAATGATGTGACTTATTCAATTGAATAGATTCCAGTATCCAGGTCTACACCCGAATTGAATTTGCGCGACTTGAGCCAGTGCTCCGCCATCAAATTCCAAAATTATCTATTCCGCCGCGACGACAGTCTCTTCATGATTCTGTAACTGGTGCCCTGTCCCGTGGGGCGTCGGTAATAGTCGAGTGCATTGCACAAGGCGAAGAATGACTTTTGATCACGAATAAGCCGGAGCGCTTTCTTGAGCCTGTCTCGAAAGGGGCATGGTGGGGTGGAAAGGGCTTGACTGTGTTGGTCGTACATAACTCTTTGTAGGGAATTCGTTTCTGTCTAGCTCAATCAATAAGCTGTGTTGACCCTTTTCTGGGCTCCATTTACATACCTTTCATTATACTTTCCTGGGGGATTGAGGAGCATTGATCTCCTACTCTACTTCAGGATAGTGTGCGCTCCACGGGCTTCCAAGTAGTTCTCGGGAACGCCTTGAGCCAGTGTCCGAATCACCTTGAAAATCTCCTTGTCGTGGTATCGCAAGCGCGTCTTCGGATCGGTGTATTGGCCGCTCAACCCGGTGATATCGCAGTAGTGGTGTTGGTAGGCAGGATTGAAAGAGGGTGCCGATTCAATGTTGGTGTAGGTCACGGCAGGGCCGGTCGGGTTTGTCGCCCGAGCATTCTTTTCAAGGACCAGAGTAGAGAGGTTCTGAGTAGCTTGTGAGAGGTTTGGTGCAGCACCTTCAGCAGGAGTTCGTGTGCCGTCGCCGAAGGTCCCTGGTGTGGTTGCGCCCGAGTTGGCTTGGGTCGCCATCACTGATGCTTCCTTCCTGGAACTTTCAGAGAGCATCTGCTTCACATTTTTGTTTCGACGCTGGGAAGGCTTCCAATTGTGGTTGCGGAATGACTTGGGGGCATGGGCGATGTCGAGTGTGTTCAGTAGCTGCTGGTGAGCTTCGTCGTTGGCTGGGTTTGGGGGAGGCATGGTGTATGGATCGAATTGTGGGTTCCAAGGAACTATTTAGTTGTATATATACCCAGAATAATTTCTGAAACTGATTAGTCGTCGGTTTGGAGTACGTGCTGGCACTTGAATGTAGGGCCCAGGGAACACCCTTTCGTCGGAAGTCTGTATAGCTGCACGTGACCCTATTATCACTTCCAAACAAACTACCCGCAGAACAATCAACAACCCAGTCCCCTACCGCCATGGTATGTATGGGAGAAATGAATCTCTGTATTCACTAGTCTACTGGCATCCAAATACTCATATTCAATCAGGAGAGCCCTCACGAGCATCAACAGACAGTGCTATTGTCCCGCATCATCGGCAATGTGGTATGTTGACCAGTTTATTACACTGGGGGACTGGACTGACGTGCTCATGCCATACAGGAGAAACTCAATGAAGCTGTCATGGTTATGAACAAAGGCCTGCAGGTGGGTGTTCCATTGGATAGGTGTGGGCTATATTGACCTGGTGTAGGAAGTCAACATTCAGAACATGAACGTTGAGCTTGTGGCCCAGATGTTCAAGAACTACCAGTCAAATGTTCTCTTCCATCTTGAAGGCATGAAAACAATGCCCTTTCTCCTCTTCTATCGTATTACTGACACCTCCCATAGCTACAGAGAATCTGAAAGAGCCCTCCTAGGCTTAACGTGTAACGAAGAGATGAGATATCATGATGAATTCTAAAGTTTCCATCGACGATCTATTCTGGCTCTAGCTTTATTTGATTAAACGTAGTTAAATACTATGTAAATTTACCTACGAATGAAGTCCTTATTGTGTCTTGATTGTAAACGGGAGTGTCCCGATAGTAGATAGCCTCCCCCATTCTTGGCGTAATTCGGCCAAACTTCAGCGACAACCGCGTTTGTGCCGTTTGTATCGTTTGCTTCCTTTCCACTCGCGACAGGGTATCGCGAAATTATATTTATAGACAGCTGATTCTGCTATCCACTGTCGATCCCAAGAGCTCCGGAGCGCATCCAGCTATGACGATTACCGCAGTGCAGAGCCTCCTACCAGGCCGCATCGCCTCCAATTCCTCCGAAAAGCAGACCGAAAAGCCTCCTCCACAACTACACGGCATTACAGACTTCCCCTTCAAAGGCTACCATCCCCCACAGCCTGAAGGATACCGACAAAGCCAAGCCCACCCCGATACCAGCGCCATCGTCATCGACAATGGTGAGCAGCTCGATCCAAGCCCCCGGTATTAATTGCTAACCAATGTGCTACTTGCGCAGGCGCTCATCTGGTCAAGGCCGGTTGGTCGTTCGACAAAGCCCCCCGATTCGCAATTCCCCCCGTTATGAGCCGATACCGCGATCGCAAGCTCATGCGTCAATGCCAGTTTATCGGCTACGATGCTTACGTCGATGCAACTACCCGGGGACAACTGCGCAATGGCTTTGATCCTGGCTCGAGTGTGGTGGGTAACTGGGATGTCATGGAAGGGGTGCTGGACTACCTGTTCATCAAGCTGGGCGTTGACGGTGCCAATGGCGGTGTCGGCCGTCCCATTTTAATGACGGAGCCAATCGCGAATTTGGGATATTCGAGAAAGAGTGAGTGGCTTTTCGATCCCCGGGGCTGTGGGTGCTAACTCCGGCAGTGATGAACGAAATTCTGTTCGAATGCTACTCTGCGCCTTCGGTGGCTTACGGTGTCGATTCGTTGTTCTCATATCGGTACAATGGTGGAAAGGACGGCTTGATTGTGGACTCGTCGCATACATCTACCCATGTCATTCCCGTCATGGATTCGAAACCCGTGTTCTCCAACTCCTCCCGCCTTAATTGGGGTGGCTTGCAGGGCTCCGAATACCTGATGAAGCTTATGAAGCTCAAATACCCAACCTTCCCGACTCGTTTGACGGACGCGCACATGGAAGAGATGGTTCACAACCACTGCTACGTTTCCCAAAATTACAATAGCGAGTTGAATGGGTTCCTGGAGTGGTCCGGACTGGAGGACCGTGATCGTGTCATTCAGTACCCCTTCACAGAGCACGTTGTCCAAGAAAAGACAGAAGAAGAACTCGCCAAAATCGCCGAGCGAAAGAAGGAGAGTGGTCGCCGTCTTCAGGAACAAGCTGCCAAGATGCGCCTTGAAAAGCTCGTCCGAAAGGAGCAAGAGCTGGAGTACTGGAAGGCCCTTCAGATCAGACTGGAGAGTGAGAACAAGAAGGAGACTCGCCGCATTCTTGAAGCCGAGGAGTTGAAGGATGAGGCCGCCCTAGAGAGAATGATTCGCGAATTAGAGAAGTCTATCAAACGCTCCCGCAACAAGGATCTCGGCATTGAAGAAACCGAGGAGCAGCCCGAAGAGATGACATTCCCTATGCTCGATATCCCGGATGATCAGTTGGACGAAGCTGGCCTGAAAGAGAAGCGACACCAACGGCTAATGAAGTCTAATGTGGATGCTAGACTGCGTGCCAAAGAAGAAAAAGAACGTGAGAAGGCTCGGGTTGCGGAAGAGGAGAGGCTAGACCGTGAGGAGCGTGAGAACAACTTCGAGCGCTGGATCTCCAAGCGTCGCGACAACCGCCAGGTATGTTTATCAAACAAATTGCATGTCACCTTTCTCCACTAACAATGTTGTCTAGCGCATCCTTCAAAGTATAAAGGACCGTGATCGATTCACTGCTGACCTTGGCAACCGCAAGTCCCTCGCCAGTCAAATGCGAATGAAGACGCTAGCAAACCTGGCATCTGACGGCCCCAAGAAGCGTCGCCGCGGTGGTGATGACGATGACTTCGGTGCCAACGATGATGACTGGGGTGTCTACCGTACTGTTGCTGTTGGCGAGGCCAGTGATGATGAGGAAGAAGAGGATCTCAATGCTACGCTCGACGCCGCTGAAAAAGAATTACTCGAATTTGACCCGGAGTTCAGCGAGCACAACACTTTCGCTGCACAGTCAGACTGGACAAAGAGCCTCGTCCATGCGTTCCTTCGCGGGCCCTGGCCTTTCGATCCGGAAAGCCAGCGGGAAGCGCACCAGCTTCATTTGAACGTTGAGCGCATCCGCGTTCCTGAAGTTGTCTTCCAGCCCTCCATTGCCGGTGTTGACCAGGCTGGTCTAATCGAGATTGTGGCCGATATCATTAATCAGCGCTATACGAACCCGCAAGATCAGTCTCGATTGCTGAAGGATGTGTTCTTGACTGGTGGAAATACTCTGTTCACTGGCTTCGATGAGCGCTTCCGCAGCGAGGTACGGGGATTCCTGCCGGTCGATGCTACTCTGAATGTGCGTAAGGCATCGGATCCCGTCTTCGACGCTTGGAAGGGTGCAGCTCAATGGGCTTCTGGTGACAATTTCGGTCGCTCTTCGGTCACAAGAGAGGAATATCTAGAGAAAGGCAGTGAGTATATCAAGGAACATGAACTTGGTAATGCTACGTGGTGATGGTTTAGGAAGTTCTGAAAATACCTGGGCGCAGTGGAGTCCATTGCCTTTATTTTTCTTGTCCGGCGTGGATTCGGTGTTTTGATATTTGCAATATTCACGGCAGAGTTAGGAATCAAGTCACTCTTTGATCTTCTAGTCTTCGGCTCAAGTGCGTAGTCGTACACCGGCATCTGACTGTTTTCAATCTGTCTGCAATGCTGTGGTGGGCTGGTATACACCTCCGGTCGACCGTATCTAGTCTGTGGCCGAGGACTCGGGACCCCTGAGGCTGTCCCGACCCCGACCGGCATCCCGCCGGGCCCCCTAAACTTGCCGGAACTCTATTTGATCTATAGCGCCGATTTGAACGAACCGAACCCTCGCCCACCATCGGTGTCACCACGGTTAGAGTACGGAATAATCCCGCTTGTTCTTCAGTTCCAACAGCCTTTCACTGTGGCAGTGCTTCAAGATCACGATACCAGAACTAAGTGGGGTTGGTCTGGGATGAAGTGAGAGAGGCTCGGGTTAGGCATAGCACCGTTTTAGAAAGATGCAGCCAGCCCGGCTTCCCGTGTAGGCCATTTTCTCGCTATCAAAATACCTAATACCTAGCTGCGATCAGTGCTGGACATGGGGATGATAGTCCCGTGAGTTTATGGACAGGACGGCTAATCTCATCTCTCTATCATTTCGGACTCATGTTCAGTGGTCTGCCGAAATGATTTGAAAGTGTGGCCTTTATGCAGGCTCTATCTCGACACAAATATACCGATAGTTGGTTCTTGTTTTCAGACCCCTGTTTAGTGGTATGCATCGTGGAGAACTACTTATCACGGGCTGCATACTTCGCTCGCGATGATTAGCCCGCGACCTCGGGTAGTGCCGTTACTAGGCGTTAATCCTAGGGCTTAAGTGAGCGCTAGCATGCAAACGGTAATCCTATTATGTGATAACCTGTAACTAGTGATAGCTGAGACCAAGAAAGCGACCAATTTCCTTTTGCATCTTAGTCGCTCTTCCTAACTCGGCACAAAAAATTCCTTCACCACCTAGCCAGCTACGGAGTACTCCGAGCTCAGTACTGAGTACTTCTGCATGATTCAACTAGACTAGTCCACTAAAGGCCCATTTGATGTCCTAATTCAGCAGTTGGTCATCCGAAAGTATTCGGTTGTTTGCTAGAGTATGCCGGCCTCACCTAATGTCAGTGGGGCAATGTCTTGTATACTCATCTCAGTAGGCTTCATTCCTTTGCTTTTTCCCAGACTAATCCGAAAAGCTCAACTGAACCGATTGGCATGGTATCATGTCGTCTTCGGAATCACACCGAGATATGTTTGTCAAGACAATTGCCTCTTCGAAAGCAGGCCAGCGATCGACTTAAAAGGATGGATTTTCCCTCGAACAACTGTATCGCTATCCATCAATCTTCTCAATCTTCCCAGAAGCTCAAGACAATCTTCACCTTCCTCAACATGGTATCATTTCGCCTTTCCGACGTCATTCTTCTGACGCTCTCCCTCACTGCATCCACCACCACAGCACTCGGAATCAATTGCCGTGGCTCCGGAAACTGCAACACCTTTGGCAACGGTCTGGTTGCTGTCGAGCTTGCCAGCAAGATAATTCACGAGATTGACCCCAACCGTTGGTACAACAACGGGGAACACATTGCCTGTGTTGGTTCTGGCAATACCTGGACCGGCAGTGGTGGATTCTGCGCATTCCTCCAGAACACTGGGGGTACCAATGGCGCCAAGCTCCAGGAACTAGCTGGTTATATCCCGGATCACGGGTAGGTTATCTGTTCCTCTTGTACAATGTGTAGGTGGCTCATATCCTTAGATGTAAACAATGCGGCAGCGTCCCGTACTTCTTCCCGGGCGACAACGATGTCGCTAATGGCGAGCTCACATTCAACTACGTTTCGGACTCTTGTAGCACTGGGGGAGCTATATTGTGTTAGATGCTTGGGCAGTCTATCATTTATAGTTGAATTCACGGATGGGTCTGATATTTCCAGATTCAACGGTGAACTTTGTCACTCTATATCCTAATTCAAGGCTTCAGCAATATCGAAATTCCGTCTCGCGGTTCAAAATGGTGCATCTTCAACCGTAGAAAAATGTTTGGTTTTATTTTTGGTGTGGAGGGACCCGAATACGTAGAGCGGTTTATCCTTCACTGCGGTAAATTTTAGTTGCTACATATCCAGGGTAGTTCAAGTAGATACCATCAAAATAGCACCTGGAAACATTGATTGAACTTCCACTAATTGAGCTCTCCTGAAGTCAGGCAGTATGGGTTTAAGATCACCAAACTACTCAAGTACGGGGTATTCTTGTGGACACAATATCAATGCTTCTGTATCAATCATATCCGGCTAGATTTGAATGCCATGAACGTGCATCGACTAAATACACTCGTGGTACCTCACTTCGTGTTTCATTAACTGGAGAGCTCTACTCGGACATCCATACTTGAGCATCCGATTGTATTATGATTGCAAGGGACTGACATTGGCTTCTCCAGACTGAGACACGCTCCTTGCAGCTGCGTTTACATTGATGATCAAAGTTTAGGACCCGATGCGTTATTCTCAAGTGGTTTCCGGGGTAGCTCGCGTCATTCAAGCCCGGAGGGTAGCCCTTTCCAGTCTATGGGGGTACTCCGTGACAGAAGCACATTTTATTCTCGGTTAGGTCGGAACCCCCTATGGCGCTTGCACAACATGATCAGTCGAGTTGGACATGTGCGAGCAAATACTATCCCCTTCCTAGGTTTCACCAGTGGTGACTGGCAGCTCCATCTCGTTTTCGTTCAAAGTCTTCATTGTCTCACTTCTATACCTCAATATCCCAGGGATGGTGCTATCCCTGGTGAACTGGAAATAAGGCTGATGCTACTGTCGATCGTGGCCCATGCAGGGAGGACCCCACTATTGGGCGCTGCCGCATATGATCGACGGGCTTGTTTCTGCTTCCTGGTTGGTCTGAATGCAGCCTGGACGCGGCCGTGGTGTGATATACTCTATGGTCTCCATTCGTGATTGGCCGTTTATCACACCCCGCCGATCAAAGGCGTTGAGCTTTGTCTGCTTACTCGTAGACCACGGAGTAGAATCTTTTTTGTCTCAGTGGGGTGGAGCTGCAATAGACTCGAGCTATGAGCTCCTTGCTTCCCTTGACACATCGTTGATGTCTCGGCACTGAAGCTCGCATCGATGTACTCCGTACCCCATCTTGTACGGAGTACGAAATACGGAGTATACTGATGTGAATGTGTTTTATGTTTATTTCCAGGTCTGTGTAACGCGCTACACAACCAAGTATACACTCGTTGGTCATGTCTGACAACTGTTGCAAGGATGCAAGGATGCAAATCATAATGGAATTGGGATACGGCCCAGAAGTACTCGTATGATTGCAAAGGCCATGACGCATCTGGGGAAACGCCCGGACATTCTTGTTTTTCGTCCTTGCTGGCCCTGGTTTGGCAGGGTCTACAGGTGATGAGCCCTATTGCATTATACCTGACGCTAACCTATTTTGTTTGTTTTTTTTGGTGATATGTATGGCCCGATGAGTTTTTGTTGAACTGGCCCTGTGATATAAAGAGCTGTCCCCCAATCTGTGTCAGAAGGTGGTCCTATTCCTTCTTATATTGATACATATTTCCCATCGTCTGTGTACCGTGAAAATCATCACTATATCCCCTTGGTTTTGCATCTTTGGCCTTCTACTCCTGCATAATGCCTTTCTCGTCAACCATAGCACGTCCACTGCAGCTGGGATCTCGTGCTATGCAATGGGCTAGCTCCGTCATTGTCATGGGCTTGACTGCACACTTCATCCATCATGGACCCCGCGGCCAACACATCCTATACCAGGAAGTCATCGTACGTGATCCTGATGTTTTCCCAAGGTTCGACAAGCTAACAAGCTAATAGGCTGTTCTCTCAGTAGTCTTCTTCCTCCCTGGTTTCATATCTCCCTTCTTGCCCAAGGCACTGGGCAGATTTGTCCTTGGTATCGACATTGTCTTCTCCTACCTGTATGTCGAGTTCTCATTCACATCTACGGATTTACCTTCGGAAAATACTAATATCTTCATCTCAGCTGGTTGACCTCATTCATCTTCTCTGCCCAAGATTACAGCACAAGAGCATGCTACTTCACTTCCCCATCTGGAGTCGGTTGCACCCGCAAGAAGGCTAACGAGGCCTTCATCTTCTTGGCATTGTATGTATCTTTCCTATATGGCAATTACCCAGTCTCTGATCGTTCCACAGTATCTTCACCTTCTTCGGCATGTTCCTTGAAGTTGCTGCCCTCTGGGCCTATCGCAAAGAAAACACCCACACCACCCACCAGCCTACTGTCTCCGACAAGGAGGCCGGCCCCCGTCAGCCACTTGATGCGCCAGCTGCTACCCCCGCAGCTATCTAATGGAAGCCATTCATTGGAGTGAGTGGAATTTGAATATATCACCTGCTAGGCCGCACAAGCTGGCCCGGTCAATCCCCTCATACTTTGCAGTTTCACGTGTTTCATTTTGTTATAATGGGGTTGAAGGGATATCTTCTGAATTGAACATATGGTGGTGTTGATGTGGATGTAATTGGGAGCTTGTCAGATATGTCCGAGGATACTGCGCTTGCACTTGAGCAGTGTATCGGGGTACTTTTTCATGTGTTTAGTTCTTATGACCTAGTATTTTAATCCCTTAATGATTCCAAATTATACTACTGCCCAGGTGTGTTGAGACCAACCATCTCAAGGTTCGACTCGAAATTTGTAGACTTCAGGATAGATGCCTTGTTTGCCATCCCCAGACAGCATAGGATGTATGTACATATATTCTTAAAGATCCGGTTAGACAACAGTAGGTATCTCACGCAATAATGAAGCAAATCGCGTGCAGGGTTGAACACCGCACACCAACGTAGAAATCATGAATTCATCTCCGACCGTGCTGATCGCGATCGGAGAATCAAGAATAGTTCAGATACTGGCTCTTCGGGGAGCCATTGTGCGCTGCAGCTTGCGCTTTTCCTCTGTCTCTTCTGGGATTGGCAATGAGCCTTCGTTACGTAAACGTTCGAGGACTTCTTGACCGTAGACATAGCCAACCTGATAAATCTCGTCGAATTTGCCGAAATCCAGAGTTCCGTACGGATCGATAGGTGGTCGCATGTAGAGGCAACCCGGTGTGTTTTTGGCACGCTCGAGATTGTCGATTGATGAGACATACGCCAGCCTTGCTTGAATTTCGGATAGAGTCGGGGGGTTTGGGAGGGAGGAAAACGGGTTCCACCGGTTCAATACTGACCAGAAGCCCGAGAGGGAATCACCAAATCCTTGCGGTGTCGTATCGTCAATGGAACCGACATCAACGGCGAAGATCACATCCGCTCCAAGGCTTTTCATATGTGCCACGGTCAAGTTGTCGATGTAGCCACCGTCCAGCAGCATGCTGCCCTCGTCACAAATCGGAGGGATAAGACCTGCCAGAGACATTGATGCTCGAACGTAACGCCAAACATAGCCGGAGGAGTGATACTCAATTCGAGATCGACTAATGTTGGTGGTGTTACAATAGAACTCAAGCCAGAAGTCTTCAATTTGGCTGTCGCCGAAGGTTTTGAAGATGCCGCGGTTGAACTCATGGCCCGTCGTGTAGGAGACCGTCGGATAGGTCAAATCCAGTGCGAATCGCCACATGCTGCCCATGCGCCCAGAGAATTTCTTGGCTCTTCCGTACATAGGGACAACATCGGCGTCACGCGCATACAGAGCCCCAATGAAAGAGCCGATCGATGTGCCACCAATAATATCAATCGGGATTCCGGCTTCTTCGAGTGCTTTGATGACACCGACCTGCGCGATACCCCGCGCTCCTCCTCCACCCAATACAAGGCCCACAGACTTGCCGCACAGACGCCGTGCCAGTCGGTGGAAATCGCCTTTGAACGCAGTTTGTGATGAATAAAGCGGGGTTTGTTGAGCCCGCCGCGATGTATACTTCTGGATCTCAGCCTGTAAAATTTGGACTCGTTGCTTGAGGACAGTTCCAAACTTCTTGCTAGGTGGATTTGCAGGTTCGTTGGTTGAGCGGAAGGCCATTTGGATATGGTGGTGACCGCCATTGATCCAAACACGGTTCTTGAGCCATTCACGGGTAAGCCCAGGTGAACAATACCGCTCAGCGTGCAAGAGAACCAGCTCTTTGCGAGCTGTGGTCTTCATCCCGAGCAGGAACCTCTCATATTCACCGATTCTGGGCGAAGACTCGGCGAGTCCTACCAACAAAATGGAGTCGGCCTGCGCGATGCAAGTCTGAGTCCAGGGTGCATTGACATTGGTATCGGCGATGTACAAGACCATTCCATACTTCTCTTCTAGATCGGCCAGATACTGCGAGAGCTTGAGTTTTCCCATCTTGCTGAATGCGTGGCGACCCAAGTGGTTCAAAATTGCCGCTTGATTGAGCGACGTGACACCTCTGGTCACACCTACTTGGTGCAACGCGTGTAGAAGCCTATTTCCGAATTCCACAACAGGGACACCTGCCATGACTGGAAGGATTGCCACAGTGCGAAGATTAACAGTTGAGGTTGCAGTTTGAACACCAGCAGTGCTTCCTTGCTCAATGCCCTTCTCGGATAGCGGGTGTTCGACCAAGTCACGCATGCGCTGGGCAATAAGTTTTGAAACTTGAATTGTGATACCAGGGTGTTCCTGTGCGAGGCTGTTGAAAAGTGACCGTGGGAACTTGGCTAGTTCTGTTTCTCTGATCGCATGCAATGTGGATGGTCTCGTGGACTCGGTCATGACTTCGAGTTCGCCAACACTCTCGCCCTGACCGTGCTCGCCAATGACAGTCATCTTACCGTTTGATCCTTCAAGGACAGACCGCAAGCGACCATTCAGGACAAGATAAATAGCATCACTTTCATCGCCTTGGTGATAGATCACTTGGCCCGCGCTAACTTGAACCCACTCAAGTGCGAAGTCTATGTGAAGCAATAGCCGTGGAAGAAGTCTCGTTAGGCGCTTTGCCAATGTCAGTAGAGCCGCTGGGTGTCTGTCCGAAATTCTCTCCAGAGAGGCCCGAGGAAGGAATCCAACATAGACATCTGTCTTGGCCACGACATCGGTGTACGAGCGATATGAGGCAAGTGCACCTACATACCCTTGGATACCACCAGGCTTGATCAAATAGAGGGATTTGCGAGATTGCGTCTTTCGTCGAGAATCAGTACCGCCCGTGGAACCTGAGGCGCGTGACGATGCTGTTGTTGTGCGTCTCAATTTCGGGAACAAGTCTTCCTGTGCTTGGGAAGTGGACCCATGGGAAGACCCAATGAGTGTATCATCTTTTTCATCGGTTGGAATTCCAACATCCAGGAATCCATCGATAACATAATAAAGACCAGGATGACGCTCACCCTGTTCCACGAGCACCGAGCCTTGCGGGAAGTAGACCACCTCGATGTCATGGCGCAGCTCTTCTCTTAGATTGACCATGGGTGAAGTTCCGCCTGCGCTTGTTACCGACAGTGATTTCATAGAATCCGATTCACCATCGCCAGACCCTTCATATGGATCCATGAAGCCAAATGCGTTTGAAAAGACTGCCTTCTGGCGACGATTATCGAAAGAGAGCAGTCTGGGCGATACATCGCCGGAGAGACTGCCCTTGCGCAAAGGATCGCGGGAACTCTCGTCGAGTCCTATTCCCTTCATGATACAGTCAAGAATCGACTCGCGAAACAGGGCATCCTCATCAACAGACTCCTTTCGCTGAAAGGTTGAAGTAGGTCGGCCATTCATTGTAGCAGGCAGGAATTGAGGCTGCTCTCTTTCGGTGAGAGGAGTCTGGATGCGCGGCGCCAATTGATCATACCGCGGCCCGAACCTAGAAAGCTGTATCGTCGACAAAAGATCGCCGGGGCTGACACCAGCTTGATCCCTGTCCGCGTAAGATGGGGGCGCTCTGTGTGGAGTTAATGGAGCCAAGGAACGATCATTGGAGACCTTTGCATGCAAAACTGCCTCTTTCCGTAATGTACTACTCGATCGCCGCCGACGACCGACATAGGGATTGTGCAGGGCAATACCTTTCCCAACTTCTTCCGGTCCCAGGCGGTCACGTTCTCGCGTGAACTTGTCCTTCAATCGGTCTAAGGCGCTCCCTCGAAGGTTGTTGGGCAGATCCCAGGACGTGAATTTAGACATTTGCCGCTCGATGCCTAGCACCTCAGTGGTGAGGCCTAGGTACGAATGGGCCGTAGCAAATGTGACGCGTTGGAGACGGGTAAGAATCACTTGGACGATGTGCGCTGTTGCCCGAGGGTAAACCCGGGTAAGACGGCGGAATGCGCTCGCTGGGATGATAGCGATTGTTGTGTCTACGGTGGCCCGAGCCACAATGTCAGGGTGCACCGACTTGCGACGTTTCTTTTTGGCGTGGGCGTGTTCACTGCCCTCTTGCTGCGGGGTTTGAGTGCGAGTATGGCGGCCAGGCAGGGCATGGCTTTCGCCTATATTCAGCGGGGGAACAGGTGGTAATGACTCGTCTGAGCGGGCTGGGGTATTCAAATCCCCGGCATCCCTGATAGTAGAATTGGGGCTATTGATGACACCAGAGCTCGGACTCATGGGGAAGGCATCAGGGACTGGTGTCTGCCCTCGCACGGGTGTCGATGCAGTGGAGTTATGGCTTTCCGAATTGCGAAGCTCTATGTCTTCAGTGAACAGCTGGAGAATGGAAAACAGAGACGACATTGAGGCGCCATTCTTGACTTCGGTCAAGAGCTGGTAGCCTTGTCGGCCATGCAAATGATTTTCCTCCTCGCCTGAGGATGCATCCTCCATGTTCAAATTCTCCCGCGAGCCTGCCTTTCCGTCGCGAATCGATTTCACAAAGATTTGAACAAGTCCATCGACCACCAAGCAGAAGCCCTTTTCCTCCTCCAGCATAAGAGTTTCCCCCGCGATCAACTTCCTCGTCTGCATTGTCCGCGTCAATTCGTGGAACACAGGACGCTCGAGGTAGCCAAAGACTTTGATGGCGCTCAGGAATTCATCGAGGTAATTGGCCAGTCCCGGCTTGGAGTCACCTTCCTGGATGTCGGGGAAGAGATCGATCTGCGCTTCCTTGCGTTGTGGTTCCGGGGGCAAGCGACTGTATATGTTGAGGAAGCGATATCGTATGAACCAGGCAACGGTCGATACCAGTACGAGCACTATCAACAATCTGAAGTTCACGGTCAGTTCCAGTTCCGCCGCACATCTGTCCACACTTACATGGTGGTGAAATTCATGGTGAACGTCAAGCTCATGGAGAACAGCGTGAACAGCCATGTGGGTAGCGTGATAGTCGCAAAGGTGATGATCCAATACAACAGGCTTGGAATAGTGTGAAAGACAAGGGTAAACACCCAGCCGATCCACCCCGCCATGGTTGAGGGAGCTGGAGGGAAGGATGTGAGGGCAGAAGCGGCTGCAGCGCTAGCATGTGTAGTTGACGGTGCCGTTAGGCTCAGGGCGAGGGATGGGGCTAGGCCAGCCATGACCTAAACAAGAATGGGGAGCTCCGCTTTGTTTCCAAGGCTCAGTTTTCGTAACCCAAAACCCCTACACTAATGTGGTTCCGACCAAACCCAGGGGGGGTTTCGGGCAGGCTGATCAAATCATTGGCAACGTGCGGGTTTTTTCACCGGTGGATGGACGCAGGTGTCGTGAGGAGAAAGATGCATTAGTCCGAGCTGCAACCTTGGCAGGTCAACGGTTCCCGTGATCGTCGAATCAGATTCAGATTGATTACTTCTAAGTATTTCATTTTTATATATTTTATGCTCGATAAAACAAACACCCTTCTAAAGTTGGAATGATAATATTGTAAACTGTCAAAGGGGAAATTCTCGTACTAATTTCTTCTGCCCGGTTTCCCCCATACTACGTCAGTGCCGCGGCTACAGCCTCTGTAGGCACTCCACAGTGATGCAAATGGATGCAGTCCGATAAGTTATGCCCAAGTGGTCTTTTAACCTTGGAGATAAGCAAGCATCTAAAAGAGATCAATCAATTCTAAAGTTTCGGATACTCATCTATGGATATTCTCAATTTATTTAAGTATAGGAATATCTATAAATACCAATTGGACCCCTTGCACTCCCATATCTTCAAGAAGTATCCATGGATCTGCATCTGTAGACTTTTGCCTAATTGAACATGAACACTACTCGTACTTAAGTATGTATAAATTCAAGTTCCACTCGCCATTATACCGGTGCCTGGTTAGGGCAGGGATCAGGGTGTTACTAAGTATATTTTTGTTTCTGAACTCGGAAGCCGTTGGTACTAAGTAGGATGGATGCAAGGTGAACTGTCAATTATATACTTCCTACCCTGTATCCCAAGTCAGAAGGTACATCTTCAAAGATTTTAAGATTTTCAATTTAACAAAGTACAATTATTACTACAGTGGTATTAGCCATCTCCGAGGGCTTTGAATCTATAGATGTCACGTACCTGATGGAGGACCAGAAAGGCCGCTCACGGCAGACCACATGGCGGTTCCGCCTTGGCTCTTTGCCAACCAATGCTCCCCCTCACGCCTGTCCGTGGCCAACTGCTTATCTTTCTGATCTTTGTCGTCAACACTGTTGCTAGTGTTTTTGCATTTATTGATTTGGTTGTTTCTCTTCAACCCGTGGCGATGTTTCAGGTGAGAGATCTTTGTGCCTTGCGTCCCAGCTGGTCCTAACCCGAGAAAGCGCCTCCGCGACGCCATCGACTCTCGCATCGCAGAGGAACAAGCTCGCCAAAAGTCCGCCCAGGACAACATCTCCCGCTCCAACTCCGCGCGCCGCCCGCCCAGTTCATCCTCATCCCAGCGCACCCGGCCGAGGCGCAACACGGGCACCCCCGTGAGAGGACCCGACCCCAAGGAATTCGAGGCCGAGTTCACCATCGGGGACGACGATGAGTCCAGTCGCTCTGGAACTCCTCAACTAGACACACCAGGAGATACCTCGGAGGTAGGCACCAACGAAGAGGCCGCAGACATGGAGGCCAAACCCACGGACGGACCAGAGAAGGAGGCAGAGAAGCAGCCAAAGGAGAAGGAGACACCGGCGGAGCTTCCGCCCGACGTGCGAGCGAAACTCCGACGGCTGGATAAGTTGGAGTCCCGATACCATGGTATGCACCTGCCTAGACTGGACCAAGAGGCACACAACACTGACAGGAAACAGAGTTGCTGAAAGCCTATCGCATGGCCCATTCCCGCGTCCTTTCCATCGAACCCTTCGAAGCTGCGTTGCGCGAGAACACTCCACTCACTTCCATCGGCGAACCCAAGGCTTTCACAGAATACCTTAACCAGTCGACCCTGAAAAGCGACATGGTGATGGAGGAGTTGAAGCGTGTCACCGGCGAAAGAGAAGAGTTCAAGAAAAAGTTCGAGGAAGCAGAGAAAGTCTCTCAGGAGGCTTTGGAGGAGGTGACGGCTTTGAAAGACAAGAAACCGGAGAGCGAGACCAAGGAAGCCGACAAAACAGACGAGACCGAACCCAGCGAAGAGTTCTTCTCATTCGAGAATGAAGTCCCTCGATTGGAAAGCGAGCTCAAGACGAAGCAAGAGGAAGTCGACGACCTCAAGGCTGAGGTGGAGAGACTCAAGCGCGATATGTCTGTTACTCGTGAGTCCACGGAGGGTATGGTTCAGAACCTGGAGACCGCCACTCGCGAGCTTGTGGAGTTGCGCGAGACCAAGGACAAGCTCGATTCCGAGATCGAAACCTTGCGAACTTCCAAAAACGCCGACGTCGACGAGCTGAAAGCTAAGCTCGCCACTGCCGAATCTTCTCTTGAATCGACGGCATCCGAAGTTGAGAAGCTGAAATCACAATTAGTGGAGAAGAGTCAGGAAATCGAAAAGCTCCAAAAGGAAACTTCTGAGAAGGCCAAGCCAAGCCCCGATCACGTTGCTCAGCTAGAGGCGGCTAAGGAGGAGAAAGCTTCCAACGAGAAGAAACTCACAGTGCTCCAAGGTCTAGTCGATGGTCTCAAGTCTCAGCTCCAGGATACCGAATCCACCATCTCCAGCCTCAAAACTGAGAACAAGGAAAACTCCGACAAGTCTGCTAAGCAGAAGAGCCTCTGCGACTTTGTTGACGAAAACTTGAAGGACAATTCGGCGTGGGTATCTGCCAAAGAAAAAGTTCTTGCTGGAGATTCAGCCGATTTCGACGAGATCATCAAGAGTCTTGCCCCTACCAAGGAAGAACCTGCTCCTGTTGCTCATTCTCCAGCTCCAGTCCAAGAAGAACCGCAGCCAGTCCAGGCTGCTTCTGCTGCGGGCGGCAGCGCAGGTGGAAAAAAGAAAAACAAGAAGAAGAAGAAGGGTGGCAAAGCGGAGGAGCCTGTCAAGCAGGCTGAGACGGCCCCAGCAGAGCAGCCAGCCCAACAGCCTTCCGCACCGGCCAGTAACGAATTGGGCGAGCTTAAAGATAAAATAGAATCACTCACCCAGCAACTTTCAGAGAAAGAGGCTGCCATTGATCGTCTCTGTTCAAAGGTCAAGGGCGAGGAAGATCTGAAAGAAGAGATTGAGTCACTGCGTGATGATCTCGTTAACCTAGGCCAGGAGCATGTGGCGGCCAAGGACAAAATCAAAGAGCTTTCTGCAGAGAAGATCGCCCTTGAAGAAACGATCGGCAAGCTCGAAAAAGAATTGGTCGACCTCCGGACTAGCAATGCCTCGAGCTCAGCTGATTCGGAGAAGGTGCACTCTTCTCTCAAAGAGGAGTTTGAGGCTATCAAGATCCGCTCTGCTAGCTTGGAGACTGATCTCTCTGCTGCACAGCAGTTGGCTACCACCCGGTTCAAAGATCTCACGGATCTACGCGAAACCCTTCAGAAGGTTCAACCCGAGCTGCGTAATCTACGTGCCGAGTCCGCTGAATTGAAGACCCTCAAGGAGACCCTCAATACCAAGAACTCCGAACTCAAGGCCTTGGAGGGCAAACACGAAGACCTGCGTACCGAGTTGAAGAGCGCAAAGTCCAAGATTTCGGAGCGAGAGACCGAAGTGGGCACTCTCAACAAGAAGATCCGCCAAGAAACCGATAGTCGCTTGAAGGCCGAAGAGAACCTCACAGTCACCCAGTCCAACCTTCGCTCCGCCGAAAGCAAGAGGCAGGACGCCATCAATGCCCGTGACAAGTCTTCCGGTGACCTGGCCAAGGCCCAAGATGGGCTGAAGAGTACTCGTACCAAGATCCGGGAACTGGAGGAGCAGATTTCCCAACAGAACAAGGAGCTGTCCAGCCTCCGGGAAGAGATCCAACTGAAGACGGCTCAGCATAGCAGTGCCCAGAGTCTTATGAACAGCATGCGTGACCAGACTGGAGAGGTCGCCATGCAAATGAAGGAGGCTCGTGAGCGGTGTGAAAGCCTAGACGAGGAGCTGGCTGAGGCTCACCGGCTACTCAGCGAGCGAACTCGCGAAGGCGAGACCATGCGCCGCTTGCTAAATGACATTGAGGGCCGCTCGGAATCAAAGGTGCGGGACTTTAAAGAGCGCATGGAAGCTGCCATCGAGGAGCGTGATCGAGCCGAAGACGAGGCTAGCACTACGGGCCGACGTCGTGCTCGTGAAATGGAGGAACTCAAGGCTAAGGTCCGCGAGGCTGAGAGGGCTCTTCGTACCGCGGAGCAAGACAAGGAGGACCTAGAGCAATCTCAGAAGGACTGGCGCCGCCGTCGTGATGAGCTTGAGTTGGTCTCTGAACAGTCCTCACAGGAAGTCGCGGAGGTTCGCCAGGCCATGGCTGGCCTTCGTGAGGCGCTCGATGGAAGCGAAAAGCAGGTCCGTGATCTCGAAAAGGACAAGGCGGAGCTTCGTCGCTCCGTTGAAGAGACCAACAGCCGATTGGAAAAGCTTCGACGATCTCACAAGACCCTCGGGGAGGATGTCCGCCTACGTGGTTCCCCATCCGGTCGACAGTCCTCGCGTTCCTCCATCGACTCTGGATCTCGCCGGGCAGTGGCGTCGCCAGGGAGAAGCGAGACCCCTGTCGGCCCACCCAGCAACGCTTCTATCGACTACATGTATCTGAAAAATGTTCTCCTTCAGTTTTTGGAACAGCGAGATAAGAATTATCAGAAACAGCTGATCCCTGTTCTGGGTATGCTGCTGCACTTCGATCGGTAAGTCTCCCTAAACCCCCTCCAGGATCAATGCTAACACAAAAGCAGAACCGATGAGCAAAAGTGGATGTCAGCCATCATGTCCAAGTGATTGGCGTTTATACCCTACACTGTACAATATCAATATCATTGACTATAATGCATGTCTTTCACGACTTCCGGGATTGCCCCACTCAACGGCTATCGGTTGTAACGTTTTTACCCAGAAGCCCTGAAAGGGAAATTCGTAAGAGTATCTGGAATTAGGGAGATTTGTTTCGTAGCCAGAATATAGTGTTCTGTATGGAGCATAGGGAGAGGGCAAAGAAAGAAAGGTGTAGTAGAAGTATGGGGTTTCCTAATTCGGGTTAGTTGAGTGAAGTCTGGCCCCGCCTTGTAGTTGGAAGGGCGCAGGCAATTCGCTATTTGAAGTGGAAATCTCAGACTTCACAATGGATTTCGTTCGTCCCCTTACAAATATTGCAATGGCTGACCAACCTACTATTCGTCTCGCGACGCCCGAGGGTAAGTCATCCAATTGAAGCCTGGACGCTTGGGCTTGAACTGTATAGCATCATCACTCGGTCTCAGCAGCTAACGATATCAGACGTCCCACTTATCCTTCGATTCATCTGCGAGCTTGCCGAGTATGAGAAAGCCCTCCATGAAGTCGAAGCAACCGAAGAATCCCTCCTAGCAACTCTTTCTTTCCCCGATACCCCACCGCGCCGCGGCGCGGTCTACACGGCCCTCATCACCCCGCCACCCACCGCCGACAAGCCCAACCCCATCCCCGTCGGCATGGCCCTATACTTTTACAACTATTCAACCTGGCGCTCTGCTCCCGGCATCTACCTGGAGGATCTATACGTGCAGCCAAGCGCACGGGGTCACGGCTACGGGTTCAAGTTACTTAAGTACCTTGCCAAGCAGGTCTTGGAGGTTTCGGGAAGGCGACTTGAGTGGAGTGTACTCACCTGGAACGAGCCCAGTATTCGCTTCTATGAGCAGGTTGGTGCCAAGGGAATGGACGAGTGGATGAAGATGATGGTCGAAGGTGATGCTTTGACCAAGTTGGCCGAAGGCGCTTAAGTTGGGATCTCGACCTGGTCGGAATGACCGATCGAGTTCAGCGACTGAGATGAAATCATTGCGATCTGCACAATGGTACTCCTGTGTTATACCCTACGGAAACTTTGGAATACTTGCATTTCTTCATGTACAGCTTGAAGCTGTCATACAAAATGTATTATTCCGAACCCAATAAACTTATGATAAATGATCGAAACTCGAAAAGCAAACGTCATAGCAATTGATATATTTAATATAAATAACTTAAAACAACATTTGGCACGACAGCGCATATGTACATCTAACAGGCTTCACGAGCTAAGCCTTTGGTGACGTAGTCCGCCCTCCGCAGATCACCTCGTTTTTTTCTCCCGCTTCGCTCCCTCCTCCTTCTCCAACCATTTCAGAATGGCGGAATCAGAGAAACCCTGCAACCTCCACGTGGACTACGTGATCCGTTACAGCTTTGGAAATGCTGGTAAGCCAGCTACAGATCCACTGCGGTAGCATTCCATCCTGACCCACCGCCAGAACAATCGCAGGCGATTGCACAGCTAGAGAAACTACTCCAGTCCCTCGCCCAAGTCGGTTTACAGGCCGAAGTTCGTCAGGGCGATGAATCGTCTCTGCTCGTCTTTGTTCGAGCTTCCGAGAAGCGCCTGAAGCGAGCAGTCTACCGGTCGCGGTGAGTGCGCACTGAGGCCGGATCTGATTGTGCCAATGCTAATTATGTCTTTGATCACAGCGTCCGTGACTGGCTTTGCGGTATTCGCAACTCTGAACCCACTTCTTCGAGTTCAACAGAGACTCAAACCGAGGCCGAGCGCTTGCGAGTCGTTCACCAGATGATCACACACTCCAACGAAGAGGGCGGCGCCGGAATTACCCCCAACCACGGAGAATGGAAGGACGTCACCGCTTTATTCCCGCTGCACGATATCGAAACCAACAAGACTTGGATGCGGGATTGGAGTAAGAAGACCTTCCTCTCCGATGACGACTTAGATCAGATCCGGAACAAGTTTGGGGAAAGTGTATGTATAGAGCCGGCTATTCTCCTCCGATCAAGCTGACGCGCGTGATAGGTTGGGTTCTACTTTTCTTTCTTGCAGTCATACTTCCGATTCTTGATATTCCCGGCCGTTTTTGGATTCTCCTGTTGGTTCCTTTTGGGTGGTTTCTCGCTTATTTATACAGCCATCAACTGCCTTTGGTGTATTGTATTTGTGGAATACTGGAAGCGCCAGGAAGTCGATCTCAGCTGCAGGTGGGAGACCAAGAATGTATCAGTGGTCCGAACCAGCCGTCGTGAATTTAAGCCCGAGAAGGTGGTAATTGACGAAGGGACCGGCGAGAAACTTGGTGTCTTCCCGGCCACCAAGCGCATGCAGAGACAGCTTCTGCAGATTCCCTTCGCATTGCTTGCAGCTATCGCTCTGGGTGCTATCATTGCGACCTGCTTTGCTATCGAAATCTTCATCTCGGAGCTCTACAACGGCCCGCTGAAAACATACCTGGTATGTATGCATCGTCGCCTGGTGGTATTTATGCTCACATTTGCCTCTTTAGATTTTCATTCCAACCATTCTTGTATCAGCGCTTGTGCCCACCATGAGTGCCATCCTGACCTCAATCGCAACAAAGCTCAATGACTATGAGAACCACGAGACAAAAGATGCATATGATGTCGCCTTAACGCAGAAGGTCTTCGTGATCAACTTCATCACCTCTTATCTTCCGATCTTTTTGACGGCCTTCGTCTACGTTCCATTCGCAAGCCTCATTGTGCCGTACCTGGATGTCTTCCATTTGACAGTTCGACCTTTCGTGTCCAAGGAACACGCCGTGGCAAAGCAATCACACTTCCAGATCGACCCTGCTCGTTTGCGTAACCAGGTCATCTACTTCACTGTGACAGCCCAGATTGTTGGCTTTGCGATGGAGACAATTGTGCCTTATATTAAGCAGCACGCGTTGCGCAAGTATAAGAAGTATAACAAGGAGCGAAACGGCAAGTTGGAGCGAAATGGGGACAAAGAGTCACCCGAAAGACCAGTCATAGTTTTCGATGATCCTGCCGAGGAGGTGCAGTTCCTTACACGAGTGCGCAACGAGGTCGAACTATCCGACTATGATGTGACCGATGACCTCCGTGAAATGTGCATTCAATTCGGATATCTGGCCTTGTTTTCGCCTACTTGGCCCCTTGTCCCACTCTCGTTCTTCGTGAACAACTGGGTTGAGTTACGCTCGGACTTCTTCAAGATTTGCATGGAGTTCCGTCGACCCGTGCCACTGCGCACCGACTCCATTGGCCCCTGGTTGGATAGCTTAGGCTTCCTCTCTTGGGTTGGTAGCATCACCAGCGCTGCGTTGGTATACATGTTTAGTAGCAATGCACAGCATGGACCCAACGGCGAGCCGACAGAAATCAAGGGCTGGGCATTGCTTTTGACTATCTTCTTCTCAGAGCACTTGTACCTGATTGTTAGATACGTGGTGCGGGCTGCCATGGCCAGGATTGAGCCTCCGAACTCTCGAAAGGAGCGTGCTGATCGGTATCTCATGCGCAAGCGCTACCTTGAATCAATCAGCGTGGAGAGTGATGAGCGTGATGACGAAGAAGAGCTGGCTTCCCAATCTGAGGCACCTGAAATCTCCCGCACCTCTTTGGAGGATGACGCCCGGAAGGCCTCGCTGCATGGAGCCGACCCTGCTGCCCGATTTTGGTTACACCAGCGTGGTTGGACGGAGTCAGCGCAGGTGGGTGCTGGTATCATTCAGGCTCAGCCAGTCCGGGGCAATGTCAAGAAACAGCAGTAGAGTAGTCGACTATGATGAGCCGCCTGAACATGTATGGATTGCTTATGTTCATGTTGTATATTGATCTACACGCAGAACATATTTGGGCATTTAGATCTACTATATGAACGTCATTATCACAAATGACAGAATTTATGGATTAAAGCTCTGGTGGTACCTGGCGCCCTGCAATCCATAACAGCTCAACAGTTCCCGCCAAACCAAAAGATGACGTCACCTGGTCTAAGCCGCCGTCAGCTTGTGACCGGATGCGACGGGATACCATCTGGAAGCATCAACAGGCTAAGTTTGACCTAAAAAAAACCGGCATTGACAAGCGGAAGAACAGGGTGAAAATAAGAGAACTTGAAAATCATACATGAGCAAAGTGTATGAGTACAGTAAAGCAATAGAGATCAACTAAAGGTATACTATAGAGGTGAAAATAGTGGCGTCACCGCCTACCCTTTAGGGGGGTTCGCTTACCCCGACCTTGGAACCTTCTGCCCAGGTGACTCAGACTCCTCTTAAGTAATCTCTCTCCTCCTTCAACCTGCTTACAGCATCGACTGCTTACCTCATTGACCTGCATCACGATATTAGCAAAGAGGTCATCGTCGTTCTGAATACCAGAATTCTTAGGGTTCTGTGATCTCTGTCATTCTCGATCCATGCAGCCTGCCCTCGCACCAGCACCGCATCCAAGCATGCAGTCCACCGCTCAGGTAAGCGTCTTCTCGAACGCGTTTGTCATCAGATCTATATCCCGCGTTCGATACTCTGATATTGGAGGCTTGACAGTCAAAGCCTGCATTGTCAGGGGATCAGGGGCTGTTTCCCCTATTTTGACGCGTCGAATTCCATCTGAGGCCTCACCGCGCCACCACCACCTTAAACTCAATCAATCTTGTACTGAGTACTAACATTGGGATATAGGACCACGCGGACCAAGGTACGTGAGCCGTTGAATGTATTGAAAAGGGTGATGTGCCACGGCTTTAATTTGAAAAATTCCGGGTCTCGCAGTTCTTCCTGGAGCTTCCGGGTCTCGTGGTTCTTTGACCTAAAGCTCACCACCCTGTTTCTTATACTTTGACGACCCCCAACTTAGGGCTGTTTGTCAGCAATGATGGCCACCCCCCATGACTAACATAGCTTATAGTCCTTCATGACCAGTTGCTAGCTGCTCAGCACCACCTGCCGGGTAGTCGCCCTCAGGGTGCCCCAGGCCAGCAGCAACACCTCCAGCCCAATCATGCTAGTCCACGGGAGCAGGCTAACATTGACCCTGCCATCTCAGGTGCCATGTTGGGTACTCCTCAAACTCCCACACAGCCTCAAGGCTCCCCTCCCTCTGACGGTGGCTCCAAAAGCTATGGTAAGCGTGAGCTATCAACGTCCAAACGCGCTGCTCAAAATCGCGCGGCCCAGGTACGCATACAACCTCCCTATGTATGCATACTCTTTGCCCCTACTGACCAGCCTTAGCGTGCGTTCCGCCAGCGTAAGGAAACCTATATCCGCAAGCTGGAGGAAGAAGTCAAGAACATCGATCCTCTCAAGGATCAGGTTAAGTCCCTCGTAGGCGAGAACTACCAACTTCGCGAGTATATCATCAACCTGCAGTCGCGTCTCCTTGAAGCGCAGGGTGAGGTTCCCGAGCTTCCTGCAAACATTGACCTAAGCCAACCACGAACCACTGAGATGGCACTCGCATCGGCCGGTGTTCAGAACTCCAGCCCATCCGGCTCGGTCCCATCTTCTGGACCTCATCACCAGGGCTCTGTCTCGGATGATATGAACTCTCTGAACCGTATTGCGGCTGCCACCTTGGGCATGCGTAAGCACAATGACGATGCCAGCTTCTTGAACAACACCTTCCAGCCGAACAAGCGCGTGCGCACTGATGACAGCCAGGATGGCTCTGATGGTGTGACCAAGCAGGAGGTCTCTCATGGTCTTCCCATGGTGAACTAGGTGTTTGCTATTACGCGTCTTGATTGCTTGTCTGTGATCACATTTCGATACCCGCGTCTTTTTTCTTTGTTTCGTTCGGCTTTGGTATTTTTGCCCAAGGGGACCTCTGTTACTATGTACCCTGGCCTCTTCAGCTTGACACTGTGTTTCTCTTTTTCTGAACAGCTTTTGAGTTGCTCATTTTGTTAGTGTAATGGTGTGTGGCGTGGCCCTTGATTTTGCGATTTCGGCTTTGCGACCTGGTGGTGTTATGGATTTTTCCGCTTGTCCCATTGTGACTGTTTAAATGGAGTATATGTTATTGAGCATCGGGTGAATATCTCAAATGCAATCTCATGTCTTAATTTTTTACCAAGTAATGTGGCTACCCTTAGGGCTCCTTCTTCATACAGATTTTGAAAACCCCAGGCCTTTTGAATTGCGGGTTTTAAGGGCAAACAAAATGTCTGCTTCCAAAGTTAACCCGAACTGCTACGCTGGAGGTCTAGATAATACTTAGTTATTCAAAGTCTACGTACGTATCACAACCATTCTCAAGCCAAATCAAGCGGGTACATTCTTCCAAGGTTTTGGTAGGATGTATGCCAATGAGCGCAATGTAAGCCCATTCTTCAATATTTGAACCAAGGTCTAACTTGAGAAGCATGATGGTTATGACTTATTTGAAGGTATCAGAAGGATCCTTCGAAGATAAATTTGAATGAGACATGAACAGACTAGCCAACGTGAATCGACGAACTATTCTCAGACTCAGTTGAGTCTACGTTATAAACCATGGCGCATATGGTCATGCCTGGCATAAATTCCAGTTTGTTAATCGTTCGGAATCCCAATTTCTCGTAAAGTCCAAAGCCCATGATACTCGCTTCCAAGCCCACAGGCACATCGTCCTGCAGGCCCTGCTGCAGCCCCCATCGCACTAATTGCTGACCTATTCCACGCCGTTGGCGTGACGGATCCACAGCAACGGTTGACAAGAACCAATGATTTGGAGATTCTGAAAAGGGAAAGCAGTCGACTTCCGAAGCCAGATACTGCTCGAGTCGGTAGGGATCCACACTGCGGTCAGGGTAGATCAGTGCTAGATAGCGATCTTCCACGGCCAAGAGTGTTCGTTCCAGAGCTACGAGCACAAGTAGGTCATGTCAGCCGGAGAATCATCGGCGAGAGTGAATTCAATGGAGGGGATAGGAGATGATCACCATGTGCCCACGTATCGTTCTGCCACCGTAGCGCGTTTGCTCCGCTCCCATTTCTGTTCCAAAGAGCGTACCCACCGATCGACTGACCAGACCCCTCATTCTCCACTGCGACTATCATCACATACCCTGGGGTCACGAGACGCTTTTTGAGACGACGGAGAAAAGCATATCGGAAATCCGAGTAATGCTCATGGCGGCGCGGGCAGAGAAAGGCAAACAGTTCATCTTCTAGCATGGCCCGTGCGGCCAGATCTGCAATGTCGGGAAGGTCCTGAACACAGGCGGGCCGAAGATGCACACCAGGCATTGTATGTGGACGTTGCCAATATGCAGCAGTACGAGTGTAGCTTGGCGTCTGGACGACTCAAACAGCAGCCGGACCTGAGTTCAGGGCGCACCCCAGACCAGATGAATAGTGGCAAGAACGCACGGGCTCTCTCTCCACATGCGACGGTCCAATGGCGAAGGCGAATCTGGCGCACTCCACTCAGTTCCAGTCCCTCGGTGGCTGGTTAGCGCCAAAAAGCCTCGGCAATTGAGACATTTACCCTCGAACTGTCCAAAGTATAACGTTGATTTCTTGCCGGACGGGTCATGCATGGGATCTACTTCGTACTCTGTAGAACGGTTGCGTCTGGGCCACCGTATTTCAATAAAGGAGGCTTGGCAATTGTGACCTCACATTAGAGACCCTGAACTCGGAAAAAGAGCTAATGACCAGGGAATTGAGAGCACTAGAGACAGAGCTGAACTACTCTGGTCGCAATGAAGAGCCCCAGACCCAACAGAGAGGAAGAAAAAGAAGAAAAGGCAAAAAAAAAAGGGAAAATCCGGGAAAAAAAGTCAAAATTCACGTGTGGCGGTTCCTTTCTGGGCTTAGCTTGGCATTTCCCCGGTCCCCCGGATACTTCCTCGTTTTTTTCTTTTTCTTCCCATGTTCGCGATCCTGGCCATGCTTCTTTGTACAGCTCTTTGCTTCGTGGTTGCTTGAGTTGAGACGTGTTCGTCGGTGATATCCCTTTGGCCAATGCTGCCCGCGTTACATCCGCATTCTTCGGATCCAGATCCCTTCACCCAATCTCCAAGTCGAAAGTCCTAGCGCCAACCCAACATCGTTTCCTTCGATATATCGCACGCGCGCATGATTTGGATCGGAGGAGAACAGTTATGATGGCTGTCGGGATACTACACTTGAAATCACACACACGATCAGGGTACGCAACAAGCGGGGCAACTATACCATCGCCCTTCACGGATCTTCCCCGTACATTCTAGCCCCGGCTGAGTCGGTGCGCCGACCATGACGAACTTGTCAGAAGCCCCCGATGGGATCCATGGCTATCATGGCAACAACACCGCCGTACGGACATTGATGATTGTCTTCACCTCCATCGCATTATACAACGCCATTGAATTGTTCATATTGTTATTCTTGACCTTCACCCATTATCGCGGACTGTACTTTTGGACCCTTCTACTGTCCGTGGTGCTGGGCGTGATCCCTCATGCCATTGGCTACCTGCTGGAGTTATTCTCTTTGGCGCCAGTATGGCTTTCTCTGACTATCACCACCATTGGATTCTATGTCATGGTCCCTGGTCAATCAATTGTGCTATATTCGCGCCTACATTTGGTAGTTCAAAGCAACAAGGTGCTTCGCTTTGTTCTTTGGCTCATCATAGTTGACGCGGTGATATTATTGGTGCCAACAACCGTCTTCACCTTCTGCACGGCATATATTGCTTCGCCAACCGTCATACGTGGGTACAATGTCATGGAGCGAATGCAACTGGCCTGTTTCTGTGCCCAGGAAATGTGTATCTCCAGTATCTACATTGTCGAGGCCGTGCGGCTGCTCAGGATGATGCCAGATAAAGACCGACGCCGCACCAGAATTATGTACGAGTTGCTGGCCATCAACTTTGTTATTATACTGCTCGATATCTGCCTCCTCGTTGTGGAGTATATCGGCTTCTACCCGTTACAAACAACCTTGAAGCCAATGGTCTACAGCATCAAACTAAAGCTTGAGTTCGGCGTCCTCGGAAAGTTGGTCACCCTGGTGCAAAATTCTCGATCCCAACCTACCTCATCCGAGCATGAAGAATACCCTGGTTTTGTGGACCCTACCCAGCTCACAACGGATGTCACGCATGCTGCGCCCCGGGAATCCCGATCAAGGGGACGACGAGGATGGAACACAATGTCTGTGGAGAGCCTGCCTATGTCTGAGCGTAGGATCAGGCCATCTACACAGTCAACCGATGAATCCTCTCATCCTCCATGAGAGAGCATGAAATTCTGCGATTCATCCATTAATAAACTCACACGTCTTTCGCTCACCGACTTCGATCGAATCACCCTGACATTTGCCCGAGAGAACAAGCCTTGTCCCATACCTAGCGGTAATCTCACAACCGAGGAACCCTAGATGACTTGCAGGGCGGAAGTGATAATGACAGTTGCTGTCAACATCACAATACCCATCCTCGGAATGCGCTTTGCGCAACAACGACTTGACGCGCAACACACTTGGCACATATCACCATTTGGTACATATGCATCTGCACACCAGTTTCTCTTGAGTGAACAGCATCTCCCATCACCGCATGCTGGATGTTCCATATCGGTGGCCCGCATGCCACATCCCACCTGAAGACCCTTGGAAATGGGCTTTACGCACATACGCCAGATGTACAGCGACAACGATGTAATAATACGCCGTCTATTGACGCTACGATCTACTCAGCCTCATGATGTAACTTAACATTACCTTTATACCAATATTACGTCTTCATGACATATTTTTCATCTATCTCCAGGACTTGTACCTTTGAGCAAAACCAACCCTGAAACGGGATTCATCTTGGGAATGGAAGGCACTGTCTTTGTGCACCACGGCTCCTCCGAGTCTATCCCTCCTGCTTCCTCCCCAGGACTTCAGTTTCTCTACAGATTCATCCCTGCCCTCGACTCCGTAGGGCATGATGAGAACCGGATAACCCACTTCTTCGCCCCCAACGCCCCAATTCTCGTCGGCAGCAGCCCGCCAACAGCCGCAAGCCAAGCTGTCTCTCTCATGGAGGTGCGTAGTCGTCATCTTTCCAGACTTCATCATACTATCCATATCGCCTGGGATATAGATCTTGCTGGCGACAGGAGATGGGTTCGTACATCAGACAATAATACCACTGCGGACGAAAATTCGGATCAAAATTCGGAATTCGTTGCATCGCTGGCCGGCGGTATACAAATGAAGCGCACTGTGATGTTCGAGGCAACCTCTGCAACTACATTCGAAGCGGACCCAGACCAATTTGCCGTTCAGGTACGCGAGTTTAATATCTTGGACTTGGAAGGTCATGATGCGTCCGACCTGCAAATTGTTGAAATGCGGATTTTCTTGGACCAGAGACCCATTCAGGCCTATGCCTCGCAGCTACACATCCAATAGGTACACGATGACAAGAAACATTTGTCCAGCGAGGCAATTATGTTACATGAGCTGCATCTATTGCATAACAGAATTTCAGTAGATGAGCTCCACTGCGGAATGCGGAATGGCGAGGACCCCCACTTGGTGCTGTTCTTATCTGCGGAGTATTGTTCGGCACTGGATTCCTTTTTTGCTTTCATTTCTCTTTTCTTTCAATCTCAAATTGTGTCGGTTCATATACTTCCAATTCAAAAATGTTGCCTGTGCAAGGACAAGCCGAAATCATCCAGAAGGTCTGCGCTGCCCTGGAGAAATATGAGTCCAAGTTGAGCGCGATCAACCAAAAGGTACCAATCAACTGTTGCTTTGCAGGGAATGCAATGTATTCTGATTTCGCTAGATTTGGTCAAACCCAGAACTGGCGTTCAAAGAGTATAATGCCCATGACCACATTTGTGAGGTCTTCGAGTCCTTCGGAGCCGAGTATCAAGTCCAAAGAAAGGCCTATGGAATTGAGACGGCCCTTGAAGTTACATACAAACGTGGAAAGGGTGGCCGGGTCATGGCATTCAATGCAGAATACGATGCCTTGCCGGGCATGGGCCATGCCTGTGGACACAATTTGATTGCTACCAGTTCAATCGCTGCCTTTCTGGCTACCTGTGAAGCAATGAGCTCTATTTATGCGGATCAACTGGGATATACTGTTCGTCTACTTGGAACCCCAGCCGAAGAGGGTGGTGGTGGAAAACTGCTACTGATCAATGCCGGAGCATACAAAGATGTCGATGCTTGCTTCATGGTGCATCCGTTTCCTGTGCTTTCTGGAGCTCCCGACCTTATCAGCTCGAGCTCTTGTTCTGGTCAGTACCTAGCCAATGACAAGGTTCAAGTGACATACACGGGTAAACCTGCTCATGCCTCTGCTGCTCCGTGGGAGGGTGTTAATGCTCTCGATGCTGTGGTGTCTGCCTATGTCAGTATCTCTATGCTGCGACAGCAGATCTTGCCCACGCAGAAAATCCATGGTGTTGTTTTACGGGGTGGGGATAGGCCCAATGTTATTCCTGCTTCGACAACGGTTGAATACTACATTCGGTCGGACACTGTCAAGACATTGAAGCCGTTGACTGATAAGGTGGTGAAATGTTTCGAGGCTGCAGCCACTGCTACTGGCTGCACCGTGGAATTCAAATGGTATGAAGTGATGTCGAGAACACAACTTGGATTTTATGCTAATTTGCAAAAAAAGGGAGGCCTCGTACAAGGATATGAAGATCAACAAACCAATTTGCGACAGCTATGTTTCCGCTATGAATGCCATGGGCCACAATGCGATCTTTGACGCTGCGGGACAGGAAGGAGGACTAAGTGGAGGATCCACTGATATGGGTAAGTCCGATTTTCATACCTTGGTAGCGGAAAGCTGATCACAAAATCCACCTAGGCAACGTTTCGTACGAAGTGCCGGGATTCCATGGTGGATTTTACATTCACGCGGATGGTGTTAACCACACACCACAATTTACTGCAGGGGCCGGGTCTGAAGAAGGGTTTAAGCGTAGTTTACATTGTGCGGCGGGAATGGCGGTGGTGGCGGCGAGAGCCTTGGTCGATGAAAGCTTTGCCACTGCGATCCAATCCGACTTCAAAAGGGGCCTGTGATAGTTGACTAGTGAATCGGACTAGACCCGTACTACTAGTATACAAAACTCCTCTTTAATCTCCAAAAGTGGAACCAATATCAAGGTCTTCATGCCATATCCCGTGTATGGAACGTTCTCATTGATCCAAGGCCGATTAGCAATTTTAGCGGAATGGAGCGGTCCTGGCACCGGATCTCGACAGCCCCGTAAGACTCAAGGAGTAGGCTAACCGCTTGGCACTAGATGCCGATCTCCGACAGCAGCAACTGCCGAGCTGGATATCCGCTGAAGGGAGAAGTGGGTTTTCCCCCAGGTCGGGACCGTCCCGACTGTCACCTCAAAATTTAATTCGACTGACACGCGATTCTGGGGTGCCGAGTGTGCCAGTCTCATTGGCAGGCTCGCCAGTTCTCCAGGTTTTTGACATCGCGGGGAAGTTTCTATTATCATCGAAAACTAAACAGATCTCATCAATTGGTGGACCTCTTCAGCTCCCCCTTGAACGGTGGGTTGGGCCCACTGCGGAAAGAGAGCGGGTATTGGGTCTGGTAGGTTTAAGCGAAGCCTCTACACGAGATTTCTGCGGCTGGAAGTCCTGGGCGATGTCCGCTTTGGCGTTGGCTTTTGGATAAGAACCCCGGTGCTCGTCCGGTGAGTTCTGGAGTTGCTTGAGGGAATTTGGATCTTGGCTTTCATAATGGAGCGTCAGCAATCACATCTAGATGAAAAGAATATGAAGGGTGAAGGTGAGTCACTAGGCCGGGACATGGATCTTGGTCAAGTGCTTGCTGTTCAATCAACACCCGAGCAGGAACGGAGGGTGCTATGGAAGCTCGATCTCATGTGAGTCTGCATTGCGGTGCTTGACAATATGTGGCTAATCTTGAGAAGATTAATCCCATTGATGGGAACCGCGTATTTCCTTCAGTTCCTTGATAAACTTGCTCTGAGTCAGGCGACGTTGTTCAACTTGCGGCAAGATCTGGCAAGTTGTTCTAGTGGGTGAACTGTTGGGGCATTTCTTACTAACTAAGACAGTAGAACATGCATGGTAATGAATACTCGTGGGCATCGGCAATCTTTTACTTTGGTTACTTTGCCTGGAGCTGGTACGCTCTTTAATGACCTCCCAAACACCCGACCCCAAGCTGACACTCAAAAGGCCCAGCTCATATATTATGGTCCGACTTCCAATTGGAAAATACATATCGGTCTCAGTGTATGCAATTCTCTCCACGAAAAGAGAAGTCACACTAACATGGTCAGATTCCTCTGGGGCGGTGTTATGATGTGCCATGCTGCTTGCTCTAACTGGAGTGGACTTATGACAGTCCGCTTTTTCTTGGGTGTTGGTGAGGCGGCTATTGCACCGGGCTTCACACTGCTTACAGGCATGTTCTACCAGCGCGAGGAACAGCCCCTTCGGTATGTTTCCCCTCATTTGTGACCGGATGCCATACTGATGAAACTAGACAATCTGCTTGGTTCTTCGGAAATTGTCTAGCTGTCCTTATCGGAGGCTTGATCGCCTACGGCATTGGAACAATCGAGACATCCGTCATTTCCCACTGGAAACTCTTGTTCCTCATTCTCGGTGCCATAACATCATTTTATGGTATTGTCTTATTCGCGATGCTACCCGACTCTCCTGACAAGGCTGTATTCCTGAAGCCCAATGAGAGAGCTATTGCTGTGCAGCGGACCTTGAAGAACAAAACGGGTGTTATGGACACTGGTGTTTTCAAATGGTCACAGGCCCTCCAAGCTTTCAAAGATCCACAGACGTGGCTCTTGGTGCTGAATTCGTTTACCTCCAACCTGGCGAACGGTGGTCTTACCAGTGTGAGTGTTGTCACCCAATTTATGAAGCGAGATGCTAACGCTGCTGGTAGTTCACCTCGATCATCACGGCCGGTTTTGGCTTTAGTGATCTAAAGGCCCTTATCATGCAAATGCCGCAAGGTGGTGCCCAAATTGTGTTCATGCTCATCACCTCGGTTGCGGTGACGGTGATCCCATCCTTCCGTGTATTGGGAATGATTATAAACACCATGGTCGCAATTGTCGGACTGATTCTTATTTGGAAGCTTGATCCTAGTGACCAAGCCGGGAGAATGGTTGGCCTGACGCTGGCCGTTGTCTACGTGATCAACCTTCCAATCTCGTTGAGTATCATCACGTCAAACGTGGCTGGATTCTCAAAGAAGAGTGTTGTCAGTTCTTTGCTATTTATCGCATACTGTGTTGGAAATATTGTTGGGCCTCAATTCTTCCTGTCATCGGAGGAGCCGTCATACCCGGTAAGAACGCTCTCACCCATTGAGCCTTGATATAACGAGAACTGTTTCAGCTGATACTACTTCCTACTAGACTGGGATTAAAGCCTCGATGTCAGGTTTGGTACTGAGTTTATTCTTCCTCATCTGCTTGTATGTCTATTACAGGTGGGAGAATCGTCGCCGGGACAAGGCGTACGGTTTGCCAGAGCAACTCACCGTGGATGCCGAGTTACAGGATGAATTATCAAACAAGACTGATCGGGAGATTGAGAGCTTCCGTTATTTGCTCTAGTCAGGTACTATGAATGTTTAATACCTAATAATTAAGGCCAAGAAGCGAGAGCAAAGAACAAAAACAAGGTCTCCACCTGAGCCATTGATAATTTCAGCCTTGACGCTTTGGAAGTTCTTCGCCTACCTACGCATATATCGATCCAAAATTAACGTTTCGTCCTGTCAAGAGACCCGCAGTTGATTTTGAGGCTTTGGTCGCGGCCGGTTGAACTAGAATTACGACCTTGGAAGTAGATGTACGAGTCTGACAGGAGTCAGGACGGCCCGAGGTGTTGGTATCCAAACTCAAGTGAGTAGTTCTTTTGATCTATCTATGGATAGAGTTCTCACACGGTGTATCGACCAATGTTTCATGAACAATAATTTACTCGTAGACTTGAGTGACCCGATTGTGGGTTGATTAGGAGCAATGCTCAGTTATCAGCTAACTTCCGTCTATTTTGCTGTCGAGGAGGGAAGGAGGGAAGGGGGACGGGATTTGAGGACTTTATAAGTCAACATCATGGAACGAGGTAGGTAGCGAGGTGACTATTGTATATAGAGTAGGTAGGCGACGTTAATGGTAGACTGCTGCTCTGTGCAGAGCGGGTTGCCCTGTATGCATGCATCTCTGTTTGCACCATTTGCAACGAGCTTTGAGAATCGTACGGCATTGTGTGGAAGTTTCACGACGCATGAAGTAGATCTAAACGATACATCATCGTACAGAATATCCCCCACCGTGATCTCATAAAACATGCGATGATCAACACGAAGAACGAATGTACACGAATATGTACAAGTACATATTTAGATTGCATTTGAACGTCCAAAATCGACGTCATGGTGGATGACATCATAGACAGTTTCCGCCTGTTCATTGGCCCGTGACAAAAGGGTACCACGAGATACCTTGGCAATGTATGGTGCCACCAGCCAGGACGCTGGTATCGGTACATAGGCGTCTTGCGCAGGTACCACCTCCATATCCTTCGAAATCGATGAGTTTCCACTTTTTATTCCCATCGCTTCGGTTGCTGAACCGGAAACCGGAGAACGACGACTCCACGGTGAAGATTCCGCCAGTCATGAGATCGTACGGGTATTTCTGCCTGTCATATCCAATCAACACTGGATGAAATTGAATTTCTCGAGGTACAGTGGACCGCCATCCCAAGCGGCCGTCGCGTCTAAGCGACCAATTACCCCAAAAGAGGCCTCGAGGGTAAATGGGCTTTCGTTGACAGCGGACGACAATCATTACTGGATCCATTCGACTTCGCCTGAAATTTTAAATCTGGTTGGGTCGTGATTATCTGGCTGGCGGTTGGCAATTTATTGTGTACTGCACATGCCTCTCCGCCTGCCCCTCCATACGCTGGCCTCTCCACCCCTAACTCACATTATCTTTTTTTTTTCTTCCAGATCGTCGCGCCTCACCCCATCGGGATCGATCATTCCTTTCGTCCCCGGGCCTTGTCCACTCAGAGCCTTCCGCACCACATCAGACCTCGATCAACGGCCTCGGGATCGTTTGGGGCACTCATGAGCCCCATTCAGAGAGGTCCACTTCGATTTCTGGAAGCTTAGGCTTCTGCAGTGTTCTGTATTTTATTAATCGTGCTACATTGAGATATTCACTGGGGTTACGTTGTCACTGCATCGGCCTTTTTAAAGGTGGCAGCTTCGTCTTCGGCTTCTTCCCATCCCCCACAGATCGAATCTAGTCCGACCCACGCGACGCTTTCCCGCCCGATCGATTTCTTCGCGCATCACCGAACCTGCCACCGACGCCTCAACACCGCCAACCGTTCGAATCGTCCCGGATCTCCTCTACTCGGAAATGGCTTCGCCAACGCCCCAGGAGGTCGGGTTGGGAATCCGGCGCCAGAGGTCCGAGAGCGTTGCGACCCCCACCCGGACAGCATCGTCGGAGTCGACCAAAAAGCGTCCAGAGAACAGAGAACGGTCACAGTCAGTGACACACGATGAAATTCAACAGCCACCGGGTACCGGATTCGATCTCAGTGACCGGGTTTTCCCAATTCGGTCGGTAGTATCAGTGGACCCAACTGTTGCGACTCAGAGGTCTACCTCACGGGGGGCAGTATCACCAACGAGAGATGGAGCTCGACATTATACATTCATCGACGAGCGGACATGGCATCAACTCAAGTCCGAATCCGACGCTCAATCTCTACCTCACCCCGATCCCGAGCACGCACAACCCACGATTCCAACGGATATCCCACGCCACGAGACACATGCTACCAATGAGACTACGGAACTCGGGGCACATTCCATGGCATCGGAAGTAATCCAACATCCCGAAATATACGCCAAGCCCACCCAGAGCGATAGCCAGTCCGGCTCAGGGTCCACCGCTCACCCCAGATCGCAGGGTGGTCCTCGGACAGACGATGACCATCTCATGACATCTCGTTTTAAACATGTCGTGACGGAAAGTGGACATGCAATCATCACGGGAAGAGAGGGCGAAGACCTTCAATATTGTGAAGACGAGCCTATCAGGATCGTGAGTCCCACGCCAACCCCTGCTGCTTTCTAACATGAACTGACCACTATCAGCCTGGTGCAATTCAGAGCTTTGGAGTCATGATCGCACTGCGCGAGCAGTCTCCGGACCAGCTCGTCGTGCGTGTTGTGAGTGAAAACTCGGCAGATTACTTGGGTTATACCACAAAACAGCTATTCGAAGCCCACAGCTTTTGTGACATATTGAAGGATGACCAGGCAGATATCTTATTGGACCACATCGACTTTGTGCGTGACGATGCCTATGATCCCTCTGTTGATGGCCCCGAGATCTTTGCTGTATCAATCCCAACACCCACCGGGGAGAACCGTCGATTCTGGTGTGCAGCCCATGTCTGTCAAAGCCAAAAGGACCTGATAATATGTGAATTTGAGCTTGAATACGACGAGCGTAATCCATTGGATATCCCAGGCTCTGCCACCCCGGGAAGCCCAACGGATCCGTTGAATAACAGTACATTGGGTGTTGTCCCAACGCCAGACCAACTTGCATCTTCAACAATAGCAATATCCCAACCGTTGCGGGTTCTTCGTCGACGGAGAGCAGAGACTGATTATCTGTCTGTCCTCTCGCAACTTGAGACCCAACTCTCACGGTGCCAAGACCTGGAGCAATTATTGAACACTACCGCAGGTAAAGAGTACACTCGAACCTCATGTATGCTGTTCACTCACTCATGATTTACAGGGCTCGTGAAAGAACTCAGTGGGTTCCATCGTGTACTCATATACCAGTTTGATAGCAGCTGGAATGGCATGGTCGTCGCTGAACTGGTTGATCCCAATGTCACCATCGACCTTTACAAAGGTCTCCATTTCCCTGCTTCTGACATACCCGCCCAAGCAAGAGAGCTTTATAAAATTAACAAAGTCCGCCTGCTCTATGACCGCGACCAGGTCACATCACGTCTGGTCTGCCGAACAGTGGAGGACCTTGAAACACCTCTTGACATGACGCATGCTTACTTGAGAGCAATGTCGCCCATCCACATACAATACCTTAAGCACATGAAGGTTGTGTCTTCATACTCGGTTTCCGTAAACGCCTTTGGTGTAAGTAAAGTCGCACCATTTTGGGGGGAATTGGCCGCTAACCAAGTCTTCCTAGGATCTATGGGGATTGATCTCCTGTCATAACTATGGGGCTCCCCGGCGGGTATCTTTCCCAGTCCGCAAGATTTGCCGCCTTCTTGGTGACATCGTTTCCCGTAACATTGAGAGACTCTCGTATACCTCTAGGCTACAGGCGAGAAAGCTTATCAACACAGTTCCTACAGAGGCCAATCCATCTGGGTATGTAGTAGGCCAAATGTCCCGACAATCATCTGCTAACAAAAGCAATAGTTACATTATCGCTTCAAGCGACGACCTGCTGCAACTATTTTCGGCGGACTACGGCGTTCTTTCAATTCGCGATGAGACAAAGATCTTAGGCGATGGTTCCAATACCCAAGAGGTCCTTGCTCTATTGGAGTTCCTTCGTCTCCGACAGTTGAGCTCGGTTCTGGCATCTCACGACATCGTCAAGGATTTCCCTGACCTGCACTTCCCCCCAGGGCTTAAGGCCATCTCAGGACTGCTTTATGTTCCTCTTTCTGCAGGTGGCAGTGACTTCATAGTTTTCTTCCGCCGCGGACAACTGACTGAAATCAAATGGGCGGGTAATCCTTATGAGATCGAGAAACGAAAGCAAACCGCGGGATATCTCGAGCCGCGCGAGAGTTTCGCAGCTTGGCGAGAGACTGTGCTCTCGCAGAGTCGTGAATGGACCGAAACCGATGTCGAAACGGCGGCAGTGCTATGCCGTAAGTTTTCTCTGTGCGCGTCATCCAACATCAGTATGTCACTAACCCGGCATGGACAGTTGTATATGGAAAGTTCATCAAAGTGTGGCGGCAAAAGGAGGCCGCGATGCAAAATTCACAACTGACCCGCCTTCTTCTGGCCAACTCTGCCCACGAGGTTCGAACACCTTTGAATGCGATCATCAACTACCTTGAGATTGCTTTGGAAGGTGCCCTGGATGAGGAAACTCGGGATAGTTTGACCAGATCTCATTCGGCCTCCAAGTCGTTGATCTATGTCATTAATGATCTTCTTGACCTAACGAACACTGAAAAGGGCCAGGAGCTCATCAAAGATGAAAGCTTTGATCTTGAGGAAACCTTCAAAGAAGCTGCTCACATGCTCTCGGGCGAGTCCAAGCGAAAGAACATCTCGTTTACCATTTCAGTGCACCCGGGTCTCCCGCCATTAGTGCTTGGCGATCAACGCCGAGTACGCCAAGTCCTGTCCAATGTGATTTCCAACGCCATCCAGAACACCGAATCCGGTGCGGTCACTACGGAGATTTGGCGCTCCGCCAAACAACCCCTTCCGGGTCATGTGGGAGTCGAAGTCATGGTGGTTGACACCGGCGTAGGCATGTCCCACGACAAATTAGAGGCACTCTTTCACGAACTGGAGCAGGTTTCAACAGATGAAACCTACTACCCCGGCGACGAAGACAAGGATGCAGTCTCTGATTCCTCTAAAGCGCCACAAAAGCGCGTCCTAGGACTTGGCCTTGCTCTTGCGGCCAGGATTGTTCGAAACATGCACGGACAGCTAGGCGTTAGGAGCGATGAAGGGAAGGGCAGCCGCTTCAAAATATATTTGCAGTTCCGGCTGCCAGACGGCGAAGTATCGCAAGATGAAGCCACCATCGCTGCTGCGAATTCTGCTATCCCTCCGACACCGCTCATTTCCGACAAAGAGTTTACCTTGGTTGGTGGGTCAATTGAACCCGTTGACAATAGGCGACGAAGCAACGAAAGTCTACGCAGCGGTGATAGCTCTCGCAGTGGTCACAGCGGAAAAAGCCAGGCAGACAGATTGATCAGTGCCATACAAGAACCTGCAATGTCCAAACGGAGCACCAGTCAGGGTTCTTATTCGAAACAACACCGCAGACTTTCCTCTAGCCCCGTCAGTGCCAACAGTCATCCCATGTCTAGAATCTCGGCACCGACTTCTAGTCTGAAACGCTCGTCAACAACGCATTCAGTTCATGATCTTCGAGGAAATCTATCAACGGTTACCCACACACCACCAATGACTTTACACCCGCTCGTCACGCCACCTCCCCCAGGAGTGGAGAACATTACAGACTCGGGTGTACCGATGAACGCTCTGCGAATATCTAAACTATCTGCCAGTACCAAGTCGCCATCTTTGCAAACCATCCAGGATCGATCATATTTCCCGCGGTTCGAACCAGGCACAGGATTCGTAAATACTCCTTCTACAGCGCCACCGTTATCGACAGCTCCACCACCATCTACAGCACCCCCGCCATCCACATCGCCTACCACCGTCCCCTCAACGACCGACTATGACCTTATGCATGTCCTTGTAGCAGAAGATGATCCGGTCAATAGCAAGATCATCGAAAAACGACTCACCAAGCTCGGGCACACTGTAACACTCACCAGCAATGGCGAGGAATGTGCTGGGGCCTTTGCTTCAGCGGCCGAACAGTTCGATGTCATCCTAATGGATCTACAAATGCCGATTGTCGACGGAATGCAGGCCACTCGAATGATCCGTGATCTCGAGTCCAAAACCCCCCAGACTTCACATCCTGGTGGAGTTTCTTCTCAGAGCCGGGTGCCTATCTTTGCTGTTTCGGCCTCTTTGCTTGAAGAGCACAGAGAGCTCTACATCGAGACTGGCTTTGATGGTTACGTCATGAAGCCAATCCCCTTCGCCAGGTTGAATTTCTTCTTCAAGGGCTTGAAGGACCCTGTGGCCCGAGCAGAAGCGACTTATACACCGGATCGTGAATGGGAGCATGGCGGGTGGTTCCATTAAACCCCGCATCACTGCCTTTTACTCGAGGGTCACCTCCTCCATACTATCTCTCTTAATTCTTGCATGCATGCATGTCCACCTGTGTCCTTCATTAACAGGAGAACGAGCATCTGGATTCTCATCATTCATTGCGCAACTTTACCAAGTACACCACTTGTTACGACACACATGCTTGACGATCCTTTGAGACCATTCTCCTTCACATCATGCTTTCCACCTGCATAGACAGGCCCTTGTACACGAATTGGGCCTGTCGGATCTATTTCGGCGTTTTGATTTCATTCGGGAAAAATATACAGATACCCTATTTGACATACTATTTTACTTCTATTGATGCCGATACCAATGAACTTCAACTGTTCAATCACAATTCATGTTTCACTTTGACGTCTCGGGCAGTTAGGCTCACCTGGGTAGCCCTAGAGGCTCCATGCAGGCTAAACTGTACACTCGTGGACAGCCGTAAGAGATATACATTTGAGGGATTATATTCGGTTACAAATCTCACACAGTTTAAAACATTAATTGAATGTAGTATTCGATGCACTATATTTAAGTTCGAAAATGCTCAAAAAAACGCAATAAACATCACAGCGACAAGGGTATAAAGCGAAAAGACAACGGCCGCCCGGATGTTCCACGCAATGGTGGGCATCATGGAAATTCCCAGGTTATATACAAATTTAAAAGCCCATCCCAATCACAAGCATCAAGGACAAGTGAAGCCAGGACCCCCTTCCCAAGATTATTGGGGGCTCTGCAGTAATGTCATCTCCACTGTAGACCTAGTATCGGATCGAATGGGAGAGATGGTATTGGTCTGCAACTGAGCCGAATTTTCGGTAGACACCGTCTGTCGCAGCACCTCGTGAAAATCATATGTGCTGCTGCGTGTCGACTGTGGTGGTGGCGGGCTAATAGTACCCACAAAGCTGGGCGAATTTCCCACCTGCACAGTTTCTGATTGGTGAGTATTGGTGTAGATATCGAAGATGTTGGCTTCGCTGGACCCTCGGGCATTCCCTTCCGGTACTTGACATAGTGTGCAAGGATATCTGCGCGTCAAATCCCGAAGTTGAGTCAAAGCAAAGAATTCAAGCTTGAGTTTGATACAGTAGGCAAGCACCTTGAAACCCACGGTCATATTGTGGTATCTGAATTCGGCGACGATGGTTAAGAAGTCGAGGATTATTCCGCAAACATTGACGAAGAGAAGCCAGTGAATGACTCTTCTCCCTGAGCGACCCCTGATTGCAAAGATAGGTTTGAGCGCTTTAAGTGCCTCGCGTATGTAGATGGTGCAAATGACGATGTCCTGAACCGCAAACCCGACGATTTGGAGACGGTCATAGATCTGAGCCGGGAGAATGCATTCCGTTCCCCCAAGGTTGATGCAGAAGAACAGGCCTGTCATGGGGGCGTGGAGAATGACGAAGTTGACTATGATCATCCATAGTACCCATCGGATGTGCCGGACATCGTTAACGACTAAGTGCAATCGAGAGTACAGTACCATCGCTTGTCCAGTGACCATGCATATCCAGCTGATCGCAAAGGGAACTATCATGGCGAGATTGGAAGCTTGGCCCATCAAGCGAGCCTGGGATGTAATGGCATGCACAAAGATACCCCAGGCGGCGATTTGCATGCTCCAGAAATATAGCCCGCGATATTTTTTGAAACTCTCGAAGATAGACACCACCACCTCCAGAGCACCAGCACCGCTGATTGAGAACATGGCTATTGTCTGGATAATGGAGATGTTCTTCAAAATGACATCGTATGGCTCAGAAGGCCAGACGTTGATTGTACTATCCATAGGCGAGAGGAATGAGACGGAGGACAAGAGAACATTTCGGGAATGGGAAAGACTATATGGACTGCACAGACGCAGGTCCCACTTTGGAACGTTAATCTAGCCGCTGATGCTCCGTAGGTGCCGTTAAGATCGGTGATCGCCTTGAGCCCCTCATATGGAGGGGGGTGACAACTGGATAAGGTTAGGACCACACAGTCTCGAGGGCGATGTTCATGGCGAGGAAAGATAGGCTAGTCCGTTATTGGGCAGCCAAGAGACCGAGGCAACAGTCTATGATGCCCTAGCACACGGGGATGCGGTAGAAAACATCCGGTCCCAAGCTGGTGAAAGGTTGATTGCGCAGGTATTCCAACTGGGAATGGTGGGATCTACTTTGAGACATGGATTCGACCCCTCAAGTCATCGCATTTGGAGCTAACTGGACGCGGCAAACGAACAGAGTGGCGAGAGGCTATCAGCGCGCCAGACAGGGAATCTCGGGATCTCAAACAAAGAAAAACCAACAGCTCGTGCGGTTTCCGTTCGTTAGCGCTCCACAGCTTGAGCCCAGACCTCTGACGAAATTGGTTATTTGGAATTGAAGTGCTAAATTGCCTTGATCAGGGGAAATTGATGTTCTGTGAAATCAGGGAAGTTAACAGGGGCAATGTACGAGTAGCTCTGAGCCCTGTCACGAGAGTTAGCGCAGAGTCACCCTAAGGTCATAACTTTGAGATATTAAAAAAAGAAAGTCTGACACGTCGAGAGTTCAAACGCATTACAGTGTCAGGAGAGAGGAAAACTGTACATAATTAGAAAGGTGGACAAACCCTTGATGAGACTTACACCGACTTATGGGTAAACTCTCTGTTGGGAGATCGCCATCTTCCACCGATCTTCAGCTCTGATGTACTCCGTAGAATGGAGTGTGATAGAATTGCGGCGGAAATGAAGCATGGGGTTGGATAGGGATTATCAAGAGCTGTGCGTTTGCCTTGTGTCGGTGGGTTAAATCGGTTAAATCCTTGCCGAGGCAAGGTCGCATTTTGTAAAGAGGGGATCCTTGCGGAGTCTAAGTCAAATGTTTCAAATAGAATATAAATGTTAAAATAGTACAAGTCATTCATGCGTGGCTAAAAGAGCTATGTAACACAATTTTGTTAAATTCACAGACGAGGACGACCAGTCACGGGGAAGCAAGGAACATCAAAACGATCCAAGTTCATAACCTTGTCCCAGACAGCGACGAAGTCCTTCTTGAACTTGTCCTGGGCATCGGAGCTACCGTACAGTTCAGAGAGGGCACGGAGCTCGGCGTGGTGACCGAAGATCAGATCCACCCGGGTGGCGGACCACTTCTTGGCACCGGTCTTACGGTCGAAGCCTTCAAAGTATTCGCTGTCAGCGCCAGTGGGCTTCCAGACGGTGTTCATATCAAGAAGGTTGACGAAGAAGTCGTTGCTCAGCTGGCCAGGACGGGACGTGAAGACACCGTGTCGGGATCCGTCCCAGTTGGCATTCAACGTGCGGAGACCACCGACGAGAACGGTGAGCTCCGGTGCCGAGAGGGTGAGTTGTTGAGCCTTGTCGACGAGAAGCTGCTCGGTGCGGACGCGGCGAGTGGAGTTGCCGTAGTTGCGGAACCCATCGGCAAAGGGTCGGAGCCATGAGAAGGATTCGACGTCCGTTTGATTCTCGGTCGCGTCGTTGCGGCCAGGGGTGAAGGGGACGGGGAGGCCGGAGGAACGCTCAAGAGCGGCGGAACCGGCCAGAACAATCAGATCGGCAACAGATACACGCTTATCGCCGTTTTGGGACTTGTTGAAGCGCTCCTGGATGTTCTCCAACACGCTGAGAACCTCGCGCAGCTGGGCGGGGTTGTTGACATCCCAGTCCTTCTGGGGAGCGAGGCGAATGTGGGCGCCGTTGGCACCACCACGCTTGTCACCACCGCGGAAGGTGGAGGCAGAGGCCCAGGCAGTGGAGATGAACTTGGTGGGCTCAACACCGGAGGCGAGGATCTCGTTCTTCAGGGCAACAATGTCGCCATTGTCAATCAGAGCGAAAGCGGGAGCAGGGACGTGATCCTCCCAAAGGAGAATCTCCTTGGGGACCTCAGGGCCCAACCAGCGAGCACGGGGACCCATGTCACGGTGCAGCAGCTTGAACCACGCACGGGAGAAGGCGTCGGCAAGCTGGCCGGGGTTTTCCAAGAAACGACGGGAGATCTTCTCATAAGCAGGGTCGAAGCGCAGGGACAGATCGGTGGTCAGCATCGTGGGCTTCTGCTTCTTGTTGGAGTCAAAGGCATGAGGAATGATAGAATCGGCGTTCTTAGCCACCCACTGCTTAGCCCCAGCGGGACTGGTGGTGAGCTCCCATTCGAACTGGAACAGATATTCCAGGAACTGGTTGCTCCACTTGGTAGGGGTCTTGGTCCAAGTAACTTCCAGGCCACTGGTGATCGCGTTGGCTCCGACTCCAGAGCCGTGTGCGTTGTGCCAGCCCAAGCCCTGGGACTCGAGACCGGCGGCCTCGGGTTCCTTGCCGACATTGTCGGCACCGGCAGCACCGTGGGTCTTTCCGAAGGTGTGACCACCTGCGATGAGGGCGACGGTTTCTTCGTCATTCATGGCCATGCGACCGAAGGTGATGCGGATATCTCTGGCTGCAGCAACAGGGTCGGGGTTTCCATCAGGACCCTCGGGGTTCACGTAGATCAGACCCATGACGACCGCGGCCAGCGGGTCCTCGAGATCACGAGTCTTAATATCACTCTGCTTGGGCTTCTCAGCGGGAGTCTCGGCCTCATAACGCGCCTCGTTGGTGAACCAAACGTTCTCACTGCCCCAGTAGACAGACTCATCGGCCTCCCAGACATCGGGACGGCCACCGGCGAAACCAAAGGTCTGAAGGCCCATGGACTCCAAGGCGACATTTCCAGTCAAAAGCAGCAAATCCGCCCACGAAATTTTGTTACCGTACTGATCGGTGGTTAGATAACATCATCATTTGAGTGAAAAGTTCCGGAAGCTCACCTTCTGCTTGATGGGCCAGAGTAGACGACGAGCCTTGTCTGTAGAAAAAAAATGTTAGACTCCGAGGGATGACCTCATCGGGTACTTTTCAAAACCCACCGAGGGAGACGTTGTCGGGCCAAGAGTTCAGCGGCGCAAAACGCTGCTGGGCCTGGCCACCACCGCCGCGGCCATCAAAGACTCGGTAGGTACCTGCGCTGTGCCACGCCATACGAATGAATAAACCACCGTAATGACCGAAGTCCGCAGGCCAGAAGTCCTGTGAGTCGGTCATGAGGGCATGGAGATCCTTCTTCAGCCCCCAGTAGTCGAGGGTCTTGAACGCGGTGGCATAATCAAAATCCTTATTCTGCGGGTTGGTGGCATCGGTGTGCTGGCGAAGGATATTCAGCTTCAGGGCATTAGGCCACCAGTCGGTGTTGCTGTAAGAAGGTCAGTTCCGCGGGGATTTCGGGAAAGGATCCGAGAAGGAGCCTGTGAGGAAGAAGTGCCCAGACAGAGACATACCGAGTGCCACCTCCAGCGACATTGCTCTTCTTGTGTGCAACTGGACATTCAGCCATGATGTGTGATTTGGAGACGTTTGAGGGTGAAGAGAAGAGAAAGCGGGCATCCCCGCAAATTTAAATGTTTGCGTGGGCCCAATAATGGGCCGTGTATTAAGCAGCTTGATAATCCCGAACGCCTGGCCACAGTACCTTATGCCATGCGATGACGCTAAATAAGCTCTCTTCAGCCTGTCATTGGCTGTGCTGGACCTTACTCCCTACAGGCAATGGGATCCGGGGGCGTGCGGGGAAAAGATCAGTCCTGCAGTGGTGGGCTCATTGCCGGAGTGCGCCGAGGCGCGATTCCGACGTTCTCCGATGACAAAATGGCCAATTTCTAGAACAGCAATGATAAATCCAGTGCTCTACCCTCCAATTACGAATATAGCTTATTGCACCTGTTGAGGCGAGATTCTGCCCATTGACTCAGCCTATGGATTACCTCATTTGCCCGAGCTGGACCTTCCCAATTGGGTCAACTTCCCGATTAGGCAGCTTTTTCCAGAGTCACGTGGTGCTTGGAAAACAGTCCCGAAGGGGTTAGCGCGCCTGTCACCTTTTGAAATTAGTAAAGGCCAGAGACACCCCTACGCACGAATTCAACAACCAAGTCCATAAGATCGGGGTTCAAGCCCAAAAGGGTACTCTATCCTTGCACCATCAAGTTCGACACCGGTGCCGTGAAATCCTGATCAGGTCTGTGCTGTCCAGCCTGGTCTGTGTTGGAGAAATCTCATTAACTTCGATATTTGCAATCAATCATTATACACACATGAACCGTATGGATCCATCCCGTAGGATATCGGGCCAGCTACAAGCTTCATCATGTCCATTGGCCCCACTCCTCTTTTTCCATATGGTATGGAAGATATCCTTTGCAACTGACGCATGAACCAGTGCAGTGGTTCGGGCGCAAAACTCAAACCATGTTGAGAAGTATGACTGCAAGTCTGGGGTGATGGCCTCACAGGCAGCTATAAAGGCTGGCCAAATCAGTGCAGCACTGTTGCTATCATCGTGGTACCCTTCTTCCTGTTTGGCCTTGATAAGACACATGCGCATCTCATCAACTTGGCCTTGGAGCATCCTCGAGTCAATTTCGTATATCCGGCGGTGAAAGAAAATCAATAAGGCGTTGTACATCGCTTGAGCGGTTGCTGTGACCTTCGTCGCAAGACCCTCAATATTTCCTCGAGGATGGGTGCCGAGGGATGGGGAAAGAAGATGCTCAATGGCCCTTTCCAGGGCTTTTGCCCGAGTCCAGAACTCCTTGAGACTGAGGTGTCTATCTGCCGGGTCATTGGATATCATTGACAGATCCCTTTCGTTGGCCAAGCGAATAACTTGGGAAAGGAGCATTAGGAAAATCTCGTCAACTCCATACACAGTGGGAAATAGCGTGGAGCTCCAATAGCCAGGTATTGCGAGATGAAGGTCCCGCTGCGCCATCTCCGGATCCTTTTCCATCAGCATAGCGGTGGTTGAAAATTCTTGATTGGGATAAATCCGGAATTCACCCCCATATAGCGAAGGAATATTGTCGTGTGGCGAAAGGTTCGTTTCAGTGAGATTCGCATTCAAATCCCCCATTATACATGTCGTTTCTGCCATTATTCGCATATATGCATAGCAGTGGTGTAATGCCCTTTTTTTGGCAGATAGAATCGGTTGGCTGAGACCCTTCACACAAATGAATTTTTCAGTTTGGACAAGCCATGCTCGTCGTTTTTCAGGGTCCCCTTTAATCATCTATTTAGTTGCGTTAGCAAACTCCCGCGTCATCGGATTTGTAGCCATACAAACGCATTTGAAAGACTCAATATTGCCATGAGAATCTCCTTATATTTGCTTGTTTTCGAGCTCGACAAGCAGGTCTCTTCCATGCATTTCTGGAAGTGAGACTGCGCCTGCAACAGATATCTCTCTCCGGAGGCTTTCCATTGGTCGAAGCATCCAGTAGAGTTGTTGCCCAGATGAAATGCACTTGTGCTCCATACGGCATTAAGTAGTGCCAGTCTCGCATGATTGACCCTCCCACTCAAGGTCAGCTCGCCTAATGTGGTGACCGCACATGGGATTACGAGATTCATCCATGGCGTTTCTTGCCCGCGTCGTAGGGGCGAGATTAGTGGGATAATCCGTTCTTTGTAATGTGATAAGAGGGTCCAACCCTCTATATTTCCTCCGCTGAGGAATGATCTAGGGTCGGGCTCCTGGCTCAAACCGCCGAGATAAATTCCAGTATTCTCTGGAAATATCATATCCAACTCTGGAATCATATCGGGGAATAGTTCTGCTTCGAGTGTATCCAGTGGCCAAAGAGAACAGTTGATGTCATCATCCCTTGGTATATGTTCCAGTTGCTCGAGCCATTCCTCTGGCGAGGTTGGTGTTTCTTCTTCATCGGATCCGGGTGATTCATCTGGCGGTGGCTGCGACCATCTGAAAGCGCCGAAAGGTCCCCGGACATGCGAAAACGGCTTTGAATCGTTGTAATGATCATTTTCATTCTCCAATTCATCTATGACCCGAGATGGACTCTGGTCATGAAGCGACGATACGACCTTGAGACTCATTTCGCGACGCTCTGCATCTTCAAGTCTGTCAGAGAATAGCGTGGCTTGGTCGGGGATTGTTCTTACCTGTAAAAATAGACTGGCGAAGCCTCGCCGCGTTCCCAGCACTCAACCATCGAATGTCCTCTTTGTTATTAATGAACGTCAAGTGTATGGTGGCTGACGTTTGGGGCAAACGCAAGCTTTCTGACACTTCCGGCGTGGGATGTTGATTGTTTCTACTATCCATTTGAGGAGGAAAGTGTAATAACCCTGGACGATCCTTCATATTGCAGCTAGTCTGTTTCTCAAATGAGGAAAGTGAAAGAGGGTAGAATGAAGATGCCCGGGGATGCGGGAAATCCCCCACAGCAGATGATAGCGGGATGTCGAAACAGGGAGGTGATCCCGACACCCACGTACAAGGGCTTTCATTTCAAGAGTATCACTCGTATCGAGATAGAAAAAGGTATTGAACTTTTTGAAAATGCTCAATCTCAAATTGCCTCTGATAACACAATTTAATGCCATATTCAGGCATCCGAAGTTAGCAACGATAAATGGACCGGAACTTCTTGCCTAGGGTTTTATCGCCCCCTCTTTCTATCAAGCCATCAAAAACAGGAATAGGGACGTTTGCAGTCCTGAAAATTTTCTCTCTTATCAACATTGTCACAAGTGAGGCTTCCCACGCTACTGGTTACTTGATGCTTCAAAATGGAAAAACCGCTGTAATATTGACTATGTACATTTCCTAATGTCTTCGCAGAGTCTTGACAGAAGACGGAAAGAAGCTCAAGCTATTCATAAAGATTCAAGCACAGAGCATGGAGTGCCAGATTCTGCCCAGATCAATATCTAGGAGAATAATTTGGCAATTCGCAGATTGTTGTAGTCCCAAGCCGTGATATCCTCATACTTGCATGGCGTGGCCGGAGTGATGAACTTCTTCAGAGGGAAGAGTGATGCAATGCGATTTGGTTTGGCGAAGTATGCAATAGAGTAGCGCTCGGGGATCAATTCATCCGATCCCACCTTTACAGTGGGTGGGTAGGTAACTCGGTGGCAGGCCGCACGGAATGTATCGTTGGTCAACCGCTGCAATGAATCGCCAATGTTGAGGATGATCTCCGATTTGCCTCCAGACTCGACACCGCGGAATACACCCGGGTTCTGCTGGTCCTCGACTTGAAGGCCACCTGTAGAGTCTTGGAAAAGCATAGTGATTGTACCAAAATCAGTGTGCTCGGCAATGCGAGTGGCTGTTCCATCAGCTAGTTCGGATGCGGGGATAGCGGGGTAGTGCAAGAGACGGAATTCGTTCTCGGCCTTGCTGTGGAGAGCTCTGAGGTCTGAGGACGAAACACCCAGGGCTTGAGCTAGCGCATCGAGAATTTCCAGCTCCACCTTGAAGCAATTTGTGTAAAAGTCTTCCATGAATTTGCGGAATCCAGGCAGCTTCTCATCAGCGACCCAGATATTGTCAACGAGCTCGTCATTAGCAGCGCCAATATCGAGCGTTTCCTGTTTCTGTCAGCATAGGCTCTGTTTTTGGTCGATCGACAGCTCAGTACCTTAATGTCACGGACTGACTGTCCTTGGGGGAGACCCTTCTCGTAGCCGCTGATGGCAGAAACAGATTCCTGTCCAACAAAGCTGTATCCACGGTTGGGGTTGGCCTGAGGGGGGTGTTTGGCGGTCATCTTATCTTCCAGGGAAAGTGAGAAGAACCGACGCGTCTAGAATTTGTTAACCAGAGAGTATTCTTGTGAGCTTCTAATGGCAACATACGTAATCAAACATCTCCGAAACGAGAGCTTCTGGAAGACCATGGTTCTTCAATTGAGCTACTCCGCGGGTCTTGAGTGTGTGCAAAAGTGCTGCCGAAGTAGCTGCCTTTTCCTCGGGAGTTCCCTTGAGCAAAGAAAGATCAATGACTGAAGACATGGTTTGCTTTTTTGTCTTTTTGAACTTTGGGCCTTGTTTGTTTGAGTTAAACTGTGTTGTCTGGAATGCAAGAATGGATGGGTTGATCTGATGAGTTTATATACATTTTCACAGGAGACAACCGTCAATACCAACACCTCAAGGTTCTATGTATTTGGAAGGTGATGCTACATAACTCTCTAGAAACATGTCCGTGATTACATTCCAGGTCAATTAAATCCCCAGAAAGCATCATCGCCTGCCCAGATGGTTCCCAAAACGCGGGGGCGTAGTTCTGCGAATGGAAACGCACGGACACTACCTTCCTTGTGTGTCAGCCAATATAAAGCCATGGCTCAGCCGCAAGTGGATCACCTTCCCTCCTAAATTTGACCAGTTGCCCACATCTTGGAACACTGCTTGAGATGTTGTCTATTTTGTGTGGAGTAATTAACTAAGCTCAATATTATCCCGTGCTCAATTGGCTAGCCCATATAGTTCCAAACTTCAATTCTCAAGACTCATGTGACTCGCTGCATATCAAAAACGGCACTTATTTGTTCTTTGTATTTATCTTGGCGGTTAGCGAAGATGAAGGATCAATGATCAATGATCTTTGTACGCAGTATCTCTCCGGGGCCCGAACTGACACCTACCCGCTTATCCCTGGACCCGATTGACTGCTTCCCGATTTTAGGAGGGCAGAGTATTGATTCCAAGGTTTTAGCTGGCCACAGCCCCTCGATGCTTACATGTACATGTACTTATGTGTCATGCTAGGAGACCTCCACCAGGTGGTGATAACCCAAGTATAAAAACAAACTCAGAAAGTAGAGCCGAGACAGATGAGCATTTACCTATCTTTCTGTATGAGTATCACCCCAATCTCGCCCGAAACATGCCAGTATATTGTGTATTCTTGGCAGAAAAAGGCAAGGTTTCACCCAATCCCAACCCTTGCTTCGGCACATTCTCCGGGTTCAATGTTCACCAAAGCCATCGCATGTAAGGAAATGTCTTAAGTGTTACGGCCTTGTAGAATACGCTCATATACTTATGTTTTTAGTCTTTCGCATACAACCCGACAGCACCTCCCTGGGCCCGGTAAGAATCCCGGTTGAAATCTGCGCTACGGCGTTGCATCCGACCATCCAACCAGACAGGCTCTGATTTCAAGCCATCAAACCTTTGCGCCAAAGTGGCTGATGTTCCGATAAGAGCCGAGGAGTTGCTGAGGCGAAGGACAGCCTACGACTAATAAGATCTCACTCTTCAAGCCTGAGAGGCGGCAGAAGGAAGTTAAATATCACGAGGGCATTGAGACTGCGGGGAAGTGGATCCATTACAGAGTCTATCGAATCAGAGTCTACACTTGGTCTGTCAAGTTGACCATCTTTGTTATCTCAACGACATCCTAGACTATTGACCAGGCGATATCTCCCTTGCGCTTTGATTGCAAACGTAGAACTATAAATTCATTGCTGTTCCAGATTGTAGTTGACAATATCTTCGTTTGAAACAAGAACCCTCAACTAGTAATGCAACAAGAGAGCTTTTCACGGCCATGTCTCAACCCGATGCGACTTCTGACGTGTATAAACACGAGAAAGATCACAAGAACAGCAATGATCTCGAGCCGACAGCAACCAGAGAGGAAGCAGCCGTAGGAGAGATGGAGGAGACCAGAAATGGCCAATTTCATCGCTCCTTTTCGCCTCGTCAGGTTCATGTAAGATTTCAACATCAAGCCTAGGGCTTTTCTGCTCGAACTCATCTAACAACTTAGCAAGATCATTTCCCTAGGATCCAACATTGGAAGCGGCGTCTTTATTGCCACGGGAAAGGCTCTTGCCACCGGGGGACCAGGTAACATGGTGATTGCCTACACGATGGTTTGCACGTGTGTCTGGGCTGTGCTCCAATCATTGTCCGAGATGACTATTGCTTTCCCCGTATCTGGAAATTATATCGACTATGCGGATTGTTGGGTTGATCCAGCCCTGGCTTTTGGTGCAGGCCTTGCCGAGTGGCTTGGTAGGTGGTATCTTTTTTCAAGAGAAAGGTTTGGTGCTTCTTGTGCTTACTGTAAAGCAGGTTGGACGGCAATTGTCGCCGCTGAAGCTGGTTTTTTCAATGTGCTCGTTCAGTACTGGGCCGAAGGATCTATGCCTTTAGCAGCAACAAGTAAGTTCTACCTTAACCTATGGATATGACCCCGAGCCTGATTGTGTGAAGTTACCATCTTCCTCGTCGCTTGCTTGGTTATATTTGCCCTCCCAAACAAAGTCTTTGCCTGGTTTGAATACGTTACGTCCTTGATCAAAATTGTGATTTTCCTCATCATCATAATCCTCTCGTTGGCACTTGTTCTAGGAGCTGGACCTAAGGGCACTTTCCACCATGGGGATACATGGACATCTCTTCCACCGTTTCTCAACGGATTCTCAGTATGTTCTCCCTTTCTCAGTTCCAAACTCCGCTGACCTACTCAGGGATTCGCCAACTGTGCCCTTCTTGCTGTGTGGGCTGTTGGTGATCAGGTATTCATTGGAATCATGGGCGGAGAAGCCGAGAGCCCTCGGTTCTCGATGGGTCATGCTACAAAGCTGGTTCCATTCCGAGTGAACTTCATTTACGTGATCAGCGTCGTCTTTATCACAATACTGGTTCCATCAGATGATCATCGCTTATTAGGGGGAACCGGAGTCGCCGCATCCCCTTTCATCATAGCAGTTCAAGACTCGGGAATCCCCGGAATTCCCTCCCTGTTGAATGCAGGAATGATATGCGGCGTTCTTGCGATTGCTGCTGAAGCCGTTTATCTTTCATCAAGAGTTTTGCGAACCATGGCCCACCAGAAACTGATTTGGGAGGGTCTTGCTAAAGTAGACTCCAGTGGTCGTCCAAGATGGGCTTTAATCATCACCTCACTGGTCGCCGTGGTCCTTTCATACATTCAGATCGCCGGTCAGTACCCCTTTGGGATTTTCCATGAATGGGAATGTACTTACGCACAACAGCTGGTGGCTTGACGGTTTTGAATTGGTTGATCTCAATCACAAGTGCTTCTTTCTTTACGAATTGGATCATCATTTCCTTTGTGAACTGGCGGTTCCATCGCGCATTGGAAGCGCAGAATGACCCCCTTTTCACAGAAGTAAATGCATGGAAGTCATCACTGTGGCCACTTGCACCCGCCTGGTTGATGATTAACTCCATATTCTTGTTGGTTTGCTGTATCTTTCTTGGAATCAAGCCCCCTGTAAGTCTGTCCGGTACTATCATATCACTGTTCATCTTTACTGATATTTCATATTCATAGAGCGGGACTGGCTTCACCGCGACCAACTTTTTCCAATATATCCTCGGCATTCTGATCATATTCAGTTTTACCCTCGCATACAAACTCATATACAGAACTCCTTGGCGTAATCCCAAAACCGCAGATTGCACCACTGGTCGACGTCCTCTGTCAGCCGAGGAAATAGCCATGTTTGACTCTTACTACCGACAGCCAGCCTGGCGAAGGTTCCTCACCTACGTCCAACTATGGTAGCGGAGACAGACTCGCACCAAATGAGATTTTCATCCCGGAAAGTTGACCTGGTGCGCAAGTCTTAAGACTGGCTCAACAGTCTCACATTTGTCGTATTTTGGATTCCACACGAAGATTCAGGTAGTGTCAGTAGATTAGTAGGGGCTCAGTGGAAAGTCAAAGAGGGTGAAATGATACAGATTTTTCACGTATAAGATCGCAAGCGAGCTCACAAACGAGAAGAGATTTTCCAACACTTAGAAGTGTTTTGCTAAAGTAACACGAGTTTAAAGAGATTCAGCCGATAATGGTAGAAACCCGACAAACTGCCTTCGGCTTGCGATCCGATTACTTTCTCAGTCAACTTAGGCACCGATCCATCCTGCTTGTTGATTTCCGTGGAGAGGTAACACAAACACCTCTCCAGAAACATAGTCTCTCATCTTCCAACAATCACTTATTCATATGTGGGTGTTTTCGGGCGATTGTGGTCCATCTGCTCAAGGAATGCTGTCATCTGCTCGTGGAACTTTCCAATGGCTTTGTTTTCTCTGTAATAGTGCTCATTTTCTTTAATCGAATCCATGTATTCGCACAAGGCAATACCCGGCTGCAGACAATGGGGCTCATTATCATGCGAATGACAAGGAGGGATTTCGGGAGATCGTATGATTTGCTCAGATTGCTCCGGTTGCACATCTCGCGGGCTTTCTGATGAGCGTATGTTCAGATGGTAAACTTGTTCCGTAGCTTCGGGAGTCGTGAGTCGACCAAAGTAAGACGAAAAACTCTTGTAGACTCTCTTGACGGGCCCTTCTTCAAGGTCATCAACCTTGCACGCAAATTCAGACCGGGCAGTGTTGTAGCTAAATGCATGCTGAATCGCAACAGCATCCCGATTCATGTCAAAGCCCAGCATTGACCAGCTGACCCTGGGTGGGAGGCAACAAGCCATATTACTCAAGGCGGCAGCCTCTGACTGCGAGAACTTGTTGCGAACAATTTTGGCAGCGATCTCATTCCAACCCCATCGTTGGTACAAATCCTCCAGGGCGACAACCGCCGTGAACAGATCCAAGCGCTGGGGTGTGGCTTCGACCTCTTTCAGCTGCTTCCAGAGAATTTGGAATGTGTCAGGGGTTGACAAGGATGTATCCAGATGGTCCTGGGTTGGCAAAGGTGCCTCGCCCCTGGCAGCTAACAGCGAAACGTGTCGAGCTGCTACCACATCCTTGTATTCCTCGCTGTCAATTTCTCTCTTCCTCTTGGCGTCTCGAGATCGGACTGGCAAATTAACATTGTTGTCGCTTCCATGTCCAATCTTCGCCACAGGATCCCCATGCTTCAAGCTTTGCACGGGAATGCTGGCCCAATCAATCCGATGGTAAATATCAAGCGTAGATTCTGCAGGCATATTGCGTTGAATGGCCTGGTTCCTATCGCTCGGGTCCGCATTGGAACTTATCATGGTCTGGAATCCAAAGAGAGAGCCCAACTTTTGATACCCAGAAAGGACTTTGCCCTCCAATACCAAGCAGTGTGCATCAATATCGTCACAGCCTCTGAGCAGAATCCCCATTGACCATCCACCATATCCCCAGAGCCCAGTCGACTTTTCCGGGCCAGTAGTAGGCATTGGGTGATATCGCGTTAGTTGGGTGCTCAGCTCGTCGCATGTCTCTATCTCGATCGCAGGGAACACGAGCCCGCTTTGGAAAAAGGGATCGCAGTTTGGGTATGCATCGGCCAACAACCAGCCTGCATCGTTGTATCCCCCAGTCAAGATGTACACACCTTTCCAGGTCAACAGAGTCGGCAATCCGTTCTGGTAGACAATGACGGTGGGGGGTTTTGGGATTCTGTCTCTGCGCACGTCTCCATTCGCATCAAAATCGAATGAGAGAAATTGAGTTCGGTAGTATTGCGGTAGAGCCAGGAGAGCATAGACCACTCCCGCGTCAGACAGACGCACTCTTTTCGGCTTCCATGTACGGCGGGAATCGGATGCGGCGGAGTCGTTATGTTTCAAGGACCAAGGTGGGGGCGTCTCGATTGGCCAGTTTTGAAGAAGTGGTAAAGATCTGCTACCTGAAAGGACATAGTCATCTCCGGGCTGGATTGGGACGCCGGAAGCTATCTGCTCTTCCCGTTGAATAGATCTCTGACATTCTGAGCGCCACCCAGCCAGATGTTGGAGCCAGTCTTCAGGGTCTTGACCAGACCTACAGGCCATGGTGCAACTGGATCAGGAACTGGAAGGTATTAGTGGCAGCGCTTGTTTCAAATTTGACTCAATCGCGAGAGAGGCAGATATGTCAACAAAGCAAAACTTTTGCCCAAAATAGGATACCCACAAGGTAGGCCGACGCCCACGATAAAAAGCTAGCGAGACTAGTTAGGACTAAAAAAGCAGGGATGAGAGAAAGGAGAATCGATTGGCAAGTGAGGTGAGAGTCAAAGGTAGAAATGTAAATGGGTGATTGTTGACTTCAAATCGTGTTATTGATCCAGAGTAGGAAGTGCAACAAACATGAATTTGACGCGTTTTGCAAATTCCGATAAAAATTCAATGCGAGGAAATGAGCAAGAAAGACAGGTTGCTATAAGCCTCGTCTGCCACTCAAAACTTGGAGAGCATCCGTGAATCTTGATCTACCCCAAATCAGAGATATTGATGGTTTCTTTCCAGTCACTCTATACTTCATGTCTATTTAGCGGCATACTATACTTTTTGGTTGATCTGAAAGGTTTGGTTCTATCAATGGCCTCGAGCTTTGTACTCCGCGATTTTTAGTATATTCGCTCCCAATCAATTGTAAGCTGCCCTCTGGGTATGCATATTTACGATGGATAGACAAATTAAGAAGAATGGATAACGATATAGGAGTAACGTAAGTGTGTGAAATATAGACACAACAAGTTCTCACCACCAGGCCAGACAAACATCAAACATTACTCTGCTCCTCATACACCAAGGGTCAAAGTCCTTTACGATGCGATTGAATATATACACGACTTCACAGGTCTAAGGTGAACCTTGGAACCTGGAAGTATACGGCGCTGACATAAAATCGCCATGGCCGAGGAAGACCAGTGACATCAACATCGTGAGCGCCACACAGCCACCTTTTTTTTCTCCAGCTCGGGCATTTCAATTCTGGGTTTCTGGGGTTGACACTTGTCTTTATGTCTTCATGGCTGGATAATTCATCTTGAAACAATGATACTCGCTATCTACTTGATCGACGTGGGTCACAACAAGAAGTACCCCAGTCTCCACATGTCCGGATCGAGGTGCCAAGTATGCCCCACGGACCAGACTATTGGAAGAGCGTCTTGATCGTCGTGCCAATTGTCTGCACTGCTTTTGCAGCCCTGTGTTTCGCTCTCCGGATCTATTCTCGTCTGAAAGTGCTACGTGGCCTACGTGTGGAAGATTTATTGATGGGTTTTGGTCTGCTATGCACCTGTGGTGTCGCGGCGTGTATTGTATACTGTGAGTCAGCCACTTCCCGCACCGAATAAACATTAATTTTTGATTATAGCAGCTTTCCTTGAGATCGGGTCGGGCAGAGACATTTGGAGTTTCCCACAAGAGCAACGTCGCCAGATCGCTTTGGTACAGCTGCCACATCCGTCTTACAATGGAGAATATAACTGACATCCGCGCACCTTAGGCGAATTGGATTCTTACCAAGTTCTGGCCTTCGGCACAAGTCTTTGTGAAGATATCTATTCTGATATTACTCCGCAAGCTACTCGGTTCGGTGAATTGGTTTCGACGAAGTATAACCGGAGCGATCATCTTTGTTGTCGCCTGGGGGATCACTGCCTTGGTAGGAAATACGCTTCAATGCTGGCCAGTTCAATATTTTTGGACCAGAGAGATCGGAGGAGACTGCATGTCCGAGCAAACTACGTTTTTCATCATCATCGGAGCTTTGTCAACCGTGGAGGACATTTTCATCCTCTGTCTACCACTGCCCGTTGTATGGAAGTTGCAAATGCCTCGACATGAGAAGATCGAGTTGACAATCCTCTTCACCATTGGATGCTTGTAGGGATTCCGGATCCCTTCATGTGCAATGGCTAACTCGATGATTCACAGAGTTTGTATATTCAGTATATTGCGCATAGTGGAACTCCAAAGATATGAAACCAGCAACCTTACGTGTGAGTACAAGTCAAAAGGCCAAGCCCATATGCTAATCGGACCAAAAACCACCCAGACGCCAGCTCATTCTCTCTCATATGGGCGATTTTGGAATTGGACATGGCGATCGTCTGCGGATCATTCCTGCTAATGAAGCCTGTGCTTCTCGGCTGTCTAGGAGTCATATGGAAAAGAGTCAGTAATTTAGGTAGTCGTTCGACCACCCACCCTTCCGGCGAAACAGACTGTGGTTAAGGGGGATAAGAATCAGAGTGCATATGAGTCAATGCGCGAGCAAATCCCTTTAAATGCGGGGTATAGTCCGATAGCGTAGGATCTCCATAAAAAACCACCGATATGTGTCATGGGCAAATAGAAAGGAAATGTCCGATTGCATGGCGGACACGACAAGACCGCAGCTCACCGGGCCGGTGAGCTGCCCCACCAGACTTTTACATAAGTGCGGGATTCCCCAGGCCTTTTGGAAGAGTCACATATCACAATCAAACACAATGCCTTCCCTCCAAGAAAGCAAATTGGCCTTTATCGGCGGTGGCAACATGGCCTCCGCCATCATTGGCGGCCTGGTCAACAAGGGCGTCAACAAGCAGAACATCTGCGTGTCCGAGCCGTGGGATGTCAACCGCGAGAAGATGGCCGCTCTCGGAGTCCGCACCACGACCTCCAACATTGAAGCTGGTGGAGATGCCGACTTGATCATCATTGCTGTCAAGCCCCAGGTCACCAAGGGTGTGTGTGAGGAGCTTGGTGCTGCGTGGTCCCCCCGCGCCACTCTACCCGTCGTCGTCAGCATTGCGGCTGGTATCACCCTCGATAGCTTGAAGGGGTGGTTGAAGACGAGCGATGGTCGTACCGCGCACACTGTCCGTGTGATGCCTAACACCCCTGCTCTGGTCGGTGAGGGTGCTTCGGGTGTTTTCGCCAGCGCGGATGTTACCGAAGCCGAAAAGGAGCTCGTGAATGCTATGCTTGGAAGTGTTAGCAAGGCTACCGAATGGGTTGACCGCGAGGAGCTTCTGGATGTTGTCACTGGTTTGTCTGGTGAGTTTTCGCCTCGGGCTGTTCGAGTGAACTTTAGATCCCATACAAGTATAGCGATCTGACTGATAGTAGGATCTGGACCCGCTTACTTCTTCGCTATGGTTGAGCACCTTGTTGCAAGTGCCACTGCCCTGGGTCTGTCTGAAGAACAAGCCACTCGTTTGGCTACCCAGACATGCCTTGGAGCTGGTAAGATGCTGGTTGAGAGCTCTGATGCTCCTTCTCAGTTGCGCAAGAATGTCACCAGCCCCAACGGCACCACACATGCGGCTCTCCAAATGTTTGAGTCTCTCAACTTCAAGGAGACCGTAGACAAGTCCGTGCAGGCTGCCACCTCCCGCGCTGCAGAGCTTGGAAACACGCTTGCCAAATAGGATGAACTCGTTGAATATGTATAAATCTAGATGAAACCCTGATGTGCAATGAAATGAAAACCAATCTATTTTCAAGGCCATTTTCTTTTTTCCCTTTTCACAAGCAATTAAAGAGCAAAGGAAAAGGAGATTCAATAGATCATATACTCCGTCAATGATGGCACGTGGTCCGTGCGCGACATCGCCTTCCCAGGCACCGGTTAGCTTCACCTCTCCCAATGCAAACATGGTGTCTTTTTGGCCCTGGAAGGTGAGGACCCTGTGTGTGCGCTATGAGACTGGGACTGACAGGATCTAGGGCGACGACAACTCAGCGGCTTCTTTCGAGAAGACCCTGTCCACATTGTCGACAAAGATCACCCAAACCACGACGCGACTGGATCAGCAACGTCAGTCGTCGCGGAGGGTCAAAGCTCTCTGGACTCTCTATTCAACCTTCGCTTATCTGTTCTATACCATCACAATTACCTTGGTCTTCGGATGGGACAACTGGGGGGTGAAGGAATATGCAGCTATTGCGGGCGGGCCGGTCGTGTGCGTCCTGAGTTTCTCCGCAGATTACATGCACTGCTGACCTGCAAATTTTGGCTTCTTTAGGATCTATGGTATTCGCAAGCTCAGCTCCAAGTTCTTTGACTACCAAATCTCCCGCAACCAAGCTCGCCTAGATGAGTTCCACAAGCAGAGGGAAGAAACCATTGAAAAACTCAAGGTCGCCACCAAGTACAACACCACGCAGGAGCTGCTAGAGAAGTACGGCGCCGAGTCTCCTAAGGCTTCACCTGCTCCAAAGGGGGAAACGGGCAAGGAACAGCATGTCCAGCCACCGCAACCTGCTCCCCGCACAGGTCTTCCCCCACCACCGACCGCAAACATCTACCGTCCTATCCCACCGCAAACCCCGAACAATCCGTCGCCCCAACCCCCCTCCCCTCCCGTTGAACTCGCTCAAGGCCCTCCACAAGTCCAAAAATCTCCATCTCCTTTTCCCCCGAGCTCTGCAGAGCAAGCTGGCTTTGCGCCAAACGCTTACTCCAATAGCGGAGAATACATCGAACAACCGCACTGGTACGATCGTCTTCTTGACGTACTGCTCGGCGAAGATGAGACCCAGCCTCGCAACCGGATGGTGATGATCTGCAGTGGGTGTCGATTGGTCAATGGTCAAGCGCCTCCCGGGATCAAAACCTTGGAAGAGCTGGGTCGCTGGCGGTGCGGCAGCTGCGGAATTTGGAATGGGGTTGAAAGTGAGACCACACAGATCCTGAGTAGCCTGCGTCAAGATGCTGTGCCCGTGGGAGACTCGTCAGAAGCTTTGTCAAAGGCCGACGCAGATCCCCAGTCCTCTGAGGGCAGTGATGAGGCTGGCATGGTGGCATCAAGTGAGGAAGAACAATCGGAGGATCCCAAGCCTGAGCCTGTTCGTCGGTCAAAGCGTAGTGGAAAGGGCAAGGCAAAGGAGTAGGGTCAGCTCCATCATTTTTCTTCTTGGGTCGTATCTTAGCCTCAATACATATTTTCTTCACTTGGATCTGATTGTTAAATTCTATCCTTAAATTGGGGTCATGAAGCAATTATACACTGACATCTTCTCTGAAGCCCCGCGTGAAAACCCGACAAGCAAATCCAACGAGGAAACTCAACATAATCGAACAGTGATCGCTCACACTACCAGTGCAGGGTTTTCCTGCAGGCGCTGGATGGCAACATTCGCAACCTTCACCTCGGCCTCCTCCGCAGAGGCACAACCCTCTACCAGCGCAATCTCGGTCTTGTTCACTACCGCCGAGCAGCGGTAGGTGGCACCCTTCTTGGACTCGACCCTCTTGCGCTTGAAGACCAGTGTCCCAGAGCCCTTCACTATGCTCTGGGCGATGTTCCGAGGGTGAACCACATTCACGCCATCAGCGATGACCCGTTGAACATACCGCACCAGGCCGATACGCTCGACAAACTCTTGGCAAATATCCAGATTGCCGCCGCAATCGATGAAGATGGCCCCCAGAGTACTCTCGATGATATCGGAGAAGAATTTGTCGGCGCGGAGTCGGGCAAAGAGTTCCCAGGGGTATTCCTTGGCGTGTGTGAGAGCATCGTTGATGTCGTCGCGAAGAGCCTTGTGACGTTCCACGCAGGATTCGCGTGCTGCTCCCACATTCGGCCCGTGGAAGCGGAGGAATCGCCAGAGATGGATTTGATCATGGCGTGGAACATGGTTGACTCTGTCGCCTTCGTCTGTAACTTCAATGTCCATCGAGTGATCTGGTGCGCTGAGCTCCATGCAGAAGAATGCAAGCAGGTTGGCATTCACAACTGAGTGTTTGAGAATGGTCATGCTGCCTTGGTCCATTTCGGCAGGGTGTGTCGCTATAATGGCCATGACTACCATGTCCAAGACAGCATCGCCAAGGAATTCAAGACGCTGGTATGACTGTGTGGACATGTCGTACTCACAAGAGCCGTGAGTAAGTGCCTCCGTCAAAAGAGCTGGGTCCTTGAAAGTGTACCCAATTAGGCCAGCTAACCGATGTTCATTGATCAGGTTGCTTACACCCTTCCCATTCGGCATAATCTCCGGTGAGATTTCACTTGTGAAAAGGTCGATCTCTGGCAGAAAGCGATGCAGGCAGGCTTGCGCTTTGCGGATTCCACCATCGACATACGCTGCGCCGATAAGAGACTCTACAACGTCTGCTAGAACCTTGCTTGAGATGCGTCTCTTTGCAGCCTTGGGCTCCGCCTTGTTACGAATCAACGGTGCAATCCACTTGCGAGGGGTGAAACGGTTTGTCAGGATGAAGGTGTCGATTCCGGTGTCTAGTGCAGCCCGAGCAAGACGACTGTTTTGAATGAGCTTGTCTCGACTTTCCGAGAGATACCCTTCGTGCCAGTTGGTATTGCGGAAGAAGAGCTGACAGCTCACGGTGAACTTGAGCACGGAATCACCAAAGAACTCGTATCTCTGATAGTTAACGCTGGCCTGCGCAATGGGTGTCGTAATGGCCGTGATGACGTGGTAAATATTCTGGATGCCAACGCCCTTCAAAACAGTGTCGTTCAAGCGATGAGCCACCAGCGAAGCCTCCAGTCGGTCGAGAATAGCGGAAATGACGAGGCCAAACGTAGCTTGCTTGACTGGGAGTTTGTCCACATCACAGGTTACAGCTGGCACAATGAACGTCTTGCGGGGCGCCTCGACCTCCCCATCTTCTGTTGCGGTTGCCGCCGTCGTCGAGGTCCGCACCTGAAGCAAGTTCCGCCGCCTTGGTAGGGAATGACACTCCAGTTCGATCGGGGATGACTTCGAAACCACCTCTGGTACAATCCACTTGTCAAATATCCGAGGCTCACTGAATTTAGCTTGATCACGGATGATTCCTGATGGAGCCCGAGTCGGCTCTCTGGAGTGCATCTCCAGTGCCGGCTCCTTCCCATCGTACCTGACAAGCCATTCCTTCAGGCGGGCATGAGGCAGATCAGGCACAAAGAGAGTCACGTAGTCCCGTTCCTCGCCTCGCAGTCGAGAGCTGGGGGCTTGGAGATACATGAACGTGATTCGTCTCATCTGCTCCAATATCTCCGAAGTGATATCCGGAACTATCGTCAACGGGTCAAAAGATAGAGAACATGTTGTTTCCTGATCCATGTAGAGAGTAATTGGGTCAGGCAGTGCAATGAACTGGGGTAATATCAAACAGATGGCCCAATCTTCATCAACAACGCCTTGGTTGGATATCTTCAAGCGGGTCTGATAGAGAGGACCTGAGCTCCATCCCCGCGCAAGATCTACGTACGGATCGTACTGTTCCATTCCGTCTATGATCGACGGAAGAGTCTCTTTCTCGGAGAATCTTAATTCGGGCTTCCTCGTCAGAGGCAACAGATTGTCATTGACCAACCCATACGCATACAGCGACTTGTATGCTTGGAATGCTGCCTCCTTTCTGGCTGCCCCTTCAGTGCGCCATACGGCCTGTCCCCTCGTCTGTCGAACAGATGGGTGGACAGAGTTCGGCAAGGTGACAATGCCCCTAATCAACCCCGTACTGTCTTCCTCGAAGGCAAACATCGGTCGATTATCAACATGTTCATCAACGGGTAGCACGGCACAGAAATGGTGCAGGTGCTGGATTGCGTCGTCCGCAGTCAAAACCGCACTGAGATAGTCAGTAGATATCGACGAAGGGGTGGCAAGATCTTACTTGGTTTTTTCTACCCAAAGCCTCTCCAACACTTGCTCCTCGGGGGCCTCTAGCTCCCATGCCTCTTTTTGGCGGCGCTCTTCATCCTGATACGCTTTGATCATGACTTCCTCCAACTCCTGCCATTTAAGTAGATCCAGCGAGCTGTCTTTGGTTGAAATCATCACTGCATATGTTGATTCCTTGTGTCGGGCACGCCCACGTCGCTGTACAAAGGACTTGAGGTTCGGTGGCTTATCAAAACATATGACAAGGCTACAAGCGCTGACGTCGATTCCCTCTTCAAGAACATCGGTGGCAATTATCAAGTTCTTTCTGCCAGCTCTAAACTCTTCGAGGGTATCTCGCTGCAGATCCCGGTGCAGCAGGTCGCCGAGTGAATATTTCCTAGCATGGTTTCCAGACCAGCCAACAAATGCCCCACAGTCAAAGACGTCTTTTGTTTTCGGATGCAGTGACAGTATACGAACCAAAACACTCACTGTCGCTCTCCTCCTCGCGAAGATCAATCCAGAGAATTCCGGCTTTGCCATTTTGTCAAGGAAGTTGAGTAGTGTCTGGAGTTTGAAAGAAACGTGTGGACTTCCCCAATCAGCATCATGCTTCGGAATTGTAAGTAACAGCTCTAGAAGGTATTTTCTTTCCATTTGATTCAGGTCTGACATATCACCCATCTCTTGGATTGATTTTTGCAGTTGATCAATAGATGCCCCGATGTAAAAATCTGTGGCCCAACCGCCAAGCTCCTCATAAATGTGGCAGCTGCGCTCCAGGAATCGCCTCAGTTGTTCACTGCAAAACGTTTGACCACTTGCGAGGGCTTTTTCAAGCTGTTCATTTTGTCCTTTCTGTCGTAATGAGTCGATCCATGGATCCCCTTGGATATCATAAGAGCCACAACACTTGATCAGGGGTTGGAGCAAGTGGCTTCCAATTAGATAGTGTTGTTTGTCGAATGGTGCGTAGTCTATACGCTCTAAAATTGGGCGATGTGTATTCTCCAAAAGTCCAGCACGATGCTGTCGTGGAGTCTTGCATACTGCGTCTAAGTTGGCTTCGATAAGTCTAGTATGAAGGAATCAGTTGATGAAGATGGGGAGTCTAGCAGGGAATTTTGGATAGCGGAGATGAAATGGGGAACGATGCAACTCACTCGAGCTCTTTTTTTTTGGACTGCACCACTGGACTGGCAGTAAGACCAAGAATTCGGGGTACGGCACCACGACCTGACCTCAAAACAGCAGGATGGTAATGGTTCTGCATGATTCTATTTGCCGGGTGACGTCCTCTGCAATGATGAGCTGCGGATATTGTCAGTAGATCATAAATTTCACAAGCTTCCAAGTGAGGTAAGTCACCTTCATCAAAGATAAGCAAAGCAAGCCGGGACATTTGGATGAAGCCATGGCCTAGGGCGTCTGCGAGGACAGCGTGGGTGGATACAACCACCCGAATGTCTTTGAGAACTGCATCCCAGATACCCTGATCGGTCCAACGATCGACATTATCCGTCCCAGTCAATATCTTGGTTTTCACATTGGGGATTTGGTCACTGATGACTTCCTGTTGCTGGATACACAAGGCCACTGTCGGGGCTAGAAACCAGATCAGCTGAAATTGATGAGTCGCTTCGTATCAATCAATTTAACGAAGCACCATACCTTCTCTGGAGAACATTTCTCGAGCTCAGCAATAATGCGAAGGATGGCACTTTTCGGGGTATATCAGGAATCCATCTAGCCACGAATAGTTCGGTAAAATACATACATGTGAGTTTTTCCGCTTCCAGTATCCATCTGACTCCGATTAGAATTCCTACCATCATTTCCTAGTCTTCGTCGTGAAACATACCGCAACGATAACGTTTTCCTTTTGGCTGGCCTCCAGCATTTCAAGCTGGTACACCCGAGACCGGAAGGGAGGCTGGTTGGCCATACCTGTTGCAACCATGGCGAAAAGGCGCACTCGACCGGCAAGCACTATCAAAAAAAAAAAAAAAAAAGAATTCAACACGGGGAGGAAGAAGCTAACACAAAGCGCATGTCAAGTAAAAAGAACCTTGAAAGGTGCGACACGTTTGCCCAGGTGGGGTGCGGGTCCTGCCAGCGGTTGCACTGGTCTCAGCCAATGAGAAGGCAGATAGCTTCCCAGGTTCCGTTTGGAATAACCATGGTTCGGATGGGGGACAAACAAAAAGATCCATGGTTTATTGGGTGTGAGCCGAGGGTGTATCCCGATGTCGACCTAGGTTCACAGCTGTAGTACGGAATACTGTATAAATTGATCACTTAAGTAAAGGGGTGTCGAAACATCCATATCCTTTCACTACACTCATTTCATCCACATCGGCAAATTTGGTTTTGAACGTCCAGCCAGCGCAGGTGTTGTGTAGGGGCGGTTCTTTCGTTTGCTTCCAAAGACAGGTCCCAAGGATTCCAAGCTCTGACACAGTCAGACCTTCTTCCACCCCAGTACGACTTATCAAGATATTTCTCGGTATCGACGCAGGAGTTTTTATTCGTTCCATCAGTATGTATGATGACCATGCACCAGGAGGAGTTGACGCAAGGAATTCTGGGATACCATCGTAAATATTGTTGCCTCCGCCCTCGAGTGAACGTTTCAATATGTAGTTGGAGCTGTCGTCATCGTGGAGGATTTTCCGAGCGCGTAGCCCCTCTGCTGATTGATCCAGGGGATACATCATGACAAATGTTTTCCGGATCAGGGCAGCCTTGTCGGGTGAGAGGAAGCGCTCAAGTGCACCGGGCGCAGTCAATGCCTGTTGGACCTTTTTAAAGGTCGAGATATGCGACAAAATAGACGGACATTTGATGGCAGATGACTGCTCGAGACGCAAACGGGCCTGCCATCCAATGTGATTATACTCATGCGCCTCATACCCGGCCCTCATATAGACAACAGATATCTCCACTGGATCAGGACCAGCCAGCCACGGTGGGTGGAAGAGCAATTCTTTTGTTTCTGTGAGAGTGGTGTACTGAATGATATCTTCTCCCCAGTCAAGCCGGTAGGTAGGCACTGACTCTTCTCGCTCCCATAATGCATACTCGATCGGTCGCTCGTCCGCAACATTGAAGTTGTAAGGCTGCACTATGTATAGCACCGCTGTCTGTTTCGAGGCTTGGCTCTTGGGGGCGCCATAGGCCGCATGGGCCGTAGCTAGCAAAGATGCGAGTGACTCAACGTTGTCATTGCGCGGGAGTGAAGATGCGCGTGGCCTATGATTCTCGGGCGCATCTTTGAAATTGTAGGCCCCAGTTCGGGCCATGTAGCGATGCATGTCCGCAACTCTCTTTGCGTGGCTGGCTCCTGCACACGAGAAGGTGTTGAACTCGACTTGCTTCAATGTTGTTTCAGACCCGTCCAACCGATCGGGCGATTTGGTATTCGTCATATGGAGCATATAGTCAGATCGAAAGATTGCAGCTGAGATCTCTTGCACGGCGCCCGCTGCTTTGCTTTGTTCGTGAATCCCCCACAGAGCATTGGCGAGGGACTCGGTGTGGATAAGCTCTTTTGTTGCATCATATAACCAGGCTTCATCTCTGGCAATGGCCACATAAAGCTCGTTATATACAGACTGGATATCCATTGCCCGGTTGAACAGCGATTTCGGGAAGGAAGTTGGATAGAGGCTCACACCCACAGGATAAGACAACACATCATGCTCTGTTTCAGACTCGAGGAGCTTAAGCAAAAAGCCGTGATTAATTTGCCAGTCTTGTATTTGACTTAGCAATGCGAGAACCTGCTCTTCGCTCGGCAAAAAACCGCCTTGGCTCGACTGGGAGGACATAGCCAATACTATCCAAGTGCCTAAGATAGATGAGATCTTGTTTACTCTCAAGTCTTCTGTGGGTAGATTATTCACGAACCTCCAGGGCTTGGAAAGAAGCTTGATTTGATGTCTAGCGAGGGGGCTGTGCCTCCATTCCGTTGACAGCGCCCGAAGTGGAGTGGATCTATAGATGTACTGGTGTTCATTGGAGGTAGAAATTCCTGTGACCAAATTGCAGGAACTCCGTACCACGAGTGAAATTAACGGGGTCCGTTCATCTAGAGGCTTAGTTACTATACTGACGTGGACGGGTGAGTGGATAGCACCCCGAGATCAGACAACACATCCCATGCGTGACCCTGTTGAATTGGCTAATTCTGGAATCTCTTCTTGCTTCGGCTGAAAGTAATTTGTTGCAGTCTCATTTGGTCATTTTGGTTCTCATTGGCTCTCCAAGGGAAGTCCAAAGGCAAAGTTCTCCGGGGAGTCCGGGGTTGGGGACTATGCCCCCACGACTCATAGATCACCATCTTTCGCTTTCTGCGATTGAGAATTGCGGATTGATCAGAAATTCCAACCACACAAGATTATCATGGCATAGATGGCGCCGTGAATAAGCATTGACGAAATTCAGGTTGGCCGTTTGATTCGGACTTTCAATGAGGCACGACACACGTAACTTGATTCCTTCAATGCGCTGTGGTATTTTGCACCACAATCAGAACTTGAATGCGCCGGAAATTGCCTCTTTTCCCACGGACAAAACACCCGATCCTGAACAACCCGAGCGAATGAGAGGAAGATGAAGGTTGAGAGACTCGCGGATCGGGACGCTGTCGCGGTCACGTGCCCTGGAAAAATTGTCGGCGATTCGGGGAGTTCACGGTCTCTCTGACCCATCTCCCATCCCATCACTCCGACCTGTGACGACTATTTTCTATTCCCTTCCGGCCTATTAACCTCTTCCTCACACATCATGGATCATACACGCGATCCCTGCCCATGGGTTGCCCTGAGCGACTTCGGAGGTGCCTTCTGTATGGGTGCCATTGGTGGTTCCGTGTGGCACGGTATTAAAGGTTTCCGCAACAGCCCCTACGGCGAGCGCCGGATAGGTGCCCTCACAGCCATCAAGGCGCGCGCTCCCGTTCTCGGTGGTAACTTCGGTGTTTGGGGAGGTCTTTTCAGCACAGTATGCGAACCCTTTTTCTGGGTCGAGATGATCATCGACTAAACGTGTCTCTACCAGTACGACTGCGCTATCAAGGGAATGCGCAAGAAGGAGGATCCTTGGAACGCTATTATCGCCGGTTTCTTCACTGGTGGCTCTCTCGCTGTCCGTGGTGGTGTGAAGGCTGCCCGAAACTCCGCGATTATGTGTGCCGTCTTCCTTGCCGTCATTGAGGGTGTTGGTATTGGTTTCCAGCGCATGATGGCTGATAACACAAAGCTCGAGGTATCACGGTCCCATTGATTTTGGCTTCATGTGCCTGGCGCGGGCTGTAGGACGTTTCGCTAACCACTCAACTCACTCACAGCTTCCTCCTCCTCCTCCATCCGACCAGAAGGCCCTTGCCTAAATACCTCCTCCCTTTACGAACGCGATGGAACCATTTCTCCTCGATCGCGGCCATCTTATCCCCTCTTCTCATCCTGTCTTCATAACATCTCCACATTGAGTCTCTCTCCTCAGGTGTTCGGTCTGGATCATTATTCTTCAACATGGCATAAAGATCCCTTTGCGTTTTACCCGCTTCTAATACCACCTCCGACAGACTGCGGTTTCGCGGCATTGTATTTTATGGACAGCGGATTCATCCCCATGGCTGGTTCCAAGACCGGCGTGTCTGCAGCCGGGTGGCTGAACAAAACAAATCCCACAATTTTTTGCTGCAAAAAAGCGTTGAAGACGTGTCCATGTTTGATTCTTGTATATTAACGTATAGCCCACGCACAGAACGCTTTTGCTTTGGATACATTGATCCCTCTCTGGTTCCTGACTGGACCTAAGCAGCTGAAGTAGATTTCCAATATTTTTAGACCGAGGAGCTAACCATTTCTTGTTTGATGATGATCTTTGGCTTCAGAACTATGTCCTGTCCCGACGGCAGGTGGCTTCCAATGGTATGGGCTACTTAAGTTGACACTTGAGCACTACCCGTGGACGTACTATGACAGGGCCGACGATTCACCTTCAACGGCAGCAGCTTTCATTCACCTAACCAATATGCTCGATTTACCTACCTCAGCTCACCTCTTACTCGACGGGCCAACGAGGCTGAACCTTCACACCCAGTCCCGCTCTCTCAACCACCTCCTTGCTCCTCTTCTTTGCTTCTTGAACGATCTCTTCCTCGTTCATCGTCAGCAGGGCGCCATTTTGGACCACGACCTTGCCATCCACTACAACGGTATCAACATCCCGACCCGTCGCGGTATACACAATCGCACTGACGGGGTTGAACCACGGCTGCGTGTGAATACCACGAACGTCAATCGCTACAAAGTCAGCCTTCTTGCCTTTCTCCAGGCTTCCGATCCGGTCATCTAGGCCGAGCGCCTTGGCCCCATTTATGGTAGCCATCTCAAGCACGCTCTCTGCCGGGACGAGGGTTGGATCCTGCGAGATTCCCTTGTGGATAATCGCGGCGAGTTTCATCTCTTGCAGGAGATCACACGTGTTGTTACATGGTGCACCATCGGTACCCAGCCCGATGTTGACTCCACTTTGCTGGAGTTCAGGAACTCGGCAAATGCCAGATGCGAGCTAGATGTGAAATAAGTGGTTTTTTTGGGACGCAGCCGTCACGTTGGATCACTTACCTTTGCATTGGAAGTTGGGCAGTGCGCCACATGCGTCCCTGAAGCAGACAGAAGCCTTGGGGCTATGGTCAGTTGGTGTATGTCAACATGGGCTGGAGCTCTCACTTGATATCTGAATCGTCCAAGTGAACCATATGGACAAGAACCGTAGTGTCACTCAGCAAGCCGACCGAGTCGCAATACGACATCGGTGTATGATTGACAGACGAGAAAAAGTCGCGATCGGCCTTGACTTCGGCACAATGCATGGTAACGGGGATGCCCTTCTCCTTGGAAATGCTTGTCATCTCCCTGTACAACGCATCGGAGACTCTGGCTTGCTGTCAGCGATTGCATGCAACAAAGAATGACTCAATGTGTACCCTCCAGGTGTCCTGGCACCAAACCAGACTCTGATCCTGTCGTTGGCCGCGCCATTCCACTTCTCCCACATCTCGACGGTGCCCAGAAGTGAGGTCTGGCGATCTTCAACGAGACCAGGGTGCATAGCCCATGCGTCATCTTGGGCATACTTGGCAATATCCATGACAATCTTGCCCAGACAGCCACGAATACCACTTTCTTCTACGGCACGGCAGAGCCCGTCAAATCCGTACCGGTCGGCGAACTGCATAAGGGTTAGAATCAGCCTAGTTGGTGCACGACGCGGTCTATCTGCTATCTTACCATGCTTTCCAAAAAGCAAGTCGTACCGGACTTGAGCATCTCTCCGATGCTCAAGCGTGCTGCGGCGTATCCGTCGTCCGCCGTGAAGTTACCCTGCAGGACCCAGATTCGTTCGCACAACCACGACACCAGCTCCAGGTCATCGGCAGTGCCTCGAAGCAGGGTCTGTGCTGTATGCATGTGGGTTGAAATCAATCCGGGGATAATGATCCGACCGGAGAGATCAAATTCCTCATCGTCGGGATACACCATCTTCAGCTTCTCAGCTTTGCCAATGTCGTTGATGGTATCCCCGACGACGCGAATCGCGCCCTCGGTGATGATACGACGCGAAGCATCAACTGTGACGATAGTGGCATTGGTGTACAACATGATGTATTTGGACACTGGTCTGGAAGAGTTCGAAAAATAGTATAGACTGAGTGCAGCTCTGATCTCGTTTACTGGGAGGTCAAGACAGGGGATTATAAACGAAAGGGGCGATATCGGAGACCGCCGATGTACGAAAGTGACTCGGGTCTGTGGGATTCTGTGTCCCGGTCCTCGTTCCTTCCTTTTCCTCCTTTTCTACTGGCGTTTTGAGTCATTCTCCAAGAATTTCACGAGGTCTAATGTCAACCGAAGACAAGAAAAGGTCCTCGAGATTGGCGGAGTTCCGAAAAACGTCATGACTAAACTCAAACTCGCGGTAATTTTATCTCTTTAAATTTATTGAGGCTACCCTACTGGAACATGACCCCGAGCAGCAAATCGCCACCAATAAACCAAGCTTCAAAATGCTTGCAGAGATGAAAAAACTGAGAATGCAACTATCCGAAATCGAAGCAGATCTCAAGGAACTCCAAGCACATCGTGAAAAAACACCTTGACCTGAGACAAAGAGCAATTGCAACATGGGTTCGGGATGTTCTAAAAAAAAGACACAAAAAGCTGCTGCAAGGACCAAGTCCGAAGACTGAATCAAACTGTGATACACGATGGAGATGTCCGATCGGATGCGTACGTCGTTACAGAACGCTATAAATCGACAAGCACAGAACGAATCCTTTTTAGCACACTATACGGCTTGTCTGCGGAGAATTTTTTTGGATATCAATCATCTAAAATGTCCCGAGTCTCTGATGGCACTCGACAGAGGAGCGTCTGTTCTCTTGAAACATAATCGGAAAAGTTTCCCGTCGGACATAACTTTGCAACAACATAGTGATATTGTCGCTTTGCTACTTGAGGAAAGGTATGAAGAAGCTGAAAAACAAAGCAACACGTTCCTTTGCGATGAATAATAGGTTCTGGTGACCTCGGGGTTGAAGATAATCTCCTAAGAGACGCATGGCCTGTTTCGAGATAACAAGGAGCATGTCCAGGTGCAATCTTCGATGATCCAAAACTGTTAAAGTCCCCTTTAATTTTTATTGAATACTTGTGGCTTTCCCTGCTTCATGGTGAGACTCTTAGCAAACCCACTCGCGTTGTCACATGGCCGTGGCTGCCTTACAGTTAAGTTAGCTATTGATAGAAATACATCTAGTTTTACGTCTTTGGTTGACGGATACATACACCTTATGTATTAATTCGCTCTCAGAGAGCAACCTCGATCTAGAAGCTCTTCTTCAACCACCGAGTCTGAGAGTTGCAGTATGTGAGCAGACCAGTCAGACCCCATTCCATTCCCATTCCACTCTCCTTGTGGCCACCCATGGGCGCAGTGGGCGACACATCGAAATGACTGTTCACCCAGACACTGCCGGACTGGAGTTGGTCTGCCATGCGGGTCGCGCGGTCAAAGTCTTTGCTCCAGACCGAAGAGCCAAGTCCAGTCTTCAGAGCGTTTGCACGTTCGAGAACATCATCTTCATCGGACCATTTGAGAACGGGCAGAATCGGAGCAAACGCTTCCTCTTGCACCACCCGTGATGACTCAGGAGGGTTGTCGACGATGGTCGGGTGAATGTAATATCCATGAGAGTTCTCGATCGAGCCTCCCAGAGCTGTCTTGAGGCTCTCGGTGGAAAGGCTGCTGAACAGGTCCTTGGCTTTTTCAAACTGCATTTCGTTCTGAACGGGGCCGAAGAATGTATCCTCCTCGGTGCCATCGCCGACCTTCAGAGTCTTCACGAAAGTGACAAGTTTGTCCAAGAACTCGTCGTAAATCTTCTCGTGCACATAGAGGCGCTTGATCATCATGCAGATCTGTGAGCTACACAGGTATGACAGAATGCCGATCTTGGGGATGATGGCATCGATATCAACATCCTCGCAGATGATCGCGGGATCATTCCCGCCCAATTCAAGAGTCACACGCTTAAGAGTCTTAGCGCACGAAGCCATCACCCGTTTGCCTGTGAGGATAGAGCCAGTAAAGCTGATCTTATCAATATCAGGATGGTCAGTGATCATTGGGCCCAGGGTATCGTCACCGCTCAAACATTGAACCACGCCAGGAGGGAAGAACTGAATGGCGAGCTCCGCCAATTTCAAGTCACAGTATGGGGTGAAAGGAGAGGGCTTCACGATGATCGTATTTCCGGTATACAGAGCCGCGGCGATTTTACCCACGGCCAAAAGAACAGGGAAATTCCAAGGCACAATTCCACCCACCACGCCGAGAGGTACATGGCGTTGAACAATCGTTCTATCCTCGGTTTCTTCAATCACATTCTCGGGAATTTCAATTGAACTCAGGCCTCGAATCCAGGTCCCTGACATACCCACCTCCACGGAGGATTGAGAAAGTGGCTTTCCCTGCTCCATGGTGAGAGTCTTAGCAAACCCACTCGCGTTGGCCTCGATGGCATCTGCCCACGCCGACAACGCCTTTCTGCGTTCCTCGAACGAAGTCTTGGTCCATGTCTTGAAGGCCACTCTGGCTGCCTTGACAGCCGCGTCAAGATCCTCTTGGGTCGAAACAGGTACGGGAGGATTGGGTTGACTGTTGGCGGGGTTGATACCATGTCGGGTTTGGGAGGTCTGTGTCAATTCATTATTGATCACGTTGTGAAACGTCTATTGTGATATTAGTGAAATGATGCTAGCAGTTGGTATTAGTTGAGGGGGCTCACGGAAAAGTCCAATTGTGCGGCCATATTGAGTATAGGATCAAGCGTGAAACCTCGCGAAATTGAGAAGCCAGGAGATCATTTCCGAAGAGAAACCCCCTCCATATTTATAGAATTTGATTGCATAACTAACAGGCCACTAGTGCTGTCGACTAGAGCCAAAACACGCCGTTGATGCTGATAAAGTTGGGGCCTTGGCAATCATTGATACCATCTCACCACTTCAACAAAGCCATTCGGCCTCTTCCTGATTTGATTCGTGTCCATCATACCCACAATTCAGTATTCAGCATTTTAGCGGAGTGCGGGGGCTGAGGATGCCCTTGGAGGCACTGGTCCAGCCCCGGTACTCCGTACTCCGTATGCCAATGGCTCTCGGGATAAGCACTACGAGCAGCTATGGGGCGGAAGTCGCACCAAAACCAGTAAAGATCGGAGATCCACCCTGTCGTGGCGGCCAAAAGACAGGATCGGCCTGTGCTTGTGCTAGTTATTTATTCCCTTCAAGTACTTCTCTGTGCGGAGCACGGAGTACCTCGCTGTGGTTGGCCTAAACCATTGATTTATTTGATCCCGTTTCTGTTGAGAATGATTTCTAGGGACTTCCGGGTGTCAAAACAAATGTAAAGAATGTCTCACTCCTGTGGACACATGTCATCTTTTAGTGTGGGCTCTTGTTTTCGGTGATCGAGGAAAATAGGTTAGCACCAAAAGCAAAAAGACCTGACAAAATTAACATCTTGAGTGGACTGTAGCAATGGCAAAGTCTTCCAGATTTTTATATCTTTGCATAGGTAGAGTAGATTGCCAACATGCCGCCCAGGTGCGAACATCTGCAAATAGAAAGGACCAATAATGAGCAGGTAGGGAGAATGAGGCTCAAATTGAGAACCCGAAGACGCGCGCTTGCGCTAGCTTGCGAGTGGCTCCGAGTTCCTTTACTTCTAAAGTTGCGCAGTTTAGGGCACTTTGGGAACGCTGGTTTGTTTTGGACCGGTGTTCAGTAACTCCATGGATTTGATGAGGTCGTCCCCGGGGCCATATTGTGCAAGAGATCTAGGAGCGATACCCTTGGAAGCACTTTCTAGGTGTGCAGTGATGCATGGTACAGGGTGTAGTTGAAGCGTCTCCAGGACTGCCTAGGTGTCTATGTACTGTGAGCGACTAGTTCAACGTAGACGAAAGTACTACAGGACCTGCCTTGCGATTCCAGAAGTCCTTTTGAAGGGAGTCTCTTCCATTTTGGGCGGTGGGTCTACTTATTGATTCTAGTCAGGCATATCAAGATCTATTCACCTGGGCAGATACACCTGAATACTAAGTAGACACTCACCTCACTAAAGCGTAACCCTGGAACATTTAAACCATCCTAGATTGACGATATCAACCTTGTGTTATCATTTAAGTCAGAACTTTCATCTAGGGTAATTAAGTAGCAAATAATATCATCCGGTAGAGGACCAAAATAAGATAAATATCAACTTCCGAAGATCAGAGACACCGAGCCGATGACATCACTCCAAATGTTTCAACAGATTTCTGTTTACTCGTACACGTTTGCCTGCGTTTGCATCATCTGGACGTATTCCCAATATATATCCCTGTCTTCGAAAATCATTGACCAATGGTCATAGGTTTGTCCTATGTGTGATGTGAATCTTGCACGCGGTGACTAGAGACCGACTAAGATCGTCGTTCGGATGACGCGCCGGTCGAACGCCGCTGCTGTCAACATTCGAGATCTGCAGTCTTCGAAGGCGAAACCATCCTTGGCATACGTACCGTGTGGGAAGCTCTTTCTTCATACTCTGTTATTTATATCTATTCAGAATCTCACAGGCTTCTAAAGTTTCAGTCAAAACCCTTATGATTACTCGAAAGTCCAATTTACTGATCACGACCATCTACTCTATTCATTTCGAAACGATCATCATCTATCAAGACTCTAAAAATGTTTCACCGACGTCGTCCTGCTACCACAACAACTCGCACCAGTAAACCAACGCTGATGAGTCGGCTGAAGGGACGAAATGCCAGATCTCGAACCGTGAAAACAACCACAACCACGAAAACCGCGCCCCCTCGTCACCACGGTGGCCATCATGGTCATACCACCACCACAGCCCCTGTGCATCATCATAGACGCAAAACCACCTTGGGAGATAAGTTTTCGGGAGCCATGTTGAAGTTGAGAGGATCTCTCACCCACCGACCTGGAGTGAAGGTGAGCACCTATTAGCAGTTGTTGAAGGGACGGAATTGCTAACTTCTCCTCTAAGGCAGCCGGAACTCGCAGGATGCATGGGACTGATGGACGTGGAAGCCACGCACCTCGTGTCTATTAATTTATACCCTTGTACATTATTACAATTTACGAAAAGGAAACATGAACTTTGGAATTATACGTTGAATTGATCAGTGGATCTTTTGCACTTAGTAGATACGCAATGGTCCATTAGTTGGATGTTTACGGCCGGCCTGCCGTACTTGAATATGTGCGACATTTTCCAGAGACCACGAGAGGGTATAGACAAAAGGTCCTAGTATACGTAGCGGAAGTTGAGGTTCTCCCGATCCGTCTTATCTTCGAAGGCATGGACAAGGTTGGGATCTGCCGCAGAGAGTCCTGCTTCCGCCAAAATCTTGTCCTTTTTGGCATTCTCACGCTTGAGGTGGAAGCGGAGGAACACCACCGCGGCAACCATGCATGCGTAACAAGCCAAGTGAACACTCCATGCAATGTGGTAGCGTGGAGCATCCCAGTCGAGGAATACCTGTGGGCCTGATTATTGTTAGTTGAATCTCTTTGTTTTCTTCAAGTGACCCAAACGTACCGATGGCGTTACCAGCGGCCCATGAGATGAAGGTTGCAGCAACCACGGTGGACTTCTTCGTAGCACCAGCGATGTTACGCGACACCATGGACAAAGTAAGAGTCTGGGCTGACCAGAAAGACATTGTGATATAGTAACTGATGAGAAGTCCGACCTTGGTTGACAACGTGGTGTTCTCAACAGTTATGAGTACGATGGTTCCAATGAATGACCTGTGCCCTGTTAGCGAAATCATTGGAAAGGATATGAGCTGGGGCACTTACGGAATGATGAAACACAACATTATGAGTGTGTTCTGGCCGGTATTCTTGACAAGCCATGCGGACGAAAGCAGAATCACAATGATATAAACGCCCAGAACCATAGCAAGCAACTGGGTTTGCAGGACGGTGAACTCAAAGCTTGAAATAATGATGCCGAAGAATGCGCCCAGCCCACTAGTGGGGAGAGTTGTGAACATCTGCACGGCGCAGTAGCACCACATCTGAGGGTCGCGCAATGCCTCCCAGATCTGGTAGGATCGGAACCGACGGTTTTGGATACCGGTTTGGTTAGAGCGGAGACGCTCGACCATCAAACGCTTATCGTCCTCGCTGAAGCACTTAGCACGCATTGGAGAATCTGGCATCCACCAAATCACGAATAAACCCCAGAAGACAGAAATCACCCCATATGTCATGAAGAGCGCTTGCCAAGACTTCAGTGCCTTGTCACCTCCAATGAGAGTGAAACAGTAGGCCAGCAAACCACCAACGATCTGTTGTGCACCGTTCATCATGTACCTGCTCGATATCAGTCTCATGTTGGTTTGGGTTGCGTTAGGTTTCATCATACCAGTAAGTCACAGTAGCTGCCTGTTCCTCTCTTTTATACCACATCGAGGAAAGAAGAACAAAAGTGGGCTGACAACACGCTTCGAAGATACCAAGGAGCGTTCGTACGGTGACAAGACCGACAAAGTTATGGCAGGCTGCATGGAGGGCCAAAATTGCGCCCCAAAGACAAATGTTGATACCCAAATATTTACCAATGGGAACCCTTTGGATGATCCAGTTGGTCGGGTATTCGACGACGAGGACAGCGATGTAGATACATGTGGTCAACCAGGAGTACTAGGACGCAAAGATATCAGTATTTGGAGGCTGAGATTCACCGGGATGATGGTGTTTACCTTTTGGCCATCCTCCAAGTTTGCATCTTTTTTAATGCCCATGATCGCGGAAAAGGACATTGTGCCCTTGTCAAGGGCCTGCAAGAAATATGTGCAGATCATGATAACCAGGACACGACGATCAATCAGCTTTTTCAACCTCTTGTTGGTTTCCTCATCAATTTCAACTTGTCCATGGGCAGCGTAGGCTTGAATCTCTTTGTCCACGCGGGTGATGTCCATGTTATCCTTGGCGAGGTCGTCTGAGCATGAGAGCACCTGTTCGACATGTGAAATGTCTTGCTTGCTCTTGTACTCTCCCATGTCGACGTCCTTGAATTCTCTCTTCCCGGAAGTCACCTCAATTCCCTCCTCGACAGGTACCACCTCGAGCCCTTGTTGGGGAGTGAGCTCGATGCCCGACTGAGGAGCTACCTCCTTCCCCTGTTGGGGATCGTCTCCCTTGGTCATTGCAAAATTTCAGCGGCACAGACTGTCGGGCAGATATCAGAAGCGACAGGGTTCAGAATCAAAGTAAGCTGGGCGGCCTCTTCGACCTTATAGTGGGCCAACCTTTGCTAGGACCGTGCATGTCCTTGAGTTCCCAGTGGTTCTAACCCCAAGGATCATGATTAACCCGACAGTTAGAGTCATGTGGCTTTCATGAATCCTAGCAGAGACTTTTAACCGAAAGCCAAAACGAGTCAAGCCAGCGCCCAAGCAGGGCCCTTCGCCTCCTGGTTCCCCGGGTTTTCTTGGCGAAAGGGAGGGGCATGTGCTAGTGTCTCCCCAGGTCCGAGAGTGGAGTAGGGTCAGCAGAGTCCGGGGATGCACTATCCCGAGCCTTTTCACTTGCTCGCTTATGGCGGGGGTGGTCCGAGTGGAAATAATTTGAAAATGCTGTCGGCAATGCACGTAGGTGACACTTCGGCCCTCACTCCCCCGAATGAAGCTTGGCCCGCGCGGGGGATTCCTAGTGGCGCTCTCCTCTCGGGCTCATTAGTGGAAGAACTCGCACACCTCCAGAATACTTATTAGCCTTTGCCACGCCGGGTATATTCAGCCTAATTCTTGATTTTCTCCTTTGGAATAATTTGTCTCGTCTCGCTGATTGGCGCCACACTCAACAAAATGTCATCTCCGAAACCCTCAGGTCCCGAACTTCACAAGACCGTCAACCTGTTGATTGACAACTTGGTCAACATCAAAGATGAAACGGGAAAATTCTTACTTCCTCTCCCCGATGGGCGCATTATCGACACCAAATCGTGGCACGGGTGGGAGTGGACACACGGCATCGGATTGTACGGCCTGTGGAAATACTACGAGTTGACGGGCGAAGAGAGATTGCTGCAAATCATTGAAGACTGGTATGCGGCACGTATCGCAGAAGGAGGCACTACAAAGAATATCAACACCATGGCGGTATTTTTAACCCTCGCATACGTCTACGAAAAGACCGGCAATGTCACCTACCTGCCATGGCTCGACGCCTGGGCCGAGTGGGCGATGTATGAGTTGCCACGCACGCGCTACGGTGGTATGCAGCACATGACCTATATCACTGAAAATTACCAGCAGCTCTGGGATGATACCCTTATGATGACTGTCATGCCGCTGGCAAAGATCGGCAAGCTTCTAAACCGCCCGGAGTACATCGCCGAGGCCAAGAAGCAGTTCTTGACTCACATCAAATATCTATTCGACACAAAGACAGGTCTCTGGTTCCACGGCTGGACCTTCGAAGACGGTGGTCACAACTTTGCCGACGCACGCTGGGCGCGTGGTAACAGTTGGGTCACGATTGTCATTCCTGAGTTCATCGAACTTCTTGACCTCCAACCAAGTGATCCGCTGCGCCTCCATCTGATCGATACTCTCGAGGCACAGTGTGAAGCTCTTCAGCGTCTGCAGTCCTCCTCCGGATCCTGGCACACTCTTCTCGATCATCCCGATTCCTACTTGGAAGCTTCGGCGACCGCAGGATTTGCATACGGTATCCTCAAAGCCGTCCGCAAGAGATATCTCGATCCCCAATATCGCGCTGTCGCTGAAAAGGCTATAGCCGCGGTGATGGGACACGTGGATGAGAGTGGTGAATTGCAGAACACCAGCTTTGGGACCGGAATGGGCGACTCTTTTGAATTCTATAAGCAGATTCCGTTGACCTCCATGCCTTATGGTCAAGCCATGGCAATCATGGCCTTAGGGGAGGCTCTGAGAGGCTTACTGTGAAAACTGCAAGGTTGAGAAATCTGGATGTGACATGACATGATCTGGTTTATAGAGTTGTACATACTGATTGAGTTCTGAATAGATGATCTTAATAAAGCAAACTCACTACTACCCTATGTACTTGAATCTGAACAATCTTCTGCAATTTCATGTTTTGTGGTCAGTTTTGATCGCATTCCAGTGCCTAAAGTGGAGTCGCGGTACGGAGTACTCGGGCGCTGCTTCCCCCCCCCCCCCCCCCCCCCCCCCCCCCCCCCCCCCCCCCCCCCCACCCCTTCGGGGTCCCCCCCTCCCCCCTCCCCCGGGGCCCCCCCCCCCCCCCCCCCCCCCCCCCCTGCACCCATCCTAACGCGCGCTTTCTCGCTATTCTTCACACCCTTTGTGGTAGCATACAATGATAACTGTCGCTACTGACTTTGCTTGATATGTAGTCGTCTTTTAGGTGTCCAGCTTTAATGGATTTCTCGTCTAGGGGCAGCCCATCCCCATCCACGTCCAAACCAGGAATTTCGGACACGATTACCCTTCTTAGAAATGCTGGATTCGAATGCATTCTTTGAATATGGGCTTTTGATGTGTGGGTTAATGGGTGAAATGCTCCTAGGGTGCCAAGGGCGCCTCCTGAGACCGCATCATGTTTGAGAATGGTGGAGCTCCTCTTTTTTCGGAACAAAGCCCATGCCTCTGACCCTTCACCACCTGGCTTTGATATTACTTTCACGGTAGCTCTTCATCCTGAGCCATCTTGACACGGAGCCGGCGCAAGGTCCGCTGGTGGCGTTGTGACTCTTTTGGAGCTACATGCACTAAGCCCTGTCAATTTCCGTGCAGAGTCCTCACTTTAATCTGACTGAATCGACTCATAACACGCTTCATTGGCTAGCTGGCTCATCACTATGCCACGACGTTTCATATTGGAATTCAGAGGCTTGGAACATGAATAGGAAAGAAGGATACTATGGAGCTAAGTACGGCTTGCCTCCAGTCATCACCTATAAATGTTGCCGTCACCCAGGTCTCAGGAACATCTCGAGCTTCAATCCAGCCTTTTGACTCTGCTCAATCTGGGAAAATTTCGACCAATCCCTACGAGCTTTCGAAAGTTATCGATTTATGCGCAATGTACAAACTACTCGCACCGACTCTCTTCACCTCTTTGGTGGCAGCACACGGCCATGTCACAAACATTGTGATCAACGGTGTCTCTTTCGGGGGCTGGGACATCGGTAGTTATCCATACACAGACTCTCCACCTACTGTGGTAGCTTGGGGTACGCCAAACACTTCAAATGGGTTCATTGAGCCTGGTATGCTGTCCCCTTATCTATATCACGGCCCAATATCTGACTCTGATGAACTAGATGGTTACACTGATTCGGACATAATCTGTCATCGAAATGCTACCAACGCGAAAGGTCATGCCGTCGTAGCTGCAGGTGACCGAGTTTTTCTTCAATGGACTGACTGGCCCAATTCTCATCATGGACCTGTCATTGATTATCTTGCCAGCTGCGGTGCAGCTGGCTGTGAGACTGTGGACAAGACCAAGCTTGAATTCTTCAAGATTGATGGTGTTGGTCTGGTTGATGGCTCCAATGTACCTGGCATCTGGGGAGATGATCAGCTTATTAACCAAGGCTCGTCTTGGATGGTCGAAATCCCCAAATCCATTGCACCAGGCAATTATGTCTTGAGACACGAGCTGTACGTCATCATTTTGCAGCATTTTGTCCTCGTGCTAACCTTTTTTGAAAGAATTGCACTTCATAGTGCTGGCACCGAGGGTGGAGCTCAGAACTACCCGCAGTGCTTTAACCTCCAGGTTACCGGTTCGGGCTCAGACGTACCAGCAGGTGTTTTGGGCACCGAGCTGTATAGCCCTACAGACCCTGGAATTTTGGTCAACATCTACACCTCTCTATCAACCTATGTGAGCTGCTGCTTCTAGCTTTCATTTCTTGGGAGTTGATACACTCTATCTCTTGCATTCGATTCTAACATCAGTCCGACCAGGTTGTCCCGGGTCCAACCCTCTACAGCGGTGCGGTTTCTATTGCACAGACCACTTCCGCAATCACAGCTACAGGTACTCCGATTACCGGATCGGGTGCTGCGACAAGTGCTGCTGCAAGTGGGGAAACGGTTACTGCGACAAGTGCAACAAGTGTTGAGCTTGCCACCACTACCGCTTCGCTTCCTCAATCTACTACAACAGTCGCGCCTGTTACCACGGCTCAACCTACTACTTTGGTGACCGCCACCAGACGGCCTATCTTATCTGCACCGAGCCAGGCGACTACTTCCACCATAACAGGGAGTGGTGGTGGATCAACCCAGGCCGTCTACCAGCAATGTGGAGGCGCCAGCTGGTCTGGGGCGACTGCCTGTGCATCACCAGCGACATGTTCTTCTATGAACCCTTACTACTCCCAATGTGTGCCTACATCTGTCTAGACATACCATGTGGTTTGAGGTTGTATGCAACCTTGCATGGCAAGTGAAACTTAGTGATGTGTGATGTATATTAGTTGAGCGCTTGAGAATATTTTACCGCGATTTGAGTCTGAATTGAATTTTTATGAGACCCCCACCCATTTCTTTCTAGAGCTTGTGCATAGTGATTCTTAATACCACCCCGAACGCCATAAAAAACCATGCACAATGTAGGCCTGGATATTCGTCCTGATGCAGCCCAAAGTCAGGCTAGTTTTTCATTGGTTAAAAATAGTGTCTATTAACTATATTAGGTTAGTCTGCCAAGTCATTAGAGGTTTATCCCCGCAGCAAGGAACATTTCCCCTTGAGACACCTTGGACACCTTGTGTTTGCTGAAATGGGTTTGCTGGAGAGTAATCTGCCTTCGGGCTATGTGCTCCAGGAAGGATATTTATCGGTCCCAGATTACGTTCATCTTCGTTCCATCTCCGGCTTATCACCGAAGACCACATCCCAAGCTGCAGCGGTAGCTACGGGCAGTTGGTACGGATGCTATATTACGTTTGGAGATGATCTGCAGCCGGTTGGAATGGGCCGTATTATTGGAGATGGTGGCTGGTAAAGATTCCACGAAGTGTTACAGTTTTTGTTATGCCACTAAATTTCAGTCAAGGTATTTCCACATAGCCGATATGGCGGTGCATCCAGAACATCAAAAGCGGGGGCTTGGGGATGCCATTGTGAAGGCCTTGCTTCGGAAGATCAAACAAGAGGCACCGAAAGATGGCGAGCCTTATATTTCCTTGCTTGCCGACAAACCAGGGCGTCGCCTGTACGAGAGAAACGGCTTCGTGGAGACAGCACCACATTCACTCGGCATGATGCTGAAATAAATGTCATTTCTCAACTTCCACTTGCATCTTCGTCATTTTAATCCCTTCGGGTGTCTTTGCTCTCAGTTAATTATTGACTACCTTCTGTCCCAACTTCAAGACCATCGATACAAAAATCGTTTCCCTCTTTTCTTCTTTTTCACTTTCTTCGTCCCCCCTCCCCAGGAGCTTGTAAAAATCAAGTGGGATGCCGAGCAGAATGCAGCCAAAACCGAAAATCCAGCCCGAATTCTCTCCATTTGTCCTTGTCCTACTCGTACTGCTTGCTCGTCCCATCTGAATACTGCGATTCGATCAAGTCAAGGTCAAAGACACCTACGGAGTATTCCATACTGACTCAAATTTTGATTTCTTCACGTCATTATTTTCAGATCTTCCCCGTGTTGATCTCTTGCAATCGGGTCCACTTTCTTCGGTGCCTCCTAGCCCGAGCGCGGGGGTCCCGTTTGCCACTGCCCTGGGCCCCAGAAAATGCAAACAGCCACCTGAATCAATGCTCGTACGCAGTTGTCCCTCGGACAAGCAATCCAGTGGATCCAGCTCCACGCTTCAGCAATTGTTATCCTGTCCCAGGCTCTCCGCATTCGCGGTCTCCAAGCCCGAACTACCGAGTCACTTTCTAAAGTTCCCGTGATGATTGGTCGAGAGTCGAATTGATGAAATGACTGCCGCAAGATAAGTGCAGATCAAGCATGGTGGCTGAATTATGCCTCCGGCTAAGAAACGCCTGATCCGCCCAGCGTTGTCAGCCTTCAAAAAGTCCTTGCTCACATTAATTGTGTGGAATTGATTCATTGAAGACCAAAAGTCAATTGGGCTGAAGATGTTCAAACATAACCTTCGGGGTAGGCGTCTGGTATTTGCCGTCACAGCAGCCTCCTGCCAGGCATTTCTCTTGCTCGGATATGACCAAGTAAGTTCTCCGCCCCATCTCAGTATCCTTATTTCATAGGGCTATATTCTTCGCATTGCAAAATGTCTAACTTCTTCGGGTTATTAGGGTGTGATGTCAGGCCTTGTTGGGGCGGACAATCGATTCGGTCGGGACTTCAACAATCCAGATGCTGCGTTGCAAGGAGACATAGTGGCCCTATATGACATCGGGTGTATTATCGGATCCATCGTGGTGTTCTTTATTGGTGAGAGACTTGGACGTCGTTGGATGCTTATGACTGGTGGAACTATCATGATCTTGGGCACTGCCATTCTGGCTACTTCCACTACGGTTGCACAGCTGATTGTTGGCCGGATTGTTACCGGAGTGGTTCGTTGGCTACCGAGACGATGCTTTATGACCTCTCTAATGATTATCTAGGGAAATGGCATGAATAGCAGTACTGCCCCTGTCTACCAAAGCGAGAGCGCCCCTTCCGAGATTCGAGGAACTCTCCTGACTCTACAGGGAACCATGACGATTCTCGGGCTTTGCATCGGTATGGCTTCCTTAAGTGATATTGAAGGCATACTTGCTGATTGAATCTTTTATAGCATACTGGCTGGACTATGGAACCAGTTTCACGGATTCATCGTTGCAATGGCGCTTTCCCCTTGCATTCCAGGCTGTGTTTGCTGTTTGTCTGGTTTTGCAGGTCATCGGACTCCCCGAAACACCCAGATGGCTCATGAAGAACGATCGATATGAAGAAGCACGTGAGGTGATTGCGGCAATCAATGACGTTTCGCCCGATGACCCATTGGTCATTCAAGCGTTGGCCGATATCGAAAAGGCGGTACACGAGGATATCCAGGGTGATCAAGTGGGATGGCGAGATTTCTTCTCGCATGGAAAATTGCAAAACTGGCGAAGATTGCTCCTAATCATACTCATTGAGATCATGCAACAGTTTACAGGGTCTAATATGATGTATGTGATTATCCTTTTCCTCGGTGGGTTGACTAACAATCACAGCAACTACTATGCCCCCACGGTGTACACGGATGCCCTTCACATGTCCAGGAATATGTCAATGATCCTATCCGGCTGCACATCGCTTGCATATCTGGTCGGCTCTGCTCTTCCACTTCTCATGATGGACAAGTTTGGACGCCGTATTCTGCTCATCGTGTCCGCCGCCGGGCTCTCATTCTGTTTCATGATGGTGGCTATACTTCTTTCCTTTGATCAAGTGCAGGATGCATATGGGGCCACTGCATTCATTTTCCTGTTTCAAATTTTCTACGGTCTAGGGTGGCTACCAGTTCCCTGGTTCTACCCCTCCGAGGTAAGACATGACTACCTATCCGCTTGGTTATTCGTACTGAGCTAACAAATACATTAGATCAGTACGACCTCTCTACGATCTAAAAGTGCTGCAATAGCTTCGGCGTTCAACTGGCTTTCTGTGTTTGCGGTAGTAAAGATCACCCCGATCGCAATCGGTAAGTTTCCAGCCTTCTTGAGACTCGCTCCTCCGCTCCATCCACTGCTTTCCGTGAACCGCCGCTTACATGAGACACGTTAGAAAATATCAATTGGCGAGTCTTTGTCATTTTTGCTGTTCTCAATTTCCTTTGGATCCCAATTGTGTATTTCTTCTATCCGGAAACGAAGGGTCTCGAGCTAGAAGACATCAACTTAATCTTTGCCAAAGGTGGCTTCACCGGTGGTGTCTTTTCCTCGGGAGGTCAGCCAGTTGTTCCTCATCAACACGCCCGGGAAACCGAATTGGAAGGCAAACAGCAAGCTGACATGATAGAGAACGTCGAGCACACTTGATTCAACAACTCATCGTCAGGAAAAACTTTGGGTCATTAAAACATTTACACGTGGTATTATCAATAGACCAAATATGCATCGAAACTTTCTTGTGAAGGAGGTCAAATATTATGATATATTTAAAGTGACTATTGCTCAAGTGATTCTGACCTTGGAAAAAAGACCCGAAGACTATACACCCGCCATGATATACATCATAGCACATCATTCCCATCAGCTACTGTCCTCATCTCAGAAAGTTGCCTTTGCCAGATTAGAGGCCCAGTTGTTCTCATTAAAAGGCACATTGGCCTTAACAAAATCAGTGGTGTCCAAAGCATTTTGAACAGCACCTGCAAAAGATGATTAGCCGATTCCTTTGACAGAAATGGGGACTTTCTCAGGCACAACATACTTGACAACGATTCCCAAGCAACCATGGGCTGAGTACCACCCACGGTTGTTGTGAGACCGAGAGAGTGATCAACGGGCCAAATGGACTCGTACTTGATCAGAGGCGAAGTGCCATCAAGGGTGAAATCACTAGTGCTGCAGTCCCAGCCGCCGTGTGCTGATGGGCAGACAGCCAACACGTTGGAAGCGGCAGTGCTAGAGGAATCGGAGAGCCAAACGATCACTCCCTCCCAATCGTGCCGGTGGCCAATACCAGTGGAAGGCTCGTCTTTGGGGAAGTACCACGAATACATCACGGCGTAGTGGTCACCTGAAGCGCCGCTTCTCACTGAAAGCCGTGCGAGTCAGTCTGCAACGCTCTCGTGTATTTTCCAGGGGCGAATATTTTGTGGAAATCTCACCATAGATTTGACCTGTGCTGCTACTGCAGCCACCATTTGATGAGCCCGTGGGATTGAGACCGGCACTACTAAAGTTAGGATCATGTGTCTGGGAAATCAAAAAGGGGAAGTCAAGAGGACATACTTGGTGTTTCCATCCGCATCCACTGCTGGGAAAGGAACACAGCCATTGACTACCTTGAGATGGGGCTGGTAGGCCAAATACAGATCACCAGTAGCACCGCTCGGAAGTGTCTGCGGGAGCCCGACCAGCTTATCGGAGTCAACGGTTCCTCGTCGAGAGAGAGCATGAGGAGTAGCTGACACAGGCAGCACGGCAAGGGCAGCTAAGCTTGTGAGCAATTGAGGGATCATGGTGAAATGAAAGTTTGTGGTGCTCTGAGCATTGCCGGCTGTGGAATATTAATAGCCATCAATGTCGATCGACATAGGCATGTCCCCTCTCCGTCCGGAATCCGCTTTGTAGAAGGGATTTGATTCGGCGGAAATAGTTTGGTGGGCATAGTTCGGTGGAAACGGTCTTCAGTCCAGATGGAGTAAAGTCGGCGACGATCAGTCCACTTATATTAGCTTCGTGGAGTTGGACGACCCGATAATTCGCTGTTTATCTCCTTTCAAGATTCTGATTTCACTTAATCCTTCGAAGGCTGCACCTGACCAATCTAGGGAAATATACCTAAACATTGTACACGATCTAACCTGAATTCTCATAGAATGGCGCCTAAATGCGCCACTCGGCCTAGGATGCTGGGATACAACGCTACAGGGATCGAGATTCTAGCACGTGTAGTAATCTTACGAGCTCCGCAGCTCTAGAATAATTGTGGTATTTAATCCTTATACGCGAAGGGTTCTCGGTTTATGTCCATCTGTCAGGATTTCCGCACCAATCAAGACAAACAGGTCAAGAAATTGCCCAATTTGTTCAAAACCACCCCCTGCATGGTGGCATTAGCGTCATTCTTTGAGCTTGCAAGCCCAACCGAGACACTGGCATGACATCCCGAGGCCAGTGAAACCTCGAGCTCGCTTGGAAGTCTCGAGCTGCCACACGTGGTCACATCGTCTGGGGTGATCAGGGGAACGGCAATATGGATGCGCGACAACACAAAAGAGAAATCTTCCGGGTTGGCGCATTCGGAGTCAGACACTTTGCCGAAGTTGACATTCAGCCAAATGTCTTGTGGCAAGTATGGCTTTCCAGCAGCGACCACTTGGTTGGTCAAGTTGGTTGCCAGCTCCGCATAGACATCACTGTAGTGAGAACGAGAGGTGTTCCATGAGGTCTGAGATCCCGTCGCTCCGGAGAAGGCAATAGCAGGGATTCCAGCGGTGTGAGCCGCGTAAGTAGCTGCGCCCGCTGTTCCTGAGAAGTAAACTGTGAGTCCAATGTTATTTCCGACATTGGGGCCGGTGACAGCCAGATCAGGAGCGCCATCAAAGAATTCAGGGGCACGAGATTCAATGCCATGTTTGATTGAAGATACCGGATAGCTGTTGACATATCCAAGTCGGGGCTATCATGACTCGGTCAGTTATACAAAATCCCCAAAGACATAGATCAGCTCACTTCGGAGGCATTGTATCCCACAGCCGGGCTGCCAGACGGGCAGCTGTCGAATTCGCACGGCTCAGTCAGAGCAGTGGGCGTCTTCTGCTTTGATCCTATTACGCCCTTGTCAGTCTGATCTGGTATCGAATATGAATGACGTTACCTGTGCCACTTTGATTTTCGGCGGGTGCAGACACTACGACGGAATGTCCTGCGTCTCCGAGGGACTCGAACAGAGCGCGGATGTTGACTTCTGCCCAGCCATCGTCATTCGACGAAATGATGTTAACGGCGCGGGCGGCCAAGGGCCAAAGCATAAGATGATGAAAACGCATCACGATATCTTGGATGTCGCACTAGATGTCAGTGTAGTTTGCACTTGTACGGAGCACAGATTGTACGGAGCACAGAGTACAGAGATAATGACCTTTTGTGGTTTTCGGATGGCACGGCTGATCTATGCCGATCCCCCTTTGCGATCGCAGAGGTGTGGAGTAGAACGGCTCGGTTCGAATACGAAAACGTGTGCCTCCGGGGCTTTTAACCTTTGAAGTTTAGTCGAGTTTAATTGCACCGTCTCTTCAGTCGAGTCTGAAGTATGCGGCTAGGCATTTAAGAACAGAATTTATTAGAAGCACTGGCTGCACTGATGTTTTACAAGACACTCCTGTTGGGTGCATTTCAACGAATTTTTTTTTTTTTTAAAAAAAAACTCCACTTTATGAATCTAATATGCGAAATTAAATTATCGTCTATGTATCTGATAATACGCATCCTGTCCAATCTAAGAACAGAACTGAAAACGTGCAGCTAAATCTCCCAGCTGCAGTGACCAACCATGCAGAGCCCTTAGGCATGTTGGGAATAAAGAACCGAAAAGAGACACCGGAAATGACCAAAATAAAGATATGTGAGGGCAAATACCCGAAATCGGTGACAAAATATGCAAATTCACCTGGACTTGAGAAACCGAAAGGCAAATGAGGGAATCGCTTACTCGGAGCGTGCGCTCTTGGTCTTCTTGCTTCTGAGCTTCATCATCAAGAAAACCAACCCATAAGTAGAAATGCAGAACAAGGCAGTGATGCCAGTCTAAGGAATAATTAGTGGCTGGAAGGTGACCAGAGAACAGGAAGACAACTCACATCTCTCCACGAGTAGTACTTCTCGTTGAGGTTGAACGTCTTCGCGTAGTCGGAACCCTGGGAGTACTGGCAGAATGAACAAGTTCCAGTCGAGTTTGCATCGAGCAGGTAGCCGGGCTGGGAGCTCAGGAAGTCGGACATGTATTGGCCACAGGTTTGACCAGAGGGTGCAGCAAATTTCACGAACTCCGAGGCCTCACACTTTACCTTGACGTCCCAGATCACTTCGCCAAAAAGCCCACCGACAAGGTAGTTGAAAGGATCCAGGTAGTAGATCCAGTATCGCCAAAACGGTTGCATCGAAGAATACGGCACCACAACACCACAAAAGCTGACCAGGCCGGCACCGATGAGAACGGGATTCATCACAGCTGCAAAGTACTCGTTGGGCGCATATGCCGCAATGGCCTGGCCAATTGAGGTATATAGTAATTCATAGACTATGTCATATTAGCCCGAGTCTTCATTGCCTCCTTCATCGTCAATCCAGAACTTACAGATCATCTGCAGATAGACATGGCCAGAAACACTAGCCTCTACGGGGAGGCCCGTTGTGAAGTACCAGCATGCAAAATACAATGTGGCACAAATGATGAGATATGGGATCTCCGTCATGGTTTGCGCCCCAATGAAAGCCAGCCAGTGGTAGGTTTTGGACTACAAGAAGTTACAGGTGTCAGCTAGGGTTCCGTTTGCCAGAGCATGGTCAAGCTCACCTTTTTCTCTCGAGTCTCAAAGATGTCTCGGCTGTGCAAGAAGAACGGTTGCATTTGGTTGATACAGCCCGGGGCAACAAAGATAAAGTTGAAGATTGCAAAGAGTCTCAGCTGAAGAGAGAAAGTGCCATCTCCAATCTTCCAGAAAGTGAATCCACTGAACAGACCGGCGAAAATGTGAAGGAAGAATTTGTTCCACATGTAGTCCTAAATTCGCATCAGTATCGGGTTCTCTCGACCTTGGGCTTCGGGTAACGTACGGGTGATCGCCAGATATGAATGCTCAGGCGTTTCGAAACCACCTTAAACTGGAACCAGTGCGACGTGGCAAAGTCGGATGTATCCTCAACATGGTCTGACTGAGCTCTCTTGGACTCGTTGAGCGTGTCCAGTTGAGCAAGTGCAAGTTTGCGCTCTTCTGACTGGTTCCAAACTTCAACCCAGTCGGTTTTATCGGTCGCACTCCCTTGAACAACGTCAATAATGTGCTCCGCCGGGTTGACTTCTGGTGGACAGGGTGCTCCATTGCGAGAGAAGTATTCTAGAATCTTCTTTGATTCTTTTCCGGCTGTGGGTTGCAGATTAGCCTCTTGTAATCCTTGGCAGTTGTATCTTTCGGTGAATACTTACTCTCTCCAAAGTAAGACATTCTGCCTCCTTTGGCTAGGAGAAGAAGACCATCGAATGCATCAAAAAGGACAGCGGATGGTTGATGGATTGTGCACTAACTCGTTAGTATGTTGAAGGACAATGCCACGTACGGGTCACTCACTAATACAGCCTGACCACCATCAACCAATTTCCGAAGAAAACGGACAATGTTGAAAGCACTCTGTCCGTCAAGACCCGAAGTGGGTTCGTCCAGGAAAAGCAGTGTTGGCTTGGCGACCAGTTCAACGCCCAGAGTAACTCGCTTGCGTTGCTCGATACTTAGTCCAGCGCCGGGAACTATTCTTTGTCAATTCATTGTTCACAAGGATACTGGACTATGATCGAAACTTACCTCCAATGAGTGCATCACTGATCCCTCGCAGTTCCAGAAGATCGATGATGTGTTCAACGTATGCGATCTTTTCTTCGTGGGAAACATCAGCGGGCTGTCGAAGAACAGCGGAAAATTCCAATGCCTCCTTGACGGTGGCTGTTTCAAGATGCACATCCATCTGTTCGCAATAGCCAGTTGTTCTTTGGAAACTGATACCGACTGGAACTCCATCAATTAGGACAGATCCGTTGATCTCGCCACTGTCTTTTCGTTGTGCTAGCACGTCCAATAGCGTCGTCTTTCCAGCGCCGGAAGCTCCCATCAGCGCCACCAAATTGCCAGGTTGAACGAACCCAAACACTTTGTTTAGCAATTGCTTCTTCTCACCGTGGAATGGAACATGGTAATCAAGATCTTTCCATGTGAATGTTGATTGTTTGACTGAACCCAACAATTCGTTCATATCCTTCTCCGGCGAGGCGTCTTTTTTGTTGATCTCATCCTGATTGGTTTTCCTCTCGCTTCCGCGCTTGTAGAGCAAAACGGACGATCCACTTTGAGTGTTCCGCAACTCCAGTCCAAGAGCTGTCAGGCCGATGAAGAAAATCCAAAATCCGATCAGGATGCCGAAGCTTCTCCAGATGTGGCCAGGGGAGTAGCTGTACTGCTCTTTAATGTATGCCGCGCCATCGATAATGCCATTCTCGTCACTCCCAAGTACTGAGCATCCACGGTTGGAGGATGCTGAGTTGGCGTATTGGGGGCCGAATGGAATATAATCAGGCTCGACGCATGTAAGTTTGCGCCCAACAAACTCGTTGGCCATGAGTGCTTCGAATGCATAAGATCCGGGGTTGAGGTAGAAGATCCAACGGAACCAGACGTGCATTTTATGGAAGGGAATCAGATATCCTACCCTTCAGTTAGCTTTCGACTCGCGTGCACACTTTCAGTTTCAGGACTCACCTCCATAGACGAAGAATACTGTAGAAAGTAGCCCGGAGATCTTTGATGCATTTCCAAATGTCTTGCAAACAGCTCCCACGGATCGGAACAATTGAATAAAGCACAAAGTCTGCACAATGACAATAACCCAATAGATGAAGAACTTGCCAGCATTCATCTGCATTGCAGCCATGAAGTATAAGATCAGCGAGAAAGAGCTGACTTGGAATATCACAACTGGAATATCGGTGATGGCGTTGGCAATTGCGAAGGCCGTGGGGCGATAGAAGCCGAACCGCTTCTGCCGAGACAAAATTGGACGGCCCATGAAGGAGCCAGTGGTCTCCGACATCGACTCTAGCAGAAAGTATAAAACGGGGAAGAAGCAAACACCGGGTCGTAGGAATATCGATTCACTGGTCTTGAGATTCAATCGTCAGCAGGCGTTTTGTGGATATTAGGGGGAGATAGCTTTTTTCTGTACCTCTGCTAGGTTGTAAAACAAAGAGCCACAAACCAAAGCTTGTATGATGGCCGAGGCAACCTGGGGGAGTTTCAGGTTAGTAATTAATTATACCTCGGTGTTTGAAGAGATATACACACCTTCACATAAAGAGAAAACTTGTCTCCCCACATGATCTGGAACTGGCGAAGAATGCAGGCACCAATCTGGTCCCAAAGCTTCGTTGTATAGACACTTTTGTTTCGGGGAATATGTTGCTTCTTCTTTTCACTGGATACCGCCAGTGCGAGGTCTTCGGTCTCATAGCTGAGTTTCTCAGGTTCCACGATCGCATCCATCTGGTCCTTGTAGATGGGGCTCCTCTGGAAGCAAGCTTCAAACTCTTCAGGAGTGTTTGGTACTTTCCCTTCCCATCCCGGTCGGACAGTGCGCTCAGTGAGGACAGTTACCGATGTCAAAAAGTCAGCAATGTTGGCTCCCTTGGGGCAGATAAACCCAAGATTCTCAAAGTATTCTCTTGCTGCCCGTCGAGGACCTGAGTAGGTGACACGACCTTCGGCCAGGACCAAGATCTTGTCAAACTGGTCGTAGATGCCATTGCCCGCTTGATAAGTAGTGGTGATGATCGTCTTTTCGTTTCGATCGGCCTCGGATCGGAGCATTCTGGCAAACGCAAGGGCAGACTTGGAATCCAATCCTCGTGTCGGATTATCCCACATCTGAACTGGGCTCTGGCCAGCTAGTACCTCAGCAAGGGAAACACGTTTACGTTCGCCTCCTGAAACTCCTCTGATGAACTCATTTCCAACCATGTTCTTTTTCGTGTGTCCAATGCCTAGGGAGTCCAGAATGTCATCTCGCTTGTTCAAGACAAAGTCCTTGCGATTGTTTAGGTGATCTGGGCGCTCTTCGGGGATTTTATTTCGGAGTGCGAACTTCATCGTACGATTAACGGTAAGGGTAGGGAAGTGAAGATCGTCTGGTAGCATTGTGGTTAGGCTGCATTCAACGGGAGAATGATTTGAGTTGTGAACGCCCACCTTCGTTGTTGAACATGATCTGCTGGCGATATTGCTTGGCTTCATGGTGATCCATGCTAGCGAATCTAGTCTCGCCGGTGACTTCGTCAAAGCTATCGCGGTCGTTGGAGAGCACTCGCAGAAGTGATGTACATCCGGAGCCTGGTCGTCCCAGCACAAGAAGCTACATCAATCAGCATAGGTTCTTTCGAAATTTCAAGAAGCAAGCTTACCATTTCACCTGGTTTGACCTGGCCTGCCACATCTTTGAGAATAGTCTGCGACCAACGTTAGTTTTCGAGATGAGTCCATCAACCCGATATGAGGACACCCACTCTTTTAGGGCTACCTCCCCGCTTCAGCAATCCTCCGATCTGTCGCGGGTCCATTGCAGACCACAAAGTCTCCCCTAGTGCTGCATCTGGTGCTGTGACTCGAACATTCAAGTCGCGGAAGGTGATCGTCAGTCTTTTCCTGATCTGACCGTCGCCCCCTTCCAGATCCACCGGAGTGATTGTGCCCGAAGACGGTGTTTCCATGTTGTATAGATCGTCGTCTTCGGTTTGGCCACAGTCGAAGAGACACGAAATGAGACTTCGAAGATCTCTTATATTGGAGCTTTCGCATCATAGTGGTATATCCGAATTCCCGAAGGTGGGGCTCGATTAGGAAATCTTGCATGTATGTATAGCCGTGGTGGAGATGGCAGAAAGGGGCTATTCGCTGGTGGAGATCTTTGTAATACGTTTGAGTGCAGAATCGTCCCAAGAAAATCCACGGAAATATAGTTTCGGATATAAGAAAGAAACTCATGCCAAGAGGTGTTCGTTCATTTGACAGAATTTCGTAGCGACCCACATATCGGATATATACGTGCAATGAAACGGATCTAGCAAACCCCATAAGGCGTAGGAGCAAGCTTAGCTTAGTCTGAGAACAAATCAAATCCACCTTAGAAGAATCGAGGCTTCTTTATCGAATCCTTGGGCTTGGAAGATCCACAGAGATAGCCTATTATATCTGATGTATAGTATTTTTGGACGTAATTGGGTCCAGCCTGGCTTTACGCATCAATTGGACGGCCTCGGCATAACATGCTTATCTCCGGTTGATTGGCAACCGCCGCGGAATCATGCTCAGACTGATTACCTTGTGTTGACAAGATCAGATGTGCGGGGCCTTGGGCGACCTTATGTTTGCTCTCGAGAGGCGTTTGGTCCTTTTTTGTTTTGTTTTGATCCTGGTCTGAGTTCCGTGGATTGAAAATTGAATTTGATTAGAATAAAGCGTCTTCGGATGGGTAAACCGACAAAAATGCCTCGAGATCCATTGTGGAGAAGTCGAAGTCCCAGCCCATGTCGGATTGCGTGAAATCAAGCAAGTCTTCGCTAGAGCCAACCGAGCCCCCAGTATCTGGCATACCCATGGTTTCGAATTGCGGCAGATTCCAAGGAGAGGCTGACGCACCAGGTCGTATTATCATGGAAGGGTCATGAGGAATCGTGAGGTCGTTGGGAAGTGGTCTTTGCGCTGTATTAGGAACCGCGGGCTGTCCCATAGCTGCGGGTTCTGAGGGCCGTGGCTGCCTTCCGCTAGAGGATGTATACGGTGGCCATTCATATGATGGGTTCATTCTGCGTAAAACGGTCTGGATAGCCGAAATCGAGCTTGCAATCGGGTCACCAGCTCGCATGATAGACAAGGTTTGTAAAGAGGCATAAACCCATGGCAGATATACAGGAGCGAGGCTCGCATCATGAAGAAATTCATAGATGAGCGTGAATGAGGAACTTCCTAGAAAGTACCCATGATACCGCAATTGCTATCTTTCTATTAGCTGCAGAGCATGCAAGAAAAGGTGCACAATTTACCCGGACCAGGTCGTTCTCTCTCGATGCTTCACAAAGATGCTGCAATGTTTTTTGAGCAGCCGTTATGGCATAGCTACAAGCCTCGTTTAGCCATGATGGAGTCTCCGCTTGCTGGTCTTTGCTTTCAGTACTATTGTTGTTGGGTGCGGCCTTTTTATTCCGTCGCCAGTGACCACGGAATATGAGGAACGGGCGGAAAGTGAGTAGAAAGGTATGGTTAAATACTGATAATGACGATGATCAGAATCGTCTGAGCTATAGTGTTCAGCCTGTTTCACTTACATGTCGTAAAAATTGTTTGTTGAACACCGAGGGATCCTTCCTGGATTCCAGCATCCAGTCCAAAGCCGAGGGATTGTTTTAGTAGAGATTCATGGCCCCGTAGATCATGAGCAATCGACCTGGCCACCCTCCACATGTGCAGCAAGGACTCATGTCGTTGACCGTAAATTTCTTCGGTTGAGCGGGTAATAGTTTTGCAGAGTTCGACCAGCAATCGAAGGAAAGGATCTTGTGCATGCTCAATTGCAACGTCCTTTAGCGACAGTGAGCTTGGGCGACCTGTATGGAAACAGAACCAGCTGTTCAAGTGGTTAGTGACCATGACAAATTTTGGAAAGGGGTCATGTACGTCTCATAGATGTAAAGAGACCAAAATGTCACTCGTCGCTCCTCAATACTCTCTGGAGTTTTCTCAGCGCCATGAGGAACATCCTTGTGTAATCCCGCTGATAGTGCCTTCCGAGACGCAGAGCCTAAATGTAAGAACGCAGAGTTGGGGCGACCTTGTTCATTTTGGTAGTTGCCGTATCAATCAAATAAAATCAGTACGCGAGATGTCAAGGCAGGGAATGGAAGACTTATCATGAGTAGGGAGATCTGAATAAGCTGAAGATTTACCACATCGTCAAAAATGACCATAGAAGCCTTGACGCGTTCAAAAAGCACATCACCCCAGGCAAAGTGATCAGTGCCAATTGCGGCACACGCCATGGCGATAAGGATGATAGCCTGAGAAAAGGGGTCCAGACTTTCCGTGGCACATGGATTGTACATCCGCTCTAAGCATTGTTCATAGTATGCTTTAGGGCGATGTGGCAACATGTGGTAAAGGCCCGAGAGATATCGTGACATGAATAGCTTTGCCAAATCATACGGAAGGAACATCATAGAGATATCCCCCATCCCTGGGGGTCTGTTACCATCAAGTGGGTCCGGGGTACCAAAGAAGATACGCCGGAAGCTGAATAGGTCCAACCCAGCTCCAGCTTCCTCGACGCCGCCAGAGGGTTCTGGCGGCGCAGTTGGGTTCGAGATAAGATCACGATAAATGTGCTGCATCAATGAGAAATGCGACGATGGGCCATAGTAAAGCTGCATTTGGCATGATGGCGACGCCATATGTGTAGCAGACACGCTTTTAGGGAAGTCATTCATTGCTGAAGCACGGGGCCCTGGTGGTAAACCACTGGGGGAAGCCCGACGAACGGGACTTCGCGAGCGGCTTTTTTCATACTCCGTCTTCTTTCGCCGATGGCGAATATAATCGCGGTATATACAAGGGGTGTTGCGCAGTTGGCAGGTTGTGCATCTTTTCAATCAGCACGCGTCGCGCGAACATGGACTACAAGTACTCACGGGTTCAGACCACTGCATTTGATCTTACGTTTGCGACACTCTTGACATGCGCGAGGAATTCGCCAACCCGCTTGAGGCTCTGACGCTTCAGACATTGACATGCACTCAAGCTCTCCAAGGCTTGCACTTTATCCGCTTAATCCGAGAAAATCATCCGGCTATATCCGAGTCACGTGGTTCAGATCACATGCACAATTTTTGCCTCAGGCACTCATTCTATCATGTGACTGCTGTTTACGCCTGTAATATCAGGTGTCAGTCTGGTTGACACAAACTGTCGAGAGCTTGAAACATCGGAAGCCACATGTGCAAGAGACGATAGTCACATTTGCTGACACTCTAGAAAAATTACTGAGAATAATCTCCTTAAACTTGGTCGATCAATACCAACTGAGAAACTACGTTGCCACCGCCTTGAACAGAACTCCTACTGCTCCAAATATCCGAATCTGACGCTTCCGATAACACTTCCGATCCGCCTCGGCTGTTCTATATACAGCGAGGAACAGTATGGAATATGGACTGTACTGAACGCCAAGCCTCTTTCTTGGGAGACTTGGCGTTTTTCCCAAGAGCCTGAAGACTTTGGGTGTGGCTGACCAGAGAGCACCTATTCCAACACCGGAAGAGTAATTCGGCATTTCCAGCTTGTGCCATGGCCGGATCTTCCCCCGAAATACGATCAGACAGCCAGTCCGGGGTCGAGATATGGAAAGTCTGGGGAAACCACGTCGGCCCCATTGTGGGGAAGGTCCACCGCTATCTGCTGGTCATTGACTCATCTCCCCCGGATTTTACTGGTCTGGATGGTTTTAACCTTGAAATATCCTTGCAATATTTGCTTACGCCTCTCTCGCCTCTTTACTCTCCGAGCTGCTGAGGTTCCCACCCAGTAACTATCCGGCGGGGGGTATCAACCAGGGGGATTATGATTGGACCCTGTTTGTTTTGCCTCAAGGGATATGATTTGGCCGCCTGCAATGTCAATCTCAAATGCCAAGGTATTTCCTTACTGTCAAGTCAAAACGCTAAGCGATACCTCCTTGGCAGCGGCAGATTGGAATTAGGTGCAATAGCACAAAGAGCCGAATCCAAGCCTGGATCCGTGTGGCTTCTCCCCCGCAACCCCAGAATCCTCTGCTCGGCTCTTCCGATCGGGCTCTCACTTTTGGAGCTATAAGAATCTCACTGCGCCTCGAGTGTTTCTGGCTTGCCATTCAATAACCTGTGAGTTCCTTTTCCAGAATCAACACACCGTGCCAAATCCAACATGACAGATCCCGAGAGAGGGGCGACTCCTGTTGGGGATGAGAAGGTCATGTCACAACATAAAGAGCATATGATGGGGGAAGTTGCCCATGAAGCGGCCGAGAGGGGCCACCTCGCGACAGATGAATATGGTCAACCCCTGGTTGAGTTCGATAAGGTAGCAGAGTCCAAATTGCGACTCAAGATCGACCTTTACATTGTTCCAACCGTCGCCGTGATGTATTTGTTCTGTTTCATCGATCGTGCCAATATAGGTTCGTTCATCGTTGCCCAGACCGGGCATCGCATTCACTGCTTGGCCAATGACTGACTGAGACTTGAAATAGGAAATGCCAAGCTTGCGGGCTTCAACAAAGATCTGGGACTTGTCAATTATGATTATAATGCTGTGCTCTCCGTTTTCTTCATCTCCTATATCATCTTTGAGATCCCTTCGAATATCATGTGCAAGTGGGTAGGACCTGGTTGGTGGCTTCCGGGGATTACACTCGGATTTGGGATTTGCTCGGTCGCCACAGCTTTCGTTCATGATATCCATAGTGCATCTGGCGTGCGCTTCCTGCTTGGGTCAGTATTCCCATGCCGACGAGATCGACACTGCTGACCTTCTTCAGGATGTTTGAAGCAGGATTGTTACCTGGAATCGCGTACTATCTTTCGCGTTGGTATCGACGTAGTGAGCTTGCCTTCCGTCTGTCGCTGTACATTGTCATGGCCCCCCTCGCTGGAGCATTCGGAGGTCTGCTAGCTTCGGGTATCCTCAAGCTCGATCACTTTGGAGGTTTGCGCACATGGCGTATGATCTTTGCGATCGAGGGTATTGTCACGATTGGCATTGGCATGATCGCATTCTTTACATTGACCGACCGACCGGAGACGGCCAGGTGGCTCACCCAGGAGGAGAAGGACCTCGCCGTTGCCCGAGTCAAGTCTGAGCGTGTAGGCACCACTGAGGTTCTTGACAAGTTGGACATGACCAAGACTCTGCGCGGAATCTTCAGCCCAGTGACCATCACCACTTCATTCGTGTTCCTGTTGAACAACATTACCGTGCAAGGCCTTGGCTTCTTTGCGCCCACTATTGTCCAAACCATTTATCCCAACGCCAGTGTGATCTCTCAGCAACTGCACACCGTCCCCCCATATGTGGTCGGGGGTTTCTTCACCCTCTTGTTCCCCTATCTCAGCTGGCGATTTGATAATCGCATGGTCTTCTTCGTTGTCAGCCCCCCGCTGATGATCACTGGTAAGTTTCTTAGCCCTCAATCTGTGGATTTGGGAATATTTCACCAGGCCTGCTTCATATCATGTGCTAACGACAGGCTGACACAGGGTATATCATGTTCCTCGCTAGCGAGAATAGTATGGTACGATATGGGGCCACCTTCATAATCGCTAGTGGGGCATTTGCGTTCGGAGCCTTGTGTACTGCAAATGCATCGGCGAATGTGATCTCCGACACCGCTAGATCTTCGGCAATTGGAACCGTCGTGATGTTCGGAAACATCGGCGGCCTCATCAGCACCTGGTCCTTCCTACCCTTCGACGCACCGAACTACCACATTGGGAATGGACTCAACTTGGCAACTGCCACCACGACGCTCCTTCTTGGGGCTGGCCTGTGGACTTACATGACTTGGGACAATCGCCGGCGTGCGCGTGTGGATGTCCCCAACGCCTTGGCAGGCCTTTCCCAGCAACAGATCCAGGACTTGGACTGGCGCAATCCTGGGTTCCGCTGGCGTCCCTAGTCGTGGTGTGGCTCTCGGCCAATCACCTTCATCTTGTATCTTACTGTTATAAATCGGGTGCTCCGCATCGGCGCCCGCTAAATTAGGTCTCGAACATCTTGATCCATGTCATATTTTATTTTCCGATTCTCGGGCGAGAGATAAAAGTGCAGATCTCATACTATCGTACGGCGTGCTCGCCACTCTACCTTCTACTCCGGTTGGAGTTATCTGGAACAAAATCGAGATCTTTAGAACCCAGTGTGTCTACAGGTACTCCGTATCCTCCGTACTATTACGCGTCCTCAGTTTCCAAATTCCTTCAGTCCCATATAGGATGTACAGACGGAATATATGTCGAGGCTCTCCGAGCTCGGGGAACTCCTGTATGTCTCAGCGATGTGCACTGCAAGGACCACGTGGATCTTGCGGCTACAACCTCCAGGGCTGGAAGTACCATGCCGATGTACGGACGAAACGGCCTCGAATTAAGATTCCTAAGATCGGTAGTTGACAAAGTTTCATCCTTGGCCCGTATATACCTCATCGGGAGACCACAAACTCTGTCCTCACAATTCACAAGGGAAAGAAAAGAAGTGACCGGGACAGACTGGTCCAAGCGCACCCCACGCCAAGAGCCTCGGTGTATCTTCCTGTTCTAGAGACGGGTTGGGGACCAATCAGAGGCCTCACATCAGTCAGTCATCTCCAGACTTTTGCCCGCGCTCTTCCTCTCCACACTCCATTCACACACTCCACATACCCCACTCTGCAAACCACATGTACACGCCTTTCTATTGACTTTCGGACGACTTCCGAACTTCACTGTCATCGCCTTGGTATAGAATCGGCCTTGGCATGACAGCTGTCTGCATCTGGAGCAGGAGAAAAAAGGTATATTGCAGTTGAAAAATAATGAGAGTGTCTCAACAATCCCCAGGGATCCCTACCATGTACGGGGAGTACTACGTACGGACTACGGTGAGCCATGCACGCATGGGCCGAAATCACACGGCGCGGCTACCAAATGAGAGACATAAGAGATCCCGGATTCGGAGACCCAAGCTCCCTTGGCGCTGTTCCCCAGGCCTTGGTTGCTCCACCCGATGTATTGCCGACCTATTCCAACGGGGAAGTCTGGGGTTGGGATTTCTTTCTCGGGAGGCAAGTTGGCCCCCAGATCGGACACACATTTCCAATTCCCCGGACTGCTCCCGTCATTGAATTTGATTTTTCTTTCTCACGTTCTTTTTTTTTTACCCCGCGTGACCGGTGAACTAGGATCCCATAGCTATAAAGACACCAAAGGCGTCCTGGCGCTCTGGATTTATCCTTCTACACTTTCTATACCCCAGTGCTGTGTGCCTTGACCTCCCATCTAAGCTTCTTTTTTTTTTCACTTTTCTCTCACTCATACCTACATTCTCGTTCAAAATGGCCGGCGGAGCCAAGAAGCCAGTTAACATCTTTCGCCTGAAAGACCTCGGCGAGCCCAAACAGGTCTTCAATTGGCGACTATGGTTTGCTGTCATTTCCTTCGGCCTGATGGGTGCGGCCCGTGGTGTTGATGAAGGTCTCATCTCCGGCGCATTCAATTCTAAAGATTTCCAAAAATACATCAATTACGATTCATACAGCGACGTTGAACAGACCAACATCAAGGGCAATGTCACCGCCATGGTTCAAATTGGATCCGTGGGAGGTGCTCTTTTGTAAGTTCAATACTGAAGTTTTGAATCTTCGAGTATTCGAGATTGGCGTGTTTAGCTAACCCAAGACTTATTCATATAGTGCCTTCATGGTTTGCGATCGCATTGGTCGTCTTTGGGCTACTCGCCAACTGTGTGTGCTTTGGATCATTGGAATTGCCATCTTCATGGGTAACGGAGGCAGTCTTGGTGCTGTCTATGCGGGTCGCTTCATTGCCGGTCTCGGTGTTGGTCAAACGGTCGTGGTGGCACCCGTATATCTTGCTGAAATCGTGAGTCTCATGACTAGAATTGACATTGGATATCCACTGACATATCTGATAGGCCCCTGCTTCTATTCGTGGTCTCTGTACTTGTGTCTTCACAGGTTTTGTCTATCTCGGTATTGTTTTGGCATACTTCGCCAACTACGGCTGCGAGCTGAACCTTGGTGACGCCACTCACAACCGATGGGTTTGTGCTCACTCTCCTCTCATCGATCGTGAATATCACAGCTAACAACATCCAGCTCGTTCCCACTAGTCTGCACATCATCTTTGCGGGCTTGATCTTCCTCCTCTCCTTCCTCCAGCACGAATCTCCCCGCTATCTGGTCAAACGTGGCCAGCTCGACAAGGCGATTTCCAATCTCTCCAAGATCCGTGGTCTTCCTGCCGATGATGAGTACGTCTCACGCGAGATCAGCACAATCCAAACCACACATGAGGCTGAGATGGAGGCCACAATGGGATCCGGTCCCCTTGGTGTGATCAAGGAGACCTTCATGGTCCCCTCCAACCTTTACCGAGTCTACCTCACCTTCATGGCCCAGCTCCTCTCACAATGGTCCGGTGCTGGCAGTATTACCGTCTATGCGCCGGATCTCTTCAAATTGCTCGGTGTCACGGGAAAGAATGAAAGCTTGCTCGTCACTGCTGTGTTTGGTATTATCAAGTTGATTGCCGCGATTCTCTGTGCCCTGTTCTTGGTCGATGTTATCGGACGTAAGCGTGCCCTCTTGCTCGGTATCACTCTCCAGGGTATTGCCATGCTGTATATCGCTGGCTTCCTGACCGCAGTGCCTGATATGGGAGTTGTCGATGACTTTGTGCTTCCAGAGGCAAAGAAGGGTGCCAGCGAAGGTGCCATTGCTATGATCTACATCTCTGGATTCGGATGGGCCCTGGGCTGGAACTCGATGCAGTACCTCCTGACCGCCGAGCTCTTCCCTCTCCGCATTCGTGCCTTCTGTACCTCCATGGCCATGACCCTTCACTTTGCCAATCAATATGGCAATGCCCGTGCCGTTCCCAACATGCTCCTCCCCGTGGCCAAGGGCGGAATTGACCCTAAGGGCACTTTCTGGTGCTTTGCCGCCATCACCGTTGTCGGTGGTATCTGGGTTTGGTTCAGTATTCCTGAGACGGCCGGTCGCTCCTTGGAGAGCATGGACCGGCTCTTCGCTCTGCCGTGGTACAAGATTGGCCGCTACGGTAACAAGGATGCCGATGAACGGGATCAGTTTGTGGATGAGAAGATGGAAATGGCAGTGCAGTCCCACGGCACTGCTGAGCATGTTGAAACTCACCGGGATCCCTCTGGTCGTGTTTGAGCTTGCCTCTGTTTTCTGTTCATGTGATTCCCCCCTTCCCCTCACTGCTCATCGCAGAGAGAATGTATCTAGTTTACGATGGTCATAAATGATGAATGAAAGTCTTGAATTAATTAATATATTGAGTTCTCTCTAAGGTATTCTTGTATTCTCAATTCTCAACACCAATCATTCAACTTGAGACACCATATTCCGATGTGATCTCATTCAGAGGAATAATCACAATTCTTGCCTTCTGTGAAGCCTTCACCCGGTCCTTGCGGGTATTACTTGAGGACCCATTTTTGCTAATATCCATATCCTCCATATCCTCTAGGTATTCATCCGGCAGATCAACCCGGATCAGAATGCCACGAGGCCTGAAGACTGTCTCATTCCAGTGGGTGATGTGGCGGGCGAGATGATTGCCGTCTACCCCTGCCATCGCGGCGATGAGATTCCGTTGTTCCTGGCGTCGTTTTGACAGACGGGCAATGAAGACCGCAGGGATCGCTCCCAAGAATCCAATCATCAGTCCTCCGACGCCCAAGGCGCCCAGACTCTTGCCAATCACCGTTGTCCACTGCTGGCGTGAAAGCTTAGCCTCTTGGCAGATGGTTTGTGTGAACTGAGCCCACTGGTCTTTGGAGATTCCATAAGAGACTAATTCCTCTGGGTAGTCGAATCCCGAGGAGCATGTCGTTGATCGAAAAGGTACCTGGAGACCTCGATTGAGAACAGAGGCATTTGCCAGGCCTGGCTCGCTTTCTTGTGGCGCCAGGATCAGATTGTCTTTTTCATTTGGGAACTGATCAGACTGAGGGAACTGCAAAGCAGAATAGGCTGGTGGAGGATTTGTATAATTCATTATTTTTAGATGATAATGTATAAAGGATCAAGAGGCGATAGACAGAGGGTTGAAGAGTACCGAGTATAACCTCATCATTCTCAACATCTTGATACTTATACTTGGCTCCCTCTTTCTCAGGGTCGTATCGCATTCGAGGCAGTGCTGCCTGGGAGTCATGAAGTCGTCATTCAAAGGCGTTTCTAGGCCTCTAGATTTCGTATTTAAGGCTTGTTTAATTCTTATTAATTCATGTTGCCTCTAATTCTTCCAATCAAATCCCTGTCAGAGCTGTCAGAGCTAAGAACTGCGCCAAGCCACCATGAGTCACTTGCGACCGCCTCTCTCCTTTGAGTCTTCACCTTAACAATGACTACCCGATACAGAGTAGAATGTGAGTATCTTTTTTTTCTCTTGAGAATATGAGTGGTTGATTAATTCTTCAGATGCCCTCAAGGTACTGTAACTGCTCCGTGGCCTTTTCCCCCCGCACTAACATCGCAGTAGACCCATCGCCGGGATCAACTAGTAAGCATTTATTCTCTCTGCCTGCGATAACAGCCTTGCTGACAGCTTTAGATTGAATGGATTAAAGTGTGTAGCCCTCAAATCAACATGAGAGATAGAGACACTAACTCCTGAAAGGGGTTACTGGCTGTCCCCTTTGTGCTTCACTCCCAGCCCACCGCCATTTCCGAGGAACATGGCGAAGGCCTGAAAGCGGTCGCTGCAGATACCCACCTCCGATATGCTGAGATTATGAAAGATGTAGAGAATCTGATGCTTGATCATAGTGAGTCATGGAGGCCTGAGCCACTGGATGGAGGCGCTAACGGGGCTTGTTAAGTCCATCACCATGAACGCAATGCCCCCGGGAAATCCAAGCTGAACCTCCTCGTTCCCACCGTGGGACTCTTTTTCACTCATCTGTACCTGGAGGATGCATTCAAATACCAAGATCGCCTGCGATTTATCAGTCGACGACGATTTGTCGCCCCCTCATTCAATGACATCCGATTGATCTTGAACTCCGCCCAAATTCTGGGCCTGGTCCGCTCCAGCAATGTGAAGTTGGTCACATTCGATGGAGATGTGACCTTGTACGATGATGGTGCCTGTTTGATGCCCGACAACCCCGTCATCCCCCGGATCTTGCGCCTGCTGCAGCAGGATCGAAAGATCGGCATCGTGACGGCGGCCGGGTACACCGATGCGCCCAAGTATTACGAGCGGCTGCAGGGCCTTTTGGATGCAATCCACGTCTCCCCGGATCTCACGGCCGAACAGAAACAGGGACTCATTGTCATGGGCGGCGAGAGTAATTTCTTGTTCCGCTTCGACCCAACCTCCGATGCCCGTCTGGCCTACGTGCCACGGGAGGAGTGGCTGTTGGATGAGATGCAGGCCTGGAGTGAGGGGGACATCACCGAGCTGTTGGATCTGGCTGAGTCGGCCTTGCGCGCGTGTGCTGCAAACCTCAATCTGCCTGCCGCCGTGCTGCGCAAGGACCGGGCCGTGGGGGTCTACCCAGTGAACGGCGTGCGGATCAATCGGGAACAACTGGAAGAGACGGTTCTGGTGGTTCAAAACACCGTCCAGCGATCGGCGGTCGGTTCTCGATTGCCATTCTGTGCTTTCAACGGTGGCAATGATGTGTTTGTCGATATCGGAGACAAGTCCTGGGGTGTGCGCGCCTGTCAGCGCTACTTTGGGGGCATTGATCCGTCCAAAACACTGCATGTGGGAGATCAATTCTTGTCCGCTGGAGCCAATGACTTCAAGGTATTTATAGATTCTGTGACTCGTCAATCCGAGCTAATCGCTCTCTAGGCCCGGCTTGCATCAACAACTGCCTGGATAGCAAGTCCTGCAGAGACTGTAGATCTCCTCGATGAGTTGGAGGAGACTGTGCGCGCCTAATCTCAGAGGATGTTTCGGTTGACATTATTTTTGCATGATACAACATGGGCTTCACCTCTCACGCATCATGGGACTAACTACTACAAGTAATGGTCATTTAGTTTAGCGATCTACCAATTCATTGAAGGGGACTTTCATTCGGGCCGTTTCTATTTGCAAAGCAATGTATTTCACTGACGCATAGTCTTCGTGAGCATATTGAGACGGCAAATGAAAGTAAAACAAGTTAACCCAAACTCCGAAGGCATAAATGTGTCCCAGACCGATGTCAGACCGGGGGATTTGTCGCGTAGCATCGTACAAAGCGTAACTGACATCCAGCGCCATCACCCTCAAGTATTGCCAGGTAATAGGTTAGTCAAGGGCTCGCCAGCCAGCGTTATAAGTTTTCGGAGACGTCCTGGGTTTTTATTGGCGTGAATTCCATGGGTGCTTGGAAAGAGGTTGAAGAGGTTGAAGTCTTCTGAGTGGAGATTCTGTTCAAGGGGAGCTGGGAACCGAGGGCACGGATCGGACTGTCGCGGGATCTGAAAATGAAGGAAGAAGGAAATTCGTTAACATTCGTAATATGGAGGGGCGCCAATTATCATTGAGCGAGGGGGTCCAGAAAGGCCGCGGGGCCAAGAACGCATGTCGGGGTGAACACGGGTAGAAGGCAGAACAGAAATCCAGAATTGTCGTCAGTTTACGTACTTTCGTAGCAAGACCAGGTCTCCTTGGTGCTGGCGTGGGAGCGGCCGGATAGGACGTTGACAACATCCTGAAGTTCGAGCCAGAACTCGGACTTGGGACGACGGCGAGCCCAGTCGGTCTCGGTCTCCTCCAGTCCGGTGTCACCGCCCATAGGCGAGAACAACACCTGGGAGCCCTTAACACCGATCACGGCGGATGACAGAGGATCCGCAGCGATAGCGTCACGGCTCTTTCCAGCATATCCTTCAATGTGCTCCATACACCTAATGGCCATACGCAGAGCGCGCACACGATCCATGGGCGAGGGCTTTCCACCTTGCTGGAAGTGACCAGGGACGGCAGCACGAGACTCGAATCGTCCCTTGGCCTCCTCCTTGATCATGTCGGCGATGAATTGGGTAGTGTAGGTGCTGGAAGCACACTCGTTACGCAGAATGATCTTACCAGCGCGGTTGGCTCCCTTGTCGCGAATGAAGTTATCACGGAGGAAGTCGATGTCGCGCGAAAGCATCTTGATATCCACGCCCTGCTCGGGGATGTAGACCGCCACGGCACCGACGGCCAGACCGGCGGTGGTCGCAATGTAACCGGACTTTCCACCCTGGGTCTCAATGACGAACACTCGGCGACGGGAGGAAGACGCGGATTGCCGAATAGCATCACAGAAGTCAATCAGGGTGTTCAGGCAAGTATCGCTACCCAGAGAGTACTCAGTACCGGGGACGTTGTTGGAGATGGTAGCTGGGAGCACGATAAGCGGGATCTTGAAGGCGTCGTACTTGGCGCGAGCCTGGCGCAGCTCGCTGACGGCCGTGAAAGCCTCGAAACCACCAACGACAAACAGTGCATCAAACTTGTAGAGTTCGAAGCACTTGGCAGTGTTTTCCATGTCAGCAGAGGGGAGGGTACGGTTGGTTCCGATATCAGAGCCACCCTCGTTAACCCAGCTATCAGCTTCAAGCCATGTGACCTCGCGGACGGAGCTGACAGGCTTGTCATCATGGTGACGAGTCAGTCCGGGGAAACCGTTGTGAATGGCCAGTGGGGTGTGGCCACGGGTCAGGGAGTATGCAACAGCGGCACGAGTTGCCTGGTTCATACCACCGGCGGGGGCACCGACGTGAATGATGGCGATGCGCATTCGCTGCGGGATGTCAGTGTCCTGTAGCTGGGTATCCTGTAGGGGGGCCTGGGATTTCAATCGTACCTTGCCCTCGGGGACAGTCATCTTGGGGTGCTCTGGGATCGCGGTGTTCAGGTACGCGTTGTAGTATTCCTTGAATTCAGCGTCACGCATATCCATGGCGGTATCAAACTCTTTGTTGTCGATCTTGGCAGTCACATCTTTGGTTGCTTGGACTGCTTCCATCAATGGGGTACGCATAATCTTATTTTCGCGGATGGTGATAACAGGTGAAGGGGACTTGGGTGTCATCTCCAGGACGGCGCGGACAGCCTCCACACCTTGCAGGGTAGAGAGCCAGCGGTCGTAGGCGCAAGCTGCGCCACCTCGTTGGGTGTGTCCTAGGATAGTGACACGGGTATCCAAGCCCAAGCGGTCTGTGAGAATGTCCTTGATCTTGGAGCTCGAAACCTTGTTCAATTGACGGTCCTGGGCTCCCTCGGCAACGATAACGATGGTACGGCGCTTGCCACGTTCGGTACGGTTCTGTGAGAGTTCTCAGTCAGTCATGCTAGTCATTGAATATCAATCGGGAATATATACCTTGGTGATGACAGAGCACATGTCATCCTCCCATCCTTCCTTGGGGGGCATCTCGGGCAGGAACAGCCAGTCGGCGCCAGTGCTGATGGCGGACATCAGAGCGAGCCAACCACAGTGTCGTCCCATCACCTCAATAACGAATCCACGCTGGTGAGAGAACGCAGTGTCGAAAACGTCGTCGACGGCGTCACAGATTCGGGTAAGGGAAGAATAGCATCCGATGGTGGCGTCCGTTCCGGACATATCATTATCGATTGAACCCACGAGGCCAACAATGTTCAAGACCTTGTAGGGCTCCACCTGTTCTGCAGACAGCTCGCCCGAGGCAACGAGGTCGGACAGCAGGCCTGGCCACTCTGCACGGAAGACGTCGGCACCTGTCAGACTGCCGTCACCACCACAGACGACCAAGGCATCAATGCCGCGGAGGACCATGTTCTTTGCTCCCTGCATACGACCCGCGCGCTCGCGGAATCCCATGCTGCGGGCAGAACCGATCAGGGTACCGCCGCGGGACAACCAGCCACGAACATCCTCCCAGTGCAGCTGGCGGATAAGGTTTCCGCCCTTGACCAGACCCTCGTAGCCTTCGAAGATGGCGTAGGCCTCGCAATCGCAGTGAATGGCCATTCGAACCACGGCCCGCACAGCACCGTTCATGCCGGGGGCATCTCCACCGGAGGTGAGTACACCGATACGGCGTCTCTTGGCCGGTTGGGTGGGAATCTTGATAGGCTCCATGTCGGGATCAATTGGGAGGTACCCGGGGTAGAGACAAATCAAGAGTAATAATCAGAAAGAAATGCAAAGTACGGGGAGAAGAGAAAAAGTTGCCTGTGTTGTAAAGCTACAAATATGAATGGGTGGGATGTGGAGGGGTCAACCCAATCCGGTGAGAGAAATTGGGCAGAAGGGTGGATGCTTTGCGTCACAGACCTTTTTGAGAGCTAACCGGTTGACCTTACAATAACAGGAGTTTGAAACGTCTAGACTCTTATATCTGAAGGAATTTCTTCCGAACATCTGAAGCTAGAGTGGCCTGACGTTATGTCCCTCGATACTCCTATGGTACCTGCGTTCCCTTACGATTTGGCTGCAAGATGCATGTCGCCGTTCGGTCTCTTTTTGGGTTTCGCGCGGGACGCCGGGCGGTGAGCAGTGACGTCAGTATGTCTGAGCGTTTTCCTTCATTTTGCTCTGTTTGCTTGGTTTGGTTTGTTTGTCTATTTGGCTTGTTTTGACCCCTCGTCTCGTACTTGGTACAGTACTTACAGTACTCGTAAATGCCGAATCACAGCAAGTTCCTCCATTGTCCTTTAGCTGTCGCTCCAGTTCCTTTGGTTCAACTTGACAATCCACCTCACACGTCTGACTTGGCTACCCACGGGTGTGACAGCTCATCCTGGAGACTGGTCGTACGATATATGTGGCATGGTAAGACTGCCCAGTTGGATCATGAAACCATCCGCTCCGCAGTCTACCGACCCAAGAGTCTTTTGGTCAACCTTTGGGATTGGGTCTATAAAGTATTCCGACACAAAAACCTCATATGGTCACTCTATATGAGTCTGATTGGATATTATAATGCTTTAAAATACATTGTAAATCAACTTTAGAAGTGCACAGGCCAAAAAGCATGCCCGCATGATTTAGCTGGTTGGATGTGAGCGATAAATCAACAAGTCCGGGGTATTATTCTTACGCTGAGCACGAGTGGCTACCCTCGGACTGGGGGTCTTTGCATCCACTGCTGCAGAGCTTGGGGTGTCCAACGATGCCGGGGTTCTTGCAGTGGAAGAGGATGTTCTTCACATCCTCTTTCTCAAAGTCAGAGCCCTTCAGGACATCCTTGAGATCGGCTTCAGTAAATCCTATTCATCTTGTAAATATGCTAATCCAGTAAAATTGGGAACAGTATCAGATCGGACCTTTATCCTTGATCAAGACGTCAGAACAATAATCGAAGCTAGGTGTGCACGTCTTTTCGGCAATTCCAGCGGTGGCCAGGGCTGTGAGAGTGAGGAGAATCGATGAAAACTTCATGGTGAATGATGTGACGTTTCGCTGACAATGCAATGAGCTGAGGATTAGTACAACTAGAAGGGAACTCACGAATTTTTTATATGGCCTCCCCTCGAAACTCAATCAAAGCACCGCACAGGTCATTTACATTCCACATACTGGCTCCAGAAGCTTGGTTCTGGGGATGGTCTGTTTGGAATGTCATCTGGAATGTAAATACGCCATTTATATACCTTGAGTGGAAAGAGTACGAGTGCACAGCCGAGGTCGCCATTCTTCAACCTCGATGAGATCACTGCTTTTACAGGCTCTCATTGTCTGGCGAATACATCAGAAGGCTCCAGTCTACAGGATAAAGCTTGGGGTCCCGATTCCGAGGCCGTGAACTCTGTTCCACGCTCCTTGGGAAAGAATGTGGTCCGCACTACCGACAGAGTATAGAGCACTCTGTACGTCTACGGAGCGCTTGGGTAATCTACAAAGTACTTAGGCGTGTCTAGCATATTCATGGAGTTTTGGTACAAAATTTTAGTCTAGTACCACAACATCGACTCTTTTCCCAGTCGGGCAGTCCGATCCAAGATAAGATAAACCCCGCACTGTATCAACGGCATATATGAGTAGGCCAATCTTTCAAGGTTTCTAATGTTTGTAAAGACGTTACTCCCAATTGATTCATTTCTCTATGGCACCCAATGACTCTGGTAAATCAGATGCTTTCCATTCCCGGGCGATTGACTAGACCATACTCCTGGGCTGTGGCTACTAGCATGGCGATGAACTGACTTGGAGTAGTTCCCGGGCTGGTCACAGCTGACCCAGGCCTACCACGGCCCAACCCCACACATTCCTACTGGCAACACATTCCACATGCGCTCGCGGACGTTCAATCACCGGACTTGCCAACCGATCAAGATTTCGCGATCATTGGATCCGGGATCACAGGTCTGGCAGTGGCTAAAACTCTACTGGAACAACATCCCACTGCGAAAGTAACTGTGTTGGAGGCTCGGGCGCTCTGTTCCGGGGCCACTGGACGCAATGGTGGTCAGATGGCTGCCAATGCGGGAGAACAGTATTCAAGTCTGGCGGAGACTCATGGTGCCGAAACAGCGGGCAAGATAGTGGATTTCACTTTCCATAATCTGGAAAAGATGCAGGAGCTGATCAGAGAATATGATGCTGTGGAACTGAGCGAGATGCAAAGTCTCCAGAAATTGCGAGTGTTTCTCACACAGGGCAAATTCAATGAATTCAAAAGAAGCATTGAGCACCTGGAAGCAGATCATCCTTCTAAAAAAGGATTGTATACAATTGTGGACGCCGACACAGTAGTCAAGGTTAGTTGTGGCTAGGGCTTGTTGTTCTGCAAATGGTACTGAAAATGTGCCAATCTGACTCCTTTCTCAGAACCATGGAATCCACGGCACATTTGGAGGCGCACTCCTTCCTGCTGGCACAGTTTGGCCATACCGTCTGGTCACAAAGGTATTCTCTGCGCTGTTGGAAAAGTACCCCGAGCGACTAAAACTGGAAACCCATACTCCGGTCGAGTCCGTTGAGTATACTTCTCCATCACGATCGCCTGCAGGAGCCATCAATTTCTACGCATTGCACACTCCTCGTGGCTCACTTCGCGCTGGAGTTGTGATTCATTGTACCAACGGGTACAGTGGCCATCTTCTGCCCAAGTTAAGAGGACTGGTTCATCCTTTCAAAGGCACAATGACGGTTCAAGATCCAGGAAACTCTGTACCGAATCGGGGTGCTGCTTTCTCATGGGGCTTCCATTATCCGCCATCCTCTGACCCGCAAACTAAGCGCGTTGGATACGGACTTTATTATCTTGGACAGAGTGCCAAGTCCGGGTATTTTTACTTCGGTGGGGAGAATGCTCGCGTTGACGAGTCAGTGACAGCCGATGATAGCTTCGTGGCCGAGCACTCTGTTGGTCACCTTCAGTCAGTTCTGCCAAAATTCTTCGGTAAAACAGATATATCCAACTGGCGTCTGATCGGTTCATGGAGTGGGATCATGGGTGAAACACCCGATGGGCTTCCGATTGTTGGGCAGTTGTCACCGGCATTGACAGGGCGAAAAGGGGACGGCGAATGGATTGCCGCCGCATTCAATGGTTATGGCATGGCAAATAGCTTGATGAGTGGCGAGGCCTTGGCTTTGATGATACTTGGAGAGGATGTTAGTAGCTGGCTTCCACTCGCGTACGGACTAGGGGAAAAGAGGTTGCGGGAAACGCTCACGATCCCTAAGGCCGTCGACGCCCTCTCGAAGCTATGATTTTCATATTCCAACACGTTCGGTGCAAGATTTTTATTTTATCTTATTTACATTTTCATCAGTGGGGTATCAAATTCTGGATCTTCTGGATCTTTTTTTCTTTTCCTTTTTCTTTTACCAGAGGAAAATATTTTTCGGACCCACTCTCGCCACGCCTTGTCTGTTGAAGCCGTTTCTACAACTTTAGTAAAAAGGTGAATGGCTTCAAGAAGCAAAAAGGAATGGACTCGCGGGGAATCGAACCCCGGACCACTCCCATGCTAAGGGAGTATTATACCACTAAACCACAAGCCCAGTTCGATGGATGGGGCGAGCTAGTTTCGGGTCAATTGGCTCAGGGGACTTCGGCCCGATCTTCGGCTGATTGCTTGTGGGGTGTAATGTCTCGAACATGGTCCCTCAAAGACTGGGAAGAAGTTGAAGACTTCCACGTCCGGGATTCAGATTCGATAGGGTCCTCCTTTTTCCCCAGTCCGGTACCATTGAAACAACGTACGGTGTAAGCCTCGAGGGACAGCTCATGGCGGGAGAGTTTGATCTTCATTTTCTTGCGGTTAAGGGGATCAGAGGACAAGAGGAGTTCACCGTGTTGAGGGTAAATCGCTTCCCAGGCACCTGAGACTTTACTTTCAGGTTTGTTCCTGAGAGATTCATTGGACGAGATAGCGAAGACGACATCAAGCAATAGGAGATGAGTCACGGCAGCTTCCACTTCCTCTCTTTGGGAAAGACTGCCGGGAGACTTGAGGTCTGGATGCGTTGGCATTTCGAATGACACGTCAAAGCTAGTGCCATAGGGCGGCAGGGAAAGGTTGGTGGAAACTGAGATTGAAAAGGAGCCGCGTGGGGTTGAAAGTTTCCCCTTGAAGGTGGACTCGAAGGGTGTGAGGAAGCTTTCTATCAGGGCTTCAACAGTGGGGACTTGGGAGGCTGTTCCCTGCGCAGTTGAAAAGATATTCGCCGTGTACGCCGGGGGACTGATGTGTGCTGATTGCAAAACACCGAAGATATCCCTCAGTAATGACTGCAACCACTGTGTATGGGACATGTGCTGGACGTAGGCTAGAGCCGGGCGAAGGAGTTGATGCTCCGGGATTGTTCGCTTCTTGGGGGTCAAAGGTGGTGGCAGAAGTGTTCGACGTTGCAGATTTTGGCGGTGGGCGTATGCCAACAAGATCCTAATAGTATGAGCCAGTCCCTCGGCAATAGAATTTCCTTCTTTCGAAGTACCATGGTCTGGTTGTAGGTGGTTTCGATCGACGTCCACTAGGTCCAGCAAGATTTCGAGATCTTCAGATGCGGGGATTTGGATGAGGTTCTGGCGCGTGGTAACGCCAAAGCCTGCAATTGCCTTGGCTTCTCGAAATAGTTCATGGAAGAGCTCTTCTTCGAACACAGTGTCTCGCGCCTGTAGGATGCGACCCTCGATCGTTTCCTCGCCGCTGAGCGTGGGATTCGTTGATTGCGAACAACCTGAGAGCCGACCGCTTTGTAACACTCGTACCCGGACGAAGCGTGGTTTTGAAGGAACAAGTCCCTTGTCTAGCAGCAGACTTCCATCCTCGGCTCGGCGTAAAGAGGCAAGCCCACGGTCGCGGAAAACCGGCGTAGCTACATTGGCTGGTTAGAATCGCCTGGTCATGTCCAACCTCAGATCGACATGAGCTTACCTTCCAGGAACCCAAACTGCACGCCTAGCGCTTGTCTTTCTCGGGGCAGCCGAGAAACTTTCCACCCTTTGTCCTTGACGGCCAAAACCTCGTTCCAATAGCGCGTCTCGGACGTGACCTCGGTTTCAAGTCTAGATGCAGCTTGTAGTAACTTGTTCGCAGCCCCATTAAAGTTCTGAATCCGCCACCCCCTCGATACCGCCGAAATGTCTTTCACCGTAGATTCTGGCTTCGGTGGAGGGTTCACGGCCTCCGCGTTGAGGGAGCCGAGAGGTGCGACTTGCTTAAGGAAGGCCGACATAGACGTTTCGGCCTGGCGTGGGAGCTGCTTCGATAGCAGCAGAGAGACAAAATCGAGAGCGAACAAAGTCTCCATATGGGCTTGCCTAAACAACGATTAGTTGCGAGCTTGCACGGTACGCTTTTCAACCCGACTCACATGGCGAACTGAGTGATGTCGGCACGCCGCTTATATAGCTGCTCCACACGCTCTGTCGAGTCCAGATCGGTCGCGTCTTCGCTCTGCTCCTCATCAATCCCATTCTTGTCCTTTTCTTCGGCAATCTTCTTTCGGAGGACCTCTTCATTCACATCGCGAAAGGAACCCCACTGGCTGTTGATTTGGGCGATCTCAACTGGTAATGTGTCTGGGCGGTCATTATGGTCAAGGATTGGGCGCAAAGGGAGATTGAAGGAATCGGCCATGGTGTTGGGGGGGGGGGGGCCTCACTGGGGAGGTTTCGCAGAGTCCCGAATTGGAGAAAGCAGTGACGCGTTTCACGTGATCGGAGATTCGAGAAAACTGGGGAGATAAGGAAAAGAGAGGGTGGGAAAAGAAAGGGTAGAATTGCAAAGTTGGATAAGTAAATTCCAATGGTTCTATTTTCGTGTTTAATTGCTCCCATGTGCTCAATGCGTCCGGATTCAGAGTTGACGCTCGAGCGACAACTTTAGAAGTACTTGAGTATATATAACCACACTTAGCGCCGAGCACCTCTTGCTACTCCAGGTTTCCAGATTCTAAAGTTCCTATAGATCCTCTAAATTTGTAACTTGACAGACTCAAAATCACATAGATAATTGCAACACAAAAGTCTCCAATGTGGAATTGAAATCATTCGTAAAATTAAGTGACCTTGGAAGTTCTATACACTCCGAGTCGTGGAGCTGGTCAATCCGGTTTCTCCGCAGTTTTCCTGAAGTCATACTTCAACTCCTACAGCCCCTTGGTCCTCCAGGCCCAATCCTACGTTGTCTCTATACTGATTTCAAACAATGGCTTCATATCTGGTGACAGGTTGTTCAAGAGGACTCGGGTTAGCTCTCATCGCCCGATTGACGACATTTCCTAAGACTGAGGTGGGAACTATAATCGCTACAGCTCGTCGGGACAATTCCCCCCGGCTGAAAGAGGTCGTGAAGGCCTCCTTGGGCCGAGTGCAGCTCATTAACCTCGATGTCACCAACCCGGAGAGTGTGAACAAGGCTGTGGGGGCAGTTGAGCATGGCCTGGAAGGAAAGGGTCTGGATTATCTGATTAACAACGCGGGAGTGATGGACTGGTCTCCAAAGGGGATGGAAGGAATGTATGTGAGATTTTGGATCACAACACTCCATGAGCCTCAATGGGATGGGTTTTGACTGTTCAGGGACAACCTCAACGAGGTATTGAATGTCAATACAATCGCGCCCCACCTTGTTTCGCGGGCTTTTCTGCCTCTTCTTCGCAGGGGAGAAAAGAAAACCGTGATCAACATGTAAGTGAGAAAAAAGACAACTAACCTAGATTTTATTCAAAGGGACTGACCAGGAATAAGATCTACAAGTCTAGCTTCCATGGCTATGGCGGATACATTCCGACTGCTACCCTCCCCAGCGTATAAAATATCCAAGGCGGCACTGAACATGCTGACTGTTCAGTATGCCAATCAATATTCCGATGACGGTTTTATATTCCTAGGAGTTAGTCCTGGGGTAGGTTGACCTTGCTTAGACTCCGCGTTGGGTCTTTTTGTGGTCTTGCTAACTAAGGCAGTGGCTTCGCACCGACCTTGGAAGCGCCCGGGCTGATTTCTCTGTGGAAACAGGAGCAGAGAAAGTATTGGATATCATACAGAGAGCAAAGCCAGAGCATAATGGAAAGTTCATTAACATCCATATCCCTGGATGGGAGGCTGGAGACGGTGCAGATCAATACGACGGCAACGAGATCCCTTGGTGAAGGACGTATGCCTTCTTTGGGCAGAAGCGCGGGAGATACTACGGTACGAGAATTGGAAGTAATGCCTCATCATCCCATTTCTCATTGCAGAAAGAGCTTAACCATCAAGGTCCATAGTACGGAGTAGCTATATCTTAAGTCACCTATGTTTGCGCGGCTCCAGGGCTGCCCACGTACCTTCAGGTTCAAGGTTTTACCCGCGCAAATATGGAGCGTGCAAATCTTAAAACTGTACAAAAAAAAAAAAAATAAAATAACTAGAGAATGAGCACAAGAAAACAAACTGCGAGAGTCAGACCCTCATTCCTTGGGCGACTGTCTGGTTTTGACAAAATCCACCAGATCAAAGAAGCTCTTCTTGTAGTGTCGATGTTGAGTCGTGCGATTGACACTTTGAATACCAAACTGTTGCGTATAATCCCCAAACTCCCAGTTATCGACGAAGCTCCAGGCAAGTGCTCCCATGACATGCACACCATCCTCGTATATGGACTTGAGAATCTCCGACATGAATGACAAGTAGTAGACGCTGCGTGGAGAGTCAAATAGCTGATCGGAAAGCTCCTCCGCCTCAGCCTCCGCCCGTACGGGGAATCCGAATTCTGAGACCAAAATCGGGTGTCGGAAGGTATTCCACAAGTAGTAAAGATACTCTCGGAAGTAGGTTGGTGTGATGTACACGTATGACTCCGAGCGATAGCCAATGTTCCATCCATAGACATTCTTGGTTTCTTGGTTCACGCAGTAGGGGAAAAGCGAGTTGGAGCTTGACGAGTCGGCTGCGCATTTTTCGATTCCCTCGCCAGCTGGGGAGACTACCGTAGCAGTATAAGGGTCGATTCCGAAAAAGTCAGACGTGTGGTTGATGTGTTTCAGCTCAGACTTGCTCAGTGGCTTAGCCCCTGGGAGTGTTTTCAACACAGATTCTGGGTACTGCTTGCCCAGGAAGATGGGGTTTGCGAAGATGCCCAATTGCATCTCTTGGAAGCGATCCGCTGCTAGCACATGGCTGGAGTTTTTCGGGTCTTTGGGAACCCCAAAGTTGTCGTTGAATTTGATACCTATCTTTCCAGTTGCTTTCAATTCTTCGTGGTAAAATCGATATACCTGGGCATGTGCTTTGACCACATGGTCAGCACCCTTGAAGTTGAATGCGTACAGAAGAGGCTCATTGAAGGTCACCCAAATAGGAACCCGGTCTGCATAATGCGATAGAAGAACCTAGGTAAGCAAAATTAGTGACTTTTCCATTAGCATTTCGCTTTTTTCCCCCCAATCATACCTTTCCATAGTTCACAAATGCATCAACAAAAGTTTCGTTTTGATAACCGGCATTGTTGTAACCAATATCGGGGTGTCTCGTGATATTGTCACCAGCGACAAACAGCAAGGGGCTGTCAAAGTGAAGCATAGTCACTACTGGCTGTGGTGACAGTCAGAATCTTGATTCAGTTATCGCTGTATAGAGCCAAGTACTTACCGTCATCCCAGCATCGAGGACTGTGTCAATCAAGTCATCGTAATGCTCAATGGCCTGCTGGTTGACTGGAGTTCCTGGAAGAGCGAAAGGCAAGATCCGTGTCCATGGAATGGTAAAACTGTAGTATTCCACACCCATCGCAGCCAGGCGCTGGATATCCTGCTTATACAAGAAGTAGTTCTCGTTGGTCACAAAGTCCTTTGGCTTGCTGTCGGGAACCAACTTCTCTAGCAATGAAGGACCACGACCGTCCAATGCAATGGCGCCTTCGATCTGGGCCGCACTTCCTGCAACACCGAATATAAAGTCCTTGGGGAAATTATGACAGTCAGTGGGCCCAAAGTAGTCCTGCGGGGGCAACACCAGCTCGCTGCTGGGTACGGCCGTGGGACTGACTGTAGTTGAAAACATTCCAGTGGTAGTCTAAGGAAGTTAGAACCATGTGCATCCAGTCTGGGCGAGGGAAAAATACGTAGTTATGGAGATCAGCTTGCTGCCACATCGAAGACCAGGCAGCTTGACCATAAGGGTCATCTGAATCCGTGGCACTGATTTCAGTATGTCCTGGGATCCAACTGCCCCATGTTGTTGTCGACCAGCTGGTAGTCAAGTGCTTAACGGCATCCCTGTAGGCGGGAGCATATGTCCGGGTTGTTGTCGGGGAGGGAACGGACGTTGCATGTCTGAAAGAAACCTTTGGTTAGCAATCGATCATTCCAAGTCTTAGGGTGTAAGTCTTACCGGACTGTCTCGTTGAGAGTATACGAGAAGGGTTGAAACCGGTAATCTGGAGTCACACTGGACTGGGTACATTGCGGGCGTGCGGAGTGGCCGGTTGTTGTCAGGTATAGTTCCTGCGCCTCTACGGCGACAGCAAAGGCTGGGAAGAAAAGAAACGGCACTCTCATTTCTTTGCTATCTATCTTCGCGATGATGAGCTGCTTGGGTGGCGATTATCATTCCTTTTAACTCAGGGGCAGCAAGTAGGTTGGGCCGGTTAAAGGTCGGCCCATGGGAGGAGGCATCATTCTCCAGGTTGTGTAGCTTGAACCCTAATTGATTGCCCCCAATCACAGAGTCATCGGGTGCCACTTTATCGCGGAATCAACCCAGATTAGGTGTCGATCGACAGTCTGGGCAGACGTAGCCACTAGATGAAGAGTTGCAATGGCCGGTTGCATTTGTGCCCCGGGATCTCCGCATCTTGGCTACGTTAGATGTGGGGGGCAGATATCCAAACCGAGGGTATCGGATTTTCCGCACCATAATGACTATGACCGCTTTTCCTCTACCCGACACGTCCACCAAGCCGGTGCGAATATTTCAATATTTGAACGTTGAGGGAGTGATTGTGTTTGGATATAAATGTCTCCGGCTTATGTATCTATAATCTCTCGCCGCTTTCATCAAATTGGGCTTGTGGTTTAGTGGTATAATACTCCCTTAGCATGGGAGTGGTCCGGGGTTCGATTCCCCGCGAGTCCATTCCTTTTTTGTTTTTCTATTCCGATCACCGTCGACTGTATCATCTTGTCTTTTTTTGCATCTCCCCGATTTTTTAAAAAAAAGGAGTCTGAAAAAGAAAATTAATGGAACTGCTATGCGTCAACGGAAAATTCTATACTAGGGCTTGTTTTCTTGAAGTGGAGAGAGTAGAGCCCCTGATGTAAATCTGCCTCTGCCCACCTGGGCAAGTGAGGTATATATAGTGCGTCGATACATGCATTCTCACCCAAACAACCTCTAAAGTTTAGAAATGGTCTACTTACTGGTAGTTGTACTTCAAATACAAGGTACTCTGTAGGTGTATGTCAGTACAGTGTTTTTATTGGCTTCCGATATTCCAAAAGGGTTGATATAGCACCATTGCAAGGTTCTAAAGTTGCAGCCGAAAGAAATATATTCCCTTGTACGACAGTCCAGAGTGCTTCAACAGTCCTGTCCTCATATATCCCAAAATCGATTTAGTTTTCACAAGCTCGCATGGCTTAGTGGTAAAGCGCATCACTAGTAATGATGAGATCCTCGGTTCGACTCCGAGTGTGAGCATTTCTTTTTTACTCTTCTTTTTATTCACTCAAAATTCAACCGTGTCAATTTCCCAGCAATGGTGAGATCCCCGGTGTTACTGTGAGTACTTAGTATTTCTGCTTTTTGCGTTTTCGGGATTCTCGCAGTTCGAAGGTCTCGAAGGTTTATGGCCTTTCTTTTCGATTGACCTCGTGGGTCGCGTGCAGCAAATAAGTCTCTAACTCCGAAACTAATTCCTCCACTGATCGAAGGCTGTCTACTCTAGTAAGTTAATCTATAGATCCTCCCAGTTGAAGTTGATGACCAGCCGCCCAGCTACCTCCCCCCTGCGCAATTTATCCACCGCCTCAGGCATTCGGTTCACGGGGTAGACCTCACAAATCTGCTGGAGCATTCCCCTTCGAGCAAAATCCAATGCCATAGCGGTGTCCTTCCGACTACCAACGAGGGTGCCCTTAATGGTCAGATTCTTAAAGATGTACTCGCACGGATCGGTACCCAGCACCGTCGATCCCGCAGCAGGAAGACCGATGCACATGATGACGCTTCCAATGCGATCCCCGACAAACGAGATGGCTGTTTTGTATGCCGCGGGGGCTGTTACAAACACACCGTGTGCGCCAACCCCGTCGGCGATGTCAATCACAGCTTTGCTCGCATCCGTCACCTCCTTGAAATCAATGAAGGCCTCGGCTCCCATTTCCAATGCTAATTTGCGCTTAGCCTCCCCCGTATCCACCACAATTGGACGCATCCCCATCGCCTTGGCCAATTGCACCCCCTGGATGCCAACGCCGCCACCTCCTCCAGGGAAAACAACCCACGCCCCTGATCGAATGCTGGACTCAACTAAAGATCGATAGATAGTGCTCGCACTGCACATGATTGGAGCAGCGACCTCATCGGGAACACCATTAGGAATTGGCGACGCGTATCGCGCCGGTGAGACCAGATATTGTTGATAGGTACCTGACACAATCAGTCCTTATTCCGACCACCTTAACTCGACAGGCTGGACCTACCGGCCACCATCAGACCAGCATGGATCGCTCCCTTGCAGTAGGTCTCCTTGTCATCCCAGCAATGAACACAAGACCCGCATGTGTTCATAATAGGTTTGATGCCGGCTCTGTCACCTAGTTGGAAGTTCTTGACATTGGAACCCACTTTCACCACAACTCCCGCCCCCTCATGGCCAGGAGATCGCACACCAAACGTAGACATAGGCGGAAGGCCCAAGTCCCCCTGCATCATATGAATGTCAGAAGAGCATATCCCTGTGTAATTCAGCCGAATCAGGATATCGTCAGGGCCTGCGAAGAATACCCAGGTAAGTCTCAAGGCCAAAAATACCGAAGTAAAGCATGAAGCTTTCGTGATCAGACAATTACTTCTTACCTGGCTCGGGAACGGGCACCATCTGTACTTCAAGATGGAAGTTAGGACCTTCATTGATCACCACTCCCGCTTTACAGTGGGTAGGGATTTCAAATTGATCACTCATGGTTGAACCTAGGGCTGGGTAGTTGATTCTATAGCTCGAGACAGCTTAAATCATCGAGTTCATTGAGCAGATGGGGCTTTAAAGAGGGCTCGTTAACTAACCGGAGTAACACCGAGGCACAGTATGACGGAATTATGCCGTATTAACAACCCCTCTTTTCGTGTGTCATTTGTGTACAAACGTCCTGGAATGCAATGCACAGCATGTTTAGCGCAATGGCAAGTCTAGGCAGAAGATTATGCGGGGGCCCTTTAAGCCGTATATCCGTGTTTGCCCCTCGAAGGCTAAACTGGATTCAACACAAAAATAATAGTTAATCAGCATTGATCCCAAAGATATGTTGAATTAAAAACAATTATTCACAGAGAGCAAAGTGTTCCTGGAGATAAACACCAGGAGGGAATCCCAGATTCGCAGAATATAGGTCGGTACGTCAAGCACGAGGACGCGCGGAAACAGACAGTGAAAGGCCAAACAAAACAGATAGAAAGAAGAGAAGATACAAAAAAATAAATAAATCGGAGACGAAGCTCAATCCCAAATCAACCATCCACAGGACCCGCCAATGCCAATTAGTACCAGCACCGTCAATATTCCTGCACCGGCTTTGTCGCCTGTGGTGATAGGGTAGTCAAGGCCGGGAGGGACTGTCTTTGGGGGCTTGGAGCCTGCATTCGGGTTACCCTTACTCGTACCACCATCATCTTTGGTGACCGGGGCCGACACGCGTGAGATGAGGTTTGCTTGAATCACTTCGAGGGCAGCCATTTGCTGGCCGAAGTCCTTTGTTTTGTCCCACTTTTCGTCGACCCACCTGAGACCACAGACGTTGTTGTTCACACCCCCCGTACAAGTCTTGGCAGCTGCCATCCCAGAAGCCTTCAGTCGTTTCATGATTTGGTCGTATGTGAAAGGAGCCATCTGAGTGGTCTGAGCCATCCACCGTGCCAAATAGCCCTTGAATGACCGTTGATCCACCATGCAGGTGTTGACTGTTTCGCAAGCTCGCTCATACATCACGTTGGGTGGGTCATGAGAGAAGAAAATACTGGTAGAATCGACGATCTTCTGGGTACGATCTTTCCATTTTGAATCTTCCGTCTGTTCAACGTGTCAGTGATGGGAAATTTCAAGGAGAGGACAGTGGCCTACCAAATTGTACATGTTGGCAGCGCCCAGCAGATAAACTCCGGCGTTGTATGTCCATTCAATCTTGTTGATTGGCTTGCATTCTGTGAGGTCGCTAGCACCATCCCAAAATCTATATTCGGGCGTCATGAAACCGACATCGGCGGTCCAGTCCCATGCCTTTTCAGCCCAGTCTGCGTATGTTTGATTGCCGGTATACTTGGCCAGACGAGAAGCCAGATTAAAAAAGCCTCCAGTGGAGATGGTGTTTTTATAATTGTAACCATTATTCCACGTGAAGATTTGCCAGCGCAAACCTCCACCGCACGAAGAAGTGTCCCACCTGGGTGCTTGGGTGTTGAAGACTGCCTGTGCCATTTCAAGCCACTGGGGTTGATCATCGGGCGGGTTTGGGAAGTTTCGCTCTGCGGCAGACATGGCAGCAAATGCCCAGAAAGCTTGATCATCATTTCCCTCGGTCTTGCTTTGATTGTTCGGCATGAATGCTTTGTTATCCCCGGCTTGCCATAGTAGCCCTTGAGTTGTGACATCATTCCAGGTATCGTCGCCTGTGTAGAACCAGTAATCGATGAGAGAATTGAACATCGCACCAGCTTCCCACCAGTAATAGGGATCTGGGAGATTTCCGGGATTGTCACCAGGGTTCATGCCGGTATAGTAGCTCATCATGTTGGTCGCGACCTGCTTAGCGACTTTTTTGATGGAGTCTTTGATCCCGGGTTAGAAAGCGTGTCAAAATAGACTGTGGGATCGAAAATAACTAACCTCCATCTTCAAGATCTAGCTCAAGTGCTCTCACGACTGAGGTGCCTAGGAGAGCTGTAGCAAATAGGCCTACCCATGAACTCTGCGTCGCATGACTGAATGGACGCATTGTAGCGATCAGAGGATACCGGACCCAGGGTGAATACCTCTGAACCACACAAGAATCTCAGTCACAAGAGGTGGCAGAGCCCAAATGTTGGAAAGCTCTGGGGGTATATTGGAAACTGGTTTTAGGAACACATCCAAGATGAAATGGATGAGCTGGCTGTTGAATTGGGTGCCTCAAGATGTGCTCTAGTGAGGATACACGGAAGAGAAAGAAAATAATGACCAGGCGACGTCAGAATGTGCGAAACAGAACTGCCAGAGGGAGTGAAGGGTGGATTGGAAAATCACATTCCACTCGGTCCAGGAGCATTGGTATGGTAACAAGGCGTGATTCACCAAGATGTCGCCGCTCCTGCAGGGGATTTCGAACACGTCCTTGACTGTTGACTGCATTGAGCCCTGACCCAAAGTTTCATGGGGTTTTCTCAAAGCAAGCCATTCTTTGAAGGAGATTGCAACGTTTGACCCAATGCTTCCAAGGGTTGCCTGTGCGGGTTCCACATTGACGGACCGATGTGGCATTCCAGGGCAGCTGTCAAAAGCATCATTTCAGCCAATCAAGCAGGATTGGCAAATCAGCAGAACGCGTGGTGATCAGAGGAAAGTGTGGACCTAAAACACGTCCAGAATGGTTCATGGCCGCAAACGAACGCGATGCAACGATCGACGCATTCCGGTGTTGCAACCTGTATCCCTGTCCCACAGGGGCGTGTACGAGTAGCACGTCTGTGTTTAGTTCTTCGATAGCAATCACGATGCAAATGAACATTGAGAAATTTCTTTATTGTCTGCGATATGAGTAAAGAGTAGCCCTGGAGCCCACAGAGCTGGCGGCCAAAATCGAGGTCATGCCCGGATGCCCAGGGCTAGGGGGCAGCTCTCATCAGTTTGTATTTCGCGATATTGAGACATAAGTGTTCGGAGCACACCGTGAAAGCCTTCCAAGCTTGGGCCAAAGATGGTCATTGTTTCCGGCACTTGGGGTGATCACGAAGTAGAAGACGAGGAAGTGACAGGAAAAAGACTTGATGCCTTGACGCCTTATTGATGCCTTGACGTACCTCCGTTAATGCCTTGAAGCCTTGGTGCCTGAGCCATCTGATAAGAACCTTCGAATCTATTCGAGCCCAAACAGAGTCAATAGTAGAACTTCAATTAGGAGCTATGGGAATCGGGTAATAATTAAATACGAGGCTACCTCATGACGTGGCTTGCAACAGGCTCAGTATTTGTGACACCTTGGACCCAGAGTACTCTACCCCAAGAATCGTGGGGTTTTGAACATCATCTGAATAATGTACATATAAATCTTGATCTTTGGAAGTACACCAGGAAGATATCTTTTGGATGTTTTGGAAGTTGTGTAGACTCTTGGCCGGCGTGCTGGCCCACAGGTAATATAGCGAGATACGATGCAAGGCTGGGAATGCCTCACAAAGCTCTTGAAGGAATGGAGTCCAATCGCTGCCCGGAACTAAAGTAACGCGATTCAGTTCAAGGGCGGTTAAATTGTCACGAACATTGCCGAGCAATTTATGGAGATCAGGACCCCGCACGGCCGTGCGGACCAGAGCGAGATCACACAGCCTGGGGAAATTGGCCTTCTCGGCTAGCTCATGCATAAACTCAGTGGCCATGTCGTGGAAGCCCAGGTTTAACCCCAGTGTCTGAATATTTGGAGCTCCGAGAACTAGCTCCAGAAGAAAGTTGAAGTTATCCAACGTGAGGCGTTGCTCCAGAGACAGCTTTTTCAGATTGGCCCAGACAAGCTTGAACTCTGGTTGGTGGTAAATTAACTTGGGAAGACGGCGCATATCCATGAGCAAAGGACTTGAATGGCTATTGGCATAGATCAGGTGGAATGCAGAAACCGGCAGATAAGAATCGACGAGGGCAAAAAAGACCGCGACAACATCAGTAATAGTGAAATGGCTCATATCAGGGTGGCCTTCTGGGTATCGACAAAATATGAAAAAAGATCGACAATGTATCAAATTATGGATCAAATTATTTCGCAGAGATCGAATGACCGGGACATCGAGGGGTGCTGAGACGGGACCCCAGGGGTGGCGGTCCCAAACCAGACCGTGGCCAACGCCGTTCTGATTCCGGAGCATGAAAGCAAGGCTGTGGACGTGAAAGCGCAGCTCTGCATGGTGGGAAATTGCATTGATCCGACGTAGGCTATCGTTGGAGAGGTCGGTCCTGATCAAAGAGAAGAAGCGTTGTGCAAAGTAATGGAACGTTTTTCGCTGGAGTTCACTGCAGACTAAACGTATTTCCAAGAGATCATTGTCATCGAGAGACTCTGCGATCAGCTCGACCAGTTCGACAGCGAGGAGAGGGAAAGGGCCACTTGGTTGCATTATTCACGTAACTGTGTACCAGAACATCAGTTGGCTGTCATATGGAGAGAAACGACTAGACCCCCTGACTTCGACAGGAGGTGGACAGCTTCCCCGGATTCGCGCAGCCTGTCAGCGATTCTGGATTACCCCTCACCTGGACTGGTTGTACTGGCGGAATCAGCCGGAGTACAAAGAGAGACAGGGGTATTTCACGGGTCACAAGATTCGCCGAGATGGCACAGTGATTGGCAAAGTCATTTTGTGGGGGATGTATACACAAATAGAGAGCTACAAATATGCATGCGCATGCAACATAATTTTCAATAAAAGTGTAAGGAAAGGACTTCAGGAGCAGATAAAACCAAGAAACAATTAGGGTATCTATCATAGTCTATATAAATTCATCAGACGTCATATGTTTTCTTCTCCAGATCATAAATGGGCGAACACGCCAGTTTGCTTTTACTTCGCAACCATGGACCGTATACCTTGAAAAGCACTGGAATGGGAATCATCGCAGCAGCGATACATCCCAACATGGTCCCGGCCCATTGTACTCCAAGATTCTCCATCATCTGCCGTGAGAAAAGCGGAAACGCGCAGCCGATTGCTGAGCGTAGGATGGTGTTCGCAGCAATGGTGGACGCCGCTCTATACTTCGTTAGTGAGGGATTCCCGTGTCAAGGTCGGAAGAGAAGCCATACAAGGAAGGGTAGCAGTCAACAATGTAGTTAAAACACTGCAAGAAGATCAAGAAGATTCCAGCTCCGGTCAAAACTCCTGAAGCTACTGGAGCCATCCAGTGAATGGTCGAAGTGTATCCAGTCCAACCAAGCCTATTAAATATTTGAGTTAGAGATTGACATTTCCTTTGGACAGCAGAAAGAGAGGACGAACCAAAGCATTCCGATCGAAAATATAATAGCTCCAACAATTGCTGGGAAGAGCCGCCATTCTGGAACAGGGCTGTCACCATTTGCTGCCAGTTTCCTGGCATATGAGCCTTGGATTAAGAGGATGTAAACGCCACCAAGGAGTTCACCAACAATGAGGCCAATGAAAGCAAGACCCCCAACCCCCATGTTCATCCCATATACCCCTTGGAAGATGACTGGGTATGCGCCAAGCAAGGCGTAGATAAGGCCATAAATGAAAGAGATGTAAAGGGAAATGAGAAGCAGGATCGGTTCAGTGAAGAGCATGACGATGGGCCGAGCAAAGTTATTCCGGACAAGCTCGTTGAAGTCAATCTCTACTTCGTCTTGCTTTGCGTGGATTCCCCAATTGCGAGTTTGACGCCGTAACGTAGCAGCTTTGCGGACAAGGATAATTGGAGCGTAGGTTTCATCAAGGAATGTCACGACCAGGGCGAATCCCGCGAAAATCATGATCGCCGAGATATACATTGTCCAGCGCCATCCGAGGGAGCTCATGGCAATGAAACCACCCACAAATGGGGCTGCGAAGGGCCCGATGAAAACAGCCATGCAAAAGATCGACATGACAACCCCACGTTGGGAATTGTTGAAAATGTCTGCAAATACAGCGGGAACAATCGAAATCGGACTAGCCGCGAATAAACCCGCAAAGAACCGACAGATCATGATGGTTTGTATGTCTTTGGCCACTGCAGATGCGATGGTGAATATGGCACAGCCCAAAAGACCGGCAGAGAGAGGTCCACGCCGACCGATCAGTTCAGATGCTGGCGCCCAGATCGTTGGGCCAGCGGCGAATCCAAGAACATAAAGTGTGACTCCAAGGGATGCGACCTCTGTATTGATATGAAATTCCTTGCTCACGCCGGAGATGGCAGCCGAGAAGACAGCACTAGCAAAGGAACCGGCGAATGTTCCATAACACAGGATGCAAACTGATATGATTCTTTTATGTGTTAGCGAACGCACGCGGGACTTTTATTTGAGAGAGAGAGAGAGAGGGTATATCGTCAGCAGAACATACCGTTTAGCCATCGACCAGTTATATGGATGTAACGGATCCTTTGCTCCATCAAACTCGACCACATAACCTTCAGAATCCGGAAGGAGTGGAGGATATTCTTTATTGGCCCCCATTGGAAGCCATCTTTCACGAGGAATTGGCCCTCTTGAAGAGCCCACCGTTGTCTTTTGTTGTAGTCGATAAGTGTTGATACGGGTCAGCTCGAGGGTATCGACATGATCAATGGTATCGCCAGACTCGTCACTGCGAGAGTCATTGGGGAAGTCGAAGCTTGGTTCATATTCATCATTTCCCTTAAACTGGTCCATTATCTCAATGTCTTCTCATGGCAAGCCGGCCGAAAGAGGGGTCCTGGATAGGTATTTTACATCGTCCACACTGGGGAGAAACGCACAGTATATGACCCAGCAACGCTATGTTGGTGGCCCCATCGGCTATAAAATTTTCATCATAGGGAAAACTGCCCAAATCCACTATCTTCCTCCTGAATGGGCATTGAATGGGCCCTGGCTCTATCAAAATGACCATAACCAGGGCAAGAGACTGCTTCGGGAGGATCCATAATTTTCCGCTGTGGCCTGAGATGGGTCCTGAATCCACTGTCCAGGGACAACAGCTCCGACTGTCGAATCAAAATTCTCATGCGATCGTTGACAGCCTCGGCTATGCTCGGAATTGTGGCTAGGTCCGCGCAGAATGGATATGGCCGACGGCAGCCGCAGATAGCCGTTATCAAACGTGTTTCAGGCGAATTTTCTTCTTCTTTTTTCTTCCTATTGACGTTGTTAGTTTGATCTTCAAATGAGGCTGATCACTCTGAAGACTTGGTCTCGGTCTGGATTTTTAAGGCGCCGCCTGAAGCCGATCTCCTGATCCGACATATTGCCGGCACCGAAAGCTGTTGGCATCGGCCCAATGCCGAGCGCACATCTACGTTGTGCACGGAGGACCTCATTGTTCCATAAAAAAAAAACTTGACATTTCGAAGAAGCAGAAGAAGAAGAGGAAGACATTGGGAAACGTTCTGCCAATGCTTATGATATGCTGAAATGTTATGCCGTATCTGCCAAAATGCGTTGAGCCTCAGGCTTGCATCCTTAGCCGTTGATTCTCTCTCTCTCTCTCTTTCTCTCTCTCTCTCTCTTTCTCTCTCTCTCTCTTGCGTAGGCTACATCTATCCACCAAACCCACTTGGTGCTTTTCTGATCCCTTTCGCGATGAAGACCTTTCAGGTGAATTGTCGTTTTACTAATATGTCTTGATGATTGCTTTCGGCCTTTCCTCGCTACCACTTGTCCGCCCCCGGATCACCACATTCAGTCTTTCATCTCATGCAACTCTTTGCAGAGTTTCTTCAGAGTCCATCCCGCCCATTCAAAGTCGCTCTCCTCGAGATAGATCTGTGCGCTTAATCGAACCCACCACCCCCCTTGGAATGAAAACACGGGCATGCATGTTTGGTGATGATTGATCATACTCTGTTGCATCCAGTTACCAACGGTGATTGTGGAACCGTCGTTGCCTTTGACTCGACTTTCAAAGCCTTCGGTAGCTCGATCCAGGGGCAGAAGGATATTCACCATGAAACATGCCGGTGTCTGGTCAAGGTCCCCCAATGTCTTAGTCCCCAGGATTTCTGCAACGCGCCGACCTCCTTTACGGCAAAGCTGATTACAGTATTCATGGATAGCTCGCTCACCACCGCACACATTCCTTCTCCACCCAATCACATCGGCAATTGTCAGGAAGGAAAAGTTATCAGTGGTTCCGGTGAAGTCGAAGTTGGAAACAAATGCTGTCTTTGCATCCACTGAGTTTGGGGAGTTCACCAGAGACATTTGGTCAGATGGCTGAGCAATGAAGCCATGGCTGGTTGGCAAGGTACTGCGCATCATGGCTTGATTGCGCTCGGGGACATAGAAAACCGCACATCCACGAGGAGCAAACAGCCACTTATGGCAATTACTGACCAAGAAGTCCGGGTTCAGCGACTGAAGATTTAGTTCAACTTGACCAATTCCATGAGCAGCATCTATCAAGCTAAGAACACCCTCCGCATGACACACAGCAGTGATTTCTTCGAAGGGAAACCGAATTGCAGGATTGGATGTGATTGTGTCGAATATTGCAATGCGCGGGCGGAATCCCTCCTCACGGGAGGCCTGAATCACCTTGTGAAAAGCATTGACGATTACAGACTTGTCAACCGGGTATTTGAGGTCGATCTCTCGGGTGCGAACGATGTGTCTGTTGGCCTCACAAACATAACGGGCGGTTTTCCCGCATGCACCGTATATAACATCGAAATGAAGAATCTCGTCTTTGCCGTCGATGTTCCAGACCAAATTCCGAAGAACTGTGTTCACACCAGTGGTCGCATTTGGCACGAAGACTATGGTGGATTTGGGTACACCAAGAAACTCGCTCATGGCGCTCCGGGACTCATCCAACAATCGAGGAAATTGGTATACGATGAAAGGACATGGATTGCCTTCACATTCATTGCGAAGTTTGTTGGCCTTATCACGAATAACGGTGGGAGAAGCCCCAAATGAACCTGAGCCAGTGAGCATATACGACAGCTTATGGCTGGGCTCACCTACCATGATTCATGTTTCGGTAACCTGGCGCAAAGGAAAACTTAGAGCGCATATCGTGTCCCAGCTTCGTTGGCTCATCTTGAATGAGGTTCGACATGCTCCCGACTAGGTCGCTATGCTGGACTGGATATTAAGATTGGTGGGAGGTTGGTGAGCCGCAACCTTCAACTTTTCAGGACTTTCCTTGTGACACCAGTGCTATATTAGGTCTTTGTGTATTCAATACTACCCAGCAATGCAACACTGATGAATTTTCCAAGCCTCGGACCCTTGCAAACTCGGCCTCAGACACCCATGCGATACGAAGACCTCGCCGATCAATAGCTAACAAGGGAAGGGTGTGACAAGATTGGCTGAGCCAGATGATATTTGCCGACAAGATCAATACCAAATCCAGACAAGGACCCGAGACGCTCACCGGGTATCGGCATAAGGTCAAATGAACTGCTAGTCACTCCGCATTTCAACCCCACGCTGTCTGAATAGTAGCCCCACAGGTCCGTGCGACTACCTTACATAGGGCGCATGGCAGCTCGACTTGCTTCCTTTTGTATAATGACTAATTCGTGCTCATCATTCATCTGCCTACAATGACAGAAGATTCCAATCATTTCGCGGACATTGAGGCGGGTGGTTCGAAACCATCTCATTCTCAGTATGAGGAACAACCTCAGTTTAACAAAGCCACGAACACACAGGTGGAAACGGGCACTCTCCAAAGACGTCTCAAGTCACGACATATTCAATTCCTCGCTCTCTCTGGGGCAATTGGCACGGGACTTTTCGTGGGCACCGGCCAGGTTCTGTCCCTGGCGGGTCCCTTGTCCGCAGTTCTAGCCTATTTGATTACAGGCTTCAACCTATACGCCGTGATCAACAGCATGGGTGAGATGGCTACTTGGCTTCCCCTACCTGGTGCTGTGCCGGTATACGCCTCTCGATTTGTCGATGAGGCCCTCGGGTTCACTTTGGGTTGGAACTATTGGTATCAATTTGCCATTGGAGTTCCAATTGAGATCAGCGCAGCTGCTCTCGTTATTGAATATTGGCCTAATAATATCTCCTCTGCAGTTTGGATCACGGTGCTTTATATGGCTATATTTGTCACCAACAGTCTCCCAGTCCGCGTATATGGTGAACTGGAGTTTGTTCTTGGCTCGATCAAGCTGATCACCATCATCGGTTTGATGATACTCATGGTGATCATTACACTTGGTGGAGCTCCAAACCATGACCGTATAGGATTTCGCTACTGGCAGCATCCAGGTCCCATGAACCAGTACCTTGAAGATGGATCCCTGGGACGCTTCTTGGCTTTTTGGAAGGTTTTCATCCAGGCAACTTTTAGCTATGGTGGAAGCGAGATGGTTGTGGTTGCGGCAGGTGAGACAGAAAACCCTCGGCGCAACATTCCAAAAGCTGTAAGACGAGTCTTTTGGCGAATTGCTATTTTTTATGTTGGCAGTGTGTTTTTGGTTGGACTTTGTGTCTCATCGCAAGATCACAGGCTGCTCAATGCGATCGACGCAGGTGCAGCTGGCGTAGGGGCCAGCCCTTTTGTCATTGCAATCGAGAACGGAGGTATTCTCGTGTTGCCATCAATCATCAATGCAGTTGTTCTTACATCGGCCTTGTCGGCTGGTAACTCCTTCTTCTATGCATCGACTCGAATATTATACTCGACGGCATTGGATGGCAAGGCTCCTCGGATTCTTCGATTCGAGAAATTCGGAGTCCCATACGCTTGTGTCGCCGTCACAGCTGCCCTAAGTCTCCTGGTCTATTTGAATGTTTCCTCAAGCTCAGTCGAAGTGTTCTTCTGGATCAGCAACTTGAGCTCTGTCAGTACATTAATCGTGTGGACGTCGATCGCTATCACCTATGTTCGCTTCTACAAGGGACTGAAACACCACGGCATCCCACGATCCGCCCTTCCATTCCAGTCTCCCTTCCAGCCCTTTTTGGCTTATTTTGCGATTGTTTTCTCCTCGACTGTGGCATTTTTCAATGGATTTGATGCTTTCTTTCCTGGCCACTTCACTGCCAAGAGCTTCATACCACCTTATATTGATATTCCCATCTTCGTGTGCCTTTTCCTGGGATATAAACTCACCAAAAAGACAAAGATGGTGAAGATAGAGGATATGGACATGATATCCGGAAAAGAGGAGGCCGATCAATTGGAATCCTTATGGGAAGAACCCCAGCCTCGCAACTTTCTTGGTACGCTGCAATTGCTCTTATACAGGGAAATCAAAGCTAACGTGCACCTCACAGAGCGAATTTGGTTTTGGATTGCCTAACTTACTATTGTATCCTCAAAATTGGCACCAATTGATATTTCGATGCCCCCGATACTCTCAGCCCATTGATCTTCACGTTCAAAAGGCGTTGATGAGTAGTCGCATGTAGTCTAGGGCTGCGCTGGGGTAATTTCATAGTCTGAGCGGTGGTGTGGCCGTCTCCTGAAATCGTGATTGAAGCCTTGCCAGTCTTTGGCCATGAATTGGGATCCGAGTCGTCTAGTCGTCCAGTTCTCATCATAGTGTCGTCCGTCCGTCCGTTTCGGATTTCTCTCGACCCCATATGAGCTGCACCGTGCCTGGTATTTGAAGGTTTGATCAGCGCTGTCTGCAACCCTCGTGGCCCAATTCATCGATGATGTACTCCCAGGGTATGCAAGCACGCCAAGTATTCGTTGAGCATACTATGTACAGTCGTTGGATGTGAAAAGACGAAAAAGGGTTAGAATTGAAATTAAATTTAGCGCCAGCGCGATTATCAACCCACTACCATAAAAGCCATTAATGCGACCCAGCCGGCTACAAACCCAGCTGTCAGGATTCCAGCTCCTGCCTTGTCCCCTGATGTGATTGTAGTTGTTTTTGAGCTGTCGGAATCGGTATCGTCTTCGCCCGCAGTAGGGTTGCTGGTACTGTTTCCTCCGGTGGTCGATGTCACAGGCCCGGTTTTATTGAAAGTGACCAGATTCGCGGTGAAGACGTTTGTGGCACTTATCTCTTCCTCCATTCCCATCCATCCATCATAGGTAGATTTATACCAGCGCACGCCACAAGTACCATTGTTATGGCCAGTACAGGAGGCCGCAGCAGCTTGGCCCGAAGTTTGCAGTTTTGCGACAATGCTGTCATAAGTTGACGGGACAAGGATAGCAGTCAACGCCAACCATGAAGAAGTGAGACCCTTGAAGAGAATCTCATTGTTATTGCAATTAGCCGCTGGCTCGCAGTAATAGTCCTCGATGATTCCTCCGGTGAGGAAGAAATTCTTGAAAGTTGCGTTCAAAAGACCATCGACAGCGGTCAGCCATTGAGATTGGGTGGTCCCATTTGTCTAAAAGCGATGTACAGTTAGCTCTAGTGCGTTGACACGGAACATGATCGAGGCTGGAATCCGCTTACTCACATAGTTATACATGTAGGCAGCTCCCATTAGGAAAGTCCCGTAATTGTATGTCCACTGGGCGTTTCCCTGAGTGGCACAGTCGTTATCCACATTTGTTGAATCGGCGACGTTCCAAGTTGTATTGCTGAGAAGCGGCGAGGAAACAGACCAATCCCAAATTTTATTAGCCCACTCGAGATAAATCGAACTTCCAGTGTAACGGGCCAGTCGTGCAGACAATTGGAATAGACCACCGTTGGAGATGGAATTCTTCATTCCGTAGCCGTTCTGATAGGGCCATATTTGCCACCGGAGACCACCGCCACATGAAGACGTGTCCCATCGTTTGATCTGAGTGTTGAAGACACCTTGTGCTAATGATAGCCAAGAAAACCCGGACGAGCGGTCTGGAAACCCATATTCCGCTGCTGTCATGGCTGCAAGACCCCAGAACATCTGATCATCGTTTCCCTGCTTTCATTAGAACCTCTCCCACCACTCGGCGCCATGGTGATTCTCACAAGATAGGAACTGTAGTTACTTGGCATGTAATCGCCAGAATCGCCCGATTGCCACTGCAATCCAATGCTCAATTCCTCGTTGTACGTTGTATCCCCGGTGAAATGCCAGTATTCCAAGAGTGCCAGAAATAGAGCCGAGCCCTCCCACCATTTATCCGGGAAGGCGCCGGGAATCTGCCCGGTTTCGTTTCCGTAATAATATTTCATCATAGCATAGGTCGATGTACTTGCGGCATCTTTGAGCGATTCTGTGAAGGAGCCAAAATGTCAGTTTCGTGAGGATTCTGGAGCATGGGGGAAAAAGGAAGATTTCGCCACATACGTTCATCGCTAACATCCAGATCGATGGCACGTACTAGACCGGATAATAGGAACCAAGTAACGATGCCCCTGGTGGGCCCGAGCAAGTGCATCTTTTGAAGATTGACTGTGTCAACTCAAGCATAGAAGATTCTGATTTCGCAGTCAGGTCTGCTAGAGTGTGAACCCGAGCTGAAATGAAATATTCCACGAACGTGAACACCCCAGGCAGACCCATTTGTGAATTTAAATATAGGGTGGGCATGCGTAATCCTCGGCGCTAGCGTCGTCAACACCTTCAATGTGGAGCTTGAAGCCAATAGGTTCGGCATCGCGCGGCGAAATGGTGGAGACCGCCAAGCTCATACAAGCTTTTTGTGATTTATGTTGATCGCGGGTTTCATCAGGCAAATTGCCGATCAAAGGTATAGAGTAGATCAGCCTGATACTCCAGTGTTCTGCCTCGAGGTCTCAGCAATGCCGACCGCGATTCTCTTTGGTAGAAATTGGTGGTGGGTTGGGTTTGCTGTTCTGGCAATTCTGTCTCACTCGGTATGGAGTATGGAGGACGGGGTAGTGGAAATCAAGATGCAAACGATCAAGCTAGCCATATCTCACGGTCGCAAAATTATCTCGACTGAAACTGGAGATCTTCCAATAGAATGGCACCCCATCAATGAGAGCGACGCTGACATTGCACCTTTTTTTCTCTCGAGTGTATTCAGATTTGGATGAACATATCATGAGGGTACTTGGGTCAGATGTGGAAACGACCCTGCAACTTCAATCCATGATAAGAACAGCTAGGGCCCTCGATTTGATTTTTTTCGCGTCGGGGGAAACAAACCTGGAAGGCTGAAGGAGCTGATTCGCTTGAAGGGGTGATCAGCTATTCGTGATCTCAAACCGTGGTGATGAATCGCGGCAATGAGTTCGGAAGCGTCTGTTGCAGGAGTGCCAGGTTGGCCGAACGACCCGTCGCAGAGACGTGTTAAGATATGCATATGAGACATTGGAATTATCTGGTTCAGCACAGGATGCAAACGTGAAGTAAGAACATATGGACAAGAATGACCGATGAGCCATTGCTCAGATCTTCAGTTCAAGGATCAATTCCAACAACGAGCCAAGAGTCTTCGCAGGGTATTCCCCATCCGCACGGACCAAATAGCTCTTCCATCCGGCGTCTACTGCAGCGCGGTAGTCTTTCTCATATTCATCTCCGACATGGACACAGACCCAGTCATCTGTCTCGTCTGGAGTAAGTGAACCTTGAACGGGGCCATACGTGCTTGCTAATAAACGAGCTTGCCGCTTGGCGATGTCGAAGATAAGTCGATTCGGCTTTCCCTCACCAGCCTCGTAACTGGTTATGACGAAGTCCAAGTCGTTGTCTAGATGGCCCAAGGAGCTCGCATCGTTGGAACTGGTTCGTTGCTCGAACCCAGGGAGCTCCATACTGGACATATCCTGATCGGCACGCAAATCGCCCACTCGCAGCCCCAACGCCTTCAGAACAGCAGGAACTCGATCATCGGAATTGGTGACCACACCTACCACAACACGATCGAAGTGCCGAGTGGAGGAGCGTCGTAGCTCGCGCATGCGCTCAAAGAAGGGAATGACATCGTCGAAGAGCGCATACCCCTCATCACTGGCAAATCGATGAAGTAAGGTATCAACCATCCCCTGGGGAAGCTCAAAGGGCGTTTGGGGCAACCCTTCCGGGGTTAAGTGGCTACCTTGGGGAGCCAGAACGCGCACGAAGCACTCCCGCATCACCTCTTCCCACCACTGCTGGGGTCCACCATATTTTCCCCGAAGCACATCAGCGCGACCGTAGTTAGGCCAGCGTTTCGAATGTGTGCGGTAAACGTCTCCAAAGGCTCGTTCGATTGCTTGAGGGGTGACAGCAGCGCGGGACAGACCGAATTGATGCGCAACAGCCGCGTATTGCTGTGGGACAGGTGGACGAGGGTAAAAAAGGGTTCCAAACGCGTCGAAGGTGAGGAGGAGGTTTCGCGGGCGTTCAGAGAGGGAGCGGGCACTGGCCATGAGAGTGTTCATTGTGCAACGAGATGATCGAGAGAGCTCGCGAAGTGAGCGCAATACAAACAGTGCAAACAGCCTTACCCTCACATTGTCTCCGCATCCATTATTCCCCGCTATTTACTTCGCTCTTCGTACTCCATTCTCATCGCGAATTTAACGGCCTATTCCCATCGAATTTCATACAATGGCAGAGTTCCCCCCCCGAAGCCTCCAGCCTCTTGTTGAGGAGATCTTCCAACTTCTCAAGTCGCGTAACGAGACCATTTCTGTCGCCGAAACGGTGCGCACGATGATACATCTCATTGAGAAACGTACATATTCTGATCCATCTTGAATAGGCTGCAGGGGGTCTTATCTCTGCCTCTCTTCTCTCCTTTCCGGGCGCGTCAGCCATATACAAAGGTGGACTCACCGTCTACACTCTAGAATCACGCCTCAAATTTGCAGGTTCGACAGCTGCAGACCTAGAGAAATACAAGGGACCTACGACCGAGATTGTTGCAAATATGGCTGATCATACCCGACGGACATTGGGCTCAACCTACGCGATCAGCGAGAGTGGGACAGCGGGCCCGACGGGCGGAACGACAAGAAATCGGACGCCGTAAGTCAATTATCCTTTGTTCGGATGCTCTATATTAAGTCTTTGTAGCGGGTATGTAGCAGTAGCCGTGTCAAGTGCGCAAGGGCAAGTCACCCGGGAGGTTGAGACGGGGAGCAATGATCGAGCCGGGAATATGGTTGCGTTCGCAGCCGAATCTTTGAAGCTGCTGAGAGATGTACTGTCTCAAGCCCAGAACCCTTCGCTATGAGACCAGTATATTAGTATTGCATCCCAATCAAAGAAAGGCAAGGAAACCCCCTATATATGGGAGCAAGATATGATACTTCTTAGTTCAGGAGAAGAGCAAAATGTTCGACGTTGGTAGCATCAAATGGTATTCATCTATAGGTGCATCGGACAAAAGCCACGTACATATTGGCTCTTGAGTTGTATCAACATCGAGAAATGAAGCAAGATTTTTCGATCCTCACAGATGACAATACACGTACCCGACTCATCCAGGAAAAATGGTGAATAAATGGTATGGATAAATCTCAGGGGGATCATGCAGTCTCGTTATGAGATACAACGACACCCGCGTCCTTCTTTTCATCCTGGTAAATCTGCGCCTGCTCCCGATCATACTCCTCTGCAAACTTTCGACCGAAAAGACCGATCTTGTACCAGGGCAAATCAAACATCTTGTCAATGGTCTCAAGGCTGCGACCGGCAGCCTCGGGCACGAAGAGCCAAACCCAGATACCACCAAGTATGGAAATGACACCAAAGAAGTAGAAAGTACCATCGGGGCCAAGGCCTCCATGCTCAAGCAACATTTCAGGTAGGGCACGATTCACCGCATATTGGCAGATGAAGTGCATGGCCATGGTGATAGATGAACAAATGCCACGAATGCGGAGAGGGAATAGCTCCGAAGACAGCAGGTATTGGCCACTGTTCCATCCAAGGGCCCAACCGACACCAGAGATGTAGATAAAGGCAATGGCAGCAGTGGATGCGCGATTCTGGGTCTCGTTGGGGGTGAAACCAGGATTGTTGGCAATGGGAACGAGGTTGAGGAAGATAGCAATGTAGAACATGGCGATGGTCTGGAGAACAATACCAATAATGAGAGATCGTTTCCGACCGGCCATGTCGACCAAGAAAAGGGCGCAAATGATCGCCGCGACAAACTTGACAACACCGAAGACGACGGTTGAGAAGAGAGACTGCTCTTGGCCAGTGATGCCGACGAGCGTGAACAAATCTGGGGCGTATACCGTAATGGCGGAGCCACCAGACCAGCAGGCCATGTTTTGAGCGAGATTGGTAAGGAAAAGACGATAGGAGTTGCGCTTGATACCGAGTATCTCTTTGAAAAGGCCTTTCCATCCCATGCCAGAAGTTGCCTCCATTTCTTCTTGGAAGGCAACATCCATTTCGCTAATCTCGTCGAGGACGTACGGGTGGGTTGCCGGTAGGCCGCGAAGCTTGCACAGAGATTCAAGAGCCTGTTCCCGTTTACCTTGTTTGATATAAAAACGAGGCGATTCAAGTTGGAATAACGTGAGGATCAGAATGATACCGGCAAACATAAGGTGAAGCGATGTAGGGACAGCCTGCAAGCGAGCGTATGTAAGTAGAGTGGCCGTGAAAAAGATTGTGACTAGGACTTACCCAACGATTGAAGGTATCAGCCATATGAATCGAGGCCCCCCAGTTGGCAAAATAGGCAATCATGATACCGCTGGATTTGGGTTAGTATCGGAGAGACAGATAAAAAGGACAACAAACAGGAAAAGAGACACTCACAGATATACGGCACCGGTGAACATACAAGTGCAAAGACCTCGGATGGGAGCAGGCGAAATTTCGGAGAGATAAATAGGACCTACGACACAAGTCTGTCCAATGCCGATACCAGCAATGAATCGACCCGCGTAGACGGCACCTAAATTACCATTGTTTCCAATGAAAATGGCGATGCCGACAATCCAGAAGACGCAAAGCTGGCGAGTTGCCCAGACACGGCCGATACGATCGCAGACGACAAATGCACTGTGATGTAGTGAGTATAAGATGATGATCGCAGCAGTAAGAGGGGCACTGGAATGGCACATACAACAAAGCACCAGCCACACTACCAAGCTGAACCATAGAGGAAATAGTACCCTTGATACTCGCAAGCTCACTCGCACCGAGATCGTCAATACCGATAGATTTCTTGAATGCATGAGAGTTGAAGACACCCGTGATGAGACCTTCGTCAACACCTCGGGCAGCTCCCATCAAGCCGAACGCAAACACGGCAAACCATAGTTTAGCGTTGAGTGTCTCTTTGGGCAAACCTCCAGTGTTGAATTTGAAGACGTTGATAGCAGACCCACCCGCCATAATTATTGATGTTAGGCGTGATCACTGGGTAGATTGTGAGTCAAGGCCGTGGGCCAGTATGAGAAATCCGACAGAGCCACAAAGCTAGATTAAGCAATAGGTCAGAGTGGCAGGTCCTTGAAAGATAATATTGAGACTAGGATACACCCAAGAGAAAAGAACATAGCATAGAGGGCGGGCGTGGAGATTCTCTTAAATATTGTCTAATGCCAAGGAGGCTCAAGTCCCCATGGGGTATCCAACGCAGGTCACATACGCAGGTAATGAGCACAAGGCTCAGTTAGATGCTGTCTCATACCAAGGCTCGGCGCAGAACTTAGCTTGAACGTTGAACCAAATGACACTCTTCCTTAATTTTCCGATAGTCGGGAAATGATCAGGGCTGAGAGTTCAGAGCTGTGGAGGGGGGATGCTCTTTCACTCTAACTTCGACCCCAGCCAAAACACCAATCATCAATCTCCCCACTGGGTCTAATTTAAATTCTTAAAGAATAATTTTCAACGGGGGTCACGACATCAATTTAACCATCCGTGGCTCGGGCACGTAAATGGATAACCACAATGGAGTCGTAGTAGCAAAATAATCAGCGAAGGATGTCACTGGAAAATCATAGTCCTGGAGGACATATGCCTCACGCGGGCTCAAGAGGATTCTAAGCCTCTTGGCATCCCCCCCCCGCGACCTCTTCTCCGCGGCGAGACTTTCGCCTCCACAAACACGGGGAGATACAGTTTGGGCGATCGGCCGTGGGTCAAAGTGTACACTATGCCGCATACGAGATGATTTTGAGGCCCCGGACCAATCAGTGGTCTCCCAGGAACAGATGGCGCTCTCCACGTTTTGCCCCCCGCCAACACGAGGCTTTTGCTTGGGCCACGCTTATATCACACCTATATACGCCCCACACTTTAAATTTATCTTTCCTCGCCTGCCCCGTATCCTTCGGATGGTTTCCGAAGTTGAAGGTCAAAACCGCAGTGGACGGCGAAGCAGACAGCCTTGGCGTTGGCAGTGAGAACAGTTACAATTAAAGAGGCAGGCCATTTCTGAAGCTGCGTGCATGGCGTCCAAACGTGATTACTTAGCGAGTAGGGGCTGTAAACTCATTCACGGGAGAATCAAGGCAAGTTGTTGCTACAAGTGCTCGTATGTGGTATCCGGAATGGAAACTGTCTTCCGTAAGGACGTACAATAATAAACCGGCGGTGCCATCGAATGAGAACGAAGGCATTCGTGTAGTTTCGGGATCCAAGCTCTCTTGGCACTCCTTCAAGGGGCTTGGCTTGACTGGTCTCACCGATTGTCGGCCAACGGGCGGGTACGGGGGAATTTAGAACTCTGCGATCGTTGAATTTCGGAGTAAAGCAGAGGGGACAGACAAAGAAAGGTAAGCTGGCCGAGCAACGATTCCGAGTCCGCATTACCCCACAGTTTCCCCTCCAGAGGACCATGGTTGGGTCCGCTTGTTTTACGGAGTACTGTCATATCAGCATTCTAAGTAGCCTCGGAGGAATACCACGTAGAATTTAGACACCCTATACATGATCACAAAGGCAAAGGCCTAAAATAAGTCTCTTATGGTAGACGGAAGACATTAAGTCTCGAGGAGAGATTAGGCTACTCCTCACGGGTTCTAAAAAATTAGACTTTCAACTCTGTATGTTAGGAGTATCAAAAACCTTAACAGCATTCGTGAATTGTCGTTACAGGTGAATGCGTGGGTAAGTACGAAATGGATGGGGCTCATTGACCCAGGATGCAAAAGCAAGGGGCTGTGGCAAGGCTCTCAATTCATGACCTCTTCATTTGAGTTCTTCTAGGCTGGCCTTTCAATCGGGTGCTAAAGCAAAGCCTTTCGTCATTACTTTCTTTTCATTTTCCCTTTACTTTGTTAGCCTTTCCCAAGGTTTGGTCCAATCGTCGGGGTGTATTCAGCTTTCTCGGGCTAGATAATGCTTGTGCTATGTTTTAGTATTTTTGCTTGGAATAAATACGAGGCGCACAAGGGCTACTCTACACAGTCGCCCCAAGATGGTAGATATTGTGGGACATCAGAGTTTTGAGAAAATGATGCATGGCTATACGATGAAGGAGTACCCAAGTGGCATTCGGAAAATTCCAAATAGTTCAACCAGAGCATTGAAAAGGCACAGCATTCCACCATTCATACCTTGGCGCCATTGAGCTGCACCCCCCTGAACCCCTGCCCAAGCGCTCATCTCAGATATGATCAAGACACAACAACACTGGTTGCTGGGCAATCGACCGCACGCAGGACACATAGAGTCTGATCGACATATAGATTCGTGCAACCACTGTTAATTACTGGGTTCAATAGCCGAAGATTGGCAAAAGTGCCGACTTGTGGATGCTTGCGCACAATGGTATCGCATATGTCTCCCGAAGAAACAACGTATGTTGCAGCACCTGTAGGTTCATAGAGCTTTAGAATTATCCATGGCTCAAACGAAAAATTCGCCAGATCGATGGCCAAAGTTGTTTGGGAGAGGGGGGAGGGGGGGGGGGACTCACAGGTACCGGGCACAGCTTGCACACTGGAAGTTTGCCTCAATCCAATGGAAGCTGACTGTGCAGCACAAGAGAGGCCTAGCGCCAGAAGAATAGTCTGAGTGACAGAAGCGAACATATTTTCAACCTTTAAAAGCTCGGTGCTTGGATGTTTATTATTTGCAGTGAGGATAGTGATTGAGAATAGACTTGAACTAATGGGACAGTTTGGTCCTTATTTATATACGCCCTGTGGCTCAAGAATGCAGATGCAACCCAAATTTGGATATCAAATAGCTACCTCACCCAGGCAATTTGTACGACGTCTGTGACTACAAAAAATAACCCCGTATAAGTTAGGAAGGAGATCTGTGTGGTAAAATCAATCCATGGATGGTGAGAGGTGACTGAAAGAGTACAATCCCGCATTATCTAAATCTATAGATAGCTTTGATTGGTTGTAAGCGCATGCTGTACGAATTTGCCCGGCTTCGAGGCAAGTGACCTGCCGTGATGTTCCATTAGCTTGTTAGAAAGCTATGGAAGCCATGTCCGATCATATAGGCCACACGAGCACATAGAATGGATCAATTAAATCTAGAAGCTTGTAAGATTGCCCATGTACGCTTGTTCTCCCTTGAGTAGACAGGGATCTCCCACCTAAGTGCTGGCCCTTAACCTGGAATTGTGTGATTGAGAAGGCAGTCGGAATGGTAGGAAAGGATGAGAACGAACTGTGCTTCTGCCAGGAAAAAAAAGAAAAAGGGAAAAACACCGAACATTGGAAGCCTGGTGAATGGAGGTGGAGGACAAGTTAGAAGCCAATGGGACATTCGCGGAATTGAGGGACAACCAATGATTTCCGATATTGAGATAGTTATAATAGACAGAATCAAAAATAGCCATTATTATCCTCCGTCATGCATGCAGGATAGAGAATATTCGCCATGCTGTGAACCATACCCAGGTGATTGCATTCATACTTCTCCATATGTCGTGCTTCAAACTACAGAACGTACACGGACAAAGACTACGAGTTACGATGACGTTGACAAACCTCAAATTTGAAGGCTGTCAACTTTAGAATGAAAAAATATGTGGTTTAGTCAATTCCAGGTAGAGGGTGCTTATGCCTCTGCCTTTCTATATACAGAATTTAAAATTAGAACATCCACTACGAACAAGTGATAAGGTTCCGGGACTGCTTTTTCATGTTATGCTATTGGTGGTGAGGTAGTCTCGGTGATGGGGAAATATACCAGATATAAGGTTGCTAGGTTTGAGACTGAAGACAATAAAAGTCTCCGGAAGAAAATATAATTGGATCATTTTGATCTTTCTACGAAGGTACATGGGAATATCGCAGAATTGAAACTGACTTGACACTTTGGTTGATACCTAACAACTATGTATGGAAGGTCTGGGCGGAGTTCACGAGTCTCCGCTAATGCCCCATAACGATGGTCTGAACTTTGACATCGTCTTTGTGCTCCCTCTGCCACTGCTTCGAATATTTTACTCCAAATCCATCTTTAAATACGTCTCTGATCGCTTCCAAGGGCATGCCCTTACATTCAGGATAGAGGAAGATGACGAATACCCACCCAGAGAAGCAAATGCCCGAATAGAATCCAAACGCCCCGCTGGGAGTCCAGCTTTTCATCATTGAGAGAAAGGTGGAAGAGATGATGATATTGGTGCTCCAGCAAGTGACTGTGTTCTGGCAAAAATTTTAACACACGATGAACGGAGTGTGTTGAGGAAGCATAACTTACCAGCATTGTACCTATTGCCCGTACCTCCAGCGGAATCAGTTCCGTGCCAATCCAGGCAATAGTTGCAACACCCGAGGAGAAACACGCAACGTAGCATATTATAGCAACAAGAACCAAAGTTCCAGGCCAACCGACATGTGCAGTCACTAGTTTCAAAGTCGTGGTATCCACCGGGATATAGTGGAATGCAATGGCAGCAACAACCATACAAATCGCCATCCCCAGCATAGTTATGGAGAGGATCATCCGTCTTCCGAACTTATCAACGAGAAACAAGCTGACAAAGGAGAAGACAAAGTTGGTGGCAGAAACCGTGATCCCAACAGCCGTGGGGTTGTCAAACCCGACAATCGAGAACAGCGTCGCGGCATAGTACATCAAGGTATTGAAACCCCCCAGTTGGCTAATGGCCATTATCATGCATGCAGTGGCAGTTGCGCGGGCGGTGGATGGGGTGGTGAAAATCCGCTTGAAGGTAGTCCATATCGACTCCCTGGTCATTGCCTCAGTCGCTTCTTGAAGAGATATTTCAATGGATCTGATCTTGGCTTGACGTTGTTCGGCCGTAGACCTGGGGTAAATTCGCCGCAAAACGGCCGTTGCTGCATCTAGATCACCATGGGAGACAAGTTGACGTGGTGACTCGGGGCAGATGAAAAGAAGGGCTCCAAGTGCGAGCGCTGGGGCTGCACCGATGCCGACAGTGGCGCGCCACCCTTCACCTTTCACATGGGCAAGCCCAGCACCAACAGCACTCGCAAGAAGCTGTCCAAAGGTGACACTCATGTTGTTGAATGCCACCATGCGGCCACGGTACTGTGCTGGCGCTATTTCACCAACTGTGATCGATCAGAGCAACACAAGGGCTGATGCACGGCAGGATGAACTCACTGTACATGGGCACAATCATCGAGGCACTCCCTACTCCAAGACCAACGACAAATCTCCCAGTCGCAAACTGACCGACGGAAAATGCGCAGGTCTGGAGAGCCGTCCCAACGACGAATGTGAAGCAGGCTCCCCAGATAGGCCAGCGGCGACCAAGGCGATCAGCAGTAAGACCTGCCCCCACTGCTCCAACCAGAGCGCCGCCACTTGTCAAAGAAGTCACCATTTCCTGCTCGCTGGAGCTCAGGACATGACCGAGCGAGTCATCGATGGTGACAAGAACCGCCGAAATGTAACCAGTATCGTAGCCTAGAAAAGGAATGTGTCAGACAGTTTGTTTCATATAGAATGGAGCCTAAGATCCCGTTGACTGACCAAACAAGAGTCCACCGATGGAAACCACGATCGCTATCAGCCAGGCTGTCTTTGAGGCAGCTGTAGACTCGATACTGCTCAAATTAGTTTGATCATTGCCCTTCAGCGGCTCAGCTAGCTCAATCTCCTCAATATCATTTGTGGCCTCGTCTCTTTGGTCTTCCTTCTTGTCAGAACTCATCTCGGCTGATCAGGGGGTATTCCGCACAGAGTAAAAGATGTAATGGGTGTCTATGTCTCTTGAAAACAACGGTCCTTTTATACCGACGGCCGTTGGGGCGCCAACCCCATCTCTACCAATGGCTGAGTTCTGATGCCAAATTCCCCATGGGGTTGAATTCCCCACGGGGTCAAAAAGAGAGATGACGCAGATCTCCTAACGACGATTGGGTCGTATTTTCAACCCTGTCGGCAGATTAATCCGTGTCGGGGCAAAATTCCTAGGCCAGCCCCCCCCAGGCGAGATATTCCCCGCATTTTCGGTGCTTGACAAGCCCGCACTTGGCGAGAAGTTAAATTCGGAACTACGAAAGGAATCATTCCCCGCGAATATCCTTGGCCTATTCCAGGGAGTCGCCAGATCTTGCATTGCTCTACTTGAGACAGAGTCAATGGAAACTTTTACCCCTCTCACATTATGTGTCAGTCTGCTGGAATGCATCTGGCGCAACGGGATATGGTACCGAAATGAGATGGCTTTTGGGTTTGATAATTAAGGCTTGGCAGAGACAGTTGCCGACTAGGAGAAACAACAAGCCAAGAAGGACCATTTCTGGTTGTCTTGAACCTGCTCGTCCGCATGTCCCGATTTCTCATTATCGTAACACATGGTCTCCTGGGTCACATTGGGATTGTCATGGTAAGAGTCACGAAACAAAGCGATGGATCGAATTCCCAGGGTGAATGTGCCTTGTTGATCGCCGAAGAAACTAATGAGTTGTTAACAATGGATTAGATATACTCGCCACAGCGATTCTCACCTCCGAGCCATGATCCGGAATCTCTTTATTTGCGACACGTCCAATGGTCTTGCGCCCTCCACAGGTTTGCCGCGGTAGGTTGCTTTCATTTCTTTCCACGGCACGCGGACAATGGATTCTGTTTCTCTTATGCAGAAATCGAACTCCCACACCAGGGCACTCTGCTCCCGGCCATCTGGCCTTCGCGGTGCGATCTCATCCGTCAAACAGAAGGTGTAGCGTTTGTGGTCCGAAGAAAGGATGTGAAGCTCAATTCCATCGTGCGCGCTGAGGTCCCATCTTTTATCGCCGCCGACCGTCCGCTGTGAGGCGAATCCAGCACCACCGAGGGTTTCGATGTCGAGGTTACCGTGAAAGAGTATTCCGTCGGCAATGGGAGAGAGGTTTGAAACGGACGATCCACCGCGCACTCGGTCATCTGATGCGGTCCATTCTTCCAGGTCCCAATCAGGACCAAACAACAATTTGGTAGAGGAATCCATGCTGAGGCGAGAGATGCGATCGGTCAGGAAGATTCAATGTTGGTGTGGCAGGATATGATATCACCGTCCACGTGACGAGGACGAGATTCTGCCGAGATCGCCCGCCTAGGTTGACGAGTAAACAGATCTCGGAAGAGACGAATTGGACAAAGCAAACAGTCCATTATATGCCCTTTCGTCCGTAAATATCTCTATTATCTCTCGAAGGACCTCTTTGAAGTGGATGAAACATGGCGGCCTTTCAACGTACCTTTGCTTTGACACTCATCCGTCATACCACTTTGTTTCCAGCCATTCAAGGCCTATCACAACGACAAATCAAAGGTGTCTTTGAGGTCTATTTCTGCTTCCGAGGGCTTTTATACAAAGACTGAATTAACTTAAGTACGGCTAGATAACATCAATCAAAATGTCTCCTGGATAGTACATTGAAAGCATCTATCACTTCGCCGGCGAAGTACAATCAGAAACATTTGAAGTCGTTGTCTTGTCAAAATTAACAATCATTTCTGATATGGCCCAGAACGTTACAAAAACTCAAACCTGGGCGATTTCGACCGAACCTGTACCCGTTCCTCTGCAGAACAAGATCGTCACTGAGTGCTATCTTGAGATGCTAAACCTTGGCCATGGGGCTAACCACGCCATCCTGCGGGTTGTTTTCAAGCACCCACAAGTAAAAGCATCTCCGCGCGCACCTGCTAATACTTTGGGTCTGGTAATAAATCTCGAGATAAATGGACGATTAGCACCGCCCTCGGTTCCTGGTGATGTTGTTGTTAGAACTCATGCGCACACGGGTACGCATCAGAGGGCCGTTCGCTCCATTCCCCTACCTGTCAGAGGCAAGAAGAGAGTGAGACACTTTCTTGCGGGGATAAAAACTGCTCACTTACTTCCGTGTTTCTTTGATTATATCGACCCCGATGCTGTCGGATGCAGAGACTTTATGTAGGTTCCCTGAGTGTTTTCTTGTCTTGGGCACATGCTAACAATTTTGACAGGTCGCAGTACATATACCACCTGGATCAGCAAAAAGTTCTGAAACTTCCAGCCAATGCAGCAGACACTGTTTACGATCCTTTCAACTACCGGTATACGGCAGGTGGAGTTGCAGACCCCCATCAGCCACCTCGTGCCTTATTTGGTCATCACAAATTTGACCATGTGATAATCATGGCGGTAAACCTCGCCCCTTGATTTTACGTTCAATAGGTAATATTGATTTGCCTGTTAGCAAGAGCCTGTAAGTACCTCTAATTTGGTAGGGGCACCGTCTCAGTGTAGCAGGAATATGTCGGAATTCTGGGAAAGGGGGGAGTTCGAGGAGTTTATCCCAAGGTTTGAGTACTTTTCAATCCCGACACTAAACAATATATCTACAAATGAAGACACTTGTTTAATTAAAACAAGCGGCTTTTTCGGTATTGAACTTGAGAATGTCGTTACTAGAAAAGGTGCTCTAACATGCTGCCCTTCAGGGCTAGAGGAACCTAGAAAACAAGCGCAACATGCTTAAGTAGCTCTCCAGGGCTCATCATCACACCTAAACTTCCATTTCCCTCCGCAAGAGATGAAATGGCGAATTCCAAGGCTAGCATCTTTCAAGGATCCCGAGAAAGGTTCGTTTAATTAAATCATAAGCATGCTTTCTACTATAGATTGACTGCCTATGTGATATATAGAAAAATGCAACCGAAATGAGCCAGATGTCAGCCCTGTAGCCAGTTTGATCAATGATCAAAGGCCCATAGCCTGATTGTCATCCTAGCCAAAGTTTTCTACTCTTCAATGCTGCCAACCCATGGTCGCTTGCTCAAGTAAAGAGTCTCAAGAATCAATTTGAAGTTTGAACACAGCCTGGTCGCATCTATGGATAGATCCACTTGAACATGTTGTTTTGAAGGCTTCGTCCATTTCGTTACTTTTTTAATCCAAAGATTGGCACTTGTGGTGGACTTTGCATTTCTCTGGGGTAGCTTCAGTCAGTTGAGCAATCGTATATTGTTTGAGAATGCAACATTAATCTTTCGCTTCCAGATAAGATATATCTGATTTGCTCTAGAGATACACTTTTGGGTTTGACTAGCTTTGCACTTGAGCAGATGGGGTTTTTTTGGTGGGTATATAGGTATTGAGTCGACAGGATAAAGTGCATTCTCTTCATAAGCGATAATGTCGCGCTTTACTGAGGCTACTATTTATTCTATGACAAAAATGACAGAGCGGAGAAAAGCGGAAGAAGCGATTGATCGGGTAAAAGTGAAGGGAAAAAAAAAAGAAAAAAAAAAAAACAAGCAGAGAGACAGAGAGACAGAGAGACAGAGAGACAGAGAGACAGAGAGACAGAGAGACAGAGAGACAGAGAGACAGAGAGAGAGAGAGAGCTAATTAGGAGCAGAGGCTACTCCTGAAGTCTGGACCTCACAACATACTTAAGTAGCTAGTCTACACAGAACTTTAGAATGCGGAGTACGGAACACTCTAAGCAGAATAACTACGAGTACTCTGTAACTGTTGTGATCAAGATTGCCCATATGTCGGTTGTTCCGTCCTCCGTACTCCGTCCTTATGGGCGTTTTGTTTCAGGCTATGTGCGGCTTGGCAATAAATCGAATACTACCTCAGGTGTTTATTATGCCCGTTTGACGAAAGAAAAAGAGTTTTTATTCATGCATGTTGCATGTGCCTGTGTCCTATAACCATAGGAGGAAAGGGATTTGACTCTGTTGAAAGTTCTTGCAGAGATTGCACGGCCTGGTCCAGAGCAGACCCAACAGTGAGGATCGCCCCCTGAACCGCCTTTGATCCACACTGTCAAAAAAGCCAAACAAATACTCCGTACGCTCCGTAGCCGCTTGGACATTGCTCGGATGGACTGTACAGATTACTGCCCAGACGAATCTATATTACTTGGCCATTTAAGCGCTTTCATTGTAAATATATGCCCAGGTGGAAAAGACTCGCTTCGGAGTACTCCATGTGGCGTACATGGGGTATTGTCTTTTCTACTTGTACGAACTCATACAAGCGTACCAAGCGTCAGCCCAGACATTCCTTAAAACCTGCGACCTTCCAACTCTAATGCAAACGATAACGAAGCCAGAAAGACGGGATCAGATTCGAGACCCTCTACTCCGTGCCCAACGGGGAGTACGACAAGGCAACGTGGGCGCGGATTTGGCCCCCAAACTTCGAAGTACGAGAACCCCTCTTCGTCAAACCTGAAATTCGTGAAGGAACGCCTTACATCGACTAAAATCTGACACGCGCTTTGAGTGATATTCAGGATCAGCATACGATTGCCTCGGTTCGGTAGCATCCGTGGCTTGACGGCTATTTCCGCTAGAACCGACGCACATCATTCGCGATCCTTCGAGATTTTCAGGGTCCACTTCTCACTTCGTGCAAATACACGAATATCCTGACGCATATTGGATGACGTGCCTAGTGGCGAAGTTGTGAAGGCGATCGATTTCAATCTTCAGGGGGCTAACTAATTGAGGCCCTAAAGTTACGATGTAGTTGCTCCATCCAGAGCACATATTATTCAGCACCTGCACAATGATCGGGTCGTTCTCTTCGGTCCCTTACAGGCCCTTGTCTAGTTGGAAACCTCAACCCTCAGCTTGGATTGGCCCCTGATTAAGCCCAGCCAACGATCGACCGTTGGCTTGCAGCCACCCGTCCGGGTGAGATTCCTTCAGTTCTGAGCGCTTGGGCCCATACGAAGCTCAAAAATTACCCCATTGGCTGGCCGAGGTCTCGTATTCTTCATTGTGGGGACAAGGAGAGGCTTTTTTTCTCTCTCTCCTCGGACGCCGCTTTACGTACAAAGACAATCTCACCTGGGCAATGGCGTATACTCGTATGCACCTCATACCTGGCCCCCATGCCGAGCTTTCGAGGGATTGCGACCCTTAGAATGCCCCCGCGCGCCTTTTGATCCTCCACAAAGCAACCCACTCTCTTGACCGAGCTCTACGCCGTGTATGACTGCAAGCGAGCCACCACAGATGAACCAATCCACCCCCGCGAACCTGTCGCCTGTGGTGCCTCCGGTCAATTCAAACTACAGTGGAGATTTAGAGCCCCACGCGATCGCCAAAGGCAAGCGGAAGCCAGCGGGTCCCGCGAAGGGGGAGAGCTCCCAGCGACTCAAGACCGTTAGAGCGTGTGATATTTGTAAAGAGAAAAAGACTCGCTGCAGTGGAACTCGTCCGTGTGCGCGTTGCCTGCGACTGTCGTTGGCGTGTGAGTACGAGACGACATATTCTAGGGGGCTGGGCCCGCCGCCACCACCACCGCTGGAGATTACCTTCGACGACCAGTCGGGCGAGCATCCCTTTTTGAAACATGATCCAAGCTACCCAGGATCCATTCAACATATTGCACAGCATGAGATGACTCAGGCTCCCACAAGCAGTACCGATCTCTTGACGGCGGACTTCCGGGGAGGATATCTAGACCTGGCATCAGGAACCTCCTTCATCAATCGGGTGTGTCAAGGCCTCAACCAAGGGAAACCCCCCTCATCTGGCACCGTGAGTGTTTCGGACGGGCTGCAGGGCGAACTCTCAGACAGCCCGTCAGTCACCAAATTTGGTGACAAGCCGTATTCAAGCCTTTACAAGCTTGATTTCACCCTCCCGCCGCTGGAGAGAGCATTGGAGATAGTTGCCACATACTTTGAGTATGCCATGGTGACTTATCGATTCTTGCACCGCGGTCAGGTGGAGCGCTGGCTTCGTCAGATCTACCGAAGCAATATCTCTGCCACGAATCTCCCTACAGACTTCATGATAGGACGATGCTGTATTGTGTACAGTGTGCTTGCAATCGGAACACTCTACGATAGACGACCGCCTGACCCCGACTTCGACCACGATGAGCAGAGGTAAGCTTGCAATCAGCTCTTGTAGCCACCAGTGTATTTGCTGATTTTCTTTGATTGAAGTGAACGATGGTTTGCCCTCTCCAAGCGGATGTCAGCAATTGAGTCGGGCGCCCCACAGCTAGAGACAGTACAGGCACGATTGAACCGAAGTCTATATCTGCTGGCATCTTCACGAGCGAGCGAGTGCTGGTTCGCGTTCGGAACTACCGTCCAGTTCTTGACTGCTCTGAACATACATCGCAAGTGGCCTTCCACAATGATCAAGGAAGGTAAGGGTACGTACATGGAGCAAGAGCTTCGCAAGAGGACATTCTGGAGCGTGTACACCCTGGATAAGTATCTAAGCGTGATGTTTGGAAGACCACGGCTGCTGCACGATGACGACTTTGACCAAGAGCTTCCAGACGAGGTGTCGGACCAAGACCTGTTGATCAACGATCCGAACATGCGATCTGGCGTTCCTGATGATGTTATGATTGCATCTGTGCTGCATTATCGGTCGGTTTCCAACGTAAATCATTCAGATATAAGGATCATTGATTTGGCTAACGATAATCAGACTCTCCCGGGTCCTGGCAGATATTTCAAAGAAGTTGTATAGCCTTAACGTGCCCACAGGATCCCCCTTTGAGGCGGCTGTCCTTTTGATTCTAGAGCTGGAACGATGGAAGGAGGCTGCGTCGCCATTGATAGATCGCTGGCGATCTCAGATTCAGCAGCTTGCCTACTCGCACGCGGTCATCTACATAACGCGTCTGTTTCTCTTGAACGATTGCGACGATGTTCCTCAAGCGAGTGTTTCTACGTATGTCCAGAAATGCATCGGATCTGCCGAGGATATTATGACCATTATCAATGGGATCGCGCAGAAGAAGGCTCTCATCCATGGATTTTGGTTTACTCATTACGTGTGCTTCTGTGCCATCACGGTGGTATACATCTATATCATTAAACAGCACCAAGGGTCCTCCACAGTTGATGCCTCGAACAAAAGGATGGATAACAGCAGCCAGCTGCAATATCTGTTCAGCCTAGCTGAGACCTGTCAGCAGCATTTAGGGAAGGCCACCTCTCGAAGCAGCCCCAATCGTCGCTATGGCATTATTCTGGAGCAATTGCGCCTGGAGGTTCACCGACAAGTCGTTTCAAACCTCCGACCGGGCACTCAGACAGAAACAGAAGATGAAATTGGCAAGATCCTTCCCCAAGCGGACAGCTTTCTTCAACCTAGTTTCCATGCCCCTGTTACTTCCGTCTCCCCGAAGCCGAAAATCCCAGCCTTTGATGGACTGCCAATCGACCCCTTTGACTCTCACCTTGTGGACGACTCATTTAAGTTGTATGACGGACTTGGATTTCCAGAAAGCTCTGATAATTCCGCCTGGTGGGCCCAGCTTGACTCCTGGGTAAGTCTGATCATCAGTGTCCGCTTTCCAAGTTTGTGTTACTAGCAAGCTGACCTAGGTTAGGCGTACACGGATCTCTCGGATGAGCCTTCTATATTTCAATTCTGAAGTGCAAATTTAGAATACATTCATATATTATGTTCCACGAGAGGATCTTGCTTTTTGAATGGGATAAACGACCTTGATGTGACCTTACATCGTGTAATGCCAGACCACTGATTTCCACGTCAACCGTGACTCTTCAAGCCTTTCGACAATGTTTCCTCCTACGATAACAGTAGAAACTGGAGATACAAACTATCTCATACTATCAAAAGGATCTCTCTTCCCCAAATCTTCTACCTGGTAGATAACATTGGTATTGTGATGCCACAAGCCCGCAAGCGTGCCCATTAAACACCCTTCAGCAAGATGGCCCCCCGGAAGAGGGTTTAACGTAAGTAAATTTATCTTCCAAGCTTCAGGCCGCTGAGAAATAATTGAAAACGGAGACTGGATTTGGAGGAAAAGAAAATGAGAGAAAGAGACCCCAGAAGAGAAAGAAGTCGCCGTCTACCGCTATGCTGGGTCGCAGGATTTCTATCTCAGGTGCTCACCTGGGCATCTTCAAACCTTTTAAACCTCTGCAGATTATAAAACAAAAGCGTTTCCTCAATCTCGAATTTTTTTGAATGAGGATTGTCCACTTAAATATGTTGGCCATTTGTCCAAGCCTCTGAGGTTTGAGTATCCAGTTGCAGGTTCAAGGTATAGATTCTAAAGTGCTTATACTGAGCAGGATCAACGGATTTTGTGAGGTAAATCATGATAAAATAAGCGTCATTTTGGCACCACCTATGTAGCCCTTCTTCGCAATCTAGTTGAAGCTTGCCGTTTACTTGCAGCTCATCCATAGATAGTCGGTTGACTGCAATTCCCCCGAGGCTTCTATATAGAATTTGTCTCCATTGTGAAATTTCCCTCTTCCACTTCTGTCAATTCTCCATGTTCACACAACAAAACCCCAATCTGGTATTCAGCACCATAGCCAACTGCTCTCCACTGTCGAACTCAACCGGCAAAGCTGCCAGTAACAAAGACCTTCTCGTGCTTCATGAGCAAGCTGCAGACTAAGCAAATGGCACCCGCAGCGATGATAGGCACGTAGGCAAGTTGAATAGCCCCAGTGATGCCGTGAATTGCTGCGGCGTATTCTTCAGAGCTTGCAGAGCGCAGTAGCTGGCTGCCTACTCCTGAGATTGCATTTGAGATTTCATCCTCAGTGGCAGAGGGGAACACCTTCTGCAGGGCCTGTTGAGCGAAGTTGACGAACAGAGCACCAGAAATACCAGTGCCAAATACGATACCCAACATCTGTCCAACGGTCATGAATCCCACACAGAAGGGGATCTCCTCAGGCTTGACTTTCATCTGCGCAATTGCGAACCCAGCCTGACAGAAACAACCCACTCCGGTTCCCAGGATGATGGTGTACCCATAAATCTTGGCGTCGGATGTGTGTTCATCAACGGTGTCTGTTTGAAGCGAGGCGCGTTAGACTGTGTTCTGTGGTAGGTGACCATGATAATTGGCGGAGAGGCACTTACATAAGAGAACACCCCCAATTAGCTCCAAAGCAGCTCCAAAAATGTACCAGGGATAGTAGTAGCCAGTCTTGCCCATAAACTGGCCGTTGATGAGATTGAAAGCGACCAAAAGCAAGATGAAAGGTAGAAGATGGACAGATGTTTCAACGGCGGTGCTACCGCGGGCGAACTGGTAATAGATGGGCAGGTAGTAGATACCAATGAAGCTGCCAAATGTTGCCAACACTATGCAAAGTCAGATTTTGCGCCACGTATATGCGTATATGTAGGGTGGGGGACTCACTCATAGTGAAGAAGAGAACAATCAAAGTACGACTTCTCCAGAAGTGCATGGGGAACATGCGGTGCTCAAAGTTGGTTCCAAGGTTGAAGGCTTGCTGCACCAAAAACAGAATCAACAGGACACCGGCGCCTACAAAGAGGCCAATGCTGTTTGAGCTATCCCAGGTCCACAAAACACCACCGAAGTTCAAAGCCATGATAGCGCAAAGAAGGGTGCCAATGGATAGCAGTGCTCCGATGTAGTCAATTTGACCGAATCGCTTGCGCATGGGGACATCCTTCTGGGGGTTGAAGTCGGGCAGGAGAAGGAAGTAGACGGGAGCAACGACCGCGCCGACCAGTAGGTTGAGGTAAAATGCCCAGCGCCAGGTCGCCTTGCTGTCACCGAGAGCTCCACCAACGACAGGACCTAGCACTGTGCCGATGCCCCAAATAAATCCAGTCAGACTAAGATATTTTGGCCGTTCAATGTTGTCCGTTGTTACCGACATCAAGGTCAATAGACCCATGTACATTCCACAGCCCCCGGCACCCGCGATAGCGCGGCCAACGATGAAGCTGTTGATATCCGGGGCGCCACCACAGAGGGCCGACGCGCCCATGAAGACGACTGTGCTTCCAATGTAGAGTTTCTTTGCAGAAAAGGTGCCATAGGCCTTGGACCAAATTAAGGTTGTCGCAGCTGAGGCTAGAGCAAAGGAGACACCCAGCCAGGGAACCAAGCTCACATGGCCAAATGTCTCGACGACTTTTGGCTGAACATTGGCAACCACGGTATTATCAAGCGCATACAAAAAGAGGGACGAAAGCAGCGCAATGACGACCAAGGCCCACTGTGAACAAACAGTTAGCAAGAAACGAGTTAAGAATAATAGCTTAATGACTGACTTTAATCCCATGCACATCTCTTGGAGATTGTGGCTTCTCGATCTGTCTCTCCGAGGGTGGCTCAGAGGACGAGGAGCGCAGTGAATCATTAGGAGCTTTCTCCATTGCTGCGGTGGTAGTTATCGATGAGGTTCCGAGATGAATTCTGAGATAGAGAAGTGCAAAACTTCTTTGATAGGATTGGGCTCTCTGCCTTGGTTGTTGTGTTTGAGGTGATTGTTGATGAGAGTCATTGCTCGGAGCACCAGGGCCTATTTATCGTCATGATGGGATTGATTCGTAATTCAACCAACTGCTCTTCTGCAGAGCGCGGGACTATGCCCCCGAGACGGAAACGCTTTGCTTGTGCTGTGGCCTGGTAGAGATTGACCCGGACGCACCAATAGGCCAAGGGACGATCTCTCGGCGCTTGGCACGCCGGGCTCTGCGCCAAGCTCGAGTGTCTCCGGCGGAAACTGTGTGGAGTCACAGAGGATGAGATTTTTATTGGTCCGGATACCCTGTGGGTCTCGGAAATGCTTTGAAATCGGAGCGAAGCCATAGATACCCGTAGTATCTTATCAAGATATCCTATGGAGATGTGTGATTATAAGAACGACGCCCGGAAATACTGACAGGGGATGTTTAACATCTCTGAGTTATTTGAATTTTGGCTGAGTATTCATTATGTCCGCCCAAACGGTCACCTTCCAGCGCCAGTCGACAGAACCCGCCAGTGTCATACGTATTCACCGTCACGATGCCGTGGGTGACGGCCCAATTCCCGCAGAATCGGTGCTGCTGAAGTTTCTAGCGGCCCCTGTGAACCCACAGGATCTGTTGGTGATTGCCGGCCGGTATCCCGTCCAACCGCATCATCGCTATAACGACGAGCCCATTCCCGGCTACGATGGGGTAGCCCGTGTCGAACGCGTGGGCTCCGGTGTGACAACTCTGAAGCAGGGTGACCACGTTATTCCGCGTGCTCACGGCCTCGGGACCTGGCGCACCGAAGCCGTTGTCCCAGCAGCCGCCGTGTTGAAAGTATCCAAGAGTTTGGAACCGACGACAGCCAGCTTGTTAAAGACCGGTTGCTCGACCGCCTATCTTTTACTAGAGAGCTGTCCATCCTTGAGCCCGGGGGATTGGGTCGTTCTGAATGCCGCGACAGGCTGGATTGCGCGGATGGTGGTCCAATTTGCCCTGCTGAAGGGGTGTCCAAGTATCTGTGTGATCCGAGACCGGGATGATGTTGAGGCTACACGACAGTCACTTCTCAACCAGGGTGCACGGATTGTTGTTACCGAATCCCAACTCGCTAAAGACGGACCGAGCGCGGTTGCAGGAGGGAACCGCGTAACCCTGGCGCTGGATGCGGTCTTCGGTCAATCGGGCCAGCGACTGGCCGCCATGCTGGCCCCAGGGGCCACTTTCATCAACTACGGGTCACTAGGGGGTGCGACGGGTCAATTGGTTCTGAGTCAGGAGCTCATCTTCTGGAAACAAATCACCTTCAAAAACTTCCGACTGTCCCAAGCCTTGGGACGCTATACGGAAGACGCACAGATTGATCTTCTTTCGTGGTTCACCAAACTCTTTGAAGAGGGGAAAATTACTGCGCCACCAGTCAACCGTGTGGACTGGGCAGAAGGCGGGGCAGAAGATGGTGGGAATCTCGAAAAGAAAGTGCAGTCCGTGTTGGCTCGAGCTGGGGGGAAGATAGGACCAGACGTTGGATGCACGAAGCACGTCGTGCAGTTCTAAAGTTCTAATTTCAATTTTTCTCAATGTTGTTTTGTTCCAAGGTTTCTCTTTCTTTTAGCCTGATGAACTTCCCGTAAAGAAAAATATATTTAACAGCCTTGTTCGCAACCAAGATTACCCCCCAGTGTCACCAGCTTGTACTTAGTTATGCAGGACGTCTTCCAAGGTTCTCCCTCCTACTTAGTAATAGCCCTAGCATCTCTATGAATAAATTCTCTAGTACCAACTGTACCCGATGCATTATGCTGTGAACTTTAAATACGGTTATGCGAAATCGATGGAATCATAGATCTGTATACTTCAGTATTTTCAAGTTCTAAGTTTACCCAAATTTGGAATCATGCAAGTCTCCCGCTCAGGTGCACCGGTACTCAAGTGGATTTTCCGGGATTCTGGAGTGAAATATTGGATCATGGATGTAATGCTCAATTTGAGAAGTGTCCAGGTAGTTCTAGAGCTCTGTCATGTTCTTCTAATAGTAATTGAGTACCGCTCGAGCGTCAGTTCACACATGTATATATATCTCCTCTCACCTGGCAGGTGGTTAGTGCTCAAGTGGATCTATACTTAAGTAGATATTTTAAAGTTCAGTTGATATAAACATCGAACGAACCACACCATCGAGAACCTCCACCGATCCCGGTGATACAGTTGCTTCAGAAATTAAATCCAAACCTTCCAAGGCTGGAGGTTTCTAAAGTCCTACATAAGTTTTGATATTTAAGCGAAGCAAACTTCCTGAACTTGAAGTCACTTGAGCATTGCCAATGTTATGCCAGTTCGGGGCTACGAAGTACGTGATCATCATGGAAGTGATGTACCCCTACTTAAGTAAAGCTGCAAGCACGCTCCTGGTCCTGAAGTCGTAAGTTGCCACCTGGACAGGTGCCTCAGACCTACCAAGTACATGCTCAAGTGACCTGGGTAAAAGTCGACAGGGTAAAAAATCTACAGGACTTATGCAAAAATAGACCCCCAGGACTGGGAAATAAGGAGAATATGAAAGAATTTCATGGGAAGCTCAAATTATATACAGTCATAGGTTCGACTTTAGAGCCTGCTCAAGTGGTACCTGGTGGTTGTTGAATCCACGGCCTAGTCGGTATAGACGCTTTCCCGCTCGATGATGTGGGCGTTGTACTTGCGGAGTGTGTCTTCCAATCCCGGAATGGGCGCGTCAAAGTCAATCAGACAACTGTTCATGGTGCGGGCGAGGAACGCGTAGATCGATTGAGTGAAGAACAGGTCCATCAGAGCTTCATCTCCAAGGACCTCCTTGGCCTTGACCACAGTGTCTTTGTTGACCCGATCACGCAGACAAAGATCCTCGACCACTGCACTGATCAGTCGCTGGCGATCCGAGAAGAGCTCGGTCGAGCTCATGTCCCCGGAGCGGAGACCCGCCAGATGGGCTTCGGTGTACCCGAAGACCCGTGCCACAGGCTCATTGACATCCCACTCGTACGGGGCGTCAAGGAGGGTCGCGGTGCGCAGGACCACCAGTTGCCAGTCCTTTGAGCGCAAGCTACGGTTGGGGGACCAGGCACAAGTCAAAAGTTTCATGAAGGTTGGGAAAAAGGTGGGCGCGTTCGCGACCAACTGAGAACGAGGTGTTAGAAGACAATTTTCCTACAGGCTGTTTAGGACATTCGTGAACATACCTTAAAGATGTTGCGCTCGAAAGGTAGTGTCTTCAGGGCCGCGCTGACCTCCTCCGGGGCCGTTGCAGAGTCCACGTACGGCAAGAGGTGGTTGTCGGTCACATCGCGGTTGCTCCAGGTAGTCATTGTGGCAGATATTTGAGAGGATGATTGTGTTGATTGTGTAAGCTGGGCTTGTCCACTGGGCTTGTTCAAGTCGTGATGTTGGTGTTGAGTTCAAGCTGATGCGATGGGCCTATATTTATAGGTGATTTGGGTTGCTTGATCGGCATGATTGACACGGAAGGTAAAGCAGAGAATATTATTTCCGTTTCTTGCTCGGAGGCTCTTACTCGGAGGCTGCAGGTTGCAAATGTCGCCAATCCGTTGTTTGGCGTTTGTCGTTGTCGACAAGTCGGAAAGGGGGTGTTTCTGGGCCCCACACCGTTTCCGCGCTCATCTCCCCTCCGCTGAGGTCAACGTCCTCCGGTCAACGCCTCTTGCTGTCACCCGGAGAAAATAGATTGCAGTTCGTGCTCGTTCCGCCTCTGGGCAGCACTGTGCTCAACATGGCTGCAGCGATCGACTTCCGGTACTGTCAACACGTCAACCCGGCTCCGGGACCTGCATCGTTGCGACATACGCTTGGGTCGCTGAAGTCGAAGAGTTGTGAGGGGAGAGACGGAAATCTTGCTCACAACGGGAATAGGCGACATTCAGGATGGCTTCAGTGATGAGCGAGAACATTTATAAAGGATGGACAGGAAGGATCCAGTCAATCCATCAACACTCCCAACAGAGATCAACAAAAGCAACCATCAATCAAAGATCGCTTTGAATACATTCACCAACGATATCATCATCATGAGCCTGATCCAAATGAACACCATGGACTTCATGTCCCCGGACCCTTTCAGCCATGCGGAAGTTCTGTACGACCAGAACTTCGGCGGCATCGAGAGCATGCTCCATGGCACTGATCTGGAGGTAGAATGGCCTGCGACTCCAGCCCAATGCCAGATCTTGGAGTCGGACGAAATGCCCTGGTGCAAGATCAGCCTGATCTTGCCTCGCCAGTCTGCACCGGACGTGACCCGAATCCAGTCGAGCTGGATGCAGATCTGCTCCCACCGTAAGTTTTCGCGATCGCAACTTGTGCTTTCAGGCAAAGCCTTCAGAGTTTCTAACAGAAGTATAGACTGTGGCCTCCGTACGATCTTCCGCTCGGATCCCCGCTCGGGGGAGACGTATCAGCGGGTCGTATTTCGCACCCCAGAAATACAGTGGGATACCAAACAAATTGGAAGCAATGTGTCTTCTTCCAATTCATCCCTGGCGGATGTTCCAGCCGACGATGACTTGGCACAGTTGATCGTTTGCCGCGACCCCAGCACCGGCAGCTATCGATTGACACTGCGTGCGCGACGGGCCGCCGTTGACGGGACCTCCCTCGAGATCATAAAACGCAACTTCGTTCTGCTGTATTGTGGTCTGCCTTTACCAGAACACACTCCGCTGGCAACTTACCAACGGTTCCTGAAAGAAACCAAGGACGCGACCAGCAGCGTTGCATTTTGGAAGACTCAGCTCAGCGGTGCTGTGCCATCCGTCGCCCTCCCCTGGGATACAGGACTGCCTGATGTCGATGGGTTGCAAGACCGCCAAGCGATTCGCCTCCATCTTGATGATAATTCGCACCCGGGATTATCTCAGATTGAGCATGCCTCGGGGCTCCCTCGCAAACTCATTTTTGAAACCCTCTGGGCCTATGTCTTGCACTGCCATTCCGGCGCCAGTGATGTTCTGTTTGCGGCCGTGGAGCGAGATGCGAGCTTCCCAGACGCCGCTTCATGCGTAGGATATCTCGATCACACCTATCCAGTCCGATTGTCGGTTTCCAGCGAGGAGACATTTGTTGGCCTGTCCAACCGCCTCACTACCTTCCATCAGTCGGCGTCCCCACACGCCTATCTGGGATACTCCACACTATCCCAGGAGCTCACAAAGCCAATTGAGTCGGTTCTCAGATACTCCCCGGATCCAAACGGACCCACGCTTGCTGGACAATTGGCGCCTTTCCCTCTCGCAATGTTTATCAATGGGACTGGGGTTATCACTCTGACACTTTGTCATTCGCCATTGACCGCGACGGCTGACGCCCAATTGCTCCTGCAGCATTTCTCCCATGCACTTTACAGCGCACTCAACAAATTCTACCTTCCCCACGCTCGTCTCGAGGAAATTGAACTGAGTTCGCGGGAAGAGAAGCTTGCGCAGGTGCACACGGCCAAGGCATTAGCCCGTCACCACCAGACCTCAACCATTACCCGTTTGTTTGAGGAGAATGTGATGGTTAGTCCCCAAGCTGCCGCTGTGCAGTTTGAGGAGGACACACCACTCAATTATGCTGAGCTCAACGCTTGCGCGAATCGAATGGCACGCGCTTTGCCTTCAATCACGGGCAAGGTTGTCCCAGTGTGTCTCGACCGCTCAGTTGATCTCATCGTCACTTTACTGGCCGTTTTGAAGTCAGGTGCAGCATATACGGTTCTGGACCCAGAAGGACCAATCGACAGAAACAGCCGAATCATCGAGACTTGCTCTGCGACCATTGTCCTGACTACTCATCGCTATGCGTCCTCGTATCCAGAGGCCCTGGCCATTGAGGACTTGACGCTGAACCCCCATGATGACGATTCATCCGTGAACTTGGATATGAAAATCCGGAGTGAGGACCCTTGCTACGTGGTCTTCACTTCTGGTTCGACCGGTATGCCAAAGGGTGCAGTTGTTACCCACGGGGCGGCCACCAATGGTATGGCATATCATACGCTGAATGGAAAGCAACGCTGGCTGCTCTTCTATAATCCCACCTTCTCTGCCGCCCAGCGAACAATGCTGTCTACTCTGACCCACGGAGGGACCCTTCTCCTAGCTTCAAAGCAAAGGCTGACGACGCGTCTCGCTGAAATTATCCTCAGTATGCGAGTGGATGCACTTGGAATCACGCCATCGGCATTGTCTCTCATGGAGCCAAGCGATGTGCCCAATCTGAAGCAAGTCACACTCGTGGGTGAGAGCATCCCTCGCGAGCTCGTCACCACTTGGGCAGATCATGTCGATCTTCGGAACACATTTGGCCTGAGCGAATGTGCTCAGTTGAACTTTGGAAAGCGTCTCTCTCGCAGCAGCAACCCCGGAATAGTCGGACGTCCCACAGATACCACACAGGCCTATGTCTTGAAATCTGGCACCACAGAGTTGACCCCAATGGGCGTCGCGGGTGAGCTGTGTCTGGCGGGACCACAGTTAGCATCCGGATACCTCACTTCCAGCAGCAGTACTGGAAAGAAGACTGCTCCGGCTTTCGTGGATAACCCCTTCGGCGTGGGCCGCATGTACCGCACTGGAGATGTGGCTAGGATCCATGCAGATGGTTCGATTGAGATCCTGGGGCGCATGGATTTCCAAGTCAGGCTGAACGGGCAAAAGGTCAACCCAGCAGAGGTTAACAGAGTCCTATCCCAGCATGATTCTGTTCAAAGCTGTGCGACGGTTGCTGTCGAGATGCGAGACCGACTCGTATTAGTTGCAGCAATTGCCCCCGTTCCCGGAAGCCAATGGAGCAAATTGGTTCTATCGATTCGTGATCACAGCAAACAGAAGTTGCCAGCATACATGGTCCCCTCCCTGTGGATGCAAATGTCCAAACTCCCGGCAAATGGAAACGGAAAAGTTGATGTTCGCGCCATTGAGCGTGAAGTACTTGCAGTGGGATGGGAAGCTCTGGTAGAGGCTGCAGCTTCAAATGTCCCAACAGAGGCTGTCACCGATCCAACTGAACAGCAGATTGCTGGTGTCTGGGCCGATGTGCTTGGTTTGCCGCAGCACTCCATCACTCGTGACACTTCATTCCTTTCACTGGGAGGAACTTCCATTGAAGGTATCAAAGTCACTTCGGATTTGCGCAAACGTGGAATTGCCATTGACCTTGGAGATGTACTCGGCAACGCCACCTTGAAGGAAACATCATCCTTCGTCACAATTGTGCTAAACAACGGTGCTGAACTGCAACCCTTCGCGCTTGTCCAAGACCAAGAAGTGCAACAGCGACTCCAGGCCAACCCCAACATCAGCGATGCGTATCCAGCTACTCCTTTGCAAGAGAGTCTACTTGCTAGTCTAGGCGAGGATCAGGGGATGTATACATACCAGCGAACTTGGGATGTCAGCCGTCTTGACATTCACAAGCTGCGAACGAGCTTCAACACAGTCCTTAATTCGAGCGATATACTGCGCACATCCTTCCAGCCTGAAGGCCGCAGCCTGCTCCAGGTGGTTAGAAACGACATTACTTTGCCTTGGGCGGAGTCGGCAGCGGAACTGGATCAATATCTTGCACAAGATAAACAGAAACCTTTCTCCCTTTCTGGCCCTTTGTTCCGAGTGGCTATCGTCTCTGGCAAGGTACTCGTTGTTAGCATGCATCACTCCCTGTTTGACTATTGGTCGCACCGGTTTGTGTACCAGGATGTCGCAGACGTCTATTTAGGCCTCGCACTCCGCCCGCGACCACAGTTCAAGCACTTTGTGAACCACACCACGACAACATCTCCAAATGACCATGATCGCTTCTGGAGAAAATATCTCACCAATACGGAAAAAAGTGTTATCAACACTGCTCCTGTGGTGGAAACCGCCGTGTCTCAACGCAAGATTCCAGAGGGTCCCCTGCGCCGCTCGCTCCAACTTCATGGACTTTCACTGGGTGCTGTACTATACGGAGCGTGGGCGATTGTTCTTTCAAACCATGTTCGCCATGCCGATGTGATCTTCGCGACCACTCTCTCCGGTCGGGATACTCCAGTCCTTGACGTCGACCGTCTCGATGGTCCCACCTTGACCACAGTGCCTCAGAAAGTGAACGTGGCGCCTGAGGCGACACTTTTACAGCTGGCTCAGACCCTCCAGGCCAATTTGTTCAAAACTTTGAAACATTCGCAACATGGAATGCGTAACGCACTCTCCGCGGGTAACCTCGCAGCGAGCGACCTTGACACAATCGTGAACATCCTCGTGAAGGACCATGATGGGGATCGGGTAAGCCAAGTCTTCCAGCGGTATGGAGATCGGCCCACCTGGGATTCTGAATTCACTGCTTTGGAGGTTGAGAATGATAACGAGGAGCTGCTTATCAAGCTCTCGTCCAAAATGGAGTCTCGCCGTGTAGAGTTCCTTCTGGAATCATATGAGAAGGTTCTCCGGGCATTCACGCAGACCCCAACGCAACACATTTCAACTTTGGACATTATGGGAGAGACGGAGACCGAGTTCCTGTACAACGACATATCGAACAGAAACACTCTTCATGTCCCCTTGCCTTCGCTCCTCCATGCGAGCTTCGAAGAGCATGCCCACAAATTACCCACCACCCTCGCCATCGACTGGGATGGAACAACTCAGCTCTCCTACGCGGAGTTGAACGCCCGCGCCGATCGTGTCTCCCAATATCTGATCAAGAAAGGAGTCCGCGTGGGAGATGCCGTTCCTCTGATGCTTGAGAAGTCTGTCGATACCATTGTCGCGATTCTTGGTGTGATGAAGGCTGGAGCTGCTTACGTGCCTCTCAGCCCGGACAACCCGGTGGACCGGAATTCATTCATAATCGGCGATGTCAAGGCACGATTGATCCTGACCGAGTCAGAGTACGTCGAGGTGTTTTCCTCTGTCCCTGGTCTCGAAATCGCTCGGATCGATGATCCGGAAGTTGATCAGTTCCCTGCAACCCCTGCAAGTGTTTCTGTGGCTCCTCACAACACGGCATATATCATCTATACCTCTGGCAGCACGGGTATGCCAAAGGGTGTGCAAGTGCCTCACCGTGCAGCGGCGGCAGCTGTCATCAGCATGGCAATTGCCGAGAGCAGATATTCTGGCGAGTGGAAAACAGTCCAGTTTGCCAATTACGTCTTCGATGCTTCGGTGCAAGACATCTTCAACACGCTCAGCACTGGTGGAACCTTGTGCATGGCACCTGCTGATAAGATGCAGTCGGACTTGCCAGGCGTTATCAACGCCATGTCCGCTAGACAGGCTATTCTCACTCCAACAGTTGCCAAGTTGCTTGATCCCAGTGAAGTGCCCACCTTCGAAACATTGATCGTGGGCGGAGAACCTCTCACACCAGATGTCATTGAACGATGGAGTCCGGGACATCGCATTTTGAACGTCTACGGCCCCACTGAGACTTCAATGGTAATCACGACCAAAGAAGTCGACCCTAAGGGCCGCCCAAGCAACATTGGCGCACCCTTCCCAACTGTGATGGCCTTTGTTCTGCACCCCGACGGTACTACGATGGTGCCATATGGTTCAATAGGTGAGCTCTGTGTCGCGGGGCCCCAAGTTACCGACGGGTATGTGAACCGTGAGGACCTGACCAAGGCTGCATTCATGGAGGACATATTGGGCACCGATCGAATGTACCGAACCGGAGATCTGGCGCGATGGCTCCCTGGAGGCGAGCTCGAATGCCTGGGCAGGAAAGACAACCAAGTCAAAATCCATGGCCATCGCATCGAGTTGACTGAAATTGAGCAGGCCATTCTGAAGACCGGCCTCGTTCAGGGAGCAGCTGTCTTGGCTGTCAACCACAATGGAAAGAAGCAACTTGTCGCTTTCTGCATCTTTTCTGCAGGCTCGTGTGAGATCCAAGAAGCAGATGGTCATGAGTCCGGTGTTCAAGAATTGCGATCGGGACTCAATACCTTGGCTCACTACATGATGCCCAAGTACATTCTCCCAGTTGGAGACTTCCCAAAGATGCCCTCTCGCAAAACCGACCGGAAGCTCCTCACGAAGTGGGTTGAGCAGCTGGACACCCTCACCATCAGTCAGTACTCCTTCGAGGGCAGTGGAAATCAACACGAGGTTGTTCCTGTGGAGACCGAACAAGAGTCCAAACTTCAAGATATGTGGTCTAAGGTCCTTGGCCTTCCGTCTTCTAGTATTGGAAAGAAGGCCGACTTCCTATCCCTGGGTGGTGACTCCATTGCAGCAATCGGCTTGGCTAGTGCTGCTCGCAGTTCTGGATACCTCCTCAGCGTCAAGGATATACTGAAGAACCCGGTTTTGGAGAGTCTTACGACAATGATGCGCCTTGATACAAGAGATGCACAGGTAATGAAGCCCAGCTACACGGCGCCATTGGATGTGTTAGACGTGATTCACGAGCATGGCTTGACTATTGGAGACAACGTCGAATATGGTGAGCATGAATATTCCATATGTAATATTCAAATAAGGAAGGTTATCGCTGACTATTCCCAGTGTACCCATCGCCACCGGGACAAGCCCAGTTCCTCGAAGAAGGTAACCGCCCTGATCAGATGTGGGTGCTCATGGCAGTTCGCCAAATGGCCAAAGGTACTAGTTACTTTGACTGGGTTCAAAACACAAGCCGCTTGACGGAAGTAAATGACATTCTCCGCACCTCTTGGCTAAGTACCTCTGAGGCCCAGTGGGTGGGTGTTGTTATGAAACACACCGACTTGGACGTTCCCATCATCCCCTGCGATAGCGACGAAAAGCAGTCTCAGATTATCGAAGAATTCTGGAACGATCGCTTCCAGTTTGGAAAGCCTTTCATCAAATATGCTATCCTTTTGCATTCCGATGGTAGCTGGGACGTGGCTATCAAAATGAATCATGCTGCATACGATGGAACATTGCTTCGCACCTTTGATGACCATTTCGCTGCTATCCGACATGGTGTGGCGATTCCCAGTCATGGCGAATTCAAAGACTTTGCCAACTTCATCTTCCAGTCTGATAAAGACGAATCACTCCGCTTCTGGGCCGACACAATGAAAGGCAAACATTACACCTGGCCACAGGCAGAGAACCCAAAGATCACCGGCGCGATTCGGGATATCATGCCCCGGAACCTGGAGCCTGTGGCTCGCGCACAAGGAGTGACCGTCCCGATTCTCTTCCAGGCCGCTTATCAGCTGTGGCTCTGTCGTGCCAGTGGTCGGAACGACGTCAGCTTTGACTATCTCCTCAGTGGGCGCAATGTGGACATGGTGGATGTCGACCCTCAGACCATCAATGGCACACTGGCCAACTTTCTCCCGGTCCGTGCACAGATCGATCCTCAAACTGCCCTCAGTGACTACCTGGAAACTGTGCAAGATATTTTCTGGGGAATCACCGAGCATGGTGATGTTGGGCTGCATGAGATCTTCAACGCAGCTGGTCTCTCGAGAACTACTGCTGGAAATCGTTGCCTGTTTCTCTACCAGCCGTTCGAACCTACTGCCAACAGTGAAGCATCCGAGTCGGATCGGTGGCTTGTCATGGCAAAGTCGAAGGTCCGGATGTATCAACCCTATGCTCTTGTTGTGGAGATCGCCAAGGCACCCAACAACCAGAACCGACTTACTGTCATGTATGACACCGATGTCTTTAACGAAGAAAATGCACGCCAGATTGCCGCAGAAATCGCTGCCCTGGTCGACCAAATTGCCGATGTTTGCGGGCAAAACGTATCATTGCAACAATTTCTTCCTTGATCCGGCACTGATAGCCCATCGTTACCGGCAGCTCAAGACAGCACTCATGTACATAGTCATCCTTTCCTTTTGTCACCGTCCTCTACTTTTCATGCGCAGTTCTTGTTTTTGTTCACTGATAAATACTTTCCTTCTTCTTTTCCTTACCTGTCTGTCTCACTTTTTATGTACTCGCAATCTTCGGGGATCTCCCCCTTGAATAAAAATCGTTCCAGCCGCTCAATCTTCTACTGGTAAAGTCTACGACTAGAAGTCACTTTCAAGTGCCTAAGTAGTCTGTTTACCCTGAAACCCGATATCCACTTCTAAAGTTCTAAAGTTGGATACTTATGATATATATGGCCTTGATGTTTCCAAGGATATTATGATGGTTTCGGAACTGCTCGAGAGAAGCGGGGGATAGCCACAAACAGGATGATAGCCTAGGAAGGAAGAGACCGGCCGGTATATGATTGTGCTGAGCCTCAACCACTTCCACGGTTCTAAGGGTTTTTGGTAAGTATACCTGTAGACCTACCCAGGGGTGGTGTAGTTTTTACGGGGTAATTCTTCTAAATTTGGTGAGAGACCCGCCCACTTGAGCACAGCCTGTTCTTAAATAGACTCGGTGCCATTGATTAGTGCGCAAGTGAAAATATGTACGCTAGATAATTCGTGATCAAGGGCTATTCAGGAATGGTATTGATTTCAACCTTGAAAGCTTTACAGCTTTACACAGAATGTACCCTCGGCCAATCCCTGGATTGATCTGACCTCAATACACCTGTAGACCAAAAACCTCGCGGTCGGCGTACACCACCTGGGCACCTTACATCTACTTAAGTATAGATCCCTACTGTCTCGCCCTGTTACCCCTACTTAAGTACTTATGTATTGGTCTGTCTATGATGTCAGACAGCCAACGCTTTTCTCTTCGCCCGTAGACTAGGGTTGGGAAGTTTGGCCCCTAATTTACCAACCCTGAAAGATATTTCTTACACCAAAGTTTTCAAAATCATACCAAAAAAAAAAAAAAAAAAAACAGTAACGACTATAAATCAAGGCTTTCTGCATATGTATCATCTTCCGAACTTGGCTAGTATACATTTAACTACTTTTTTATACCCACCACATACGACCACAGGGTGTGGAGAACAGGGCTTCCCGTCCGCTCAGCCGTACTTAAGCCACACGCCGGTGAGTTAGTAGTTGGGTGGGTGACCACCAGCGAATCTTCACTGTTGTATGTTTTTTGCTTTTGCTTTTTTTGCGAGGTCTACCATTACCGATACAAGTGAAAATGATGTTGCGGACCAGAATCATCTAGCATTGAGATACGAGCGCATGTACTCTACAAACTATAAAGTGCGAAACGGGGGTATTCTCTCCACTCCATTATAAACATATGTGTTCTGTGTGTTTAGTGTACATCAATATAACATTGTTTGGATAATGGTGCTATCATCGCTTCAGAGTTTTCTGGGATCAGTCAACGGCGTGTAGTGACGTACCCTGCCCTCGGAAATGGCATATTTCCTCGATTCGGGATCTAAAATTCGCCGAGAGAAAAATTCCTTGACATTGGCCCAATTTCCAGTCATACGAGCTTTCTGGACAACGTCTCGCGAGTGCAGCATAAAGTCCATAATCTTAGGCGCCCGGCGGTCACCAAACCAGTGATCCGAAAATTGGCTGTAAAACTTGAATTTGCGGAGCCAGCTGTTGTATGAGGGGTACGGATAGTGTAAAATCACCGCCTCCTCTTCCGGGTATTTGAAGGTGCGACCGATATGACCAGAAAACGAGTGGGCCCCTCGTGGCTCGACGGCTGCCCCTAGGCGGACGGCGCTTTTGCCATTGCCATAAGCTAAGAAGTTGGCGTTGTGGTCTATTCCATTCACCCAAAAATACACACAGTCCCTAAATGGATCTGAGGTCTCGAAGTCGACAGGAAGTGCCTCATGATTGGTGAAAGTCACAAGACCTAACTCGGGGTCTTTGGCCCAGTTGCCTGACTCTATTGAAGGTCCGAAAAGCAATTCATCCACATCGATATGAAGAAGCCATGTGTATTTCCGCTCCATCAAGTAGGGGATTGCATGCCTCATATTGGCCATTTGACGTCGGATGAGGCGGCTTTCTGGTGTCATCTGAGGTTCGATGCGAGATCCGTCCAAGAGTGTGACAGGCCTGTCCCCACATAGTCGGTGGAAGATGATACGCTCATCTGGGTCATCCATATATATCAGTACATGCTGCGCCCATCGGAGATGATAGTCAAGCCATACTGGAAGTGCAGGTCCGGGACTAAGGACCGTGGTGGCTATCGCGATGGATGTATTAGGCTGCCCCTCAAAGCTGCCCAACCGGTACTCCGGGTGAAGCGCATAAGGTTCACATTGATTCAATAATTCCGCATGGCATATGTTGGAAATACACAAAGCGAAGAGTAAATTCAGAGTCACACTCCATAAGAAGAAGGGGTTTGGCATTGAAACGGTCGCCCGTTGTCTCATGTGTACCCGGTTGAGAAAAGGCGCGGGCGTGTTCGGGAGAGAGATGCGGGGTAGAATAAACCAGTGGAAACCAGAGTTAAGCAGAGTAAAAGGAATATAAGTAGACATCACTGTGGAAAAACGACATATCGCGTCTGAACGATGCTTGAGAAAGGTAAAACACGACCGACTTGTACTGCGTACCTAAGCACTGATTCCAAGCAACGACGTTAATAAGAGTCGCAATCGATTACGAATCATACCGTAAAAACGGAGTACGATATCGATGTGGACGAGATCGGGGGGCCTCATGAACCAATGAAATAGGTGTGGACCTGGGGTCTCTTAGTGGAGACAAATTTAAGATCTCACTGGACAGATGAAATCTACGAGTGGGGACCTCGTCGTCTACTACGAGTATATGTAGTAGTAATCAAATCTCGCTGTCGCGATGAATGTGACGGACCTCTGTGCATCTACGCCAAGGACCGTGGGCAATGAGCCTCATTACTGGGCGGAAGGGTTCGCTTAACTATCAGCAGAATGAACCCCGCGACCCTTATTGCTGAGAATTAGATTTCCGCAAAACCTAGGCCTGGACAAGTATCGGTGCTGTGGTATGTCTTTGCGGTACTTTCTTGGCGGTACCAGAGGCTTGGTACCGTCACCACGCAGTCACGTAGCGAGAGTACCGTGGTACTGTAAACATTACAAACATATCAAATTTTGTTAAAGCTTGTGATTTGTATAAGTTGTATAGAAAATGTTTATATATTTAAATCTTCTGATTATACTTGGAGATAGATTCAAATAGAGATTTAGAAATGAAAATATTAATAATTGTGAGAATCGGCGCTGGTTACGTATACAATGATTACAGAATGACTGTTTACAGCCACAATTTCCATCCAGAGTAGTCTCGACGGTCGCAAGCATATGTTCTTGGCTCTCAACAGGATCGGCAGATTTGAGCATCAGCTTCGCTTGCGCAGTGCCGGGCATACTCTGCCACTCGCCCTATTCGAGTGCGGCACGAGCAGCTCGGGCGGCTTTGTCAACATCCTCTGCTGTGGCGGCATGCGCACTGACAATGACCTCGGTCCTAATTTTCTTGATGTAAGCAGGCTTGAAGGTAAACTTCGGAAGTCTGAATGACTTACGCGGGGTAGATCCATTTAAAGGATGGGATGAAGTGAGTGTTCCTAATGACTTTAGGGGCAAGTCAGCTCCGTTGCTGTTTCCACGTAGCCGACCAGAGTCTTCCGAAGCAAAAATGGCAGTATCCATCCTACGAGATATAGGCCATGTCGAATTTCATCCAATCGTTGACAGCCCTTCCGAAGTCTTCAGCCCGCAAAAGAAAATTGCCTTGATCGATCGTATTCAAGTCCCCCAAGCCCTCAAAACCCCGTCCGTTATGAGCTTCTTCCACTGCGCCACCTGGCGTAGTCAAGTTCCTCAGTGGTTTATAAGGGTCGTTGTCCTGGGGGGCATACGCCGAGATTCCCTTCCAGGCTGTTTTATGACCAGATATGCCCGCCGAACCGACCATGGCGCATTCGTCAACATCTTGTGAATGCTCAACCTCCGAGGTGACGAGGTCGTCAAACATAGACCTATCCGCAGAGCCGTCATTTTGCCCTGCCTTTTCGAAGACGAGGATATCCCAAAGTAACTGTGCATTGATTGACCAAGCCTCGTTAGAATAGATACCGTCGGCGTGGATGCTTGGTGTCGTGGAAACGCTATCCCGCAGCTTCCGTAGGTTCTGGGTCTTATGTGATCAACCCAGAATTAGCTATATATGAGTAATGGCGTAGACACACAACATACCATCGAGAAAATGAAAGACCAGGTTGCCCCTACGCGGTCTAAGAACCGCATACACTTATCATAACCATGCCGTGCTTTTTCGCGAAGAGTTTCGTCCTCAACAAAGCTATGTTGTAGATGGATAGTAGCAACTATAACCACGCAGTGCGCGATTGTGGGGTCCGTTATTTGGAACTGTTGCTTCTCCAAGAGATCAAGGTAGCAGACAATCCAGGCAGTATGTTTTGAAATGAGGTCGAATGATTGATACAAAAAAGTCTGTGGCATCATATGCCGGAAGTGCTTGAGATGTAATGATAAGAGAAAAGGGTGGCTTAATAGAGTCGGAATTGCCGCATGAAGAAATTGGATAAACAGCCACGGGCCCCAGTAGTCTCTTCGTTGATGCAATGCCTCAGGGGAAAGATCGCCAAAGTGATTCGTGGCGAATCGATACTTGAGCGGAAATCGACAGTCAAGCTCGAGATTACGCAGCGTAACGAGGGAGTAATCAGACTGAGGGCTCCAAGGGGGAGGGCTGTCTGGCCCGACTCGAATTGCCGCGTAGGCTCTAGCCATATGCCAGACCTTGGCAGATTGAGCCATATAGAATAAAATGCCGTGATTAGAGTCTCCCCCCAGGCCTGGCTCTCGTAACAGTGAGGTTTTCCCGGCTTGGTGATTGATGAGCTCTAGGAGGCTATTTGCACTTTGAAATAAGTAGCCTGTACTAGCAGCTTTTGCTAGGTCAAGGATTGAACCTTGAAGGCTCTGCAATAATGAAATGCTTTGGACGCATAAAGAGTATTCAACCGGATCGCCCAAGGAAGAGCCAATAGAGAGGCTACTAGCAAAATACTGAGCCATATTAAGGTCAAGCCCGGCTTGCATCTCACTTCCATCTTAGTTCATCACGTCAGTTAGATTGTCTAGGGCTTATTTTTCGGGAGGGGGATTTGTTGGATAACACTCACCTGCGAAGCCGGTCATGCTAAGAATACAAAGAGCTTGTAGAGTAGACAGCTTGATTTTGCCATTCGCAATGCGATCTGTCACTAAATTTCGGCAAGACTTAGATAGCGTAACTGCGGCTTGTTGTTTTTCAGGTGTGAATTGTCCGGGAGGAAATCGGTAAACAAGCATCCGAATCGCGAGGTAAAGCTCCTGATCACGGCATTGAAGGGTTTCAATGAACCCTTCTTCTCTAAAAAGAGAAAGGGGCTGGTTATGACAACATGTCATATAAAGTTGGCCGGCTTGAGATAGCTCCTGATCGTAGGGGTATGATCTTGACCCAGTATGTAAGCTTGCTAGACTCGATATACAAGGGATCCTCTAGCATAGCTTACAGTACATCATTGTGGTCTTGCTGGATTTGCATTGTTTATTGTGGCTCAAGGAGATTCTGGTAAGGTCTGGAAGTTGGTGATGCCGTGGAGATGTCCGTAGATAAAAGTTGTGTTTGGCGAAGACTATAGCGTATATATCAGTGGCTGGGATACTTTGTCTATACATGCAACATTCACCTCAATACTTGTAAAACATGGTCCAATTTAGTTTCAAGGCCTTCCATTCGATGGTGCTAAAAATTTTGTTAATAGTTGATGTGACAAGAATATTGACACTCTATGCAAATTCTTGGGCAATTCTGAAAATGAATTACGCCTGATGTATGCGCTCAGACTTCCAAGGCTGGTCATTTAAGGACTCAATCACTACCCGCTCATTTGAGCGGGTAGTGGGTTGCAGCTTAGACGAACTTGGAAGATATAAGGGCAACCTTCCTGCTCGAGTGAATATTTAGTCCAAGCACAGCAATCGTTTCAGTACAACGGAATTTCTTAATCAACACCCCAATCTTGAAATTGAGAACCAATTTGAATAACGACAAACCACAAAAATGTCTACAAACTATGGGGTTATCGGTATGGCTTTGTCTTACTGAATGCGATACGATTCAAACTAACAGCCCCAGGCCTCGGCATAATCGGTTACGGCATGGCCGGCAACCTGCGCAAGAAGCTGCCAGCTTCTACAACCCTCTACGTCTTCGACATCAACCAACAGACTATTCAGCGGCTTATTGAAGAGTTCGGAAGCTATGGTAAAATTGAAGCCGCAACCTCTGCTAAGCACCTCGCTTCTAACGTCGGAACGCTCCTATCAAGTCTCCCTGCGGGATCCCATGTAAGGACTGTATACCTGGACTCCGAGAATGGCGTGATCGCAGCCGAAAAGAACCCAGAGTGACTTTTGATCGAGTGCAGCACTATTGAGATTGAGTCCACCCAAGAAATCGGCAAGACAATAATTGACGCTGGGTTGGGTGCCTTTGTTGACGCCATTGTCTCGGGTGGAATGTGGGGCGCAAATGCAGGAACCTTGTCATTCATGGTTGGCCATACAAAGCCTACAGAGACCGACGTCGTGGGAAAGCGCGTTTATGAAACGCTTTCACTGGCCGGGGTCCCTAGCACGATTGCTTTCTGTGGCGGTCTTTGTATGGGACAAGTGGCCAAAATTGCTCATAACTACATCACCCTAGGAAACAACCTGGTCGCTACGGAGGGCATGGCTATCGGGCTCAAGTATGGAATCGACCAGAAAGCTCTATTCAAGTGCATAACGGAGGGAGCAGCCAATTCGTGGGTGATGGGCCTGGAGCAGCCCGTTCCCGGTCTTGTGTCCGATGCCCCATCTAGCAACAAATATAAGAGAGCATTCGGCCCTGAATTGAGTGTGAAGGACCTAACTATTGGCATCGACTCCGCCAAGAAAGTTGGAATAAATCCCACCGCAGGAGAGGCAGCCATTGCAGCTTCCCGCAAAGTCGTGGCCGACCCTCGTACAAAGGTTGGTGCCAGACCCCAAACTGTTAACAATCCGTAAACTTATAGTCTGACCTCTTCTGTGCCAGGACCTCGATCACACTTCACTTTGGTTGCACATATATGGTAACCTCGACGAATGGGCCAAGGAACACACGAGAATTTAGTGCGAGGAAACAGAACCTCGCAGTTAGCTTAGCATGAGCAAATAGACCCCCAACCGAGAGACCATTTGTTAAGCATTTATGGTACCTTGATGTACTAGGCTAATCACTATTATCATTCTACAATAAGGCCTCATGGCTGAGATGCTATCTCCTTGATCCATCACTAGAACCGTCGAAAATAACGTTCCTTGATATTATGAATCATGAATACCCAAATTTGTTGGTCTCCCAGTATTTGGATATAATCCCTGTGCTCTTAGTCTTAGCACCTGAGTTGGTATGTGTTGTGTAGGCAGTTTATTCCAACCCTCTAGTAGATAGGTCCACTTCCTTCACTTCTCTCTTCTTCTTTTCTCCATCCCTCTTTCCGCAGCCAATACAATCAGCTCTACCCAGAGGGACCAACTGTAATGAGGATGACTGCACGGCGGTAGGGATTCCTTAAGTATAAGCACACTTCGCTCCACCACCTTCTAAAGTTTACTATAATTAGTTTTCAACACCCTAAGTGCAATATATTTCCTACATATAACTTAGCTAAAAGTCTTACAGGTTCTACTTAAGTATTTTTATATCTGAAGTATCTCTAGTTTGAATTTAACAGCAATTAGGTTGATAGAAAGATTGTATAAGTTATATGAAATTAGTCAAAACCCCTATCCAAAGGGACTGACTGCATTCCCAGAGTGCCCACGGTGATACTATCCAACCCGGGAATGACGAGAATGCGAACTTCATTGTTTTTTCATTGAGCCCACTTTGTTTTAAAGGGAAATTGTTGATTGTAAAGATCACAGTCACCTCGGATTTTTCTATGAATACAATCAATATACGAAAATCCTTATCATCAAGATGACTACTATGAAACACCACTGCGCTGCCCGCGCAATGAACATTCTTATCGAAAATAACCTTGGTGAGATGGGTCTAGACCGTGCTTGCGTGTCTTTTGCAGGCGTCGAGGTTAATAGGGGTATAAATCGGAAAGTTCCAGATGAAGGCTGGGCGCCTATGACCAGCGCACGGCAAAGATCTAGCAGGCCTGCAGTGGTTTTGGAAGTGGGTTGTCTGAATCTGAGGGGAAGCTTCGCACCAACGCCAGGATGTGGGTGGACCCATCCGCAGGTCAAGCAAATATCGCCATCAAGATCAAGATCAAACGTCATCAGCCGCTTTTGAAGATCGATCAGTAGGAATGGGATGCGGATATCGGAAAAACACGAATCAACCGCCATATTGAGATCACAGGAGCTCGTGAGAAGGCTTCGTTTTCAGGTGGAGCTCTATTGGTTCCTTTTTACAAGATCTGGCGGAGGGCAGCTCAATATCCTCGGGCAAGGGACATCGTTCTCGATGTGGAAGATTTGGCTTTTCTGGCGACCCATGTTTGGGCTGCCATGGGGATCGACTGATAACTTAGATATGCCACGCATGTTGCCAGAGAAAAATTCAAGTTATAAAAATCACCTGGGAAACGCTGGATAAAGTATGTAGGTGACATTTAACTAAAAGACACTTGAGCGCGGCAATCGAGTCTTCGGATTGTATAAGTGTGATCAAAGCATCTGATGAGAGGACTACTCGAAACCCATAACCAGGGGAAAACGGCTGTTTGATTCCTCTAGAGACAACATAGAAAAGGAGGGGATGGAGAGGAGAGAGTGTATCTACACTATGGGAACTGTGCCTGAGGCACCTAGCCACCAAGGCCACCACAACACTGGTATGATCTAGGCATCCCAATCTACAGGGTCATTCTAAGAAATATCAACTACATGGGCGTCGTAAGACACTAAAATTTCGGGGTTAAGCGAGAGCAATGAATTACCAAAGGTTGGAAAGAACGAATTGTTGAGGGCAATATTACTAGAAATTAGCAATATTCTTTATTTACTCAAATACATAAACCTCTTACACCTTCTTCAGCAGGGAAGGGCTACTAGACCAGGATACTGATTGAACGTAGTGTATTGGGTTGAGAGAAGGAAGAAGAGCTATACTACTAGATGACTACCTAAGTGGGAGCACTATGCAAACATAGCAAACACACCTAGTATTAGGTGGCATGTACGTTCTGGTATAAATTACCACACTGAAAAATGCATACTGCCGGAGAGGGCGGCGAATGGATTGAATCCGTAACCAATTGACCATTTGCAGAGGGCCCGCTCGTCTTTCTGCCTCAACTTGTCGAGCTGGTCCTTTCTCTTTTTTATGAAGGTTGAAAGTCCGTCGCATGCAGAATCACTCTGTGTTCGAGGTATTTAGAACCAGATTCTCTCAGCAGATCTCGTATGTGATTTGCGGATGCTAGCCCCGCCCAGCTAATTTCTAGTCCCGCTCAGCTGGAAACCGGTCCCTGGGCCGCTTGGTTTTCTCTAAGTGCAGGGTTCACCCACATTTTGACATCTTTACAACTTCGCACCTTTAGACCCATTGACATGTCTCCAAGGACTTCACCAGTCCCCTCATCTGGGATGGCAACACAAAGCCCGTGGTTTCTGCGTTTCCCCCCTGAATTGAGTTCATCCATTGTTTCCTTTCTGCCAAACAGAGATGTCAAGTCCTTGCGCTTGACGTGTAAAGCCCTCAGCGACATTTCACCATGCTCCTCCGCACGTGTGTTTCTTTCGGCCAACTCGTTGAACATCGAAGTTTTTCGGGCGGTAGCAGACCATCCAAAATTTCGCCACGAAATCAGGGAGATCATCTGAGACGACGCACGGTTTGTATCCGCGCCGTTGATATGGGAATCCGTACGCCCAATCATCGAACCCGAACGCATGGAAATCAACTCCAACGAGGAATGTCCCATTTGGTTCACGGAGGATTGCGCAGAGAACCGCTATACGATCAAGCATCGGAAATACCGCGACCTGGACCGACCTGATCATGTTGCACGTCAACACCAGCTGGATGCCCAAATGCCGTTGAAAGCCTGCTGGAAGTACTATCAGCAACTATTGGATGATCAGAGGTCTGTAATCAGATCTGAAGACGACGAAAAAGCCTTTCTGTACGGCCTAGAGCGATTTCCTCAGCTTGAAAGAGTGACTGTTACGCCTGCAGCACATGGCTGGCTGTTTACTCCGCTGTACGAGACACCTATGATCCGACAATTTCCCCACGGATTCAACTATCCGATTCCGCGAGGATGGCACTATGATCCCGTTGATTGTCAGGTCGCCGAGCCGCTACCGTGGTCAGAGGCAACCGATGACTACAAAGAGCTATGGAGAGGGGCTCAAATCGTTCTTCGCCTTTTGTAACAGGTCGAGAAGCATAATGTTTCCGAGCTGAGATTCGACTCCAAGCAACTCCACACCTAAAAAACTTTTTGATTTTCGACCAGCCTTGTGATGAATGCAATCAATTTGCGGCCATCATGAAACGTCCAGGCTTCCAGCGTCTTCATCTGTCTTTACTTACTGGCAGCAGTGGTTACTGGACAGGATTTCAAAGCGGATTGTTCCGTCAAGCTGTGAGCCTGGCCAAAGAATTGACTCATCTCCATTTATCAACTACACTCAAAAATGGATCTGATTTTCCAATGAGGGATCCACCTATACCTCTCAAGGAGGTTCTGCCTTTGAAGGAGTGGTCGAACCTGTCTCACTTGGGGCTCTCTAATTTCAGCATCGATACGTCGGAGTTGATTGATATACTCAAATTGGCACCATCCTCATTACGATCTCTTGACTTGGAATTTATCGAGTTCCCCTTTGATGCATTATGCTTAACTGGTCTACTAGAGAGGATGCGAGAGGATCTGGGTTGGACCAAGAGAGATCAATCACTGAAACCGACCGTCACAATCGCGATGGAAGGCCAACGCAGATGGCCGGGGAGGTTCGTGAAGCTTTCTTCAGACGAGGTGGCAACCTTTCTCTATGGCTCTGGAGAGAATCCCCTGGATGGAGACAGCACAAGCAGCCCTAAAAGTGGATACGGGATAAATTATGACCTTTTCGAGGCAGAGTATACTCGGCCTAACGTCAATTTCATGGATCTTAAGAAACTGGGAATTATCTGTTAGGAATGCTACCCAGTTGAATCCTAGCCAAAGGGTTGAAAATTTGGCTCTTCTTACTAGCCACGGCTCTCATCACGAGGAAGATACGCCGACACAGACATACTCATTTGCTTGTAAACCCGAACAGTCGGTCTTCACGGCCGGGTTCCACTTGTAGAAAGAAGCCACTGGAATTCCCTTTGCACTGGCAATGTCGACACACGAATCGTCTGCGATGACCTTGTAAAACTCATCGCACGTAGCAACCATACCCGTCTGAATAGGATACGGCGTCGTGACACCAGTTCCAGTGGTTGCCTTAACACCAACGCAGACATACTCATCTGGCTGGAGTCCCGAGCAGTCTGTCTTGACCGCTGGGTTCCAAGCATAGAAAGAATCCAACGAGACACCGTGGTTTTCAGCAACATCATAGCACGAATCACCGGAATGAACGTCGTAAAAGGTATCACACGTGGAAATCATACCTGTCTGGATCGGCGACGGAGTCGTGACACCAGATACAGAGGGGGTGGCAGATACAGCCGAAGTAGAAGTCGACTTCACACCCACGCAAACGTACTCATTCGCCTGTAGTCCAGAGCAATCGGTTTTGACTGCTGGATTCCAGGTGTAGAAAGACGCCAATGTGATCCCGTGGTCGTTGGCAATATCATAACATCCATCGTCGGCAACAACCTTGTAGAACTTATCACAGGTCGACACCATGCCAGTCTGGATTGGAGATGGCGTTGAAACCCCACTATTAGTCGGAGTTGAGCTCGTTAGTGGAATACTGCTGACCGGGCTGCTGGAGCTTGATGCCCAGCCTGGGAAGCCGGGCGGGTACCCTCCTTCGTAGGTTGAGACACAGTAGTATGTCCCGATGGACAACCTACTGCAGTCGCTTTTTACGGACGGATTCATTGCGTAGAACTCGGCGAATGAAAGGTGACGACCGGTGATGACGCTGTAGCATGTGTCATACTTGCTTTGCGATGCGTACCAGTTGGTACAGTTGGCAATCTCGCCATTGGCGTGCGGAACGGGTGTTTTGATAGCTGTGCTACCGTCTGTAAGATAAAGGGACGGGAGTCAGTGTGGGTGTATCGACTTCCTGCTAGGAAACTTACTGCTGGAGGTGGGAGTCGCGAGTTGGACACAGTAGGAGCTACTCGGCGCCATGGTACACGGATATTGAGTAAATGCAGCCTGGCCAGTGGCGGTTGCCGGAGCAGATGCCGCAGAGGAACTCGAAGTTTCATTTAATGCCAAAGAAGGATTCCAGAGGATAATTTCCTAGATTCTATTGTTGGTCACAGTTGGAGAAGAGACACGGAGTCAACCAACCTCATCAGAAACATTCGATAGCCATGCTTGATTCCAGCAGTCAGCGGCTGTGTTCTCTGTAAGGTTTAT